ATGTTTGTGAAATTCTTTGGAACTTCAAGTCTTAGTTACTAGACTCGAGATCAATGGTCAACTAACATTCATTCCTCAGAAATGCATGCCTTTTCCAAATGAGACTACTTTCTCGGTATCTTTCGATGAACCAGAATCCAGCGTCTGTCTGTAGACCATGGTCAGCGCAAAGACCATGGGACGCCGATTCATCATGAGCACTTGAAGGTTGTGTTTGGTCCGGAAGGACAAGACCCGACGGAGAAATTATCAATTCTTTATTTGAGGCTATCAATCTGAATATTTGTAACAATCAAGAAACTAAGCCCTGAAGCTGACCCTTTCATTTGGATCTCAACAACGAGCCTCATATATGTCAAGTTTAGTGCCCCTATTCGATCCCATTCATATTCACCTTGTCTTCTTTGTAGTATGATCTCGATATTTGTCGTAGTATAGAACGACGATCCAATCTTTGTTACTTGTTTTCTCGACCATGACTCTCGTCGCCCCAGTGATCAAGTCTTTGAAATTGATACTATTTAGCAATTCTAGTTCTTTAGTCGACATAAGTCTCTTTATCACGACTCGAGCGTCGCTAACACAATTCTATACAATAATATCTTTAGTCAAACCCTCAAGCAACAGCTACTTGCACAGCCGCTGTTTCGTGCCTTGTATCGATTATTTTGATGCTGACGAGAGACCAGGCGGTGCGAACGGCTTCAAGATGGCCTCGCATGTAGACCCAAGCAGACTTCAGAGCCGAGTTGTTTCAATGATTGAGCACGTAGCTCGCCCCCGAGTAGTTCCCGCTGCTACTGGACATAACGATGCTTCGACGTTCTCTTTCAGAAGGATAATCAGGCATATTCCTGCTTCACCAGGAGTCTTAGATCAAGTTGCCATGATGTTCGGTTGAACGGAGGCGTCAAGCAGACTCGTGTTAAATGAGTTGGACATTTACCTCGGATACCAGCAACGTCGGTAGTAATCAAAGCATGACTGACTTGTCGATGAACAGGGTGATAAGATTATGCGCCATTGTGGAGTAGAAATTTGTGGAGCTGTCAATGAAACGTTCCCAAACGATGACAACCAGGGAGGAATATTCCTTGCGCTGCCACTGGTGGCCACCTACATTGGAAGCTGGAGTGGTTCTGCAAGCAGAAACGCATGAGGGACTGCGGTAGTGACTTGACGGTAACATGTTCCTGACATGGGTCGAAAGTACGTGAAGTATTGCCCCCTTTGCTGCGTTGTTAGCTAGAAACAAAGCCCTCTTCAAGAATCTAGAATACTTCTACCCTATAATTCAACAAAATCCACTTATCAAAATCTCACAAGCTGAGTGCGGTGCCTAAAATAGCTTCGCCTGAGACAGAGCGGTTGTCTGAAGTTCTAGACGTTCATGATGGGGATCGATGAAAATTGCGTCTCCTCTGCGCGGAGATTCAATCATGTCAGCATTCGAGTTTCAGATATGGAAAAGTCTCTGCACTTTTACGAAGTTGTCTTGGGTATGAAAAGGCTCCTGGAGTTGTCATTTGACGACCTGGCAATTGTGCTTTTGGGATACCCTGAGGGCGGTGGACCCGAGAAGGTCCTATCTAGGGAGGGAGTTCTGGAGCTGATTTGTTCCAAAGTAGGTACAAGACGTCCATCTGGCGTCTCATGTTGATAAAAACTTCAGATGTTCTAAAGAAGACCATTTACTGAGCTCTGTGGACAGCATCCGAGAGGATATGTGACGAACCCTGTCAGCCACTCCCGTCTCGGACTGGTAAAATTGTGTTTTCTGGTTCCTGACTTGAGTGGTTGTTTGGATCGTATCAAAGAGTATAATGTATCCGTGATCAAAGAGCCCGGTGCCACGCTCGGCGAGGAATTGATAGCCAGGGCTTTGGGTGCGGCGTTCGATGGGCGTATCTGCGACCGTGCTCTACGCGAATCGGTTTCGGCTGTCAGCTTCATCGAGGACCCTGATGGATATTTACTCGAGTTGGTCCAGTCTTTGACTTGAACAATGAATCTAGATGAGAAAGGCAAACAGCGTTGCAGAGGCTTCAGCTGACACATGAATTACGTTGGCCACAATTAAAATGCTCCCAACACCCGGTCTATACTGCTGACAGGTAGATCATCGTGCCTGAAAGGAAGGACAGTTTCGATCACCGATATATGAACGCTGTCAGGAGTCGATACAGTAATGCTAGCCATCATTGTGATCAATGTCGATTCGCGACATGTTGCTCAAGCTAAGAGAACTTGGATATCTGGTAACGCCGCCCGCGTCTTTTGTGTTTTAGTGCCACCATATTTGGGCTGAGAACTTCTTGGCTACCCTCTGACTATATTGGTATAAGCTTGGAATACCTGAAGTACAGTGGGAGACATCGAGATAACTTGTTATGTTGGTAGAACATAGAAGATGCTTTAATTCGGTGGATTTCCTTAGGTTGTCGCCGCCATCCGTCCCACTTTATGCAACGCACAGTACAATCTCAAATAACTCCTGTCGATCCGTAATCAGAATCTTTGTCACCATCGACTGACCAGTCTAGCACACATCTCTCCCAAAGTTAAATGGAACCAAATATTGCGGGGCCCCACGATATGTGTCTATGGTCGTGGTACGTACCCACCTTATAAGGCATTGGTGCTCCTATTCCAGTATTAAAGCGCTGGAAAGGACGCTGCGCTTGCAATCTGTATCTGACTTTCATCTCAAATACCATTCTTCGTCCGACTAATAAACGACAATGTCCGAGATTCAGCGCATTCAGCCGATCACGAATTTACAGCGTATCGAGCTTGAGCATGCTCAACATGACTCTGGCACTGTTGAAGACTTTCAAAACTCTCGTGCTCTCACCACAGATCAGTCCAAGCTCAATGCAAAATACATCCTGAGGCTGGCGTCCGCCGTAGCAGGAATCTCGCTCGGAACAGTGTCTGCATATTGGGGATTCAGCCCCCCTGCGGCTATACTTGCAGATATCAGTGCTGATCTTGGTCAGGACCTTCACAGAAACTAGAAAGAGGTTCCCACTTACCGTTTAATAGGTGGTTCCGAGAATGCAAGCCTATTCAGCATCGTCTGGACTGCTGCTTGTGCTGTAGCCATCATTTTGTTCGGTCGCCTGTCCGACAAATTCGGCCGGCGTTACTTCGTTATTGGAGCTTCTGTTATGGGCATTGTGGGAGGTATCATTGCCTCCACTGCCCGGTCCATGAACGTTCTGATTGGCGCCAATGTGTTGCTTGGGCTCTCTGGAGGAGTGCACACATGCTATGGTCTGACGGTGGGAGAAATCTGCCCCAACAGGTACAAACTCCTAGGGATCACCCTCTGTGTCATCCCTAGTCTCCTCCCTACAGGCTTTGGAGCGTACATTTGTGAGTACAAGACACCCCAGTTCTCATGTTCGAGTGGCCATCTGATAAAAAGCTCCTAGCGCTTCGACTTATAAACACCGGTGCTGGTTGGCGATGGTGCTACTATAGCTACATCATTATGATGGGCACTGCAGCTGCATTGCAATTCCTATTCTACTTTCCTCCGAGCTTCCGACAGCTGCACGGCGGTAACAGGACAGTGTTCGAGGAACTCAAACGGATCGACTGGGTGGGAATATTCTTGATGACCTCCGGCTTGTCTATGTTCTTACTCGGCGTCTCATGGGGTCAGATCCTTTGCACTTATCTTGTTGATTCTCATTCTTACCTTTGACTTTTAGGCGGATCTCCTCTCCCCTGGACATCGGCTCGGATATTAAGCCTCCTCATCGTCGGAGGTGTCACATTGATTGCCTTTGTCATCTATGGTGAGAGCAAGCCTCCTCCTGGGCTGCGTCTTCCGCTCACATTGTCGCCAGAAATCTACTCGGGAGTTCCTAACCCTCTAGTCCCAATGTATTTCTTTAGGGACATTCGAGGTTTCACCTGTCTTGTGATCGTTTGCGGCATCTCTGGTGTAGCTTACGTGGGGCCCAGCATCATTTGGCCCACGCAGGTTGCCAACATATACGGCCTGACGGCGTCCTCGTGGGAAGAGACCGCGTGGTTGTCGACGACCATTGCTTTCGGCATTATGGCTGGGATCTTGCTGTGGGGTCCTATGGTCGCGGTGGTCAAACACGTCAAATGGCAGGTGGTTACCCTTGCCGTCATGGTCACGGCCTTCTCTGGAGCAATGGCCACGAGCAACCAAAACAACCGTGGACAAAGTGCGGCATTGTCTTTCCTGACGACACTCCCGGGTGGAATCCTTGAGCTTATCCCAGTGTCACTGGTGCAAATGGAAGCCAATGACGCCGACCTGGGTACTGTTTTCGCCATTCTCTTCCTGATTCGGACAGCTTTGGGCTCCATCTTCGCGACCATATACATAGCTATTCTCTCCAACAGACTTCCCACTGAGATTGCGGCAAAAGTTCCGGCCGCTGCAATTGCTGCAGGTCTACCAAAGTCATCTCTCGTCGACTTACTTCAAGCTACGGCCACAGCTACTGCTAAAGCATTTCAGGCGGTTCCAGGAATGACCCCTGAGATCCAGAATGCGGTAATCGACGCACTGGTCTCCGCGCGCTCTACAGCATATTCTTACATCTATTATGCTTCGATTCCTGTCAACATGTGTGGAGTTATCGCTGCTCTGTTTCTCCGAGACTATGATCATCTGCTTAATAGTCACGTTCCGCGTCAAATTTATAAACATGGTCGTGGTGCAGATGTCGATCAAGAGGATCCATCAGCCATCACCAAGCAAGCCGATGACAATATTGACACAAAAGAGGAACGCAAGGAAGTTGAAAACACGGCCTCCAGCTAACGTAGGCATGCGCAGCTCAGTGGGAAGAATGCATGCCTTTTCAATATCATTAGGTGTCTACTGCAAGCGCATTACGAATCCGGTCTATAGATCTGTTAGAGAATTCTGAGACAGGATGCCGCCTCCGGTGCTGCTTGTGCGCAGGGGTATCTAAGGGAGACTCTACGTGAAATGGGAAAAGGATCCAATCAGCCACAGGCTACGAAATCTCATAGGCCGAACGAACATTCTTCAGATGAGCGCACATACTCAAGTGAATTGAGTACGTCCGAAATCTCGAGAATCATCACCATCCCGTCAGGTCCCATTGAGGACTGACACAAGCCCTGGCCAATACAAGGCAGAAAGACTCCCCCTGACCTATCCGAAGCCATATTCCTAATGTTAGATACAACAATCATACAAACGTCGTGTAAGAGTAGATCTCCTTCAGTTGGACTTCAAAGATCCATCCTCCAGCACCAGTCCAGCTCGTTGTAGTACATCGGCCAAGACTGCACTATCGACCATTTCCTCTTGATGGACGACTTTTGTCCCGTCCTCGTTCGCGGTACTCGTAATGATATACTCCTGCTTATATGGTCCAAAATAACCAACGTTGTCGGCCTTTCCAAATAGGACAAATATTCTCTTGTCCACGTCGACAATCGTCTTGGACTCGTCGAAGCTCAGATCCCAGCGATGTCCTTCGCCCTCGAAAAACATGGGTTTGACGTTTTTGACCCATTGCGCGAAAGCTTCGTTGTCCATTGCCGGCTGCTTGATTGATTCGGGTTTCATCTCGTGAATGCAGTGATCGGCACGACACCCAAGCAATGTCTCTACGTCCAACGTTTCAATCCCCCTCATCACCACAGAGGCAAGCTCGAGAAGCTGGGAGCGTGTGGCTGTCATGTTACAGTTGGTGTGCTAACTCAGAGTGAAGAACACGCGCATGATGATGTCCGATCATCGCTACTGCAGTTGGAGTATCCAGGACACATAGATATACCGACACATGTATTCAGGCCCTCCATCAGTCCAGATATTTCTCGCAACCCTTCACATGTCAGCTTCGTCAGAGTAGCCAATTTCTGCAAGTGTCAAGGACGACCAAATGCCAATATCACCAGTGCAAGACGTCCAAGCAGAAGCCAAGGAGGACTGTAAATCTCGAATGAAAGAAGGACTCATCGACACACTGTATGCACAGTCGGCCACTCAACGTCTGTCGCGCTTACTTCCTGGCCGAGTCTGACTGTGTCCATCGAGGGCTTCGGGCTCTGCAAAAGCTGCTGATGCGGTGCGTTTTTGAGACTGTATAGGCACCGCGGGAGATGCGGACATTTTCTGACCTCGATTTTTGACAGCAGTCGCCCATCTTTCCTCCAATCTCTGACGAAGAGCCTCTGGCCAGCTTGCATCCATTGACAGGTGCTCAGGTGCAGATGGTGGACATGGCAGGGATGATTCCTGAGGTACCCACACAAGACGTTCGGCAAATGCCTCCCAAAATGCATCGTCCTTGTCCAAAGCTGCATCTCCGCTGATGAGGTTGTTCAATTCGTCCGAAGTGCACGCAAGAGACAAGTGTTGCAAATCTCCAGTCTGCTGTGCGAGCTCAGCCTCCCTCTCCAAACATTCTCGTCGACGGTCGCTGATTTCTCGCAAGAGATCTCTCACCTTCGGTCTGTCTTGAATTCTCATCCTCAAGCACCTTTGAACCAGCTCGAGAAGTCCAGCGCTATAATTTCGGGTAATACCACTCTTGAACCTTTTCACGATGTTCACTCCGTCGAAAGATCGTTGCTTTCCCATGAGGATGGAATTTATCTGGTTGCTGAGAGTCTCAATTTCATCGAGAGTCAACAAACTCCACATCACTACACCGACGGCCCAAATATTTGCTTGTGACATGATTTTATGCTGGTCTCGACGTAATGAATTGATCCCGGGCTGCATGAAATAATATTTCTTGTAGTCCGTCATCATAGGAACTCTTACTTCCTGAAAAGCTGTCAGATAACTCCCCGGAACAGGATAGGACTTACTGGAGGATGCCACAATTTTGTACCATTCTGCAGGAATCGGGCAGTATTTCTCAGAGCCTCATACGGGTTTGTGATGATAGAGAGACCAAAGTCTGCAAATTTTGCCACTGGGTACCACTCCTTGCTTCCATCTCTCTTGACATTCGAGCCGAGAAGAGCTGCAGCCCGTCAGCAAATAGCTTCCCATGAGGAAGTAGTCTACGACTCACTATTGTCAGGTTTGATGTCGTTGTGAAGGAGATATGCTTCGGGAAAGTCTTGTCCAAAGCGACTTGCCGCGAGATTCTTGAAAGGCCCAGTCTCGAATTTGACACAACCTTCTACCAAATAGTAGAACACTTGCCACAGGAAGGCTTCCGGAAAATGCATACTAGACATCATGATTAGAAGGCTGATTTACTTTGAAGATTGGCATGCTCTCACTCCCAAGCCTTGTAGTTTAGGCGCAGTGACTCCAAACAACTGTGAGGGCAATGTTCAAAGTAATATCTGCCATAGTTGTCGCTGACATTGAAGTGCCTCAGTCGGACAATGCTGTCTGAGTTTAGTGTATTTGTTTGGGCCATAATCGCGGCCTCACGGGTGAGACCAATCTTCTTATCGTGAAGACGATCAAAAGGCCTCAAGTCAGCCACTTTCAACACGAAGTCCTGCTAGATCAGTGAGAGTCTAACGAAGGAACGAAAATCGACCTACATCGATAGTCTTCCCCGTCCCATCAACCTTCACAAAGAGCGCCGCGGCACCAAAAGAGCCTTTGCCAAGTGGTCTGTCGAATTTCCATTCTTCCTCGTCTGATAATTCAACTCTGCTAGAAAAGAGGTGCAAAAATCTTTGTCCCGTTGGTTTGATGTTGCCCTTCGAATCGAACTCTTGCCACCCGAAGAAGTACTTGATGGGAGAGTATGGTGTAGCTTGTCGTTGGACTGGTTTTACTGTGAAGTCTTCTCGTTCAGACGGACTCCAATTGACCTGGAAAGTGTCGAAATGGTTCGAGGTCATCGTTAGCTAGCCACCTTAAATCAACTGCTCAATTATCTTTTGTTGTAGATCTATCAAGCGGTGATACAACTTGTACTTATCCATGATGTCGCTTGCATCGGTAATCATCCTCGACAACAGCCACAATGGGCTTTGTCCCGAATCCGTCGGACCTCGCATTGTTTACATGCCGAGGGGTTAGCAAATGATTGTTGAGTGTCATCTTGAGAGTCAATCACAATCAGAGTCATCTTGATGACCTTATTCTATGCGCTCACGATATTAGTCCGTAACAAGTCGTTCATCTCACATGTAATTCCGAAAGACTTCAAGACTGCTTATATAAGCAAAATATTTCAGGGGATACTCGAACCAGTCAGTAGGTGAAAATGAAATTCGTATTGGGTATCGAAAAAGCAATTTACGTCGCAAGATGGAATGTATCCTCTGCGTCGTTAAGCGACCAGCAAGGATCGCAAAAAGAGCTCGACGCTCTGTCATGATGTATACAATGCAGTGTTCGTATTTTCGAGACATTCGTGCAGAATGTGCTCGATCTCGATCTCGATTCTCGTTCATTGTGTCGAGTCTGCCACGGACTTTGCAGACAATGTGAACACTGGAGCATCACGCAATCTGCTGAAAGAAGTACATCGACCCTATTCTTCGGCTTCTTCAATGGCTTCCATCTCCACCTTCTCGTACATCTCCATTAACTTTGGGTCGAAGATTGTCGAGTCCTTGTCCGGAATGCCATGCTTCATGTCCTTGAAAACAGGTCCAATGCAACTTTCCCAGCGCTTGCGCCGATCCATTAGCATCCGAGCACTGTCTCCGATGTCCCGAGCTCTATTGATGCTCAAGGCGGTGCCGGGGCCGGCCGCGCCAGGGCGAGCTTTACCACCAGGTCCACCTTTCTTAGTCTTACCCATGGTCCTAGTCCTCTTCAGATAGGCTTGCTGGACTTGACTGTCAAGATCTTCATGAATGGTGCTGTACTCCTGGTAGGCGAGGCGTTCTTTGGCAAGGTCAAGCAAGCGAGCCTTGCGAGCACCGTTGATGATCATTACCCGACGGAGTTCGCCTTGTAACAATCGCAGCCGTTCACTGATGTCGTCATCATGGTGAGCATCATAATCCGGATCGTCCTGGCTGAGCAAACCAAGATGTCGAAGTTCGCCTTTGATTCGTTCCTCGGCTTGGACATAGTCAAGACGTTGCGATGCCTTCGAACCTGCCGAGTCTGCGACAGCTGACGCAGGGGCCAGAGGTTTCTCAGTGTTGTCATGGCCGTTCATAAGACCATCGAGATCCATTGTGTCGTTGCCATCAGCATTGAACGCATTCTCGGTGACGCCATTAGTATCAGTGGGTGGAGATCGATGCTCGAATTTGAGTAGTGAGAGCAAACGGCTGGCCAATGGCCCAGTCGAGACTTGATCGGTAGTCAAGTTATCATCGTTGATCTGATCGACGTTTCCCCTCGGATGATTGAGTGGTAATTTGTCGCTGCCACCATCCACAAGCACGGTACCATCTTCTTCTGCCCAGATCTCTTGATAGGAACGTTTACCGCGAGGAACAGCTAGGAACGGGTTGACACGATCGCCCTGAGAAAATGTCAGTCAAAATGAGCCTCAAATGCTTTCATTATCACTCACTCGTTCTCTCAGGAACGCCATGTCCTCTTCGGTCAGTGGTCGAACATAGGGCTCAACATAAGTGAGGAAAGTGTTTGCAGAGACTTGGTTGGTCGGCTTCGCATTGCTGAAGTCTTTGTCTGGTGGAATCCCTGCGATCTCATCCTTCAAATCTTTAGTTGGGAATGAAGTGACGCCGTAGATCTCCTTCTTTTCAGTATCCGACATATCTGGTGTAATATCACGGATGTGATAGATGATCGGGTCAGGAGCTAGAGGGTCAGGAAAGAAGCCTTGCTGGGGAACGGGTGGCTGGCTGTGAATGACGCGATTCTCTTCAGCATCAGACATGGACACGTCAGTCTTTGAAGGTGAGGCGTGATCAGCAGGGGCAGCAGCGGCATCCGGTGAGTCTGCTACTTCCGAAAGTGATGAAGTGCCAGGGCTGAGCTTCGTCTTCTTTGATGGAGACGGACTGTCAGTCGGTCCTGGAGTGCTTGTGACGCGCATCTTGACCTTGTTCGTAGGCTCATCTGTCAAAGTCTGGGTTAGCCGGAGCTTCATCGTATTTGTGATTGAGCTCGTCTCTGGAGTGCTCGTTCGCCAAGGCGTTGTCGTGAAAAAGCACAACAAGGGAACTAAGCCGAGACCACGATGGTGATGTTCAGGTGATTGTGCATACCTTCATGTTTGATTTCTACATTATCATCCGTTTCTGGTCTGTCTTTACGCTTCTTTGCCTTGGGATTCTTTGATGATTGTGATTCTTCCTTGCGAGCCTTAGCACGGCGAGCTTGTTCGGCTTGACGCTCACGCTCTTGATGGTCTGACTCCACTTCTTTCTTCTGTTCATGAATCAAACGAATGGCCTTCTCGCAGGATTCGGCACGTTTCTCGGCTGCATCGCTCAGATGCTTCAGTTGATCGATCAAATCATGAAGGGACTTCGGCTCGAATTTTGTTCCATGCGTTTCCAAATAATCGACAATCTCTCCATAATTAGGTTTTGGAGGAACGAGAAGTTTGGTTGTTTCTAGTTCTAGGAGGGGCGTGTTGGCAGGCCCCGCTGGCGCAGTACCACTGCTGAGAACTGAGCTGGGAGTTGTGTTGCGGCTTCGTGAGCGACGCGCATCTGCCTTCTTTCCCTTGCTCTTACTGGCGCTTCCTAATGCAGGCATGATGACGGGCGGTGGCTGGCCTGTTTCGAAGTTGGACGAAGGTGAGTGACGATGGCCTTCAGCGCGACTCGAATGTCATGTCGCGAGACGTAGGTCGGCACCCCAATTGCAACGGATGAATAGGGTACGATAAGGTCTCTGGTGGAGGGACGCCTGTACACTGTACACTGACCGAAGAAGACCGATTGCGGTGTTCGCCTCGTACGCAACACGATGTCGTTGCCCCGTAAGGGAGTTCAATGGAAGTTACCCGCGTATCTAAGCGGACAGCCTCGCCAAGTTCTCGGAAAAGATGCCGCCTTTGAAATGAGTCGGACAATGCGGCCTTTGTTTGAGTCACGTGTATGCGTCATGGATAAGGTAAGCAAGCGAGCCTTGTCTCGTACGAGGAAAGCGCCGAGGAGTCATTGCACTAGAGGATAAGAGCAGGGCTAATGATACTTGTGAGGGGGGGCTGGCCATGGCTGGGCTGGGCTTCATCGACCGGATAGCCGCCTTTATTGACAATCACGCAGATCTTGATCTCATCCTTCAAGAGTCAACAAAATTCGTGGCTACAACTCCGCGTTTTGTATATTGACCTACTAGCACCACAGTCCTCTGTTTTCTCGAGCACAGTCAAGGCTCGACCTCTTGTCTCCGACCCTGGTGCGATGGGAAGTTACAGGTGCTGACGAACCACCCGTCTCTCCCGGTCTGTGTCGCATATCATGTCCTCGCTTGACGGCATCGTGGAATTCTTACAAGTCTCGTCCATTGTCGAATAAAGTGTCGGCTTCAAAGAGTCATGTGTATGTCAAATGTCCACTGCTCCGAGCGTTGGGTGGTTGCTAAATTCTCTCAGCGGCACAGAACTTTGGCGTCATCGCAGCCGTCGTGCCCGATACACAGTACGATCCCAACCCGAACGTCCGACTTGTTAACGTATGGAAGAAGATGAACACTATGCAAGAGGAACTAGCTGACAGTTTGGAAGCGGACATATGGTCTCCAATTGAGAGCGTCAGGCCTTGTGAGGACATTGTCGCAGAACAACCCCAATAACTATGGAACCATCGAAGGTCTTCTCTACGTCCCCGATCTTCCAGCCTCGGATCCATGCGACAATGCCACTAGAGCCCTGATACCTTCCAACGTCACGACTCGCGCTCAGATACCTGGTCAAAAATACCCGCTCATTGCTTTGGCACCATGGACGCAAATAGCCTGCGTGGAATCCTACCTATCTGCGATGGCTTCAGACAACGTCCGTGGAGGTATTTTCTTTCATCCGGGCAATGAAAGCGAACAACCACCACCAGTCAGTGATCCATCATGGAGCCTTGACGATGGTGGTAAATGGAAGGGCGATAATCCGTATCCAGTCTACGCTATTCCAGGCATGCTTGGTGCATTCCTGCTCGATGAATTGGCGCAGTATTCTGGAAATTTATCGTCGTCCCCCTACGGCAAGGAATTGGCAGATTTATATGATTCTCACGACGTCGTCAGGCTCGTCGCTAGGTTCGACGTGAACGTGGCAGGTGGAATACCATCATTGTGGGTATTCCTAATTATTGTTCTAGCTGTCCTTCTCACTGTAGTGCTGGTAACCTCAGTTATCATGCACTGGGTTCAGCGGAAGCAGAGACGACAACTTCAGCAGAGAGTGGCCAGAGGAGAAGTCGATCTCGAAGCATTAGGCATAAAGAGACTCAATGTCCCGCAAGACATACTTGACAAGATGCCACAATGGATTTATATTCGATCTAACAACGACAGCAGTGGTCCTACAGAATCGAAAGAGTCAGTCCCTTCCGCAGAAAAGATCTCCACCGATACCGCTGTCTCTAGGAAGGCAGTCCGAGAAGTGCCTTTCAGCCAGACAACGTGTCCAATCTGTTTGGATGACTTTGTGCATGATGAGACAACCGTGCGAGAGCTACCTTGCAACCATATTTATCATCCGGAATGTATCGATCCGTTCCTGCGCGAAAATAGTTCTTTATGCCCCTTGTGCAAGAAGACAGTCCTTCCTGCAGGTTACTGTCCTGTTCAGGTGACCAATATAATGGTCAGACGAGAACGTCTGCTACGCAGGACAAGGCATCGCGATGCCGAGGACAATATTGACGCCAACGGATCGAGACTGCCTGGAGTTGCTGTGATCAACCGCACAATGCGGCAGCTATCAAATCCACTGACCGCTTCGCGACATCAGCATGGTAGCGCTGCAGGCGAGCACACAACAGGAGCCGAGATGCAATCTATTCCACAGAGACGACAGACGCAGGTAGATGACGAAATGCCAGCAGAAGTCAGGGCCCAGGGGACATCAGCCAGACGGGCGTGGCGTCGAGAGCGGCTCGCAAGGCAACAGGCTCGGGAATATGGCCAACAAGCAGATCAGGCGCGAGTGGTCGATGAATCAAGACCGTTGTGTGAGTTTGGACATTGTATGCTGCTCTTTGAAAGACGCTAACTGTAATCCAGGGCGCCGAATCGTTGGACGGGTCATCCCTAGCCTGGAATGATACGACATGTATATTTGGTTCGATGCCTCTTTGGCATCGGTTTTTAGTTGCATAGCGTTGGAGTTTCTTTGGACTCTGGTAATGGTTTGATTAATGACGGCACATTTTTGATGTATGATATGTGGATGGGAAAAGCGACAGTCGACCACGTTTAGGTATCCGGTGTGCAATATTCTGCTTTACTGTCCAGCAATACATGTTAAAAGTCTGGAAACATTGCTCGGTTCGCATTCGCATTACAGTATTGGTTCGTTCGCCTTTAGTCGACCAGAGTCAAGTCCAATTCAGAGAGTCGATGTGATTACACCTCAGCTAGCAAACTTGTCATGTTTGCCTTTGACTCTCACATCGAGGACCTCTTCGTAGTAGGTGCCTTCTTTCTTCGCACGCTTCAGCCTCTTGACCTCGTCATCCTCCAGGGTCCGGCCCACGGCCTGTTCGAGTTCGCGGCGGCTGATCTTCTCCTTGGCCTTGGTCTCCTTTTTCTGTTGGATCTGAGGCTTGAAGCGGGCCTGCATTTTGATGACGAGGTGCGTATTCTCGGACGCCGCGTCGCCGTCACCTCGCAGTGATATCGAGACCCTTTTTTTCTTTCCGCCGTCATCGTCGTCGGCAGTTTTTGAGGAGGTAGTGGTCTGTGTCTCTGTCACCGCAGAGATGTAGCGCCGGCCTTGTTCTCCATCTGCCGGCTTCGACGCCGCCGTGCGCAGTCGCCATCTCGTCTTGTTCGTATCTGCTGTGGTGAATTGTTCAACCACGAACCCTTCCTCGTGACCCCTCGCCTCTCGCCGCGCGCCCAGAACCCCGATGCCGTCGCAAGAGAGGTAACCCCCGTGGCTGGCCTTTAGGCTGATCTGGCCGGTCCCGGCCACCGACGAAGCCACCCAGACCTGTCGCACGTCGTGCGGCTCCGCGGTCTCGGGCACGCTCTCGACGATGTTCTCCAGCGGGCTGGCGAAGACGTTGCCGTGCGCGTCGGACGACAAGACCGTCGGCGGGGAGGTGGACAGGACCAAGATCGTCGGCCCCGAGAGGTCGGTCGCCGCGTCCGGGGTGGTCCAGGTGGTGTCTTCTTGGGGGTCGGTGGTGGTCACGTCGCCGGACGTCGAGACGAGCGCGGACGAGGTCTCGTGCTGGTGTTTGCGTTTCTTGGAGGGCTTCTTGTCGCCCTTGAAGGATAAAGGTTTGACCGGCATCGCGGGAGTCGTTTCGATTTTTACCCTTTTGGTCAGATCCGATCGTAAACAAGGGCGCGTTCAAGCAATCCTGGCTATGTCGATCAGATCTGACAATGTGAAGGGTACACGAACCAAAAATGAATATTTGTGACGAGGCTGCAGAATCGCAGCCTTGTATCTTCTCCGCACATGGAGTGCTTCGATTACAACAATACCGGTAGGAATAGACTACGGGATACGTCACTAAGCAGTCTATCATCATTAATCTTGTTCTGCGGAATAGGGGCATTTTTCATAAGTTGAAGCTTCGCGATATGCTCATTTCATCAGGAAACCCCCAGGCATCTAAATCATAGAATCTCGGAGCCAACAAAATCTTCTTCATTCAAAGGATAAGGATTTTGTATCATGTGTTTATGGATACCAAGACAAAGAATGAGCCTTCTCTTCACCAAAGTGCAATAGTGCCGTCACCTGTATCAAGTGCAGCGTTCCAGATGTGTCGAAGCCGACCATTAATAACTCAATGGGAACCGTTGACGGCCGATGCTTGATGCTAGCAGTCAACAGGCTCCTCTACACCGTTCAGGAAACCCCTCGCCATCTCCCAAGCATGTCGTCTCAAGACATCGAGCTCTTTTTCCACATGCATAATGTCTCTCTGGAGCTGCCTCAAAGCAGGATTGCCGTCCATGATTCCCTCCAATTCTGCTATCTCCCGTCGTGCTTCGCCTTGGACCTCTCGAGACTTCAAAGCCACTATCTTGATGACTGCGGTGCACCACTTGCACGGGGCGGTTTGATCATGGGTTTTTGCTGCGTCATATGTGCTATCTCCACCAACAGGAACGATTGTATCAGCAGAAGATTGCCGGGTTTTGACAGGGATTTTTGTGGGCTCGACGACGTGCTTTTCAAGTGGATTTCCAGAGCGAGTTCCAAGAACGTTTCCGGATAATCCGATCGAGGGAGTGTGGGAGGCCGTGAGCGATGAGTCGAGACCGACGGGATGTTCAATAACAAGCTTGCCGCAACTTAGACGACCCCATGGCTTGCTGAGGTCGCAAGGTACCCATTCACTTTCTTTCTCGTGGTGGAAGGTGAGCGCGGCAAGAGGATCTTGATGAGGATAAGGACAGGTTTGTAGCTTGTAGAAGCACATGATGTTGACTTGATCTTGTGTTGGCTGTCAAGTTTGAAGGAATGGAGGTGGGAATGTTGGCATGGAAAGATTGTGGCAAGTATTTATACCCTACAGCGTGAAGGCAGGCATTGATTGATGTAGCGCAAGGCAATGTTTGCTCATTCATGCTTTGATCGTGGTGAATTTGTTGTAAGTGAAAGGCCACACAATGACAACCATCCTCGCTGCCACTTTGAAGATGAGGAAAGCACCAGGCACAATCTTCGTTCACTGAAGCAGCGGCGACTATAATTGGCCGACAATAGCCTTCTTGTTGTTTGACTGCCATTCATGGTGAAAGTGAGAAAGAGAAATTTTCTCAATAGAAGGATTTTGTTCCTCGCCCATAACTTATCACCTTCAATGAGTATTGAGGAGTCTGCCCTCTTAGCCACCAACACCTCTTTCCAAAGGACCACCTCTTAGAAGCAAACCCTCACTGACAACAAACCATCTTACGCAAAGTCAAGTATTCAACCAGGTACCATCCTCATGGTCATAGTTATGGTACTTCCAAAACTAATCGATCTCGTTTGATAGACAATTGCACTAAAGTACGGTATCGATTCAACAACCCCCGGGAGCACTTGTTGTCATCTCCGTCCAACACCCGTGTTGAGGACGAAAGTCTTCTTAGAAGTCCACCATCATTACCGAGACCTGTACCTTGACCACAAATACCCCACCAATACATCAGCAGCAATGTGCAGACTGATCAAAGTGGTGCACTTTGGTTGTGAGGAACCACACACGGAGGAGCTTCTTGTTCGCTGCAAGCCTGCAATGGAATACATTTTGGAAATGCCAAGCAAGGTTTACTGCCGGCAGATGGTCGAGGTTGAAGACTGGGTCATGTCTCCTTGTCGTTTCTGCACTGCATGGGAAGCCAGAAGGGCCACCGCACTAGCAAACTGCCGTGGTCGAGCTATGTCGCTGCAAGAGAATGACTTCCCTCATGAATTCAAGGATACTGTCAGGCAAACAATTGGTACTCGCGACGATATCGCAATGCTGGGGGCAAAGAGGAACTTCGAGGTGGCTTTTGAGACCAGCAAACAGGAGCTCTGCTGATTCATGTGTTGGGAATCGGAGAGCTCCATTCAGGTTCAGAAGGGGCGTTAGGTGAACGGTCAATTGGCGCAGCTTTAGCTCCCTCTCTTCTCCGGCCGGTGGAAAGACTTGATCGAACCGGCTTGAACGTCTCTTTGGAAATGCTTGCACGGGGATGGCGAGTTCCTGCTCTTTCATATTCTTTCACTGATCCAAATGGCACCCTTACAACCATACCGAATGACATCAGTCAATGGTTGGTAAGGTTGGGCTTCCTTTGCGTCATTTTCGACTGCATAATCCAGATGTTCCAACTCTTCATCACGGATCCTCTTGATATCATCAATCAAAACTTTCAACTCGGGATCAAGCTCTTCTCCTTTTTCTTGCAAGTCCTGCATCCATTTGAACATCTCTCTCACTTGTCCATTGTAATGATCGCCAATTTCCGTCTCGACAGCTTCAGTACAAGCCATTGCAGCTTCCCGCCCCATCACCCCAGTCGACCAGCCGAGGATGGTCGCCGCAGCTTGCCACACGGGATACATCGCAGTCGGCCTAATTCGATGCTTTGCCAGCAATTCATTAAAGGTTTTGAAATGGCCGGCTTCTTGATCATACATATGCTTCATTAGAGGTCGGAGATTGGGGTGGGCTTTTACAACCGGAGGTGTTTGGGCGGTATAGATAAGTGTGGCAGCAAGCTCTCCTGCTTGATTTACACGAAGTGCGCGATCCAGGAATTTTCTTTGTTCCTCAGTGAGAATCGTCCTGTCCTGGGCTTCATTGTGAGATGACTTGGAATTAGCATCACTTTGAGAAGATATTCGTCGCGTTGCACAGTGGGTGGTCCGTAGTAGGGAAGGCCGTACCAGCCTACGAAGTGCTGCTGAGCTCACACAAGACTGCATTCTGTGAAGAAGATGCTCGACTTCGATGTCTTCACAAGAAAGGAGCATATAGAAAAGTCGTAGTCGTATGATACGTTCAGTTGTCTCCGCAGGCCTGTGCGAGTCATGTCTTTAATGTTGCCAAGAACATCCTGAATCGTGTCGAGAATGGGAACGTGTTGCAACATTCAGTTCGTCTTGAAGTGAACAACAATTCAACTCCAATAAGTCTCTCTTCAATAGGTTGATTTCCTTGGCTCGACAGTTCGACTCCCATCAATTCGAAGTCTTAACTGATCTTCCATACGTATTGAAGCTTGTCGTCCTTGCTGCCTCCGATTGTCCTTACTGATCCTGATCCAACCAATCTCCTCTTGGCCTTTCCTCTCTCTCAGGACGAGTTTTCAATCAAAGAGGGGTTATCAGCAAGGGAGGCGCCTTTCACATCTCCCACGCCGTCTTTACTACTGGTCTCCACTGCCTTCCCAAGGCAGTACTTCTGCACTACCGCCTGGCCTCGGGGGACGCGAACAATTCACTTTTGCTTCACCATGGCCGACATCGATGCGGAACTTCTTGCGCTCGCCGGAGGTGACTCCTCCGGTGAAGAAAGTGCGCCTTCTTCTCCAAAACCAAAGTCCCCTTCTCCATCTCGAAGCAAACAACAGACTCGAAGAGCAACAAGCCCAGCAGATATGGCTCGTAAAGGTGTCGCAAAGAGTGCCCGGCGAGCTCGGCGCCGCAAGGTATATTCTGACGATGATGGTGAAGTGTATGTATTCCCGGCCATTGGGAAAGTCAGACAGCTGACACAGTGCCCTTGCTCAGATCATCTGTCTCACAGCATTCCGAATCCGCCTCGATGTCGCAATCTGACTCCGAGGCTGATTTCGATTCTGGCGCTGACAAACCAATCTTTCCATACGAGAAGCTCTATTACGATGCCGAAGACAAGGCCCGGATCGAGTCCAAACCTGAAATCGAAAGAGAAGAGATCCTGGCGCAGAGAAGTGAGCAAGTCGAACGACACGAGCAAGATCTGACTCTTCGCCGTCTTGTGGCTGCGAGAGCCCGAGAAGAGGCAAAGACCACCGCAAAGAACAAGCGTAAGGCCAGTGCTGCCGAATTGGAAGACACACAGCGCAAAAGCACTCGCCAGCGTACCAAGGTTGGTGGTGGCAGGGTTGGCGAGGCTAGCACTGCCATCGAAGCATACAAACAACAACGTGCCGAGAAAAACTTACGGGAGGAGCAGAGGAAGAGAGATGGCTATGTTCGAAAGGCTCCATCTCCAGAACAAGACTATAGCGATGCTGAGGCAGATGCTGAAAGTGAGAACGACTACGATGATCGCAGATACAGGCGACGGTCCCCCAGCCCTCCTAAGGATGAGCCAATTGCTGAACTCGCCGATATTCAGAGAGCAAAAGTTGGTCGAGACAATTTTGCCCAGGTCTGCTACACCCCAGGATTTGAAGAAGCGATTACAGATTGCTACGCCCGTGTATGTCTTGGTCCTGGTCAGGATCCAAAGGTCAATGATTATCGACTTTGTCGTATTAAAGGATTTGTCACAGGCAAACCGTACGCCATGGTCGGGTCAAACGGGAGGCCATTTCCTGTGGAGAGATACATCATGGCAGCTCATGGCAGACATGAGAAAGCCTGGTCCTTCCTCGAGTGCTCAATGTCTAAGTTCACGGAGGAAGAATGGAGACGGTACCGGGTGGTCATGGCCAATGATGACCTCAAACTTCCCACAAAGAAGTTCATCAATTCGAAGCTCGATAAAATCAACCAACTACTGAAGCATCGATTCACGGAAGATGAAATTGATGCGAGAATGCGAATTCAGAATGAGCTCACGGAGAAAATCACCAGAGCTCGTGAGAAGGAGATCCTCAAAGAGGAAATCAAAGGAGCTATTGCTGAAGGAAACGACGAACTCGCTGAGGAACTAGAAAATAAGCTGGCAAATATCGTCCCGATGAAGCTGGCCTTCGGAACGAGTCTATTCCGTTCAGATTCCAATGAAGTCAGTCAAGAGCAGGAGCGAATTGCAGAGCTCAATCGGAGGAACCAGCGATTGAACGCCGAAAACATTCGCAAAGCACAGCTTGCTGAAATGAGGGCACGAAGAACGAAAAAACACCTAGCTCCTGGCGTTGATGAACTGTTCGAAGGTGGTAGTGACATCAGTCGGACTGGAACACCCATCAACGGCGCTGGTACGCCCAAGCTGGCAGCCGGCCTCTCGCGCGCTGCAACTCCCAATCCTACTACTCTTGCAAATGGCACCCCGAGAAGCTCGACCCCGACGACGAACGGCCTCAAACCGACTACCGAGAAGAAGAAAGGACTTCCAGTCATTCGCAAGGCCGCATTGGACGATGAGATTTTGGCCAATATGGACCTCGGGATTGACATTGATCTCGATATTTGAGTGATGAAAGCAGATGAGTGTATCGACAATCTTGGGAAGGCGTAGCCTTGGAGTGTTTGTGCAATACTATTACCTTGAGAACCATTGATCGTGGTTCGTACCTAGCCTAGGAGAATTGTCGTCTTTGAGCGGCTAGACAGCATTCCGTGTTACTACGGTTGGTATTGCTTGAACAATACCTCGCATCTTGCAATTCTAGACGGTATCTGCACTGCCCGAGGAATGAGACTATACACAGGTAGTGTTTCGCCTGAATATTTCAACATGCATGTTCAAACAACATTTCACTATCTAGTTACGATTACCACATGCTTCTCTAATTACCCTCTTTAGCATGAGGGATCCCACGACAACGCTGATTCACATTCACTTTGATCAACTATTACCAGCATTATGCGCACGATATGTTTTCAAGGCTCTCTCACTTTCACTGGTTGCTCAGGTTTCTTATATTGGGCCTGCATTGGATTTCACTTAAGCCTGTTTACAATCGTTCACCTCTCACATTGACCAAGCCATCCTCCCCTACATAAATGGCTCTACAGTTGGGTTTCTTTCATCCTTCCCTTCAATCGTCTCCAAAGATCACATACCATATCCAGCGCCGCGCAAATACCAACCATCTCTCCATTCGACATGTGCCTATACAACACCTTCCCATGCGTCTCTCACGACGCTGAGGCGCTCCATCGAACACTATTCGAGGAGAACAATGCCGGTGCTGCCTTTCAAGTTTTTCGATGCAAGTGGTACTACTGTGCCAACCTGAACCTCAAGGCAGGTTCGAAGCTCTTATGTGATCATCCAGCACGGGATCAAGAAGTTGCAGATCCAAGAGCACTCACAGATATACAAAGCTGTGTTGGAGAACGAGGTCATCGACCACGGCTGCAAGAATTGTTGGGTCATGGTACGTGAGAAAGACTGGGTTCAGGTAGTTCACACGCAGATGGCCAAGGACCTGAACATGATGCCAGCGGTTTGGGCGGAGACACTCGGCGACGAAGAGGAAGAGGCACCGTCTATGAATCCATCGTCAGCGACAAACGAGGACGAACAAGACTTGATGATCCAAGAGAAAGGAAAGAGAAAGAGAGGCTGCTCCGAGATCTCCATTCCGCCGCCCCACTGGGCAAACAAGTCGAGGAAGGTCTGCAAGAGTGACGTGGCGTCGTCTTCAGGTTTGGTGGAGACGGATTCAGAACCGGAGGAGGACCGAGAGGATGTCGAGAGTGAATTAGACCAGGAAGAGATGGACTTGAGACGAGCGTGTCAAGAAAGCATGGAGCTGTTTGAGCGTGAGCACAAGGGAAAGGGAAAAGAGAAGGAGGGGCCAGCACAATCGTCGTCCGCGGTGGATGTTGACGAGGTCGAAGACGCAGAACTCGAATGGGCCCTTCGAGCGAGTATCGAGGAGCAAGAGGCCACCAAGAAGTCGCGCCGGTCAGCCGTGGACAAGTACATGACATTCGGATCCGGAGGGGAAAGTTCGAAGAGCGTCATGGTCCGCGAACAGAATGTCACCCCGCCGAATTCACAAAAGAGCGTCGATGCCACCGTGGCTGAACGCGCCGGATCGGCACCCAAGGGGTACGAATACGACATTGTGACATTGCTCAAGGAAAAGGCGGAGTGGCAGTTGGAAAAGTCGGCGTTGGTGACCGAGAATGCAAAGGTGCTTCGGACCAACGTTGCTCACGTGGAGCGAGAAAGGGAATTGATGCGACGCGTCAGGGACTTGGAAGAATTGTGTTTTCCTACTCAAGACGAAGATGCAAATGTGGCGGAAAATGAGGAGAATGCCGAATAGACGAGGAGGATGAGAACGAGGTATCTTCATGACGCTTTTTGGCCACAACGAGGTTGGCGCAGGAGAACGAATGGGTAGCATGCACGGTCTACAGAAACACTTGCAAGGGTTCGGAAAAGAGCGGGCGATTCCAATTCTGCAGAGAGACATTTTTCCAGCAAGCAAGCAAGTCACGAATTCGAGCTGATCTTGGAGAGCTACCGAGATCGAGGACACTTTCTATGGTTCTAGTCTCACGGTCCAGAACCTATTGCAATGCCACAATGGGGTTCCCGTCGAGATACTCTTCGAAAGTGGTGACTCTTCCCCGAGCGTGGTCCGCCGCCCACTGTACCAACTCCGCCGTCTTGGGGCCGTAGTAGCCAAACTCTTCTTGATAGGACATCATCTCGATCAGTGCTTCGGCGTAGTTGCCCACGGCACCGGTCAAGAGGGCCTTGTGTTGCTCCACGGGGACCTGGACGTACCTGACGGTCTTGCCGAACTTTTTGCTCATGATCTCGCACATTTCTGTCATGGCGTAGAGTTTCGTGGCCGCGCAAAGGGTCTCGCCCTCGTACCTTTCCGGCTCGGCCAGGATGGCACCCACAAATTTACCCGTGTCACCGACAATGTCGATCAATGGTAGCTTGGCCTCGGGCCCGACGTGTCTCGACACGACGAATTCCCCCGGTTGGGTTTGGGACGGATGGACCCCCATGCGAGATTGCCAGTTTTGCATGAAACTTCCGGGGGCGAAAAAGGCCGACTTGATCGGGAGTGTCTTGATGTAATCCTCGACGTCGGCTTTGGCGTCGAACCCGGTGACTTTGGTGTATTTACCTCCCGAGACGACGCTCACGTTGGGTAAAGTCGACAGGATGATGTAGGTCGCTCCGGCGGCGACGGCGGCGTCGGCGATCGTTTTGCCTGTTTCGTACTCCCGTGTTCGTGAATCTGGACCGAATGACGGCACGGTCAGGGCAAATACCGTGTGCGCGCCGTGTAGTGCGTCCGTGAGACTGGATGGATCAGTGACGTCTCCCTTGACAACCTCGACGCCTTTGAGTCTGAGTGCTTCTGCAGATGAGGATGATGTGTCACGAGTGATACCACGGACTTTGTATTGCTTCGACAACTCCGAATCATTCAGGACAAAGTCGACGATTGAACCTCCTTGATTGCCAGTGGCTCCGAAGACGGCGAGGACTTTGGGCATGACGGTTGATGGCGAGCGAGGTAAAAAAAAAAAAAGAAGGATGTATGAATGGTGAATCTAATCCGAGAGTATCTGCTTGTCAAGGGACAAAACAAAAAAAAAGAGTCGAGAAACGCCACAAGGCTATATAGTCTTTCAACCGGAGATCTCATTGACCGAGTATGTACTTACTTCTCTTGCAAGGCACGCCAGATTGCACGTAGAAGACATTGAAACAAGAGGCTAACTTTCCTTCGCATTTATTCGGTGCATGATTGGCTGGTATGAGACTGCAAGTTGCGAGATACATGATGCGTACATGATGTACGTCGCAGTAGAAAGTTCTCAACTCGACCGGACTTACAAGGTTGACCATATATCCGGAACACAAGATGAAGACAAAAGGAGCCAAAATGATACCGAGCAATCGATGGATGAAAATGAAGTCAATAAGCGAGTTGAGGTTAGCGTGATGTGAAGGACTAGTCCATTACAGGGTTAGTTCCTTTCCAAATCTCCGCAATATCCGTTTCGAAGTATCCGACGTCTATTGTATTGATTCTCTGGTTCAGTAAGTCTGGTTGTTGGACAATGATGGGTACATTTCTATTGATCAATCTGTCTCAAAGCCGAATGTGGCCAAAACATGCAAGCAGTAATACCTACTCAACCTTCTGTACTCTCTTCTCCGGCTGGCAGGAATCCGGGTTATACGGACCCGGGACGACCACACATCACCCGACCCAAGCGTAAGATTCAGACTCACCGAAAGTCCCGTCAAGGTTGTCGCAATTGTAAATTGAGAAAGGTCAAGTGTGACGAGACCAGGCCCAAATGTGACAAATGCGACCGGTACGGTATCCTATGCAACTACGATTTACGAAATGACGACCTTCAACTATCCAAGTCGGGTGCTTCGGCGGCGATTGACCTCACCCTCCTCGACCTGTCCCCAGCATCGACTTCCAGCGCCGAGGCTCATCATCTGGCCATCGGTGGCGATAAGAGCGATGCGTCGTCGCAGTCTTCAAAAAAGTCGAAGACCGAATGCTACCGCCCCACCTTTGATGACCTGGAAACTCTCGGTCGCTTCTTCTCGAGGACAATCCATACTCTGGGAGCGCGTGAATTTGCACCGCTATACTATGATGTTTATACCAGATTGACAGAATCGGTAATGCTCTCCTTTGCAACATTTGTCCATGATCAACTTCATCACTGACAAACTTGCTAGACTCCGTTCTTGTTTCACATCGTCCTCGCCGTGACCATGGTCCACGATTCGATCCTCAAACAACCATCGTCACCTTCCGACTTCCAAGCCATCGCTCGACACTGGTCACTGGGTGCTTCATTGTTGAACCGAGCCATATCCCAACCGATCTCACAATTGACCTCCTCGACACGAGATGCCATGTGGGCGTGCGCGGGATTGCTGGGATGCCTGGCTTTCAGCGTGGTCGACGCGGAGTCGGTGGAAGAGTCGTGGCCCTTGAAACCACCCGATCCAAGTGACCTGGGTTGGCTCGGGTTTTGCGAGGGAAAGACTGTCATCTTCAAGGTCTCTGACCCGTTACGAGAAGACAGCCTGTTTGCTCCGATGAGAGGGGAAATGGCTCAGTTCATGAGTTTCGAGACAGACTTGTCGTTTCCGGAGTTACAGAAGGCCTTACCAGTCCAGCTCCTTGATGTTTGCGATCTGAACCGAAACCGGGACTCAACCTCGACGGCATCTTCGAATCCTTGCCTCGCTTCTGCGTCGTTGATGGCGCGATTAATGCCCCTCGAGTGCACGCAGGAGAACTATATCCTCTTCCTGGCATTCTTTAGGACGATGGAGGCGGGTTTCAAGCAATTGCTCGTCGAGAGACACCCCGGGGCTCTGGTGCTGTTGCTGTTTTGGTATTCAAAGGTCCTTCCCTTTGACGCATGGTGGCTGCGGAAGAGGGCGAGGCTGGAGTTCGGTTCCATATGCACGTACCTGACTCGAGTTCATGGAGACGACGAAAGGGTGACGACCCTGGTGCGTCAAGTCAAAGAGAAGAATCGCGGCATAGAGGGTGGGTGATTGAGCGATCAAGCACTGTCATGCCGGATGTTGGCGATTTCAAACCAAACACCAAACCTTGCGTACTATCCAGGAAGGGAACGCACGCTTTTATGGGCCGCAGATCGAGAGTGATGAGTCTACCATGGGTTCGGAATCTTAGTGATTTGGAGACTCATGTTGGAATTGTTTTCCAAAACGCCGGAGCACTCTCACCGGCAGAACCTCCTCATTCTTCCTCGTCGATCAGGCAGTACGCCACAAGAGGATTCCCTATAGCAGCTCGGTACACGACAAGACATATTGACCGACTACAAAATCAAAACCAAACCACTCGCTTCTCACCTGTGAAGCTGATGGAAGGGGGCAAGCACTGAGCCGGCGAACTCCTTCGATATCTCTTTTTTGGTTGTGACAATGTCAAGCTACCCGGCCTCGCTGGTACAAATGGGTGTTTGTTATTATTGGCGCGATCGGCCCTCCCTTTTTTTGTAGAGGCATGAACAAACACCGCATCACGGTGGTAACGAGAATAAACTAAACATTGGAAGCTGGTAATCGTCCCTCAATAGTTTGGCTTTACTCGTTCGTTGCAGATCTTTCACGTACAGGTAGGTAGGTACTCGTAATGGGATATATGTAGGTAAGTCATCGAGTTTGGGCAAACAATATCACTTTTCAAGATCATCGTCCATTGCTGTCCCGACGACCCTAACGACATGTCGATCACTTGGAGTCGCTGATTACCTACGCTACCTGAACTCGTACTCTGTCACTCCGTGGCATTCACAGCCTCGCGCAGCCTTGTGCGTCATGACTTCTGCGGGGCGTTGCCCGCAAACACAACAAGGAAAGGGTTTCGCTAAAATTCGATTGACACCCTTACAAAACTCCAAGTACACACGGACGCGCTCTCTCTCGACTGACCAACGTCAACAGGGGGTGTTGTGGTCCGTGTATGTGTCGGTAAGTCGGCGGTCTTCTTGCCCGTTGTAGGGGATCATCAATGTGACCGGTTCTCGTCGGTGGTGGTCTGTGGTGCTCGCAGAGAGGAGTCGACGTCCGAGTATTGAACTCTAAAGACATGTGGCGCCGTTGGCGATCGTCATTTCGGCAAGGCTGAACGAACCGAGTCTCTGTCAACTTTGGCGCACTTGGTTCGACGCTCGTGCTGTCGCCGACACCTCCGTTCTTGGTCAGTGCCGGTGCGTACGATGCGGGGGAGGGGAGGCTTTTGGTGTGATGGCATCCATCGGCCACCCCGTAAGCCACAAGTGTGATACTTTTGCTTATACTTTGCAGTTTTGGCGACTCGGATCAAGGAAAGCTTTGGGAGATCTGAAAACGCCGAAACGCCACAGGAGTGTAAACGAACACACGGTCCTTTTTTTCGCCTTGTTCCTTTTTCTGCGGCTCGAGGCTTACTTTGAACAAATGAGAAGCGCCGAACCGAGAGAGAGAGAGAGAGAGGCTTGCCGAGGTGCTTCGTTAGGATTGGCTGAAGCGCACGGGACGATGTCTTCTGTTGGTGTACTGTACTGTAGACACTTGTAGAGACGTCAAACTTGTCAACAAACAAGTGACAGGTTCAGCTTCACGAAGCGTGGAGATTGGAAGAAGGTCGGAGAATCGGGATGTCGGCGAACATAATGACCGTTCATTTCCAACGACAAATCTCAAGACGTCTGTATTGTAAACAAACTGTTGACAGGGTGGGAGTCCCTAGTTGGGTTCATTAGAAATGCACGGAGACAAGTGCTAGAAATAACAACCATGGTTAGGTACTATTGTACTTGTAGGTACGAGTAGTCAAGGCCGAACGCACGAGCCAGACTTTGTCCTTTTGGAGATTGAAAGACATTGAAAGAGAAAGGTTTGTCTTGTCAAGGGACGACTTGGAAATACTTTGAACAGAGAGGTAAGCTCCAAGCGATGGAAAGAACAGAGCTTGCCTTCGAGAACTATGAGGTACGGTTGGTAAGAAATACCTAGGTAGGTTCAGAGCAATTGTACTGGAGAGACTTGTACTGTAGAGGGAGGGAATGATGCTAAACAGACCAAAAGGTTCCTCTTACAGGTCATGATGTTCGAGGTACTTTTTGAAGATAGATGCTCCGTAGTATTGTACCCGTATGATTAATGAAGTTGTCTTCTTTCAGCATATCACAGTGGTAGAGTTGATGGGATACTAATTTTTCTGTGATCATAGGAACCATGCATGGTACACGGTGACTATATGGACCAGCAATGAATTAAAAGCAAACTACCTACCCAGTAACAAGCACATGTTATCTTGATGTGTGTACGGGTTTATGGGGTTTATAGATGCGTGGTAGTCCTATGTACAGTACTTTGTCATAAAAGGAGGCTGAGGCTGAAGCTGAAGACCTCCTGACCAGATCTTACCCTCTCTCTCCTCCGAGACCTTGCGAGTGACAAAGTATCAGAGAAGCCAAGGCGACAACAAATCCCATGTGGGTTGTATGCGTAACCGTGTTCATGAATTGTCTTCGGGTCCGTAGTCCTAGGAGACGATGATTTTGAACAAAGTCCAAACGTTCAATGGTCTCTTGAGGAGGCACATGTTTCCGTCATCACATTGCCATTGATGATTACTGTGCCTTGGCCCCCGAATCGTAAGCATCGTACTCCATGCCTAATCCAACTGACAATAGGTACCTAAAGAACCTCATACCTAAGGTATATGCTAATGATGATGGCATCTTTCAATACTCAAATAGAATCTGTCTTCGAACCTATCTTCTACGAGTACGCAAGCCACGGGACATCTTGTCATCCACGAACCACACTATCATCTCACACTCCTTTGTCTCATGCCCTCTTTCGGCTTTCAGTATTTGTGTGGCTCGTCTACTCCAACCCCCTTTAGGAAACCGTTCCTTTCTCTTGGTTTAAAAGACAAAAATACTCGCCAAGTTGCGAACGTAAGCACATGTGGATGGATTGCTCCGGTCTTGCATCGCCGGGGTTTTTGATTTGCCCGGGTAAGCAAGGCACAAAGAGGTTATTGAGTGGAGGGTATTCGTAAAGTAAAGGGGGATGTTTGGGGGGCTGAGTCTAGCTTCTTGGTACTGTAAGTTGTCGTCGTCGTCGTCGTCGTCGTCGTCGTCCTTTTCGAATTATTCATACAGTACCTCAGGCAAGCCAAACTAATGGTCTGGAAACTTCCCCGGATCAGAGACAAGATCCACCGCCCAGCCGGTGTTTCGCCTGTCTTCCCCAATCCACGCAGTAAGCGAAAGCGATATCGATATGGGCGATAACGGATAACAAAGGGCGGCTTTATCGATAAGCACAAGCGATAGCCAGAACTTGAATCAATACTCGTAGCACTCATTCATACCCCTACGTTTGTAAGTCGTACCTGTATTGTATGAATTGGAACCCTGACTGTACAGTTCTCCCTTTTTTTTCTAGTATCCCGTAATTGGATGAATAAAAATATAAGAATAGCAATAGTAACAGCATCAGTATTGTGATTCGAGACGAACCAAGCAGATTTCGCGAGTGACAGTAGTCTCACCAAAAGATCTTTCTCCTGCAGCATGCATTGTGGTTTCGGAACAGCAGCGATCAAAAAGAAGTGTCATTATTTCATTGGTCTCCCATGTGCCGCCTATGCATGGTTGACAGGCCGGGCGCCAAAACCAGGAGGTGTGAGCTGAGTGAGTGAGGAGTTGTCAAGGAAGCGCCCTCCCCCCCCCTATCAGTCATTACTCGTACCCAAAAGCCCCTCGGACTGACCGCGCGGGAAAAGTATCATTCAGGTTGGTGGATGACTTTCACTCCATAAACATGGGGGTGTTCTCTAGACCAGATGAAGGAGTTTTCCATCCAATGATTTGTATTTCCAATTCCATCATTCATTGAACCATTCACCCGGGCTGGGTGGTTTTTGTTAGTACTCGTAATCGTGATCGAAGAAGGTCTTGTGTACTGGCGGTTAAAAGCCACAATTTTTCCTTATTTCCAAATTTTTTCCAAGCGAACCCGCAAAATGCGAGTCAAACGTTTTTTGGTCGCCGGATATGGTGATTTGTAAAGGCCACTCTGGGGCCCGGCAAGTCACTTGCGAGGGTGAAGTAGTAGGGAAAAAAGTCCATAGTGTACATTGTGTACGTGATGGTTGTGGCTGAAACAGGTTAAACACTTCAAGCACAAGGGACTCGGATACCACGTGGAGCCGAAACACACGGACAATAAAGAAGACGGAAGATTCCAGGTGCTTGTATTGTACGAGTACAAAGTGCCAGTAATCACTCACCAACTAGGTGCTTACTTCGTATTGTATGTATGGGCGGTTAGACTAATGGACGGGAAGGATGACAAGTATTTTTTTTCTGTTGTTGGGTCTCTCTCTTTTCGGCAAAACTGGATGATGATCTCGATGGTTTATACAGTACGGACTTAGTCGTGATGGAGACAATTTTGGAGGCGCCGTAAGATTCTTAATCGTGACGGGTTGCTTGGTACACCAGTGCCGAAAACCCAACATGATTCGTCAACCGTTTATACGAGCAAAAGGATCCTCCATCCCTCGTTCGAAGCGAGCCGCGTGTTTTTTTTCGCGAAAGGATGCCGTGCCGGGAGGTAAAGTGACTCGTGGTGTGCGAGTGAAATAATAATGCCGTGATTCCTCTTTTGGAGGGGGTTTTTGTGTGGGTGATGCGTGGCTTGTTGAATGGGAACCCGGGGGGGGGGGGGGGGGGGGAGAGAGAGGGAGTCGTCAGCCCACCAAGTCAGCACAAAGCACAAAATCTGGTTGAATAGTGAGGCTCTTACATAGAAATCATGAGGTCAAATGAATCGATCTGGTGACCCCCTCAAAAGTTCTTACTCTCTCGCGTCAAGTCTTTTTGATCATCATTACGTGTGGTTTGATCTTTTCGACGAGGATAAATGAGGGGATTTTGATTCTTCTACTCTTCGGGGGTGGTCACACGAGCGGTCTCTGCTCGCAAAGTACGGAGTCAAAAACAAAAGAGACGGAAGATTCCATTTCCATCCATTCCATCCCGTTTCCCAATGGAATGGGAATGGTGGGATGGTGGTGCTGGTGCTGGTGGTTGCATCGGGCGGCCTGACACCGGCCACTTCCTTGTGGGCAAACAATGGCTAAGGAAAAATTTCCAACGAATCGAATCATGAAACATAACGAACCCGGAGAATATCTTCGCCAATACTGAGGCCTTGGGCCAAGCTCGTATATACTGTACGTGTAGAGACTCCATATCGTTTAGAAAGCCGGAAAGAGGGGTTGTTGAGTCTGAAAGGACTTTTACAGGATTCTTCTTTCGTCTTTGCCCTACTAATGACGGGCCGTTGTATTGTACGAGTACTCCCTAAGCGAGCATCGTGTATTTCTCCTCCTCTTTCTTCTCAGTGGTTGGTTGGTTTTCAAGAGGAGTGAATTGGAAGGATTTCACACCGGCGCGAAAATGCATCAAAACCACTTGAACACGCCCCCACGATTCGCCTGGGAAGCGAAAAGGATGAGTTAGACTCTTGTACTCCGTAGGTCAAAAGGAGTTCTCGCGATCCTTATGTTTATTCTATACCGCACGGAGCATTTTTTGTATCAAACTATCATCACTAGAGGACTATTTTTCTCATCTTTGACCACTCGGCGATTCAAATTTCACTATTGAAGGATTGGGGGCCTTACCACAGCGTCTGTACAGAATTGACGCCTTCCTTTCCTGGTTACGTGCCTCGCCCTTTTGGTGGGTCTTGGGATCTCGAACAGTCCCCTTGTTCAAGTATCAACATAAGATCTTTTACACACACGCACAGACAACACGGAGAGAATAACTGAGACACGCATGATCACCATGCACTTTTCTCAACATTTCTGGCCCTCTAAAAACTGGTCAGATAATTCATCTCTGTCAAGCCTGACCTACCAGATCTTTAGGTAGGGTAAATAGGGTGGCACGAGACACACCCCACCATCAAAGGAAGAACCGGCGCTGTAGCAAATAGTACTACACAGGCAGTAAACACACAGACTAGTGGAGAATTCTCCCTCTCTATATCTGCAATCTTTTGGATGCCTTGGGGAATTGCCTCTTTCCGATATCAGATCAGATCATAGCCACGAGCACCTTTCAAGGTACTCGCAACTAAGCACGAGGCGCGTGCTTTTTTTGGGTCTTTTTGTTTTCATCTCACCACCATTTGCTCTCTTCTTGGACCTTGGAGTAGTTTCAAATGGGCTGAGATGAGCGTCAAAGAGAGAAAAAGAAAGGTCCGGTGCACACACACACGCGCGCCACACAAAACCCTGTAAGCACTTGAGGATACTGGCCGTGAGATGTTATCAAAAGAAAAGCCACAAAACACGGATTTGGAAACAATGACAACCAAAGACAAAGCATATCGAATGCACGCGCGAGTATCTACTCCGTTTTCAGACATTGACATATCACGTTGGAAAGGAAACGGGGCTTTCTTGCTTGTCCTTGTACAATTCCATTTTTCTGACCTCGAGCTACCTAAAGCTAGTGGTTTCGTTTCTGGTCTCAAGGACCCTGCGTCTACCAGAGAACACAGGTGTTCCATTGCTCTTGGGGTCCCTTTTTTTCTGGTTTCTCAAAATAATATCCATAACATACAGTAGGGTATCGTCATACACATGATAGGTGGTAGTAGTAGTAGTACCCGAATGGTAGTACTCTCAACACTTTGGAACTCGTAAAAGTCCACTTCAATAGAGAAAATGCATTCCCATAGAAAAAAAAAGACACAAAACTAAAGATCCATCTCAGCACTTGAGGGATCGACATCGAAAGATAAGATTTTCTTTCAAGCTGGACCAATGTGTTCCCTCGTAAACGCCCCGTCAAGTTCATTTCATTTGATCCCGGATGATTACAATCCCAAATAGTCATCATAATCGAACCGGTCGTGCCCAAGGCCGATAAACGTAAAAAGACCCAAAATGTGTAGTACATGATGGTTTTTAGACAAAAGAAAAGCGGGGGCCTTTCTCGAATGACCGTACGTCTTCCCAGACACCATTGAGGGTCTCCACCAATGGTTCGGGAAGGGGGCCCTGTTCGAGAATGTCCATGTTCTCCTTGAGTTGGGAGAGCTTGGAGGCACCCACGATGACTGCGTCGCCGTATTCGGCACCAAGTTGCGAGTGCCACGTGGTCCACCGCAGGGCGGCGGCGTGGCCTGAGATGCCGTACTTCTGGGCTTGTTGTCGGACAATCTCGGCTGCAGCAAACAGAGGGTCGTGGAAGTAGTCGCCGGCGTATTTGGCACCCAGAGGTGAGGCAATGTTCCATCGGCTGCTCTTGTCCTTGGTGGAAGCCCGAGAGACCTTGTTGGAGAAGAAGCCACACGCCGACGGGCTGTAGGCGTAGAAGGCGATGTTGTGCTCGCGAAGGACGGCAAACAGGCGTTCCTCACCCCCTCGGCAGATGGGGTTGTACTGGCCTTGGTAGACAGAGGGCTTCACCCAACCGTTCTCTTCACACACGCGAACGATCTCTTCGACCTCCTCCACGGAGTAGTTGGAGAGGCCGAAACGTTCGAACTTGCCCTCGAGGTAAGCCTTGTTCATGGCCTCACAGGTCTCCCTGAAGGGAGTGGCTCGGTCAGGAGCATGGAGGTACATGACGTCCACCTGGTCGGTGTTGAGGGCGTCTAATGATCGGTCGATGCTGAGGCCGATGTTCTTGGTTCGGTGAGAGCCAGGCATGAAACTGGACACCTTGGTTGAGACATTGGCCCATTTGGCCAGTCGTAGTTCTTCTTCTCCCAACAGTTTCTCGCATGTGCCTCCACGACCGACGGGGTACGCTCTGGCAGTGTCGATGTCGTTGTAACCCCTCGATCGGAATAGGTTGATGAACTTGGAGGCGTCTTCGACGGTGGTGATCTTGGCCAGAGGGGACAGGTGTGAACCCACCGAGGCCGTTCCGAGCACTATCCGCAAGGGTGGTTTGCATGGCTCGGTCTGTACTAAAGGAGATGTGATTCTTTCTGCATTGTCAAACGTGCTGGCCCGCGACCGGGTGGGTGTGACTGTGAGGTCTGTGGCATCGGTGTCGTCCGACTGCTGTGATGAGAAGGAGTGTGCAGAGCGGGAGGATGTGGCAGAGCTGAGTTCGTGGGAAAGTCGTATTTGCTGTGCTCGGTGCATGTCGAGGTTGTGTATATTTAACGAGGGCAGATGTTCCAACTTCATTCTGAGAGCGGCGGCCATGGAGCCCATATGTCGATCTTGAGACATTGTTGGAGACTGAGGATAGTCAAAGTCGGCCATTATGATGTGGAGAGGAGGTGAAGGCCCGAGGTCCTCTCTGGGTGATATAGCTTGCGATTCTTCGGAAAGAGGTAGGGTTAATTGCTCAGTCGAATACAGTCAGCGTCGTATAGTTGGAGGGTGGGCTGGAATTGGCGGTGGTGGAGGTTATCTTTGTACTAGCAGTCTCACACAAAGAACTTTGACCGTGTCTTTGTCTTTGTGAAGTAAGAGACCTGAAAACAGAGGCTCTGGCTAGTTGTTGTTGTTGTGTTGTGTGTTGTATACTTTTTGTTAACGAGAGAAATACTGGTAGGGGAGGGTGGAGGGCGGTGGATGGAGTATATCTATGCTGCACCTGAAACGGGGAGGGTTTGCCGATCCAGACGACAACCCATTTGGGGATGATGGACAGGATCGAGCGTCGGCACAAAGTGTTTGCGCGGCCAGAGGCCATGGCATTGACAATGTGGCGAGCACTGGGCCCTGGTCTTCCAGTCGAGAAAGCCGCCGTACTCCATCAAGCGCATTCCTTTCACCTGACGCCCCCCGGCTCACCCAGGGCTCGCCTTTTGGTGACACGGCATCCACAGTCGCCGTGGTTCCACCCTGTCTACATACGCTCCTGATCCTGGTCAGCTGTTAGGACCAACCCTGGCCCCCTGCTCACCACCCACCACAAACTTTGCATACCTGCAGGCCCCCGGTCCCCCCTTGTCGATGCAGTCGATGCGCGCCGACGCCCACGCCGTGAGGTGCAGCATCCAGCTAGAACCTTCGCAGTCTAGTCAGCCTCTTGACTCAAAGCGCCAGATATGCATTCCTTCTGCCATCGCGTATGCCGAGTCACGGCTCGTCCAGCGACCACGCTTTGTGTTATGCATCTCAGCCTGCCTCAGCCGCCGTGTCCTGTTCGTTCATGCCGCTCCGGTCAGCGACGCCTCAAGCGAGTTGTTGGATTGCAACGGTCCGAACCCGTCGATATGGCTGAGCTGGTTACGAATTGTGTCTACGGAGTACAGGCATCACCTATGGCTAGCTTACTAGTTCTCAAAATCAACCGAGTCTGGCAGGCCAACCACACGATGCTGTCAAGTCCTTCTAGCACAGTAGGCAACGCCGAGGTGGAGGCTACGCCCTTGGCCCAGGGCTTGTCCTCGTGGCCCTTCGCCGGCCCTTGACGCACCTCAGGGACTGCCCGGCCGCCGTGCAAGTAGGAGAAACGATCGGCACTCACTACCGCAATGACCCGATGGATGCGTTCCTGAGGGCGTACAGCACAATAATACTCGTAGCATCATGTTCGCCGTGGACGCCTTTTAGCCAACATTCACCCGGTGCTAGGTACCTCTGGCTTCGCGAGCATACATACGTTAGTTGGTAGTACTGACAACGTATTCGATGAGGGCACCGCCACACGCCCTTAGGAATCACGGGGGCTCGCTTGCACTCTGGAAGGCGTTCGCTGGTCACGTCAACAAGATTAGCGGGACAGCCACGATTCCCACGACCACTGTGATCCGAGGACAAAGTCGGCGCCGACCATTGCGATAGTCAGCAACATTTAACGAGACGGCACATTTTTCGCTGCCTGCCACAGAGTTTTCCTCCCTACAGTAGAGTTGATTCAGATGTACTCCGTACACCAATTGGTGCGACCAGAACGCCCAAACATCAATAGTCTTGCAGTAGGTACGGATGGACACATCCCCATTGACCATGGGTGATGCTCCAGTTCAGCTCCGCACCCAAGTCAAGGAAGGATATGTCTGTTGAGAGGTCGATCAATTGAAGGTAAAAAGAAACCAGCTGTGCGCTGTCTCCTCCCTGGGTGATGATCACTTGTCGAAGACAGAAGCCTGTTCACTCCCAGTCCCCATCCCTCAAGTACCTCGTACGGACAACTGCTTCCCCTACGCAATAACATGGAAACGAACAATCAAGGCACTGGCACGAGCTTTGCCAATAGAGCGGCGCTTGAAGGCGGCCTGCGTGTCTCATCTTGTATGCCTCCTTCCTCAAACTTGGCTTTTTTTCACACTGCGAGTGTGTTTATTGGTTGCTTGGAAGTCGGCCGGTGCCAAGCTTGTTATCTAGTGGACGATTGATCGGTGGACGGAGAGTCGGCGCGCCGATGCCGATCTGTTACCTGTTCCTGGCCAATGAAAAAAATGGCGTCATGTGGGAAAGTCACGCACGAACCTGCCACTACGCATTCATTTGGTAGTTGTACTCAGTACTCACAGTATCCGTACTCGTCGTTGGGACACAGAATACTGACAACACCTGTTTGATTGTGGCTGCTTCACTCATGATTGCTTGGTCTACCCAGCCATGATGGTCGCGTCTTTGTGTACGCAATCCCCACGGCTGAACAGGCAATTTGGCCAACTCTTCTTGACACGTACTATACAGGACTCGTCAAGTGTGGCGCATTGTGGTCACTGGACTTGGCTCTTTCTATTATCGATTGCGACGAGAGCAACTACATACAGTCAACTCTTGGATTCGCTTAACTTCCAAAGGACGTCATAGGTGAAAAGGTTTTGTCCCCGAGGTACAATACCAATGTAGTGGCTCTTGCAAAAAACATGAGGCGCATCGGCACTTGGAAGCTTGTACTGGACGGAGTACCTGCGGAGTACCTACAAGACCCAGCTGACTACCCCTCCAAAGTACAGTCTATCGGAGGACTACAACGCTCAAATGCAAGGCGATGACGTCTAAAGAACTGGTCAACTGAGACCAGCTTGGTTTTTACCTCTCGTCTCCAGCGTCCTTCCCTTCTGGCAAAAGAATCTCCAGGGACGACACTAGTCGACAAACAATCCAGATTGGCGTCGTCGGTCAACGGCGAGTGTCGCACCGACTGAGGCTCTTAGCGTCACCGGTGGTTGGTTGTGGCGCCAGAAATTCTGGGGAAGCCTGGTCCGTTCATCCCTTTGGTTCAAAGGGAAATTTCGGCTGCATGGAGAAAAATCGTCCCAGGGCAGGGTTTATCAGACAAACAAATGGAAAGTTTCAGATGTTTTGCTCTTGTTGATGGTGGGAATTGCGATTTGCGTGCGCGTCTCAGACAACATATCAACACTACTCGTTTGGTCGCAAAGTGATCATTACTCCAATTACTCGTGCACAAAGTTCCGTACTCCGTGGTATAGACCAGACAGCATGATTGTTTGTTTCGCCGGCTGGACCCCATTGACAACGGCACCGACATTTCAACTTCACCGACACTCACTACCTGCCACTCCAATTTGAGTCTCGTTACACCATTTTCCGGGCCACGGCGTGCTCAGGCAGAATCTGTGACAAGGCTCGATGCAGAATTTGGACTCACCACTCGGCCTCGGAACTTCTGAGTCGAGAAGAGGCTGACGGTGGGACGCATGTGCTGTAGGTATGTCGTCTTGCCTCGGTGAAATCCATGTGCAAATTTGATACTCCGTATCATGATCATCATCCCTCGGTAGGGTCGACTTCGGATGTCTTTTACTCTTCAAGCAGCTAAACAACTCCGGTAACATTATTGGGGCCAATTCCCCTGCCAAAAAGCAGAAATGGTACGAGGCAATATGGAAGTAACATCCCCAACGGCGTCGAGCGGAGTTTATTTCCTAACCGTGGTCCTGTATAACGAGTACTACATAATGCCGTCGCTCAACTACCTATTCTCAACTAGTTGGGCACTTTCTAAAATGTCCCAGAGTCACAGTTTACCCTTGGCATAGAGGGGGGTTAACCAAAAAACAAGGATTATCACAAAACATGACGAATGTGCATTTGCATGTACCGAGTAATAATGCAAGCAAGCGAGAAGGTAGGCATGGGTTGATTAGGTACGAACTCATGGAGTACATTCCAACGTTTGGCGAGTTGGGTTTGATCCTTGAGGTATTAGTATACGGAGTACGAAAGGACTACGAGTACGGAGTATGTACATGGGAGACTCGATCCTGTGGAAATTTCAGTGCCATCCTCTTTTCGAAGAGTACGGACTACTCATCCTCGCAAAAAGGCCGGTCGCAACATACCAAGTACTCCGTACATGCTGGCACGTTTGACGAGGTTTTAAAATTGCAGTACTCTGTACAAAGAACCCCCCCTCCCCCTCCTTGTCATGGCTCGTTTTATACGGAGTACAGGACTACGGAGTACATACCTTTGAATTTCTTGTACAACCCAATTGCATAACCAGGGTATTTCCCGATCATCATTTCTGATCTTCAAATTTTAATGACCTGTCATGGAAAGTGTACGTATATACGAAGTACGAGTAAATGGTAAGGTTGGTTTCTGCGAGACGAAGGATTCATACATGCATGATACATGCATCCTCCGTACGGAGCCAAAATACCTAGTTTCGTGACTTTCGTTACATTTGGGCATCCGAAGCCGGCTCGTGGTCGTAGTGGTGGTGGTGGTGGTGCTACTACTACGGAGTATTAGATAGAACGACCCATCGGCGGCGCTTCCTCCACCAACACCCTCTCTACCCGTCAAAAGTATCGTGATTGGATACAAAGGTAACGGCGATCGTGATGATCTGGAAGAAGGGAGAAGAAAGGAAATACTCCCGTGGAAGACCGGGATGAATATGAATGGGCAACAAAGAACCACAACGAGGGGGGGTGGGCAAAAGATCTGCGAATTCTGAAACGATGAACTTCCGGGTAATTTGGTCAAAAAAAGAGGAGAAAAGGAAAAAGAAGAGAGGGAAAAAAAACCCTCCCCACCGATGCACAATTTACCTTACATACTCCGTACTATGTACATAATACTTTTCAGCGTAGCAAGGATTGCAAGTCTTTGTTTGCAACCATTTCTCCTTGGTTGAGTTGTATGTACCCGGAGTGTACGGATACAAGTAGAGTAATTCCTCCGTATAGTGCCCTCCCTCCCTCCCCCCTCCCCCCCTCCTCCTTACTCGTACTTGTACCCTCGGTTTGGCTTCTCTTGATCCTCTGGATACTCTACTGGCATTCAAACTCCTCCTCTCCATTAGCCCCCGCGACCACTTGACTACTCCGGATCGTGCTCCCTAGACAAATAACATGTTGAATGGTTGGTTGACTACAAGAAAACAAACCGAGGTAAGTGTGTTTAAGGGGGGGCAAGCGAGGCGCTTATCGATAATCGATACGGAGTATTAATCGATATCGATTTGGTTTCATATTCGAGTACAGTACAGGCAGTATCAATGGGGGCTACGAAACTTGGAAAAGCATATCATTACCTCATCCTTTTTTTTTCTTTTTGTTATTATATAAATGAAAAAACAAAAGAAAAAACTCTTTGTATGTCCTCCGTATGACTCGGTTCTCGGTACCAATGTTGTTGTAACGGTCGCCGCTCAAGCGTCATTTTATTAGGAGCGACTACGGGGTTCTTTTGCTTTCAAAGACCAATGCAGAAGTCTGCAAAAACTACTGTACAATCCATCCTTCCCTTCTGCACGTCGCATGTTGCATACAACCAATCCGTACGGGAATCGATTTTGCTGCGATATGACGTGGTTTTTCGTTTACCTTGCGGAGGAGGTCCAGGTAAGGTAGGTAGGTCAATGGGCTGGAGTAACTTTTTAATAAAAAAGAAATCCTTCTCAACACAAGACGTGTCGAGACGAAATGAATGGGAGGTGAGGGTTTAACCACTTATCTGTACAGAGCATCCATACTCCCCATACTAATCATGTCTACGACTTACCTACTTACTTGCGATGCCGGAGTACGGTGTGTAGGTATTCTTGATCTTTATTCCACTCACTCAAAATCATACCTCTCTGATGCGAAGTACAAGGTTGATCTCGTGATAGGATACAATGACACATGGTCTTGCTTGTACGTGTCTTGTCCTTACTTCCAACTTCGGATCCGTTCAATCACACTACCTATCACGACTATATCTCAGGTTATCTTAAAGTAAGAGTACTAGTACTAATACTCTGAACGTCTTTTGTCCTTCACCGCCATCACCACATCGCTCCCGTTACGCTTCAGTCGCGCCGGGCGGTACGAATTAATGATAATCTTAAGGTGTGTACAAGAGGCAGTTACAATACGCCGTGGATATCAAGTCCGAACTGGTGCGCATAGTTTCTGCACGTTGTTCAACGACTTCATTGACAGAACTCCATACTCCTCCATACGAGTATGTGTGATCCGTGCACGAACCGAACAACCATAGCAAATATATACCTGTGTCTGTATGAACAAGCCGATACCATCTACCGTAAAAGGTCCAATGAATCTTGAATCTTCTTCGTCACGATTTGCCCCTTTTTACGGTCCGACTCTCACCACCTGCGGACTCGAAGTCGGATGTTCTTGCGAGTGATCAGACCTCGGTGTCCCCTGTTGCACCGTCAACGGTATACTCTTCGTAGACATCCTTGGGCTCTTATCGGATACCCTCGGTTACTTACACGCAGTGTGATTCGAGAAATGTCAATATCGGTAGCCACCATGATTAGAATAGTCCGCAAGACTGGTCCCCTGAATGCGCAGCCTGATACTGGTCATTATATCGGAACATCAACAATGTAAAGATCTTCAATCGATGTTGGCGAATCATTCCATGGCAGACGGATTGAATGAAGACTAGAACGCTGATGGCCAACGTCGCTTTTAAAACGCAGCCAAGTCTTTTTTGCCGCCGCACACGCCTTCCACTTTCACATCGGCGACGTTCCTTTTGAAACGAACTCCAAACCCGCAAACGAGCTTGACACACAAGCCAGCCCGGTTGTCCAAGCAGTCGTCGTCCCGCGTTCCAAGTCCTGGCAGGTCAGCAAGCACATCTAGACGGACGACGTTACAGGGATCGATGCACCGGTATGGGCCATGAAGCCCGCCTCTTTTTATTCTGCGTCGGTGTGGCTGGAAAACAAGCCTCCGAGTCAGTACTGCATGTTGCCGTTTGTAACGAAGTATGCGCCGACAGGTTGGCAACTGGGCCATGACCTCTCGTTTTGCGTTCTCTTCGATGCAAGGACTTCGTCCCCAAGCCAGGAAGGATATCAGTCTCGCCGAACACAGACACACAACCGAGCACACGAATCGAGGTATGACCAGTGAGGTTGGTCGCAGTGCCACTGACCGTCAAATTTGAAGGCGTGTCACGTTGGGCGGCATTGCGCAGGGATTCTGCCGTGTAATGACTGCTCACTGCATACCTCCAACTGGGCCCTTTGATTCTGCATCATGCACGACGAACGTTGGAGATTGGACATAGGGTGTTGATTGATCTTGGCTTACAAGGCCGCAACAAGTGTTCCAGGAAAGACCCCGTTCCCATTCAGGCTGGACGAGTCTCGCCTGCCTAAGGCCGCCTAGGGTGTGACAAAGTCGGGCTCAAACGCCATTGTCGCCACATCAGTCCTTTCCAAGGGTCTTTTTCGTGGTATCGTTTGCATCCACCCAGCAAGGATACACAATGCTGGGGTCAAGGGAATGTTAAGCAGACATCTCTGGACAAGGATACAAGTGAATGGCCAGGGGAATGATAGTACAGGTCCCGTTGTTCAATGAGCCGCCCATGTAATTGCCCCACTTACTCTGGAGGAATAACTGACCTTGGTCTCTCGGTTGAAACTATTCAGATGCATCCGCGCTGATCCAACTTCGACCTGAATATCACTTGCCAAGTTAGACAACAGGCCGAGAGCAATGGCTGATAGATTGAATGCGAAGCAAGAAGCTAAGGTGATTCTGCGAACAAAGTCGAATGAAAGCGTTCGCCATGTGAGACATGCATACTCGCTTATCTGCTGGTTATCGAACGGATGCCGGTGATTGTCAGGAGAACTTGCCTAATGTCAACGATCGCTTGATGCGATAGGCGAGAGTCGAGACCAATCGGTGAACGCTATAAATACGTGAACACTGCAGAACGCGATAACGCCGGTTGGGCTGGCTGATGCCAAAGACGGGAAGTGAAACTTTGAAAATTGTAGACGGCCGGAGTTGTGGAACCAGCTGAAACATGCTTCCTGGCCTGCGTCCGGAACGAACAAGCATTCTCTATAGAGTGTCCTGGTCAAAAAGATCTGCAGCTTTGCGATGGAGACCGTGCTAGATCTTTTTTGTGGCTGACTGTCATCCCGTATCGGTTTCTATAGTGGTCGCAAAGCTGATACTTACGGAAATGTTGTTGTAGATACTATGACGCCTGCGAATGTCGATTCCCGAGCGAAGAATCAGTGTCATCCAGCTGTGAAGAGCATCCTTGTAGCAGGTCACTTCGTTTGCTGCCGTAGGTCAGGAGTGCAGAAAAAGTGATCAATTGAATGCCGTACAGATTGGTAATTGACTGTCAAGAGAATCGACCTAATGTGCATCTCGGGAATAGTACACAAAACGACACCCAACAAGGTAATGGCCAGCCTCTACCAAGTAAGTCTATGTCAAAAACAATTGAGTGAAACCCAATGTGTCAACAAAAGAAAAGGTGCAACATAACCAAAGAAATTTCAAACAATGAATCTGGAACCACAAGTGCTCAATGAGTCCCCTGGTCCACGCCTGAGATTCCCTCACATGGTCTCTTCTTCGATAGTGATATCAGGGGAAGGGACCATGTAGACATGCTCTGAATCGCTATCGGGGATGGTCATATCGGCTCCATCGTTGATTTCGGCGTAAGTCGGACGTGACGGAAGTTCCTCCACCGGTGTGACATATTGGTGTTGCCAGTCGGTACTATGAAGTTCATCGACGACGTAGACCTCCCTCAACAATTGTAAAGGCAGGCATTCCCAGCTTGTTTCAGCTCCGTATGGAATTGGTGGGGTCTCCTCGCCTGTTGAACATTGAGTCAGTACCACATCTGGAATTAGTCTGAAGTGCCAAACTGACCGGTTGCATGTGATGATTGCAAGAGACCGTGACATTGATTCCAGACAGCTTCCCTGATGTTCATAGTTTCCGACTCCGTCGTGGCTTCACTCCGTAGATCTTCTTCCCAATCTCCATTCAATCTCACAGCAATCTTGGGCAGGCAGAGGTATGGCCAGAACATACGGTTGCCAAGCAAGTTTCTCTGAATTGATCCTGGGTTGATCCAATGAAAGGCACCGAGGAGTGCAGCAACTTGATCAAGGCGCCAGACGGGTATAGCTTTGTATCTGTAAAAAGAGAACGTCAGGACAGTCATATCTGAAGGGTAGTCACCTAAAAGTCGGACGGTAGTTGAGGATCATAATCAACGTACACTGGCAGACCATCAACAGTCCTCTCTCCTTGTCTGGCTCGTAGCTAGCAATTGCCAAACTTGAGCTTGACAGCAAGACGTCCAGCGTCGACAAAGGCTCCAAGGATGTATTCCAGAGCTTCTCCAATGTTCACACCACGCCTCACTAAGGGGATCATGTACATATGACGATTTTCCCAGTCCATCATGTGAGGCCTGTTAGGGTTATGCGAGTCAAAGGACGGGTCAATCTGGACAATAACTCTGTCACGTTGAAGCCAGTCGAAATGGTTCAGGTGATGAACAGTCAGTTCAGGATCATTGATGCGTATAACGAAAACGTGGCCTTCCTCGGTGATTTCAGCTGAGGGATTTGCTGGTGGAGGGGCCGGTCGAGGCTCTGTAACAGGAATTGGTGAAATGCCATATGATTCAACCGGATCAGAGGTAGAAGGAAGGGCAGGAATCGCTGACGAGGAGCCAGATGCAGATGCAGACGCAGATGTCTCGCCGGTAGTCAAGGTTGGAGTGGTAGAGTTTGCCATGGTATCGGTGCTAAGTAAGTAGATCGTAGGAAACAGATGCAAGAGCAAAATGCTATCACCAGATACAATGCAGGGCGAAGATGTTGGTAGGAAAGGATGAAAGACAGGGGAGAGAATATGAATCAAATGGTATCCTACCTCTTAATGAATGCGATGTGCCTGCCATCATGGAGATTTGTGGGAAAAAGTGATTGCAGAGGAAGGTACGAATCTTTAGAGAGTCTTGAATGAATTACTTGTGTCAGGTACCGTACAGTAGTGCAACTATATACGGAGGAGTAAATAGCCACAAGATGACAAAAGCTATCGGAAAACATTCCTAACTCGCCGCAAGGCTTCCCCGCCATGCATTAACATCCTAGAGACGTGTTCCCCCCTCAGGCACCCTCGATGAGTGATTGGCCGGAATGCCGGCGAACACCGCAAGTTTTGAGTGGGCTTCAAAGGAACATTCAAGAAGAAGTTTTGTGTGCAAGGCTCAAACTACAGTGAAAGAGCTGCGGTGTCTACTTCTCTGACTCTCAATTCCTACTACTGCCCACTACATATAATATATACTCAATTCGCTTCACAGCATACGCTGTCCACTACCGATCTATCAGGCTGCTTACTCGATCTCACCATGGCAGACTCAAAGAGTGGTACGCCTCGTCCCAAAAATCAGTGTCGCATGAGTGCAGCCTAATCCTGATATTAGGGAGACCTCGTGTCTATTTCGACATCACAATTGGAGGCAGACCAGAAGGTCGTGTTGTCTTTGAGCTGGTAAGTTGTAAATCTGGTTTCTTGCGGAGAATCCACCAGTCTGACATGCGACACAGTTCAACGATGGTAACCACTCATACCTCCGATACTGCCTTCGCGTCCATTAACCATGACTCTAGTGGTGCCCAAGACAGCCGAGAACTTTCGCGCACTGTGTACTGGTGAAAAGGGAACAGGAAAATCTGGCAAACTTCTGAGTTACAAAGGTGGGCGATTTAGCGTGTGCTGGGTGGTGAAATACTGAGACGAGGACAGGCTCAATCTTCCATCGCGTCATCAAGTCTTTCATGATCCAAGGCGGTGATTTCACCGCCTCTAATGGTACTGGTGGAGAGTCAATCTATGGCGAAAAGTTCCCGGATGAGAACTTTGAGCTGAAGCATGACCGCCCATTCCTCTTGTCTATGGCAAACTCGGGACCAGGTAAAGACGGCAAACACGAATTTTATGGTATGGAATACTGACCAGCATACACAGGCACAAATGGCTCCCAGTTCTTCGTTACTACCGTCCCCACCCCACATCTAGACGGCAAGCATGTGGTCTACGGAGAAGTTATCAACGGCAAAAACATCGTCCGCAAGATTGAAAACCTTCCAACCCAATCCGACAAACCTGTGAGCGACGTGGTGGTGGCCGATTGTGGACAACTTGAGGGAAGCGAGTACAGTGCAGCCACCCAGAAAGCGCCTGATGCGACAGGAGATCCTTATGAAGACTTTCCTGACGACCAGGGCGAGCTGAAGGGTGAAGAATACTACAATATTGCCCTTGACCTCAAGGAGTATGGCAACAAAGCATTCAAGGGCGGGGACATTGAGACGGGCATCGACAAGTACCAGAAGGGCCTGAGATATCTCAACGAGTATCCTGCGGCAAACGAGAACGATCCCAAAGATCTCCAGGCCAATATGGACTCCCTTCGATTCACCCTTCACAGTAATTCAGCACTCCTGGCCAACAAAGCTAAGCACTACGACGAGGCACAGAAGTGGGCTGGGTTTGCAATTGATGCCATTCCCAAGGATGCCAAAGATACAGACAAGGCGAAGGCCTATTTCAGGAGAGCCCAGGCGCGAGTTGCGCTGAAAGATGCGGACGAGGCTCTAAAGGACTTTGAGCAAGCCGCTAAGCTCGCACCAGAAGATGCTGCCATCAAGAATGAGCTGACCAAGACCAAGAAGAGCTTGCAAGAAAGTATCAAAAAGGAGAAGGATGCATACAAGAAGTTCTTCAGCTGAGATGGGCTAGCTATCAAGGGCTTCTGACACGGGCCTTAGAAATGCACCTGCTTTCTGGCTCCTTAAAAAGATTCATTCGTGGAGGTCCCAACTTTGCATACAAAATTGGCTCAGGCTCGGCAAATACTGGACGATACCCATGCTGCATCAATGACTGTTATGTCTGGAAAAATGGGGATTAAATGACCATAGCGAAAGAAAATGAAAGAAAGTGATTAAAATTTTAATTAAATGGCCTTCTCTGTACATTGCTTGTAGGCGCTTTTAGGGTTTGGCAGCGCCCAACGCACAATCACGGGCGCCCATGAAGTGAGTGGACCAGGCGGTCCCACTTTGTCTATCGAGGTCACCGTCGTCATATTTACGGGCGGCTAACGCGCGACAGATCGTGGCGTTTATTTGATCGCCTTTACAAAACTATCAGACTTGCACCCACATGTGCCTTGTCGTATGTGCAGCGTCATAGTTGAGGGCCTGCAACTTTGACAAAATGCGCCTCGTCAAGCGTCACATTGATGACAATGGCAGTGGTAGTGTCACATTATGTCCGGAGGAACCAGAAGACATGGTACGGCAGCCCTTTTTCTTCCACAGGTCTTCGGAAAGTGTGTACTTACTGACTTTCCACCCAGTGGCATGCGTACAATCTCATCCGACCGACAGATCTACTCACGGCCTCGGCCATACGTCGAGTCACCTCAGAGTCCGCCTCAACTGGCTCAACATCGTCCCAACGCGTGCACACGAATCTTACCATCAGAGTCAAGTCACTGGACTTTGATCCGCAGGCCGGACAACTCCACGTGCTGGGGCAGATAGCCCGGGAAAATCGATTCACAAAGATCGGTCAATTCCACACCCTCGATCTCGAACTGAACCGGAATTTCACCCTCGAGAAAGAAGTTGAAGGACCACACGGCGGCGAAGGATGGGACAGCGTCGCACGAGCACAGCTGGAAGAGGCCATAGATCCGTCAAAAGGCACCGAGGCGGTGGCGGTCGTCATGCAGGAAGGGCTCGCGAACATATGTTTCATCACACAATACCAGACAGTGCTCCGACAGAGGGTGGAAGTCTCGGTGCCCAGGAAGCGAACAGGAGCCGGGAGGTCGGCAGATCATGACAAGGGTCTAGAAAAGTTCTTCGGCACAGTGTTGGATACGTTGATGAGACAACTCGAGGGGTTGATCCAGAACAACGACAGCACCACGCATTTTCCCGTTTTATTGGCCAGTCCCGGGTTCACGGCTTCTGGCTTCTTAGAATATATCAAGAGCACCACAATGACGGGAGGGGACAAGTTGCTGAATGAACTACTGAAGCGCAAGGCGTTTGTCGTCATTCACAGCAGCTCGGGTCATCTGCACAGTCTCAACGAGGTGCTCAAGAGTCCTGAGGTGCTGGCCAGACTCAAGGACACGAAATATGCAAGGGAGACTGCCTTGATGGATGACTTCTTCGCGATGTTGAGGAAAGATGACGGCCGAGCGTGGTATGGCCCGAAAGAAGTCGAGACTTCGGTTGACAAGGGCGCCGTTGGTCGAGGAGGCGGTGTTCTTCTCATCAGCAATGCCCTATTTAGAAGTGAAGACGTAGCGACTCGGAGGAGATGGGTGAGGCTTGTTGATAGAGTCCGCAAAGAAGAAGGCGGCGAGGTACGGGTTCTAAGTAGTGACCATGAAAGCGGGAAGAGGCTTGAAGGGTTGGGTGGCATCGCTGCAATCCTAACATTCCCTATCGATGACATGGAGTCTGAGGACGAGTCTGAGCCTGCGAATGACACACAGGATTCATGACGAGATGTATTTCTTTTCACGTGCCCTCTGACTCCAGAACAAGTTCTCTTTCGCATGAGAAAGTTTGCTTGCTGTCTCTCATCTTGCTGATCAAACGTGACATGTAGGCTGTAAAGGAGCATTTAGCCTTGCGGGGTGAATTCACGTACCGCGGCCAGCCTCGCGCCGGAAGATCTTCGGCTCACATGTCAGTGAAACGCGACATGCTTTTTTTGTGTTACTTGTGGCCATGAGCACATCAACAAACACCATCAGAAATGCCATCAATGGCTCGATACACCTCTCACGGCCGTGACATTTTTCTCGTTGCCGTTCAAGATGCCACGGCCTCCGAAACCCCCCATGACCCTCAAGGAGGCAAAGAAGGCCTACAAAAAAGAAGGCATAGGCATTCAATACACTGCGTCACAGATGGAGAGGGCAGACCGCTTCGACGAGCGTGAGGAGAAGAGGAGGAAGGAACTGGATAGAGAAAGACAAAGAGTGGACAACAAACGGAAGAGAGATCAGAAAGAAGCGAGAGAACGGGCCGCGAGACAAAAGATGCTTGAGGAAGGCCGGATTACCGTTGAGGATACTTGGGGAAAGGTCACAGCCAGTCAGCCTAGGTTGAACAAGTTCTTCGGACAAACGGCGATAGCACCAAGTAAGAGGAACTCACAAGAGGTGATTGTCGAGAACAAGGAAACGAGTAGGACTCTTCAAGGGGCTGGTGAACATGCGCAAGACAAGACCGAGACATGTGAGCATAGCGTTCAGGGTCCAACTGCGCCGGAAAAGGATTACCTCGACCCCAAGTCTATTGTCGCAACCTCAGGGCCCTGCGGGACAACACCCTTCAAAAGTGTTCGAGGTTCACAACAAAGCAGGCACCACGGACAACAGCGAGATGTCCACGATGTACACTGTGTGCCCTCGGCGCTCACCGAGTTGGAACCTGCGCAATTGAACATACCATCTGCAGGTTCACGAAAGCTTGTATACGACAAACATCCTTGGAAAGGCCGCCACAACCCCACGCCACTCGCAACACGAGCAATACCAGAACCCGAAAACAATGGGCCTGAACTTCGGAGCCCTGTTCCAAACACAATGCATATGAAAGACGGTAGTTCGACCTACAGCCGCGCTGCATCAAAACATAGTACAAATGACCACTCCATTGCAGCCGCCGCGGTCTTGGAGTACCAGGGGCTGATTGAACTCGACAGTCGGACGACGAGTGAGTTTGATCTGGAAGAGGATTTCACCGATGGGATTGATGATGAAACTTTGTTGGAGCTCTGTGTCGACCAAGCTCGGAAAGGTGTCACTCCGAAGGATCCGGCATCAACCAATTTGGACTCGCCGTCTTCAACCGTCAGATTGAGTTCTCCAGGTTCTGGCCCGGAAGAGGACCGTCCTGGTAAAGAGACAAAAGAAGTGCAACAGATACTGCCAAAGTCTAACGGTCCTTCCGACAGTTTCACGTCTTGCTTCAACGAGATCGACGAGGACGATCTGATTGCTCTTGCAGAGGAAGTCGAAGCTGAGATCTCGACGCCTTCAGCGAACGCCAAAAATCCCGAGAAGCAAACATATCGAGAAGCTCAACGTCGACCGGATCTTGCCGAACCTGCACCTGCGCCTGCACCTACACCTCTGTCACAAACTCGGCCCATCAACACCAACCCTTCTTTATCCACCTTGGGCCTGAGTACCAGGACCGAGGATACTTCACGACGTAAACCCAACCCTTGTTCTTCTAGACGAGAACCACAGAAATTCAATACTTCCATGGCCCCTCCTCCACCTTCCGTAGGTCGACATGCAAAGGAGACGAACGACAGCGCCATCTCTTCGGTTTCACATCATCGGCCACATTCCGTACCTCGAGCTCGCCTGTCTCAACAACAACGAAAGGAGAGGGTACTGCCTTGGAACCAACCTTCAAAACAGCATTACTACCACAACACGAATCCAGCTCATAATGACGATACAAACAACAATAACGACGACGACTTTGACGTACTGGGACCATCGACTCAGGCATTGATGGTAGCATTGGCCGAACAGGCAGAAGCACAAATCAGTTCTTCTCGCGGGGTGAAGAGTAGTGCAAGGGGTTAACTCATCAACCCGTCCACGAACATGGACGCACCTGACACACAAACGCACACGACACAGACATGATCACTCGCCCCCAACGGCCTTGATGAATATCACGAAACAAAAAAAAAAGAAAGAAAAAATCTAGCAAACGAAGATGATGACTTGAAGAAAATTCATTTCTGCACAGGCAAAACACGTGAAGCAAGGGGGGCACGGTTAAAGATTGAAAGTTCCATTGTGACCTTTTGTATGTTTGTATACAGCCAGCATATTTGAAACCTAGGGGGTTTTGTTGCATAGCGCGGTGGTATGGTGAGCCATTGGACACCGAACAGGAAAAAGACACAGTAGACAGCATGGCCACACAGTACAGCAATGAAAAATGGTAGCACTCAGCTTTCGCACTGGGGGGGCATTAACGACAATTGCATGTGATAAACTTGGTTGGGAAAGGGGAATACGATACGAATACATACCAATAAAAGGTCAATCGAGATCACTATCACAATCACGATTACGATGACGATCATGAGTCACAAATGAACACAAACACACACACACTCTCTCTCTCTCTCTCTCTCTCTCTCTCTCTCTCTCTCTCTCTCTCTCTGACACCCATAAACACATTGTATCATATCTTGAATGGACGATGATGGTTTCTTTTTCTATCCTTTTTTGACAATCTATACCTAGGTACGGAGTACCTGGTGATTATTTTTAATCTTCCGGCACAGGGGCGAACTTTGATTTCTTCCTCAGACGCAAACTAAACTTCATCAACAAAAAGGGGACCGGGAGCATCAGTGCCGCCACCGCCCCCAAGATCGACATTCCAGGTCCGACACCGATACCGTTGAACATGGGCCGGGCGACCAGTGGCAGGGCGAAGGCCATCAGACTGCGGAGGAAGGTGTTGGCTGCGGTCGCGCTGGCGGCGTAAAGACCATAAACGTCGACCAGATAGTTAATACCTGTTTTTTTATTGCAAAAGGACAGAAAAGTCAGTCACACAGTGCAGGGGGACAGTTTGCGGAGAGAGAGACCTATCAGGCCATCACTTACATTGTTGAAAAATCGTGTTGAAACCAGCCCCGATCAGCACGGTGGCGACGCAGGGTAAGACCCATGAATATCTCGGCGCAGCATTCCACCCGAACCAGAAAAGTCCGATCACCATCAACACGGCTCCAATGGCCAACGGGGGCAGCCGTGCCTCAGGGACCGGCTTACCGTTGGCCGCTCGACATTGACGAATATAGCGGGGCTGGTTCCCGAGGTTGATGCACAAGGCACAAAGGACGCCGACGAACAGGCCGAGGAAGGGTAAAGATGCCACGACGGGCGAGTACTTTCGTTGATCGGTGAAGACGATCGGGAAGACCTCCAAGGTGAGATAAAGGATGGCGTAGACGAAACTGGCGTAGAATGCGATGCAGGTCACCATGGGCTCGAAGCAGAGCATCTTCAGTGGTCGCGAAAGCTGCTTGGTCACGATCGATTTAAAGTCGAGTTTCAGGCGTTCGTGGGGATGGTAGAGCTTGTCGTTGCCGGTTTCCTTCCGAAGTCTTTGTGCTTTACGCTTCAGTACTACCGGGGGGTACATTTCCGGCATGCAGAAAGACGTCAGCGCGACGACGGCGAAGTTGAGGATGGCCGTGATGTATTCCGTCCACCGCCAGCCCAGGCGAGAATTGGTCAGGATCGCGGCTCCGATCGTTGGGCCCAAGGTCGGTCCCCCAACAACACAGACGGCGTACAATGAGACGGCGGTGCCTCGGGCCTCACGCGACCAGATATCCCCCAAGGCGGCATTGACATTGCTGACAGCTGACGAACCAAACACACCGCCAAAGAAGCGAGTGATGAAGATCGATGCTGCATTCTTACTTGTCGCCGTCCCAATGGAAAACAGTGCGAGACAAAACATCGGCGGCAAGATCGACAATCTTCGTCCCCATATCTCTGAGGACGGTGCCCACACCAACGGTCCCAAAGCAAAGCCAATGCTGTAGTCAAGAGTCAGCAAATCCGAGGATTCAGTATGCGGAAGCGTCAAGACTTGCACGTATAAAGACACATTCAAGACCACCACGTCCTCGCTCACTCCAATATATTCGGCGATGGTCTGGTTCGCAGGTGCTATGATGCTGGATGCGAGACTCGCAGTGAACGCCAACATGCTCAATTGAGCCGTTACCCAGGATTTAAAGGCCGTCGACCAGTTTTGGGGATTTTCTTTGTCATCGTCGCCTTCCCATGTCACAACAAGCCCGTCATCTACCGTCCTCTCTTGCCGAACCACCTTCTCCTCGGGGACCTGGGGTTCGGTGATTTTCTGCGCTTCCAGGTCTTCAGGCGCAGCAGATGACATGTCAACAACAAGTCTTTGGATTTTACAGAGGAAGACATCTTAAGGAATATAAAAATGATGTTTGAACATTCAAAAGAAATGTCTGTGGAGTTTCGTACACGAAGCAGCGGAGTGTTGAACAATTACGAATCTCTTCTTCGTACAAGGGCAGATTCCGCGAAGTTACCGTGTATGGTCGGATTGGAGAGATGATGTTGTGCCGAATTGCCGCGAGGATCGCTCTGCGAGGCCATTATAGGTTCCTTTGTAGCTACGGAGCGTCGATGATGCGCATTGAAGGGTGCGGGCCGGAAGTAAGGCTGCTAGTATGTAACATTGCACGCCAAAAGAAACAAGCACAGGCGCTTCCAAAGTCTCTCAAGTATTCGTGATGGGCATCTTTCTCCCCCCTGGAAGTTATTTGCCCATCAGCCTGGTTTCGAAAAAGGGGTCGCTTTCATACACCCATCGAAAGGATGCGAGTGAGTTCTCGGGGATTAGATCGAGGCTCGCGCTTCGTCTTCCGATGTCGCCTGTTGCTGGTTATGGCCGATATCATCGCTTGCACTCGGACACTGCACTCTTCTCCGCCGCCTTCCCCTTCTTTTTGGTATTGGCTTGAGCCGACTGGTTGATTGATGAGTGTTTGATTGTTCCCCTGAGGTGGACCAACTTCTCCTCGTATGTCGATGGCGTCTCGAGCTGGTATATGTATAAAAACTGTCGTCCTTGGCAACAAAGTATAACGAAACGACTGATTTATGACAAGTGCATAACCAGATTTCTCTTCTTCCATTTGTCAACTTCTGAAATGACCAAAGATACCTTTGGGTGTCTGCCGCAATGCCCCTGCACCACCATTCGGCAGATGATTCCAAATTTTGGCCTTGTCACTAGGACCAGAATCGATTGCAACACCTCGCTTGCATTTCAACTGGTCATCACCATCGAATCACCGAGAGCCCCGTACAATGCTAGTCTGTATCCGGGGAACTTCCCTTGCCAGATGGGCCTATCCTCCCCGGCCACCCAGCAGTCATCACACCTGCATTTTGCGGGGGCTCCGACCTGAGCCCCATGAATGAGATGAGGTTTTGCTCGTATCCCTGCGTCTTTTCAGCCTTGGTTCAGAACTCCCGCTCCACTGGCGAGCAGCTCCACATGAGCTATTCGCAACAAGGTTGTACACCTGAACTGATCCTAAATGCTCACCAGATCTTTTCTCGTGACATTTTCGTCTCACTGGCTCCTCCTCCGCGGTGCCTTTGCGGGGTTGTTCCATTGAAGGCCCTTGGCCCCGGACATTGTCCTCAAGTCGGGAAAACGTGCATAGCAATGACATTCACTGTCCACTGACTGTCGAACCTGTGCCTCCCCTTGTCTGAAGAGGCCTTCCACTCACCGCCCTCGGGGCGGCCAGGCTTGTCATCCAGAACATGCTAGCTTACAGCTAACCCTTGTCGCTCGAACCACGCGCTCTGACCTACAAGCTGAATCCTGAGAAATGGAACTATTTTTTTCGCCGAGAGCATCCCATTGCAGACATGGCTCGCCCCAATGGACAGGCCCAAGAGATTGCGCTTTGCATGGATCACAACACATGGTCATCGTCGAGCCCGGAGCCCCACGTTGCCAATTCGCCTATCCTGAACTGCGCCAGTGATGGCTGTGGGTGAAAGGGAATAAGAGGAGAAGGATGGCCTGACCTTTTGCGAAGTGGCTCTTCCCCAGCATCTGCGTGTTTGCCTACCTTCCCACGACTTCATCCAGCTTTCAACTTGTAAACTTACCGTAGAACGAGTCCAGCATGTCGTCCGCAGCAGAAGCATCGACACCCCCAGATCGGGATTTGATCGAAGAGAAGCCGGGTCTGGCACATACTGTCTCGACTGGAGCTATCTCCATCAGTCCCGAACTGTTTGAGAAAGTAAGTGCGATTGAACAAAGAATGAGAAGTTCATGAAAAGGACACTGAGACGTGCGACAGCTTTATCTTACTCCCAAAGTTCCTCATTCTGGAGACAACATCAAACGATTTGCCAATCCGACCCCTCTAGGTTTCGTTGGGTTAGTTTCCACCATCCTAACGACAGCAAAAACCGTATACTAATGAAAGTAGCTTCGTCATCTCGACCATGACCTTTGCAATGGTCATGATGGGCTGGGGTGGTGCCGAAGGCCTTTCGCCAGTCGTGTAAGTTCGCAGCTTCTGTGTTTTGGGAAAACTGATTAGGACAGTAAAAGTAGCTGATACTCTACAGCGGAATCTTTTTCTTCGTTGGTCCTGTCCTTCTCGTCTTGACCGTCATCTTCGAATGGATCATGGGCAATTTCTTCTCTATGATGGTGTGCGGCCTCTTCGCCGTCTTCTGGCTGAGCTTTGGGATGTTACAACTGCCCACTCTGGGCCTTGCAGCGCCATACTCGAGCTCCGGAACCAATGCTGTCACGGGAGCTGTGAGCAAAGAGTATAACGCTGTCATCGCGTTATATCTGATTGTCTGGGGTTTTGCGCTCTTTACATATTTCATCTTCACGCTCAAGACCAATGTTGTCTTTGCTGCCATCTTTTTGTTCGTCAGCATTGCCGCCTGGGTCCTCAGCGGAGCATACTGGAAAGTGAGCAAGGGCGACTATGATAACGCGCATACATTGCAAGTTGTAAGTACTGAGTCTGAGTCTTGAGAGCTGAGCGTTCCAACTAACGAGCCTACAGACAGGTGGCGCGCTCTTGTTCATTGTCGGCTGTTTAGGATGGTACATGTGTTTTGTGATGATGGCGGCGGAGATGAGGATGGCTATCACTCTTCCGGTGGGAGACCTGAGCCATTTCTGGCCAAGGACAGATGTCGAGATGGGCAAAGCCGAGAAGGAAGCTTGAGTCGAAGCTCGTATATCGAGGATGCTGAGAAGGCACAATGGACGGTCGGCGTGCTGAGATGGATTGTTTTGTTGGTGACCAGCAATGTCCCAGTCATACTCTTACCGCTGAGGTCTAGGTCAAGTTCGAGAGAAAGTGCGGTCTAGGATGGCACGAATTGACAGCCCTCAACTCGTCGGAGGGCAAGTTGGGCTATCTATGAAGAAGACAGTTGAGCAGTTAGTTCATTGTATAATGTCTGTATCGATGCTTCGCTGACGCAGCAACAACGCATAGGTGATTCGTACTTGGTCCATCTTTGCCTCTCGTCGGTAGCTCGTCTACTTCCCTTCTCACAATGTAAGTCTCTGAAGGGTAAGAATATTTTATGTTGGCTTTCTGGGCATTGTCTGTAGACCATCTTCTTGCCGATGGGTATTACGCACAGCAACCTCTGCATTACGCACAAGGCCATACATATCCCTGAAGTACACTCAATTGCCATTGATTACAGACGATTGATTTGCAAAATACATACAACTGAGTAACTAATAATTTGGTCATTATTGCTGCTCTTATTAGTTTCTCGGTACTCGTCATTCTAACTGTCCTTAAGAATGTCTCTTGACTTATTTATATTTTGTCGGTCACCATTTCAACTCATATTGATACTAAGAAATGGCATGACAGGTTCGGGGCTACTTCAGTGATATATCTGGTAGGTAGCCTTGTGCGTAATACAGAGGTAGGTGTGCGTAATACCTATCGCCACCTGCTTGAATAACATCTCCTTCATGCGCCGAACGCCTTTCGGCAGCATTAAGCCACCGCAGTGGTGACGACGGCGACGAGCACACCAGAGCTCTCGCATTCGGCTTTGGATATGTCGCAGCTGTAGGGTTGAATAGATGGGTAGGCAAGGACGAAATCGGAGAATTTGGTCAGAATGTTGTATGGGTATTGACCAATGCTGCATCACTGTTAGCTAGCTTAATCTAAGGCTTAATCTTATCCCACACATACCTGTCATCGATATACTGGTGACTGAGTTCGAGGGACACATTGTCGACCCCTTGCCATGACTGGACTTGGACATCGAAAGTGGAATTGTGGCAAGCGTTGCTGTAGGTTGTGGGGGGTTGCGAGCCGGCTGCCCATTCGACACAACAATGGGTTGTGCCAACTTCTGGGGTATCCTGGTCCAAGAAGTCGACTGGTTGCTATTAGCAGGGGATCATTTCAGATAATATGAAGGGAGAGAGGCTAGAGGAGGCCTACATTGAACGAAACTTCCTTCTGTGGAATTGGGATTTGCCTGAGATGGGCTTGAGACAACGACATTGGTCACCTCGAAGTTGCCAGAGAAAGCCGCTGTGAAAGGAGAGACAAGAAGAGCAGCGAAGATGAGTATTGACGCCATTGAGAGCATCACGATCACGGAAGGATCTTGAGGTGACGCTTAGTGGAGGAAGTATAGTCTGGAGGCAGTTTAGCACTGACTGGTTGTCTCACAAAAGATCAACACGTCGGGGGAATGAGGGAAAATAAGGCACATTGAGAATCGAATCCGGCACGTTAATTGAAGCAGGTCGTAGGTTGGACACATGAACAGAAGCCTCTGAGAGCATGTTGGCGTTTTATACCTGCTGTTGGGTCTACTGCTGATTTGATCTGCTTTGAGCAGTCATTCCACATGGATCGCAAATCTGCAAACATTCTTTGTCCATCGGTGACGTTGCGGGACAGAAACATTCAGTTCAGCGTACAATCTCAAGCCAGGATGAGACCCCCAGCCTTCTGTGTCGGACGTTGTGTCGATAGATCGTCCTTCTAGAATATGACTAGCCAAGATTCAGCTGAGACAATGCAGCCAGGACATCAATAGATCTCAGATGATTCGCAACAACATGGGAAACAAAATGCAAACTGAGCGGCGCGCCGTTTACTTACACACATTGAGTTTGAATGCTACCCCTGTCCTTGTACTTGTTTCTTGCAGCGAAAAAGATTCTGGAAGTCATCAGTAGTGCCAGGTGTTCGGAAGATAACAACGAATCCCACAAGGCTGCCAGAAATAGGTATTGTCACACGGCCGACGAGAAGCAGAAGGGAACGGGAAAAAGATGGACACTCAACACCAATAAAAGATGCGAATCTATTGCTGAGGATTGCTCTTGGCTGGATTTAGTAGTCGATTGTAGCACCCGATGTGCAAATTTCCATGCGAATGACCTCAACATTTAAAATATGGCTGCAGTGGAGTTCATCAGTGCAGCACGGTGGTCGGGCAAGGAAGGAATTCCAGAATGTTGATCCCCTGGTCATCATAACAAGAGGGAGACGACGGTCTAGATACCTTTGGAAGGAAAGCAGTCCCATGGTATAGCTAAGGGAATCTTCAGAGATCTGTAGATTTCAGTAGTCTACAGCGTCCATTGCGGAAGTGTTGAGGGACGATCGACCTTTGAACTACTCCGTATTGGAAGTGGCAAATGCAACTGTAAGCGACCTCTGTGTGACAAGATGGTTGTATCACGATGCCGAAGTAATCCAACTCAATGCTGATGAAAAGAGGCAGGGTTCGGAAACACAACAAAGCCCATCACTCGCAGGAACGAACGAACAAAATTTCCGAAAATCAAGTTGAGGTAATGCCATGAATTTGTTCAAAGGAACCCACTAACCTCGTAGGCTCCATGAGTATTTGTGATATTGTTTCACGAGCCAAGGAAACCCAGCCGTGTCTTTTGTTTTGCTTCACTGCGGAAGAAAGTCGCAATGCTCTGTCGAATGCCTTTATCGAGACCCAACCACAACCGCAAACACCACATGATAGCAATCGCTTAACCCTTCTTCTTGCTGACACCGACAGTGCGACCTCTTCTGCCAGTAGTCTTGGAGTGTTGACCACGGACACGGAGACCCCAGTAGTGTCGCAGACCACGGTGAGCTCGGATCTTCTTCAGGCGCTCCAAATCTTCACGCAGCTTGCTCTCCATACTGTTGGCCAAGACCTGGTAGTTTTTGCCATCGACAATATCACGCTGTCTGTTCAAGAACCATTCTGGGATCTTGTATTGAGTAGGGTTTTGGATGATGGTGACAATACGTTCGAGTTCTTCCGTGGTGATTTCACCGGCACTGTAAATTTCCCCAATCAGCCATTGCTTTAGATTCCTGCTTGATGAAAGGCTCGTTCATACCGCTTGTTCAAATCGACATCGGCCTTCTTGCAAACCAAGTTGGAATATCTGCGACCGACACCCTTGATGCGGGTCAAGGCGTACATGATCTTCTGCTTTCCATCGACGTTGGTGTTGAGAAGACGCAAAATGAACTGGACTGTCAAATTTATCAATTATGGTGGTTCGAAGCAATTCGGAGGCACTTGAGGCTTACAGTTCGACTTTTCGCCGCTGACGAGAGCTGGACACTGTTAGCAAAGAAACCTTGGAGTGGAAGATGAGGCAGCAGTAGCATACACATGGTGGGCAGATCTCTCGTTGAGGTTGTCGCAAAAAGTTGTCGCGAAGAGGATGTCGACAAAGCGCAGACAGATCGTAAAATGTGCAGGCAAATATCAAAATTCTCGGTCTCTGTGTGATTTCTTGGCGAATTACAACACTAGAGCATTCATAGACTAGCGGATGATAACAAATCACGTGTCGAGTTCTTATCTTGCCTGCAAAGTATTTCTCATGTCTGACAAAAACGTCCCTCGGGATTGACAGTGAAGTCTCAGCACAACGTCGACACACAAGGTATCCGTGAATCGTTTCTATGCTAATGTTTCTGAGAAATAGATGCTCAAAGTCATTCCCTAGGCATTCCCAATCTTTGTTTCAACAACGTTTTCCGTTTGTCTGCTAGTGTACAGTGTCTAGAATGCCCATATTGAATAATCAGCACCGTGCGTCAGACATATCCAATATTTGAAACTCGATGAGGTCAGTAGACGGGGCTGGGTTGTCTAGCAACCCAAGGTGTATCAGCAGGCTGCCTCGATTACATGTTCTTCCGGGTCACGCTGCATTCTCATCTCTAAACAATCCCGTATCTCTGCCACCTTCCCCTTCTCCCTCCATCCATCAATCTCAAGTCAATTTAAACCATCATGAAGACCCTCGCCGCTGCCCTGGTGGCAGGTGTTGCCTCGGCTGCTGTCACGCAGCAACCGATGCAACTTCCCAAATCATTCCCAGCTGCCGCGAAAGATGCCTTCAACAATCAGATGCATCACCTCAAAGATGCTCTCAGGGGCCTTACTGCTGAGGCAGCTTCCGTCTGGGACGAAGTGGCTGCCCTCTACCCCGAAGACATGAGCCAAGCCAGCTTCTTCTCCCTTCCCAAAAAGCACACTCGCCGCCCGGATCACGAATGGGACCATATCGTGCGTGGTGCCGATATTCAAAAGGTCTGGATTCAGAACGAGAATGGAGAACAAGAACGCCGGATTGATGGCCAGCTCGATACATATGACCTCCGTGTCAAGTCGGTCGATCCTAGCTCGCTCGGTGTCGACACGGTCAAGCAATACTCGGGATACCTGGATGATAACGAGAATGACAAGCACTTATTCTACTGGTTCTTTGAGTCACGAAATGACCCAAAGAATGACCCAGTCGTATTGTGGCTGAATGGCGGACCAGGTTGCTCCTCTCTGACCGGTCTTTTCCTCGAACTAGGTCCTGCCCGCATCAATGAGAAGATTAAGCTCGTCTCGAACCCGTACTCCTGGAACGACAATGCCAGCGTCATCTTCCTCGATCAACCAGTCAACGTCGGCTATTCATATTCGAGTGGCAGTGTCTCCAATACCGTTGCTGCTGGAAAGGATGTGTATGCTCTTCTTACGCTCTTCTTCGAGCAGTTCCCCGAGTATGCGCACCAAGATTTCCACATTGCAGGAGAATCGTATGCTGGGCATTATATTCCTGTTTTTGCAGCTGAGATCATGTCACACAAGAAGAAGAACATCAACCTCAAGTCTCTCATGATTGGCAACGGCCTTACTGATGGATTGACTCAATACGAATACTATCGACCAATGGCTTGTGGTGAAGGTGGCTGGCCTGCTGTTCTTGACTCACAGTCCTGCCAGGCCATGGATAACGCCCTCCCGCGGTGCTTGTCTTTGATCCAAAACTGCTACGATAGTGAGAGCGTATGGTCCTGCGTTCCGGCTAGTATCTATTGCAACAACGCCCTCCTCGCACCCTATCAGCGAACCGGTCAGAATGTCTATGATGTTCGTGGCAAATGTGAGGACAGCAGCAACTTGTGTTACTCTGAACTCGGCTACATCAGCAAGTGGCTCAACGAGGAGTCTGTCATGAAAGCCCTCGGTGTTGAAGTTAGCGGATACGACTCCTGCAACTTCGATATCAACCGCAATTTCCTCTTCCAGGGTGACTGGATGAAGCCATACCATCGCCTTGTCCCCGATCTCATTGCTGAAATGCCTGTTCTCATTTATGCTGGCGATGCCGATTTTATCTGTAACTGGTTGGGCAACAAGGCCTGGAGCGAGGCTCTCGAGTACCCAGATCACAAGAAGTTCGCTGCCGCGGAAATGAAAGATCTTCGCCTCGATGGTAAGGGCCGCAAGATCGGCGAGGTCAAATCACATGGCAATTTTACCTTCATGAGGATTCACGCTGGTGGTCATATGGTACCCCTGGACCAGCCAGAGGCCAGTCTGGAATTCTTCAACCGATGGTTGTCCGGGGAGTGGTTCTAGATGTGCTTGTTCTGGAGTGGTTTCTATTCAGAGATATAATCTTGAAGACACTTTGCGCTTTGAAATTAAATGATATGTGAGATCACTTGAGCATGGGAGACCATTTGTGTCACAACCCCTTGATAGAATACTATGCCATCTTGCTTTACAAGAGATCACCTGGGCTATTGCATGCAGTTGCTGGTGTCGAGAGCTACCTCTGAGTAGGCAACGTCGTAGTCTCGTTCGGAATACGGAGTGCACAAGACAAGTTAGTGAAGCATCACGATTACGGCGTATCCGTATGAGTATGGCAAATCTCGTATCTGCACGATGATTTCTTAACATGTACGGAGTAAGATGGTGATGTTATGTGTGACGGTCAGTGTCAGATTCTCTCCACGTACTCCGTCCGTATTCGAGTAACGCAGTGGACGGTAGTGCGAAGCTGCGCTCAGCAGTACTCTACGCAGCCACTAGCTAGAAAAGACTTTCCGGCTGCGATGGGGAATTTATTGCTACACGGGACAATGCATATGTAACTAGTGACATGGGTATCTATCTCTATCTCCATGTATCGTAGTCCTTGGAGGCTACGTAAATAAATCTAGTGGCAGCGGAGACCACAGCGTCATCCTTTGTTGCTCTGCTGCCCACTTGGAGACGCTGCCAGTTTCACTCCACCTCTTTTAACCAAGTCACTCACTCACTCAATCAAACCACTCGGCCACGCCTTGTTTGTTACACGCGCCTTATCCTCGATCTATTGCTGTCATCTCTACTGACGGTCGGCCCTCGACCTCGGACCAGTGGCGACCGACTCCGTATGCCAGCGCTCTTTCCCATGTGAAAGAGTGCCTTTTCGCCTCTCGACACCATCTACCTTCGGACCCTGTAAAGACGATATGCAGCTGGCCGTAGTATGGAACACGAGGTTGCTTATGACTTCGAGGACGAAGGCCACTTCTGGACCGGTAATACCGAGCACACACCCCTGCCGTTGAGCAATAGCGATGTCTAATTTTTGCTATAGTTCTTGACGAGACAATCTCGAGAGAATGCGACAACCATGGCACAATCGACGATACTTTGCGATCCTACCTGACCTTGATTGGTGCCTTTCGTGGTATGCTTCCCCTTCACCACTACGAGCCAGGTGCACAGATGGCTCACTTCCAGACTGCAGAACGTCTACAAGCAAGCGATTATGATCTCAGTCGTTGCGCCTTTAAACTACAAGAGTCCGAGCTCTTTACGAATCATGCCGACTATATCCGGAGACAATTTGTCCAATGTCTGATCGAGGTTTGTTGTTGTTGCATCGGTTGGTTTGCATACGGCTAATAGGGTGTGAAAAGGACGACGAGCCACATGTTCTCTTACTCTCTACCCTCTTCCTGATTGCCGATGCCCGAAGCCACGAGCGCACCTACGAACTACTTAATGAAGAGGGTGCATTTCCTCGGCTGGTGGACTTGATGTCAAGCCCAAAACGACATGGCCATGAAGAAATACATAGATCACTCATGGAGTTGCTGTACGAGATGTCGCGTATACAAAAGATCAAGGCGAGTGATCTGGCCCATATCGACGATGACTTCATCAAGATGCTGTTCGAGATTATAGAGCAAGTCTCTGATGATGTCAGCGATCCGTATCACTACCCTACCATTCGGGTGCTGTTGGTACTCAACGAGCAATTCATGGTTGCTGCCCATGATCCTGCAGGAAGCCAGTCAGGAGTACCTCTTACCAACAAAGTGATCAAGGTGCTTTCCGCACATGGCAGCGTGTACAAGACATTTGGCGAGAACATCATTTTGTTGTTGAACCGAGAGGATGAGACATCGTTGCAGCTGTTGACACTTAAGCTGCTCTACCTACTTTTTACAACTCCACCTACCTACGAATATTTCTACACAAATGACCTGCGAGTCTTGGTGGACATATTGATCCGTAATCTCCTCGACTTGCCCGAAGAAGCCTCATCTTTACGGCACACATACCTACGCGTATTATATCCGCTACTAGAACACACGCAACTTCAATCTCCTCCGTATTACAAACGAGAAGAGATCCGAAAATTGCTAGTAGTTCTTGGAGGAGGTCAGTTGCTCGAACAGGGAGATGGACAGGACTATCAGCATCACTGGGGTCATTTTGAGGCTGTCGACGAAACCACCAAGCGCCTGGTGAAGCGCTGCGAAGGTGTGAGTTGGCTTACAGATCCCGAAACGGAACCGCCAGCGCAAGCAGAATCCCCGACGAGCGATGTCGCATCCGACATATCGTCACCAGCCTCGCCCATCAAAGGCAAGCCGCCAGCTCTGCCGGCTCCTCGCAAGTTGAAGAAGAGGAATTCTTCAAAAGCATCCACTTTGACTATCGGTCAATACCTCACTCCTCATCTTGAAGGCGCTCGGAAGTCAAGCTTGAGTATGATGGAAGTAGCCGCACAGCGCGAGAAGCCTGGCGTGATCACCCCAAGCAGAAATCCCACGCTAAAGAACAATCTTCGAGCAGCCATAATGCATAAAAAGGACAAACCTCCGCCCCCACCTCAAGCTAGAAGGTCCGGCTCGTCTAGACCGAAAATATCAGAGCACTCGACGGAAATGGAAGTCGTGATGGCATCAAGCAATGAGGAAGCCCCTGCGAGTAAGCCTGAGGTTCCGACTCACCACCATCACCATATACCGCATCCACCTATGCCTCACCTAAGACATCGCCCGACGCCACCTGTACCCAACGTGGAAAAGGACCATGAGAAAGAGAGGGCTTCAAAATCTCCCGTGCCACCCCCTATCCCATCTCATCACAAAGGGCACTTTTCTCCCAAGAAGCCACCTCCCGCGCCAAGGTCGCGACGGTGGCGGAAAAATTCAGATAACTCGAACGCAGCAAGAGAGCCCGGTAAATTCAACCCCAACTTGCCATCCATTGTGACCACCTCGACTACCGGCCATGAGGTTACTGAGCATAGCCCCTTCTCCCCATCATCTCCACAGGAAAAGACATTGAGTCCACCTAACCTAGACTCGGCTGAAGCCAAGGAGAAAATGGGTGTCAAGGAAGCCTTAGAGGTAGCTCGAGCACAGGCCGTTGATGATGTTACTGAGACCCTGGAGCAAGTTGACCTGAAGGAATCTGCGGACCAAGCCGAAGGGAAACCCAGACCTGCTGAACAGCCCGAAGGCGAGGCTGGAACCGACAGAGTCGAAGAAGGACCGGATGACCAGGAGACAGGCGGCGATACGCCCGATGCCGAAACGAGTCGAACCCGCTCCGAGGATGAGCTAGACCTACCTTTCCACGATGCAAAACAATCACCCTCACACAGTCCCTCGCATGTTTCTCCGTCGCCGACCCCCCAACCGCAGAATCTCGATTCGACGTTCTTGTCCGCGACCAACACTCTGCCGCAACAGAGGGCGGTGCTCACGCCACCCGGCCAGAAGCCTTCCAGGGGAGTCCCTGGGCCTCAATATGCCCTGGAAAGGAGTCCATTCTTGACGGACGAGGAAGAGGAGGAGGAGGAAGAAGAAGTCGCTCAAGAAACCGACGACGGAGGTGTTGTTGTCGTTGATGAGGAGGACAAGCACCATGACGAAAAGAATGAATAGTAATCAGACATGGAGAATAAATGATATCCTTTGTTTCTGCATCCTTCTTGCAAAGTGCGTATTGTGATGTGTATACCAAATCGTGACTCGACCCAGACCGAACCGTGGACAGTGTACGTGATCCACACACGGGTGACTTTTTGAGGTGGTTGCGCAAGGGAAGAGAAAGAGAAGAAGAGAATTCAATGTTTGGGGGGGGGGGTCGACCACCTCGCCTTGGCCTCACCACCATCGAGGGGGGTTATGAGGGCACTTTCCAGTGACGACTTTGAGGCATCTTTTTGTGCCCAGAATGGATGGGAGAACGAGGCTGAGAAGCTCACATAACGACGAGACTCTGGGTCAGGGTGGTGAGCATGGCCTACACAGTACATACCTCTATCTACACAGCGGTACACGGGTGGCCAACTCAGATTCTCCCTTGTATAATAATCCTTACATGGCACAGAACCCGATTTTTGGAACATTGGGGAAACAGAGAACTACAATCTTTTGTTTGTTTGGAATATGATTTCATTGTTGAATGCTGTCTTTTTCTTCCCCCGGATTTTCTTTTTGTAAAGGAGAAAATGAAAAAGAAGCCATGTCAGCTATCTAAGCTAAGCAAATAACAAAGTCACTGTCCTGCTTAGGAATAGGAACAAGAACAACACGAGCTCGCTCGGTGTTGTTGTTGTTGTTGCTGGAACCAGACTTAAAACTGTCCGCTGCTGCTATCCTTGCCATCCCCTTGATTGTTGTTCGTTTGACCCTTGCCGATATCCATACTTCGAAGATATCTCTTTCCATAATCATGTTGTTGGGATGGATGTCTTGTCGAGAATAGTCCAGTCCAGTCGCCCGCCTATTCCAAGACAGGAGAGGAGAAAAATCTCTGGAATTTTTCAAGAAGAGAAGAAAGAAAAGCGAAAAAGAAAATGCCTGATAGCTATGCTGCTGTCCTTGGCAAGCTCTGTGTATTTTGAGGTAGTCTCTACATTCTTTCATGGGTGTAAAAAGTGTGTCGCTGATTCTGCTGGGTATCATGTTGGAAGTAACTCAAGGAAACGCTGAACCCGCCGGGTCACGATATGCCGAATTGACTGGAACGCCGTCGCCATGCTGAAGACCAGCCGCCAGAGATGACTTGTTTTGTCATAATGGAAAACAAAAGGGGAAATGAAGTTCTGTGTCCGGAGTTGACATGGATCAAGAACAAGAGTCTTGTGCCGTCACTGTGAAGCGACGTTCAATGACCGTAGATTCCAAAGAATTGTTCGACTCCGAGAGGACCAGGAGCCTTGTAGGTCGCATCGTACGCTTGGAACAAGAATAGACCACCTGGGTTCGAGGCAAACGCAGATCTGAGGCCACTGACCGCAGTCTGCTGGTTGGCAGGTGAAGGAATGGCATCTCCGTTGGCTTGTCCTTGCCATGGCCAGCCGGATTCAGTAATGACAACACTCTTGCCGTTGGCGATAGCTGCAAGTTGTTGACTAATGTTGGACACATATGTGCCTGCTTGGTCTGCATTGGTATTGACATCAAAGTATGCGTGGGCGTTGGCAGCGCAGTAGTCGGAGTTCTGGCACAACTGAGGGTATCTCAGCAACTGACTCCAAACATCGACTGTGACAACGTTCTTGGTGTATCCGGCAGCAGAGAGCGCGGCCCGAGCAACACCAAGGGCTGCAACCACTGCGTTTGGATCTCCACCATTATTGACAACCTCATTACCGATGACAATAGTGTCGACCGAAGCCCAATTTCCAGTGAGAAAGCCAATCAATGTTCCGATGTCGGTTGCAACATTGGTGATGGTGTTGAGGCCGGCAACAAGTTGCATGTTGGCCGCAGAAGCAGCTTGGGCAACCGGGCCAAGATCGCAACCAATGTCGTAGACTCGCACCTTGCTGAAGCCCTGGCCAGCTAGGAAGGCAAAGTCGCTACTGATTTGGTCCTTGGTCTTGCAGCCAGAATCAGTGATGAGTTCGTAGCAGATACCAAAGCCACCACCACCAGCCGAATTGTCGTCATCACCGGAAACGCCACTGCTGGTAGTAGAACTACCAGTCGCTGGGGCCTGGGAGGCTGATGTAGGGGCAGAAGTGACAGCTGGGGATGAAGACGTAGTGGTGTCGACAGAGCTGAAGCGAATCGATGCGGATGTCGTTGGCAGTGGTGCGGCATCAGTGGGAATGACTGAAGATGAGGCAACAGTATTGGTGTCGACTGGAATCGGAACACTGGTGCTGACGGTCTCGCTTGGTGCCGGTGACTGGACGTGACCACGGTATTCAGTGGAGATGACGTTGCCGAACTGATCGACCCAAACCACGGCATTAGGAGCTGTGATGGTCACGACATCAGTGATGGTTGAATAGTAGGTCTCGAGGTGACGAGCTGCATGTCGATGTTTCTGGTGGCCAGCTGCTTCTGTCGTTAGCCTTTTGTTCGCTTGTTCTTCCTTTGTGAACTCACCATGCGGAACAGCCAGTCCAACCTGAGCACACAACGCGGCAGCGCCGAGATGGATAGCCTTCATGGCTGAAACGACGAGGTAGATTGTGGCGTGGTAGAGCTGTTGAAAAGAGTGTATGAACCTATATGACCGAATAAGGAGTGAGCGATGGTATTACTACCGACCGGCGGTTTATGGGGGAATTTGTGGTATAGTGCACGTGGCCCGGGGCATTAGCCTGCAAGGTCGACGGGGAGATAGAGGGTGTTGTCTAGTGCAGCGGTGTGGATCTTGTATATGCAGGTGGTCGAGGGTTTAATGGGAGATTGCGGTTGGCCCATGCGCTGTCATTTCTGGCTCAGATGCGATCGAGGTGTCTTTGTTCACCTGGACGACAGGGGATAAAGCACAGACAAAGAGGACGTGGTCCAGGTCGTCATTGCCATCGCCGCTTCCGGTCATGAGGAATTTTGCAGGTGATGCGACCAGTTGTGGTGGTGGTCGTGAGCGATGGTCAGATCGGAGGAAGCCGCAAACGTGGACACAATCACACTTCGGAAGTGTCGATGTAAACAGAGAAAAACAGACGCGAAGACTTACCGAAAAGAAGATCAAGGAGCGACGGATAAGGAGCGATGAAGAATTGATGGCTGGTAGAGAATGGCGGACGTGGAGGAGTGAGGGAATTGGGTTGTTGAAAGCGACGTAAGGAATGTTGACAGGTATGTGGGAGGCGTTGGCGACGACTCACCACCTCGCCTATATAACAGCATGGTGAACATATCTTCACTGCTCATTGCACCTTGGCGCGAATGCGTACGTCATCCGATGGGTGACAAGGAGATGGGTTTCTGCGGTTATATATGGGCAGTGTGTGAAGTGAGGGTGAAGACCGTTAAGATGACTCCGTGAGTGACAAGGCTGTAACGTGGCCATGAAATCGATCTGAAAAGAAAGGAGCCCACTCGCCCATGTTCCCTGTCTCATGGTATCGCGTCAGTAAGATAAGGCAGCGCCCAACCTGTCACCCAGCTGTCAATGACAAGTCTCTGGACACGCTGCCGTTGACTGGGGGCAACGGTGCACAGATCAGAGTACCCAAGTATCCAAGACCTGGGCAACATTTTCACCCGCATACAGTGTACCTGATGAGATCAAGATGGAGTCAACTGCTTCGAGACTCTTACAGTTGTTCTGAGTCTGCGTGTTCAAAAATTCTTACTGCGCTGGTATGGGACGTTGCCGTGACAGAGACACACAGCACGCGCATTTCAGTCATCTTACCGTCACCTTACCTTCAGAGGTAGAGTTGGGCCATCACTGGTCCAATCCTCAGACTCTGCTCATTGTCTCGGGAACAACTGATCTTGGAATCATTCGTGTCTCTCCTCAAAGAGAGATTGCAGAAAAGAAAGGGGTAGAATCAGACTTTTTCCATGGCGGCACGTGTAATGAGGTCTTGGGGGTATTACGTAGTACGACGAATACGAGTACGAGCATGGGGGACGAAAGTATCTCACCCAGCTCATCAGTCTTATCAATCTCGACAACCTCCTGGTCTACTTCATTCATTCTCATCTGTCTCTGTACATGTCAATCATAGACCAGGTACCTCAAGTACGGGCCTCGTCACTCTCGCGAACAAAAGGAACTTTGTGTTTTCTTTGGGCTCTTGCTAGTGACATGCAAGGCGTATGACCACCCAGTATGAGAGCAGGTAGGGAGAGCCAACCACATACGTATTTTCTGCCCACTCGCGAACCGTGTGTCGACGACGAGCTCTCACGGTTCAATCATGACCGTCTTTCCGATTCCCGTCCACTCGGCCGCGGCGTCCAGCGCCTCCTTCCACTCCTCCATCTTGTACACTTTCGGGACGACGAGATCTTTTCCCTTCGGAAACAGGCCCCTCTCCATCATCTTTATGAACAGGACAATGTCGTCCCTCTCGTACATCAGTTTCCCCTTGATGGTGATGTTGAGCGCAATGGTATCCCAGACGATCACATCCTGGATGAATCCCATCATGCTACACCTTCCGTTGCGCCTCAACGACTGAATGGCGCTCTTCAGATGGGTCGACCTGTTCGCCCAAACGGGTGTCAGGTCGACGACGGCGTCGACAGTACCAAACTTTCTCAGCGCGGCAGTGTCCGTCTCAAACTCCCCGGACATCTTGACGGTTTCGATCTCCGCTCCCGGTTTTCCTTTTCGGATGTGCTCCTTCAACCTCGCCAGTTCCTTTTCGTTCCTACCCATGGCGATGACCCTCGCTCCCATAGCGATGGCCACCTGGACGCCGGCTCCCCCGAACCCTCCCGTGGCCGGTGAAACGACGACCGTCTCCCCCGGTTCCACCCTGATGTCCCTCAGCCCTCCAAACGGCACGAGCAGGTACATCATGTACATCAACTCGCGGGTCGTGTAGCCCAAGTCCCGACAGAGCCTGTCCTCGTCCAACCGGAAACAATTCTCCAGAGGGGCCTTCATGTATTCGGCAAAGGCTCCGTCGCGCCACACGTCGCTGCTGAGTTTCCGGCTCGCCTCGTCGACGCCGTCGTGGATGGCCATCAGGAACAACGAGTCCGGGTTGTCACGAGCGTGCACGACGCAGTCCACGTAGACGAGCTGGCCCGGCTTCAACACCACCGCGTCCTCGCCCACGGCCACGACCCGGCCGATGGCGCTCAACCCTCCCACGATGGGCTTGGGGAAATCATAGTGTCGTTTCCCGTTGTAGATGTCGCGGTGGTACGAGATGACTCCGGCCTCGATGACCCGCACCACCACGCTCCCCGGACCAGGTCGCGGCGTCGGGACCGGCTTGATAGAAAACCCTTCTTCGAGTGTTTCGAGAACGAGAGCTCGATGATGGCTTGGTAGGGTTGTTGATGATGACGAGGATGCCGCCATGGTTGTGCTTTTTTGGACAAAGTATACACACGGATGATGTTGAGTGAAAATATATTCTTGCTCCTAGAGTTGTACCGAACACGAGTTTTAGGTTGTAGAGAAATGAAGGCGGAGAGCTTCTCTCTGCCTTTTATACATACTGCTCTTTAAGCCGCTGCGTATACTCCGTCTCTTCGGTATACAACAACGTACCAAATCCCCGCCACGTGATGGAGATACTGTATGGGCACTCTGTACGGAGTAGTGGCCGCCTCCAAATCCCGCTCCGCGCGGCTCGGCCTCAGCCGCTGACGGGGCTGTTATCGGTGGAGTTCTCGACAGAGGTCGGTTGGAAACAAGAATGAATACTAGGAATAGAAGATCAAGGTGGTTTACGGTCACTTCTCGAGGCCGTGGCCATAAGCGTACCTACAGATATCCACTACGTCAGTCCTACTTGATATGATGGCACTGTAAACTAAGATGGTGCGAACGTGCCCCCATCCTTCATCTCAACCTAAAGAAGGAGGCAACACACCTTCCATGTCCAACTCTGGAGGTATGAAAAACAAATCATCCAGATTGAACAAACCGGATCCGATCGAAAAGGTATCTAGATCGAATCCATCCGGATCAAAATCCTCCGACAGGCCGCCGCGACCGTTAGATCCAGCCTCGACGACGACTCCTTCAGCAGCCGCCCTCTGCAGGATGAGAGCATAAGAACTCTCCAAGCTTTCCTTTGCGCTTTGGGCCAGTTGTGCCACTAACGTAGTCGACGACGACGACGAGCACCCACGCGCCACCTCGGCCTGACGCATGGCCATGCTCAATTTCATATGAAGCTTCACATTCGTTTCTCCAAGGCGGATCCTCTCCGCCGACTGTCGAATCGCCTCTCGCAACGCCTCGATCAGCATCCTTCGATAAGGTCCAAAAGGGGGTACCTGTCCCTGTGGAGCAAAAGACACCACTGGTAAGGGGCAGGCTTGCTCTTCAACGTCCAACAATAATTCCAAAGCTACGGCCAGAGACGCGTGGATCATGCGGTTCTTGAACATGCCCGCACCCGTCAGCACGAGACGCGAGAACTCGGCGTTCTTGGGTAGTGGGGATAGTATGGCCATGGCGGCGTCGAGGCTCATCTTTCGGGCAAAGTAATAGAAGGGTTCATTCCGGGCTCGACCGGCGAGGGGACGATGAAGATGAAGTATAAATCGCCGCAGAAGAAGGTCTGCAAAATTACTGTGGAAGGAAGCGACATCGGGACTGACGGTCCTGAGAAATTGTGCACCACAGTCTCGGCAAGCGTTATTGATCGACGTGGTAAGAGTGACAAGTTCGTCGTACGACATCTCTGGCATGCCCACTCGTACCAAACCGTTCATGCGACGGGCGATTTCCAACCTGGGCCCAAGCGATTGGAACAAGAAACGCTGGAGAGATGAGTCCGTCGTGGCTGTTGTAGGTTGTTCCCGGAGTGACTGGCTCTGGTCATCAATATCTTCGTCGTTGATGTTGGAAGGACCAGCTGTGTCGAAGTCATCTAATGATATGCTAGGTGACACTCCAGCGTCCAAGGCGGCTTGGACATTCAGTTCCAAGATGGTAGCCCAAAGCCTTCGACGGGTCTCTCCTTCACTGGGTTTCAACCACGTTAGATTCAGTCAAAGGGGTACGATTCTGTTGACCTTTGATGAAACTTACAGTATACCCATCTTCTTGAAATGCTTTGGATCTCTGTGTAGACCCATTTGCATTGCCATCCGGACGACTGTCCCCATTGATATCCAAACAATGTCTCCCCCAACGGCAAGAGCCTGCCGAGCCAGTATAAGCAGGCACTGCACCTGTAGACTATCGATGCTGATCCTGTTCTTTTTCACGGGTCCACACAACCAGTCTTGCGCGGCGTACAGCCATTGACGCGCCATTGAGTAAGTGTCAGGGTTGTCAGTGGGATCCCGGTGAATGACAATCCCAATGGCCGCAACGAGCTGAATCTTGAGTTTGACGACAGTCTCAGCTCCCAAAGGGTCACTCCAATATCGCTCATATTCGTTCCAGAATGACGGGACGTGGAGTATACGAAACACAGATTCGAATCGGGTGATGTACAAGTGTACCATTTGATCTGCCATGTCTTTCACGATTGTTGGGCTCGCTTGCGGATACGATGAGCACCTACTCGGTTGAACAGACTTGATCCTATTGGAACATAGCTTGCATCTTTGAAGAAGGGAGCCAATCTCCCACTTCAGTCGTGCAAGACCTTCATTATCTCCAGCATTTCCAGACTCGGCGTTCAGGATTGCTGCTGTCCTTTGGAGCTGTTGAATGTTAGCAAGGAGTGACCAAGGTATAGGCAAGTAAGCTAGTCGATACAACGTACGTCAAGAGTAGAATTCGTCCAGTGGCTCTGACCGAATAATCTGGATTTGTTCAAGATGAACCTCCCTTCCGGTGGGCCATGGGTGACATCGTCTTGGGTGGCATTCGAGGTTTCCTCTCCGGGATTTGAAGATCCCGCAATACCACGAGACCCCTGGACAGAAACATGTACCTCTGCCGCACGCCCAGTAGAACGAGACGCATCCGAGGAGGGACTTGGTCCTGTGGTAGAAACAGTCGGCCGAGGAAGCATATCACAAGGGACATCTGCACGGACATTAGGAGTGCGTCCATGGACGCTTCGACCGCCAGGGGGAGCACGATCGTTGACGTTTCGTCCGTCTTGAGCTGATCCGTGGCCGTAATGACATTGTTTCTTGGAAAGCACACAATGGCCGCACGGTTCCGACAGGTTGCATTTTACTTTCCTCCGTCTGCACTCCTGGCATGATCTTGCTGGCCGGCGTCGTTTCCGCGGATTCGGCTGGACGTTATCACAATTCTCCGGCGAACCATCGACTTGGAGAGATAAGGGTAGATTTCCCGTCATCGACGGCGCATGCTTTGTCCCCAGCGACAAGGTGTGAAATTGTCAAGAGAACTCCGAGGCCGAGTCCGTGGACGTAGTGTAGATCGAGTACAAGTAGTTGTCTCGTTTCCGAAATATAATTGGTATTCTCGATACCTCCGAACGGAGTATGGAATTGTTATCTCCGAAATATACCTTGTGGATACTCCGTATATGTAGTACAGTATGCTATGCTGGACAAACGAGTCCTTACAAGTGTAGTACAAGTGTCTGCTTTATCTGTCAAGTATCCTACATGGAACAATGTGCTTCGTCAAATCTATACGACGTTATCGTCACTCGTAATAACCCTGGCCTCACACCTGCTCGATTCGAGAGCATAATGGCCAATTTCTTGTTATGCCAATTTCGCCATAAACGCCCCGAAATGTCCCAGTGCTCCTTCATCCGACGTGTCATGGAATGAAATGGCCGAAATCCACATTGACTGATGCCTCTCTGCGTTGTCCTGTGATGAACGACGATCCCTCGAATTGCGCCTAGCCGCCCCTTTCACCAAAATCCCTGGCCCACTGTTCAAACTCTTCCAGACCTTTCTTGCTCACACTTGGTCTGATGCTAGCCAAACTGGCTTCAAAGTCCTGCATGTTTATCGGTCGTATCTGCTCCTTAGGCGTATATAGCAGTGCTTCCCCGAGATTTCGCAGAGGTCCCATGGCCGCATCTTTCGCAAGAGCTGTAATATCCGAGCCCGAATATCCTATGCAACAGGTCAGTCCAGTGTACTATCAAGAACGGATGGTCTGTTTCGTTCTTACCGTCGGTCAAGCGGACCAAGTGACTAATGTCTTCCGCGCTCAAATCGTGCTTCTGATGGCCCAGCAATGTCCGAACCTGCGTCTCTCTTGTCTCCGCCTCAGGTAGTGGAATGTATTGCCGTCGGACGAACCTTCGCCGAGCTGCTTCATCGATATCCCACGGGCAATTGGTTGCAGCGAGAACCAGCACCCTGCTAGCATCTCCAACTGTCGTGTCTCTGCCAGCTGCAGCTCGTTGCAGATCAGACCACTGTATTAAGAACTCCGTTTTGCTCCGCCTTGACGCTTCGTGTTCGCTTGAGCCACTCCTGGCGCTGAGAAGAGAATCAATCTCGTCTACGAAAATGATACTTGGAGCAAGGGCCTTTGCCAAAGCGAATAAAGCCCGTACTAGCTTTTCGGATTCACCATGCCATTTGCTAGTGAGGCTGCTGGCACTGATGGCAAAGAAGGTGCTCTTGCTCTCGGTTGCCACTGCTCGCGCCAACATGGTCTTGCCTGTTCCCGGTGGTCCGAACAGCAGCATCCCGCGAGCAGGTTCTCGCAAGCCCATAAAAAGGTCAGGTCGTAGGAAGGGATACACTACTGCCTCCTTCAGAGCCTTCTTAGCCGCATCGAGACCAGCCACATCTTCCCAGTGCACCTCGTCGCCCTTGACCACGATCTCATTGAGAATCTGTTTGGCCGCAGCTTCGTCGATCCCTTTTGGCAAGTTTTTCAGTAGCTTTACCCTACGCTTCTCTTGGTCCGATCCAGCGCCATCATCGTCCAATGACTCGGCGTCTGTTGAAGGCGGAGTGATGGTCTTTGCACTTTGCGTCCGGGTGCCCTTCGGTCGGACCGGCGGGGCTAGGCTACGTTTTGAAGCATCATCCTCGCTGTCCGACTGCTCTTCCCGCCGTTTTGGAGATCGACCCCGGACCTCGAGCGAAGTTCTTGAGCTAGCCACAGGTTTCCGGAATATGCCCGACGAGCTCTCCCCAGTGCTTGGTCTCTGATAGGCCTTCTCAAGAAGACTGTTGGCAAGCGGCTGTGGAACCTTTTGTGGCCGCAGAGGATACTCCTTCCGGTAGGCGAGATCTGGCGGTCTTGATGGAGCGATGGGTGATGCTGTCCTTGCTTTGGAGATAGACGGTCCTGGCACTGATCCGTGTGGTGGTGGTTGGGGTGGCTTCTCAGGCTCGATGTCTAGATCTATTAAGTCGGGCACCGAAGTTGATGTCAGTTTTAAGCTCTCCATCGACTTTTGCATAGTCGAACTTGGGTAGCCCGAGTTTGTGAGCTCCCGCCATGTGTGAGGTGGGATAATATCAGCAGGGTTGGGATGGGATCTGCGATGCTCTTCTGAGCGTGCCGCAGCCTCTTGATCAATGCTTCGACGAGCAGCCGTGGCGCTCAGTCTCGCCTCGATCGTCGGGTCTGACTCCGGCCGCGGACTCTGTTGCGAACTCCTGCGCGGCTGCGACTCCCACGCAAGGCCAGCCGCTCGCATTGTGTCCCCTTGTCTATCACGATTCGGTGCCGACCGATATTTTCTAAATCCCTTCTTTTCGGGCCGTAAAGTTGTTCTCATTGTTTTCCTGGCATGGTCAGGGCTAGGGCTTCTTGACACTTTCGTTGTCGGCACGGGCAATGAAGGGGGGTACCCGATGGGCGAGGCACGTGGGTACTGTGCTGGTGAGTTGCTCGCAGTTGTTTCGCTACTTCGCGCAGGCCTGAGTGGTGGTCGAGAAAGTATCGCAGGCGTAGCTGTTGGAAGTTCTGACATTTGCAACGGCGGTACAGTCATATCGCCTAACCACTGCGGTCCTGGTCGATCTTGTGGTGTCTCTGCATCGCCTCTGTGTTTCTCGAGACGTCTTCGGCCACTACGTTCTGATCTGTCCTCCCTAGGAGTTGTCCTGCCAACCTCTTGCCGGCTCCTCTTGAGCGTTTCAAGAAGATCAACTCGTTCTTTACATTGTATCTCAAGTTCTTTGAGGGAATCGAAAAGCGCTCGTTCGGTCTCGGACTTGGGTGCATAATTGAGTGGCAGTTTGTAGGCTTTGTAGTAAGTTATTTGATCCAGCGCAGACTTCCAAGATCGAAGCGCTTCTGCTTCATTACCCTGTACGGAACATGAGTAAACCTCCAAAGTTGTGCATGTGACCGCAAAGACTTCATACCTGGCCCTCAAAGAACACGGCGGTCGAACATTGTAGATAGGATTCATCGTAGGTTTTCTGCATGGACGAGGCTGGCTTGCTCCGCATCATCATTGCTTGTAGAGATGCAGAGTAACATGCTCACGACAGCATTTAAGAGAATCAAGTGCTAGCAGTGGCTGTCGCAAGGGTCTGAGCCTCCAAGATGGGTGGAATCGCTGTGAGGTTAGTTATTGTTCAAGGCGAATGAGGCACACTGCAACAACACAGCCCAGAGGCACATTGTGGTTCCACTACGTCACCCCCCAAAAACCCAGTGCCTATTATCCGTTGGCCTGGATTCCTAAGGCCAGCAATATCCAACGACTCGAGTCATCAGTTGCACAAGATTTTACATACTCACAGTGTCACTGACTCCGAGGTTAGGCGGCGAAATTATACGGGGTTGATGGAAGACTGGAACACAACTTCTGGAAAACAAAATGGCCAACAAGATGCATCGCAATGGTATTTCTCATTGCTGTTCAGCTCGTCTACATGGTGAACAAAGCTGAAGACGTTACCGACCGTCGAATGTTTTTTTCGATAAATATACAGTGATTATCCAAGCTCATACAGATGAGCTGTCTGACAAGACATGCATCATATCTGCGACTCTTTTCCCTCTTTCCCGTGGTAACGCCTCTCGCATGCAAAAATGGCCTACCGAGACTTTGTAACCTGTTATGCTCCGCCGAAGAAAAGCATCAACCAGGCCATGCTCGAAAACAGAATCAGTGCTGATTGCCATCCCCCCTCGCACCGAGTCGGGTATCTTCATAGTGGTGATGATAGAGCGCTCCGAAACCGGAGATTCCACGCCGTTTTAGGGCCACCAAGATTTCGCCTCTGAGAAACGAATCATCAAAAAGGAGTGCTTCACAGGTTGCTAATATGTGCCTCATGTTCCTGTCGTAGTGTTCTTTTGAAATATGCCTTTGCCATCTCGTATGATGACCTGCCAAGTGTCAGTTATAATCAAAGTGTTCATGGACAGAGAGCAACACATACCAGCATATTGCGGTGCTTGGCATGGTGCTGATAATTCGCGGCCGCCAACCCCTCATGAAACCGCTCCAGCCAAACTCCTTCTTAATGATGCCAGCAGCATTGAAAATGCCGCGTACATTCCGGATTTCGGCCTGTTGGCTGAGGCCTCGTGTTTGTAGCAGTGTCTTGATCACATCGAGGGGGGTAGTGATGCCGGCCGCAAAAGCGCCGGCTAACCCACCAGCAACGCAGTGGGTAATAGGGTCGTATTCTTTCCGTGGGTTCATAATTTTCGACAGCGACTCATATGCCATAAATTGCGTCGCCGTGAATGGCACCGTCATACATAGTGTCGTAGGGTACGATATGTAGAACGCTGAAAGACCTTCCGCACGAAAGACTGAGCGGGCGCACTGCATTATTGATCGATACGATGACCCATGCACCTGCATTCGCTGTTTGATCACTGCCGGACAGTTAGCTTTCCGTGGAAGCGAGCAGGAATTTGATCGCACCATCAAAAGGGTTCATCAGAGCGTCACTGGCGATCGTAGCACAAGCTCCGCTCAGAGCTATGAAGCCGTTAGTATCCCACGATCCTATTCAAAAACGCTGCGCCGTAGTTCGGCCGCAAAGTGCATACCTGCAGCAGCAGGATGATGTTTTCCATCTGCTCGATTTCCTCCGGCCATCTCTTTGACTACTTCGTAGGTGCCGAAATAGACTGCATGAGCAGGACCTGTACATCGAGTCAGTACCCATTCCCATCTCTTGAAATATTTTACACACCTGCTCCGACAATGACACTTGTTACGCCTCTCCATAGTGTCCGTAAGCCTTCGAGCCGATATATCGTAGAAACAGCGTGAGAGAGTCCTGTATATAAACCGCCGGCCGAGGGATTTATGATCTGCATCCGTGTCTATGAGGGAAAGTCAGTGGGTGACTGTAATGCGGCCACTTGTGATGCTGGCGTACCTTCATCAAATCGACCGGATACATCACCGTGTGCTCCTAAAAATTCCAATCAGTCATGCTCTGTGTCCTAATTTCCATGATTCTCCATACCGCAATTCCAGCGAAGGCACCGGCAAGCATGTTATGGCTGAGGCCATAGTTGGGTGGTAGAGCTTCGTAACTGCATCTATGTCAACATGCTTTCCCCAACGTTCCGGTTCAGCCAACATACTCAAATTCCTCACCAGGCACGGCATCCGGACTGCTCGACGCAGTCATATTCTCCGCGGTCAGAACCGCCGGGAATTTGGCTGACGTCGCCACGATTGCAGATGTTCTTTCGCTGTTTGATGAGACCGTCAACGAGCAGGTGGAACGGTCGTCTAGGAGGGAGTGTGAAGGATACGATGTCTGCCAGAGGCAAGTCGGGATTGAAGAACACCTCAGTGTAGATGGGAATGGCGCGGGCAATGGTAAAAAAAAGTAACCGGAGCAAATATCAATCTGAGCGAGCAAGGGCGAGACCTTTGCGCAGACAAATTGTTAGACTGGGGGGCGTTAGCTAAAGTGACGGGCTGGTTAATGACGCCGTGGACCCTCCAAAGGACCTAGGTTAGGTATCAATAGGCAGGTAAGTACCCTTAACTCGCAGGCCTCCGCAGTTCCGGGCAAAGAATCACTGGCCTCTTAAGCTGTCCAGCATAATTTTTGGACTCTTCAAGTACTTCTAGTCTCCCCAGCTCGCTCGCTTACACTTGTTTAGGCTAGAGGCTCGCTCATAGCTGACACCTCGGGCGGCTTTCGCCTTTCGAACTCGGTGTTTCTCTGACTTACGAATAACTTGGGAACCTAGGTAGATACTTAGGTACCGGTACCTCACAGGCCCATTATGTTTACTCCGTACGTGGACACAATTCGGCTTCACGGTATCAATGCCCTTCTATCAATTCATTTCATTCTCTTCGGTCTTTCTCGGGCAACGGTGATCATGTAGCCGCTACGGATAAGCAAGTTGAATGAGCCATCTTAGTCGTCGATAGATGTTGGATCTTGAGACCCACTGAGTGATCTGGTTGAGTGATGGCGATCATCATCTGGCTAAAAGCTTTGCTACTTGTTTTCAGAGACAATCCTTGCCACAACATGTGCATAAAATATACTGGCTCGGCCTTCAATGTTCATCACGCCCTTCTACCTAGCAAACAACAGCCCATCATTGTGTCGCAAATCGAAGCGCCAACCCTCTTCCATGGAAAATGCATCCAACTAGCCCATGTACGAACGCCGCGCTTGCTGCAATTGGTGGGAAGGACAAAGGAGGATATCCTCACAGTCGTGCTCACTGTCCTGTCCTTCCATCATAAAGTTACGTTGAAACTCCACTCTCCTGTTGTCACGTCAGTTCTAGAAGCTTGATAGTGAATGCAAGTCCTTACCCTTCTGGAGATTGTTAGCAGTGTCGGTCAACAAAATCTCGCGTCGTCTGTTGCAGTACGTGGTTTTGTCCAAGATTTCAACCTTCAGACCGGCCAGCTCATTCACAGGCTTCTCAAACATCTGGCTGAGGTTCTCAACCGCCATTTCCAAGTCTTTCTGGTTGTCCTCGAAAATCACAGTCATATTATTCCGCTCCAGGTAGTATGCAAAGGCATACGTCCATTTGAGGGTTTGGCGGCAAGCCTGCAATGCCTTCGCTGCAGTGTCAAGGAACTGCACCTCAATCCAGGACATGTTTGATTGAGACTGCAAACTTGTCATCTTCTTTTCGGTTTTAAGCCAGAGATCCTTGTCCAGTTTAGCACTCTGCTCGTGATTAGCATACCGGTTGTAGTAGTGCAAGTATCGTTCCAGGGAGTGACGGGAGCGAGCTTGAGCATCGCGTGCATCGGCGCCTGACTGCTCTTCGAAACGGTTACAATTATACCAGCTTGTGCCATGCTCACTCCAAGGTCCCATGCACATCCAGCAGAATTCATGTTTGCACTTGCGACAGGTCATGTGGTTACAACCGCCATTCTTTTCTATTGTGGACTGGCATTTGGGACATTCCTTTGTATTTGCTGAGATCCAGTTTGACGTTTCGGAGTCATCCTCGCACTTCTTCAACCATTTTTTGACCAGGGAGCAGGGAGCAGGTCGATGGTCTGCCAAGGTACAGCCAAAGCAAAAGCTATGATCGTGGGAGCAACGCACGGTAGGAACGATCCGGGAGAGATCTCGTTTCTTGACAGGACAATCAATAGCGTATTCGCACTCGGGCGCAGGACACCATTTCAGGTTTGCCTTATCATCCACATATGTCCTCGTGAGCAGTACCTGGTAACGATCCCAAACGGTCTGATCCACCAGTAGTCTGAGCGATTTCGAGTCCACGATCCGGTGGCAGTCATCAGAGGGGCACTCAATCCTTGCAGCCTCTCCCTCTTCCTTGACCTTCTGGCCCAGATAATGGGAGTAACAGTCAACACAGTATCGGTGGCCGCATCTCATGGCGTATGTCCGCAACTCAGGATCGTCCTCGTAGCAGATCTCGCATGTAAAACCCGGGACTGTCTTGGTATGTGGGGTTTCTGCGAAACTCGCCCCTAAGCCTGCCTCTTCCAGAACTCTTTCCGGGAAATCCATGTATGACTCGATCAGTTTCTCCTTGTTCCATCTCATGTACCGGAGAAGGATGGCCGTCTGTTCGGGTGGCAGTTCAATGATTGATGAAACTTCCTGAAATTGTCTGTCTTGCAGTGCTTGTATATCCTGGGGACTCAAAACCTTGTAGTCCACTTCATAGGGTTTCTGCGGATTTGTGAAGATGTCTTTGTCATATGCAAAGCCGCCGTCGTGATCCTGATCAAAATCTATAACATGTCAGCGAGGGCTTCACAACCCACAAGCGGCGTAACATACCACCTTCTATACTGCCAATGTCACTATCTTGAGTTCCTTCGTCGAAATCGATTTCATCACCACTAGGTGAGTCGGACATGAAATCGTCTTCTGAATCCATATCTTGTAAAGAGGGTGAGCCGTGCTCTGTCATGGGTGTCGTGGGACCTTGTGGAGGGACAGCGGATGCCTTTCGGGACTTGACAGATGCGTGGTTAAAGGCGTCTGAGACACCGTCCTCGGCCTTTCTCTTTCTCGAGGAGGGTGTCGTGGTGGCTTTATGGGAGCAGCTGTGCCTCAACCGAGACGACAGGCTGCTTTACGACAAATGACGATGGGAAGGGAATGAGTCTAGTACTCGTCGAGTGGGTTCAAGACAGGATCGTGGTCAGCAGACAATACTGAATGAATGACTGCACATAGAAAAAGCAAGGGCGATGGGAGATATCAATCAAAATAGTACATCGAGTTACAAATGATAGAGATCCTGGGCGGCGAGGAAATTGAAAGTTGCGATCCAGGCTGCGGTGCTGGTTTATTAAGGCAGACAATGTCGGGCGGGAATGGAAGCGCAGGTGCAGCCAGATGATGTGAAGTGGCGCTTGCGAGGACCGGAAAAGCGGTTTCTTGCCATCGCTGCCATAAGCGGGAGAGTCACGTGTTGTAATGGGTCCTTGTCACAGCCTTGTCTCACGTTTAGAAGGTAGTGGTACATCTGTGGTAGCTTATTGCGCTATCACATCCTTTTTATTTCATTGTAGTGATATTCCTCAGTCAAGGTTCGCAATCAGTCATCTTCATCCTCATCTTCCTCGCTCTCACTTTCACTCTCCGCATTCTCCAGCCAGTCGATAAACTGCGAACTTTGTTGTCTCAAGGCAGCCAATTCGGGCTCATTGCTTGACCTCTCATCCTCCCACCAGTCCGTGAACGCTTCCTCGCCGAAAACCTCCAGATCGTACAAGTCTTTGATGACAAACAACAAGACCTTTCCGCCATCCTTTCTCCGGGTCAAGTCTGTTTGTGCTTCTAACAAGAAGGAAACTTGCTCTTCGGTCGCCTGAGATGCCCCTTTTCGTCGAATGAGAGTATGGTATGCGCTCAGAACTCGTCGACTCGCATCAGCCGCGGACATACCAGCCTCGATTTCGCTGTGGATATGCTTCATCAGAGCAATAGCGACAGCTTTGCGGACCTGAACTTCATCGGCACCCCCACTAAATCGAAGCCCCATTAATTCACTCAACATGTCGTCTGCCTGCTTCCCTTCCTGCATGCGCTGAACTAGGATTGCAACTGTGTCATGCTGGAAGCGGTCTGTAATGTCTTCGTCTGAGATAGACGTGGCGAAACTCTGCCGCCGAGAGTCACTTCTCGAAGAGAGCTCGTCGTGAGATACATCAGAAGCTAACGTTGATAACGAATCGGCGAACTCTGCTTTTCCGTAGACTAGTTTGGAGATTCTTGAGCCATCTAAGTCGTCTTCATCTTCAACGTATGCATGGCCTTCTCCTTCGTCGCCGCCGACCAGGGCATGGTCGTTTGCTGCAGCCGACCCCTGCTGGGTTTTGCAAAGTCGAGAGCCTGGCATGACTGTCGTCCCTGGTGCAATTTTAACGCCAAAGGAAATCAAGGCACCTTCTCCTATTGTACTATTGTCGCCAATGAAAGCTTCGTGGCCGATAATTGCTCTGGAAATTTTGACATTGTTGCCAACTGTAACATCGTCCCAGATATAGCCACCATCGATTTGTGTGTTTTTTCCAATGTGGCATCGTTGGCCTATGATGCTGTTGACTATGTTGCATCCAGCTCCTATGCTGGATTCTGGGCCAACGATTGCACCGGCAGCAATCCTCGTAGGGCGGGCCCTGATCACTTTGCTATCCAGGATGTCACCAGACGGCGAGCGCTCGTAATGGGTGTCTGCGAAGACGTTGTTCTCAACTGCCAACGATGGGACTAGACCTTGTTTCAGGTCCTGCGAGATAGCATTGTATGACCAAAAGTCCGCTGCCCTTGAGGAGTAATAGTCGGTAACGATATATGTGTGGATTGTTTTGCCGTTCAGTTCATAGTCTTTCAACACTCCGTACAGAAAGTCCTTTCGCGGTGCCTGATTGTCAAAATTGTCAGACCAGAGACTTAGAACGTCTGGGGTGCAAATGTCAATTCTGCAATCGATGAGGTCCTGTCTGACATCGATTTCGGGTGTCTTTAGAATTTCTGGATCGACGTGGCCAGTGAATTGGGTACCAGCAAATGCTTCCTCGTAATGAAGACAACGGTCTTTAATAGGATCTAGGATGAATGTTGGCACGATTCCTCCTGCGTGGTCGTGCGTGCCGGGCTGGGTTTCGCGGAGAACCATGGTCATGATAGCATTCTTGTCCTTTTCTCTGCGAATTCGATGTTGCTTCAGAGCCTTTTCGATGGGAAAATTGGAAATCACATCGCCACTGATACAGATGAAATCACCTGACATCAAATGCTTTTGATCCAGATCTCGCATGACATCGCCGACTGAGCTTGCAACACATCTGAGGAATGTGATGTTGTCAAATGGTGATTTAGGCGACTTCCACCGAGAAGCCTCGATGTATGTTTCGACTTGGTCGACATGAGCTCCAGCATAGATATAGACCACCTGGACTCCCGCGCTGGCAAGATACTCTAAACTGTACTCGATAAGTGGAGTATTGGCCAAAGTCAGCAAACAACGCGGCCGTTCGAGGGTAAATGGTGCAAATCTAGTTTCGAAAGTGTCGGCGATGAGGATGGCTTGCAAAGGGTCTTCTTTATTGTCATCCCCTGATCTCCCTTTTCCACCGGCGGATCTCTGTGGCTTGGGTGCCATGTTGAAATGTGTCGAAATGAAGATGAGGGTATTGTGCGCGGAGCAATCGACCGCCGAAGAAGGTCTATGTCGGTGGCTGTCTTATTCGTTATCGTTGAGCCTGAAATGTTGGCCTGTGTTTCACAAGCATGGCGCTTTAGAAAGCAGTGACTTATGTGAATAGATCGATGTCTGTCGTTGTGCAAGCGTTGTTGAGCGATCCTTTAATTCAAGAATATTTATTACAGAAGCAGTGAGTCACCTGTGAATGGCTGGATCAGACACGCCACTCTCCAATAAGAATTTGCGACCGGGAATCTTGCCAAGCCTGGCAAACAGCCACCTGTGGCTTAGCGTGGAGCATGGTCACTGAGCAAGTACCTAACACTACCTACTTTAGGGGTTGCTGTCGTTGAACATGACGCCCAAAACCTGGCATTAATAGGCATGGTCATTCCCCCTGAAGGCCTTTGTTGCCCCTGCAATTCAGCCCTTCTATGCCAGAAATAAGGGCCTGGAGCTTGACGTCCTCTTCTCAGCCAGGAACACGAGCAAGTGCCAGGGTACCATGAAGTCTTATTGGTGTGTCGGTCGTCTGCGTCATAGCTGGTAGCGAGCGAGGGGGCCCATTGCACTGCCCTTCAACTTGTTCTTTGCCCAGATGATGAAGTCCGTGTCCGTGATTCTCGGAATTTAGTCGTCAGTTATTATTCTTGTTGTTATTGTTGGTGCGGTGACTTGACTACTGCCACCACCATCACTCATTCTCAAGACCTGACTCAAATTGATAATCCCCTCGTCCTATCCTCCCTCATCTCCTTGCTCGACCCGGACCTGAGAGATTCGAGCGGACTCAACAACACCTCAGACCCGTTTTCTTTGACTATCCCACAAGTCAGCATGTCGAAGACATCAAAGGAAGGTCCCAATGCGAACCCGCATATGGATCTGGACCCGAAATACGATGATTATGACTTTCCCACAACCGCTCCTGAGCCGCAGTCTGGCCACCCTGGCCATACCACCAAAGAACAGGACGCCCAGGTACACCAGCTGAGGGCTATGCTTGAACAAGAAGGATACACTGAAAGATTGGACACCTTGACCTTGTTGCGGTTCTTGAGAGCACGAAAGTTCAATGTCGAGCTTTCCAAACAAATGTGTGATCGCGTGAAGAGATATTTGATTGAAATATGCTAATTCGGGTCTAGGTTCATCAAGAACGAGCAATGGCGCAAGGAATTCGGCGTGGATGACCTGGTTCGCAATTTTGACTACAAGGAGAAACCTGAAGTTTTCAAGTACTACCCTCAGTACTATCACAAAACCGACAAGGTATATGTGCCCACTCCGTATGAATCGCGAGTCCTGCAAGGCTTACAAATATTACAGGATGGCCGACCTGTCTACATCGAGCAGTACGGGAAAATTGATCTCAATGCCATGTACAAGATCACCTCTGCCGAACGAATGGTCCAGAACCTCGTCGTTGAGTACGAGAAAGTGGCGGATCCTCGACTTCCAGCTTGCTCGCGGAAGTCGGGCAAATTGCTCGAGACATGCTGCACGATCATGGATATGAAAGGAGTCGGCGTGTCAAGGATCCCTTCAGTCTATGGCTATCTACGATCCGTCAGTGCTATCTCTCAAGACTACTACCCTGAACGTCTGGGTAAACTATATATCATCAATGCGCCATGGGGATTCAGCAGTGTCTTCAGCTTCGTGAAGTCCTTCCTCGATCCTATCACAGTCGCAAAGATCCACATTCTTGGTTCGGGATACCAGAGTGAGCTCTTGAAACAAGTCCCTGCTGAGAATCTCCCAGCCCAGTTTGGCGGGACTTGCGAATGCAAGGGCGGGTGCGAATACAGTGACGAAGGTCCATGGCAAGATCCCGAATGGGTGAGAACGCCAAAGTGGGCGAAGGAGGATGCAGCCACCGGAAAAAATTCTGCAAATGTCGTACAGCCAGCCCCTACTGCAGGATCGAAAGATCCGCTCGAGGGTGGTGCTCCAGCTCCTGCTACGGCCCCCACAAAAGCAGAGAACGTCCCTACCGAGGGAGCAAAGATGCCATTGGAAGCGCAACAGCCATAGTCTGGAGAGAAGCGTAGAAGGTGCAAACTCACAAGGCCAAGGACATCGAATACGACGCTATCCAAGCGATTTAGACATGCTTGAAGCATTTCAGAGCAGAAAACGGCCCCAGTACTGGACAAACTCAACGATGAGATTGAAGAGCCAAGTCATTTCGGACTGTTGTTATGTACCATTCTGCTTGGCCGGGTTTTATACGCTCGTCCTTTTTTCCTCCTTCACTACACAAGGTTCGTCTGTATATGTAGAGCTCCCAGGTGAACTCCATAGGCAGTGTATTTATTGTTTGGACGGCAGTCTGTCTACCTTTCTTCGTGACCGTACGTTTCAGTTCCCATGAAAAGCCCGCAATGACTATCAATGAGAGCTTTCTAGAGCGGGCGGAGGGTAGCATTCCTGCTTCGAACACACCTCGGAGAATGTGAATGTCTCGCGTGTACTCCTAACCTGCCACAGCACCATCAATGGCCCTGCGTTATCGAATAACTCTGAAGCATAGTGCTTAGAGCTGCTCCATCATTCCCCATGATGATATGCTGGCATCAAGCTTCATCGCTGCCTTGATAGTACTCAGGCAAGGCACAGCCGCCTTTGCTCGGATCTCCAGCCAATGACCTGTAATGGTAATTCCTGGCGGAACGCAGCTAGGCCGCACCGATGCGGCGATCGTCCTGATGAAGGTGGACTATATTCCAGACTTCGATGTCGAATATGCGATCCGACTCTGGTCTGGCCTGTTTCGGTGGTTTGGAAGTGCCGTGTGGCAATCAGCCGCGAGATCAGCGATGCGATGCCATGGTGAGAATTCGCACAGGCAACCAAATGGATTTGCAGATAGACTCCTTTGTGCCTCCTATTCAAATTCCATAGCCACGGTCCTTGCCCGCTGGACCTTGCCAACGGTCTCCGTCAAACTTGCACCTCCGTGTCCATTCTCGGCGGCCGTAGTTTTTAGGCCAGAAAGGACTGCCAATTCGCCGATGCCGCTCTCATACATGGCCTGTACATCGTCGTGCCATCCGTCGCGCAGAGTCTTGAGTTTCAGTGGTCCGTCCTCCTCGCTGTCCGCCGCATTCTCTTGTGCTCTGGCCATGCCCTCATTATATCGCTCATCGTCGCGCGCCAATTCTACCATCAAAGCATCACTAAAGTCCTTCGCGGCCTGTGACGGTGCCGTCCGTCGGAGCTTGCTCACCTGTGCGGTGAGGGCTTCAAGTTCGCCGTACAAGCCCGCTACTCGTGATTGTAATCTGCTGTCGTAACTCTCGTACACAAAATCCACGCCCTCTCTTTCCTCATGGGGCTCACCTGAGGTGGTGGTGGTGGTGGCGGCGGCGGCGGCGGCACGGGTCGCCTCGTTGGCGAGAATGGAAAACTCGGAAGCGTTCATCCCGTTGACTGTGATGTTCTGGCTGGCACCCTCCCACGTCCGGGTCATGAACGCGTCGACGAGTTGACGGACCCGCGCTCGCAGTGGATCTTCTTGTTGGTCATTCTGATGCTGCGCGGTGTCTCGGGCAGCGGCCAGCGTTGGTTCGGTAGGCTTCACGCCATCGAGTGAGATTATCGTGGCGGGCTGAGCATTGTCAACGCCGTTGTTCTGTAGAGCGGAAAGAGGGAAATGTAGGTCGAGTTTCTGTTGAGCCGACGCGATCAGGTTGCGCTGGAGGTACGTGAAGTCGTCTGGAGTCTGGAGTTCGATTTTGCGATGGTGAACATTCACCTGCGGCTGCGGATGAGCAGCGGCATCTGTGGCCATTGTCAGACCTTGAATGCAGTCTTCAATTGCCTTTGCAAATCCGAAGCTGTCTCGACCTTTACAGTAGTACGTAGTAGTAGTATGTGAGAGTGTTGGACGTAAACAAACTTGTATGCGGAGAAAGTGGCGTACTCCGATTGGTCTGCTGCACACAAAGCTGGGCAGGCTGGCCTCGTACAGAACTACGGGGCAGGTCGATATAGAATCATCTACAGCGCCACGTCATGCGAATTATAGTGGTCATTTAGGTTGGACTGAATCCGTGCAAGTGAAAGACACAGAGAGGGAATTATAAGAAGACGAATGAAAAAAGACGGGACTTATTGGAGAAGATGTGTGATGTGAAGAATTCGATTCAGATTTTGGTTTTTTTGCCTGGCTGACTTGCCCTCATGTCTGATACCTTGTCGATTTCCTGGCTAACTAAGAATACCCGACGCATTCTTCACATGCACTTGTCAAGCCTAATTTGAGTCCTTACTTGGTCTCGTCGAAGACATAGGTCAAGTGGCAACGACCGCAGTATTGTCGGTTGTGCATGGCAGCCATGAAGACACCGGCACCACATTCCTTGGTTGGGCACTCGCGTCGCAGGCGCTCAATCTTGCCATCGCCGTCGACCTTGTAGTACTTCAGGACAGCCAACTTGGTCTTCTTGCGCTTGTGCTTGATCTTCTTGGGGGTGGTGTAGACCTTCTTCTTGCGCTTCTTGGCACCACCACGCAGGCGCAGGACGAGATGGAGGGTCGACTCCTTCTGGATGTTGTAGTCGGAGAGGGTGCGGCCGTCCTCGAGCTGCTTTCCGGCGAAGATCAGACGTTGCTGGTCGGGCGGGATTCCTTCCTTGTCTGTGCCTCTGATTAGTCTCTTCATCAACTACGGTCATACTCAACACAACATACCCTGGATCTTGGACTTGACATTGTCGATGGTATCAGAAGACTCCACCTCGAGGGTGATAGTCTTACCCGTGAGGGTTTTGACGAAGATCTGCATGTTGAAGATCTGAAGATGTGGTCAGCTCGAAGTCTGAAACAGGATAATTGGAGGGTTTTGCTGGTAGTTTGTCGCGGGCAGTGACGGGAGACGGAGGCTGGGATAAAAGAAGGCAGATTGACTTACCTCGACAAGTATTGTCTTCCTCAATCTACTGAATGCAGGGGTTCTTGATAGAAACGAAAAGGAAGTGGTGGCAGGCGGCTGAATTGATTTTGGTCTTCGTGGGTTTGCCAAGCCAAGATTTCGCCATCTTATCTAATCTTAAATCACATGACCATTTAGGTAATCACTGGCAACATTGGCACTGGTGCCTTCCATCACCTTACAACGGGGAAGCTTACGAATTCCTCAACTTGTCAAATGCTCACTCATCAAAACCCATCATGGGTAGATGCCTCTAGAGAAGTGTGAGTACCAGTCAAATGAGCCTATCAGGCCACTTGTGCTAGTTGGGAACGGTAAGTGGTGACGCGAGCGAGCGCTTACTGTCGTTGGGGTTGCTGCGACAACCAAAAATCATGGTGCTGTAAACACTCAGAGGCAACGAGGGTCGTCATCAGCCCCATCGACATGACAACCGCCGGAAGTCACTAGTAGGCTTTGCATCTGGCTGTCAACACCTAAACTCTTCTCCCTTCCCATACACTCCTGATTCTCACATATCAAACCACCTGCTACACCGTCAAAGGACAAAAGAACAAGACAAAGACAAGCGAAGAAGCCTCTCAGGGCCAGTTTTGAACCCAAACATCGATACTGCCCGAGAGGGCCCCTTCTGATATCTGATAAGAGTCGCAAGCAATTGCCTGCGACTGGTGGAGATATAAGAAAAAAAGACCGCTGCCCGGTCCGCAGCCCATTGCGCTGCGTGAGGTGAGCATTGCAGGAGAGAACATACAAGCATGGGAGAGGAAGCTGATGGACGCAGTCTCGAACCATAAGAAGGAACCCTTTTCCGGAAAGACTACCACACCACCTTCGACAAGACGACATTTCGAACTCATCTCGCCTAAGATGATGTCCAATCCACCTTCATCTCTTCACCACCAACAGGCAATGCATCGGAGACAGAACTCGACGCCCGTTGTATCCTATGAAGCCATGAAGGTCAACACCAGTATGCCACCACAACGACAAACACTTCACAGAAGAGGACAATCGTTTGACCAGCAACGAAGTCCCATCCGAAGACAACACGGCAGTACGGTAAGTATGACTAACCTAGGACAATACCATGGACAACAAATTTTGCGGGAAGCGCAGCAGCAGAAAATAGCAAGACCGGGCCAGCAGCACTTGCAACTAAATCTTGATACACCAATCTCACCTGATTGTGGTATCTACTCTGGGGTCTCTGGCTCACTGCCAGAGACTCCTCTTGAAAACATGCCAATGAATGCTTTCATGCACCAGAATCCCCAGTGCATGGACTTTCCGCATTCACCACAGTTCTACTCCGACATGCACATGTCGATGCGCAATGGAATGCCGAGTATGGCCATCATGGACGAGAACAATCCTCAGTATCTCCACGAAGCGCACTCTCACAACTTTCATTCTCAGCGCACCCGCAACTTGTCCTTTGACGCGCGCAGACTCTCTCAACCAGACCTGCGTGTGCAGACACAGTTGCGTCCGCATACTCCTTCACATCAAATCCAGACTGGTAGGTCTCTCGGCGCCCACGTTTGGTATTTTCACACGCTGACAGAAATTTAGCACAATTTCCTCTCACTCCTCCGTTCAGTCAGCACAATTCAGGCGCTCAATATTCACGATCCCTTCAAGCATCACCGTCTCTTCAATCTCCGTATCCAATTCCGATGGCTAGAGGCCGGTCGTTGCAAGGCATCATCGAGAACGAAGAGTTCAAGGCTGACTTTATGAACACTCCGACCGCCGCCAATTTCGAGATCGCCGAGTTGCCAACCGCATCATCTCGAAGACAACTCGCGAGCCCTCAAATGCATCCTCAAGGTGAGCCAACCAAGGCAGTTGGTTCATCGTCTCCTGCGATGCCATCTGACGACAACGCAACTCACGTGCCAAAGCTTGGTGAACGTCCCGGCCCGATTCTTACCACAGGTCAAGTCCCCGCCGGCAGTGCATCACCAGGACGTCCAGCGCTGTCACCTCGCCGAATGTCCATCTCCGATCTCAATCTTGAGCCTGGAATATCGGCATCGATTGAAGAAACAAACATTACACTCGACGACATCGTACAGTTCATTGACGGTCCCGACCCCGTGGACAACAAATGGGTCTGCACCTATCCGGAATGCGACAAACGCTTCGGCCGAAAGGAAAACATCAAATCCCACGTTCAGACCCATCTCGGCGACCGTCAATTCCGCTGCGACCATTGCGGCAAATGCTTCGTACGAGGCCACGACTTGAAACGCCACGCTAAGATCCACACCGGCAACAAGCCATACCCGTGTGCTTGCGGCAACTCTTTCGCCCGTCACGACGCTCTGACCCGTCACCGTCAGCGTGGCATGTGCATCGGCGCGTTCGAAGGTACTGTCAAGAAGGTCGTCAAGCGAGGTCGCCCACGCAAGCACCGCCCCGAGATGGACGAGCGTCTCGACAAGTCCCAGCGTACCCGCCAGAAGAACACCACCCATGGCGACGCGCTGTTGTTGAACGACTACTATCCCTCGTCCTCGCCCAGCTACTCCGGAGCATCGAGCTACGGTTCACCACCGACCGAGGACATGGACAATCTCAGCATTCGAGGCACCACGCCATTCGTTGACAACAACAACGGCATGCAAATGTTCAGTCTCTCCTCCTCCAACGCCGCCAACCTTGTAGGAATGGAACCGATGATCACTTTCCCACCTGATGCCTTCTCCTTCACCCCTCCCGCAAGCCCAGGTTACTCGACCGGCAACAAACCCAGTCCGTTGACATACCGCGAACTCACCCCGGCAGAGCTTCACCACCACGCCACCAGCGAGGCTGCTCAGCAGATGCTTCCCGACTTGCCGAGCATGGACCCTAGTCTATCTGTCATGAACGGTGGTGGTGTCAACGGCTACTCTACCGCCCAGAGCCTACCCAGCCTGTCTCATTCCAGCTCTTCACCCGCCGCCGACGTCGTCGCGTTCGACTTCTCCGACCTCCCCACCGACACCTCGTCAACCATGATGAGTTCATCGTCGCAGATGCCAGGCATGAAGCTCGACAACGACCGCAACGACTTTGACGCCTTTCTCGACTACGGAGGCATGGAGATGAACATGGACCCAAGTGTGCAAGACTTTTTCTCCATCTAGGTGATGGATGAGTTGAACTCAATGTTCAAATACTTGCCCTTCTAAACATAGAGAACAAGAACACGAATTGATCAGCCATAGTTCTTGGTTCACTGTTCATGGGTTAATGGTTCACAGGTCAAGATGAGAAAAAAGGGCAATGCATTCTTTCAGTCAGCAGGGTGTGTGGGTGTTATCATTGGGTGTTTGGGGCGTGTCACTTGGTCGAAATTGCTTTCCCTGGTTGAAATCGAAACGAAAGCAACGCAAATGTGTAACTTGTACAATAGCCATGGAATGACACGAACGAACGAATGGGACTGGGCCAACAAAGACTACTGGAGTTTGGGGGTGTCATTTTGAGCGTGAGCGTATGGGATTCAGCAGGAAAGACAAAGCGAGAGAGCGTATGGACAGCCTATCTGGCTCGAGGAATGGGAGGACACACAGCATTGTGTTGTGTTATCTTGTCAAAGTGTGCTTTTCCCCCAATGCGTTGCTTCTTCTTGAGTTTCTTTTCTCTCTCCTTTCGTTCTTTCATAACCAGGCAGCTCATGTGCTGGACTGTACATTCCTTTTTTTTCATTGTATCTCTCTGGCAGGCATCTCTCACTCATTTCGTGTTTTCCCACCTCTTGTTGTCTGCCTGAGCAAGAACAGCCTCATCGTCAAAGAAGGGACGGGCACTCGGGTATCGGGATTCTTTGCCTTGCACGACAACGATGCGCTTGTTTTTGCTAAGCAACAATGAGGCGGAACCGAGCTTAGAACGGAAGCACCTGACGGAGCAACCCAGGCAGGCAGGCGTGGGAAGGACACATGCCTGCGTCGGGCCTGAGTTTGGTCAATAGTCACTAGCACTACTAATTCCATCTTGCCATAACTTTTCTTCCCTGTAGTAATCGCTTGCTGATGGATAACCGAAGTGATGTTCTCTGCCAGTCTCACTTCATTTAGAACAACAACAACAACAGTGCACTAGTGATTGGGCTTGAGTATCGTTGGTGTAGAGCGCGATAGAATGCCCGAGTTTGAAGCCGGACGGTCCTCGGTCCTCATCGAGAGCAAGAATGATGAGCGAGTACGGACGTAGTGCCTGGACTTTTCTCCCTCGAGATCCGTCAGCGAATTGTCCCCCCGACCAGGGAGGGAGTTGGACACGCGTCGCCTTTGGTCAGCCCAGCCAGGCGCACATGACACCGACGAGTAAAGGCCGGTCATCAGCAAAGAAGAAAAATGCCCCCGTGCTAGCACCCAACTCTTCGTTCTCCGTGGAAGGTAAAAAAAGGGTCAGTAGGGTCAGTAGGGTCAGTATTGCGCGAGTCCGGGAAAACTTGAGGAGAGAGTCAACCCCCCTCCCAGGCCTTTCCGGCAGTGTCTGGCGTTCCCAAAAAGTGAGGCTGCCTTTGAGCGTGCGAGTTCCGCTAGCGCGTCTCAATGTGACTTCTGGCCTGATCTTTCATTAGTACTCCATAACGTAGGTGTGTTTCTGGAAAGTCGATCACACCTTCTCACGAAAAGTATGTTTCCAGGAAAGAGATGGAGCATGTGGAAGGGGGTTGCCGGTCAGCTAGATGAATCCCCAAGACGAACATGCTTTCGTACGCGCCAGCGCAATCAGAGTAGCTCAGATCAAGTTTCCTGTTCCACTTTGAGAGCGTGTAGTAGGAAAGCCCTGGCAAGACGTCAGGTACAGTTGGACATCGTACATGTGGTTCGCAAACCAAAGGATGTGCTATGTTGCTGTGTCGTGCTCGTACTGTCCCGGAAGGGGGAGGGGCGCCATGGAGCACATAGATCCAACTTGCTCGACTGCCGAACCATGACATAAATCACGCTTAGTGGAGGTCACTCGGGGTCCTTCAGAGGCAGGAAGGACATCTCTTCTGGCAAGAGAGCCAATTGGGGCGCAGGTGGTAGCAGCTTCAAAAGAGTGCAGCCAACCAGGAAAGTTGGTGTTCAAATCTAGGGAAGTGAGCGCCCGGCATGAGCACCGTATCAGAAGACTGTAACCACCGGCCGAGCTACTATTTCGTCCGGAGCCACTTGCTGAGCAGGGGTTGATGAGCGCAACTGTCTGCGGTAGAGGAGTAGAGCTCGACGGACTCAAACATTGGAGGCTTGGTGTTTGGGTGCAATTCGAACACTTGGTCTTCGCGACAAGCTACTCGTACTGTATGCGGAGAGGAGTAGAACGGGCGCCACGGCGTCGGGTGATGGATTGTGTCGATGAGCCCGATGACGTAGACGACCAAGGAGGCTTTCTGGTAAAGGGGTGTCTTGGTCATGCCATCCTCGTCTAATGGTGAAGAAATTAGATGTGCCGGCCGAAGGGTCCTTCACAATGGTGAGAGCGCTGATCATTCAACAGTGAGGCGAAGAGAGACTTGGTCGTCTCTTTTAAGCAGTTCCTTTCTGTCAGACGCCCCGCTTGTATCCGAACTTTGATCTCAACCTGAGCAGAAGTTGGAGTGGCTGGACTACTCGTTATTGGCATCATGATGCATCCCTGTCGCGTGTGCAGCCCACACGGGGCACGAGTAACCAGGAATAATGCCAAAGCTTCGGTACGAGGGACGGGTAGATACGGCTAGTCTCGACGACGGCGACGACGATCATGGTTCGTCGTTCTGACCCAGATGAAAGTTCGAGAATTATGAAAATTACCCGTCCAGAGGGTATGGCACCAGGACCTTTTCGGAAATGGATCGATCCTGTGACGGACTAAGAACTCCATTGCTCCATTTCGGCATTTGCAAAGAATCATTCTCATTGAAGATCACGTCTCGAGTCGAGAATTGATTGCAAGGGTGTCTGCATAGTAGCTTCTGGGCCGATCCGTGGGAGCTGGCACGTTTGGTCAACAAGGGTGAGAAAGGATCCTCCGAGAGCCTTGCAAAAGTTGATTGGTGCGCAGATCAATTTGGCAGGGCTGTTCTAAGTCAGGTAGCGATGTGCATTCAAAAGCCAGCCATTTTAGCCCAGAGCAGGTTCGGGTTGAATCAGGGTGCTGAACCGATTCGACCTCGATATCCTGTATAGCATTGCTTGAGCAGCCTCACATTTCGGGGGTTGCAAAAGTCTCCTCTTGTAGACCACATGACCGGCAGTTGTTGTGGATGCCCAACCCATCGTGTTAAAGCTCCCTGTGAATGTTCGGTTTACCATCGCCGGGCTCTAATGTTCGACCCGCCAAACAAGCCTTCGGGAAAAGGGCTGGTATGGAAGAAAAAGACTGGATTCAATGGCGTGGACGCTAAGTCCCGCTCTGAAACAGGAGGACGACGTAATTGTGTCCTCGGCCAAGGTTGGATGGCACAGGTGCCGTAGCCCTGTTGACCTTGTCGTCGTTTTCTCGGAAGCCAGGAATTAGTTGGTGTTGGGCACACGAAGCAGAGCACTACGATATTGGACTGGTTCCCCAAGGTGTAATCCACAGGCAGGTCTGTTCTAGTTCGCAAACAAGGGAAGATTCAAAAATTGTCGCCATAGGAGTGGTCATACAAGACCTGAAGGAGAGCCATAAGGCAGTGGGCAGGTTTGGCATTGCAGGAAGGAGATGCTTTCGACCGCGCCCTGGCCCATATTCCACGTGTACAAATAAGAGATGACGGGTTATCCACGGTACAGAGGTGAACAGCTGACAAGGCGCCTAGGATTGCTTTCTCAGACGAGCGGTGTCAGAGGACAGGAAGGAGGAGTCGCAGGCTTTGCATAGCATGTTAGATGGCGCAGAAGCTGCTTGAATGCTGTCAAAGCTCAGCTGCAGGACATGCGATGCAGCAGCATTCGGCTGCGCGAGCAGTGATGTTGCGCTGTGCTGCCCTTCATGCCTCGGATCAAAAGGGTATTGCTCGCAGCGAAGATCATAGCAGGTGTCCCGGGTGGCAACAATACGAGTAACATGGGCCGTAGTCCTGGATTGAGGCACTCCACAAAGGATGATCGCAGGTCGAGGCTGATCTCTTGAAGTGAAATCGCCACCAAGCGTGGCACCATTGGTAGTTGAAGACCTTGGGTAACCCGTTAGTCCACGTGTGCCGCAGCAAAAAGACCGAAGCTTTCCGCGTCCTGGGTCGCAAGGGGCCTCGGGGTAGTTTAGCGCAGCGGAAGGGACATGCACCCAAGTGGACTTGGGCGAGGGAGAGCAAAGCAACAAGTGGGTGTCGGGTGTAAGATGAAGCTGGGATCTTTTCAAAGTGAGGCGGATGAGCAAATTCGCCTTGAGATCAGCTCGGCTTCTGATTGGCTCGTTGCCAGCCACATCCTGGCCTCGCGCTGCCCCCTTCGACTTGGTACCAGTCGAAACAAGGCAATGATTGGAGCACTGTGAGGTATGTTTTGCCAGAACGCCTGTATTGTGTGTTTTTGATGTTCCGGGACGGAGCCTCTCGTACAACCAGGGATGCAGCTTCCTCAACACCATGTCATTGGTGTGCGCGAACCAGCCACCGACGACGACTCCTCTCCTGAGAGATTTATATGACCCCCTGCAACTCCCTCTCAATGACAAGAAAAGGTCTACCAGAGCAAGGAAAAGAACATAACTGAATCCCCAAAGCAACAGTAGTAGCAACAACATCGACGCCATCACCGGCTTCACCTTCAAGTCTTCTTGATCCAATACGTTCAGGTGAACTGTCATACAGCAGTGACCTCCCCATTCACAATGCCTCAATCCAACGGCATAACTAATGGCATAACTAACGGCATTAACGGCACAAACGGCACACACGGCACAATCAGCGATTACTGGTTACCTGGATATGGGCTTTCTCGACATATCGTCCTTCGACAGATGCAATACCATCTTGGCCCTACTGCCACAGTACGGCCATACTCCTATCAGGTACAGAAGGCAACACTCATCCTCGAGAGGTGCAGACACTCACCAGTTCCAGGGGCGTGAAGGCTACCTCATCAACGGACGAGAACTGACGAAGGTGAGATGCCTCTACCTGCTCTGTCCATGTGGAATAGTGACTGACCACCTTCTCTAGGAACAAATCGACGACCTCAAACGACAGTCTAGAGAGTATGAGAGGCAGCAGACCATCCGCATGTCCGGAAGGCCTATGACAACCACCGAGTCCCCAGAGCGTGATATCAACGAACCTATTGTGGTGACTATCGGGAGTCGACGGTCAGCCTACCACAGATATCGATGACACTGTGGGCCGGAGAACACATTTGTCGTTTAATCTCTTTCCATATTTCTATCAAAGGGTCTCACGTTGTTCAACTTCCATATCGGAGTTCACCAAGGAGTCGCACACTGGGGAGAGGGTAGCAAATGAAGTGCACAATTTCCAAGTCAAGATTCGATGTATCTTGATGTATCTCCAATGGAGCACCGTCTAGCGGCCATGACTATATCTCCATGCCACCGCCGTCACTGGTGATGATCTATTTCGGAGGGAATTTCTCGGGGGAATGTCGTCGTCTTATAGCGGGTGATAGCACTTGTATCAATACTAGGAGCTTGACAATATGGGGAGGGCATATGTCAGCATCGACGCGTTTAGGCTCGAGAGTGAAGTGATATTTGAGGTGGATTGATCTGTCCGAGGTGATATTGACTAGGTGGAATTGTTCGGAGAAGATGGCCTTGTCGTATGTTTCGTCCATGATGACCACCCGTGAACTCTTTGATCTGGGATGGGATTGGTTGGTCGACTGCAATATCTTGTCTATCAGGTCGAATTATGATCCTCGATAGGTCGTGTAGGTCCACGGTCCAACCAAGACGGGTACATGATAATGTCTCTCTCCTTTTTTGACGTAGAATTTGACCTCGACCTCGGGCCAGAAGCTTTCCACACCCTGGGCCTCGTACCACGGACCGACTTCGAACTTGATGCTCCAGGGTATTCTCTCCCCGGGGCCGAACCAGTCCATGACCTCCGTCAATGTCCGGCCCGTGGACGGCGAAGCTTCCCACTCTTTTACACGCCCATCGTCGTTGGTGACCGCGCTGAAACTTTCGGCCGATGTGTACAACGAATTCTTTTGGAGTAGTGTCAGTGTGGCTTTGAGACCGGCCGCAGGAGTGCCAGAGAGGGTATTTAGGACATGGCAAGTGATGGGGGGAGACGACGGCGACATGGTTTGTTTACGACTGGTGAGCCGACTGAGAGACGTGGATTTTGAAAAAGAAAGAAGGAAAATGCCTGCTGTCACTCTATGTGCGTGTACCCCTTAGCAAGGACGGTATAGTAGAAACATGACAGGGGAAACACGAAGATAACATAAATACTCAAGAATTTTGCAGCAAAGGTGGGATGAGGATGTGGTCGCCGGCCGGTCGGAGGAGGCCGATGGTTGTACGTCACTCTCCGTATCAGTTCTCGTTTGATAAGATCTATTCTTGACCATGTCTGACAAAACTCTTGTGTTTAATTTTGTTAAGGAAGTCTTGTCAGACACAGGCGTCTGCACGAAGTAGAACATCTATTAATACCCGAGATATCCAGAGAAACTAATAAGATTGTTGTTTACTTCTACCTCGTACAACAAATGCTCGAGAGCTCTTCCTGCGCCGGCTTTGACCTGATGTCAGCCATTAAACGGTCTCAAGTCTCTGCGTAAACATCAACCAATGTCCCCATCGCCTTGCTCAAGAGGTAAATATTCTTCAGCGTGCACAAGCGGTCTCAACTCTACTCCCTTTCGTCTGAGAACATAGTGCATGAAGAACCAGGGTAAGTATTCAGTAGTTTGATATCTGATGAACTTTCGGGTGGGGATCGAGAAAACTTGGTCCAATTCTTCGAGCGTCATCATGCGAGTTTCTGGAAGTAGGAGGAATACTAGAACGAGGGCGAGAATATTGAGAAAAGCATACAAGGTGAATGCACCTTGCGATCCCAGTCCTGTTAGAATCCGGGGAAACGTGAGGGATAGAATAGCAGCCCAGAAATTTGCAGTGGCGACTGCGAAACCCATGCCGAGTTCGCGGTGAGAAAGTGGAAAGACCTCGGCTGAATAGGTGTTTGGAACAGGCCTGCTCCGGATTAACACAACACAAAATTGAAGGAAAGACCGCTTACCCCATCCCTGGAGAGTATAAAGCACAGAAGAGATAGATAAGCGTCGCAAGCAATGCGAAGTGTGCCGGATTCTCTGCTGGTATCTTGAAGCTTAAACCTGCCGCCAGCATTGTCGCAGCCATCACCGGCAGGGTCAACAGCAATAATGATCTGCGGCCAAGACTGTCCATTGTCCAGATGGCTGGAAATGCTCCTACGAAATTCACAAATCCGAAGACGCAGGACGCCAGCAGAGCGCCAAGAGGTGAAAAGCCAGCTTGGGAGAAAATCTGCAGGCGGGCGAAGTCAACGATACGCCCTCTCACAATGGTGTCAAATCATAGACATGGAAGCTTACTGTGGATGAGTAAAAAGCGATAATGTTGACTGGGATATGCGATCAGCAGTGTTCTCAACGTAGGAATGGATAACTCACTGCCGCAAAGCTGCTGTGATAGCATGGCCACGTAGGAGCCTGTTGTAGCACGGCGTATTCGTGGAATGGTGAAGAGTTCAGATATTCTTGCAAAGAAAGACACAACCTCGGCATTGCCTACCTTGGCTTTTACATGATGCTGAAGGTACGTCGCATATATCTCCTTCGCGGCCTGTAGTTCACTATTACGAAATTTGCAGAGGTTTCCGAATGCCAGGCGGTAACGTTGACCATGCTTGATGCACCACGCAGGAGACTCGGGACAAATGTACAACAAGATGACCAACGGAACTGTCGGTATGAAGGGCGCGGCCAGTTGTAGCCGCCAGGCATCCGCGCCGTACTGTCCAGAAGTTGTGTCAGCTGTGGACAGACACAATATTCTCGCTCCAAAACTCACTTTGTACACCGCCGCGTTTGCAACGAATCCCAGGAAAATACCAAAAGCCGTCCACATCTGCCAGCTTACCGCTAGTCCCCCACGGATCGCTGCCGGGGCACATTCTGCTGTATAAACCGAGACTGTGCTCGTATTGATGCCTAGACCAATGCCGAGGAGAAGTCGAAAGGCGAGAAGCTGGGGCCAAGTTCTGCTAATTGAGGACGCCAAATTGGCTATCATACAAAGGATACCTCCTGTGACAACAGCCCCTCGTCGACCGAGTCGGTTATTGACAGGATCGGACAGCCATGCACCCCTTCTTTGGGTCAGCTTTTGGGGGTTAACAGCACAAAGATGCTGTTAGAACGACTTACAAAGCTCCTGTGCTCAGATATATACCGCTGTTGATAAGTCCAACGATGAAGTTATCGTGTTTGCTGTTCGACCCGACGCCCAGTGCCTTGGGGAAATACAGGTTTGCCCCGTTCATCCCTGTCTGAGCCCATCCCTGTTCGATTGCACCGATTGAGCAAACGAGGATGGTAAAGTAGAGCATCTTTGGTTGGCGCCATTTTCGATCCGTCTCCCATTGTAATGCGAGCTTCTCGGCTGCAGAGAGTCCGGGGATGTTCGTCAGCGGACAGTCGCCTGTTGCAAGATAAGCTGCCTTCTGGAATGTGTCGAGGTGGTCAGTCAGGCTGTACTGTTCGGCAAACTGCAGGATCTCGCTTGCAACTGGCAACTCCTCATTGGTGGCCTCTTCAGACACGCGAGGAGAAGGCACAAGCGAAGATGTGCCTAATTCTGCAGTGGCGGTTGTCTCCTGGTGCTGAGATAAGCCGCTGGCCTTGGACATCATGAGAGTTGGATGGTCATTATGTCAAGTAGACAATCTTTCACGCATTCTCCTCACATCCATCACCTTATGATCAGAGGGCGGTGGTTGACGTCTGGGAAATTGGTCGAGTAACATGGGTAGTCATGTGACTTTGATGTTCAACTTGTGGTTCCTCAAACGGAAGGTCATGCGAGCGAGTCAGTGGCGCTTGGCCTTTAGACTAATGAACGAGACGCGTACCAGTACGGCATAGTTCCTCACGTATATCTGAAGGTCATACGGAATCTCTACGTAAGACTATTGCTGTTTGTCTCTTGCTTTATGCATTCTCTTTTCCCGTCAGTTGGACGCCTCAAGGTTCTCGTGCCTGGGTATTCGCCCGAGGCCACTAGTCTGGGTGCTGTTTGCCATATCTGACATCGGCCCACGGAATCTTAAGATTGAATACGCTGGGGCTTCATGGAGTGAGATCTTATGTTACATCAGCGAGTCCACATCGCTCTTTACTGTCGTCGTGATGGATTAGCAAAGATTCGAAAACGTCGCGACTTGCGAACACGTTCGCGACTATGTAGTTCTGGCTATATCTCGAGCCACCGTCCTTTCGTTTCTACCTTCTCATTTCCCAGTCTGAAAAGCTCGAACGTAGTAGGGATTTCCTCAAGACACGTCTGACCTGCTCTCTCTCTGGTACTGCAACCAAACCCATCATGACCAAAGAATCGGCGGCAACGCCATCAAACCCTACAAATCTTCCCGCGCGCTATGAGGTTCGAAGGCTGACAGAAAAGCACATCCCGTGGGCTTGTGCGATTGTCTTTCACTCCATGCTGTACCACTCCCCTATATGGCCGAATGTCTACCCGGACGACATTTTCGGTCGACTGGGACGATGCTGGGAAACTGGTGACTACCTGATCCGCCACCAGATTGAGTCGGGCCACAGCTTCGGCGTCTTTGATCTCGACTACGAGTTCAAGCGCAAGGATTCTGCACCGGAAGGCAAGCTTCATTGGGACTTTACGGGACCTGCGCTCGCCGATGAGCAATTGATCGACGGGATGGACTTCCCCCTTGTCAGCGTCGCACTGGCATACGACCGCGTGAATGCCCTCGACGAGGCACAGATGGGGCCCTTGATTGGCTGCCTTCCTCTCGTGGGCTTTATCTACCACGTTCTCGAAGAGAGGGATCCCCGCCATGGTAGCTGGATCCCGACACAACCTAAACAGGTCCTGTCTCGCAATGCCACCGCAACTCGCCATGATGCATCGCGGAGAGGTCTTATGAGAAACCTCGCCGAGTTCCTCATGAGATATGCAGCCGAGGAAGGGTTCAAGGCTGTTCAGATCGAATGCTTTGCGGACTCGGTTCACAAGGTGTGGATGAACCCCCCGGCTCCCTTTCAAGCCAATCTGATCTCGGAACTGAACACCGGTGACCACTTCGAGTATAAAGAAATCGACGGCAAGGTCGTTTCTGTATGCATGTTCAAAGAAGTGAAGCAATATTGCTCCACGGTCGTCGTTGACCTAAAGCCAACCGAGACGGCTAGATCGTAGACTGATGCGACTTCCGAAATCTGGGCTTTGCCGGGGACACGAATCTAACGATATTCTGGGGGTCACAATAAGGACATTCTTGGAGAATATAATAAAAGGAATTTTAACTATGACATACTACTTCTGCCGGTTTGTCTTTCTGCTACAATCATGCAACCGTCGACTCATTTCTTGACTTTCTCGAAGCCAACAAAATCTGGAAGCGTAGCTCGGATTTCGGCGTGATATGCAGGGATGCCACCAGCCCAGTTGGTCTGTTCAAAAGCTTTGTCTGGCTTACTTCCACCCATGTAGGTCGACTTGGTAGTCGGGAACAGGCTGATGTCCGACAACGCGTTGATTTTCTTCTTGTACTCGGCCTGCGCGTCGGCTTTGGGATTGATGTACTTGAGACCCTGGCGTTCGACCTGCTTGATTGCATCTACAATCCACCGACCTTGGACCTCGACCGTGGTTGGGCCGTTACTCAAAAGAGTCGGACCTCTGTAGTCTGTTAGTAACCTTTTTGTCGGATCAAGCCAATGTGCCCGCTGAGTCAACAAGGCATCGTAGGGTATCTTACTGAGGACCGTAAAGATGGAACATATTAGGATAACCGCTGATAGTTGTACCCAGATAGGTGTAAGCAGCTTTCTTCCACTCATCCTGGAGTAAGTCGCCGTTGATGTTGCGGAGACCCATGGCCGTCATTCCACCTAGTGAATGCAGTCAGCTAAAAACTGAACAACTCGTTGCGATGGTGTCCACTTACCAGTCACGATATCAAATCCGGTGGCGATGCAGATGACGTCGAACTCATGCTCGGTACCGTCTTTGAGTTTGATACCTTTCTCGGTGAATTGAGAGATGGGGTTGTTCTTGATGTCGACTAGTTCAACGTTTTCGCGATTGAACTGTTCATAATAATTGAGTTCGAGGCAAGGACGCTTGACACCAAAGGGGTGGGGTGGCTCCAACGGTGCGACGAGGTCTCGAATCCTAGGATCACCAACTCGATAGCGAACATTCTTGGCCCAGAAGTTGTACGCCTCACGATTGGCTTTTGGGTCGAACAGGTAGTCTTTGTAGTTTCCCAGCCAGAATCGGAAGCCACCATCGGTCCAGAGCTTGCGGTAGAAGGCCTCTCTCTCGGCTGGTGTATCTTCGAAAGTGCCTTTCTCCGAAAAAGTATACAAAAATCCGCCGAAACATTTCTCACGAAGGCTGAAAAGCTCCGGGTACATAGGCTTTTGTTCGTTTTGCTCCTGCGCAGTAAGGGCTCTCTTCCTCATCGGCACGGCTAGGTTGGGAGTTCGTTGGAAAACCTTCAGATGCCCGACGTTGGGACCCCATTTCTGAACGATCTGAACTCCCGATGCTCCAGTACCAATGACGCAGCATTTCTTGTTCGAGACGTCAATGTTAAGGTCAGGCCAGAACGAGGAATGATGGCAGATGCCTTGGAACTTGTCAATTCCAATGAACTCATCGGGGATGTAGCGTTTTGCTGCGAAGCCAGCAGCAACGACCATGTACTTTGCCTTGGCAGTGCGTCCATCAGCAGTCTTGACGTGCCAACGGCCTTCGCCGGTCTGGAATTGTGCATCTACGACAACACTGTCAAAGGCAGTATGGCTTTTGATGTCCAAGACCTTGTCACAGTGGTCAAAGTATGCTCTAAGATCTTCATAAGTTGGGTAGTTGGATGGCCAGGTCCAGTCTTTGTATGTCTCTGGGATTGACAATTGGTACTCAGGGATCTTGCCCCTTGACATCAGTCACCAGTACATGGGCATGCAGTGGGGTGGGACAAACCTCGGAATCCACCATTGCTCCAGGCTATATTGACGTTAGTCTTGATAGATCCAGATGCGATCAGTGGAGTCATACGTAGCAATTCCAGCGCCACGTCCCTCCTAGGTCGTTGCCGGCTTCGTAGATGACGGTATTGAAGCCAGCCTTCCTCAATTCGTAGAAGCAGAATACTCCGCCAAAACCTCCACCCACAACAAGTGCGTCAACCTCCAAATTATCAGCATACGGGCCTGTCTTGGCCCTTCTGCGTCCATATTCTCGCAGTTCTGTCTTGATGGGAGGCATATTGAAGGTCAACTTTTGCTCGTCAAAGGGAGGTGAAGTCAAACTCTGCAGAAATTGCCATCAACGGCGATGCAGAATTCCAGGTCATTTTGTACCATTCCCATTATCGCATCGACTTCTGAGCATGGAGTGCATTACCCCAGACTTTCTCCTCGGTATGCGGAACAGACCAGCTCTAGAACACGGATCCGACGGGCGCTGGGATTTGCAGCGAGAGGTCTTCCGCACCTAGGCAGGCCATCAACAGAACTTCAGTATCGGCGGTACAGATGGAAGAAGAATAGCCCATCCCTAGCAGCCCGCAGCTGGATAGTCATGCAAAAAACAAGGTTGTCGTCTTCCCCCTCTCTCTCCTCTCATTTCTCCGCTTCAGTTGCGGAACCGCCAGATATACGGCGACGACATCATCCCTGCCCGCAGCACGCGATGCAAGTATTGGGGAAAAAGGCATCCTTACCTCTTGATTGCATTGGTGGACTTGCGAGCACGCACACAGGTTTGTTTCATGATGATAGCGAGCAGCAAAATGCGATTGAGGCGCACCACGTTACCAGTTTGCGGGTATAGATCATTCATCCTCATGAGGTCATACTTGTCCGCACTCACACTCACTTTACTTCTGCAACCATGCAGGTCAGATGTAGGTGGTATAGGGCAGGGTTGACATGTCTCATGGTTACACAGGGTTGGTCTCTATCGATAACCTGACAGACGCAGTACGGGGAAAGGTCAAAGATATGCCAAGATTGCTTCATGGATCTTTTGCACCACCGTACATATTACTGCGGACCATAAATTCGCTAGACGTATATATCGAATGACATGCGGCATGCTTGACGTATGGAGCTTCATCGCGCTGGCTATTGATATGATTTTTTTGATCATTACGCCATGTCCTGTTTTATTACCATTTTGTCCTAAGATTGTTTGTCGTGCTTGCTATATTCGCTCTAGCCGCCACCAATGTTTTGTAACACCCAGATCGCGGCAAGGGCCAGTTCTCACGCGTTTCGCAAACAGTCTTTCAAAAATTTCGCCGCCAGGAACGCCATATCTGATTTGTTTGCCAGGTTGAGCAGTCCCTCAATACAATAGCTGCATCTCGTCCTCAGCTGATACCGTTCATCATCTTCGTTGGACCAAAGCTTATCGGTCCACTGATCCCAAGACATCAAATAACGGATGAAAATGTAGCCGGCTCTGCTGAAGGATTGAATCAATACCACTGTCCAAGGTTCTGACAACAAAGCAACCTGGTTGACAGGGTACGAGAATTCTCGTGCCTTTGGAAACGATAGAGAAGGCCCATGAAGAGAGCATCGACATAACTCGGATACAGTGATTGCGTTACTCCTCCTCATACTGTTCGAAAAGTCCGATGTCCTTCTTATGTTCCGCTGAAATGTTTGGCTCAGACCTGCCTGGTCCATTTCTTCCACCGCATCAGCGAGTAACATTGCACCCAGGTGCCAATGCCCTGCGAGAACAATATACCAGGACTGGATGCGAGGTGGAAGGTCGTGGTGGTTGGCGATGCAATACGAAATGAATTTCCCGTACGTGTCGTTCCAGAAAGCATACACGCCCAGTGCTTCGTCGACTGCGAGTTCTAGATCTTCACTAGTTGCTCGTCTTGACATTAGTTTTTGGATGCGACCGACTTTGCGGAACAGCAGAACTTTGACGGGTGCTGCATCACACAAAATGGTTGATGCCTCCCCAAGACTGAAATAAAATTGACCCTGATCACCACATTGGAAATATCGAGATCTTGACTTTTCAAGAAATAACGTTCCCCACAGATCGCTTGACATGCTTTCGCGCCGTGTTTCTGAGAGTGAATCGGGAGTCCAGCCATCCAAATCAAAGGTCTTTGCTGAGTTCTGCTTTGTACCTTGCGATTTCTGTGCGTTTCCGGAATCGCAGGCATCCCAGGGGTCGGAGGATTCAATTTTACTGTCTTCATCCGAGACCACGAGAGGGCGTTGCAACATCGCAGAGGAAATGGTGTCGAACATTATTGCGAGCCAAGACAAGAGCTTGAAGGTTTCACGATGTTCTTCCGTTGGAATAGGAGTCGAATCAGTGGTCTGTACAAGATTGAACGACCTCGAATTGCGCGAACTTCTGCCTTGTAAGGACTGTCGCCGCTGGCGCCGTTCCCATGTCCAGCGAGAAGCTATCAGTTGCCTCAGGGCAGCCTCGAGGTATATTGGCGGGCCATCGGCATTGATGATGTCTTGGAGTACTTGCCATCTAGACTCGATGTCTTCTTTGCCTGAAAGTGGCCCGTACTCGCTGAAAAGGTCGCGGTCGATATCGGCCTCGCTTCCATTGAGGCGCGACCTCCAATTCGAATTTTGTATCCAGTCTTCAAGCTTGAGTGGCTTTTGGGTCAAGGAGAAGATGATATTCGCGAAAGCGACACGGTACGACTGGACGCCCGCTGCGTTCTGCAGTGCTTGACGTGCCTGGTACCACAACGTTTCTTGAACAGACCTTCCAAATTCGTCAGCAGCTGGCAAATGCATGTCTTCGTGTACATTCGACATTGATCCTGTTGATGAGCTATAGTTTCTCATATCACCCCTCGGTCCAGCTTGCGCCCACTGCACTCCGAAAGCCATGACGGCTGCATGCAATGCCTTACCCGCCAGTGAACTGTCGGTCTTGCTCAACCCCTTCCCTGGAATGCTGTTTAAAAAGCGATCCAGGCTGCAAACTCGAGCATATATTCTGTTCGACCACTGCGGGCCCCATATGGCAGAGTAGTTGTTCCCTGTATGGAGTTGGCTATCAGGTTTTTGTGAAAGGGTATAAGGACAATTTCTCTCTGTTAGCCAGCAAGACAAAGCGTTTTCGAAACTGTCATGGTACACATGCAACCAGTTCTGCGCTAGCAACCACCGGTTTGTACCAGAAACCAAACTTTCTCCAGACAGTATAGATGGCGAAACATGGGTTTCAAAAGTACTACATGCTGGAGCTGTAAATGGCTCTGTTGAAGGGAAGAGTAATCCATCGCCCTGTGGCATTGGAAAGCTGATATCCCCAAAGCTTGAGGTGTCCTGTGTCCAACCGAGATCGGAAAATTCGAGGCCATCATCTGTCGAGGTCCCTCCGCTCATGAGATTCTCGATGCCTGTGTTGTCGATATGCCAATCAGATCCTGACCCACAAGAGCCCAATTCTTGATTACGCCAGGTTGGGTCTTGTTGTCCCGTACGGTCTCCATGCCAGCCAGAATCTCCCAAGGCCTCGTTCGCGATCGGGTTGAAGTCCCAACTCTGTGTCTGTTGGTCAAACTTCGACCCGGCTTGACTCCTCCGGGTGTCTGAAGGATTTGCTAATTGAGGAGTATCAGTCTGGAACATGACTTGATCTCTCGACAAATGGGCAGTGCTGCGATGCTGCTGCTGCTGCTGCTGCTGCTGCTTTTTCTTGACTCCATCGGCTGCTTTGTATGATGGTATATCCTGGAGCCATGAGAATGTGCAATCCCGACCACTTTTTTGGCAATTGCTACACTTGGCGGCGGAACCTTGTTGTCTCTCTTCGCGGTTCACAGACTTTGCGTACGAGGATTGCTGTTTCCGACCGTCCATGAGGACAGTCCCAACGGTATGGGCAGCATCGCAAGCTCGCTTTGCTTTTCGACATTGATCACAACTGCTGTGCTGCTTACGGCGAACCCTTCTGATAACGACATTTCGGTGTTCCATGTTGGGGTTTAGTAAACGGGTTCGGGGATCAATCATCACACTCGCAAAGTCCTCAGAAGAAGATGCCACTTGGTCCGGCAGAATTTCAGCCCAACATCGGCGATTCTCCATCGCCGCCCCGTAAGCACAACTCGCATCCTGCTCCGCTGGCAACCGACCCCGCAACAAGGAGAAAAAGGAACGCGGGGGAAGGGATCCTTTCTATATCAGGCCTTACCGAGTGAGGCATTCTCTTACCATCATCGAAGATCGTTGCTTGGGCTTGTCGCGATATACTCCGCAACTGCATACCTCTGTCGGGATCGGTAAGCCTGAAAATTGTGTCTTGCTTGCGGTCTACTCTTGAAGTATTCTAGCATCACCAACTAGGAAGGGACTTTCCCTCGATCCGGGTTTGATCGACATTTCTCAACAAGCCCATCAAACAGCTCAATGTGATCAAAATCTTGTTAGTTATTTGAACACAAGAGGGTGTGTTCCGGAGTTTGATGCACCATGCGAATAGTGACCTTGATGCATTGAATGTCTCTGTTATATCCAATGGTACCTGGAGAAGAGTTAGCTTTTGTCCGGCGCACGGGACTTCGCCGCCTCTATGACTTTCTTCTTCGAGGATACATCTGTCAGCCTATCGACCATCATTTTTTTCAATGGAAGCTTGGTATTGTGCTTCGGACACCAAGGACGGGGTGCGATCTTGGCTTCAGGTTTCACCGGGTCATCATCTACACTTTTGTTATCTGACAAGGCTGGCTTTATCTAGACAAACCCTTTGCAGAAACTAACCTAGGACTTGTGTCCATAAGCTGACCAGCTGTTCAGCTGTCCATCTATCGGTGCCCATACTAGTCATCGTTGCCTTAAACGGTAAGTTCCGAAGTAGCAAAGGGGAGCGAGCGGTGAGGCCCATGGTCAGCCCCTTGCAAGGCTGAGAATCGGCGCACACTATCACGGAGGTCATCTCTGCATGGTATCGCCCCATTTCAGTCAGGCTGCAGTTTAGTTGCAGTGAATGAGACCTGGCGTCAGCCACACTCAATGTTCTCACTTCTCAACAATCCTTCTACGAATGTCGGAACAGAGTTGAAACACAAACCTATGCCTAATCATACCTGCTCGAGAACCCAATTGTCCCTGCTGAGCACAGGTAGAGTCGGCCAAGTTTGCCCCAGAGTTCCCCCTGCAAGACGATAGAGACCACATCTTCAACAGTAGGCGAACTTTGCTCCCTCGAAGTACGACTAGGGACAGGAAAGGTCGGATCTATAGATTTGCTCGAAGACACCATTTTCTCCAGACTCCTACCGACTACACATTCTGACTTTTATTCGTTGGATGATTCATACGAGTGGTGCCACCAAAAGCAGGAATCGAACCACTCAAAAGCCCACGATCTGCAGGCGACGTGAATGGGTGGAATGGTGGGTGCATAACCACCCTGGTCAGAAATTCCTTTTGGCGGAATGAATCAAATTACCGCTATTGTGATTTTGGCGGTGCCCCCGAGTGACTTTTGGCAATTCCTACAAAAGGACCCAGAGTGTGCGTGCACGGCTCCTCGGGCAGAAACGACCAGGTTCAGTTTGAGGTGGACTAAAGACGTTGTGTCTATCAGGAAACTGTACGTACATTGCGACCCACACTGTCGCTTCGTCCCAGCACCATCCGTACTCCGTATGTCGATATCGGGCGTTCGGTGACCGGGGGGCCATCACCTCGAGAGGGCAGCGAAGCAGGTGCTAGGCAAAGTGGTCACTACCTTGCATTATCGGCATGAGGTGGTGTCGACCCGCCAGGATGCAAGGGAGTTATCCTTGGTGCGCGTCCAACACGGTGGAGGCATGTGCTCTCAGCCTAATTGAACCCTGGGTGAGCCCTCTCGCGCCATGTGTGTCAGGCTCTGTGCAGGTGGGAGGCGCACACTGTTGATGCGTCACCGAATTCTCAACACAAGTGGGCATCCATGCCCTCCTAGCACCAGCCCATTACCTTTTTAAAGATGTTGTCGATGATGATGAGTCCTCTATACGAGTGGCTTGCAACAAGGTTGTCTTCTTACTCCGTACGTGTCCCTGATCCAGACACCTTGGAAAAGCAAAAGAAAAAAAACAGGGAAGAAGGTCGGGGCCTGTATTTACTGTTCTTTTGTTTCTGTTTATACTTTGCTTTTTCAAAAAAAGAAAAAAAGAAGAAAAGAAGAACCACTCTAGAGCTCATGAATCGGAGCCTCTTCTGTTAAAGTATTGATTTTGTCACAAAGTCTTTCAGGTGACGGGTCCTGATTTGAAAGAACCCTGGAGTACCATCTCTTAGGATGAATAGTAAATCGCCTACCAGAGAGGTTGATCACTTCTGTTCTTTGTTCACACCACACCGGTTTCGTAGTTTACCAAGCTGAGATGGTTACTTTCCCGTATCCGTGCCGTACCAGGGAAGTCTACAAGCATCACCCATGCTGCAACTTGCATATCCGTGAAACGGGAATTTTTGATCGGTTCAAGAACATGTCACTGTTAGAGCCTTCACCGCCCCTTTGAGTACCTGCCCACAGACCCTGGTCTACAAAAAAAACCGGAAAGAAAAAGCAAAGCAAAATGTTGCATGAATCCGAATCGGCACATGGGGGCCAGGGAAACGCGCACCCAACGCTCCGTACCTTGCATTTTGGCGTTACGGATGGGAAAAAAAGGGGACAACGTGAATTAAAAAAAGGCGAGGCCAGCAAGCGAAGCAATATTAGGCGAAGAGGAAGGACACTCGTCAAGGAGGCTTCGGATGGAGGGGGGGGGGGTGATCAATCACCCTTTCCCACCACTCAAACTACTGTACAGAGGGATGGAGGGAGACCAGGATGTCCCTACTTGTAAGTTGTTACCGAGTATAACCAAATCACCAAATTGCCAAGTCGAGGAGATGATGCAGCAGCTCTACTCACTCACTCCCTTGGTAGATGCAGGTGTCGTCGATGGTCAATGGCAACCACCATCTCCATACCAGGCCAAACTTCACCCAAAACCCGGTGACCTCTGAGCGTGCTGTACACACCTATCAGAGCATCTTGCTCCCTTCTCACACCTCACATCGTCACGACCTTTACTCGGTACCATTTGCGCCGTGGATAACAACTCATCGGATTGGTTTGCCTTGATAGTGGCAGCGACGGCGCTGACACCCGCTCAAGCTCAAGTCCTCAGCAGGCGACGACAAAATTTCGCACCACTGCCAACATGACCCAACACGAGCGAGGATGGAGCAAGTCCCACGTCAAGTCCTATTTGCTGCATAACCGCTTTCACCATTCCTTGTCATCCATTTTTTTGGTCCCAGTCCCTCCCAAATAAAACCATTCTGAAAACCACTACTTTTTTGGGTGCATCAAGGAAACAAAAACCCAGTAGATTCGATCCTCCCAATCGAGGTTTTGATGAGGTCAACATCCAGGTCATTTCCTCAAATACAAGTTAGAAGTGTGTTGTTAGACGCCATTGTAGAAGAAGTCCGTAGTAAGAAGAAGATGTGTCCATGTGTGTGGGACTCGTCAAGAGCCGTTTCACATCATTTGGTCTTGTGTCATTCCTCCAGTAGCTTCTTGTCCCTCCATGTCGTTGCCATTCGCATTGGTGTACTTGACAAAGGTCAAGCCGAGGGGGCGGCCGCCGTACATGTAACCAGAGAATTTCGCTGTGTCAATGGTTAGCAGCTTCCTCATTGACAACAGGCGATAAGACTTACAGATGGCAGTTTCGGCATTTTCTGGGCTGTCGAACTGAACCACACCGGTTCCTTTCGAGCGTCCATTGGGTTCGTACTGGATCTCGGCGCGCTCGACCTTACCAATAGTCGTGAAGAGTTCGACCAAGTCGTCGTTGCTGGTGGACCACGGGAGCTGCAAACAGTCGTCAGCACAGAGGTAGCGTACGAAATCGACGTGACCATAGTACTTACGTTCCGGACAAAGATGATCTCACTTCGCTCCCCTCCATAGGTGGCATAGTCGGTGAAAGGATTGGGTGCGACGGGCTCTTGAGGAGCTGCAACTGGTCCGCCGCCACCATATCCACCGCCGCCGCCGCCGCCGCCATAACCACCACCTCCGCCATACCCTCCACGGCCATAGCCGCCACCTCCGTATCCTCCACGACCCCCAAAACCACCACGGCCACCGCCATAACCGCCTCGCATGCCGTAGCCGCCACCGTAACCACCGCGACCACCGAAGCCCATACCTGGTCCACTGGTTGCATAGCGATCCTCACGGACTTCGAGAGCGCGGCCATTCCAGTCGTAGCCATTGAATTGATTGATTGCGTTGCGAGCGTCGTTAGCGGACTCAAATGCAACAATACCGGTACCTTTGGGTCGGCCAGTGGCGTCCATGTGGACATCGGCTCGGATGACGCCGCCTTCCTGCGCTACACAATGTAAGACAGGTCGACCTTATGTCAGTAGAGATGGGGCTTACCAGCGCCACGGAACAAGTCTTTCAAGTCCTGCCAGCCGACATTGAAGGGGAGCTAGAGTGCGATGTTAACTATGACCTCCCACGACAAAGGGTATTTAGATTGAGAAACAAACATTGGAGATGTAGAGTTGACGGCCACCGCCGCCGCCGCCGTAGGGGTCACCTCCATATCCTCCACCACCGAAACCACCTCGTGGTGGGCCGCCCATGCCACCGCCGCCACGGCCTCCTGGTGGGCCGATGAATCGTGGCTCAGTTTCGCGGTCCTGATAGGAAAAACAGCAGTTAGAGAAGAATAAGCGTCAACAGAGCTGAGAATGTCATACTTCACGGACATAGACGAGGCGTCCCATCAGACTCTGATTGCTAAGTGTTTGAATAGCTTGTTGGGCTTGATCCCTAGTTGCGTATTCCACAATCCTGCGAAAGTCAGTAAGAGCAACATGGCCGGTTGAGAGGATCAGCATACCCGCATCCCTACAAAAAAACCCGAGGACCAGGTCCAACCCGTCAATCCAGCGTCCAACAAAATAAAACCAAGAAAGAAAGACCAGTAGAACCAGCCGCATCACACAATGGCGCCCACCTTCGACATTCCATTTGGAAGTAGTAAGACATCGGCAAAGAGAACTTCTCCAGCTATTTCCCCATTCAGCAACACTTCACAAACATCGACTCTGGTGATGAACTAACCCTGTCTCATGAAATCTTTCAGATGATGCCATTTGACGTCGTAAGCCAAATTGCCAACATAGACCCGACGGTCTTGCTGAGATGATTCGCGCACCGATTGCATCATTTGTTCTTTTGCAGCAGCACGGTCTTCGCTTGATCGATATGAGCCTCCGCCTCTGCCGCCGTAGCCAGACCCTGCGTATCCTCCGGATGGATTAGGTGCTCCGCTCATGGGACTTCGGGATCGGCGTTCACTGCGACGGTATTCGTCACCTCGACTGCGAGAGCGGCTACGAGGAGAGTAGGAGCGGCGGCTGCGTCGAGGGCTGCGCGATCGGCGACGGGGTGAACGAGATCGGTCTCTCTGTGTGTAATTGTCAGAATAATGTCGACTCAAGGTTATCATAATGCACGAAGAGTGAGGTTGGATTCAAGAGACGCGCAAGTGAATCCGAGACACCGTTGCACGTGGAAACGAAGGTTCGTGTGATTGTTGTGCAGGTGAGGAAGATGGTGAATTTCGCCAGTCTGTTTGCTGCGTTGCTGGTGAAGGACATAAGGCAGAAGTGGAGTCTCCAGGCCAAATGACAATGGGTTTGAGGTGAATTTGGACATCACCTCAATCCCGGTTCGAATCATCGGCGGTTTCGATCTGTGTTCGAAACAAGAGATTGTGTCACTTACTGTACGTCCAAAGAGTCAGCCAAATCACAATCTCAACCAAAAAATGATCAAACGAAATAAACAAATGAAGGAAGAGTGAGGTGGGCAAGGACGATTTTCGTGCAGTGGAAGTGATCAGAGCAGAATTTAGGGCAAGACAAGGTATTGAGGGACAGGCCAATACGGGGACGGAATGGCGAAACTGGGGCTGAATAGACTGATGAATGAAAACGCACCCATGATGAATGACTGCCGAGAAGTTGCGCTGCGGCCGGTTTCAACTGTTGAGCTCTACGAGATCAGGATCGCATGCACGAGAATGCAGGAGGGGAGGGGGTTAGAGGCCAGCTAACAAGGTTTCCCGAGTTGTACAAGGGCTGTCAGGACAGTTCTTTGAACGTGAGCAGCTCGATTTGTCTCGGGGGCAGGTGGAGCAAATTGCAAGGCCACCAAAAGGATAGAGTGGCAGGATTTCTTTCGAACCTGGCAGAGCCTCAGCTACGCATCCACAAGAGAGTGAGTCGCTCGACGTACGTCTTTCCCACTGCAACTCGACTGTAAGGTCCGGGTGAAATTTTCGATGGGCGTGCGAGCACAGCAGTACAAAGGCGGGGCGGCGTGAGAACAAGCTAGAGCGAGAAGCCCGGTGGAGATGCGTTTTCGCAGGCTTGAAACTCGCTGCTGTGCAAAGGCGTTGCTATTGGACACCGGCGTGTTGATATGGTGGGAGGAGGAGTGGCCTATTCCTGCAGTATGATGCTGCAATGGGAAACCCTGTATGCCCACACCTCAGTCAGCATTTTCAGCTTCTTCTATTCCGCACGAGTTATCATCCTTCCAGCACTCGATTCCAGCGAGTGCCTCCGTCGCCGGACTCTGGAAAAGGCAGCGCATGGTGGGCTCGTCCCATCTAGGCTTCGCGCAGGCTCTGTGACTGTGTCTTCTCTTGTGATGACCGGGGCATGTCTGACCAACCAGTGATAGTGACCGAACAAGACTAGTGGTCTTGCGTCAGAACCGTACGAACAGGGGGTATGCTTCGGCAGCAGTACCCAATGGAGATTGTTCGAGGTTAGGAAGGTGCTGGGAAGGGTGTTGGGAGGTTTCTGTCCGTGATGGAGTCAGCAACATGGACTCGTGCGTGTCAGAGCCTGGACGGCAAGCATTGGCCGTTCGCTCAACGTGGAAAAGGGAAGCAATCGGGCAAAGATACCGTAGTAGGCGACAAGGGTTTCAAAGGCCTGCAGCTATTTGCGGACACGGCGCGTGCAGGAGAGGGATTGAGCGAGAGGAGGTGCAGGAACAGTGTGACGGCGCGGTTGGGAAGTGGAAGAGACGTTCTTGATCTGTGAGTGGGTGGAGGCCTTGGCGCTAGTGACTGTGCCTCGCCAGCCAGAGAGAGAGTGATGAGCTTGATTGATTATTATTGAGTGATTCTCCCGCTGCTCCTGCATTTTCACTGCGGAGTTCTCAGGATTAGGAGGAGTATCTTCCTAAGGAACTACGGAGTACCGAGTCACTTGTTGGTATGCAATTCTACTCGTTATCCTCGCTCTCGATTCACACTTTATTCTGCCCCCCCCCTACTTACGAAGTACGACGCCCGCACTCCTTGTATCTTGCTACTCGTGCTCCATACTCGTACCCGTCATCCGAGCTGCCCACCCACACAATGTGCAAGCCACCGGAGCATCCATCGTGCCTCTTCCATGTCCGTCACATTACGCAAGATTGGTTCAACAGCGAAGTGAGGAGAGTACGGAGTACTATACAGATCATATACGGAAGCTCAAATTGCTCAGGCTTGTTGTCCATTTGAGTACGGCTCCGAGTCGGCAAACAATCTGCCATGCCCGAGTTGAGCTTGTACATGTACTGTACTTCATCACATGGAAGCGTGCTCAAGGTCCTCAATCAACAAACTTAGTCGTGCATGTCTCGCACTAGCGCAAGCTGCCAGTCAAGGTCGACCAAGGTCCATTACTTCAAAGGTCTTTGTTCCAGCCACGCCTAAATCGAGTACCTCTCTAGATGCGGTCCCTCTCCTCCAGTCATGAATCTAGTATGTCGGATTGCAAACACCATGACTCGTACGGAGTACTCTTTCACAGACTTCTATCATGCGGGGAGTCCCAAGCCGGTTCTACTCTAATGCAAGGCGATCTGCCGTCGCAATCGTGTGCAACGCAAGACAGTGTTCTGGAGGGGAATTGACGTCCAAAAGACCAGGGGGTCAGCACATTGGCTAGTAGGCTAAAAAGACGGCCGCCTATATTGGTGTTGGTCCCGAGGCACCGTCTGCAATGATCGGCATCCCCGGCCATGAGAAGTGGTACCTCCTTGAAACTAACTACAGATATTTGAGCCTACCATGCAGCCGCGCCGACACAGACACGAGAGGTACGATCTCGAGCTACAGTACACGAAATCGTGTGCAAGCATAACCCAGAGCGGGTACCCTAAGTGGCGGGCTAGTAAACGTCTTCCTGCACGTCGCAAAACTAAATGCATCGAGGCCTACCTGACTGACCTCCCAAGTTCGGTTGCTCAGGTCAAGTCCAAGCAAGCCACAAGTGGCCATAGATGAGGGGTGAAGCAATGACCGAGAGAAGCAAAGCACATGGAAGCGGAACAACTGACCTCCACTTGAGTTGATATCACTTCTTTCGTCACAGACTTGGTGCTTTCCGAGCTGTGGTTTCAGCACACACGACTACGAGTGTCGGCTATTTTGGATGAAAACTTTTTGTCACGCTCTCGACCATCATTGAGACCTTCTACTCCGTACAGTAGGTAAATAGAGCTCGAAGCTTATCAGGCGCAGTTTTACATAGTCTATGGAGTACGAAGTTCAGCCACCCTGCATGCACTGTATTTCCCTCCGGCACTTTGACTGCCGAACTGCTGCAACGATATGGAGCATTCGGGGCAGACCACCACTCCGTAAAGACTTTAGCACGCGTAGTAGTCAAGACAAGGTGCTGCATGTGTAGCATGATCCTTGTCCGCACGGGGAGTTCGGCACCGTCTTTTGAAAGCACGGTTGACCCAAACAAGCGCACATATGAATGATCATTCGAATCCCTGTTTTGTACTACAACTGGTGAGAGAGGCCATCGCCAGGCCTGTATATTCATCTACCGTGTTCGTGATAATTCGTAAAACAGCCGGAGGGTCGGACTCGAGGTGGCCGGCTCCCGAAGCCGATAAGGCTGAGAAGAGAGTAGGAGGGGGAAAAAACCAACTTCTCTCTGCTTCTCGCTCAGACAATAATGTCGCAAGCAAGCCACATGCTGTTTTAGTCTCGACCGACGGAGAACGAGACGTCGAAGGCCACCTTACGCGCAACCTGTACAGTAGCTTGCCCGGACCAGCGGACCGTTTGTAGATCACCTAGCCTGTCCATTAATGCACATCATTTTCGTCGCTTAGCCACTTTGGCAAGCTATCTGAACGTCAACTACAACATCATCGTCGACCCCCCTCCCCGTCCCCCAAGCCATGTCATCGAGACCTCGGCAGGCCACCGCAACCGTGGCCGCGTGCCTGTCGACCATGCCCTTTAAAGCATGCCGGCCTCGGTGGGCGGCGTCGTCACGGTTTCGACGATCCTACTTCTCCATACACCATCCCGACCCTCCTCCGTTCGAGGAAGCGCAGGATACAATTCTCGCCGCCGCCATTGCAAGGGTACCCAAGTCCGGATTCTCGGAGGATGCGTTGGTGTTGGGCGCCAGAGACGCCGGCTACCTCGATGTGACCGTACAGTTGTTTCCCCGGGGTGTTTTCGACCTGATCAATTACCACCTGGTCACGCAGAGACTCGCGTTGAAGAACAATGTACAATTTCCGGAAGGGACGCACTTGGGCCTCGGGGCCAAGGTGCGATCATTGGTCATGGCACGGTTGAGAGCGAACGAGGACATAATACATCAATGGCAAGGAGTAAGTAAGGAATGCACGTTTGTTGAACGAACAGGCACTGATGTACCCAACTTCTTCTCTTACAGGCACTCGCACATATGTCTCTCCTCGGAAACATCCCGGCCTCCCTGCAAGAACTCACAGCCCTCTCCGACGAGATTTGGTACCTTGCCGGTGACACGGCCGTGGACTTTTCCTGGTATACAAAGCGAGCCACCTTGGCCGCAGTCTACGCCAGCTCGGAGGTATTCATGGCCACGGACACGTCGAAGAATTTTGCCGCGACCGAAGAATTTTTGACGCGCAGGTTAGAAGATACACAATACATCGGGAGCACTGCAGGAGGCTTGACACAATACGTCGGGTTCTGGGCCGGCAACAGTGTCAATCTCGCTCGAGCTTGGGGGTTGAAGGTATAAAAGATTACAAATCTACACCTCTCATACTTCCGTTCGGCAGACGGGCGTGATTTTCGGAAGCTGCTACAAATTGCTCCGTACGGTAATCTTGTTCGACTTGAAAATTGTCAGCAAATGCATCCTTGTACGTGGTTGCAGACGAGTAACTTGTCGCGGGCACGTCTGTCGAGGCTCTGACAAATGGCTTGGCCAAACAGATCGCGGTCCATCTTCTGCCTCATCTGACAAGCCTCTGCATAAGGGTCGCGCTCACGAGCTTACTGAAATGTTTCAGAGCAAAAGCCCCCGAATCAAATACTCCTAGCTTGGGCTCTTTATTATCGTCTGCTTCTGTGTCTGAGCAGACAACATTCACACCGAACTCAGCGCAAGCGTACGATACCGACAACGCCAGTATTATACATTTGGCGTCTATTCATCCGGGCTATGGATCTCCAGCGTTCACCACTCGACTCAAAAAGGTGAAAAGTCATGGGCGTTGGCTCTTGGGTGAACAGATCAAGGCATAATCATCAAACCTCCCGAGATTGTCCTATGTAGTCGGACACGACTCATACCCACTGTATAATAAGTTGAATAAAACGTAAAATAACAACAAAATAATCAAGTGACAACAGCTACGGTTGTCGTAGACTTTCAGGCCCCTATTCGTACTCGGTAGCAGAGGTAGAGTTGGATTATACAACGAATTTGGAGAAATATTTATTCGATCGCTCAACGTGCACGCGTCTTCAATATCAAACCACAAAATCAACATAGAAAACAACATCAGAGAAGACGGGAGCCGGTTGAGGACTCCGGTGGTCAAGTCTGTTTCTCTAGATTCCACCTCACTTCCAACGTCAGTGTTTTGGGACCTACCCTTTCTTTTGGGAGCATTTCGACCAGAGTGTCGACTTATCAGTTTTCGATTGTTTGTCAAGCCCGACAAAAACAACGACCGGGGGGGTTTGTTCAAAATGCGTTTCAATCTGGCAGAAGAATCTTTTGCGATGCAGGCTTCTCCATCCAAGGCTCGGGCGGAAGCTTTGGAGTCACACTCTTGGTCTTTGGTTCTGGAATGGCTCTCAAAGTTGTACCATCCGTCACCCATCCCGGCGTTTGAGCGTAACTCATTCACCCTTCAAGCTCTGCAAAGCCTGATGGGAGAAAACATCGCGGCCGAAAGATTGAGAGATTTGGTGTACGAGGCACAAATCGAAGAGCTCTTCACGACGACGACGACGACGACGACGAACGAAAAAGACAAAGACAAGGATACGTTATCCGCTCAGAATGACTCCACCAATACGACAACGACGACTACAAAAGACCCCAGGAATCTCCTTTACCGGATTCGATCGTCTCTATCGAAACCATCACGTACCGCATTAGACAGTATATCAGAAGCTGCAGTCATCGCCGGTTGTTCGGCCTCATCCTCCTCGGCAGGAGGGTCCTCCCGGCAGAATAAGACGATCCTACAAGATTTACAGTCACACATCACCAGCCTTCCCATTCAGTTGTTCAAGTTGGAGACTCAACTCGAGTCTATAGATGACCTGATATCAAACCTTCAAGGAGAAATCGAACAATTCCAAAAATCGACCTCGTCGACAAAAAACAAATCCCGAACCCGGTCCCGCCGAAAAGACCGGTCAACAACCGTTCCCTCCGGCACTGGAGGAGGTCGTTCGATCTCTTCACCCCCTCAGACCCCGACTACGTTATCGACCATGACTTTTCCAAACGATGATGATGACGAGGACGAGGACGACGAGGACGACCGGCATTATACAACACTACACGCCGAGACGGTCCAACATCAACGAGAGACGAAACAACTCACGATCAAATGTGCAGAGTACACTGAACGCATCGCCTCACTTGAACGACAGGCTTCTGTTTCGTCTTCGACCACCACCAACGAACCCACCCTTGCAGATGTGGCGGAGAAACAAGTCCTCGTTACCCAAAAAAGAAAACGTGTCGAGCATCTAGGAAAAAAGATCCTCCAGTTTCACAGCCTCCCACCTGACCTGGACGCGAGTAGAACCGAAGTCCGCCGCGCCCAGGCGGAACTGGAGCTGTTGAAAAACAAAAGGGACGATTTATTCGCACAGTTGGGTTCGTCATAACAGAAAAAAAAAGAAAATGGCAAGCTTTCGGACCAGGCTACTGTGGTAAATCGATCTAAATTGACCAGGCCACCGTTTTGTATGAAGCATAGATCTCCTAGAGGAAGGAAAAAGGTGCCACTGTCACGAACTCCTATTATTCATGACCGAGTAATTTTGGTGGTTATCATGTATTCTCAGGTATCTAACTACTCAAGGTTTCAGGAGTAGGTGCTTTCGCAAAAAGTGACGAAGCCATCCCGTAGGAAAAACCCTCAATCGACACCAGCGCTCCTTCCGAGCTCAAAGAATGACTGGCACATAAACTTGACGCCAGAAAACCAAAGGTTGCCATACTCATACATAATGCCTCCCGAAGTGATGACAATTTCCGAAAGCCGAAGCTGAAATACCCTTGATGTGCAGAGAAAAACAATTAGACAGCTGTTTCTATCCGCGTCCTCTTGGTCGATCCTAGCATTTCCTCCTGTTCACGCTTCCTGGCAGTGATGACCTTGTCTCTCTCGGCCTTGGCAGCAAGGTACTTTTCCGTATGTGCAAGAGGCTGGCCGTCTCGTCCACGCACCATGGTGTCTGATAGAGTTGGAGGTTTGGTGAAAAACAACACTCGTCCTTCGTTGTCCTGGGGGAAATTGTCACGGATGTGTTTGGGAATGGACTCGTTCGCAATGTTGGATAGAACATAGACCTCGGAGCCACGTGGTTCCGCCATCTGTGGAGCGTATTGATTGTAAGGTGTTGCTTGTGTTGGTGGTCGCTGATAGGGCTGTGGCGCAGCGGGAACACTATAATTCGTAGGATGTGACGCCGTCAAGTTAGGCTGAGGATGCAGCTGTTGGCGCGCCGCATAGGGGAGTGGTTGGGTGGCTGGTGTCTTTGGTGTCGGAGCGGCTTGAAGGGGAGTTTGAGATTGCGGATACGAAGGTTGCCTGGAATAAGTCGGAGGCGCGGGTGATATGGATTGTGGCTGGTAGGGAGTCATCTGAGGAGGCAGAGATGGCCGGGATGCTTGAGGCTGCATGTTTGTCGAGCTTGCAATGATGCTGGGAGTTCGATCCATGCTTAGTCGAGAGACGGATTGCGCCGACATGTTATTTAGAGAAGGCTGTCGGATGGGCTGTGGAGGCGTGGGTGGTGGCGGAGGCGTTGGTTCTGGTGGTGGCGATTGCTGCAATAAAGAAAAGTGTCAGTGAGTGCAGGAAAAAGACAGATCAGAGGATTAAAAGGGAGGATAAAAGTAGCAGTGACATGAGAGTGAAAGCACATAGCCTTACATTTTCATCACGAGGATGCTTGTGAATGGCTCCCACAATCGGTGGTGCATTAGGGTGGCCCCATTGCGGTGAAGGAATTTCATCCGTCTCCTTCATGTCGTCCTTCAGTAGATGCTTTAAAGGGCTCGGCAGCTTTCTGATTCTCCGAGGCTGGTCAAATAAGTCCATCTCATAGTCCTTGTCTCTCACTTCATCGGGGAGGCAACTGGCCCATGTTTTGATCTTGTTGAAGCGGTGCCTCTCTTCGTTATATCGTGCTTCGCAGACATATACCTCCTTACTTGGGTCGACTCCTCGAGGTCGACCACGGCTATACCGTGTCACAAACATGACAAAGCACCGGTCGACGACTTCTTCGATTTTGTGATCTCGATACTGACCGGTCTTGACCACTTCGTTGGGAAAGAAGTGCTTTTCGTATTGATGGACTGTTTGCTCTGGCCGATAATACCAGCAGGCATTTATCCACTTTTGCCCATCGGAATCTTCCCATGTACGATAAATCTGTGCAATGATGGGTTTGGTGATATCGTTGGGATTTGAAATATGTATCCAATCCCCCACTTTCCAGAGCTCATTCTTGTATAATATGCCAGAGGGCAACGGTCGTCTTCCGTCCTCCAGGAGGTAGACGCTGTCTGGCTTGGCCTTCTCAATTTCCAGAAGTTTGTGTGCCTCGGCCTGTAACTCCACGGCATCATTGTAGATCTCGCTTCCTTCCTCATTGAATCTCTTCGCGTTGTTGTAGAGCAGGTCAATGTCTTTCATGAATTGTTCCAATGACTGATACTTCTTACGCTTGGATTTCTTCTTGATCGAGTCCAGGGCGATGGGATCCGTGATGGCCATGAAATAAGCTGGGTACTCTGCTTTATCGGGCAGTCGTTCGAAATTCCGTACCTTGGGGTTTCCAGCATCGTCTTTCAGCTTGCGAATACCTTTCAAAACGGCCTTGATCCTCGCTTCCATCGGAGTGTCGACTTTGGGAGGGCGACCTCTTCGCTTGCGAACATCACCGTCGTCCAATTTATCGTCATCTTCGCCACGACTCTTTCGACCAGATATACTGGGCCTGGTGCCTCGGCGACCTCTTCTTCTCCTTCGGTCATCGTCGGAATCATCATCGTCCTCGTCGTCTTCTTCACCGTCATCTTCGTTATCTTCGTCATCCTCTGAGACAGGATCTGGTTCCGGCGTCGCATACGGAATCTCTCCCAGGTCTGGAAATACTGTCTCTTCTTCCTTGGCTAGTCCTTCGCTAACCAGCTTGTTCAATTCTTCTTTGAAGACATCTTGTAGTACAAGGACGTCGCGCACGGGGCCCGAATTTGGAAGATTGTAGACTTGTGCATTGTGCACTATCAAAGCAAAATCTCGAACGAACTCTGGGATCCCTGTGTACTGCTTCCTCTGTATTTTGCCCTTAAGTGTACTGAGTGCGGCAGGCTCCTTGATGATCTCGTGGTAGTCTGGTAGATTGCGTCGGTTGGGAATGCGTCTAAAGAGGACAGATGGGTAATGTTCCCTGGATACATGTTAGCTGGGTCGTTGCATATGGAGCTAGCACACCTACTCGTCGCCCTTAACCTTGATCTTATAATTGGTCAAGATTTCGGCGATATTTCTGAGTGCTTTGTATTGTTCGCTCGAGACACCTTGACTATCTCCCCCCACCTCATCTTCTTCCGCTTCAGCATCTTCATCGGACTTTTCCTCTGCAGCATCTTCTTGCTTTAAGTCGGTTTCGATCGACTGAACGGGTTCTGTAGTCGCAGACTCTGCGACTAGGGTAGGTTCAGCCATCTCAAACCACAACACGACCAAATCGCGCCAATCTTAGGACATCAGTTGTAAAGGTATGCCATATGCGCGCGCGTTGTAATTGCTGGCTCGTACGTGTTGCAGGTTCAAATGCGATTGCGACAAGTCTGGTGTTCACAAACATGGGCGCGTTGAACAATGCACTAGAATGACTCGAGAATAATTCGAGCTTGGAGGATCTTGGCAGGTAAGCATGACTCGTGCACGGAATCGGCAGTATCCCGTACCGAGTACTTCTCGTATCAGCGATCTCAAGATCCATTGGTAGATGACTAAAGCTCGAACTGCTAGAAACCCTTTGTCCGATTGATAGCCAGGGACTGGTTTGCAGGAGTGCAATTTCCAACGCGAGGGCAAGAAAGATCTGTAATTGTCTAGTACCTTCTTCCAGACTCAAAGGAAGAAAGAGCAAAGAGTCACCACTCTTACGACTGTCCAACGGCCCTCGTTCGCCTTCTCCGTGGCAAAAAGCTGCTGACAGGGTGTCTGCTCGGTGTACCTGTATTCGAGAACTCGATTGCCAGTTTATTCTCCCTTAATTCCTTCATATACATTGTCTTCACCAAGATGCGAATCCGTGTGAGGGGTCCCTCAGGCAAATCGACTACAGTCACGCTGGACGATACTGCGACTGTGGAATCTCTCAGGAAAGCTGTTACAGAAGAGACATTTCTTTCTTCTTTCGAAATCAAGTATGGCTATCCACCAAAGACCTTGATGTTAGACCAGTACACTGCGAACAAGCTCTTATCGGACCTGGATGTCAAGCTCAACGGCGAACAACTCATTATTAACAGCACTGAGACTGTCATCCGGAAGAATATAGCTGAATCGTCACAGACTGTTCAGCATTCGGAAAAGGAAAGTCATCCTTCAGGAAGAGTAGCCGGATCGTCCACAGACCAGACCAGTTCGTCACACTTATCCCCACTAAAACAGCAGAGCCACGACGGGAATAAAGTCTCTTCTGCACCTTTATCCCTATCTCGGAAAGGAAACAAAGAGATGTCAGATCCTCCCGAGGTCTTCCTGCCGGATATTGGGGGTAGCCTTGTTCTACGCATTATGCCGGACGATAATTCTTGTCTATTTCGAGCAGTCGCCAGTGCTATCATGTCGAACCTTGACACGATGACTGAGTTGCGGTCGGTGGTGGCGCAAACAATTCAGGCAAACCCGGACAAATACAATAAGGCGATCTTGGACAACAAAGACCCAGATTCATACTGCCAATGGATACAAACTGAGAATGCTTGGGGTGGTCAGATCGAACTTGACATTCTCAGTCAGCAATTCGACGTCGAAATCTGTAGCATTGACGTTCAAACTTTGAGAGTGGATAGGTATAATGAAGGTGCCCCACGAAGATGCTTCCTTGTCTATTCAGGTATTCATTACGACATTATTGCCCTCAGCTTATTCGGAATGCCACCCGAAGACGATGTCAAGCAGTTTGAACAACCACTATCCGACGAGGTATTGCCCCAGGCTGTTGCCCTGTGCCAAAAACTTCAAGAGAAACATTATTTCACGGATACTGCTGGCTTTAGACTCAGGTGTGGTGATTGTGGTGCTACCTGCATTGGAGAAGCTGGCGCCACAGAGCATGCCCAAGCGACTGGACATTACAACTTTGGTGAAGCGTCTTAGCCTCATTGGATCCTGTATCGACCAGCCGGGTGCTTTCTAGCATATCTCACAAGTGTCCACTCTGGAAAGAATCATTCGTCCACCCAGGATGGACATTTATAAACACGAAGAAATCTTCGAAAGGACATCATGGACTACCCTGCGAATCATGATCCTACCTGCCACATAGATTGGTCAAGAAAATATATCAGTTATTGAGCCTCGTCTGCGAAAGCCCTGCCTATCTCATTGACTCCTTCGAAGGACTTGCCCCACTGACTCTATATCGGAACTATCTCGCCCGCTAAGTTTCAGAAAGATTTATCCGCCGTTCTCACAGGAAGGTTCGCAGACTCAAGGACTTATGTTTGAAGTTGCCAAACGACCGAAAGAGGTTCCGTTACTCCGACATTCTAGGATTTTGGCAAACCGACTTGTCGTGTAATTCCAGATGGTGATTTTTTAGTATGCCATGCATCAGGACTATCTATCAATCAAAAGAACATAAGAGGATGCCATATAGCCGGCCCTCGGCTAAGGTAGGGAAGTACCTGGCAAGCTTTATACGACTCGATGCGCCCACACCAGCGACTTTGCGGGAACTAGGCTTATTGGGGTAATTTGTTCTCCATTTCGGTTGGTGGCGCTGCTCCTCTTGATGCGGTCTTTCACCAGCAATGATGCTCTGTGCCCGGCTTGAAATGTGGCAGATTCTATATAAACCTGCCGCAGGACGGCATGGGAGCTCTCAATGCCGCTGTGAGCTTGAAGCCTTCCGTACCCACGCTTCGTCATCCCGCACGTTTACTACGCACCAACTGACCACAAAATATCCGGGATGACCTATCTGCAGTCATGGCTGGATGTAGGTCTTCAACACTATGAGGATTTCTTCGGACTGACTCTAAATACAGCTGGAAAAGGAGCTGGGCGGGAGACCGCTATTGCAAGGCAGTGTGGAAGAAATGAGAGCCCAAGTTGCTGAGCTAGGCCAGAAGCTGATGTCACGAGCTCCGACTTCTTCAGACGCTGTTGAGAGTAGAGATGGGTATGTTGAGAGCGTCCGATATCGTGTCTATACTCCAAATGATGCCTCAAAGCAAGGGCCACTTCCTGTAGGCATCTGGACTCATGGTGGAGGGTGGTCCATGGGGGATATCAATGATGACAACCTCTTGTGCCGATTTGTTGCCGAACACATTCCGTCTATTTTGGTGAATGTCGAGTATCGGCTTGCTCCTGAACACAAAGTGCCGACACAACTCCAGGATACTCTAGCGGTATACGAATGGGTGAGATTTGACCACTCCCTATACCTGGGATCAAGGTGCTGATTTCAACAGGCTCGGCAGAATGCTCACTCGTTTGGAGGTGATCCAAACAAATTTTACACTATCGGAGGCTCTGCTGGAGGTGCACTCGCATTACAGGTGGCTAACCACATCGTCAATGATCCGTCGAAACGAAAAAATATCAGAGGCGTTGCTGCAATTGTACCCGCCACCTTACATTTTGACTACGTGCCGGAGGAGTACAAATCGATTTATAAGGCGTATAAGGAAAATGAAAAGGATACTCCTCTGATAGACAAGGAGGCGGTGAGAACATTCTTTGAAGCCACCGCTGTCGACCCCAGAGACAGCACCTTTTTTACGGCTTTGGCTACCGACAACCACCAGAACTTCCCGCCTGTTTACCTTGTCAGCTGCGAGAAAGATCCTCTCAGGGATGATGCATATGTCATGGAAGCAGCTCTGAAGAGGGCGGGTGTGCCCACCAAACACGATACCTACAAAGGCTTGGGTCATTACTTCTGGATTTTTCCGTCTCTACCTGAAGGACAGCAATTTGTTGAGAACTTGATTGGTGGTATACAATGGTTGATCTCTCAGATGTAGACTATGCATATATTTGACAACAGTGGGGAGAAGTCCATGCAGCAAGTATAGTTATATACGTCGCATTAAAGAAAACCTCGCATGCTGGTGTACCGCGCAAGGGCATCAGATGTCGGGTCCACGTTTCTCCGGCCCCGACTTCTCCTCGCAGCCTCGTCTCTCGTCCATCCCACTCCAGGTTTCTTCTAGTTCTTCACTCTACAAATGACCACACCATATCTCAGCAGCCTCGATGGCTTCGCATCCAACAATCTCGAGAGTCCGGTTGACTCCCGTGGCGAGACCATCTCCGCTCGACGCACCAACGCCTTGAGCACAAAACTTACCAGTGTCCTCTCTTCGTCGTATGTAGACCACGAAATCCGGGATGCACTCCGCCTACTCGACGTCCGCGGTGTGCACAATGATGAAGAAACGAGACGGAATCTCAAGCTCAGCGCCCAAAGGGAGGTCATAGACTGCAACGCCAAGGTCGTGGACGACTTCGGCCATGTCGCTGAGCAACTCCGCCGCGTGGGCTCGTTGCTCTCCACGCTCAACGCGACATGTTCCTCGATGCGTCAGCATATCATCGCCGCGAAACAAGAGTCTGCGCCCGTCCTGGAGGAAGCGAGTACGCTCATCTCTCGTAGACAAGAGACGGAGACGAAGCAGATGCTTCTCGACGCCTTCAACTCGCACTTCCTCATCTCCACGGCCGACGCGAATATCCTGACGAGTTCCGCCGAACCCCTCGACGATCGCTTCTTCACTGCCCTCACGCGTGCAAAGACCGTTTACCGAGACTGCGAAGTGCTGTTGGGGTACGATGGGGAGAACCAACGCCTGGGGCTCGAGTTGATGGAACAGACGACTCGCACGCTCGACGCGGGATTCAAGAAACTATACAATTGGATCCAACGCGAGTTCAAGACGCTCGATTTGGAGGATCCGCACATCAGTACGGCCATCCGGCGGGCGTTGACGGTACTTAGCGAGCGCCCGACGCTGTTTCAAAACTGTCTCGACTTCTTCGCGGAGGCGAGACAAAGTACATTGGACGAGGCGTTCCACGCGGCACTCACGGGGACGGGGCCGGCGAACACCAAGGCAATCGAATTCTCCACGCACGAGCCCCTACGGTATGTGGGAGACATGCTCGCTTGGGTTCACGCCGCGGCCGTGTCGGAGAACGAAGCGCTAGAAGGTCTCTTTGTCGGCGACGCGGATGAAATCTCGAGAGGTCTGGCGTCGAAAGCTGACAGCGAACCTTGGGCACGAATCAGGGGCCACGCGATGAGTACGTCCAATGATGACAAGGAGGAGGACGAGGACGATGACGATGAGCGGCGAGACACCGTGTTCGACGGGCGCAAGGCGCTGGCTGACCTGGTGTCGAGAAACCTCGCCGTGGTGTGCGAAACGCTCCAGTCGAGGATCGACGTGTCAGTCCGCAGCAGCGGCGATCCCGTGCTGATGTTCAAGACGTTCAACCTGCTGGACTTTTACCGGGGCATCTTTGACAAGCTGCTCGGCCCCGAGTCTGCCCTCTGCAAGGTCATCCGCAACCTACAGTCGTCGACGCTGTCGCAGTTCGAGGCGACCATGGCTGAAGAGACGACGGCGGCGACGACCGTGGAGACGGCGCCGTCCGGCGATCTCAGCCCGCCCGCCTTCCTGGCCACGGCGTTGACGCAGTTCTCCGAGGTCGCGCGCGCCCGAGGGCCTCAGATGACGGAGCCGGAGCTGGAGAGGCTCTTCGATTCCATGCTGACGGGCATCCTGACCGCCTGCGCGGAATCCGCCGCCCGGGTCCCCGACACCAAGAAGAGTGACATCTACAGGCTCAACTACGCGACCGCCCTCAAGACGACCATGGCGGCCGTGTCGGCCCAGGTGCCCGTGGCCCAGGCCTCGCTGGAGAGGGCAGGGCTGGAGATGCGGACCCTCCGGGACCGGCTGGTCGAGTTGCTGACCACGTCGCTCCTGGAGGACTCCGGGGTCCGGGACCTGGTGCAGGAGCTCGACGTCCGCCGGAGCCACGGCGCCCGGGCCCGGAGGGCGTGGCTCGCGACGAACCTCGACGAAGCCGCCCAGCGTCTGGACGACTTCTTGTCGTCCGCCCTGATGGACGCCCAGGAGGGCATGAAGAATCTGCTGGACCGGACGCTGGCCAAGGACGTGGTGTCGGAGGCCGTGGAGAAGTTCTGCGCCGAATTCGACGAGCTCGAGGGCATGCTGGAGATGGTCGACGCCGATGATGGTGCCGGTGTGGATGGAGTAGGTGAATCTGGCGAACATGCCGCTCCGGAACAGTTCACTTCGTTGAGGCAGCTGTATCCTAGGACGGGAGCTGAAGTTCGGGCACTACTTAGTTGATACCGTCCTCCATACCATATGCTAAGACAGGACAAAATTCAAACACGTAAATGACGAGGCACTTTTTCAGAGACGAGTAATGATCACAAAGTATTGCATCAATTTGGGAACTTTTGAGTTGTTCGCTATCTAATCATGTAGACCATATTGTGATTTGATGATCAAAGTCTCTCCTCCGTTAACCCCTTCGGATTGAGGATCATGTCACAGCAACGCTCTCCATAATGATGAGACTTGGGGAAGTGAAGTAAAGAGTATCTACAAGACGCTCTCGGCACTAGATACTGTTCGTTTGTTAGACAAGTTCGTAGATGAATGAGCAGGTCAGTCAAAAAGACTCACCAGTGACCTTGGTGGGGTCTGCCTCGAGGCCAACCTTGGTGACCTTGCCGTTCTCAGTGACGACAGCGTACCGCTTGCTTCGATGATTGCCCAAGAGCGGGGTTGCGTCAAAGTCGACGTCCCAAGCTTTGGTGAACTCGCCAGCTGGGTCAGCAAGGAAGCGAATGCCGCTGGCTTTGGACGAGTCGAGGTCCTTGGACCAGGCCTTCATGCTATGTGGCCAATGTAGTCAGCACGGTCTGTCCGTCATACCCGGTTTATTGTTGTATGTCTTACACGAAAGCGTCGTTGACCGAGATAACAAACACCTTTCCAGCATTCTTGAGCTTGTCGCTTGTAATGTAGCCGGGAACGTGTTGCTCGGAGCACGAGGGAGAGAAGGCCGCAGGGACACCGATGATGACGCCTTTGCCCGAGGCCAGCTCTTGAGAGAGGTTGACCTTGTTGCCGGGTGAGTCCTCGAAGAGGTCGATGTTGGGGATGGAGTCGCCTTCTTTGACCTGGAAGTGGGAACTTCGAGTTAGAGAAAAGGGAGGTACTGAAAAGCCAGGGTAAAGTCACAAACGGGGTCCATACCATGATTGCGGGTGTCGATGAGAATGTTCTGCGAGTAGCTAGAGGAGTGATGATTCTTGTTTGACGGGTTGCAGAGGTGGCACAACGGTTGAGAGATCGAGAGAACATGGTAAGAAGGAAGGAGAAAAAGAGTTCGACTTAAAGTATTCAGTTCAACCAAAAAATACGTATTTGAAATAATGATGCCAGGTCGCTCCTGCATTGCAATAACTGGTGGTTGCGAGTTACGCATCTTGGGAAGCTTACACGGCGGGATCGCTCCCAAATCACATCATAGTGCGGGGGGAGCTGCACTGTTATTGTTATGTCACTGCAGGTAAGGCCCTTGTATCCGTGCTCACTACGGAGTACCTGTTTACTGCACCTACAGGTAGCAAATAGGTGTGCCTCGGCGCTGGCGACATGGGTCCCTTACTTGTATTCCCGTACTCCTACAGGCCGCCAGTAATTGTCATTCATGCAATATGGAGTACCTATCTTACCTAGATATTTGAGTTGATGAGGGCAACACTGGAATACTTATCATGGGTACTCCGTACCTTGGGTATGGTACGTAGGTAGTTATGTACCAAGGTAAATCTAGTCCCTTGCAGCGGATGATGGCGTTGTAACCAAACACTTGGATTCACCTCGTTCGGTCAATGATAAACCAGTCCGACAATATGGAATCACAGGACAAATACAAAACCTGAGACAAGAATTTGATCATCTTCAACACCAACAAATGCTCGTTTTGTTTGTGTCAAGCACAAGAATATGTGATAGACCCTCATCTGTCGTGACTTGTTCTACACTCCATATCGGAACCCTTGGGTGCTAGGTAAGTACAATAGGGACTTAAGTCAACCCACGATAAGATACAACATACGGAAGGGAATTTGGAATCAATGACAAGTTTTCCGTAGAGGCAAAAGACCAACAGCCTTCTTCCTTGTATTGTACACGTCGGCTGAACCCCCACCGAACGAGATGATTTCCACTCTCCCCTTTCCGCCCCCTTCAAGATCAAAACACAGTTTGCGCGACTCTGCGAAGAAATGTCAAGAGAGGAACATGCGCCGCCATTGTGTAGTCGCCATCGTCCGCACCCACTTTTCAGCATTGTACTCGCCCCATCTCAACAACATGAACATTCACGCTACGACTGACTCGATGCGTTATTTAGTCCAAAGTCACTGTCACTCTCCTCTTTTTGGGCCATGGATGCCCGGACAAAGCTCGCAACAAAGGATCGAAAGGGAGAGACAGAGGAGTCAGTCAATCCCTGCATTTTAGTCAATGACCGATCGTCCTTCCAGGAGTTCGGATAAGTTGGTCAGCATTCCGTAGGCCTCTTTCCCTTTAGACCAGTGTTCTCGGCTCCAGAAGATCCAGCCTTGTTGTCCTGCTCGAAGGTCTAGAACATCTGCCTTGGCCATGCCTTTGGCAGCTCACGTTTTTTACACAAAGAGTACGAACGCCCCCCCTCGATATAGATAGTGTTATCGGGAACTGGCAGAAAACGTGTCATCTACCCGATCACAGAGTTTTGAGGTTTTGAGGCTGTCGACCGCCGACGTCAAAGCCCTTCACACCTCTCAACATGGTGTTGACGTCCCCGTCCTGGGAAATGTTGAAATAGCCGCCTTGCCAATGTAGACAAAAACAACAGGAGGCGAACAAATAGTCATGCAATCCGCATAGTCCCAATGCTTGCGTGGAAACCCTTGCAAACCAACAACATTTTTTGGACATTCAAGGTCCCAAAGAAAGGATTTGGTCCACCCCTGCGAGCGTCGCGCGTGCCAGGAGTCGAAACATGGAGAGTCCGGATCTCGTGCCTTCTTGATCCCTGGAATGCAGTCTAGTCATGGGCCTGGATTACTGTTAAACGAAGTGCGCGAGTCTTCTCCTGGCCCTTCGCGGCTTTACGTACACGTCTGTGCCTGGACGAAGAAATTTACTCGAGACTAGGAGGCTACCACACGTGGACAGCTCGCTTGAGCGCAAGAAGTGACCAAATGTACATACCTGGTTTGCTTATGTGGACCGCAATGTGTGCGGACTGCTGTCACTGTCTGGACTATCCGTATAGTCATGTAGCATGGAGATGAGGATGTCGCATATGGAACCGTAATCTGTCTTCCTTCTCGGCTGGGCCTGCTGTACGGATACGGTTTCGGAATGCAGGGGCAAAGATGGACATCATCGTACGCCCATCTCGTAGGGAACTGGTCACCGGCATTTCCTAGGACAAGGCTGTGCTGGTGTCATGTCGATCTGAGGACTGACATACTCGTTTAACTCGTTACCAGCCCTCTGTTCCTCTTCAGTCGATCTCTCGACTGGGAATCCATACAGTATATATGAACGAGACTCCGAGGTCTGTTGGGTGGGCGTCGGGGATGTGGCCGAAGTGGACAGAGACAGATGCGTTCTTCCCAATGCGGGCGTACGACCTGTCACGGCTCATCGCAGAGGCTTGCCGGCACGGCGAATCACACCCTAATTTGCGGTGATGGTTTGCCCGGGGATCACAAGCTTCGTTCTTAGCCCGAAGACGTGGATAACAGCTATGACCGCTTCGACCTTGAACACTTGTCACACTTGTCGTTCCTTTCCTTTTGCGAACCCTGATCAGCCCAAAGCCGTCTGGTGGCAGCTCTTGGCTGATTATCACTGGCAAAATCTTCTGGTCCATTCCCGAACACGATAGAGGCGGCGCCCCTGCTCTTTTCCACTCGAGAAGGGTCCCACGATCACAGGAAAAGTGTCCAAAGTGGGTTGTTTCCCTGGACTCAGATCCGTGGTCCAACGGCTCGATTGGGACTACGACAAAGGCAAAATGAGAGATCTCTGGCCAAATCGGTGGGAGTTGCGGCGCCGCTCTCGTCATCCTGCGACCGCTGTGTTTCCCAAGCAGCCCCTAAGCGAATTTCAAAGGGTGCTTGTAGCGAACAAGTCGTGCCGCTTAGAGGCAGCGCATGCACACCCTGGGGATGCCCACCGAATCAGTCGCCGGGAGCATGGCGCGAACGTGGTTCAATTCAGAAGCGATCACAGCCAAGTGCACCAAAGAATAGACGATCTGATCTGGAAGTAACCTATCAAGACAGCCAGTTGAACAACTAGTAGAGCCGCTTATGTGCCTTGGGCCCTCCTCGTACTCGCTGGGCTCCCTGGACTCTGTGGTCTCCTGGGGTGGCCCCTCCCTCGTCCATACGCCATCAATGCCTATTGATGCCCGCTGGCCGCCATCCGGTGCCGATAGCCCACTTGGTCAATATCCATGCTCAAATTGAAACTGGCTTGAGGCGTTCTGGTGTGGGTGTTTCTGGTGAAGTTGTCGTCACAGAGGGCCCTACAAGCTGTCAATCCGAGAAGTGCAGTGCCAGAACAATCTTGGACTTTTGCCTGTGTCTGGAATCGAAAGCTACTGTACTGTACTGTACCTCTAGGAGTAGCTCCTCCCTTTCTCTCTCTTCTATTGTGTCCCCTCTAAGGCCCACTTGCTCATCTACCTACTAGACTCAGGAACCTTTGCCAGGCTTTACCGAGAGACCCTCCACCCCAGGCGAAAAATCAACAACCGTGCACCTGTCTTGTCCTTGCTATCCGCATACCTATCAATCCAAGCGCCCTCTATCATCCCAATTCCAGTCTGCTGCTCCGTCTATTCCGTCCTTAAGTGACTCTCGTTCAAACGCCGCGCATTATCCTCGACAGGCCCTGCCTCCCCAAAAAAGAGACTTTCAAGTATCTCAAACTCGGACTGCGCCCAAAAATTCCCACCTCTGCAAGTAATTCTCCCCCAGAGACAAACCACCACAACCACCACCACCACCCACTTGGTGTTCGACTCGGGAAAATTTGTTTTTACTTGCACTACCTGGTCAACATTCCATCACATACCAATACACCAGCGTTGTGTGCTTTGCCATTCCGTCCCTGCGCGTTCGCAGCAATGTTGTGCTGAGGAAAAGGTGCATGCAAGTCATTGCATCACCGTTCGCAAGTGGGCGGCCTGTATTCTTAGCCACCCTTCTTCGACCGTTTCCTCTCGCTCAATCAACTCCTACTATCGGTCCAACTATTAGACGAAAAGTGTGACATTATTATTACTTCAAGATGGATAATCAAGGTGGCGGAGGAGGAAATAACAATTCCAGCGACTTCGTGCGCAAACTGTACAAGTATGTCGAGCGTAGGGGCGTCATTTTCCGCCGACTTGTTGCTAATATGCCTTGCGCAGAATGCTTGAAGATCCCTCGTACTCTTCGGTAGTACGATGGGGCGACGACGGCGACAGTTTTGTCGTGCTTGAGAACGAAAAGTTCACCAAATCTATCCTGCCGAAACACTTCAAACACTCCAACTTTGCTAGTTTTGTACGCCAATTAAACAAATATGACTTCCACAAGGTGCGGCAGAACAACGAGGACGGTGGCATGTCGACCTATGGTGCCAATGCATGGGAGTTCCGGCACCCCGAATTCAAGGCAAACAGCAAAGACACCCTCGACAACATTCGGCGAAAGGCCCCCGCTCCTCGGAAGGCGTCAAACCTCAACGACGAACAAATACCCATACAACAGATCGATTTGATGAACCAGCAAATAGTAGCACAAGCACAACAGATCGAGTCGTTAGTTCAGACAAATAATCAACTACAGATGAACCACCAGATGGTGGTGCAAGAGCTTCTCCGGATACAAAAGACGGTCCTTAATCACGATCGCGTCATGCAGGATGTCATGACATTTTTGCATTCTGTAGATGCGAAGCAGCGAAGGGACAGCAAAGCACTTTTTGCGCCGCAAGCGGATCCCGCGCAGACGAGCACCACCCTGACCCCGACAAGCCAGACAATGCCCCAACAAGACGAAGACGTGCCGGCTTCTCCTCTACAACACGCCTCGAAGCTGTTGAGTGATCTCAACGCCGATGTCCAATTCAACATCTCCGGCTTGGAGCAGATGAACACCAGTATTGCGACGCCGCCTATTCATCAAGATCCCCGGCACATGCAATACAGGGGCCCCAGCTCTTCGAACTCGAGCGGGAGCATGGGATTCGTCAAGATGGAACCGTCTCAACTGGAGAACATCGTGTATCCGATGGGCACGAACAACGGTATCGACCCGATGTCCAGTGAATACATCCACAACATTCCCTACCCTATGCCTTCCAAAGATACCCCGCAAGACCCTCGGGCACAATTTGCCGATTCTCGCAAGAAGAGTGGGACAGCAGATCCTGGCTGGAGCCGGTCGCCGAGGATATTGCTGGTCGAAGATGACCCGACGTGTCGACAAATTGGTGGGAAGTTCCTGTATTCCTTCAACTGTGTGGTGGACTGTGCTTTTGACGGTCTCGAAGCCGTCAGTAAGATGCAAGACGGTAACAAGTACGACATTATATTGATGGATATCATCATGCCCAACCTCGACGGTGTATCTGCGTGTCACCTCATCCGTCAGTTCGATCGGACACCCATCGTTGCGATGACGTCCAACATCAGATCCGACGACATTCAGATGTATTTCCATCACGGCATGGACGATGTACTGCCGAAGCCGTTTACGCGCAAGTCTCTCCTCGACATGCTCGAAAAACATCTGATGCACCTGAAAAAGGTGCCGCACATGGAAGGCGCACTGACGGGCATTGCACCCCCAGCGGGCCTTTCCTCGACCGGTCACACCGTCCGCGATGACGGCTCGTCGGGGGCCTCCCCTGCCGGATCGACGGGCACCTGGAATTCCCCGAGTCAGTACTCTGGAGCGTCACCGGTGAACCCGAGCATGCACTTGGGGGCCGGCGGCGGTGGCGTGTTACCTCAACAGCAGCCACAGCAACAGCAACACTTTATCGACGCGAATGGCAACATTACAGCATTTCCAAATGGCCCTCAGACTCCGATGGGCATGAGACAAAGCGCCATGCAGAACCACGCCCACCACAGAAGGGGACCATCGGACCTGTCGGGTGGGATGGAAGTGGGCAACGCGAATAAACGCCAACGAATGTACGGTCCACAGCAAACAATGACGACCCCGATGAGGCTACAGTGATGGCTGTCTAGGTCTCTAGCCAAGAAGAAAGTTCTTCGTTTGAGCGATGAATTAAGATATACACACATTATAGTGTGGCAAGGTTGTTCCCGCCTTTGCGGCTCGATGCGACTCGGCGTGACATTCGGTTCGATTCGTGGACTAAAAGTCAAGCAACATGAACGACACGGGATTTGTTTTAACAAAACAACAAGATGAGATACACAGCAACCTTGATGGGAGGTTTACTATTACGACTTTGATGATGAAACATTTGTGCATTTGGAAGGAGGGAAAGGACGGAAAGAGAGGTACCCGAATGTTAACCTTGAGTTTGTTTCAAGGGCCAAAGAAAGGTGATGACGAGACGCATCGCCTGACACCAACACGTTTTTGTTTTGCGCATTTGCTTTTGCCAACGGTGGATGAAGGCCTGGTGGTTGTGGTAGGCTCGGTTTGACCAGTGTTTGCTCTTTTCGACTTGCGACTGATATGGCTCTGACATGGACTTTTTTTGTCGAGATCGAGATCGAGAAAGAGGGAGAGAGAGAGAGAGACACTTGGGGGTTTGGTTTTTGGATCAAATATACTGGAGCTGAAGAGATACAAGGGCGTAATCTCTTTCTGTCTCTCCCTCCTTCTCTCTCTCTCTCTTTGTGTGTGTTTGCAGATACCTACTCCGTACTATACCTTTATGCCATGTCGAACGCGTGCAGCAGCGGACTGGACAGGGTTTCACAAAATATTTTTTGTACAGAAGAGAAATCCTGACTACTCGGTATCTACCTTGACTACCTAGGTATCTTTGGTCTAATCGTTGCATGATATATGACAATACTACAGTTATAGTAAAGTGCTCTGTACCACTTCTGACGGAGAGCTTTTTTGATCTTGTCATGGTAAGATTATGATACCTACTCATTGACCTCTGGTAGTTCGTGACCGATGGTTGATGACCACCTATATACTCGTACCCAAGAGACACATAGGTAAACCTTTATGCGGTTGTGATTGGTACAGTATAATACACACTGCCTGCCTACCTACCTACCTACCTTCTAGGTGGTGTTTATGGGTAGGTGAGTCTGGAATAATCCCCATGGCTCTTTGACACGTCACCTAAACCTTTCCAGATGTTATCGCTTCCGGTCGTCCAAACGTCGGCGGTCCAACGACTTCAAAAGTCCTCTCGTGTCTGGCGAGACGACAAGAGCTCGTCAGATTCCGCCGGCGTGAGCCCCCAAGAGGGTTTCAATCACATCCGACACCAATCTTTGTCTTTTGCTCGTACACGACTGGCTTGACATTCTCCATCTTTTGAATCTCCATTTCCAACTCACATGCCCATCTTTTCCTTCTCCTTCTCCCACTGTTCCGGCGTCAGGCATTTCGGGGTCCAGGCGTGTATGGCGGCGATCTCGGCCTTGAGGGCGTTGTTGACCAAGCGGTGTCGGGCGAGGAGGGTCTTTTTTTCAAACTCGGGAGAGACGATGATGGCGTTGAAGGCTTGACCGCAACCTCCCGACATGTCCTCGATGGAAACGTGGGTCGCGCCGATGGTCGCTTTTAGTTTTTCGGTCAATGAGTCCGCGGTGACGCCAGAACTCGCGGCGGTCTCGGCGGCGGCCGTGTCTGTCTGTGCGGCCATGGGGGAGGTTTGTCGATTTGGAGTCGTGGTCGAGAGAGGACGATTAAGAACAAGAAAGTTGCCCCGCGGATGGATACCTTGAGAAGATGGACGGGACAGACGGAGGAGGGACAGTCGCGATGTAGATGTGGATGTCGACGCTGGAGATTTTGATAGTGCTCTACGGGCGAGGGCCAAGGGTATACAGACAGTCATGAACGGTGACTATCGCGCGGGAATGAAAAAAAAAGGTCGATATGGAGAGAGAGAGGTGAGGTAGTTGGGAGGTTGAGAGGGTGAACGAAAAAGGGCTCGTGAGAGGTTGGTTGAGCAATCCCGGTCGTAATTAAAAACTTTTTTGAAGCTCCTTGTAATTTTTTGGTTGGATGTTTTGCTATACAGTATTGTAGGTAAAGGTAGGTAGGTAGTCGTCAAGGTGTTTGCTCCAGAGGGTCGGAAGGTGGTTTGAAATCAGATTTCGGACGATGATTAGATTACTTTTAGCCTGTAGTACCGAGTATATACTCCGTACGGGTGTTCTCGTATGAAGTACGGGGTACCTAAACTGTAGTTAAAGCAAGACTAAAAAAAACTGCGTCATTGGAGAAAAGAGACGAATTCGACGAAACACCAAACAAAACTTGCCCTTTGTACCCAATCTACAATACAACACCACCACACAGACATATCCACACAGAAATGTACTTCATACTTGACTTCTCCAGGACCTAAAGTACCCGGTCGCACAAGTTTCGTGTATTCCTCCTCATGCTGTGCGAGCTACTTCCTCGAGCTAGACCAATCTCTCGGTATTGTATCACAAAGAGCGTCTTCCGCAGCACCATCCGCAACATGAATACTTCCAACACCACCTACAATGTCTCCCCCTTCACCAGCGCAGTGGTCTCGTCCATGCGACGGCTCTATCCCGAATACCTCGCCGACAAATCCTTTGACAACACTGGCTTCCTAGTCCAAGCTCCTTTCCTCCCTACCCGTCCTCGCAATCGCAATTCCGTCCTTTTGACCGTCGACCTCACTCGAGCCGTCGCCGACGAGGCCATCGAGAATGGACATTCCATTGTCGTCGCATATCATCCTATCATCTTTCGTGGTCTGAAATCCATCACCACAGACGACTCGCAACAATTGTCAATGACCCTGCTGCTCGCGCACGGCATCAGCGTGTACTGCCCGCATACCGCGGTAGATACGGTCCCCGATGGGATGGCAGATTGGCTATGCGACATTGTCACGGGAAAGACCGAAACACCTGAAGATCACGCACACACCGCGACATATTCGTCATCCCTTCCGTCCGAAACTGAAGTCACCACCACCGACGACGACGAGAACGACAACGACGACGATTCGGATGCCAGTGCGCCCTCTCACCCGTCGACGAAACCCACCTCTCCATCCGCCGCTGACCACGACGACCCATTCACGTCCACAGAAACACCCAAGCCCAACAAGAACAAGAAGCTGAGACTGTTCAGGCCGCACTCGCACAGGACGTATTCAAAGCCCACATACCCCCGACCGACCGAGGACTTTCAGCCCTCGGTACTGTCGCATACAAGAAGCGTCATCACGCCTTCACCGCGTGGGGCGCTAGACGAGGCAAACCGGTTCGTCGCATCAGACACAGACATCTACCACCCCGACAACACCGGCGCAGGCAGGCTGATTGAGTTCGCCGAACCACAACCCCTGACCGTCCTCATCACCCGCATCGCGCACGCCATCGGGTTGCCCAAGGGTTTCGCCGTCGCTGTGCCGCAGGGCAAGAACCTGGAAGAGATTGACATTGCGAGCGTGGCGACCTGTCCCGGCAGTGGGGGCAGCGTCGTGAGGGGGTGTCGTGCGGATCTCGTCTTTACCGGCGAACTGAGCCACCATGAAGCCCTGGCCGTGACGGAGAGGGGAGGGTGCGTGATCAGCTTGTTCCACACCAATTCCGAACGAGGGTACCTGTGGACGGTCATGAGGGAGAAGTTGGAGAACGAGGTCCGGGAAGAATGGGCCCGGGTGAGGAGTGAGGAAGGAGCAAAGAGTGGGCTCGACGGTGAGATCAAGGACATGCTGCGAGACGAGAGTGTCGAGGTCGTGGTGAGTGAACGCGACAGGGATCCGTATGGGATTGTCGTGTTGGAAGAGACGGCGGTGGAAGGAGTAAGGATTGGTGGTTCTGGATCGAGTGGTTGAAAGGACCGAGAGTTACTTGGGTGTCTCTTCACCTGTCGTGGCACTCCCCTGGAAACTTCACCGTCTGATACCGGAGTGGGTTTGAGAACGGAACAACCAAGACATTGACCGAGTTCAAGCGCTTTCCACAGTATGCAATTTGCACCACCCGCAAGTGTTTACAAGACGTCTAGACTTGTTGACAGCCTTGGATTGCCTTGGATTACCTCGGATGCAGCATGATGCTCATCTCCAACCAAGCCTCAAAGACAGGGGCACGATCTTGGTTGGGTTCACAGCGCCGTTTTTGATTGACACAAGAAAGAATCTATCGACTTTGTCAAAACACTTTATCAAGTCAGTTCGAGGCACACCGAACGGCATTGAGAATGGCGTGTTTCACCAAACTCGACAATCCCATCTATACAGTGACCTAGTACGTGATGATGGTGTGGAAGTACGAGAAGTACACAGTATACCTAGGTAGGCATATATTGCTAAAGGCGACTACTCGGTACAGATGCTGGGGCAAGAGGCAAGAGGATCACGTTCATTTTGTTTCTATTGTATCATTTTTTTTCTTGTGTCTGATGTAAGACTGATACCCCATTACGAGATGTAGCTCGTCCTGCTTTCTCGGTAGGCATCGAATAGCTAGCTGCTGTAGATTACAGTCTCTTTTCATTCCTGATTTTTCCCTCTTTTATTTTCTGTTTCCGAAAAAAGAAAAGAATCCAACAAATCCTTGTCCCGTGGTCTTTTTTATAAAGTAAGTAATATATACTATCCCTTCCAACATCATCAGCGGGCCTCGGAATGTTTCTTCCCCCTCCATTTCTTTCCAAGTCGGGAGGAGGATGATGATCTATTGTTGCATAGTTGAAGAGCTGATGTGATGCCTGTAGACGAAACTTCTGGCTCGCTTGCCGTAGATGTACCTGGAGAGAGGAGTGTGTGAGCTGACTGGATTGTTCCCAAGGGGGTGACAGCGAGGCACTTACATTGGAATGGTCAAAAGGGTGACTCCGATCGTGATGCCACCAATGACGAAAAACACGTTTCTCACGCCCTGGCTCGCGACCCAACCGTTGAGGTAAAAGGTCAAGCCGAAGGCGAAGAAATTCTTGATAAAGTTCATGACGGCAAAAGCCTCTCCGGCCTGCTCACGATGGCAGTCCACCACGTAGGTGACGACGGAAGTGGTCCCCAGTTGGACGCCCAGGTTGATCAGGCCGAGGCAGACCACGACGGGGATGGGCCACGGGGCTCCATCGTGTGCGGCTTGTCCCCAACCGAAGAATCCGGTGGCGGTGAAGAGGACATATGTCACCATGATGGGGAGGCGGAACTCGGGTTCTTGAGACAGCACGCACGTTAGCAACGTCCATGACATGATAAGAGGAGGGGAGGGGGGGTTTCTCCCCCCGAAGAAAAAACAAGTGATTCGAGGTGTGATGATTGTGCTTACCGAAAGTACCCTTGTTGTGCCTAGACATCAGTTTCGCGACACCGTCGATTGCTGGACCGGCGACAAGAGTTCCGAGAAGAGACGCCACAAACGAGGACACGTTCGTGGCTCCCACAGAAACGACCGGGAAGTTGTAGGGAGGGGCGGAGAAAATCTGAGACAACGTGATGGAGATGCCGACCAGCCATGAGATACAGGTCGTGAACAAAAGAGTCGCCCACAGTACGACCGGGGAGCCAAGCAACTGGAACGGGTGGCTGAGAGTTTTCCAGAAAGAGACGTGGTTGACGTAGCCAGAGTAAGGAAGCATCTCTTTGGCGAACGAGATCTTTTCCTCGTTTTGAGGAGGAGAAGAAGCGGGTGCGTCAGTCTCGTTTTCGTCTTTCTCGACCATCTGGACGCTCGCTTTGGTTTCGTTGACGGTGACCTGGGCTGTGTTAATAGTTTGGACCGAAGAATGATGTGGTGGGTTGTGGCTTACGTTGTGGGCACTCGTGTCAATATTCAAAGAGCTTGAACGTTTGAAGGCGGTCTCTGGCATGAAGAAGAAGGTCAGGATCAGTTGAAGGACGAATGCGCCGCCCATGGCATATAAGCAAATCTTGTAGGAGCCGTATTGAATGATGGGTCCAGCTAGAGTTTTCGGTCAGCTCTCTCAAGTTTTGGAGTGGGGAGATTATGGCAAGTATTCTCACCGATAGGAGGACCAAGATTGATGCCACCAAGAACACCCAAGTTGAACAAAGCAGTGTAGAAACCACGCTCGTGAACGAACCTATTCCAAATTGTCAGTCCTGCGGCTCACTTCCTGACTTCCTTGGACTCTTGACGTACCAAATATCAGCGATCGAGGCAGGGATAAGAGCCTCCATCGGAGCCATGCAGAAGCCCTGGACCACACGAGCGGCAACGAGCGCAGGGAACGACTTGGCCGCCGCTGCCCAGAAACAGGTGACCACAAGGCCGACACAGGTGGCAAGGTAGATGGGTCGCTTGCCATATTTGACTGCGAGTGCATTGCAGATGACACTACCCACGGCAATGGCACAGATGAGACCTCCTTGGAATCCGGAAATGAGTTTGTTCAGGGGGACATCGATTTCTGCCGCGAGGGGGACGAACGCAGCACCGAGGAGAGGGCCAATGGCTAAAAGAGGCATATCAGTTGAGGTCCTCAAGACGTTGGATCCATCATCCAGGTATGTTTACCTCCGACACAGCCACAACCGTACGCGAAAGTCGCGGCAAAAGCGTACTTCTTGAACTTCGGCCAGTTGTAGGGGTCATTGATCGAGTCTGAAGGCTGAGGGACCAACACGATCTTTCCACTAGGATCATGCTTCAGCATGGTCGGGTCGACACCGACGATCTCGGTGTCAAGGCGACCGAGGTCGGATAACGGTGCGGTACCGGGCACATGCTCGAGTTTGTGGTCTTCGATGATACCTAGAGGCATTTTGATGATGGGCAAGTTTCGTTTCTTTCAGGTTGAACAAGGAGGAGAAGGAAAGTTTTGCACAATGCGTGTCGTGAGAAGATGGATCTTGAAAAAAGAGGTCCAAGGGCCCTCCTAATGTACATGAGACGTCTTGCTGGCAGTGAAGTCTAGAGCCACTGTAGATGCATCAACAGATCCTGTCCATATCCACCACTCCACGATCTCAGGAAAAATCCCATTTCTTCAGCGATCCCCGCGGGGCGTAGTTTAAGCAGTCAGATGTCCCTATAGCTTAATCATCTCTTTTAATTGGCTTTGAGCCATGGCCATTCACAGTGAGTCAGTGGCCAGTCAAGCAAGCAATGGTGAGAAAGATTAACGAGGCTGCCGGCCCAGCGGAATCCGAAGTGGGTAAAGTATTGGCAGTCGATCGGTGTACCCCCTTTAAGATGATAGGGGTTTTTTCCGGGGGCTATCCGTATGTCAAGGTCTTGGATTTCCTTCAATATTCGGGGGTGATTCCGGGTATACTTGGATGAGTGCCTTGTCCGAAGCATGTCGCTAGGCCGGAAATATGTATCCTCTGTCCAGAAAGTTTGACGCACTTGGCGCGTATTCGCGTAGTCTGAGTAGGTGAGTAGACACTTTTCACCTAGGGGTCTTCCGGAATTTACCCTCCCTCCTCAAGAGATCAGCTAGACGCGTCGGCTTTAGAAGATTCGACGAGTCGCAGTCGACATGAAATGCGGAGGTGCCCCAATCGCAACGACCTGCCTTTCCAATGTTGCATTATGCCATTAGCATAATTACAGCCGTAGTCGTGCGCACAATCGGGGCGGAAGATTGCTAGAAGCTGGAGGCGCATTCTCTTCACGGAGACTGCTGGGGTCCCAAACAGGCTCGGAGATCCCTGCCGTGGCGTTTGTGAGCCGTGGAATCTCCATTTTCGCACGGCCTCAAGAATGGAGCCCACTTTAGAAAGCCGGTCAAGGTGAACTCTGGAAGAAGACGGTAAAAACAGGAAGAACAAACCAGAAGGAGAGGACCACACAACGGCGAAAGAGGAAGCGAGCCTTGCTCAACAAAACAGTCCTCCTCCAGCAGATCCGTATGCGGATTCAAATTCAAGAGCAGACAGATGACATTCTTTCCAGACGCTCAATGGAAGCGGAACCGGGTCCTGATTAGGCAGTCGGTGTTGTGCTCAGGGAGAGTTCACTCACTCACTAGGAGAAAACCCGTATCATATGGATGTTAGGCTTTTCATCTCGAATGACTAAGGTAGTATTTCTTGACAAAATCAAAAATTCTGTTCTCCGTCGTGTTCTTGTGATTGATTGCCTGCCGCTTTGCTCGGTCTCAGCTCACAATGCCCACGTTGGCTACAAGTTCGGATGGTAGAAAAATGTTGACATGTAGCAGAAAGCATGAAAGTTAAAGGCCAAACAAAAGAAGCATCAACGTCTACAGGATTCGCACCTTTGCCTCCGAAGATAATATGTGGACTGGAAAGGAGGAGGGAAAGAGTACTCGTACTCGTATCCGTACGGTGACTTTCCAAGACTTATGCAATGCCTTAGTCAGCAGTAGAGCAGCATTGTAGCCGATATACCGACATCGACATCACGACATGCTGAACTTGTATCCGTACCCGTACCTGAACAACAATTAACACACGTCTAGATCGTTTCCTATTACCGATAACTGTGAACATCGTACTCCAATCATGCCCCCTCCAAGCAGCGAAGGAGTAGAATACTACGACATTCCCGACTTTAGTTTTTCCAACGGGACGACTCTTCACGATGTGCGGGTGGCATATCGCAGCTTCAACCCGTCATCGACAGCGGGGGTGGTCTTGATCCCGACATGCTACGGAGGCCACATCAACACGACACTCACGTTCACCTCCGAGCCGCATGACGCCCTTGCGCCTTACCATGTGATCGTCGTCGCGATGCTGGGCAACGGCGAGAGCTCGTCTCCTTCGAACAAGGCATTCTTTCCGCGCCCGGGCGAGCTCCGGTACCAAGACACCGTCAGGGCCCAGCACGCCCTGCTGACGTCGCCGAAGTTGAACGTCACGTCCCTTGAGGCCGTCATCGGGTTTAGCATGGGCGGCCAACAGGCGTACCACTGGGCCGTCATGTATCCGGACTTTGTGAAGCGGATCGTGCCCATCTGCTCGTCGGCCCGGACGAGCCTGCACAACTACGCCTTTCTCGAGGGCCCCGTGGCCGCCCTTAGTAATTCCATCGACTACATCGCCTGGAAGGCCATGAAGACCAAGGTCGCCAACGGGGAGGACGTCGGTGCGAACCTGAAGGAGGTCACGCCGAAGCACGGCCTGGGCGCCTTCGCGAGGGCCTACGCCGCATGGCTGACGAGCACCCGCTGGTTCCGGGACCGCGAGTTCAGGAACGCCGGCGTCTTTGCTGCCGACTCCATCGAAGAGTGGATGCAGAAGAGGGAGGAGTCGATGATGTCCTGGGACGCCGACGACCTTCTCGCCCTCGCGAGGATGTGGCAGATGGGCGACGTGGGTTTGGTCGGTGGCGACGACGACACGAGGCTGACCCAGCTCGGTGGCGCCGTGCCCGATGATGGCTTGTACGTCAAGGCGCTCGAGGGCATCAAGGCCAAGGTACTTCTCATGCCGTGTCGGACCGACCAGTATTTCCCTCCAGAGGACTCAGAGATTGAAGTCAAGCATCTCAAGCGTGGATCCCTGGCTGTCATAGAATCCACCTGGGGTCATACTGCAGGTGGAGGATTGAATGCGAAAGATGTGGAGTTCATGAATGGCAAGATATCGGGCTTCATGAAAGAATAATGGAACGAATGACAGCGATGATGACATTGATGTTGACAATGGAATTGGTTTATTGAAGCCTACTATGGAATGATGAAGTTTGTCTCTTATCAACAACACCTTTTACATTGTCCTTGCTCACTTTTTGGATCTACAGTACGAGTACCAGTCTGCTTATGCAATCATGAGTGCACTGCACTACTTTACCTAGGCATGGAAAGAGGTATCTAGGGAAAAAAATTGAAACTATGCCACATCAGACACAACTCCTTGCCAAATATGCGTATTCATCGTAATATGTGCCCAAGAGGCAACCCAAATTGGCCCATGCATGCATCCTCGAAAAAAAAAGAAAAACATTCACATCCGTATACTAAATTGCTCATTACCATCTTCAGAAGAATAGGATACCCAAGGAAACAACAGCGGGTGTACCTATACCGAGGTAGATATACTTCATCTCAGTCGTCGTAATTCTGCACCTGCCATGACAGTATCATCATCCACAAAAACAGCACGGCCAGGATGATGGACCAAGCAAACGAAGCTTTCCAACATGAACATATGTTGTTCTGTGTCAGCCATGCCAGAGTTTCTATCGAGACCCCGTGGTATTGTTGGTTGTTGACGTAGTTGTTGCAATTGCTGTTGACGTTGCCGTTGCCGTAAAGCTGGATGGCCGTCTCGATGAGCGTCGTCACCCACAGCACAAACAGGATAAACGAGCCGAGTAATATCCCGCCAGGTATCAGCATGCGCCGTGGAGCGAGGATGAGGATGATGATGAGGAACAAGATGGTAAGGCCCCCGGCGACGACAGCGAATGTAAATAGCCTGGAAGAGAGAGAGAGAGAGATGTCAACACGGGATGATCATCCGAGGGCGTGGAAGTACGGAAAAAGAAAGAGAAGCGCAAGGACCAGGGATGGGACTGTGCGTGCGTGCTTACCAGGGCACTCCGACTCTTAATTGATTCTGGACTGATATGAACCATGCATTTATTCCCAACACTGTGGCTGCTCCTGCGAGGACGATGAAGATCCACAGGTTGAGCTGGACTTCTGGCCATCTGTACCGTCGTCGCGTCTCACGCACGTATATTTCTGTACCCGCCATGACGGTGGCTTTTGGGAGGAGAGCGCGCTGGTCGCTTGATGATTTGTGTAGGGTCTCTGGAAGGAGAGATGTGTCTCTTGTCACAACAAAGTCGTGAGGTTGCGCCGCGAGTTACTGTGGTAATAGTGTTTTCCTTTTTCGGGGAGGGAGGGACCCTTGAGATTTGTGTTTCGAACTTGGACAAGGGTGGGAAGGGTATGGAAGAAGTGTTAAGCCAATGCTTTTGTTGAGTACATCATGTCCGACAGAATGACGCTATATATGAAGAGTGACATGGGTTGGGCTGCAAGACCAAAGCGCAGGTACCTGAAGGAGAGACGTGGAAGATGAGATGAGATGGTGTGGTGTGGTGCTACCTGTACATCCGGGTGCAATGCTTCAAATGGTCGCCGAACACGCAGCAACAATTGTTTGGGTGTCGATATGTGGAGAGGGTCGATTGGGCAACGCAAATGACAACAATGACCAAGGACTGACGCAGTTTACCAGCTAATGAGGGGAGCTTAAGGGTTTAGCTAAGACACGCCGGAGAGGAATGCCTGAGGAGACTATTTACCGAGTTTTACACAGTACCAGTATGGAGCTCCTTAGGCTTTGGGTTAGTGCCCGGAGCCTGGAAAATCTACTTGTTTGGGTCCCCCCAGCGAAGGGAGAGAGACGCTGTCATTGAAAACACACTGCGCCATTCAGACACGTCGGCCTTTATACAGACACGTACAACATACTGCAAAGTGTCTCAAAACTCTTGATCGTGTCTATGAGTACAAATACAATACTCGAGGTCTACTACTAGCCTATAGTAGGTAGCATGTTCAGAGACCGACTTAGTCTAGGGAGACAGACCACCCGGCTGTTCAGATGATACCTTCCTTTATTCACTCGTAAACTGTCGAGAGAGAACACGTGTATGGCATGAGATGTGATTCTACCGCAAATCTCTGTCTTGATACATGTACACATAGCATTGGTCGCATTAGAATAATGTTTTCTTGTCGTGATACCTCTGACAAAACTCAGTGTGCTGTTCCCGTATTTTGTTCTAGGATTTGGTTGCTGGGCAACAAGACTGTACGGCATCAGTAAATGCGGGTTGTCGACCATTCGTCCACAAACCGACCACGAAACCTTGTCAGCGCCAACATCCTCAACATTGCACTGCACACTCACTTCAAGATGAGCGTCAGAGTTGTAGCCCGGGTTCGACCTCTTCTCAAGTCAGAGCTCGAAAAAGATCAGATTGTTACCAGCCATGCCGTGACAGATGGTGGACCAACAATTGTCAAAATACCCAACCCCAAGAACTTCGCCGAAGAGTTCAGTTTCCAATTCAACAGTGTCTATGAGCAGGAATCTACTCAGCAAGAACTATTTGAAGCTGAAGGTACTACATGTCGCGTGATTGTCGCGCGCCACAGCTGATCGTGTATAATAGTCGCACCAACCATCAAACACCTCTTCCTCGGCTACGATGTCACAATTTTCGCATATGGCTCGACTGGTACCGGGAAGACGCACACAATGCGTGGTGGAAAATCACTGGCAGACCGGGGCATGATTCCACGAATGCTCAGCAACATATACAGAAAGAGTAGAGCTCTGGAGAAAAGCACCAACGGCGACACGAATGCAACAGTTTCAATGAGCTACTACGAAATATACAATGACCGAGTGTATGACCTTTTCGAGCCGCCGGACAAGCGAACACCAACGGGTCTACCCATCAGAGAGGCTGAAGGTGGCAAGACCGTCGTTGTTGGGTTAACAGAAGTTCCCTGTGGTTCGCTGAAAGATTTCGAGATCCTTTACGACAAAGCCAACGCCAACCGTAGTACTGGAGCCACCAAGCTCAACGCTCATTCATCTCGCTCACACGCCATTCTATGTGTCAAACTAACGGTTACAAGTCCAACGGAAACAAGAGTCAGCATGGCGTCTGCTATTGATCTGGCTGGCTCGGAGGACAATCGTCGGACCGGAAATGGCAAGGACAGAATGGTCGAGTCTGCAAGCATCAACAAGTCACTCTTCGTACTCGCTCAATGTGTGGAAGCCATCGGAAAGAAACAACATCGCATTCCGTATCGAGAATCCAAAATGACCCGGATTCTGTCACTCGGACAGAACAATGGCTTTACTGTCATGATCCTCAATCTAGCGCCCGTCAAAGCATTCCACCTCGACACGTTAAGTTCGTTGAACTTTGCCAATCGCACAAAGAAGATCGAAGTTCGCGAGGTCGAGAATGATCCCGTCTTTAAAGGTCCACCGCGACAAGTTCCTGGAGCGTCTCTAGGTGGTCCAACAATACAACGCCAGCCACTTCGGCCGCTCACACACAGCATCAATGTGAATCTGATAGCCAACAAGGACGCCCCCAGCAAGAATGAGAAACCACCAAAAGCATTTTCTGTGTACTCCGATCGCTACAAGCCCTCCATCCCAAAGCCAGTGCCGCAGAAATCTCCACCCTTGAAACGCACAGCAGACATCGCCTTCAGCGGCTCCTCTCGACCAGCCAAAGCCTCTCGGCCAACACCAAGCTTCATTCGCCGTGCACCGGAACCAGCCAATCTGACAAAGGCGTCAATTGAAACTCTTGTAGAGCAAAAAGTATCCGAGATTCTGGCTGCGCGTGCTTTGAACGCTCCTGATCCTCAACCCACAAAGACGATATCTGAAGAAGTCCAACGCCGTCTGGACAGCATCGAGAAACGTCTCGAAGGACAAGAAGGAGAGCGTGCGGAAGGCCTGAGTTATCTATTTATGGCAAAACAACATCAAGCTCGCGGCGAAGATGGCAGTGCGTTGAAGATGTACGAGTTGGCACGACCTTACTTCCCCGACAATCAAAAGCTGGCCAGCAAGATAGAGAGATTGAGGGAGAGGATGGCTCGGAAACGAGATGAAGACGAAGAGTCAAGCCTTAGGTCCAAGGAGACAGTGGTGAAGGATACCAGTGCCCGGAGTCGGAACAACGCGCACGACGACGACGACGACGACGACGACGACGAGAGCTACCATGATGACGGCGAAGGCGACGGCGAATCAGCGTACAACGACTACGATGAGGAGGATTATGAGGATGACGGCTTTCGGCGCGCAGGTCGGTCGAGGAAACTCGCCAAGGCGAAACGGGAGCGGAAACATGTCTCTTCGCCAGATCCAATCGGTCATCAGGACGGCGATATTGGCGTCTTGACTCCCCGCACAAAATATCTCATCGACGTGCTCAATAGCCGAGATGTGACGAGGATCAAGTCTCTGAGTGGTCTTGGAGCGAAGAGGGCAGAGGGCATCGTCGACTTTCTCCACGGAGATGGCAATAATGATGACGGTTGTGAAGGTGCTGGCGGTGGCATGATTCTACATTCTTGGAACGATTTGACGAGGCTACGTGGTGTAGGGAAGAAGACTCTCGAGACCATGAGGGAAGGTGTTGTTGTATGATTGTATGGTGGCCGACTCTTCTGTTTTTTCTCCTCGCGGCGGTGTTGATATCATTTTCTTGATTCTATTCGGCATAGCGAGGAGCGTTGGAATTGGCCGGCGGTATTGCTTCGGTGGTGAAAATGCACTGATGTTGATATCCATAACCTAGGGGGCTTTTCTCTCTCTCGTCGAGTACCTTGTGCTTCCAGACACACTTTGATGTCACTGCTTTTATTGTTGACGGTATTTTTGACAGTAATCTTTGGTACAACTAGAAGTACTATTCACGATACGTACCCGGACTGGTTTTTGATCTCGGTATTGTGTATATAATGCTTCTCGTATTCGTACTACCTGTTGTGACTGAAGGAAGGTTTTTGGCTTCACCTAATTAATGGCCATTTACGGGTTGATCCCTTGGGCCTCCTTGCCGTCTTTAACCCCCATCTCCGCGCTGGAGCCTTGGGCTATCTCTCTTTAGAGCATTGGCAAAACGGTTCGTGTCGTTGCCCACCCATGGACCCTTGAAATGACCAATTATGCTGGTTCGAGTAAGTTTAAAACGATCTACCATACACCGACGTTTGCAGTACGGAGTACATATATGGTTGAGTCCGCCCAACCTAGTTGCTTTCCATCCATACTCCGTATTGAAAACCCATCTGTCATATCAACTGGCAAAGTGAAACACTATCCGACATCGTTTCCTCAATATGACCACCACCAAATGGACACCTCCTCCCAATGGTCATCCTTGTTGGATCAATGTCTTTGCGACCGACGTTCAACGAGGTGAGGAGTATTCTCGGCCCTTCCAGCATTCCCCCTTCCTCTTTGGTCTTTCTTTTTTTTCGTTTCCAAATATCACTCACACGGTCGCTTTCGGTAGCACGTACCTTTTATCATTCGGTTTTTGACTGGAAATTCCGCGATTCCACCACACGTATGGACGGTACCGAGGAGGATCCCACGAAAATAGTTCACTTCTCCTTCGGTGACGGTTGCCCCGGAGGCGGGATCACCAAAGTCGATCAGGTCGTGAAGACCAACGGGAAAGGTGGTGTTGTTTTGTACTTGATGGTCGATGACCTGGAAGGGGCGATGAAGGTATGATTCTCTTACAGTTCTTACTTGGGGGTATATCCCTTGGACACAAGTTTATTGGTTCGGTCGTGTTGTGCTTTGACGTCTGCTTGTCTAATTGCTGTATGACACTGACACCACCCTCCTTGGCCCGTTCTTGTAGAAAATCGTCGATGCAGGAGGTAAAAAAGTGACCGAGGTCGAACCTGAAGGGAAGTTTGCCTTGACACAAAATTTCGAGGATACCGAAGGGAATTATTTTGGATTGTATCAGATCAAGTAGTTGATTTCCATTTACAAATCGCACTGACAAATTTCGATCTCTCTCTCTCTCTCTCTCTCTCTCTCTCTCTCTCGGTGGTCAATTGATTTTTCTTCTACATTTTGTGGCTCGAGGCCTCACCTACCGTCAGTCAGTCTTTGTCAAGGTTATCTGACTTTTGGTGAAGTTGTTGTTGAATACCCCCCCCCTCCACACCCAAATGGGGCTAGAGGATATTTTGTTCTTCGCCTATCCTTCCCAGAGCGCGCCTAGTGCAAGGCCCCGATGCGCCCTAAAATTTGTAGACGTGGATTATTAGTGGTTACGAATACGGGGAAGGGACCTGAGTCTGTATTCTCGGTCAACCACCTACGTAACTTTTTTCTCATTGAATCCGAGTTTGTTGTTACCCCCGTTTACGTTTTGGCAAACAGAAAAAGGTACAGCATTCTATGAGTGACGGAGTATTATTACATCGTGCATTTCATGTGTTTTGACTTTTTACGGGATAGGCAACCATCCAAGGGTAAAACTATTGAAATGCTCTATTGTCTCCGTACTGCGTGTTTTCAAACTACCCAAGATACCTCCCCCCCAGAAGGTATCATTGGAGCTATTCTTTAAGTATTACCTTGTACTTGTCCTCGGTCATCGAAAAAGGTACAAGGGTACACGGTGAAAGGTCACCGCGCTTTCTCCCTTTTTAGATTGTTACGTTCCGTACTTCAATGTGCATCAGAAGTATGAAAAGGTTCTGGATGAGTACCCCAAGTTGTATCCTCTTTATCATCCTAACCTCACCTTTAGGGTATATACCCAAGTATCATCGTTATTGTCACATTTCTGATACTATTTCTTACATTATAAAGAATCAAAATTGTCAATTGAAAGGTACTAGAAAACTATCTCTTATTACAACTACTACACGGTAACTCGGTACGCACTACTTGCCTATACTATACACGAGTACAAAAACAAAAAACAAAAAACCAAAAACAAAAAACAAAAAACAAAAATGTCAATCACTTTCCACTCCGTCATTCCCATCCTACGCATCTTTGACGTTTCCAAGGCCGAGGAATTTTATCGAGACTATTTGGGGTTCAAGACCGACTGGGACCATCGGTTCGAGGATGGTTTACCTCTGTACCGACAGGTTTCTAGAGGTGGACTGGTCCTTCACTTGAGCGAACACCACGGGGACGGAAGTCCGGGTGTACACGTCAGGATCGACATGACCGGCATCTCCGAGTTTCATGCCGAGCTCAAAACGAAAAACTATCGTTACATGAAGCCGGGCCTGGACGACCAGAATTCTCCTTCGGGTCGGAGGGAAATGACGGTCATCGATCCCTTTGGAAATCAGTTGACATTTGTCGAGAAAGAACAATAGTAACGGAAAGTGACGACCATCAAAAGAAGCGAGGACACCGACAACGACAATCAATCTTTTGAACGTAACACCAGTTGTACACACGGGTAGAGTAGCGACGGGAGTCAGCAGGAGCGCCGAGTGTCTGGTGGCCTTGATGTCCGACCAACCAGACAGGGAGCACAAATCAAGGATGTCGCGACAATTGGAAGTCTGGCAGATACAAGTATCATACAAAGTGTAAAGCTCATGTTCAAATGTTTGCAAGTTGATGAGGGAGGAGTAACGTTGTAAGAATTGACATTCAACCACCCAAATATAAAGTCCTTAACCAAATAATGCGTCACAAACGTACAATCCCAACACCTTGGTATAGTGTACTTTGTTCTCGACAAGGTACAAGACCCTACGGTCTGCCTTGGGTTTCGGGCTTTGCTCCTCTTCCTCGTCGTCAAAGTCTCGCTTTCCCAGGTCCAAACACGCGAGATACTTGAGATCCACACCATCATGGGCGGCGTAGTCCAACTCGGTGCCCTTGCGTACATCCAGCGTGATCAGATGTTCGCCAGTACTGCTGAGAACCTTCAGGATGATGAAACCACTCACGAGCATGGTGGAAAGTTGGGCCGGTACGTCGATCGAGAAACCGTCAGACCCGAGACCGTCGGGCTTCCTGGAGAACATGCCGTTGTAAGGGCCCCTCGTCACCACGGTGGTGTTTCGCTCGTCGTAGAGCAACTTCGTGAGGATGAACTGAGCGTCAACGCCGGTGACCTCGGCGAGATCCGAGACCGACTTGCACACCACCCGTCCGTGCAAGAAGTCGTGCCAGGGCCATTCCGTCACGTATCGGGTTTTGGCCACGATGAGAATCGCGCCGACAATGAGCCAGGTGAAGGTGGTGATCTGGAAAGGATCGACCCCGACGATTTCGTTCCGGACAACAAAAGGGATCGCCAGTCCACCGCCGAGGACAAGTGCGCAGAGCACCATGATCGCCATGATGTACCCTGTACATCGAACCGTCACCGAAGTTTCCGCAAAGACCCAAGACTGCATTCGTTTCTCCTCCTTGACGTATTGTTGGACAACTTGCATTTCCTTTTTCGTGTCGACCGGCTGGGATTGATCAAGCAAAGGGAGCTCTTGCCGGCAGGTCCTGTCGAGACCCAATTGTGTGCCCGCTGGTCTACGTCAGTTAAGCTGCAACGATTAGAGGACCAAAAACAAAACCACAAACATACCACGAATCCGTTTGGAGAACAGGTCGCCCGAGACGGGGATGGTCTCGGGATCATTATACCATTGATCCGTGAAGCCAAGTCGACGCTTCCGACTCAAGTAGTCTGCGGTCGCGACCACAAATTTGGCCTGGAAATGTTTCGGGGCAAACTGAAAAACAGGATCTTCTTCTTCCGAATTCACGGAGATGTTGCTGATCATCTTGAGCATCCGGTCGGAGACGTACGACGTCGAAAGTGAAAGCAGGATCAAAGTGGATATGACTTCGTCGGCGCTCGATGTTTGTAAAGACTTCTCGACCGTGTGTTGTTCCTTACGGCCCTCGGCCCATCGCCACCTGACGAGCGCTTTCTCTTGGCTATTGTCCGGCTGCTCATGTCTCTTGAGTGCTTCTACAACTTCGAGCAGGAGTTTGAGCACCACGTAAATGCAATTGATGCTCTGAGCTTGCGAGGTCGCAAACACATCTCCATCACGATCTGCGCTGAGGGTGGTCAGAGAATGGGAAAGGCCCACCTCGTAGACGACGGTACAGATCTCAAAGGTGCTAGGCGCTGTCAAGAACCACTGAGTAGAGTACAGGCCTAGTATACACGACCTGAAGATCGAATCAAGCCAGACTCGTACCATACCGTTGTAACTGAAGTAGAGTTGAGTTGCATCAGTTTCTTCATGAACATCATAGCCGTTTTCACCACCAGCCTCGGGTTTCCTGCTCGCACCGATTCGGATCCTGATGATCCGAAACATTTCGGTGTCTTCGGAAGCGTTCAATTGCTCGATAATCGCTTCTCCATCCGATAGAGCTTGTCTCGCATACGTAACTGGGTCGTGACAAAGCACCTTCAACTTGACGGCCCATCGAGCAAGAATGGCGATATTGACGCTCTTCCAAAACTTGCTCGATGCCAGGCGAAGCAAAACGCGGGCAACTGAGCTGGTGGCATAATCGATAAGGGCGAAATAAACCTTTGTATTGTCCGCTTCTGGTTCAATGCGGATTGGAATTCTAGGTTTGACCTTTTCATTTTGCTGGAATTTGCGCCTGAGGGTGCCCCTAGCTAACTTGAACTGTGATGCCGCCTTTTCCAACTCGATTCCGGCACGAGAATGCTCCAGGATCAAAAGCTGGTTGTCGTGAGAGACTATTGCAAGGTTGCAAAGAATTTGATCTGCAAAATCCGATATGATCTTGAACGCTTCTGGTTTTGTGGTTCCGAGAATGTTGTCACTGTTGAAAATCAATGGCGATTCCGAGACGCAGTCCTTAATCAAGCGTTTGACCTCAAGCCGTACGAGTCTCTTCTCTTCTTCTTTGTCGATGCCATAATTGAGAGTGTCATCGAATTTGGGCAAGTCTTCCAGCACCAGTGGGCCTCTTACGAATTTTTCATTCCAATTAGCCACCTCGAGGACATCCTCTTCATTTATCTCAAGCTTCCAGCCATTACGTGACATGACATTGGCACGTCTAGGTTTGAATGTTTGGGTATCGGCTTGAGGTCTTGGTTTCTTGTGGGACTTGAATCCTTTCTTTGCCCTTCTGACATCGAAGTGAGTTTGAAACATCATACAGGTCAAGAATGAACGACGTGTCTTTGAGAAAAGTTGAAACTCACCTGCTGATGTTTTCGAAGAAGCCAGATGACACATGTTCTGAGCCTTCAGAATCTGCAACCTTTTCGTCAATGTCAAACATGATTGTCCCAGGGGTATTTCTTGCTCAATGTACTGCTCTCAGTGTGGGAAGAACGCTACGATAGAAAAATGAAGTTTAGAAGCATTACTGATAGGTAGAGAGGAGTTCACGAAACATGTCCAGTACTTGTTTGTAAGATCACGATTCGAAATATCCGACGGAAACCATGAATGCTACTCGGAACCTATTCTTGGGCCATGGCGTTCAGGCGGTCATGGACAGAGGATTGATACCGTGTACTTCTTCCAGGTCTTGAAGTAGACTTCCATGGTGAAAACATCTGCGCCACGATTGGCATCACCATATCTAAGGCTAATGCACGGTGAAATGGCCAAATGTCGAAAAGGCAGCCACTAAGCTGTGCGACAGCCTGATCGTTTCTTCTGGCGAAGTGCATCGGATAGCTAGTGCGGTAGGCCACAGTATGACATGCATTAATCAAGAGGAGCAGCCCAGCCTGACGGGGATCACTGTGACACAAAATGAGATGTTGATCGAGAATGGGCGAATTGATATCAGGAGTTTTGAGTCAGAGAAATTGCTTGGGGGGATTTTTCACTGCACCGTACAAAATTACGGTGCGTTTAGTGCACACTTGGTCTGGCTGAGACGATGTTAAAATCTTCGTCTGTGTAACTAAAACGATGAAGACTTCTTGCAGTGAAACAATTTTTTCGAAAGTGGTTTGTACTCCATACTTCGCCTACAGACGAGTCTTTGCACAGGACTACATCTCAAGTCACTGCGGCCACGCGCATGTCATGTGTGACACACCCAGCCAAGAGCTAGCTACTGACCTACTGCAGGTGTCTCGCAGGCAGTGGCAGCCTTGGACGAATGATACCGCGCGCCCATCCTCTTTAGCGAGAATATCGACAGGGCTACAAGTAAGTCCATTGGGGGAATTGGGACATTGGTACGCGAGCCAACATCAAAGGAACCATATCACACTTGATTCGTAACACCCGACGAGATGAATCCTGGTTTCGACTCCCCAGCCTTACCGCACCCCTTGACTCCCTACACAGCCTTCTTGAACTTAATCTGTATCTCTACCTGATACCAGGCATGCACAGCCTTCTCAAAAGTTCCGTTTGGCGAGCCGGAGTATGACTCGATTTGAGAGCCGGAGGCGATTCGGATAAGGGGCCAATATGTTATCATGTTTTCTCCGTGGTTTGTACTTTCCTGAACAGCACCTCGACAATTTCTCCCTGCATGATGCCAGGAGGACGAGACACTTCGTCGTGTCTCCGTAGGTAATGAAGCTCGCTTTTCCACCAAAACTCCCATGTACATCCGAACAAGCCTGCTCTTCGCAATTTCTTCAACATTCACAGACTCATAATGTCGGTAAATGATTACAAGAAAGCACGAGGTGCTCTGTCTAGCAAATTGGATGAAGAAGCAGACATTAGTAAAATCGAACTTGTCGACATCATTGAGACGGAAGGAAGATGGGGCTCGAGATCTACCATCACGCTCACTGCAGATATCCACAAAGCACGGCAAGACAAGGAACGATTCCAAGAATACGCTCTGATTCTCCGTCGTCTGAGAGATGAAGATGGCAAACCGCTCGCGACGAGACTCGAAATACAGTCGCCAATTATTCGAGCTGCTATTCAGGAAGTCTTGGGCGAGTATCCTACCGTCAATATGGAGTCCAATCCTATCATCATCGAGAGACCTTACGCACCCCTCTACCACTATCGGAAGGAGCTGCGCGAGTATGCAATGCACACGGATCGGACTAGGGAAGAAAAGGACCACATGTCTACTCTGATTCACTTCATGGACTTATACCTCCGCAAAGCCGAAAAGACGAATGAAAAACTCCTGCCCTCGGAACTCACCTCTCATAACTTATTGTGGACACTATATCGACCTGACGACGTAGTTATTGCTCGGAGAGACTATTTTACTGAAGCGTATGTGATCGAGTCCTGCTCAGTTGTCGAGTATCCCCAGGACAACGAGATGAAAATGCATATTACCCTGGTCTGTCGGTCATGGGACTACAATGGTGCGAGATTTGGCCCTGTCTCTAAGACTATAAATCTGAGGGGCTTCATTGGGAATAAAAAGATTTATGATCTGGACGTGTATCCTGTACAGTATCATCGAGAGCCCGATGGTCAAGATATCAGACGGAAACTGATCAACCGAGGCTTAAAATGGAGGAACATTGTGGAAGTGGCACATCGAGAATATGATGGTACGTCGGTTCAGGCCATTGGCTTCCGAGGAGAGCGACTGTCTCATTGATTAACGTGACTGCAGCAATATGCTGGACTGATCCTCTTACCCAAGCTGAAGAGGTTCGTCAAATCGAAGATCTTGTGCCGGTACATGTAGGTCAACTCTGCGGCGGGCGATGGTGGGGATGGTATACCTACTGACAACCTGTTAGACTAGTGGACGTATTATCCTAGACTATGCAACACATCAGCAAGCAAGGCCCCAGCTCGCGACGTTGTTGGCTAGGGGCAGCGCAACAAAAGCGGTGACCAAGGATGCAAAGGATGCGATCCCGGTCAATCAGGGAGATGACTTCTTGCTTAAAGTCGACGACAATTCCAAATCCAGCAAACGCGCAAGAAGCGAGTATGACGACAGATACCTGTCACATCCCAACGACGCTACATACAAGATCACACATTCACAAGCACTTATCTGTCCAGCTCGCATCCGGGGATTTTCTCTCACCGACAAGATCTGGGCCTTTTTCCTCGTGGACGAGGTCAAGGATATAACGTGGGCGGAAGACTCGTTCACGACCCTTGAACTTGAACCGAGCGTCAAAAAGACCATCAGTGCTCTTGTTCACTCTCACGGCAAATCGAACAAAGTACGCGACCAGCAGGCTGACGACGTGATTTCTGGCAAGGGAAAGGGGCTGGTATTTTTGTTGACGGGTCCCCCGGGGCTTGGAAAGACATTGACAGCAGGTGAGTCAAAGTTGCTTTTGCTTCCCTTCAAGTCATCCTCACCAACCACACCTCCTGCCCGTAGCCACACCTACCCTCGGATGACATATTTTTGATTCTTCATGACAGAAAGTATTGCCGAAAACACACATCGACCATTATACGCCCTCACGTGTGGCGAGCTAGGTACCGACCCAGTCGAAACAGACCAAATTCTTCGTCGCATTTTTATCAGGGCCAAATCCTGGAATGCGATATTGTTGTTGGACGAAGCCGACGTATTTTTGGCCAAGAGGGAAAGAAACGACTTGCAAAGGAATGCATTTGTGTCTAGTATGCTTCTGCCTCTTTCTTATTCCACTCATCCTGGTAACCCAAAGGAGCGGATGAAAAGACTCTGCCATTGTTTGCTAATACTTTCTTTCCTTTATTATTCTAACAGTCTTCCTGCGCCTCATCGAATACTACGCCGGCATTTTGTTTCTCACGACGAACCGCCTCACTGAATTCGACGAGGCGTTTCAAAGCCGAATCCACCTCACCGTTCATTTCAAGCTGCTCGACGATGTCATGCGTGCCGCCATCTGGAAAAACCTCCTGAGCCGCTTCGACCCGGGTGGTCTGCCCGGGCGGTGGCATGCACAGATTCTCGCAAGGCTTGGCCGCGAGTACAGGATCAACGGGCGGGAGATCAAGAATCTGATAAGGACCGCAGCGGCACTGGCCGAGTTCGAGGGTGTGGCTCTCGATGAGACCCATTTCAAGACCGTGTACACGCTCAACACGACGCAGTATCGTGACGGTCTGGAGGTGTCTACTACTGCGGACCAAGAGAAGACTTCAGATCGGGGTCAGGGGTGACGTGAGTAACCCAAAATTGGCGTCAGAGGTGACCCTGGATGAAAATACTGGACACCAAGGTCACCGCAGGTGGTAGAGAGTCAAAAGAGCCGCAGGTTTAGACGGATTGACCTTGGTCGAACGGCGTCGAAGATCCCTGTGAAAAAGCTCTTCTGTCTGGATATGGTATTCTCGGTACGTGGAAGATGTACAATATGTATCCCGCTGTTACACTGGGTACGGACTACATCAGACAGAGATCAAGACAACTTATGTACGCCAAGGTCACGGTGCCATGGACGTTTTGATGTCATGTCTACCAAACACAAGAGTTTAAGATGAAAACAGCCAGTTTTGAATTGCCATTACGATGCTGCTGTTGCAGTTTGATGATGAAATAAGAAGAAAGTTCATAAAGTCGTCAGTCACCATTTCCTTTCCCCTTTCCTGGAAATTGAAACCCGAGACCACAAAACAACAAGACAACAATACCGCCATCAACAAGACCCGGACAGACAAAAGTCACGACTTCTACACCGTTTGAGGATCACTTCTCCCTTCTCACTTTACACTTCCAACACCCTTCCCCTCGATCTCAGCGCCCTTGCCTGTTTCGCACGGGTCAATTTCACCTCCTCTCCGATGATCCTGGCATCTCTCCACTGTTCTTCCAAATTACTCATCCTTATCGCGGCCATGACGGCAAACACTCCGGCTCGGAACTTCTGGACCGGTCTCATTTTCGTCTCGTATCTGGACTTGTCGAGCGAGACTCCCATTTCGTTGAGGATACGTAGATCGACTTGGTTACTGTTGTACGAAGCTGTCAGCGTTCTGGTCTGTATAGAGGCGGCGGTGGTGATGATGATGATGATGATGATGATGATGGTGGTGGTGGTGGTGATGGTGATGGGAACGAGCAAGGCATCAACACAACAAGAAGGGAGGTCTAAAAAAACATACCATTGCACTCTCATGGCTTCACCTTGTTCAAGGAATGCTTTGCTCCAAGCCAGATCCTTTCTCAACCTTTCCTCCCTCCTGCACTTTGCTTTCAACCACATAATCTCCTTGATCAAGCCTTTTATTTCTTTCTGTCGCACTTCGTCCTTGCTGGATTTACCCGAGCTGAGTCTTTCAAGCATACTCTCGTACTTGTTCTGCAGCACCTCGAGCTCATTCTCGACCGTCTCGGCCTTTTGGTTGGCTCGGCTGCGTTCCTCTCGGAGCCGACGGAGTTGTTGCTTCATTTCGCGCGCCTCGCCGGTCCGCACCGAGAGGCGCATCGACAAGTCATTGACAAATTCTTGTTCCTCGCGTAGCCGCTTGACCTGCGCTTTGAGCTCTTCAATCTGTCGGTCACGTTTACTGGCACCGGCCGGGACTGCATCATGGCCGTCATCGTGATCATCCTCGCGTAGACGGACGAGTTGATCTCGGAGGTCGTCGATGAGATCATTCTGCTGGGCGATCTTCATCTCCAGTGCATCGACATCTGCAGCGCGAGTTCTCAAAGAGGCATCGCCCGCAATATCCGTGGCACCTCGGCGGGTCGTACGTTTGAGCTCACGATTCTCCGAAGAAAGAACCTCGACCTCCGACTGGGCATCGATAAGGTCTTGTCGAATCTTGGCCATCTCGTTCGAGCGCGATGGCGGAGGTGAAGGGGACGGCGACTTTGCCTTGTACTGGGCGAGCCTCGCCTCGTGCAGTTCTCTCTCAAGGTCGTTGATCCGTATCTTCAACTCCCTGTTGGCTGACTTGAGTTCGACCTCCCGCTTCGCGATGGTCGTCTCGTTCTTTCTTGCGTCTGCCAGGTCGCGTTCAAGTCCCGACAGGTCCGCGTTCGGCGAGGCCACAACTTTAGACTGATTGTCTAACAGTGACTCGAGGTCTTTGACGCGTGCTTCCAGTCGAGTGATCTTGGCCTTTGAATTGCCGGGTTCTCGATCTCGGGTTTCTCCAGTACTCGATTTCTGCGAGCGAAGACTGTCGAGTTCCGCGTGGAGACGGGCCTCCTCTTTACTGGCTCTTTCAAGTTCTGCGTTGATCTCGTCTTCAAGCGCGTTGTTTGCCTCAGCAAGGTTGTCCCGCTCAGCAGTCAGTCTCGCCACGTCGCTCTCCAGCTTGACTTTGAGGCGCTTCAGTTCGCGCTTCTCGTGGTCGACATTGAAAGTGTCATCGTGAGGCTTCTGCACGCGATGGAGTTTGTCCCGCTCCTGCTCTGCAGATTGGAGAGCGGATCTCGCACTGCGTAGTTCCACGTTGGCGTTCGTCAGCTGTGCTTGCAACGCTTGCTTCTCTTGTCGCAGCTTTTGGACCTGAGCATCCGCACTGGTAGAGTATTTCTGTTGTTGTCTTTCTGCAAACTCATGCTCTTGTTCGATGTCTGCCTGCAGAACTTCAATCTCCTCCTCCAATTCCGAGACTTTCTCTTTCAAGGATGCTTGTTCTCGGATTGAAATGCGCAATTCCTCCTTGGCGTTGTTCAATTCCGTGCGACTGTCGTCTGCAAGGGTTCGCTTGGACTGTAGATCTTGTTGAAGTTCTTCAATCTGTTTGGATAGGATTCTCTCTTCTTGTCGATGGCGTTCCTTTTCACTCTCAATGGCCTCTTGGAGCCTCATTTCCCGTCCCGACAAAGTCCCCTGGGCATCCTGCAACTTATCAACGGTACGCTGCAATCCTCTAGCCCTCTCTTCGGCCTTCTGCGAAGCCGCTTCCAGCGTCTTGCGCTGCGAGTCCCAGTCTTCCAAGTCCGCATCATGATCACTTGCTTTGGCATTCAGTTCGCGATGGAGGCTGTCAATTTGTTCATTGAGAAGGTCGATTTCATGCTTGTGTCGGGATCGTAGATCATTTTCATTCCTCGCTGAGACTTGTCGTTCTTCCTCGAGCGCATTCTCCAGCTCGGCATTCACGCCCTGCAATTGATTGAGGTCTTTTTGCAACTCAGCCGATTCCTTCGTCAGCGCATCATGTCGCGTCTGAAGCAAGTCCTTTTCTTCGGCCTTGACTTGGAATTCTCTCTCCGCAGTCTCAAGCTGTTTGGTCATGTTTGCCAGTTTTCGCTCCAAAGTGTCACGTTGTTGATGTGAGAGCTCGACCTCTTGCTGAAGTTTTCGTACGTCGGTTGCACCTTCTCGCTCTAGTTCACGAACGCGGTCACGTAGTTGTCGCTCGGATTCTGTTTTCTCATTCACTTCTGTCTGTAGCGCGTCGTATTGCTCTTGCAGAGTCTGGAAATCGTCTTCAAGCTTACTTGCCTTCTCCTCAAGTTGCCGGCTTAAACCCTTTGTTGTGAACGACTTGTTGGCCATCTCGTCGCGTAACTCGTCCAGGTCCTCTTCTGCCTTTCGTTTCTCTTCGAGGGCCTCCTCCTTGTCCTCTTTCGCTTCGTTCAGGTCTTCTTTAGCGCGCTCGAGGCTTTGCTTCAGGTCCTCAATTTCCTGCTTCGCAGATTCCAAATCGTCCTCGATGTCCGCAGCACTGTTTGATTCTTTGTTGGCCTTCATCTTCAACTCGTCGATCTGATCCTCACGCTCGTCGGCTATGCGCTCCTTCTCACGGAGCTCTGCCTGCAAATCCTCGACCTCATCTCTCAACTTCTGGACTTCAGCGCGATCTTGACTTGCAGCATGATCCCTGTCGTCGCTCAGAGTCTTGATCTCCTTGTCTTTCGCTCTCAACTCCGAACGAAGGCTTTCAAGCTCATGACGGACACTTTCGTCAATCTGTTTTCGTCTGATGCGCTCCTTGAACTCTTCTAGCTGTAATCGGTAGACTTCCGCATCTTTCTCCGCCTGTGCTATGTTTCTCTTGAACTTGTGCAGTTCGCGTTGCATGGTGATTCGATTGACTTTAAGATCCGTGTTCTCCTTCAATGCCGCTTGGTTGAATTCGTTGCCGCGCTTCGACAGAGCCTCTTCCAAGAAATGGATCTTCATCTTTAGGCCGAAATTTTCCTTCTCGATTTTGTCTATGATCCCTTCTTGTTCTCGCAGGGTCATCATGTTCCCGTCGTTGACAAGCCCACCGGCATCGCGACTGGGTAGCTGCGCAAGGGGAGTACTCCTGACACTGCTGCTAGGATGGTGAGGTATGGGGGTGTCGTCGACTGCACGTCCGGCCGAGCTCGAGGTGTACTCGCCTTCCAGACGTGACAGATCGCTCAATCGTGGGAGCGCAGGCGTCCGGCCGTTGAGGTACGAAGGCGTGTTCGCCGTGGCCTGTTTCCTCCCGGACAGCCGCCGAGCAATGTTTTCCTTGGTGCCACTCTTCAAGAAGGGTGTAAACTCCGAGCGACCTTGGTTGCCATTCGGGAGGAGTCGAAGAGGATCTCGCGTGCCGGCTCGGGGCGTTTTCAGGCTGGCGCCCGAGTGTAGTTTTGCGCTTCGCATCTGTGAGATCAGGTCGGCGCCCTGACTAGGGACGTGGAAGGATTTCTCAGGCGATACATCTTCGAGTCTCCCTCCAGCATTGGTCATGAACGAGCTCTCGTGGGTCTGCGCAGGTGTGTGAATGTAGTCCATGTTGGGGCCGAATTCCCTTTAAAAACAAAAAAGATGAAGACAAACGAAGAATCCACAAAGAATGCCTCAGACCCAACAGTAAGACATGCTGTTTTGTTCTAGGCTGAGGTTGGGGAGTTCCACGTTCAACTGCGCATTGTTTTATTCAATACACACTTCCATGTTGATATTTACTAAAACGGAATAGTGTGTTTTGATCTTAGCGTATCTCAGAAATTGGCCAATCAGCGCCAAGTTTCGATAATCTCATCAATCCGCGTTTCACCATCCGGACTCCCATCAATTGTTTACGCAGATTCGAACCTCTCCAGACCTAGTCGATGTATAGCCTTCTCAAAACAGCTTCATGTTCTCTCGGCGGGATTGCGAGGGGTTTGTACCACCTAGGTCACAACCCCCAAGAGGCCAAAATAATCGCTTTGACCATTCAATACCGACGGTAGGCAAGTGCGCGTTCAATGTTTGACATTGTGGCAGCAACTGCTATCCTCTCGGTCAGCAAGCATTTAGATCCGAGGCTCTCACTGCCATGGTCCCGGGAACGGGTTGAATCCAACAACTACCGATAGGTCATGGCTCTTGATCCCTTTCCGAGGCATATATGGTCTTCATTACCGCAGCTTCATGCTCGTGTGTCCAACTTGTAGGCCTTGGTGCATTTTCAGGAATGTCGATGGCATCATATCTGCCAGCCTTCTCCTGAATGCCTGACAACAGCTTTCTGAACATCCTCCAAGCTCGAAACGCCGACGGGGACCCCTGGGTCATACACCAAATGTAAGCCATAGCCTTGCGAAGGTAGGTAACCACTTCGGGAACTTCAGCCCGAAAATGTTGACAGCCATGTGCCATCTCCAGCAGTAAGACTGCGGTTGCTTGTGCCACATAATGAAGCAATGACCACCAGGGAAGCAGCTGGTAAGCCTCGTGGGCACTGGGGTTATCTGGAATAATGGCTAGCAAAGACATGGCGGCATGCACGCAAGCGCGGGCGGAACTCCGGTTGAATTCTTGCGATGCGAGGGATTGATTTTCGATGGTGATCTCACACAAGCAGGGTCGGTGCAGAATCATCTGGACGCTGTGATAATACATGGCCAGCTCAATTCTTGCACGAGGGTCGGAAACTGCAGTCGTCTCACTTTGCAAGTTGAGCTCATCGGGAAGGCTCTCCGCCCAATGCCTCAGGTCTGTCTGTAACTCACCAATCTTTCGTTGCACTTGCGACCACGAATCCTCGGATGTTCCGCTATATAACTGTGTTGCGATTTTGTCGCTCAGGCGGCATAGATACACCCGGTGTGGAAAATAGAGATGCGAGACCCCATGACCTAGGTATGGGAAGCTGGTCCAAGGGACCATCCCACCTGTCATTGCCTGAGAAATTTCACGTCGCGCCCTCAAGAAATCAAGCCATACCGTTCGAGATTCGTCAGCAGTCATGTAATTGTCTTCTTGGGTTGAGTAGATGGCTTCGAGGTCCTCGCTGAACAAATCCACAGGAGTCGTCACATCGGGCAAGAAAATGGACTTTGGTCGTCCAGTTATCTCAGCGATCAGGATCTCGAGGCAATACAGCGAGTACCACGTCCGGGCGCGTCGCGCTCGTTCGAGTCCACCCAGGTCAGGATCCGAGACCCTAAGATGCAAACCGAGAGCCGTGGCGTGGCGTGTTGCGTGTCCTAAGGTGTTCCACGCACTGCATTGACTTAGCTGATCAGCCAAGGCTGGGTCAGGAGCACTTACCGAGTGATAGAGCCATTGATCAACAGGTAAAATGACAGCACACCGATCCCTTGGACTCGTTCAATGTCGGGATGGTCAAAAACCACCCGGTGATCGAGGCCCAGAGCACGTGCTCGGGCATAATATATCAAATGAGACTCTGTGGGACTAGATTGATCCAGCTTCGTGATGTACAGATATTTTGACCCGATCGCCCAGACAAGATTGGCCAATGCCAGCCAGCGCCGCTGGGCCCAGGTCGGCATGTTTCGTTGGCGCGGATACGAGAGCATAGTATGGAGAAAAGTCTCCCTCACAACAAATGGAAAGGTGCCTTGCATAGAATGAAAATATGCCTCAGCCAGGAGTAGAGCAGATTCACCGGGAGGCCATTCGTACGGGTCAACGAGGTCCTCATCACAAGCCAAGACATCGACATCGTCCATGTAGAAACAGAAGTCTTTGGCCGTCGTGAGGCGGTGATCCACCACGCCCATGGAAATTTCCGGCAGGTCTGCGTTGTGCCTTTCTTGAAGGCTGTTTACCTCAAAAGCACGACGTACCCAGGACATTTCCGACATCTTCCCAATGAAGCCAGAAGCGCCAGAGCCGCCATCAAGGTCGACCGCTTGAGCTAATTCGCCTTGCTTCCCAGGAGAGCCGACACTTGATGCCGCCGTTCTCTCTCCTGAGACAGACCCTTCATCTGCGCCATGATAGCCCTTTCGAACTGCTGGTGGGTGCGCGCCAAGTACGGGCATGGTGTTAGATTGACTGCTGGAATCGTGACTACTGTCCCACGGCTCTTGTTCATACTATCAGACTTGTGTTAGAACATTTCGACAGATGTGGGGTGAATACAGACCTTTGACAGAAGATCAACAATGTCGCTGTGTCTGGCTGCATTGAAATCATCCCCAGCGGCCAGGGAACGCAGTGCAGTGAGCAAGACCTGACTACCGCTTTTCAACTGATCAATACGATCCAGACTTTCGGCCAGGTCTCTGTACAAAGTCAGCACTTTGATACTGTCGAAATGCTCGGTGGTGAGGCAATGCTACTTTTTGTTGCGTTCCCTTTTCCGGTCCCCATATACGCACCAGGCATTGTCCTTGACACACTTGGTGCAACGGTCACCCCCAGAGCACTTTGTGCGCATGATCCTACACCGGTCACAGGCATGTGAAGTCCGCGCTCTATTGACCGAGCTACCAGAACGGCGTGGTTGGCCAAGGCGAATTGGTTCTCCACGAGTTGTTTCGCCCTTGGCGAGGACCGGCCGCGAAGAGAGGTGGCGAACGGGTGTCGCTGACATATTGATTGCTTTGCACGGGCTGCGGCAGGAATACCGTTGATTTTCTCACAGATAGCCGAAGGTGTATAAGGTAGCACAGCTTGTACACTATGTGTAGCCACAGAACGAGGCCTGTTTAGTTATGAAATAAAGTCGACAGTTGTGGTTGAAAGCGAGTGACGGCGATGAAGCTCATGGTGGCCGTTCTGGATCTCGAACTGTTGAGAGGACGATCTATTGTGATATAGAAGAACTCAATGAGCGCAAGCGCACGTGCTGGTGTTGAAAGGACGGCGTCAATATTCGGCGAAGCCAGAATGACAACTTTGCTTGCACGTCAAACATGGCCTAGACGTTCCGTTGATCAACAGTGAACCTGACCGTGATCTGGGTCTGTCGACCACCAATCTTTCCTCCTTTGATTCATGCCTAGTGAGCCTAGACACCTACATTTGCCGGAAAATATTTCCCTCATTGGCACGAGGGCGAAAGTTCAGTATCCGCTCTTCGATGTTCGATCGACATGTGGTTGCATGACGAAGCCCGACCGGATTTATCTGCCGGCTCACGGTATTGCACGGATGGGAATGCGAGTATTCCTCTCCAGCCGATATCAGCTCGAAGCAGTGCATCACCTTCAACCGCTGTCGCAAGAAACAGGCATTGGGCATTCAACAAACGGTGCCACTGGCCATCTCCGAAGACCTTGTCGAGACTGCTGCACCCATGCAAGGGCCACAGACAGGCGGGTCAAATGCTGCAATGATCAATATTTCCCAAGCATCGTCCACACGAAATTGCCCCAAAGATCCAGAGGCGAAAAAGAATTCCGGGGGAAGTGATTGGCAGTCTAGTGTCTTGGTGACGATCAGGCGTTGGCCCGGCTGAACCGTCGACGCAAGTGCATCTGCGACTGGCATACGGCGACAACTACTCGTACCATGACAATGTTCGATGTGCACCCATGACGCCAGAAAGTGAGGCCAAAGCGAATGACTTTATCTGGGCCGTCGCAGACACAAAGCGAAAGGCCTGAAGAGAAAGCAAGTCTACACATTGACGCACCCAAGTTCTAGCGGTGTACAATTGAGACCCGGTGGGAAGGCTGGATACGAAGCGTAGAATGTATTTCTAGATTCTTCGACAGTCACATCGATCCAAAGCTTCGGGAGACAAACGTCTGTTGATGGCGGCGGCAGGAAAATCAGTACGGTTATCTTTGATGGGAATTCGACAAGGCGAAATAACGCAACGAGGTTTGATTGGATGGCAACTGTGTACTATGATTTATGTTGTGTGTCCACCAGCAGAGAGGGAGGGTGTATGGTGTAACACAAGTTGGCCAGATTTACACCCCGAGAGCAACGATTGGGGGTAACACAGTATGGTAGGGATAGCCCATGAGACTCACCCAAGGTAGCTCGGCCAATATTTCGGATCTCCCCTCAGCAACTGAGGCGATATCTGCCGATACCACAGAGCAGTGGATGAAGAGAATGCGTCAGACCCAAACTGTAGGCGCGGGTGCTCTAGCAGTACCTTGCCTACCTGCCCTGAAGAGTAGGAGAAAGGAAGGCTCCCCTAATAGACTTGTATCGGGGCTCACTATAGAGTGTCTTGGGCAAGACTACGAGCACTAAACAGAGTGACTACTGTTAGGTTCACCCAGCTTCACCGAAATTCCAGGAGCAACGGGTGTCGAGGACGAGTATTTTAGGGTGCGAGTCTAGGTACTCTCTTAGCTGCTCGTAAGTACAGTACGGAATACTCGGAAATGCTGGTAATCTGTGGTAACAATTGTACGTATTGTTTTGTATGTGCTGTGCTGTACCTTACTAAAATGTTGTGCCCTATGACGTTGAGGCAGGCGCAGAACATTGTATCAACAAAGTCCCAAAACTGCCCCTCCAAAAGTTCTTGAGCTCGCTCTCCGAAAATAGAAAAACATACATTTACAGACACTCACTTCTGAATACCTCAAGAACTGCAGTTAAATAGACTACGGCAGCTTTATTCAGTCATTTTTACCTGGCTAAGAATTATTCGCGAGACTACTTATCTCCATCTCGTTATCACATAGAACCACAAGCTTCGACCTCAGTCCGTCTGTCTCCCACCAATTGCTCCTGCACAACCAGCACCTGACTGCCGGCCTCCGTTATCCTCCGCTCAATCATGGCAAAGGTCGACCACAAAGCCGTCTTGAGTAAGCCATATCCTCTCTTTCTGAGCACATCGAACGACCACTGACTTGGGTATTAGTTGTCATCGATGGCTGGGGAATTCCCTCAGAGACCTCTCCACCCGATGGCGATGCCATCGCTGCCGCCGACACCCCCGTCATGGACGGCTTCGCAAAAGAAGGCTCGACCACTGCACAAGGCTACACCGAGTTAGAGGCTTCTTCTCTTGCTGTCGGTCTGCCCGAAGGCCTGATGGGAAATTCAGAAGTGGGCCATCTGAACATCGGTGCTGGCAGGGTTGTCTGGCAAGACAGTGTTCGAATTGGGCAGACCATTAAGAAGGGCGAAATGAAGAATGTTCCCAGTGTCAAAAACTGTTTCCAACGTGCCGTTGATGGTAACGGGAGACTTCACTTCCTCGGCCTCATCAGCGATGGTGGTGTCCACAGCCACATCGACCACCTTTTTGCCCTCCTGCAGGTGGCCAAGGAAAGGAAGGTGCCCAAGATCTTTATCCATTTCTTCGGCGATGGCAGAGATACCGACCCCAAGAGCGCTGCAGGCTACCTGCAACAGCTGCTGGACAAGCTTCAAGAGCTGGGCGTGGGTGAACTGGCCACGGTCGTTGGACGATACTATATCATGGATCGAGACAAGAGATGGGATCGTGTCGAGATCGGAATGAAGGGCATCATCTTGGGCGAAGGAGAAGATTCTACCGATCCAGTAGCCACAATCAAGGAACGCTACGACAAGGGAGAGAACGACGAATTCCTCAAGCCCATCATCGTTGGTGGTGAAGACCGCCGGATCAAGGACGGCGACACTTTGTTCTTCTTCAACTACCGTTCCGACCGTGTCAGAGAGATCACCCAGCTTTTGGGCGACTATGATCGATCTCCTAAGCCTGATTTCCCTTATCCAAAGGATATCCAGATTACCACTATGACTCAGTACAAGACCGACTACAAGTTCCCCATTGCCTTCCCTCCCCAACACATGGGTAATGTGCTCGCTGAGTGGCTGAGCAAGAAGGGTGTCAAGCAATGCCACGTCGCTGAGACCGAAAAGTATGCGCACGTCACGTTCTTTTTCAACGGTGGAGTGGAAAAACAATTCGACGGTGAAGAACGGGAGATGATTCCGAGTCCCAAGGTCGCCACCTATGACCTGGACCCTCCAATGAGTGCTCAAAAGGTTGCCGACAAACTCAGCGAAAGGATATCGGACAACAAGTTTGAGTTCTTGATGAACAATTTTGCCCCTCCGGACATGGTCGGCCACACAGGTGTCTATGAAGCGGCAATTAAAGGTGTCACGGCCACGGATGCCGCTATTGGCTCTGTGTACGAGACCTGCAAAAAAGAAGGCTACGTTTTGTTCGTGACAGCAGACCACGGCAACGCCGAGGAGATGCTGAACGAGGAAGGAAAGCCAAAGACATCGCATACTACCAACAAGGTGCCTTTCGTCATGGCTAACGCACCCGAGGGCTGGAGTTTGAAGAAGCAGGACGGTGTGCTGGGAGATGTCGCACCAACCGTCCTGGCGGCCATGGGCATAGAGCAACCGGAAGAAATGGGCGGGACAAGTCTCTTGATCAAGAAGTAAGTGGACCTTGAGTCGCGCAAAGGCATATTTTTAGCAATATCAGTACCGACCGCAAGGCCCAGCTTGCACCCTAGTTTTGAGCGTTGGCGTATTGACGAAATCTGAGCTGATGAGAAATGATATAGACGAAAGGCAAGCGAGTTGAATGCAGAAGCCGAGGCATAGAATACTTCTCCTACTTCTCCTACTTCTCCCTATTACCCTCCATATGTTCCATCAGTGTGGGGCGACCAGATGGTGACATTGGAAAACATTGACCGTCTTTCTTCTACACTCCAGAAGTTGCACAATTACCATGCTAGAACAGGACGTACAGGGTGATGGGGAGTTTCCGTTGCACCTTGAAAGGTTCGTCGAAATGAGCCATATAGGAGGCCAATAGATGGGTCGGCTAAAATCCAGATAAATAGGTGGGATGGTTTGCATTAGCAGCACTGGATAAGACAAAAAGGGTTTATCGCAAGTCACCATACTCCGTCCTATACAGAGATTCCGTGCATATTCCGCATCCCTCAGTGAGGATGCTGGATGATGCGCATGGAAGACCGAATGTGCATTGTAACTTTCGAGGTTCATTTGGATCGTTCAGCGTCGACAAATACGTGTCACCAGTAGCTTTGGTGAAGAGCCTAAAGAATCTCAGAGGTACTCCGTAGTCGGTGCCTGCCCCCGGAACTTAGCAGCTGCTACCTTATAAAGGCAGGTATCCCGAGAAACCGTTTGCCCGCACTAGCTAGAATTACGTTAGACCCGTCGGCCCCCACAACCCGATGGCAAATGCGATTTCCGGCACCCTCGACTCTTGATATATGAAACTTATGACTCCGTAGCGCTCTCAACATTCCCAGACTCAATTACAAACGTTGTCGCTGTCGAAGGAACATCGAACTGAGTTCTGTTTTCAAGATCTTGTGTCTTTCTCGCATAATCATTTCGTCCACATCGCAAAGAACAGAACAAGTTTCCGTCCAAGGAAAAAATTTGTCCGTTTTTGACTGCAGTTGCTTCCCAGTAGCAGACGGTCTCTCGAGAATCCAGCGCTCTAGCATTGTTTTTGACTCTCTTCCAGAGAAAACACACCAAAATGTCATTGACCGAGTCGAAACCTGACGCCGCGGCGAAAGCTGCCTCTCTTTCGGCACGCAGCCTTGCGGTCCTCTCCGTTGCAGCTCGAAATGATGCACTAACGGTCATGCATGACGCTCTACTTGCCAACAAAGAACCAATCCTCGCTGCCAACGCACGTGACATGGCTCGAGCTACGTCTGCATCGGAGTCTGGCCATCTCTCACAAGCAGTATTAAAACGTCTCGATCTGTCCAGACCCGGAAAATATGATGACATGCTGCAGGGCATTCTGGATGTCCGGGGTCTCGACGACCCTGTTGGCAAATGCGATTTGCGTACACTGCTTGATGATGGACTGGAGCTGGAGCGGGTCTCCTGTCCCATTGGGGTGCTACTTATCATCTTCGAAGCGCGGCCAGAAGTCATCGCCAATATTGCAGCGTTGGCCATTAAGTCGGGCAACGCGGCGATCCTGAAGGGTGGGAAGGAGTCTTCTGATTCTTTCGAGACTATTGCCAAGGTCATTGGTTCTGCGTTGGAGAAGACACAGGTGCCCAACGCGGCTATTCAACTCGTCAAAACTCGGGATGTTATCGATCAGCTGCTGGGACTGGACCAGTATATTGACCTCGTCATCCCTCGCGGCGGAAACGAACTTGTTCGATACGTCAAGGAGCACACCAAGATTCCAGTGTTGGGTCATGCGGATGGATTGTGCAGCGTTTATTTGCACAGGGATGCTGACAAGGACACTGCAGTCCGTGTGGTGGTAGACTCCAAGTGCGATTACCCAGCGGCGTGCAATGCCGCAGAGACATTACTGGTGCATGAAGCAGCATTAACAACTATTCTGCCGGCCGTGGCTGAAGCACTGTTTGCAAAAGGCGTCTCTCTGCGGTGTGATGAGAAGAGTATGGAAGCTTTGAAGAAGGCACTCTCTCCAACTAGTGCAGCATTGGTGCAGGGCTCTACTGACAAAGACTACGATACGGAATTCCTAGATCTGATCATGGCTGTAAAGACCGTGCCTGGTACAACAGTAGACTCTACTGACGACGCTTCTCTGGATATGGCTGTCGCACATATCAACACACATGGCTCGAAGCATACCGACTGCATTGTAACAAGCTCAGACGAGTCAGCAGAAAAGTTCATGTCTTCAATTGACGCGGCTGGTGTCTACTGGAATGCATCTACACGATTTGCGGATGGCATGAGATACGGCTTTGGCACCGAAGTTGGCATCAGCACGAACAAAATCCACTCGAGAGGACCGGTCGGCCTCGAAGGGCTGACGATCTACAAGTACAAGCTCAGAGGTCATGGACAGACTGCTGGTGAATATGGAGAAGGGAGTGGCAAAAGACGGTACAAGCATCAAAACTTGGCCATCTGAAGACGGACATGTCTGTGCAAATTTGGGCTTGATTAAGGTCAAATATAGAGCCGCCGCGGCCGATTTCAACCTTCAAAGACGAACGGAGCCTGCTTTGTGGGATGTGGAATCCACGGTCGAACGATAACGCCTCACAACTATGATCAACCCTGTTGGCAGAATGATGTTCTTATCCTTCAAGTCCGTGGTGGGCTACTTCCCAGTGCTGCCCCGGGAAAATAATGGTCTCGGCTGGCTTACAACCTTTGAGATTCCAGCCGCGCAAATTAATCCAACCTCGTCCATGCCAGCTACGTTCTGCCCCTCCAGGCTCGATTACGGTAAATTGAACACGTCAACTGCGAGCTTCCATCTATCGGGCTGTTTGAACCCTGACGTACATGATCATGCTTCACGGGCAGTCAAAGTATAAAAGTCATGTCCATACAAAGTCATTTCTATCTGTCTGTCTGTTTGTCTCCATTTGGCAAATAAACATTATTAAGAAGAACAAAAACTCATCTCATAACCCGCAAAGGGATTATGAGAATAGAAAACCAGGGAAACTGATTTTTAAAGTGGCAACACCGCTGCCACTCGAACCCTACCACCCATTACTTCCGACTCTCTCCAGAACATTGCTAAAGATCACGGGCGACATTCTGGTAAACATAACGCCAATGACCTTCAGAAGGGGTCCTGGGTACTATGAAGGAAGGCCTTTTGTGTTCAGACACGAGTCCCATTGTTGAACAAAATTTGCACAACGTAATATATCAAGTGAACATTGTCGATTGAATTGGTGAATATGGATATTGATTGCGCCAAAAGGGATATTGTTCGATATATCGCCAAGCTGACTGAGCGACAACAATACTATTTCTCCATTATAACAATGTTGTCGCCAAGTGCCCCGACGCCTGCATTATGTGTTGCAACTCTGTCTACTTTGCAGACCCCTTCAAAGATCAAACTGCATTTCTATCACCATCGTCAAGACACCAGCGACAAGCTCGAGACTTCATCTCATCATACGTTCACATCTTGCAAAGGCTGTATACCCACCGATGACAGTTACCGTCCTCCTCAATGCAGGCTTTGCATCTCTCAACCTTGGTATGGTGACTTGAGGAAGCTGTCCGGGCTCGCCAATTGGCAAGTCGACGATCAACTCATCAGCCTATACAAAATGTGGGATACCCAAAGGAATAATGGTTTCAATCTATAAAATAACGAAAACTCGTCCTTTTCAGATCGCAACGCGCATCACATTAGACATTCGAGCCAGACTGCTTTCAGTTCATTGTGGCTTATTTCATATACCATGACTGCGGCAGATGGCTACATCGGAAATCGTGGCCCAATGAGAACCCTAAGTCGAACATAATCCCTACCAGAAGCTTCAGCTACGAAGACCTTGTTACGACTTTTACTTCCTCTGAGTGACCAGGTTTGACCAATGTCTGGTTCTATAAGAATACCAGACTTCGGATATGTATCTCGCCCCATGGGCACTCGATGAAGAGCTCTGTCCCATGGGAACTAACCTTCTTCACAACGAAGAGTCTTGATACATTGGAAGGAAACTTCATTATGGATCTTGACGAGATATATGAGTCTCTTCGATATATTTATCCACCTTGACAATCGCGATAGAAGAGCGAATTTCTCTTTTGACTATTCCTTCGCAACATATCTAAAGAATAGACGGCCAATACCGGATCTTCTTAATACAAGGTCAAAGCCAAACAGTCCTCTGGAATCTCATCCAATTCGTCGTCAAATAAGGCCTATTCGACGACCCTTTCAACGACCTATTCCTCGTCGGTCAACACTGGTTTATATGACGAGTGGATTCTCGATTCCGGTTCGGATGTACATGTCCGCCGACTTGACACTCCTGGGTTCGTCCCTCAACGCCTCGCGGGGCCTCATGAGAAACTTAAGATGTGGCGTCAATTCTATCGATTCTCTAGGATCTATCACCATTCAAATGGAAACACCAATAGGAACAAGCCCATGTCATTCTGACAGAGGTTCTCTGTGTCGTAGGGTTCATGACAAAAGTCGTCTCCCTGCTTTTAGAAGTAATTGAATGAAAAATGATTGTAATTTAAGAAAGCGCAATAAAAGGCCATCGGCATGGTTGACCGTCTGTGCATGAGAACTCCTTCAAACCAAAGTCCCGTCTACGACACAAACGGCCTTGCCCTTGACGTCTCCCTTTTCCAAGAGTTCCACCATCTTGGGGACCTCGCCGAGGCCGTTGAAAACCTGGGTCTCGGCGCGGATGTCGTGTCTGGCGACGACGTCCAGCATCTCCCGAGCCGTGTCACAATCTCCGTACATGGTCCCCTTGATGGTCACGTCCCGCAGCACGACGTCCTGAAAGGGGACCGTGATCTCCTCGGGTTGGGCGGCCTGGACGACGGTGCCGTGCGTGCGGGTGATGGCGACCGAAAGGGCGGCGGTGGAAGGGTGGTCACTGACGTTGACGGTCGCCTCGACCCCGAGCCCGTCCGGGGTGAGGTTACGAACCTGGGCCACGACGCTCGTCTTGGGTTGACGGGCGTCCAGGACGTGGTCCGCCCCCGCGGCACGTGCGATCTCGAGCCCCGCGTCCCTCGCGTCGACGGCGACGACGTTGATCCCCTTCGCCTTTGCGAACCGGACCCCGAAGTGGCCCAGGCCCCCTCCCGCCCCGACGATGGCCAACCACCCTCCCGCCTCGACCCCGCTGACCGCCAGGGCCCGGTAGACGGTCAACCCGGCGCAGGCCAGAGGGGCCGCGGTCACAAACGACACGGCGTCGGGCACGACGCAACTCTCCCGGGAGTCCGCGACGTGGTACTCGGCGAAGGCGCCGTCGGATTTGATCCCGGTGGCCCCGTCGCTCTCGAGGCAGTACTGACTCCAGTTCCTGTCGGGAGGGGCGGTGCAGTTGACGCATTTCCCGCACGCGTGTAGTTTGATGCCCGTCATGACCCGGTCGCCCGGTTTGAAATCTCGGACCGCCTCCCCCTTGGCCACCACCACGCCCGTCCCCTCGTGGGACATGGTGATGGGTAACGTCGACCCGAACACCCCCGCGAGGACCATCAGGTCCGTGTGGCAGAGTGAAGCGACAGCCGTACGCAAAATCAAATCGTGCGGACCCAGTTTGGAAATGGTGGGTGTCGGGACCTTTTGGATTGCGAGTGGTGCATTGTACTATTTGTACATGTGTATCAGTGGATGGAGTCTTTGAAGAGGGAAACCTGATCGATGATACACGGGAGTGATCCAGGGAAGAACAATAGTAGTACGTACATTGACGACTTGAACGGCGAGCATTTCACTAGGGAGTTCTTCTTCTGATGAAGCCATGGCTTGTTTTCTGTGACCGTTACCTTGCGGGTCGAATAATTCGTTGTTGTCAACGGATCGGTCTCGGTCTGAGGATGTCTTGAACAGACGCACCGGATGCACTTATATACCCTGCAGGCTGTTCGTCCCGCTGAGATTTGTCCTTCCGTAATGAATGCTGGATGCCTCGAGTATGATGGCTGCCGACGGCCAAAAGCCGCAAAAACCGGTGTGATTGAATGGTATTACTGTCACTGTCAAGCTCACTGAATTGGTGTAAGGCGGATACTGTAGTTAATGTTAGTCTGATGGTTAGTATGACATTCGCTTCTCGATTTCATATTCTTTAAGAAATCGTACCCATGACCTCACGACGAAGTTGGCTTGGGGAATATCCGTGCGAATACTCCGGACTTCAATAAACCGCCAAAGCACCTCCGCAGACCCCCACATTGACTCGATATGGAAACCCGTCAACACACAGCGCCGACGAGATGGAATGACCTTGCCCGGACCAGCCTACAGGGGAAGGTTACAAAGAAGACCAAAAATATCAACGCCGTGCAACATTAGTCGTCTCGTACCGTGGACCTATACGTTCGCACCCCGGCTTCACATGGTACCCTTCTCTTCTCCGGCGGCGTTCATGGCAGAGACAGTTGCCTCTTTGCTGCTCTCCGACATTCCCAGCAAGATCTTCTGATGAAGCCAATGCGGCCAGCCTCTTATTCCTGTCACCGCGGAAAACGATGACGGCACGACTATCTGTCCACTGTTACCCGAGTACAATTGTCCCACGACGGCGTCCGCCACAATGTCCGGTTCGACCATGGGCGCTTTCAATCCGTGGGCCACCAGGCGTTGGACCATTGGCGTGCGAACCCATGCGGGCAAAACGACACTGTTGTTGTTCCCTCTGGTCAGAAAAACACCGGCACCTCACGGAGTCGCGCAATGGCCTCGGGTCAAAGCCCGGGTCCTGGAATAGGGAGAAAACTGCTCACCTGGTCCGCACCCTTTTCGCATTATAATAAGCTGCCAATTCCAGACCCAGGCCCTCGTGGAAGGCCAGGGCAGCCGCTTTGGACGAGGCATATGTCACATTCGCCGCCCGCGGGCCGTGAGCAGCCAGACTCGCGACGGTGACTACGTGACCGTGATCATTTTCGACCATACGAGGCAAAAACTCCTGGACCAGTTGAAAATGCGAAAAGACATTGACGGCAAAAGTCTTTTGGACGTCGTGCATCGGTATACCTAGAATCGTAGCGTCGAGAGCAAGAGCAGCGTTGTTGATGAGGACGGTCGGATGGCCATGCTCAGCCCGGATTCGATTGCACGTCGTCCGGACAGATTCCAAATCACTAATGTCAAGTTGATATGCAGACACGTTGGGAGCTGTGTTTTTCGAGAGCTCTTAATATCCCCCTGACCTGACGAAGAAAGAAGCTCGTTGGGACAATCGCTCACCTGAGTGTGGTTTTTCTGGACCGGTTATATCGAGAATGATGACTTTGACTCCTTTGGCGGCCAACCTTTCCACAATCTTTGCACCGATCCCTGAATTACCCCCTGTGATGACTACGATTTCCTTTTTCCAGTTCCATGTCGAGTTTGGAGTGTAGTGATTTAATGCTCTTTGTGACAACCACGCGTTGACAGTAGAGAGGGCGCGTATGCCAAAGAGGACCCCGAGGACAGGTAAGCCATATCGTCTAATTCTTTGATCTGAGGCGATGCGATGGTACAATGCCTCCATTGAGTTGATGTTGTTGATCACACCGGCATGTCACTCGGCGACGTGAAGGATGCAAGATGGCGCAAATTAGAATCGAAAAGACTCGTTCTCAACTGGGAGATGTTGTCGGGGGAATCAAAAATCACTTGTGATGATTCTGTGATGGATTGAAGAACCGTGATACGATCGTTGTAGTTATCAGGGCTTAATGTGAGTATTTAAAAATTCGAGTACGGAGTACCTCGGGAGCCATTCAGTTTCAGGCCCGCCGTCCAAGACCCTCAATAGGTTGATTGTGACTAGGTTCTAGTGCTGTATGTAAGCCAGGGACATTTGGGTTGGCAAGCATTTTTGTCGTTATTTGTGCCTTGCTCAGCTGAGTTTGTAATGTAAACACTCTAGAAAAGGCGGCAAATCTCACAAGGTACAGCGAAGAGATCTCGAGGCCGCGTACTTCTGGTGTACATGAGTACTCCATACTCGGGGCTACAGCCTTGTCGCCAAGTGGATTCGTGGGTACTGAAAGTAGTTCTTCGGGCTCGCCGGATGTGGTTAAATATGGCGACGACGACGACAATATTTAACTAATTGCTTACTGCACAATATATCAGACATCGTTACTCGTGTTTACTTTTGTATAGTCACATCACTTCCTACAGCATTCAGCCTTGTTTTTGATTCTTGAGCAATGTATCGCAGACACTTGACTGTACATATGAAGATCTGAAGCTACGACAAGCTTTTCGGGTACATGCATTTCTTTGGACTGATTTACGAACGAACTACACATGGATAAGTTTTGGGATTTAAACAGGAACAAAACCAAAAAACATGAAAATATCAGCGGCTTGGAGAGACGAAAGTCCTCAAATGCAAGAACACAGAGATAGAGTGTCGACGATCTCGAAACAGATTGCTCAATTCAACGCCTCAGACGCGCCATTCCGAATCTTCCACGGCAACACCAACTCGACTCGACCCAGCGTTCGGACCAAGACAGGTACGGTCGACATTTCAGCACTCAAGAACGTCCTATCTGTGGATACGTCCTCAAAAAAATGCCTCGTCGAGCCCAACGTACCCATGGACGCCTTGGTGGCCGCGACATTACCTCACGGGCTGGTACCTCCTGTCGTGCCCGAGTTCCCCGGCATCACGGTCGGAGGTGCCGTCGCAGGCACGGCGGGGGAGAGTAGTAGTTTCCGACACGGCTTCTTCGACAAGTCGATGACCTGGGCCGAAGTCGTTCTGGCCGACGGTGAGGTGGTTGTCGCTTCCAACGACCAAAACCAGGATTTGTTCCTTGGGCTGGCGGGGACTTTTGGTACATTGGGAGTGGCTACATTGTTTGAGATTTCCCTTGTTCCGGCAAAAGAGTACGTGGAACTCTCTTATGTTCCAGTCAGTAACATTGAACACGCCCAGCGAGTCATTCGACAAGTCTCTGAAGAAGCCGACGAGATGAACTTTTTGGATGGTATCATGTTTGGACCGGATAAAGGTATTGTCATGGCTGGGAAGTTTGTAGACAAAACCACAACGACCGTCGCCGGCACTCCCCTCCCTGTAGTAACGTTTACTGGAGCATGGGATCAATGGTTTTATCTACACGCCGGACAAGTCATGGACGAATACTTACCCTCGGCAGCCTCAACCCCGGCTTCTCCCACTGCTAGCTCTTCTTCTTCCAAACTCGACTCTATCCATATCGTCCACCGAGACCTCATCCCATTACAGGATTACCTGTTCCGTTACGACCGCGGAGCCTTTTGGACCGGTAGATTTGCATTCACCTACTTTTTGACCCCCTTCACTCGGCTCACCAGGTGGTTGGTCGACTATTACATGCACACCAGGGTCATGTACCACGCCTTGCACCGATCCGGACTCATGCAGAGGTTCATCATCCAAGACATGGCCTTGCCGAACCGAAACGTACCCGACTTTTCCCACTGGTTGGACCTCGAGCTGCCACACATTTACCCACGTTGGTTGTGTCCTCTCAAGACCGACGAGACTGTCAGTATGCACCCTCACTTGGCTCCTGCCGCTCGTCACAATGATGATGTACTCCTGAACATCGGAGTCTGGGGACCGACACCTCCCACCGTGACTCAAGTCAACATCAACCGTCGCATCGAGTCCAAATTGGTTTCTCTCCAAGGAATGAAATGGTTGTACGCTCAAACTTTTTATACCGAGGACGAATTTTGGAACATTTATGACCGAAAATGGTACGAGTCGTTGAGGGAAAAGTATCGAGCTCAGAAATTACCTAGCGTTTATGAGAAAGTAAGGACCAAGTTTGATGATGCTGGCGGTAACACCAACACAAACAATATCAGGCTTGGTATAGAAAAGGGATTCTGGAGTACATGGCCTTTTGCTGGTATATATGGCGTGTTGAGTGCCATCAAGGGTGGTGATTATTTGAGGAAGAGTACCTAAACGAGAGTTTCATTACCCCGGGGCGGAGACTGGACGATATCTACTCCGGACTCAGGTCAGGTATAGATGGGAACATTGATGTTGTTGTACATCTCCTGTACATATTCTGTACTCTGTTCACCGTTGCAATCAAATGAAATGATATACACATACACAATGAGCACATACTCAGTCGAACACATTTATTGGATTCGATCGGCTCCAAAAAATAAGCCACAAGTCAACAAGGTTGTCGAATCTCTATACTCACTTGCTAGGACATGCTTTGTTCGGGACGGGGATTTTCTTCTTCTTTCAAACTCGAATTGGATTTCATCATTTCGCTCAATCTTTGGCAAAAAATTCATGCATGTTCTGCTTGCTCTGCACCACAATTTCAAGGGCCGTTGTCCGTCACGTCGTACATGCAGGACAACAACAAAACACAATTCTCTCGCTTGCTCTGGCCATGGCTCCGGCTTTGAAACCAAGTATCGCTCCATGCCAATCAACCCCTTCCCCCCCCCAAAATGACCAAGTATCTAAGCATGTGGTAAATGCTCACGACTCTTATTTCAGGTCCTGTTTCCTTTCGGGACAACACATTTCTATTTCCGTGGCGACCCAAATCATCATCGTCGTCGTCGTTGTCATCACCATCACCGCATAATCTCATTCCAAATCAGAGCCTTGAGCTCTTCCTTGCTCAACTGATCTTTGTTACGGTCAAAGTCGAAGAACTCCTCAGGGATGGGCTCGGCGGTCGGTTCGTCATCTGGATCATGATATGGCTCTAGGTAGGGATGTTTCAGAGCCTCTTCGACCGTGATGCGCTTGACCGGGTTGAACGCCAACAATTTCTCCAACAGGTCGAGAGCGAGGTCTGACGTCTTGGGGAAAAGTGCCTTGAGTGGAATCTTCTTCTTGAACGGCAGGGAACGGATGTATTCACGAGCGCGTCTCGATTTGATGCCGTAGTAGTCTTCCATGGTGGGAGTTCCAAGAACGTCCAAGATCAAGGTCAGTTGATGATGGTCTGAAACACAGTCAGTAAATTCGTTCCCGACCACAACATGGTTTTCAACGTACAGTCTTTTCCTGGGAACAATGGCTTTCCACTCAGCATCTCGGCGAGAATACATCCAACACTCCAGACATCAATCGCCTTTGTGTACTCCTTGAAGGTGAGCATGATTTCTGGTGCCCGATACCATCTGGTGGCTACGTATTCCGTCATGAAACCCGAGTTGTCGTCCGTCGAGGCCGCAGATCTTGCCAGACCAAAGTCACAGACTTTCAGATCGCAATTCGCGTTCAATAGGAGATTCGAAGGTTTCAGATCCCGGTGTAGGACATTTGCAGAATGCATGGCCTTGAGGGCGCGTAGAGTTTGGTAGATGAAGTACTGGCAATGATCGTCAGAGAGATCTTGTGTCCGGATCACACGATGCATGTCAGTTTCCATCAATTCCTGTAAACTATTAGCCCCGTGTTTCTGTAATGGTGCCCGCGCGGTGTGACCAACCTGGATGAGATAAACTTCTGAGAAGGACTCGTAATTTCGTGGTTTTTGGATATCGAGGATGGATATGATGTTTTCGTGGTTGAAGTATCGTAGCAGTTTCATTTCTCGTAACGTACGTAGGCAGAACATGGAGTGGTCAAAAGGGGTGATCTTCTTGATCGCGACCTTCTGATTTGAGGGTTTGTGTAGGGCAGAACTGCGATTGAAATCAGTGACTGTATCTCTTGCTGGGACGGACTCACTCACCAAACCACACCATACGCACCCTCACCGATGACATCTTGAATGTCGTACTGATCAGAGACATTAAAAGAAATCTTTCTGGAACCCCCCGACGGCGCGGACTGTTGCTGTGGCTGGCCCATATTCCTAACTCGTTTTGCCGATCAAGACGAACTTCAAAGATATCTTCCTCTTCGTGACCAGAATACTCTCACTATCCAAACAAAACAATCACAATTCCTGCGAGAAGGGGGCGTCGACAGAGGTTGTTGCGTGGTGCGAGGTTCGAGAATTACCGAGGGAGGATTGGCTTTCTTTGTGCTTCACCCTTTGTTCGCTACCGTTTTCTGGAATGTGGATCGAAATGCGGTGTAGGAGTCGCCGCGCGCGCACAAGGTGATGAGAGGATCAAGGACTCGTCGATGTCGAAGAGACTTTTCGAGGGTCACTGGTGCAAGGAGGTGTCGAGAGAGTACTGCTGTTAGAATTAGTCTTCACTGGCTTGCTGAACACAAAAGTCCCCCCAATCCTGCGGACCCTGTTACGCATGAGTCTTGTCTCACCTCAAACACTTCTTTCTACCTCGCCTGCGAATTCCGCACCAGCGATAGCCCAAGGCGGTCAGATAGCCCCAGATAGGTCTCCTACTTGCGAAGAGTGGGGTTGGATTGCTAAAGGCTGCGGAGCACAACGCCAATGGTGGTGGATAGGTGGTTACTCTAGAGAAGAGAAGTAGTGACAACAGCGAGCGATTGACAATGATCAACGCAGGGAAAAGGAGAGAACTCAGGGCAAGAAGAAAAAGACACAATGTCGGAGAGACGGATGTGACGAGGTGATTAGAAGTGAAGACTGAGAGGAAGAGAGAGACCCGACAGATGCGTGACCTCGATGACTTAGTACCTTGTATTTTGTACTGTAGGGTCGAGTTTCTCAACTTCACACATTTGTTCTTCACACCCGCTGGTCGAATTGAAGGACGTCTGGCCGTTTAGCCGCCCACATTGGCCGAGCTAAGGTCATGGAACTGCCCGCTTACTGGGACACGCTATACTTGATGTTTGTCTAGTCTATACAGGGGCCGTCCATCTGTGACACCTAGTCGCCCGTCGTCCACGCCTTGACCAGAAGTCAGATCAGTGTTTCATCCTAGTTTGTCGCGCAGATTCCGTCTCCCGAAATAGGTCAGAGACATGCGGGAGCCTCAGCAGTATCCGAGCAGCCGCACAGTGATACAATATGGTAAACATAGCACAGCTACAGAGGACGGACTGTCATGGTGTCATTGCAAGGTCAGTGCGGTAGATGGATGTCCTTGTATTTCACTCTATGACATTTTTGCTAGCAACCAACATCTTTTCATTGCATCACCTGCCCGTACTGTTAGCAACCCCCTCCCCGCCCCCCGGTCTTTGAGCGCTCATGACTGTACCTTCTCGCGCATCTGTCCCATCCACTGTTGAAGGCTGACACCTTGATCCGCACGATCTTCCACCAGCATCGTTTGTGCCCATAACCTTAATCCAGGTTCGCCGTCTTCTTTCACTACGTAGAGGTGAGGCACAATAATGCTTCCCACACCCTTGGCACGATGGTCCCGACTCTTGGAAATCACAGCTCTAACCCGCTCACTAAAGTCGTTGTCCAACTCTGGCAATCGCTGCTTGCCCACCTTGAGCTGACTCTTGTCCGACATGCCAAAAACATCCATGATGAGCTGTGAAACAGCATCGCGTCCAACCCACAGGAACTGCGTCTGGCCGTCATCAATCAGGTATAGCCCGTAGGGCACAATGCGCTCCGAGGAAAGGTTGACTGGCGGTGGGAGGATAATCTCTCCAGATTCCTGATTGACAGCTCCAGCGTCATCTGGCATATCGTGAAGGGAGTACATCTTCGGGTAGATGTATTGAATCAGCAGGGGTAATGGTAAAGTTGATAGTAAGCAAAGTGCGGCGGAACGCATATCGCTAGGAATTTGTGAGGAGCGTCTCAGGCCAAGGTTCTTGGTGAGCGCAAGGAACAGAACAGGTAGGCCTCGAAGATTAGCAGGAAATTGTAGACCGCCCCCACCCATGCTGCCACCGGCTAGCTCTTTCTTGTAGGTCGAAAGAAGCTCGACCAGCTTATTTTGGACCATGTCGCGCGCACTATCAAGCCCACCATTGAGGACGCGCTCAACTGCCTTGTGACTGTAGTAGGTGGTGATGGCCTGCTGATCCGCCGATGCATACACATCTGATAACTGTTGGGTGGTTGGCAAAGCTAGAGTCATAACCCGGATACGTCGTTCGCCATTGCATGTTGTATGTAGGACAGCTGTCTGCATACATACAACCGGCTTCGTAATGGTCTCGTCGATGGCAACTTCTACCACATAGCTCTGATCTCGAGGAAATGCTGGGAAGGCGCACAAGTCGGAGCTTCGATTGAAGAAGTTACCGTAGAAGGTACTCATTCTTAGGCCGGTGGTTGCTCGAACACGGAGAACTGCCTCAAGGCCGATCTCGGCAGAGAGGTAGTCAGAAAATTCCTTCGCAAATTTCATTGCATCATCCTCCCGAGCCGCATTCCATCCTGGATAGAAGTAGGTTTGGCCACCGGTGTATCTCGGGAGATTGCTCAACGAAGCCACATCTTGGTACTGCGAGGAGAAGAGGAACATGTCCACTGAGATCTGCTGCTTCGAGCACTCGACCGCAAAACTCTTGTAGAAGCTGTTGCTAGTTTGAAGAAGGCTGCTCTCTTTTGAAGTACCCAAAATCTTCTTATCCTCTCGCATGTCAAGTTTACCATGTCCAATATTGGGAAGAGACGCTGTGACCACGGTCATCTTACCTCCAACAGGGCCTATCAGTTTGTGGCCAGCTTTGAGAGCAGATCCCATCGCAGATGCACCGTTCTGTGTGTTTTGGAACATTTCTTGTAGCTTATCAAGGAAGCTCTCAATGTTTTCGCGGCACTCGGAGAGCGTTACAAGCAGATCTGCGGGCGTAGGAAGGAAGGCTTCCTCTAGATCGCTCACAACAAGCATGCTCGTTTGGGCGTTTTCGGTCCCGTCCCGGGGAATGTTGAAAAAGTGTAGGCTTGAGTCCACAGCGATAAAACCAAGTCTGGTACGGCGATCGGCGTTTGGTATTCTATCCAGACTTTCTCGGATACATCGTGCAGTCGTTGCCAAGAGGCCACTGGTAACCGCAGCGTAACTTACATCCAATAAAAATAGGTACACAAGTGGTTGTGGCGGCCGGACCATGTACTCTTGGGGAGCGATGAATTCAACGACAGCATGATTCAAATCTGGTCTTTGCCATCTATCCAGGCTCTTTTGTGCTGCAGCATCCCAATCAAATGCCTGAGGGACGTCGTTGGTGAGATTACACATATTGCACCTCCATCGATGTCCGTGGTCCAGGAACGTCACAAAGGGGTTGATGTACGATCGGCATCTTCTGCAGCGCGATATCACTTGATCGGGTACAATCGGTACAGGATCTTCAACATCATGCAAGGAGGTATATGGCTGGATGACCAGCGCGAACGGTAGTTTCGACTTCTTCAAGAGAGAATGGGTGGTGGGGACGGCGTTGAGAGAAGATCGAACATATTTGGGCGGGCAATTGGCAAAGGGCGAAGGTGTGACGCTGGTCTAGATCTTGGTCAGGATGAGTTTATAAAATAGAGGGAGTACACATACATTAGGTGGCAGGATGGCCGGTGGAGGAGGGTAATCCAGTTCCGCAACATTGAAAGGCTGGTTGGACAAGTCGGTGGGATAGAGTTGATTGAGGACAGGGGCTCGCTGCGGCTGTTGTGGCGCTGCAGCTACAGGGGGCTGTTGGGCAATGTTCATTTGGCCAAATTGCTGAGTGACGCCGGCAACCCCTGGTGTAGGATAGCCTGCAGCTGGAGGCTGGTACCCGCCCGCCGCTTCCTGGCCGGGATACATGGGAGTTGTGTCCTGTTGGACTGCCACTGGGTTCTGTTGATATCCACCTTGGGGATAACCAGCGGCATCCTGCTGGGCAGAATAACCTGGGTATGCACCACCAGCCTGCGGTTGACCTCCCAAAGCAGCATTTGCACCTGCTCCAAACTCGTATGCTTGACCGGCATAAGCACGCTTCTTTCTGCCTCCATGAGCCTGTCCCTGTGGAGGCGCCGGCATTACGCCTGGCGGTGAAGTCGTCTCGTAGTTGTCATAGTTTTGCCCCGCGGGCTGTTGCTGGCCATAGCCATCTTGCGCCGGCGGTGTCGGCTGAGGATACTGCGACATAATGCCTCACGGTCAATGTGAATCAAGTCAGGAGACAGATGTGGTGTATGTGAGCGCGTGGCACGGAACGTAGGGCTGCGACGTGGAGGTGAAGGTGAGGCAGAGATGATTCGGCGAGATTGTGGGAGATTATGCTTGCGAGACCTCGTAAAGCATGGTGTCCATATCTGTCTAGAGTATCTCAAGCAGAATCAAGTGACAGTCGCAGAGTAGTTGTACGGAGAGAGCGGTTGTACTTGTCGCTGTCCTCGTGAGAATAGACAGATTGTCCTCAGTGTGGAGGAATTGTCTTTCGTAGACAGGTTGTGCTTCCGAGGTGTTGACCAATCACAATTTGGCCCACCACCAAGACTTGTTTATCTAAACACGACATCTCAGCATGAGTTCTAACAGGTAGTGACTATCAACTTGCATTTTGATACACTTCCTTGTGTTACTGATATTTAATGGCACAAATCGATTCATGCTACGACTCTGTCAGAATGATTCAGAATTAAATACAAGCCCAAGTAAGTTGCTAGGTCTTTGTGAAGAGGCTAAAGCATCTGTGAAGGCCATGCCTGTTGCGAATACAAGAGATAGCCTGGAACTATCAATGATAAATAAGTCGCTAATCACAAACAAACAGATTGCTGTCGCTGGAAATGCTTCTTGTTCTCGTATATGCTAAGGTATCTACGCCATGTAAATCATCATCATGGCTTGCTGTCATCAGATCTCGTGTGCCTCGTCATATGGCCTGTCGCTGGCTTTGGCCTTCTTTCGTGATGAAGAGCTCATCAACTCGAACAATCGGTTCTTACTGGGTCCGTCACGGCTGCCCGGTAATACTCGCGCCCGACTCTCTTCTGTAAAATCGACCGATGCTGTTGAGGAGTTTGTTGAATTGGTCATTGCCCGAGCGTCCGTTGCTCGTTGAGGAAAAGGGATACGCCGATCCCATGCGATGGATGCTGAGCTGGACGGTGTGGTGTCGCCCTCGCCGACATTAGGTGAGACTTCAGCATTTTTGTATTCGAAATTCGCAGCAGTATCCGCCGTTTGTGGCAGAGCTGTGATCTCGGCACTCCTCCGAGGCTTGATGATTGGCTCTCCAAATATGTTGCTAGACGAGCTGCTTTTCTCTTGTTGATCATTGAGAAGCCTCTCCCAGGCCGGCTGAGACCTTTCGCTAGGTCTTTCGGCCTGCTCAGCAGCTTTGAGACACTCCTTGCTCTTTGCAGAAAGGCTAAGACACAAAGTGTGGAAGAGACGGATAGGATCATCATCACCGGCTTCGTTGATGTTCTCGGGAATGTGTGACACCCACAGGTCGGCCAGTTGTGCCAACAATCTTGGGTAATCGAGCAAATATGGCAGGCTAGGTAGGCCTTCTCGAGATAGTGGTGGCAGTCGACTCTTGATTTGTTTTGGGGCCGCGAATTGAGGCTCGAGAGTCATGGAAGCCATCTGAGACGCGTCAACAGCACAAATTTCATCAAGGAAGTTTCGAAATTCGGTCGCCGAGGCAATCAGGAATTTGTTCATGGGTTCCATCCAGGGTTCCTTGGTCCCGAATTTGCCTACGGATGCAAGTGCATTCAAGGACTTGGCGATCAAAGTAAATGTGCGTTTGGTGCGATCAGGAGGAATATCTAATGAAGGAGTCAGTGTATATCAAAGAGACTCGGCTAGACAGCACATACCTGGAATCAGACCAAACAACTTGGGATTCAAGATTGCAGGGCAGAAGAAACGAAGGAAGAGGAATCCAGAAACGCTGGTGAGTTTAGCCGTACGAATAAAAGGTCCATAGCGATCCTCGGCGCAAGATCGTATATGTCTGAATATAAGTCTCAGTGGTAATGGACAACGCGCCACCGAGTCACGTATCGATTTCCAAATGGTGCTGGTCAGGAAGATCAGATTCGCCCAATTCTTCTCCAGTTGTTCGTTTGATCTAACCCTGGTAGGGTCAACCTCACAATCCGGATCGCGTTCAATGATTTTGCGCAATTTTTCACCCAGAACCTCCTCTAGATACTCCTTGCCTAATCGGCGCATATGAGCATCCAGGGCTTTCGTTACAAGGGAATTGCCCCGGAAGAGCAAATTGACTTCCATAGTGGCTGATCGACTTAGATCTCTGACAAGCATTTCGCGTTGCTCGGCAGACTCATAGGAATCGTTGGAATGAATGCGACCGCTAAACCTCATGCGCATGGGTTGGGTTTCTCGATCTGTGCCGTCAATTTCTTCCTCAATCAGACTGGCAAGCCAGTCATTCGCACAGCCCGACGCCTGAAAGATGTCTAGCAAGATATCAGACAGTTGTCGCAGATCTGGTCCAAGTGCACGAGAGATTTGCGTCGTCAAGCCGTTTGCAAAATTTCCTAGGAGAGCTCCAAGCTCTTTGTACTCGTCCTCCATCAATACCACGGCCTCCCGGAGATTAAATCTTACTAGGAGCGTGCCAACAGAGTGATCATTATTGTCGAGTAGCGGCCACCACTTATCAACCGGTGTCTGATTCTCCAGATCGTCCAAAGGCACGTCAAGCCGGCCGAATACAGGGTCGTGGGACGAGATCTCAAGACCGCCGAGGCCAGACAGGTAGCCAGCATCCGCAGAAATGTCATAAAGAGTGTCAGCCACCATGGTCCATTCTTTCTCGGCAGGATTCCCGAATTTGACAGCAATCGTGATGTTCGAGGCAGACGCTGGGACATCCTCCAGGTTGAATTCCTCTGCCCAGAAGGCCGCAGTCAGATTGGTCTTGGTTGTTGTACGTGCACGCAAATCATTCCCCAGCATAAGTTCAGCATATACTCCTTCCTTCGATTGTTCTTCTTTTGCAAATCTGGTCTTTTGCTTCTGTTGCTCCTGGGGGACCTGCGCCGCAAACTGCTGAGCAAACTTCGCTTCTGTGATTTTCACAGATAGCGAACGCTCAATTCGGAACATCCCTTGTAGTGATTGTGGAGATGGATTTCTGGAACCTGGCGACGACGTCGACTGAAAAGCTTCCAGAGCTTGTTCTGGCCCATACAATTCGGGCACTGTGAGGGCTCGAAGGAGAACATACCAAGCCTCAAGAGCAGTATTTGACTCTAAGCAAATCACCATAGGCCTCGAAAGACTTGCAGATGATCCTTGAATGCGATATTGTGGGTACACTGCTAGACAGTATGGCATGCGGAGCACACTTTCATCGAGTCTCTGCACGGCACTGCGGGAGAGCTCAGACAGATGCGTCACACAAAGCACCGTTGACTCTATCTCCCCCAGGATTCGGAATGTGCCGTTCTCATGTAGTGTACAGTTCACCCGTCGCCAGTGGTAGTTATCTTCTGTCATGGATCTACCAAGGCTGTTCGGTGATGACACTAATTGGGAACCTGAAGGTAGTGGACCGTCCCACAAAAGCATCTTCCCTACTTTAACAATTGCCGTACTTTTACCATTGCTCATATCCGACAACCTGCGTTGCGACACTGTCTTCTTGTCGGGTATGCTGAATGGTTGGGGTTTGGACATTTTGTTGTGGATGCCCTTGGGCCGCAAAGGTTGCCAGCAGAGAAGAGCTGCGAGCCAAGAGTCAAACGTTTCCGGTACGGGTGGTCGAAGTTGAAAACCTGTCGTTGAGGAAGCCACCAGAACACTCAAATACGTACTTTGAGTTTCATAGTCGTAGTGTGTTCTGACTGTACACCCTCGAAGATCGGAGATCAATACTGTAGACTGCGACACTTCACCTTTGGTCTGGCAGACAAGACTTCCCGGCGCAACGTTGATGGCGCAGTAGCCTGAAGCCCAGGCAGATGTATGTAGAGGCCTGAAGAACAAGATACCATGCATTCTTCCGCACGTAGTTTTCATAAGCTGCAAGATCCTAGCCGAGTCGATATCGAGCAACTTGGGCGACCGAAGGCCGCCAGCGGAACCAAACATTTCATTCGGCGAAAACGGTCGGCGCTGCACTTTTGGGTTTCGCGAATCCGCCTGTTCCATTGCGTCTGCACCACGGACAACCGAAGGGAAACCAATTGACCCGTAGTCCTCGTCTTGACGTTGAACCAGCGAAGGACTTGTCGCTATGGAACCAAGTCTCTTGCGGGTCTTTGTTATAAAAGATCCTGGCGAGGCATCTGAAGGTGCGTCATCTTTTGTGTGTGTTCTTGTCTGGGCTCTTCTCCTCCTTCTATCGATTGTGTTTTCATCATCGGTATTCGAAATCGAAGCGGAGGTCTCACGCCGTCTTTGGGAATTTCGGGATCGCGTCGAGTGTAATATGGGAGAATGGACTTGACTGCCGTCGGTGGAATCGTTGCGGAAGGTTGTGTAGGCTCCCGAATCGGGAGTGGCCGCACGGATCGTCCGCTGTTCATGTTCATCAAATATTCTACCATGGCGATCCTGCGAAGAAGTCTGCCGGCTACCTCGCCGCTGGATCACCTGTGGCCTTGACCTTGACTGGCTGCTGCCATTGAGCGCTTTGTCCCAGTCCCGCGGCTTCATGGCTGCGATCACAGTCGTCTTGAAGCGTGGAGCAGAACAAAGTTTGGGATATAGGTATCCTGTCACCAGCGACAGTCTCTTAGTCCTTTACAATCGCGCACAATATGCGCATATTTGATCCCTCGACAGGTTGCGGACTTTGCACCACCAAGCATTTGCGCTGTGATTCGAGGACGTCGAACGGGCAAAAAAGGTCTAGTTTTCGAAGCTGTCAATGGAAGTCGGCAGCGGCGCAGTCTAAGGGCGAAAATTGATAGATTTATGTCAGGTTGGATGTAACCGAGAAGAGAGCCTGTGCAATACGAGGTTTCAGCCGAACGACTGGCGCGAGGGAGACTTGCAGTCTGTAGAAAACATTGGGAGGCGCTCGCTGGATGCAGGAGAAGGGAGAAAGCCTTATGCAGGAACGTGTGATGCGACAAGAATCGAGGCAAAAAGGATGTGTGGCACACCCAGAACAACGGAGGGAGCAGTTATTGGAGATACAAAGCCATACGGATTGATAGGCTTGCTGGTGGGCGGGCGTCGATGGCTATACACACTACTAATGCATCCTGTCGTCGCTGGGCTCTCTAGTACAACATCTATTGTGCTATCCGTTCTTCTAAAGGGATTGCGGGCTTCAACCATGTTGTCTCCTGTGGGGTGGACAGGGTGCTATTCCCAATTTATGAACCCATTCCAGGCCCGTCGCTCAAGTGCTGCAATGTCAACCTCGCTAAGCGATATTCCCCGTGCTTTAGGCATGGTCAATCAGTGTTTAGTGCCCTTGGACGAACTAGAGTGCGTCCAGTGCCCTCGATGATTACTTTCTCGCCCACTCGAGATCTCTCGGTATCATCTCAGTGTAATTCCTTGCCCGCCAGGCGAGATTCAGCCAATTCGCGGATGACTCTAGATCTGAGACAGTGTGCCTTGGACTCGAAGTCTACGCTTCCCTGCACATCCTTCTTATCTCTGAGAGAGAATGGTCATTTGCAGCCGTGCAGGTGGTAGATACAATGCCTTGGTACGAGCGGAAGAAGGGATTCAGCCGGAGTTAATGGAGTTTGGTGCTGGAGACGCCAAGACTTAGCCCGATCACATGACTTGTTAGAATCCCGCCTTCCCTAGACGACTTGGAGATTCATCGCCCGCGCCAGAATTTCATCACTATTAACTAGATCAAAAGTATCAATCCGCCTCCCAAGTTCGCTATCGGACATCAGTGTGGTGTCATCGAAGCCGCCTTGACGCTCATCATGTCGGACGGTAAGAACAAACACCGCGTCTGTTCCAGCGACCAACTGACTCCTTCTGCAGCCGACTTCGAGACCGTCCGGCGACTACAGGCTGAGCGCAACTCTCAGGCTGCTGGTAAAAAAGGTTCCAAAACCTTCGATCCGTCTAATCAGCGCACTGATTCGTCCACCAAGGTCTCTTTGACCGAAAATTTCGATACGAGTCTCTACGATAGAGATGGCGGCGACAAGTTCGCGGGTTATCACACCTCACTTGCTGTCGATGGCGACGATGAAGAAATGCCAGATGCGGACGACAGCCGGAGATTGATAGGACAGTACACTGCGACAAATGAGCAAATGAAAGAGTTTTCTACGGGGAACGGCGTGGAAGAAGAAGATATTCTGCTTGGACGTGAGAAAACTGCCAGGATAGCAGATCGCGAGACTGATTATCAGAAGCGAAGATTTGAACGAGGCCCCCTTACGCCCACCAGAGCCGATCCATTTGCAGCCAACAAACATGCTGGGGTTGCCGAAGGTGCCACGTATCGAGAGGTGATGCAGTTACAAGATCTGGAGCGCGAGGAGGAACGGGTAAAAAAGCTCATAGCTGAAAAGCATCAAAATGGCGAGGACGTGGCCGAACACAAGCCTACGCTGAAAGATGAAGCTGATAAGGAGAACGCCGATGCCGGCTCGACGGTTGAAGCAACAGGGCGGAAGCGAAAGAAGAGGTGGGATGTATCCAGTGACGCCACTCCTGCGTCTGAGACTACTGAAACCAAAAAGCGCTCCAGATGGGATCAGGCCCCTGCTCCCGACGGAGCGTCAGCACCTGCAAAACGGTCGAGATGGGATCAAGCGCCTGCACTAGACGCCACATCAGCCGCTCCTGTAGCCCAAACCCCAGCTCCAACTTTTGGCACAGACATCACCGGGAGAAACGCATCCTGGTCCGATGAAGAACTCGACATGATGCTACCATCTGAAGGATACACAATTCTTGAACCTCCCCCGGGATACGCTCAAATTCGACCAGTCGCTCGAAAAGTTGCTGCCACTCCTGCTGCCGCAAGTAGCTCCATGGGAATAGGTGGCTTTATGATGCAGGAACCAGAAAACCCAAGATCAATGGGGAAACAGCTTCCAACCGAGATCCCTGGTGTTGGCGACCTACAGTTTTTCAAGGCTGAGGATATGGCTTATTTCGGAAAACTTGTTGATGGAGCTGACGAAAATGCCTTGTCAGTCGACGAACTCAAGGAACGCAAGATTATGCGCCTCCTTCTCAAAGTCAAGAACGGCACGCCTCCCATGCGTAAGACAGCTCTACGACAACTGACAGATAATGCTCGGCAATTAGGCGCCGGCCCTCTGTTCAATCAGATTCTGCCACTACTGATGGAGAAGAGTTTGGAAGATCAGGAGCGACATCTGCTTGTCAAAGTCATCGACCGCGTTCTCTACAAGCTCGACGATCTTATCAGGCCTTATGTTCACAAAATCCTAGTTGTCATCGAACCATTGCTCATTGATCAAGACTATTACGCTCGTGTCGAGGGTCGAGAGATCATCTCCAACCTCGCCAAAGCAGCCGGTCTAGCGCATATGATCAGTACCATGAGACCTGATATCGATCACGTCGACGAGTACGTTCGAAATACTACAGCAAGAGCTTTCGCTGTCGTTGCGTCAGCACTCGGCATTCCTGCACTCCTGCCCTTCCTTCGCGCTGTCTGTCGAAGCAAGAAATCATGGCAAGCAAGACATACTGGAGTCAAGATTGTACAGCAGATTCCTATACTGATGGGTTGTGCTATCCTTCCTCACTTAAAAGGTTTGGTTGATTGTATTGCCGATAATCTCAGCGATGAACAAGCCAAAGTCAGGACCGTGACATCTTTGGCTATTGCTGCATTGGCGGAGGCTGCCAACCCTTACGGTATCGAAAGTTTCGATGATATACTAAACCCTCTATGGACTGGAGCGAGGAAACAACGTGGTAAGGGATTGGCAGGTTTCTTAAAGGCCGTGGGTTATATTATCCCGCTCATGGACGAAGAATACGCCAACTACTACACCAGCCAGATCATGGAGATCCTTCTGCGAGAATTCGCCTCGCCCGACGAGGAAATGAAGAAGGTTGTTCTAAAAGTGATTTCGCAGTGTGCAAGTACCGATGGTGTGACACCGGCCTACTTGAAAGAACATGTCCTCGGCGAGTTCTTCAAGAGTTTCTGGGTTCGCCGGATGGCGCTTGACAAGAGAAATTATCGCCAGGTGGTGGAAACTACTGTGGACCTAGGGCAAAAAGTCGGCGTCAGCGAGATTGTCACTCGGATTGTGAACAACTTGAAGGATGAGAGTGAAGCCTATCGCAAGATGACTGTCGAAACTATCGAAAAAGTGATAGCTTCACTCGGTGCAGCAGACATCAATGAGCGTCTTGAAGAACGACTGGTTGACGGCATCCTATTTGCCTTCCAAGAGCAAGGTATCGAAGATGTGATCATGCTCAATGGTTTTGGAACAGTTGTCAATGCTCTGGGCACTCGATGTAAACCATATCTCCCACAAATTGTGTCGACGATTCTTTGGCGATTGAACAACAAATCTGCAACTGTCCGACAACAGGCAGCAGACTTGATCTCTCGGATCGCAATGGTGATGAAGCAATGTGGCGAAGATGCTCTTATGGGCAAACTTGGCGTCGTTCTCTACGAATACCTAGGAGAAGAATACCCTGAAGTCCTAGGCTCAATACTGGGCGCCCTTCGGTCGATTGTAACGGTTGTCGGTATTAACCAGATGCAACCATCCATCAAGGACCTCTTGCCTCGGCTCACTCCTATTCTACGAAATAGACACGAGAAGGTGCAGGAGAACACAATCGACCTCGTTGGCCGTATCGCGGACCGTGGTCCTGAGTCGGTCAATGCCAGAGAATGGATGCGTATCTGTTTCGAACTACTTGATATGCTCAAGGCACACAAGAAGGGAATCCGTCGCGCTGCAAACAATACATTCGGCTTCATTGCCAAGGCAATTGGTCCACAGGATGTACTTGCCACTCTTTTGAACAACCTTCGTGTCCAGGAACGACAGTCCCGTGTCTGCACAGCCGTCGCCATTGGTATTGTTGCTGAGACTTGCGCCCCGTTCACCGTCTTGCCGGCATTGATGAATGAGTATCGGGTACCGGAACTCAACGTGCAAAATGGTGTTCTAAAATCGCTCTCCTTCCTCTTTGAGTATATTGGTGAGATGGCCAAAGACTATGTTTACGCCGTCACACCGCTTCTGGAAGACGCTCTTATCGACCGCGACCAAGTCCACAGACAAACAGCGGCAAGTGTGGTCAAACATGTCGCCCTTGGCGTGGTCGGTCTAGGCTGCGAAGATGCCATGGTCCACTTGTTGAATCTTCTCTACCCGAATTTGTTCGAAACCAGTCCTCACGTTATTGACCGCATAATTGAAGCCATCGAGGCCATCCGCATGGCTGTGGGTACGGGGATCGTGATGAACTATGTCTGGGCCGGTCTATTCCATCCTGCGCGAAAAGTCCGGACACCATACTGGAGATTGTACAACGATGCATACGTGTACAATGCGGACAGCATAGTGCCATATTACCCGAACATGAAGGATGACGGATTACCGAGAGATGAACTGTACATTACACTTTGAGTTGAACATTGACACGATTGAGGCTTGTCATACCAGGGCGCGTATCATAAGTGCTTCTAAAAGTCACGAAGCTGGCACAGATGCTTATACTTTTTATAGTTGAACAAATCAGCAGACCACGGGGGCTGTTTTCGGCCTTCCGGACTTTTATTCTTGTTAAGATGCCATGCTCGTACGGCCTCATCCAATAACGATGAACCTTTTTCTTCTGCCAGAAAATGGAATCACTTCTAGTGCTACTACTGTTGTATGCAATATGCAATGCGATAACTTGCCATTGGAGGTCCTTGTGTGTTTCATTGTTGGCATCCTACTTCTTTTCGATTTGTACATCTCATCCTGCACCGGCCGCTGCGGTCTCGAGCCTTCCTGGTTTGGAATTCAAATATGCGTTTCTGTGGCAGTCGGGACGATTCCATGTCAGCCTTAAGGACCTTTCTTGACACGGTGCACGTTTTTTTGTCGGTGGGAAGGAGGAAAAGGAGGGAGACTTTGTTACCTCTTCTCCGCCCACTGCATGATCCACCAGGCCATCACGAACGGCGGGACGACGTACAAGAATTGCGCCCTGGACCTTCGAAAGGTGTTGAAGACAGCGTTGTGCCACGCCCCCGCCAGGGGGTTCTGGCGGTTCGGCGAGAGTCTGTATTCCGCCACACCCTTGGTTTTTGGGATACGTTTATGGCCAAAACAATAAACGGGGCGGCTGGAGGATTTGGAAGAACGCGGTCAGTATTCTTTGATCTTTACGGAGTAAAGTACGCGAGAAAAACAACTCTGTGTGTGGGTGGAGAAGGGTTTAGCTAAAGGGAGGGGGAAAGGGAGAGAGATAGCGTACTGGCTTCTATAGAGGTTTTCGTTATATTCCATCTTCAGGTTGTAATGTCCGGTGGTACAAAGCAAGTATGTACTGTATGAGAAGAGTACATGGCGGACTAAATCGACCCGGGTACCATCTCGACCATATATATATATCTACGCTACGGCTGGAGCTGGGACTATGGAGCACGGGAGTATCAAGACATCCTTGTCCTCATTCCACCACGGTCACTTCATCACAGTAGCATATGGTACTACTACCTTGCAGTAAAAGTAAAGTAATGGTACAGTATACAGCGCCCCTGTGGGTCAAAAAGGGTCGAATTAGTCGTGGTATAACGGAACTTAAACCCGACACGGCAAGGCTCCGGAAACTTTCCCAAGGCTGCGAGACTCGATACGAGACCACACAGTACATACCTTGTCGAATTAGAAAAGAAGGCATCGTTCCGAACTGCTTAGATAGAACAGGTATTCTATTGATATACATGAGATGTTTGATTGTCCGCCCCCCAGCGGAGAGAGTCTGTGCTCCGAGTGTCGTACTCGTATCAAAGGGCCAACAGGTTCACTACTTACAGTACGGAGTTGTCAGGATCCAGTCTTTATTTCGCGGCTTCTCCTTTCTGAATCATGGCGGCATCTTTGCTAAAATATGCAACCAGAAGCAATCTTTGAAGCATCCCGTCTTGTTCCTTGCGAGGTTCTGGTCCTCCACGCTCGATGAATTCGTGCCACGATACGAGACTGCAATCGACACCTTCCCAGTGCTCAGAAATGACAGCTTGCCACTCTTCTTCCGTGTTGGCCTCCCACACGCCTGTTCTTGCGTCAAACGGGAGAGACTCGACCATGGGCCGGTAGTAAAAGTAACCACGGTCCACCATCTCCAAGAGGACTTCGACCATGATCACAAAAATGATGGTCCGGCGTGTCGTTTCGGCAAGCGTCCAGGCTTGCCACGGTGACAGGTGACCCTGGAGGGTTCGTGGGAGGTGGGAGTGAAAATGTTGCGTCCATTTGTGGAAGAGGAAGCGCAACTGTGCAAGACCGGAAATCTCGTCGCCTCCTCGAGCCTTGCTCAATGTCGAGGCCAACAGTATCGCCATGAGTTGGTGAAAGGCATCTAGGAATTGCGAGAAGGACGTCTGTTGTGAGAGGTCGAGGGACAGTAATCTGTTCTGCTTGGCTTCCATGACTGTCCACAGCAATTCTGCACTGACTTCTCTCTCTTGGGCAGCACCATCCTTGGAGTTTGCCCAGGCCAGACGTGATATCTGAGCATGGCAAAAAGGAGTGGTACGGTGTTGAAACGTCGCCAGTGGTATCTCGTTGAGCTGGGCAAAGGCCAATGCGAACGTCTCCGGAGTTGAGCAGGCTGGGAATTTGTAATTCGGATCCAGGCCGTTAGGGGTATAGTTCTTGACGGCATCGGCGTGTGCTGCTTGTATCGAGTCGTACACGACGGCGGGAAAAGGCTCCCGGACTACTTGGGGTCGAGAGGCGTCGGCGGGCCCGTGAGGTCTCTCGGTGCTCGCACTCGTACTTGTATTGGTGACTGGCTCGAGGTCATATTTGCAGTCGATGCCTTTCTCTAGACATCTCGGACATTTCGGAAGTTCAGCACGACAAGGCCGTTTGGCTTTTCTGCAGGCGTGACATGCTTTGCGCAGAGGCGTTGTCATCGATCATGAAAGAAAAAATTCTTTATCCTGAAATGTCCCCGTACTGTTGACTCCGCTGGTTGTGATTACCTCGTGATACTTAGCTTGACATTTCCAGAGAGAGAAAAAAAAGACTCGGATCTGCGCGTGAAAGGAGCACAGACAGAAGAGTAGTCGATGGTCAGGATTGATGCTATCGTAAATAATTTAAGCTCGTGGGACCTTTCACAGCCACCTCATCGGCCGCCGCGACGTGTCTGACGAAAACCTCTCACTTGAATCAGGTCGTAACATCACAACATCAGTCATCCTTTTTACTCGTTGAGAAAAAGAACCTCATCTAGATACTTCTGACTTGCGGCAGATGTTCTTCGTGTTACATGCGAACACATGCTCGGAGCTCCAAGTCTTCGGAGAATCAACCCGATGATACTTGTACTCTGTACAGGTGAATCAATATAACTCGATGACATCGAGGTGATTAGTTTGTCCGTCTCTGGACGTCATTAAGCATCCTACCGCCATCAAGGAAGCCTTCGAGTACTACAGAGTCCGTAACATGTTTCATCAAGCTCTTTAGAACCATATCGAATTTCGGGTGGTCGAATTTTCTCATTATGTTCAAAATGAGCCTGGGAGACCGGTATTATCGAAACGACGAAAAGCCTTCACGACGGTCGGATGCTCATCAAGAATTGAACGACTGCTTGACACGCATCAATGCCTACAATCCGCCTGTGCAGACTTGCTCAACCGGATGGTCCTTTTCGGGACTCTACCGTGGCCCGACATCCGTCGCATACCTCTTTTTCCGATTGTCCCAGTCCTATCCCGATCTTACCTTCAAGGGGCAATCTCTCCTGGACTGGGCAGAAGCATATCTAGCACTAGGGACGTCTCGTTCAAATTCGAAAAATGTCGATTCAAGCCATTGCGGCACTGCAAATGAGACTCTTGCTCAACTGGCCATTCGAGCCGTGATCGATCAAGACCCATCTCTCGTGCAACAGTTGTGCTCATTTCAATCACTGATAAACGGCACAGAGGGTGGTTCAGATGAATGGCTCTATGGAAGGGCAGGTTACCTGTACCTCCTCAGACTTGCGGGGAGTGGGTTTGACAAGGAATCCGGTCCCGTCGGTAAAATGGTCGACGAGACGATTCAGAAGACGGTCCAACGTATTCTGGCCAGCCGACAGCCTTGGACGTGGCATGGCAAAGCCTACATAGGTGCCGCTCACGGTTCATTCGGTATTCTATGTCAGATCGTCCTCTCGGATCCTGCAGCTGCGGACTCTGTGGAACAAATCTTGTCACAACTACTGGAGATGCAGTATCCACGTAGTGGCAATTTCCCTTCGTCAATGGCTAGGTCATCTGACAAACTCGTTCATTTTTGTCACGGTGGCCCTGGTGTCGTACTATCACTGACATCGCTCCGGCCACATTTTCCCAATCTACGGCAAAGGATCGACGCGGCGATCGCGGCCGCCCAGAGAGATACTTGGAGACGTGGTGTTTTGGTCAAGGACCCTTGCTTGTGTCACGGGATAGCAGGGAATGCACTCGCTCTGGATGATGCGGATGAGTTTCGACACCTTGTCACGTACATGTCGAGTGGTTCACTCGAAGAAGCCCAACAAGGATGGTTGAAGGAGGCGGGTCGGAGTGACGAGTTTGTAGGACTGTACACGGGTGAAGCCGGCCGAGCTTGGACTTGGGCTGTGGCAGACAAGTTTGACGAACTGGCAAGTAAATGTATCGGATTCAATGATCTCTGATGGAGAGGACAGATGAGAACTACAAGTTGTTCCAGTGGTATCATGTGTAACACTGTTGTACGGCAACAGCCTCGTCGGGTCAACACGACAAGGCTGTGTGTGGCCTTTTGTCAATTTCAGCCTTGTTGACTTGACTGCCTCGGGAATTTTTCCGCTTCATCGCCGACCGTCGACGCTCATCTCCTTCATGTCCACACTTCTAGTTATTATTACAGTACTACCTCCCAACGTCTCCTACATACTCGCACAGTACGGATAACGTACGGAGGAGAATTTCGCGTTTGCAATATTCTTGCCATCAATTGCTTTTCCTTTCCTAACAACAAAGGATATGTCGACCGATCCTCCCCAGACAACCACACACCCCGATGTCCCACCGTTCCCGTCTCCCTCGACCTTTTCCATCCTACCGGACATTTACCTCCTCCTCGCGCGGCTCAACATCCTCCAACAACAAGCTGGCACGGCCTCGACGGCATCCACACCGCCACTCGACCTCAAGGACCTGCCTGCTCAAGTTTACCCGATCAAGCAGCGTATAGCCAAGGCCAAAGCGGCCGTGCAGGCGCTGCCGGACGTCGAGAGGACTGTGGAAGAGCAGGAGCGTGAGATCCGTGAGCTGGAGAGGACAGCTACGTTGCTCAAGAGGAGGATTGGAAAATTGGGAAGAATCGCGGCGGGGAAACACGACGAAAACGAGCTACGAGACGTGGTTATGAAAGGAGTCGAAGATTGAAGAATCACAAATGACACGGCACAACAAAAGCAATAAGAATCTCACAGGAACATTCAAGATGCGGAATTGAGTTGGTATTGCATTGCACAATCACAGCATGACACGACACGACACGACAAGGCCATGGCACTTTTCACCCGCAAAATCTACATGCCCACTCACGGGCTTGGGGGTATCGTTGAAGATACGCTGCTTTTTTGGTTCAGCCCACCCAGAAATCCTAGCCGTTGAAAGAATTTTTCCGCTCACATCCCCGAAACGCCGCAATCCCATGGTATGGCCTGTTTAGCCTTTTTACCTGGGAAACCAGTCTACACGGGGAGAGGGAAAGTTGAAGCCCAGTCCGCAATCTCGTGTCTGAGCTTCTGAATCTCAGGCACAGTGTCACTGGCAACTGCAGCCTTGAAGTCCTTCAGCTTGTTGGCTTCCTTGGGCAAACCACCCTGGACCTGCTTGCATAGCTTGATGCTCTGGTCGATATACTGAGCAACACGCTTGAAGTCTTCCTCACCAAACCCTCGAGAAGTCATTGCTGGTGTACCAATACGGATACCGCAGGGAGTCAGGGCCGACTTGTCACCTGGAATACTGTTTTTGTTGCAGGCAATGTTGATCTGCTCCAGAACAGCCTCAACTCGCGCACCGTCAAGGCTTTGAGGACGGAGATCAAGCAGGACCATATGCGAGTCAGTGCCATCTGCTACAAGCTTGTAGCCGAGAGCCTTGAACTCGTTCTCCAGAGCCTTTGCGTTCTTGACTACTTGTTCTTGGTACGCGCGGAACTCGGGGGTGGCAGCTTGTTTGAGGGCAACGGCAAGAGCAGTGATGGTGTGGTTGTGGGGACCGCCTTGATGACCAGGGAAGACGGAGAAGTTGATGGGTCCTTCGAGGTCGTAAAGGACCTGCTTGCCAGTCTTGGGGTCGGTGCTGCGCACTCCCTTGCGGAAAAAGATCATGGCTCCACGAGGTCCACGCAGGGACTTGTGGGTAGTGGTCGTGACAACGTCAGCATACTCGAAAGGCGAAGGAATGACTCCTGCGGCAATGAGACCGGAGATATGAGCCATGTCCACGATCAGGTATGCTCCGACCTTGTCGGCGATCTGGCGCATTCGGGCATAGTCAATCAGTCTGCAGTAAGCAGAGGTTCCGGCAACGAGGCACTTGGGTCTATACAACTGAGCGTTCTCTTCCAGTCGGTCATAGTCAATGATGCCGGTTTCGAGGTTGACTCGGTATGGGAAGGTCTCGAAGTAGGTCGACACGGCTGAGATCCTACACGAATGTCAATGCTCCTTTTCTTCCCACATTCGCTCTGTGTTGTTTGCTTACTTCTTCTGCGGTGTCTGGTATCCGTGACTCAAATGTCCACCGTGAGGCAAGTCCAAACCCATCAGTCTGTCGTGGGGGCGCATGATGGCCTGGTAAACCTGCAGGTTCGCCGGGCTGCCACTAAGTGGTTGCACGTTGACTCCCCATTTCTCAGGGTCGAGGTGGAAGGCCTTCAAAGCTCTCGCCTGGCATGTGAGTTCAACCGCGTCAATGTGTTGGTTTCCTCCGTAGTATCTTGCTCCGGGGTATCCTTCAGAGTACTTGTTGGACATGGGCGATCCGAGGGCATCGAAGACGGCGCGGGAGGTGACGTTTTCGGAGGCAATGAGGATGATGGACTCTCGTTGACGTTTGATTTCTTTTTTCTGCAGTTTTGGAAGAGAGCGAGTGTTAGGCTTCCTGCATCGTGCGCCATAGTACATGACGGGGACCAACGTACCATGATCTCGGCGATTTCAGGATCAGACTCGACCAAGGACTTTTCGAGCATCTGCAATATTTTGATGTAACTTGTGAGTAGGCTGCATGCCCATTTTGTGTGGGGTAATCAAGACGACTTGTCACTCACCTCCTTGTGAGCCTCTGAGAGGGCGTAGCTGGGGTTGGTGGTTGAACCCATCTTCGATGCTGCTGTTGCAGACAGTTTGCGAGCGGTGTGAGGTGGGAAGGTAAGGAGGGAAAGGACAATGATGCACAACAACTGGGAGGCTTATGGCTGGCTCGTAAGAAAGTGAAAAAAGTCTTTTCGAGGTGCACAGTACAAAAACGAAAACAGTCACGCAAGGGTAAATACGGCGGGCTTCGAAAGTCTACGGTCAGAGAGGGATGGTGGACCTGTGACATGAGGGAAAATGAATATTTTCTTCGTGGTCTTTTTTCCCCCTCGCGCACCCGTAGCTAAGATTCATCATAGAGGCGCTAAGAGAGGCACTAGTGGGTTAAAAAATGGACTAACTCGAAGGTCTTTATAGGCAAACGAACATTGAGTACGGTAGAGCATATGATCCGGTTTATGCACTCTATCCAACGTTTAACGCTTCCAGTAGAGTTCCTAGATACTATAGGCACGCTCAACTTTCTGCCATGACCCTGATGATAACGCTCCGAGTAAGGTCGGTAGGTAGGTAGGTAGAAATAATGGTACTCCATACTATCCGCACACTTGCCGTTTTTCTTTGTGCGAAATCATTCATAAGACATCAGCATCCACCAATTTGTGCTTCTTTTTCTTCTTCTTTTCGGGGTTTGTTCCATTCTCTCCGTCCATCGATCTTTGAGACTCGTTCTTGGATGATTTCTTGGACTTTTTCTTCGGCGTAGGTTCTGGTATCTCGTCGGGGACCTGGAAAGTGTTGGTCATCTCGACGTCCTCATCCGCTGACTCTTGGCGTGTTGCTGAGGATCCGTAGGGGAAATATCGCATCTTTAACCCTTGAGGTTGTTGTCGAATCGCTTTTGGTTTTCCGGTTTCTGTGGCGGTGAATACCAGTGGCGTACCAGGGGCCTGGTCTTTTGTTGCGGTCTCTCCGTTTGTGGATGCTTTGGATTTTTGGTTGCTTGTGTCGATGGCATGGTCACCCATTTCCCTGAGCTGGAAATTCCTCTCAATGATCGCAGCACGCTTGTACGTCGACTTCGTTCCGTGGGGCATCAGGAGAGTTTCGTAGCCGTGAGCGGATGGCATGGAGTGCAGGTTGTAACTGACACCGTCCTTGCTGAGAATACTTTCGCCCCTCATGACGGCTTGCATGTCGAAGCTCTTGACGGATTCGATGGATACAAAGTCTGGAACTGAAATGTGCCAGACCTGCTTGCCGTCCAGGTTGTCGAGAAGGCCAGTTACCTCTGATGTGTAGTCGGACGCCGACAGGGTCAGAGCCTCGTAGCCAGTGGGTGGCTTGTAGGCCTTGGGCGCTATTCTGACGTTCGAGGATGTTGCAGTCTTTCTGGCCTTCTTCACTGGAGTTTCAGGGATAGTGTCGGAAGATCGTTTCTTGCTTCTTGATGATGATGAGGAGCTGTTGCTGGTTGACTCGGCGTCGGAACCGTCTTCTTCAGCACTTGATTGCGACGAGGATGACTCTTCGGTGTCTTCATCATCGTCGTCATTCGATGTAGTTGTCGTCGAGTGCGAAGCTAGATTTGGTTGTGAAGCTGTTTTCGTTTTCTTTTTTGGTTGTGGTTGGGGTGTTTCTTGTTCCTCTTCGTCGCTTGAATCATGGACAATTTCTTGGCTGAGATTGCTTTGCCTTGCGGCTTCTTTTTTTGCCATGGTTCTGAACGCTGGTCAATATGACCTTCAAGTTTTGGGAAAGCCTCAGAGTCGTTGGATATTGATCAAGGATGGTGGTGAGTCACGAACAATGGCCATCTAGGTAGGGAATCTCACAGACAAATTTTTGGAGATTCACAGTCGCGAACAAAAATCTTTTCGGGTCTTGCCGTACGCTAAAGTTTTTAGTGTATCTAGTTACTAAGTAATGAACATTTGCACGCTCTTTTGCACTGGGTGACTTTTGGTTCTCAGTGAGCAAAGATATATTGTATGCCTGCGAGTAAGTCAACAAAACCACAAACGGGGAGATTTTGAACGGCTAACATGTCCAAGATGGTGAGCGTTTGAGCGCAGTTGCGAGGCAACGCCGTCTGCGTGAGGCGCGCTCTGCTTCGTCCACTCCTCGAGCATCAACCCCTGACGCAACAAGCCAACAGGTTCAACCTGAATCGGTGACAATTGAGCAGAAACCTCAAGCAGTTGGTGATGGAGAAGCAGACGAGCAGCCACTCGCCGTATCTAACCAGTTCTCAACCTTGGTTGAAGCCTCCACAGTCCATTTCAGCTCTTCTCGAGAAATTGAAAATATAAATGAAAGGTCTGTTAAAGTGAGATTGTCTCGAGGTCAGGTATGTAAATTTGCCGTGTTCTATGACTAGACTGACAAGTACAGAAATGTGCTATCCTGGGTACTTGCTGTTTATGGGTCAAAGAAGGCGTGGTATCTGTGTATGGAGCCATTCTGCAGGCTTCTACTGCTACTTTCCGAATATATTCACCTGCAAATTATGCACTGCCGACAATTGAGGCGTTGACATCCAATGCCGAGTTCGAACTTGACTCCCTTGGTGGTGGGGTCCAAAATCTGCCATACAGAGGAGTGAGAGATGTCTGGCCATCGACAGGAGCTGGCAACCTGAAATTGTCGTTTCATATTTTGGGACACTCCATCGAACAGGATGCGAAGGCACTACGAAGACCAAAGGAGCTCAATACCGATGCCTGGAAGACTGTGCTGTCACAGTTTCCGAGTCCAGCCTCGACTACATCCCGGTCATCCTCGAGCCCAAGGATTGTGGTATGTGGTAGACGATCATCCGGTGTATCAACGTTAGTCAGACATCTATCGAATCGGCTCTTGACACAACAGGGCTCCAAGGGTCTTGTGTCTCTAGTCGATCTGGACAGTTCAATGCCAGAGTTTACACCACCGGGGACTATCAGCATGCTTCATATCCAGGAACCAGTCCTCGGTCCGCCATTCACACATCTTGTGCTTTCCAAACACAAACATGTGCGAGTTTTCAGGATGCATTTTCTCGGCGAAATTGACCCTACTGACCTATCAGACTGGCACCTCGAACGAGTGAACGATCTCCTCGCTCTCGAACGAAGAATTCGCGCCCAGAAAGACAATATGCCGGTCATTATCGTAGTCCCGAAGTGGCTCGAGAACATTGAACAGCAAACTGCTAGTCTCATATGGAAGATGATGCAACCGACAGACATTGTCTGCATGGATACACGACAGAGCTCACCGCATCTACAACCTTGGAAGACATTGGCCGAGACTGATGGCTGTCGAATCCATCAGATCCCAGCACAAACTTTTGACAGGATACCTCCTCTTCGTGAGCATGAACTCTATATGCAGTCCTACTTTCACATGTCAGAGTCTTCAAGCAACCAGTCATACTGGGTGGACACTCCCGTTCTGGCTCTAGACCCTGTCAATCTGAACTATGGTAAGAAAATTCCGGATATCGGCGGCGTCTTGCTGTTGGGAGGGAATGTTGCCCTCGAAGACACACGTGATGCGCTCGAAGAGGGCATTGCTGCAATTTTGCTGGTCAGGCAGCAGCACATTGAGGAAGACCCGGCTTCACTTGACAAGGGTTTCGATATTGGGATGGATGGTAGAGAATCAACAGAAGACAATGGATGGCGGGTCAGCCGCACAGAGGAGCAAGTCCCTCGATTGCTGCAAAGTCATCGTTCACATGATGCTTTTCCGTATTCTGAGAAGCAGTCGTACTGCATTGGGTTAGGAATGGTAACAGGGTTGAACGTTGTGAAACGTCAAATAAGCCTTGTCACTCCTCTTCCGTCCCAGGCACTTCTGAAGAGGCCAAAAGGATGTCAACTGGCACTTGTTGTTCAGAGAGCGACTTCGGATGCGAGATTCACATCGCACTGGGCTCGAAGAGAAATGAGAAGTACGAGAGGCCGAAGTCAAGATCCGTAAAGGACGGTGTGAAGTTGCGACGACGGATGACTCTCCTTGCGAAATTAGGCGTTATGAGTGGCGTGATTGGCAAATAAGCATCCCTGTCTTTATGCAGAGTCGTGCGGCCTCACACGGAAAAGGACGGCGAAATAGCTGCAAGATCCTTGTCAAGAAGAAGTCGAGGTGAAAGGAATGGCCATCAAACGCTCCGTAGTGTACAGTAGTTCTGCATAAACGAGGAGTTGTCATCGATCTCGACCTGATTGGACACGGCGGAAGGCGATGGCTTGATGGGCTTGGAGTGGCGGTCTGCGATCCCAACGGTCGGATGGCTGATCGAGAGAGATCTACGGAGTCTGGGTGGCCTGGAGAAATAAAATCTGTAGGTGAAAACTCCCGAGAGCCTAGAAGGAACAGAGCCCCGGAAAGCCGCCTGGTGTCATCACTGCCACTCTCCGTATTCCCAATGCAGTCACTCGCCATTGCCGCTCCCTTTGTAATAAGGAGACTTACCACTGACCGACGACGAGGTCGCCGACACTTCCTCCTTCTCCTTCATCTTCCCACAGGCCTCACTTTCCTCTCACCTGTATTTTACTCTTTTGTCCCTTCCAACACTCGGACGCATCTCCCATCGGCGCACTGTCGCATTTATTGGTACCCACCGCCCTCGGATAGGACCGCGTCTATTCCATTCTTCAAAGCCAGATTCAACCCTTGATTCCACCTTAGGTCACACGAGTCCCAACATTACCTTCTCTGCTCCCTTCTCGACACACGCTTCACCAGCGCACCTGACGACAAGGTTTGTACCTGGCCTGGAAAAGCTGCGTCCTTTCCTGAATCTTTGTGGGTGGAAGGAGCACTCATGGCAAGCCCCGATTCAAACAGCTGCGTTTGCCTGAGAATCATGGACAACCACGCCTATAAGCTATGAGAGAAGGCTTATAACGAGATTGGGAAACAAACATGGATTTCACAGTAAGTCCACACCTATATACCTTGGGAACTGCTTTGGCATGATTGCGCAACCGGCCTGGCGCATGACATCTTCACATGCGTCCAGGATGCGCATGCCATTTTTATCGCAACGGATGTTGACAACTTCTCTCTAGCTCGCACTTACGCACTTCTGCGAAGCGCATGGCCCTAAATCAGTCCTCTGTACACAAGTCCTCCCGGTGCAATGTTCCTTGTGTCTTCCACCGTCGCCATCACTACGGGCCTGCTCCTCCTCCGAATCCCTTACGACACAAGTCCACGAGACCCCCTTTGAATCTACTCAAAATGGCCACCCATCGCCAAACCTCCGAAAGACTGACACCAACTTGACCTTACCAACCGACTTCTCCGGCGCTTCTACTAGCGTCGATTCTGAGACCGAGCCGGACAGTCCCACGATCGAAAAACATCCATTGTTCCGACAAAAGCGGGAAAGTAGCCTTCAGTGGCCATATGGAAGAGCCGAAGGCGACACCTGTGCCAGCTGTAGCTTCAGCGTGCCCAAGGCCGTGGCGGAGAAACTCCCAGTGGGCGCACCAGGTAGCAAGATACCAAATGGGAAGAAGGCTACCACAGCGCCAGTTCTGCGCTCGAGAGAATTTGTCTGTCTACGGAGAAGACGAAGTAACGACCATCACGACTCTAAACCCTCATCGTACAGTTCTTCCTTTGCCTCCTCGCAGTCTCCGGCGCGATCTATTCCTCACTCGCATTCCGACGACTGCCATGACCATACACTAACCTACTTGACTGCGAAATCTCCCGACGATCGCGAAAGCTATGCGCAGTTGCGCGCATCAGTTATTCGGACTCTATCTTGCGAGCTGCTCCCACGCGGCATGTCGGATGGACCTTTCTGCTTTGGCGACTCGAATACGGGCTACACCATTGCTTATGTGTTCCGACTGACAGATCCGAGGGCGCGTGGACGACGACGGGCATATGCCTTTGTTGCTCTCGCAGGGAAAGATGCCAGCCGTGCATTCCAAGCATGTCCAATGCTTTGGGAGGCGTTTGCTAGCATGGCAAAAGGAATTGAAGCCGCAGCGCAAAGACATCAAGAAGAGCAACGACGGAAAGTAGAGGAACAAGCACAACTTGCCGACTCCAAATCTTCAAGAAATTATACACCTGTGTCGTCGTTTCTGACGTCGCGTACGGTCGATCCTGATGGACACCCGCGGCGTGCAGGACAAGCTTCGCCACGCAGCTTAGCGGAGATAGTCGGCGATGAGAATATCTTTGCCTATCTACATCAATACTTTGTTGCGATCCTTCGATGTCTTGGGGACCAATTCGGAGGACTTCCACTGGCGGAAACACCTTCGGTTTATCAGTCCGTCAGTGATGAGTCGCCGCGATTCTCAAAGACTTCTGCAATGCCAACCCGAGTTCCACCAGTATCGTTCGCGCATCTTGAAAGTCTACGCGACGAGGACGCGACTCCAACGCCTCATTCCCCAAAATATCTTGAGACCCAATCCTGGCAAACCAAGCAGGATGTAACAACAAAGAGTTCGACGGATCAAGATGATCTTCAAGTCTCAAAGACGCGCGCCACCAAAGCTTTCAAACTCAACCCGTTGTGCGCGCCATTGGTGGTCAGCGAGACTGCAAAGCGACAGGTCGTGGTCTAACCGATCAAATAATAAACACCAACATCACACGCATGTACATATCACGGCGGTGACCCATGCCTTTTCTCTTTGAGGTAGGGTGGGCAACCTCACATTTTAATGACGGGACGACCTTGATATCAATTTCATACAAAGACCGTGAAAGGGGGTGGAAGGAGGGGCGTGAAGAGGCGTTATGGCATGCAATGGGGATTGGGAACATTGCAGCGTCATCAATCGATTACAGTCCATTGCCATGCTTTTGTGTGGCAAAAGTGATACCACGATACATCGAGGGAGTTTGCTTTGCGTCTTGTTGAGCATTTAGACCCGACCGAGGGAAGAACAATGTTTTCACACCTTGTGCCTTTTGGGTGGAAGGGTGGATGAACACCTCTAGGTCGATATTTTGTTTCAATTACGGAGTACTAGTACTTGGCTACCAGGTATACTTGAAGTACTGGCCTTGCCAGCAAGCTGACAAAGGTAGTTCTTATATACCTAGGTAGTTGGTGAAGTAGCAATGATGAATGAATAGAAGTGGTTGTCTTGATATGATCTTGAAAAGAAATGTATTCTCTAGGTAGTCTAGTGAATCGGATTGAAAAGAGAGAATCTTCCATACTCCGTATTACCACCCAAAAGGGGTAGATATTTTGACTCCCATACCATAACGAAACCCATATTCCTGACGTTTATTGTTGTCTCCTGTGACGCTCCTTCAACAGGATTTACCATTTTGTGAGATGGAAACCCGACATCAACACTTCTTGAAACACAGCAGCCCAGCGACCCATCCCATCGTCTTTCTCATCCATCATCGTCATCATCGTCGTCGTCGTTGTTGTTGTTGTTGTTGTATTGTGTATCACATCTCATCGCACCGCATCGCGCAAGGCGGGGCGACGATGTATTGTCTCTGAGTGGTACGTGACACGGTGTTTGAAGTACGGAGTGAGGTTAGATGAGATTGAACTCGGTCTTTCCTTGTTGTTCCTTGACCTCCCTCAAAGTGGCCAGTGGTCTCGGTTTTGGTAGACTTGAGGAGGTGGTCAATTGGTGAGTTTTGTTGGTGGTCTGAGGCATGTTGTAAACAATGACAAACGGAGCGAGTGCGGTGGCCGTGGTGGCGAGGAAGGTGGTCAAAGTGAAGTGAGACATTTTTGTGGTTTGTTGTTGTTTGTTTGCGCGCGCGCGTGTGTGTGTGTGTACGATTTTGAATCTTTTGGTTTTCCTTGTTTGGAACTTACTTCTCTGGAGAGAGCGAGATGTGATGTTGTCTTGTCTTTGTCTTGAATCTTTTGTCTATCGATCTTGTAAAGCTTTTTTGGGATTGTTTGTCAAGCAAAAAGGCAACAAAGAGAGGGATCTTGAAAACAGCAAATCTAATGCTCTAATTGATTCTAGTAACAGAGTAAAAACCAAATAAGTGAGTGAGTTTGGGTGGGTGTGTGTGTGTGTGTGTGAAAAGAAAGAAGAGAACAAACAAAAGTACTCAAAAAGTAGTCGCGAACCTCCAAATAAGGGAATCTGGCGGTGGCGTAGAGAACCGAAAGGAAAAAAAAAAAAGATAAGGGGGGAAAATTCTAATCAACGCAGGGTATTACGAGTACCCTCCATAGGAGAGGTACAAGGGAGTCGGAGAACAGATACCGCTCGCGCCGCGCAATGTCACATTGTGAAGGGAATCGACGTATCATTTTACGTTTTTAACCAAAAGGCGTGTGTGGATGGAACAAACAATTGTACAGTATGTAAGAGGAGGGCAGGGATGTTTGTGGAATGTTCGGAGATTCAGGCTTATGACAGGGCCATGTCTGACTCGGAACGCGCTAAGGACCAGGCACGGAGTAGACATGTACGGAGTGACTCGGGGTAAAGGGCCGGTCGAACGCGTTTAGCAAGGGGGGAAGGGGAACTTTGGGGTAGTTTACGGAGTATCTACAAGTCCAGGAGTACGCCGTACACAGTAAGGAGTACTGCCCCGTACGGGCACCGGAGTAGGTACAATACCTAAGGGTATCCCGTCCGTAAAGTAATTAAAATGTACATACGGATATGCACCACTCTTTATGTTACTAGTAAGCTCGAAATTGTTGTTTAAACAGGTAAGACTCTACGGATAAACTCTTTGGTGACTTTTGTACGGAGTATTTCTAACAAAAACATCTTCTCCTTTTTACTGTCTCTATGTACACAAAGGCAAAACAGAATAAATTTATGTACTAGGTAGGTACCGATTATCTCGATTACATTACATACAACTAGGACAACGATCCTCCTCATCCAATATGTACTCTACACCATTCTGGTCCTTTCCGACCCGAAACCCTTCTGCCGGGTTCAACCTGACGAACCTTTTACGCCAATAACCACGGACATCTTCATCAAACTCCAACAAATCATACATTCTTTCAAACTCGTCTTGAAGTTTGGCACATCTCAACCTGTACTTGTTGGCTTGTTTCTTTCGAAACGACACCGGCAAATGATCAGGACTTGATGAGCTGGGAGAACATGGACTGTCGTTGACCCCAAATTGTTGATCACCGCCGCACAAGGCCATTCTTTCTGCGGTCCTCACGAGACACAAGGTGAAATGGGTCCAATGAGCAATCTCATCGAAATCCATCGTACCGATATGTTGACGGAACTCGATCGTTTTGGCCCCTCCCTGATAGGTCAACGGTTCAAAATTGACAAACTTGTACCTCGTTTCGAGCACCAAATTACCGGAGCCGTCAAGTTTCGGTCGAAGGGTGGCGTCCATGAGTTTGGCGAGACCAGATGGTGTCATGTCCTTGTGAAAGATTTTTTTCTGGGCCTTGATGAGGTCGACCGATTCGACATTGTGACGACACCAATGAGAAGATCGTCTGATACCCATCAGGTTCGTCTGGACGTAATGTGAATCCCAATCGGAACGACATCGTCGACTTTCGTGGTGGAGTACATTGATCAATTCTTCAAACTGTACCAGTAAGTAAGCCAAATGCTGAAGAATAGGTAATGGGATCATTTCATCATCATCGTCGTCGTCGTCGTCATCACTGTGGTCCATGCTACTGCTGCTGCTGCTGCTGTCTTGACGAGGAGGAGGCTTACGGGCAACGTGGACATGGAACCCACAAGACTCATTGACAAAAACCCCAAAGGGGTCTTTGGGTTTGCCATGTAATGCCTCTAAATAACTTGAAATTTCTCGTAGCGCGTCGCTGGACCTAAAAACATCAAAAGACAAAAATTCGTAAGGAGCTGTCAATACCCTAGACACGAGTTCTTGTCCAGACACCACCCAATCTCCCTCGTCTTCAGCATCGAGTCTATCTGGAATATACTTGGAAAGTTTCTCCGGTTCGTCAATCGATCCGTCCTGTTGTCACACACGAGATTAGTGAGTCGACACTTTGAACGCCTGACATGAGACATGTCAAAACAACAAACGTACCACTTGAATGTTCCACGAACCATAACCTCTCTCACCGACGGTACATTCCAGGCCGGAATTTTCCAAGATAGACTGTGTCAAGAACATTGTTGCCGAGGGTAGGCCGATACGTGCATTTTGATGGCGATTGGACCTGCCGCGGTCAGTACGAGATACGACAACAACTCTTCTGTGATGTACGTCGTCGTCATCGTTGTGCTCTTCCGTCTTCTCGGATGGCTCACTACTTTCCCAGTCCATGGACGATTCACTTTCTTGGTCGGAGCTCAACGCAAAGTCATCTCCACTTCCGGTGTCATCATGCCCAAAAAGGTCCTTGTCCGTCATCCCATCGGTACCCATCCATTCGAACCCCACTCTCGGGTTCAGGTCGAAAGCGAAGACGTACTCTAGCTCTATACCAAACGTTAGCGACATGACCTGCTGCTGGTGCTGGTGCTGTTGCTCCTGCTGCCCCTGTCGAGGTGGTGATAAAAAGTGACGCCAATACAACGGGGGCGAGTAGATGGAAGAAACGGGAGTGTCTAGGTGTGATCGCTGACGGACTGAATGCTGGCTATGACTCGATTCTGGACGTTCATGTTGACAAATGTCAGTCTGTAAAGGTGCCGGACGTCTTGGGTGTTGATCTGGGGACAAGATTAGTCAGTTTTACTCCAAGTTCACCAACACCACCACTTCAGGTAGATACTTACTCATTTAACTAGGTAGGTATTTCCTCGTTGATGTGCTTTCTCAATACAAGTTGCGCATGTAGTTTTGTTTCCTGCTGCACAATCTGGCGTAATCAAGGAATTATAACATGGTCCGAGCAAAGGCATCGTCAAACAAAGAAATACCTCGACGTCTTCGAAATAGATCACAAGTGTCAAAAGAAGTTGACAATGAGACACCAAAAGCGAACAAAGAGCCAAACCTAGCAAGTGACAAATGTCAAGAATATCGCTGAAAGAAACTGTCGAGTCGAAGAAGTGGCCGACTCCGGCGTTGATCATGTCCGATAGTCTTGTCAACAAGATAGACCCTCGCAGGAAGGAAGTGTCTTTGCATTTGCAGTTCAGATGAGGGATCTCAGAGTCCAAACCCGACATTATATAATACAACCTGTATAGTATACTTTCCCCATCGTCGACCATGTCCTACTTTGCAAGGAACGCTTGAAAGGCTGAATGCTCAATAACCACATTACCCACAGCTTTCAACTTCTTGCGACCTTCTTTTTGTTTCTCCAAAAGTTTCATTCGTCTCGTTTTGTCGGCTGCATGTAATTTCGCGAGGACGTCCTTCCGATATGGTTTGATGGTTTCTCGAGCGATAATCTGTTTCCCAACAGCAGCTTGTATGATGATCTCGAACATCTGCCGATCAACATGTTCTTTGAACTTCTCGACCCATTGTTTGCCCACATAGCGTACTTGAGATTGGTGTAGAACACGCGACACGGCATCCACTGGTTCTTTGTTCACCAACAATTGGAGCTTGACAATGTTGCTCGAACGCCAGTCAGCTTCCTCGTAATCGAGCGTCGCATATCCTTTAGTGTTTGACTTTAGCTTGCCAAAGAAGTCGTCAACCAGCTGAGCTAGCGGCATCTCGTACTTGAGGATGACCTGGGAAGAAGTGAAATATTCCATAGACTTCTGTTCACCACGGTTGGCTTCGCACAGCTCCATGACTCTCCCAAGGTACTCTTCAGGGAATGTTAGAGTCGCTAGAACATATGGCTCACGCAGCTCTGCAACACCCCGGCGCGCTTCATCATTGTCGGGGAACTCGGCAGGATTGGTGATAATCTCCTCTCTGCCATCATTGTAAATGACCTTGAAAGGTACTGTAGGGGGTGTGATGATGATGCTGGTTCCGTGTTCCTGTCTCAGACGATCTTCAAACACAGAGCAGTGCAAGGTACCCAAAAACCCGAGTCGAAAACCTGCACCTAGCGCCTGTGACGATTCTTTCTGTACCGTCACACTTCGATCGTTAAGCAAAAGCTGATTGATGCTATCCTCGAGATGCTCAAATTCACTTTGATCGACCGGGAAGGCAGCCACAAAAACCATGGGCTTGGGTTCCTCAAAGCCAGGGAGGGGTTGAACTTGCTTCTGAAAGCCTACTCTTGAATATGTGTCACCGATCTTCGCTTCGCTGCTCTTCCTCATCGAAGGGTTAAAGTAAACATAGCCCACTTGTCCCGCTCGTAGTACTTTCTGTGGTGTCTGATCAGGATACATAATACCAACCTCCCCAACGGTGTAACGGTTTCCAGTTGCGAAAGAGACGATTTGATCACCAGCCCGAAGCTCGCCATCAAACAGTCGTACCAATAGAACAACACCTTTGTAGCTCGAATACCATGAGTCGACCAAATAGAGTCTGAGCGGCTTTTTAGGGTCACCAACTGGCCTACTTCAAGTCAGCAGTGAATGATATGCTGTCTGAGTATACTCACGCAGGTATCTGCTCAACAACTGCCGGGAGGATTGATTCGACATTCAGACCTGTCTTTGCTGACACGAGGACAGCACTGTCAGGGTCCAACTCGAAAGTATCGTGCATTTGCTCCAAGGCCCGGGGTGGGTCGGCATGAGGCAAGTCGACTTTGTTGATGACCGGTATCAGTGACAGGCCCTGAGCGAAGGCCAGGTAGAAATTCGCAACTGTCTGGGCTTGGATGCCTTGACTTGCATCAACTAGCAAGAGAGCGCCGCCACAGCTCGCATAGCTACGAGCGACTTCAGCTCTGAAGTCGACATGACCAGGGGTATCAACAAGGTGGAGGAGATAATCGTCCCCTTTGTAGCTGTAGATCATGGAGCATGTCTGCGCCTTGACTGTAATGCCTCGCTCTCTTTCAACATCTAGCTTATCCAGGACTTGCTTGTTTGCACCGGGTTCGATCGTGCCTGTAAGTTCGAGCAGGCGGTCACTGAGGGTGCTCTTGCCATGGTCAACATGCGCAACAATGCAGAAATTGCGATACCGTTCGATTGGGATGGTTGCAATTTTTTTCTCGAGGTCGCTTGGAACGGATGGTGCGGCGCGAAAGGCAGTTGATGAAGTGAATGATCGAAAGGACGGGTATTTAGTGTTCAACGACCATATTGGGGCAGAAGGAGCTAAAAATGCAGCTCTTCGCCGTGCAAAGACCTGCGGCCATCCTTTCATGCCAGTGAGTGTGGGTGATTCAAGTCATGAATGCGCCGTCGAATGTTCTGCTCTAAGGCCGCAGTCCGAGAAAATGTCCAGGCGTTGATGCCCGAAGATTTGCCAGCGCAAGCAATAGTTCTACCACTCCGGAGCCCTCAGGAGACGGTTGCCGCTTTTGACTACATGTCTCGATACGCCTTGATTACGCCTTGGCACGTGATTGTATTGACCTTAGACGTCCTCGTCCGAATCCAGGTTGAGATTTCATGACCTTATAGAACTAAATGGAAGAAATTTTGCGGATGTGATACGTGTATATGGAAGAGCAAAAGCCGCCGCGAAGGACGACTAGAAGTAGCGTGACCTACACTGCCACAGTTTCCCCTACGAAACTGCGCGGTCCGAAGCAGTACAACAAGCAAATCCGACTAAACCGAGCGTGGTTGTCCCTCGGCCTTGGTTTCTTTGAAAATACGTTTTCTCGTGAGAAGAGAACCATATACCGTCACAAGCAAGGAGATCAAAGGTAAAATAAGGAACAGAGCAATGAGCAAAGCGCACAGAGTCATGGCAAAGATCGCGAATCCGTATGCCGCTTGTTGAAGATCAGGATCCGGTTGCTTCGAATGTGCCGATATTGATAGATTGAAAGCCGAGAGAATGATGACAATTACACCGAACGCCGACACGGCGTTATTGTACTGGTCCATGTAGAGCACGTAGCTCTCGGTCAGAGCATGGGGAAAGCCTTGAAGCATTGAAACCCAGGCCACTCACACAACATGTAGCCCTGGGTGGAATATTCACTAGCTTCGTAATGGGAAGACGTACTGTTCCTACTACATATTACATCTGCACAGAAAGAATTCACGGACACAATGCGCGGACCCCGGAGTCGTAAAGGAGGAGAGGCAAAGTCTAAAAGTTGAAGTGGACAAACATCGTACTGCGTGGACTCCGTGGAGCACAAGAGAGTCAATCGACCTATCCTGTGGCGATTGTCTCTTCCTAGTTTGGTGGACGGCTCGGCCTCTCTCAACGTTTTCCCATGTACCAATCCACCGGCAATGAGCGTCGGCGAAGGGCTACTAGAAATCTCGAGGAAGTCGGCAGCGTTTGGGGTGTTTGGTCTGTCGAGGTTCCTGCTATGTCTGTGTAGGATGAAAGGAGATTGGTACGGCGTCTGTGGAGTCTGGCCGGAATGACTTCCCCGAATATTAGGAGTTTGTTCATACCTTGACTTTTGTAGCGAGGTATCCGTCCTATCTTGGGGGTGATACTTACCTGGTACAATGATGTCCACCTCGGCCTCAATATGAGGTGGTCGTCTCGCGAACGGTCTCCTCTCGCAGGGGCGAGGAGAACATATAAATACACAGAGAAATCCCATTATTGTGCTTGCTAGGCATACCCATCATCAAACATTCTCATCAATTTCGAAGCAACAATGCGTGTTTTTCTCTTTCAGACCGCGAAGGGTCTCTCAAGTTCATCTGGCGGTTACAAAGCGAACCTGTCATAGTTAAAGTATCTGGCTCATCGCAAACATGCCGCAGGTCAACTTTGCTACGTTTGGGACAGTTGCATCGAGGCCTACCTTGACGAAATGGCAGCAGCTGGCCTGAAATCCGATCTCGAAACTCGGCTTATATCGATGCCAGTGAATGACTGTTGTGAGGTGGCTCAGATAAGTACTTACTCATTCACTAGTCTTGATGGAGTAAAGAACATTGCTTTCAATGCTTTGGACTTTCTGGAAGCTCTTCCTGACAAAGCTTTGGCCCGCGACACTGCCAAGTTAATCGAGGTACTTTTTCCTAAACATCTTTGGGCTGCAAGAAAGAGTTAGCATACTAACAAGTGATTGCGGCAGGAAAATCAAGCGAGCATCCAAATCCAAGTGTTTCTTCTCTTCTTGGGCATGCATATGTGCCGCTTCGAACCGACACATGTCTTATTCAATGACGGCTTGATGATGAAGGCGACGTCAATCATGCCCTCCCTCCGCAAGGTATCTCGAATCTTGATTGTACATACAGCTGAGCAGCTTCCTTTCGGACCGTTTGCCGGTGGCATCCCAGGCTCGTCATACTCCATTGGCGAACACAAGTTGATGCAAGGAGTTGATGCTATTTGGTCAGTATCCGAATGTATCAAAAGCTACACTCAGGAACACGGCCAGATTGACACCACGTTCCATGTTCATCATCCTTGGACTTACCCCGACAGTAAGACCCATGGGTTGCCAACGGCGAGGAAAAACTGGAACAAAACAGCCATCGGATTTGTAAACCCTTGTGCTGTGAAGGGTGCCTCAATATTCCGCGACTTGGCAAAAAGATGTCCGCACTTCGAATTCGTGGCTTTGTCTAGCTGGGGCACCGATTCAAAGGTGAAGGAAGAATTACGACAATTGCCGAACGTCGAGTAAGCCATTTCTCCTGCCGTACCATATAGGACAGTTGATGCATTGTGCATGCTAACAAAAAACTCAACTTCAGACTTCGACCATCAATCGGTGACATGGAGCAGATATGGTCTGAGATCAAGGTGCTCCTTGTGCCATCACTTTGGCTCGAAGCCTGGGGAATAGTTGTGGTGGAGGCACAAGTTAGGGGCATTCCTGTGATCTCGTCGGACTCAGGAGCGATTCCCGAGGCCAAACTTGGACTTTCGGTTCTTGTTCACATCAATTCACTCACGGGCGAGGGAACTGAAGAAGGCGAGTACATCGTTCCGGAGCAAGATGTTGAGCCATGGAGAGTGGCTTTGACAAAGCTGATGACAGACAAAGACCGGTATGAAGAGCTTTCAGAGTCGTGGCTGACCAAAATTGATGACAAAGCTCTGGAAAGCTGGCTATCACAATCAACGAGACCAAAGACAATACGGTCCATAGGAGCATGAAAATCAGTAATGAGTAGTGTTTATTACAAGTTTGAGTGATATTCAGCATCTCAGAACCAGAGCGTTTACCTACATAGGTAAACAACAGAGTGGGCCTCTGCTCGACCCAGTACCATTAGGCCTAATTAGGCAGGCTCACCTTTCCAGAAACAGATCGTGTTGACCTCCCAATACTAACAGCACAACGTTTCATTAGATGAATGAACAACATAGCCTGCAACGACGTGTTTCAGATTTTCCGGAACCCTCCAGTATGCTTGATTATGCTTTCGATTCAGAGCCCAATCCTACCGGAGTCGCAAACACTCTGCCGAGGGGCAACGCTAAGTGTCAGAAATTCCCGCGGGCCCGCGCGAGACCAGCGCCCGCGCTTCCTCTTCAAGTTAAGACTTCCAAACCTTTTTGGATACTTTGATCATCCTGGTATTTGGCCGCCACAGAGCATCTCTTTTTGGCACCCGTTTGGGACAGCGGCCTGCCGCTTTACTTGAGAATCATGTGATCTGGCTCAACTTCGGCTCAGCCTCAATAATACTCACATCGTAATCGAGAATGTAGATGGAGCGAATCATGCGTTCCACGGCATCTGCATAGTCATTCAAACGTTCAATCATTTCAGCTTATTCTAAATCCTTTATTAGTCCATTCTCCTCCGCTGAATCTCAGGTCTAGGCGTACCTCTGAAAGGTGACAGACAAATGCGATGTAAAACATCAGACTGGCAACAGACAATGGCACGTTGAACTCGATAACTTTTCGAGTCTGTGCGAGTAGCAAGCTCACTGAGACTCCACAATCTTTAACAATTGTTCTACCCCTTCCAAGTGTCACCTCCCCTGAAAGGCTTTTTCAGGGCTCTTGTTTGGACCACGTTGCGATGGCCATCTTGGTTGTAGAATATAACTTAACATCGGGTGGTCCTCTGCTTGTATAGTACTATGAAGCTGCTCCATAGCGGTCAACAACCTGCAGTCCCCACAGGCAATGGCCAGTCACGCTTCAATCCTTCTCTCTTCACAGATGCCCAGCGGGGCGCACCCCAAGGAGACCTCGGCGTGGCGCAGCACGACTACTGGTGAAGTGCCTGCAGTGTCAAGTGCTCGAGGCGTCGCGAAGGATCGCCGAAAAGTGCGCCTTGACGTGAGAACGAAAAAGACTTCGAGACAAAAGAGCCCCAAACCCCTCAGCTTCTGCTCGACATACAAAATCTAGACGGCGACGTTGGTTCATAATACAGTACCCGCCATATTGACTGAAGGAGGTATAGTCAAGAGCCCACAACCCGTCGCAAGATCCATACTGATTCCAACATTGAGAATAGGATCAATGATAATAGCCTGAGTCGCTGGGGTAGTTCAATGTTGTTCTTCAATCAAGATCTCCCGTGGAAACCCCCCAAACGCCAGCAAATGGATCCCATTTATCATCCAAATGTCTGTCATATTCCATGACATTTGCAACCGACTCTGCTGTCCCTGCACCATACAATGTCTGGATGAAGGCAAACGTGACATCAATGCCGGCAGAGACCCCCGAAGAACTCCACACTGGCGTGACTCCGGGGGTGTCGTCAACAACCCATCGGGCCTTTCGTACCCAGTTGACCTTTGGCCCGAGCGGTGTTACCAAGGACCAAGTACATTTGTTGGTCGTCGCTCGCCGATGGTCCAGGAGGCCCATGCCTGCGAGAACAGCAGACCCTGTGCAGATGGTGATCGCGTACTTCAGATCAAAGAATACGGATCGAATGTACGATTCGACAGGAGCCATTTTCTCTTTATTGCGAGTCCCATATCCTGGGAGAACTTCGTCAGTGTCATCGTCAACAGCGCAAAAGGAATGCTCCTTCATCTTGCATACTGACCTCCAGGAATGATCAGCACTTCAACTTCGGGTGGATTTGTAAAGGTGTGGGTCGGAACAATCTCCTGTCCGAATGAAGACGACACAAAGGTACTTGGTTGTTCTGGGTTTGTGGACACTGGCGTCAATGACTCGGCCATCACAGCAAGCTCCATGCTGTAGTCTCGAGAGAGGACGTTCAAGGTACTAAGGGGCCCGAAGACCTCTGGTGCAGCTCGAGGGTCAGAGGGCAAGCAACAGCGTCACATCCTCGTTGGGATCCCAACAGATCAATCTCTCAACCTACCAAGTGCCTGGAATCCAGGGAAGACAACGACGCCATATCTCGTGGGTGGAAGGGGAGTACTGCGTGGCAGTTTAGGTGGTGATGAAAGGGCTTGAGAAGAGCCCAGGACGGGAACATCCTCCATGCTGATGGGAATGCCACGACGGTCCGCAAACGAAGCCCCAAGAGATATATCGACGTTGACTCGTTTGTGGTGCTTTTCTGGAATCTCTCGGTGTAGGAGCGGGACACCTCGGCCGTCCAGGGGAGCTCCCCTTGAAGAGAACTTTGCGTGGGTGGAAACCTTGGGTGAATGGATTGTAGATGCTCGTCCGGCCAAGTCGCATGATTGAGTGAAACTGCGGAGTTTGGCGGTTGACTGCGTCTTTTTTCTTTTTAGAATCGTTGTTCAGTAGCCATCGCTTTTCGAGTCTTGCTGGACTCAACTGTGCCGCTCCACCGCGTCGAGGTCAGCGGCGCCAGGCTGCGTGCCCTGGACCGGGGACTAATAACTTGCTCAGCAGTGAGCACAATTCCAACGACTAGGCACCTTTGTTCGTATGTGGCCTGGAATACTAAAATGAGGATCGGCGAGCAGAAGCCAATCAATCACACTCCACACTCCACATCAGGTTTTCACCTCATCAGCCCGCGATCCCGACGTCTCACATGTCTGTAAGCGGTGAGAGTATTGGAGAGATTCCTCGAAATTCCTCAACTGCAGTAGTCTGAGTCGGTGTTGGTCGCCACGGCAGGCAGATTGAATGAAATGTTGCGAGGTTGCACCGCACCCGCGGAGGCAATCGACTATCGTAATCTTACTTGGTTTACTCCGAGACGACTTCTCGCTCGAATTTTGTAGACAGATACCAACCCAGCTGTTGCAGTGTCACCTTCGTCCACCATCGACCAGAACTTCCGGTCACATCTCTCGCCATGTCACGGTATCCTTTCCCATTCGCACGGGCCGCAAAGCTGGATTCAAGAATCACAATCCCTCGCCTGGTGTACGACCCGGATCTTGTGCAACTACTTGATGCCGCCGCCGTGCCTGAGGAATTCGATCTGGATTTCATGCGCGGAGGCTCAAGAGACGATCATCAATCCCCTGGGGGCGATTCGGAAAACGCGGCCTGTGACGCGAACACAATCCTCAGGGACATGCCGCATCTGCTGCATGAAGAGCATTCAATCCCTGGACCTGACAACAACACAGTCATTCTTTCCGTTTTCTCACCAAAGCAATCCGCAATAGCACCACGGCCGGCTCTGTTTCATATGCATGGAGGTGGCCTGGTCAGCGGAGACCGGTTCACCGGCCTGATGCCAATCATGGACCTGCTTGACGGCGTTGACGCCGTCGTCGTGTCTGTCGAGTATCGTCTTTCACCAGAATCCCCCCAGCCAAGCGCGAGCGAAGATTGTTACACCGGGCTCGTTTGGATCTCTGAGAACGCCGCAGGCCTGGGAGTAGACCCGGCAAGGATCGTGCTTTTTGGCGTGTCCGGAGGCGGGATAGTGGCAACAGCGGTATGTCTCATGGCCAGGGACAGAAAATCCCCCTCCGTCCCCATCAAGGGTCTGATGTTGTACGCACCTCAAGTCGACGATCGGTGCGAAACCTTGTCGGATCGACAATATGAATACGGGAACCCGACCAATACGAAATGGGTCCGCGCGTGCTGGGATCTCGTGCTTCCAGGTATCCGCGGGACTGACCGAGTTACACCGTACCAAGCACCAGCTCGAGCCGAAGATTATTCCAATCTACCACCGACCTACGTTGACGTTGGCGAGTGCGAGGTCCTCCGCGATCAAGCAGTCCAATTCGCCGCGAGCATGTGGTGGTGTGGATCCAGCTGCGAGCTCCATGTCTGGCCGGGAGCTTTCCATGTCTTCGAGATGGTCGATGGGTCCAACCACCTGCTCGTCCAGTCAGCCAAGGCAGCAAAAATCAGTTGGTTCCGGAGAATGATGACGAGGTCTGAGCCTGTCTCCAAAGGGATGTGAGTTTGAGTATCGGGGAAGGTCGATGACAAATGAAACGGGTCTATTCCAGCTACATCTACATGGCGACCTGCTGCCAACACGGAGCCAGGGAATCATCTCTGTTTCTTGGTCGTAGATGACAGGTCCAATACCTGAGCCCCGAAAATCCTGAGGTCGAATCCCAGTGACTATCAAGCCTCAGCCTCGCTATCCCTGTGTATATTCGACAAATCAAAATGCCACAGCTGCCACAGCAGATGAGGCACTGCCTGCGCTCGCACATTTGCTCGCGCCGCCCTCCTCTTTCTAGTTCTAGTTCCTCGTGTTAGTTATTCCCGTCAATGAGACTCCTGTTGTGAGACCCTGATAGTCACCAATACTTCTAGTTTTAGTGGTAAGTAGAGAGTGCGAATAGAATTGATTCATTAGGGTTTCCACAGTATTTAGCTCTCGGTAAGCTCGCGATGATAATGCTACCATGTTTTGCTTTAGTTTGCCTCACTTCATGTCCCAGAGTCGGCAGGGTCATATGAACATTAGCGTTTGTAAACTGCAGCAGTCTCTGGGCAGGAACAGAACGATTTAGATGAATGTCGAAATCTATCAATAATGGCTGAATTCGTGTCACTTCTAGAGTGGGATGCGTAAAGAACGAGACTCAAAGGCCGTTCTCCTTAGCTCGTCCTCATCCATAACAACAGCAGCGTAACCAAAAGAGAATACCAGAGACAACAGTACTTCGAGGGCGAATTGATGATTGAGCCTCGTTTGATCTTCAGAGAGGATATAGTGGGCGGTGTATAGCTGCAGAGTCTGCAAGCAATTGCCCGTAGATATCTGGTTTGAGATAATCCAGAGGGAGCTGCATCTTTTCCAAGAAAAGATATTTATAGTAAGTGCCTAGGCTCGAGTTAGCCATGCTGAGGATCGAAGATAAAGAAGAGTTATCCGGACTCACGCTGGAGGTCCCTCACGTCAAGTTGAGCTACTGCTTGCTGAATTATATCTGAGGCACTGGGATCATTGACCGATTCCAGCTGGCCCGCAAACTTTTCCTTCAGCTGAAGAAGTTTCTTTCTGACAGCCTTTCGCTCGGGAGAGTTGTTCCAAGTCTCTGACCAGTCTTGTGGACTGTCAGAATCGGCATTGGAGCCGGTGACCTCAAACACCCATTCTACAGGGTTCTCCTCTGCATTGCGTTGTCTGGCCCCATTTTGTTCGAAGTAGCTGATCACCGTCTTGCAGGAGACACCTATTTTGCCAAAATATAGCTGTTTCCCTCCCTTTGCCAGCAGAATCAGTCGATCGAAAGACTGCAGAAGCCGTACAGACGGTTGGCTGATGGTACAAAGGATAGCCAAGCCTTTCTGTGCAAGCTTACGCAGGAGCGCGCATATAGATAGGGCAGCCTGACAGTCCAGTCCTAGGACGGAGCATTTCAAGTCAGCAATCTCGTTCTACAACTGACGCTGATGTCACTGACCCGAAAGCGGTTGATCGAGCAGGATCAAGGTGGTAGGTTTGGCAGCAAGCTCGATTCCAATCGCCAGTCGTTTTCTTTGTTCGCTATTCAAAACTGCAACATGATCAGCACGCGGTAATGTAAGCGACCGAAGCACACACCTTCTCCACCTGTTCCTATGGCTGTATCGGCAAGTGCTTCCATCCCGATGAGGTGAACTACTTCCTCAGCATAGGCAATCTTCTCGACGTATGGGGTCGTTTTGGGTTGCCTCAGTATGGCACTGAAGATCAATGCCTCTCTGACGGTCGCGCCAGGGAACTGTAAATCAGACTGATATACAACACCGGCCATGTTCTTGGAGGCAATATTTCGAGGCTGGCCATTTACCAGAATATCGCCATGGGCGGCCCCAGAAGTCGAACGATTGGCCAAGATATCTAGCAGAATGGTTTTACCAGCTCCACTGACGCCCTGAAGGACCGAATTGATCAGTAAAAGTAGAGAGAAGGACAAGGCACCTACCATCAATGCCGTCAACGTTCCGCCCCTCAGCCACCCATCGACTTGATCTAGAAGTCTTTTTCTCTTGCCGCCACTCTTGACATCATAAGTCAGATCCTCCCAGTGGACAAAGTTTTCGTTTCTCTCCTGCTCATAATTTTCGCTGACGGTCGGATCTTCAAATTGCACTATGGCGGCCTCGTCTGCCCGATTTGGCTCTTCTAAGAATTCCTCGTCTGTCATTTCTCGAAAGTAACTTGGACGGCCTTTTTCTTCAACGACTTTCATTCTAGGATTCTCCTTGAAGTCTCCCATTGGCGCACTCATCCATTCTCCATCAGCCATCAGCGCGACACTGCAGTGCCAAGGTGTCGTGAACCCCGTTTTGGTGTTCAGCAAACTCATGGAGACTTTGTGCTCTCCGGTAGACTGATGAATTGAAAGTCGTAGATGATTTGGGAAGTTCTGTTTGATCGCGCCCGCAAAAGCCTATTCCCGAAGGCAAGTGTTAGAAACTTGGGCCTTAAGGTCTCTTACTTTGTTATACCTACGTAGCCTCGAACAAGCATTTGCTTGGCCAAATACTTCGTCTCCCTTTTGTATGTATTGCTGGTCCGCGTTCCCCCAAGTGTGTAAATGTGTCGCAAGTCTGACATCAAGAACCTTCGGTAACCTTGATAAGTCAGTCGGGTATCTTCGTCATCAGCAATTAGCTGATCTACGTCCAGGCCTTCTTTCCCAAATTTGTTGAGAATGAAACGACGGAAATTAGTAGCGTTAGCGACGTAGGAAATCTCGTCCAAGGAGTCCGGTAATTTGAAATCCACAAAGTCTCTCAATCTAGAGAATCCGATATTGGTGAATCCCTTTTCGACGGCCATTTCTCGAAGAGCTTGTCCATAATGCCAAGTGTCTCTATCCGAAATGCCTAGCAGATCTATAGCTCCACATTAACGAGTTTCAATGGCAAAGTATCATGGGACGAACCGTTGTAGACAAGCCCATCCGAAATAATGACAACATGAGCCCCCGGTGCATATATGTCCTCAATGCGCCTACACATGTTGTGCAACCTGGCCAAGGCGATCTCCTCGGCCTTGTCGGGCAGGAAACCGAGAGCCTTGTAGACTTTGTTCGCCGATTTGAAGGGGAATGCTGGAAGACACATATCGATGCGGACTCCTGCTTCGACAAACTTGTTGAGAACCGATATAAACTTGGGTCTCCCAGCCTCAAGCCGATCTCGACAGTTGTCAAATTTGTTCAACGCGTAGTCGAAGATGACTTCCAAGATATCGGTGGAGATGACGGTAATCGAGACATCCTCTTCATCAGAAGTTAGTGTGCTCGAGATCGTGTTTACCATGCTCCCGGTATTCTGCGGTATGATGTTGAATGGCACCAGACTTTCGACAGAGGCATTAGGGGTTACATTCTGACCGGAAATGGGAGGGCATCCATTGCTTAGCACATGGCTGTTCGTCATCAAATCAGTATCCGCAGTAAAAGCCATATTTTGATGATATGAAGAGCAATTTGAAGGTTCAAGAGATTTGATCCTCTGCAGTCGTCCAACTGATAATTTGAGAGCACAACAAGATTGCTGGTGATGATTTCTCCCAGTGAAATGTAGGGCAGGACCTGGTGCGTATAGCACGTGCTGCGGCCACAGACAGACCACACCTGTCGATTCCAGTTAAAAGGGTCTGAGGACCCGAGCAGACCCACACCAGGCAGAAACATGCTCATTGTGCACCGGCTCTTACAGGGTACATACATCAAGGATGTTACATTGCATAAGAAGCGACCCACATCATAATCCGTATCCTTTTAATTCTAAATTAGTCTCAAAGCCAAGGGATATGCTTTGCGTTACACTAAATATGCAGCGAGCGGAATGATCCTCTCCCCTGATCCAGATTAGAAGCATGGGAGACGTGGCCTCTCGCATGACCTCAGGGACGGCAGCAGAGTTGCGAAGTGGAATGAGCAGCAACCGGAAGACGGACCTCGGAGCATGGTTAGAAGCTGATCCAAGCTAGGGGAGTGCACATTGCCTGGTTCTGAAAGTGTGATTCCATAAGTTGTCGACAGAGCCCATCATCACATTGTCGATCTTCGACCTCTTTCCATTTGCTCTTTGGAACTCAAGAGATCAAGGCAACCGGTATTTCCACATCCATCAACTGCAATGGCTAGTGAAAAGCACCCAAAATACGGCAAAAGGCTGCTTCCTCAGATCTTGGATGGCCTGGCTCTTACTGAACCTGATCGAATAGTATACTCTTTGGCATCATTTCGAAATGATGCTCCGCATTTCCGGACCATTACTGCTTGTCTGTTTGCAAAAGCGGTTGACAAGACCGCTTGGTGGCTCTATAATCAAACCAGAGAACAAAGGCAATCTCACAACGAAGGCACTGATGAAAGTCGTGGCAAAACCAACAAGAGGATCTTGACAATAGGTTATATTGGCCCTCGTAAGTTAGAAACAAGACCTTGTGAGAAAAGCCTCCTGCATACTAACACGAGCGAAGATGATCTCCGGCATATTCTTCTGATCTATGGCGCCATCAAGGCTAACTGCGCAGTGAGTTTCTCAGTACCACGACTTCATTGTAGAGGAGCCAGCTCAGATTCCCTTAATCTAGGCCTTGTTTCTATCGCCCAAAAACAATGTTGAAGGTGCTTCAGCAGTTCTCAATGCAGCCAAATGCGATGTTTGGGTTAAGCCGTGGGAACAACCAGCGCTCCCTTTGGTCGAGGGATTCACATCGTCAAAGCCCATGGTGATACTTCAATTACCTGGATTGGAAGAGCTTCTCGATGCTGAAACTGCTGAGCCATTTCCGTTCCAGAAGACCTTTGAAGAAGCCGTAGATGAGCCATTTTGTATCACACATACGTCTGGCACCACGGGGATTCCAAAACCGATCTCCTGGACACATGGGCTGATTGGTACTTTGGACGCTGTACGCTTGCTTCCTCCGACGGAGGGGGATCATGGACTGGCCCCGTGGACTGATAATTGGAATGAAGGAGATACGATCTACTCGTCATTTCCAATGAGTCATGTTAGTTACTCCTCCCTACCATTCACCTTGCTCCAGCCTGGGCTGGCAGAACTCAAATCAAAGATGAATGCTGATTCTTTCGAAACATCAGGGTGCTGGCATGCTGATGGACATTGTCGTGCCTGCATTCTTCAAGCTACATTGCATCTTGGGTCCGCCTGAAGCTTTGCCCAACATGGCGCTCATGGAAAATCTTGTGGATCACGCAAAAATCGACATCTGGCATATGATTCCATCCTTGGCCGATGAACTAGGCGAAACTTCAGAGCTTTTGGCAAAGTTCGCCTCTTCTAAGTTCATTTGTGTATCCGGTGGTAAGCAATACGCAAATCCACTTATCATATTGCTCATTAAACTCACTTCGGCATGATTTCAGGTCCTGTCAGTGCGGCTATCGTCAAAAAAGTCAACGACGTCGTAAGAGTCATGAACCTGACCGGAACTACTGAAGGCTTGTTCATGGGCAATCTTTGGCCAGAGAGAGAAGACTGGCATTGGTTTGCCTTTCATCCTCTCGCAGGCTTCGAATTCAAGGAAATCGAACCGGGTATTTATGAGCACTGGGTGCACCGAAAATCTCAATGGGACTTATTCCAAGGCGTATTCTATACTTTCCCCGACCAAGAGTCTGTGAACCTCAAAGACCTCTATATACGACATCCCTCCAAGCCATACTTATATGCCTACAAAGGAAGGAGTGATGACGCAGTGGTTTTGTCCAACGGATACAAGATCGCTCCATTAGACACAGAAGCATTGATCACAACACATCCTGCAGTTGATGGCTGCCTAGTCATTGGGATGGGCAAACCGCAGGCAGGTTTGCTGATCCAACTCAAAGATCCTTCAACGCGGAACAATGAGTTGTTTGATAGCATTTGGGAAATCGTGGAACGGGCGAATCATTCTGGTTTCCAAAAGGTCAGGCTCCAACGAGACTATATTGCTTTTGCAGAGCCAAACAAGCCCTTCATTCGTACGGACAAGTCAACGATCAAGCGCCGAGCCACTTTGGAACTCTATGCAGAATTCATTGATCGCTTTTACGCCACAAGAGATGAAGGAGCACTCAACGAAGAATTCGATGTCTACAAAATAGACGCAACTTCAGAGGAAACCATTCTTGATTCGGTTCGGAAAGTATTGTCTTCGATAATCCCCGAAGTCCAAGCTGCATCACCGGACGAAAATGTCTTCGACATGGGGCTGGATTCTCTTCTGGTATATCACTCTATAAGAGTCATTCGAGCAGCTACCGGTTTGAAAGAAAAACTTGCTGCTAGACATCTATATGGAAATCCAACGCTTTCAAAGTTTTCGGCATTCCTCGCAACACTAATACAACAGGAAACGAAAGACAAGACAGATTTTCCGACCAATGAACTTACAAATGGAGAAGTCGACCGCCCAAGTGGAAGCACAATTCAGCAGCCGACAAATGATTCGACCAAGGAACATGGTCTTCTGAGAGCAATACAGGAACACAAGCGGCGGATAGGCTTCAAAATGAATCCATTCGATGCAGTGAATCCAAACCACTATATGGGTTTCACCTTCTTCTTCGCCTTGCCTCCGGGTACCGGCGCTCAAGATGCCTTCAAAGGTCTCCAAGATGGTTTATGCCGTGCATTCCAAATCATCCCAGAGCTTGATGGAAAAATGATGCACGCTCCCGAACACGAGTTCGGCTACAGGAAAGGCGAATACTCCATCACAATCCCCCCTCGTTCAATGGCAGCTACTTCTAATCCCAGACAGCTCCTCTACAAGGATATGAAGCACATTCTTCCTTCTTTCCAAGAGATGCGAGACAGCGGTTTCTCACGTTCTCTCTTTGCAGACAGAACCGTTCTTGATTGCTATCCCTTCCCAGATATGCCCGCCGACCTCCTGGTCGCTCATGCGAACTTCGTTGAAGGCGGATGCATTCTAGCAACAAACTTCATACACACTTGCTTTGATGGTTTAGGCGCCTTGATAGCACTCAAGGTCTGGGCCGAGTGCTGCAGGTACGTGCAAGGAGATTCTTCATCAACATGTGATTGGTATGACCCAGAGAGTTTCAATCACAGTCTGCCCGAAATTCTCTACCAGAGCGAGGGGTACTCCAAAGCCACTCACGAAGTTGACCCGGTTGTGTGGGACTTCTTGCCATTCTTTCCACCGGATGAGGTGGTTCAAGCCCGCGACCGCAAGATCAAGACAAGCTCTAAAGAGCTCTCTCTGGACTTTCCAAGACCGGTCTATCGACGCCAGCCTAGATGGCCCGCGGCGCCTTCAGACCGTTCTTTGGCCAGTACGTTCTTTTTGATCTCCCGCGAGAATCTGCAAAAGCTCAAACACGATGTGAGCTCGCACCCAGATGTCAGGAGCAAGAGCGTATCGACCAGCGACATCGTCCAGGCATTTCTATGGCGCACAGCCATCAGGGCACGATATCTGGTGGCCAAAGAAGTCCGAGGCCAAAGTTTTGGGCCGGATGAAATGTCCATTTTGGAGATACCCATCGACGGCAGGCTGTACTTCTCCTCACGATTGCCTTCGTCTTACATGGGCAGCTTACTCATTATGAGTCGGACAATGATGCCTATTGAAGATCTGTGTTCGCCAGACACCAGCCTGGCCACGGTTGCCTCTCTGATCCGCAGAACAATAGCCCGAGTCAACACTGCCTTGGTTCATGATGCCTTCACTCTCTTGCGATCGATGACGGATTATACCAAGCCGGCGACTGCGAACATGGGTCTGGAGCACATGAACGAGATGATTTCCAACATGATCTTGTGGCAACCCGAAGACAATCTCTCCTCTTTTGGCGAGGGCATCTTCGCTGGGGGCAGGCCGGAAGCTGTCTGGCCACAGATTGAGCGTGGGCATCGGCGTTTTAGATTTTCACTCATCCACCCCTTGAGAGCAGACGGCGGTGTCGAGCTTGAAGTGGGCACCTTACCGGAAGAGCTGAAGATGCTGCAGGTTGATGAACACTTCACTAAGTATGCCAGGCTTCTGGACATCAGGCCAGGAACAGGATGGTAAACTGATGTAGTTGAGAGTCCATCCACCAGTGCTATTGGTGGAGAGTTATCGTGCGGACTAGTGCTTGGCTACAAGTATATTATCTCAAGGGTATTGTACTCCGTATAGCTCCACTTGGGGCGGTGCTAAGACAGATGATGTACTCCGTACTCTGCAATGATCCCCACTTTTCGAACCAAACCTCATAAGGTAAATACTGCACTCGTATACTGTAGACGGAGCTGGCCAAACATGTCCTTGAGTCATTGCATGTGCTCACTTTGTCTATCAAGAGGATCGCTTCTGCCCCAATTCCCAATGTGCAGAATAGCTGGGCACGATGCCCGACAGCGTGGAACCTGAGCAAGTTTTCAATTCCTGCAGGTTCTCAAGATAGGGCCTGCAACTAGGTCCCGTCTATTGCATTATGGTGGAACATAAGCAAGTTTTCATTCACTGTAGATGCAACATTCCTTTCATCCCGGCCTTTGGTGTGCAAAGAATCTGAGCACGTTCGGCAGCATGGAGAATGAGCAAGTTTTCATTCCCCGTAAAGTTCAACATAAACCCTGTAACCAGACCCCGGTCTACTGCATTATAGTGGAATATGAGCAGGCTTTCGTTCAATATACCTCGGAGATGTAACATTCCTCCCGCTATAGCCCCTGGCGTACAGAAATCTGACCACGATGTTCGAGAGCGTGGAGCATGAGCGAGTTCATTTTGTCTTGATACAGCCTGCAGGTAGGCCCGGTCCTCTGCAGTGTAGTGGAATATGAGCAAGTTTCCATTCACTGTAGATAGAAATTCAGAGCTATAGACAGCAGATAGGTCATCCTTCTGCACTGGAGTACGATAAAGTTTAGCCTCCGCGATACAAAATCGGCAATCGAGATAGCGGACACATCACTGTCATATACAATGTAACATCGGCGTTGTTTATTCTACAGCCGATGTTTGGTTGGCGGCCACCGTATTATCCCGACCACATTGTTCAGTTTTCTCAGATACTTACCAGGATCGGTGCCTCGGGTTCGAAGTCATCAGACAGTTGCAGCAGGCGTGTCCATGTTATGTAGACGCGTGTAATTGTCTCAATTTCCTCTTGCTACACATAGTCCTGGAGGGGAGAGTTCGTCGAACAAAGGAATTCAGATCCCCAAGGTCGCAAAACACCATTCGGAATACCCTCTGTTAATCATTCTTTCCATGCAATAAGACTTCTGATTTCAAAGCTCGTTATGTCTGTCAACGAAACGTCAAAGGACACGTCCTTAAATCACCTCGATGGACAAAGCAATCCTTCGAAAGCTTCCACCCAGGATGAGGGTCTGCCACCAACGAGATTCGTTAGAGACAAAAGCTGAGTAAATCACAGAATCAGCCGACAGGAACAAATCTGTCATCAAAGGTGGAACTAATATTTCGGACAGCGAGTATCAAGGCAAAGATTCAAAAGCTGGCAGTGACGACGAGAGTGCATATGCAACTGGAGTGAAATTAATGTTGATTGTCATCAGCCTTCAACTGACGAACTTTTGTATTGCCATTGACAATACAGTCATTGCCACAGCCATACCTAGGATCACGGATGATTTCAAATCCTTGTCGGATGTAGGATGGTACGCTTCTGCTTACCTATTGTTTGTTGCGGCATTCCAGCTGTTTTTTGGAAGACTTTATAGCTTCTTGAACATGAAGTGGTTATTCATGGCCTGCATCATGCTGTTCGAAGTTGGATCCTTGGTCTCAGCAGTCGCGCCTACTTCTGCTGCGCTTATTGCCGGCCGAGCCATTTCTGGGTTCGGTGCTTCGGGAGTCTTCACCGGATCACTCACCACTCTGTCGACGGTTGTTCCTCTAGCCCGACGAGGTCTATTCATAGGGCTGGTCACTGCTGTATACGGCGTGGCTAGCATTGCTGGACCGTTGTTGGGAGGTATCCTAACGGACCGTGCATCTTGGAGATGGTGTTTTTATATCAATCTGCCACTCGGTGGCCTCACCATCGTCATTGTGGCAATTTGCCTCCATCCTCCGAAGCCAACGCCAAAAAAGCCGAAATCCTGGCAAGAGTATGTTCTCAGGTTCGACCCCATTGGCACGATCTTGTTTCCACCGTCTATAATATGTCTCTTGCTTGCGCTGCAGTGGGGAGGGACAACGTACAAATGGAGTGATGGTCGAATAATCGCGCTCTTGCTGATGTTTGGGATTCTCCTTCTCGGGTTTGGGATAGTCCAACCTTTCATGGGCGACAATGCGACTTTGAACAAGAAGGTAGTGGCCTCTCGCCACACTGCCTGTGCTACCCTCTACACTCTTTGCGTCAGCTCCTCGTTTTTCGTCATGGCATATTTCATTCCTATCTGGTTCCAGGCAATCCACAGGGCTTCTGCAGAGAAGTCTGGAATTGATCTTCTACCGTTCATGATCAGCCTCATTCTCAGCATCATGACGGGTGGCTGGGCATGCAGCAAGATTGGATATTATAATCCGTTCATGTTCGCTCCAATCACGCTCGGAACAGCCGGGGCGGGACTAATCTATACATGGGACATCGATACGTCGACGAGCAAGTTGATAGGATATCAGGTTCTCTATGGCATTGGCGTCGGGCTTGGAATTCAGCAGGCGGTAGTGGCTGTCCAGGCTGCTGCGAAGAACGTTGACATTCCTAGCAGCATAGCACTTCTTTGCTTCAGTGAAAATTGTGGCGGCGCGGTTTTTGTCAGTGTGGCTCAGAATATCTTCACGGAAAGACTTGCATCAAAGGTGCAGAATATTGCAGGTATCGACCCAGTTCAAGTCGTCAACACAGGAGCGACAGAGATAACAAGCCTGACGAAAGACAATAGTCAACTAGAGGAAATCAGGATTGCCTACAATGATGCACTGTCTCGACCATTCTTGGTCGCCCTGGTCCTGTTGTGCGTTGCGACCATTGGAACTCTTGGAGTTGACTGGAAAAGTATAAAGCAAAAAGGGCACAAAGGTAAAGATGCTGGAACAACACAAGACCCTGAGAACGCCAAAGACGACCAAAAAGACAAAGGGCCCGAAATATCCGAGGAGGGCGTTGAACTCAAGGAAGTATGAGAAATTGTCTCTGGAGCCCGACTTGACGCTAAACTCAGATGCCAGTGGCCGTCAAGTGAATGGTGCTCCGACGGTCGGCTTTGCACGAGGGTGCTATCTAGACCAGTAGAACGCTCCGACCAAGTCCATTTCTGACACGGTCAAGCTCAGAGTCGGTAACGTTGGCTTTGATCTCATTCACCAAGTGTTGAATTCTCCCCTCATGTATCATTTGCACCATTTGCTTCATGAGAGGTGGGGAGTCTGGCAAGTAGTCAATCCATCAGAATCTCAAATCATGAGGTTCTATTGATTAAAACCACTACCAAATCAGACAGGTATAGGGATAGGCTGCGCGAGTAAGTGTGCGAGGAGCAGGCAGTGCCCAAGTCTTGGTGCTAAACCCGATTGGGTAGGCACTTATGGCTGAGTGCGTTACTGTACACAGTCAAACCATAGCCAGTCTACTCTATGCCATTCCGTCAAATTCACAGGCAATTTGCTTTTCCGCCACATACGGAGTAATCAGGGTTCAATCAGAGGACTAGGGCCGCTTCCCAGAGGGGCAAACGCTAGCCAATCGAAATCGGGAACGTAAAAGTACTGCAAACGAGGACGGCAACACGCGAGCACAAGGAAAATTGCTGTACTGTCTTGCACGGTCTAGTCAGATCAGAAGAACACGGCAAATGATAACCGCCTGCGCTGTCTGTTAACATACTCCGTACATTAGGCCAAAGAACCCTCAGCGCCATCCCTGTACCCCCAAGGAATTCGGAAACTTGCTCATATTGCTTCTCTTAGGGGAAATGGAAACTTGCTCATGTTATTCTACGTTATGACTCTAGAGAATCTGAAGTCAAAACCCTTTCGGCCGTTGATGGTGCACAAACAAGCTTTCCCTCCCGACCAAGGTCTGTTGCTTGCCCTTTATCATGCACTGTAGGATGAAGTAGTGGCCCATCGATCTACAGGAGAGCGCAGGGAAGTATGGTTTCTCGCATCAGAGACAGACCGGTCGGAATGACCGATACGCGACATTTGTCCCGTTCAGCCCACCCGAGGGTGTGATCACTACCGCCTGGGTGGTGTGGTCCGACCCTAGCGGGACCCTGGCACATGGATGCTATCGTCAACAAGCACCTTCATCTCTTTTGGCCACTTGTGAGCATGTTTGTAGTTGACTAAATGTCCGATGGTGCTGGGTCGGGTGGCTACCATGCGCAGGTTATGCCGTCTAAGCTACCGATGCGACTCTGGCTACTCTGGTGATATATCAAACCCGACGAATGGTTTGCCTACTCCGTAGATATTCGTCTTATTGCTGCAGAAGGATCTTCTCAAAACCTCTCCAACTCCTTCCCTCCTTGGCTCCCTCCCTTCCTCTCTGACGCGACCACCCTTCTTTGATAGATTACGCCCTGCCTCGTTGACCAATCTTCACAATGGCTCCGGAAGAACCGATGGAAACCCAACTGCCGACCGGCACTGAAAAAGTGCTAGACTCACCGGCTCCGCCGATGCCACACGAGGCTCCCGACGCCGATGCTCAGGCAGGTGTGCAGAGCATCGAGGCCACGGCCATGGCTTGGGACAGGACGAATCTCATCATCGCATACGTGATGCTCTGGTTCATCTATTTCGTCGCGACGACCCTCAGCGGCGTCAACGGCTCGCTGTTACCGTTTGTGACATCGTCGTTCGCGCTGCACTCCCTCACTCCCACGGTCACCATCCTAAGCAGTGTTATCGGAGGCGTCACCAACCTGACCATCGCCAAAATTCTCGATGTCTTTGGCCGTCCCCAGGGATATCTATTATGTGTTGCCCTCGACATTATTGGCCTGGTCATGATGGCTGCCTGCAATACAGTCGAGACTTACGCCGCTGCAATGGTCTTTTATACAGTCGGCAATAACGGTCTTCAGTACTTTCTATCTGTCTTCGTTGCAGACACCTCTAAACTCAAGAATCGAGGTCTGATGCAGGCCCTCGTCAACTCCGGGGTTTTCATCACTACTTGGTTGGCTGGCCCTATCTCTCAGGGATTTCTCGACGGACCTGGCTGGCGTTGGTGCTATGGAATGTTCACCATCCTTGTCCCTGTCATAACACTCCCGCTGCTTTTCTTATTACTGAGGAATTATTCCAAAGCCAAAAAAATGGGAATTGTTCCAAAACACGAGAGTGGACGGACTAAGATTCAGTCTATCGTTTACTACTTCATTCAGTTCGACGCCATAGGGCTCCTACTCTGTTCCGCCGGCGTGGCTCTGTTTCTTCTACCCTTCAATCTTTACACCATTCAATCCAAGGGCTGGGGGTCGGCCTTGGTTATCAGTATGTTGGCCGTCGGCGTGGCCCTCCTCATCGCCTTTGTTCTATGGGAGAGGTTTTTTGCGACCTTCACATTTATCCCATACTCACTTCTTCTGGACCGGACCGTTTTAGGCGCATGTCTACTTACCGCCGCTCTCTTCTGCACCTATTCTTTGTGGTCCAGCTATCTTGGGTCATTTCTGATGGTGGTGAAAGATCAAGATGTCACACACGCTAGCTATGTCAATCAAACAATCACCATTGTTGGCATTGTTATAGCTATACTGGCCGGCTACTTTATCCACCGAACTGGCCACTTCAAGTCTATATCCCTTTTTGTTGCCCTTCCATTCCTGATCCTAGGCCAGGGTTTGTTGATCTACTTCCGTCAGCCGGATGGCCAGGTTGGCTACATCGTCATGTGCCTAGTCTTTATTGCCGTCGGCCAGGGTATCGTGGAGATTACCGATGAGATTGCCATGTTGGCAGCTGCTTCGCATGAATTTGTCGCCGTTTGTCTTGCTGTCCTAGGTATATTCAGCAGCATTGGAGGCGCGATCGGGTCTACCGTCGCAGCAGCGATCTGGCAGAACATGCTTCCGAAGAGACTGGCGGCGTACCTCCCTGCCGACCAACTCCAGGATCTGACCGTCATCTACGGCTCTATCGACACGCAGTTGAGCTATCCCGTGGGCTCTCCCACCCGCCTCGCCATCCAGCACGCGTACAGCGATACGCAGGAAGTTTTGGTGGCTACCAGTGTGGGTCTGTGGGTGATCGGGCTTCTTGGCATCCTCATGTGGAGAAACATCGATACAAGGAATGTCAAGCAGGTCAAGGGTCATGTATGGTGAGAGCATCGAAAGAATATGTAGGTGGCTTTTCCTTGGATACGTAGGATGAGGCAAGAGGGCTACTCTGCCGCCATGTCAACCGTCTGATAAGTCATTCAACAAGTTGCCACGGCTCGAGGTATGTATGGGGACATCGATGGGAAGTGGACATTGAGAAGCAGTGACATTAAAGAATCATGCTGGTCGGATGACATGGATTTCTTGGCCTGGAAATCAGCATGATCACTCTCATCTCTCAGGTCCTAACGACTCCTGGTGACTCGCTGGGCGCGAATAATGATCCCTCTTCCACGCTCACCGGAACGCTCGTTGCATTTCAACCATCATGTGTGATATTGTTTGTTGGTCCAATGTTCCCTCCTTATCTATCGACAGAGACCTTGACAAAAGAAAGATCTTCATGGTGCCAAATCTAGCGGCGTCACAGCACGCACTTGGCTCAGGCTATGATTGCAGTTGGGCGACCTGAAAAACTGGCAGATTGCCGAAAAGTATTCCCTGTACTACCTGTGAACCATCCATACGCGCATCGCCAATCGTCATCGTTTTGGCACAACTATTGCACCTCGCAATGGCGGCGGACGTTGACCTTTATGCCTTCATGGCACTCCATCCATGGTAGAGATAACCACAACCCCGTGGACTTCTCGATAAGCAGCAAGATCTATAGCTCGATGAGACGACTGATTTCCTTTGGCCTGAGTACGAGTGTCTGGTTTCGCTCCCAACTTGTAAGCACGACTTTGAAGTCGAGTGGTTTGTCCAAGCAAATCCCGCAGCGGGAGAGCAGGCAAGCAATGGCCTTGCAATGATTTTAGAGACGCCCTCCAGATAAGTTATCCTCTCTGGATTCAGACAAGTTGTCAGGCGGTACGTAATCTTCTAGGTAATAGAATAGCCAGGGGTCCAATATGATGTATTGTCGAGTCTGACCTCGATGACTATGAGGCGGTTTTCTATCTATTATATAGCAAAAAGGAGCGTAATTCTTCCTCCGGTTGAGGCCGTCCTCGTTGCCGCATCAACTCCCGGGACGATAACATGTATAGGCCTAGAGAATGAGGCCCTGGAGATTGCCTCAACAGCGAGCGCCTCATCGGATAGAATAGGAAGAGGAATGGGTGCTAAACTGGGGTAGTAAAAGAGCGTCTTGAGGCCTAGGATTAGGCCTCCGTTTGTAAAGACCGTTTTGGCGGATTACTCCGCATGGGAGGCCCTTGGCCGTCTAACGTCAGGAGAATGCTTATTAGACAAAGTTCTTGGTATGTGTAATCATGACCACACTTTCCAGTGACCAGTGACCAGCTTGAGCGTCGGCCAGATCAACAGTCAACTTCGTTAACTTGGGCACGCCAGTCACACACTGGCATTGATTCAAATGTGAGAAGCCCAAGACCACTATCTCCCCCGGAAATACTGTAACATTATCCGACCAGACTAGCAGCCGTGATGCAATGAAAGTCAGATTTCGACAATGGTCTTCCGGAGGGGAACGTTTCCGCTGGGTATAAATTCGCGTGGTCAGTCGAAGAAGACCGCAGGCCGTAAAAGATTGATCATATTCATCGTTGAAAACATATCCCCGAAGAGAATACTACAAAAGCTTCACCCTAGCTAGTCTTAGTTAGCAAAATTACCTGAGGCCCATCCATCAACATTCGAATTGACATCAGCACTAGACTACACACAATGGCAGAAGTACCAAAGTAAGTGTGTCCTGTCCTCGAAGCTGCCCGGGTACGAAATCATCAAAATCTAATGTTGAGTCTTCTATGTACAGGCCAGTGTATACTACGGCTTACAAGTCCCATCCCAGTGAGAAGATGAAGGCAGCTCTCTGGACTGGCACAAGGTCGATCGAACTGGGTGAAGTACCCAAGCCCATGATTACCGCACCCAAGGATGCGATCGTGCACATCACCCACTGCACCATATGTGGCTCGGATCTTGCACATGTACAATGGCGATCTGAACAAGGTGATGGAAAAGGGGTTAATCATGGGCCACGAGGCCATCGGTATCGTCGAGGAAGTCGGACCCGAAGTCAAGGACTTGAAGGTAGGGGATCGTGTCATCATCTTGCCGGTTATCGCCTGTGGGGAGTGTTTTTATTGCGGGCACAAAGAGTTTTCCCTCTGCGACCGGACCAACCCGTCTGGGGAGTTGGAGCAGATGTACGGGCATCGCCTGTCGGGCATCTTTGGCTATTCCAAGATCACGGGAAGATATCCTGGCGACCAGGCCGAGTACTGCCGCGTCCCCAACGCGGACCTCACCTGTGTCAAGGCTCCGGCGAATGTGGACGCCAAAAAACCGGTGTCTCTCGCGGACGTCACACCCACCGCGTGGCACGGCTGTGAGCTGACAGAAGTGGGAGAAGGCGACGTCGTCGGCGTGTGGGGCTGCGGTGCTGTCGGTCTTTCGATCCAGCGTTTGGCGAAGCTGCGCGGAGCCAGCAAGGTCTACGCCGTCGACAAGGACGCGCAACGGCTTGAAATAGCAAGGTCATTCGGCATGATTCCTGTAAATGTGAACGACCACGCCGATCCCGCAGACTATATCCTATCCGTCGAGCCGCACGGCTTGGAGCGTGGTATCGAAGCGAGCGGGTTCAGGAGCACAAACTCGGCCGCCCACGCCACCATGAGAGCACTGGGCATCGAGGGCGACGGCTCTGATACGGCCAGCGCGGTGATCAAGGCCACGCGTAAGGGAGGTAATGTCGCCCTGATTGGCGATTTCTTCTACTCAACCAACAATTTCCCCATTGGAATGTTGATGGAAAAAGCCATCACGCTGCGTGGAGGGCAACTATATGCGGAAAAGGTGAGTGAGATATGTCCAATGCCACAAGTCCCCCCTCTGCTGTCGGGATATGGCAGCACCGAGAAGAAAGATGGAAAGAGAAGAAAAGCACCCACTGCCTTTACAAAAAGCATATGGTACTAATTATTTTCTGTATCTGATCTTTCTAGTATTTCCCATTCCTTCTCGACCTAGTCGTCCAACACAAATATGACCCTTCATTCATCTTTACGCACGAAGGTAAGTCTGAAAAACCGGACTGTAGACCTCACGCCCAACCGCCGTATCTTTTCCATGGCCTACCGTTGACTAAAACCTTCTTCTTCCCCTCCAGACAATTTCGAGGACGTCTCCCAGAGTTACGACATGTTCTTCAACCACAAAGTGCCCGGAGGGATGGAAGTGTGCCTTTCCACTGCTTTTGGTCGGTCACAGACGTAAGGCCACCACTTTACTGAGAGAACAAGAAATATATACTCTATAATTCCCAATGTCCTGCATCTTTGAGAACTGCCGTGCAATTCGACAATTCCAGAACTCACGTCATGAGTCAAACCATATAAGTTACTCATTTACTCTCGAAGACGTCCATCATCCCTATACTTGCTCCAGCTTCTCGTCATACGTTATCCCTGCCAGCGTTCTAGCCTCATCCATCCATCCCAACACCCTCAAACTCTCCTGGGCCCCTATCACACCCGGCTGTTTGTTGAATACCGCCGCCGCGATGATGTCCGCCTGATACCATATCCCCCAGCCGCTGACCGGTTTCTTGACGATCTCATTCTTTTCCGTGCCATCCTCATTCAAGTGAGCATATCCGTACCATTGCACATGCAGCTCCTCCGGCCGAATTGGCGGGAATGGAATGGCCACTGACGCTTCGGTTGCTTCAATCCTAACAGAAGGAGCCGCTTTCTGAGCACCGAGGCGAACGTAGAACGGAGGCTTGCTCGAACCGGGAATGGTCATACTGGTCGTGACGATGGCGGTGGCACCCTTGTCTTTCGTCGTAAGAACCACGGTGTTGATGTCGTCGACGTCGCCAGGCCTCTCGGGAACGCTCCAGGAACTGGAGTGCGCCACTTTTGTCTCTCCGACCTCTACCCCGTTCAGCGCAATATCCGCCCAAGTCAGTGCATAGACTCCCTGGTCTAGGAGAGCACCGCCGCCAGCAGCCTTGTCCAGAAACCGAGATGTATCTTGGAGGTCGGGTCCGACGATGGGGAAAGAGAAATCCGAATACACCCTCCTCACTTTGCCAATCTTCGGCAAGAGCTCCTCCCGGAGGTACCTCGTCGCAGGCAGGTAGCGTGTCCACATGGCTTCCATGAGCACGCACCCCTGCTGGTTCGCAAGTTCGGTGCATTGTCGGTATTGCGCAGCATTCATGGTTGCCGGTTTCTCGACCAAAATGTTTCTTTTACACTCGAGGGCTTTCATCACTTCTTCGTAATGCAACGGGTGAGGCGTCGACACGTAAACGATGTCAAAGTCGCCTTGCTCCAACATGGTCTGCCATGAGTTGTAGACAATGATGTCTTGGGAATTTGGGATCTTGTTGTCCTCGAACCATTTCTGGGCGCGCTCATTTGACCCCGTGGTACTGACCGCCACCAGCTTGTGTTCATATTGTGCATCTTCACGACCGAGCAGATCTGGAAGGAAGACTGAGGCGATGTTGGATAGGGACAGCGCCGCCCACCGGCATGTGGTTTTTGCCTCCATACTCGGCGCACAAATGCAGGGCTTGGAGATGTGGAAAGGGTCCTCTGTTGTGATAGGGAAGAAGATCTATATCACCGGCGTTCAAGACAGAAAGGACAAGGCAGATATGTCACAGGGATGCTGCTAGCTTCTTCCGCCCATTCCACATCGATCATCTCCACCGTTGGACATTTATCTGCAAAACATTGACAATCAGCGTTGAGTGGTGGTGATGGTTTGCTGCTGCCAGCCCACAAAACAACTGCGGCTCAATGACCCGGAGAGCCACCCAAATACTATGAAACGTGGTACGGAGTACTCGCAACCCTCGACTATGGGCTCCCCAGAGAGACAGACTGTTAGGCTCCACTAGCAGATGGGGAACCATTTGTTGGAACGAAACACCGCTCTGGTCCGCGTGCTCTCAATTTCGCCTTTTAGCCGTTTAGCCTGCCCACTGCCCAGATTCTAGACCTGTCGAAACGGTAGATAGAACCAAGTATGCTGGGGATGACATGCCCTCTCGATAATACAAACGCATTATGTGGGAGACCCATGGAGGCCTACAGGTACAAGTAGGAGTTCTAGTCTGCCACGCGAGATCTGGGGGCATAAATCGCCGTGACTAAAACTCAGGCGATTGGCATACCACGAGCCCAGTCCCGCACGGAGGATTCAGCATGGCTTTTCATACGCTCGTAGCGCAAAGATATAGATTGTCTAGTTTGTTTGCTATTCCCTAATTCACCTCGACGGGCGAAACGCCTCTCCTATGAATCATTCAGGACAAAACTGCAGGATGTTTCCAAGAAGTCGCACCACCATCAAGCAGCAAATCCTGACCCGTATACCAACCGCTAGCCTTGGAGGAGCATAGCCACAGCATGGCACCTTTCAATTCTTCCGGCAACCCAATCCTCCCAAACATGGTCTCCTTCTGAAACTGCTCGACCAGACTCGGTTGTTCGGACTGCAAGCTCCTCATCATGTCCGTCATCGTGTAGCCGGGGCTGAGACTGTTAACTCGGATTCCGTAACGGGACAGCTCCATCGCCACCGGTTTCACGAGTCCCTTGATGGCAGCTTTGGACGCCGTGTAGCATGAGATCTGCTGTGCGGTGCTGGCGATGTAGGTGGCGATACTGGCGACGAAGACGACACTTCCGGTCGTCGCGTCCTTTGCAGGTGCGTCGCCGTGTTGCGACTTGTAACGTTCGACCATGGCATTTGCGCAGGCTTGCGCCACGAGGAAGGATCCGTTGACGTTGACCGCAAAGGTCCGCTGGAGGTTTTTGTCAGAGGTGGTCAGGAAGGGTTCATCAGTCACAACGCCGGCGGCGTTGACGTTGATGTCGACGCCACCAAAGTCTTGGACGATCTGCGAGACTGTACGAGTGACCTGGTCGCGGACCGTGATGTCAATGCTATAGTACTTGACTTTGACATTGTGTCTTGACTGCAACCCGAATAATGTCGGTGATGGTTCGGGTAGGATGTCCAACACGGCGATATTGCACCTTGCTGATGCGAGGACTTCGGCGAAGGCGAGACCAAGGCCACGAGCTGCCCCTGATATCACCGCCGTCTGGCCTTCCAAGTTGAACTAGAAAATTGCAATGAACATGAATATTCATGACTCTGGCGAATGCTGCCGGGTGAAGGACATACCTTGTCCATTGTGTTGTCGTCGTCAGACTGTGAGTCCGCTCAAATGTCGTACTCTCTCTCAGAGACGGCCTGGGCGATTGTACCAAGGTGCTTCTTATGAGAGCTGAGGGCGAGGATGAAGGACTAGACTCCCTTTTACAACGCAGCTCAAGAGAGCGCATCTTCATCCCTCCAACGCTTCCATTGCCCACCACATCACCACTATTTTGATCTTCATCTCGTTGGATCTTCGTCTTCCGAACCAATGACTGCGTCAGTAAGTTTCGCCGAGCTGGACCATGTCCGGATTCCTTAGGTACTGAGGAGGAGCAGGAAAAGGATTGGTCAAGCGACAATCCTGGTGGGAAAAACTGTTTAACCATTTAGCCGAATCTTCCTCAGGCACTCGAGACCTATGCGCCGTCACCATCCGAACTTGGTTCATACTGTAGAAGAGAAGACGCCCGAATCAGTCATGGCCAAAATTGTCATTCGGGTCTGATCTTGACCGATGTTTCATGTTGACTCTTGTGTGCGCGATACAATGCAAACCAGAACCCACGGAGGTTTGACAGCTCCAATACGAGTACGAGTACGGCGCCGCTCTGACAGCGAGACGACTTACAGTATTCGCGACTCACACTCTTTCTACCTTCTCATCAACCTAAGATTCACTTCAATCTAACGATGATCAATGAGAGTCTACAATGGCCAGCTGGTCTCATCGATTCGATACACCAGCTTCTCGCCGCTGTATCTGCCCTCCCGCATTTCCTGCAAACCATCGAGCACGCCAATGAGACCTCCAGGGCCAACACGCTCCGGATGTGCTCTGATCTTCCCTTCGTGCCACAGCTTCTCAGCCACCCTATAAAACCGTGCACCAAACTCGAAGTCTTCAGGTTGGGCCTTGTAGTGATCCCCTTCGAATATATACGACTCCCCACTTAGACTGTACCCGAGGAAGAAGATCGACGTGACATCCTTGCGAGGACAATCTATGCCGAGTAAATTGCAGTATATCCCTCCATCTTCACCAAAAGCATCGGCGCAGATCTGAGCAGACATCTCTACCGCAACAGTGTCAAATATCTCCGTGAGCTTCCCACCTGTGGCTTCATGGATTTGTTCCCCGACACCGGGCATATGCTGGGCTCTGTTAATTCACAAGCAATCATTAAGGGATGGGCAGAGGAGTTGACTAACATAGTCTAGGACTAGATCTGCACCGCGATCTTTCACAAGGCCGAAGTTCATCGGCGAACACGTTGTAATTACCTTGAAGCCCGACCTAGGAAGGATCTCACTGTAAGTTTTTCGAGTTCGTTGACAGATTGGCATTTTAAGCCTCGTGGGTAAAACTCACAGTTTTGCAAACTGGATGGCGATCGTTCCAGTTGCCGTGCTGCCACCATATATGAAGATGAACTTGTCCTCACCCCCACTAGCTTCACCAAGAGCAAGATCTGGCCACGGTAGACCTATCACCTTGTACAGACCGTATCCTACTGTACCGACTCCGGAGCCTATCGAGGCGGCGGCTTCAGGATTTACGCCATCGGGGACGAGCATCTGTAAGTCTCCTTTCACGGCGATATAACGAGCGAACGTGCCAGTTTCGAAATTGGCATCATTGCCTAGCCAACCCGGTCAGATGGCTGCGAATTGACGGGACTTGGATCCTATCTGGAGTCTCTCACCACCGTGTCCAGGCCCAGCGATGCGATCGCCCTTCTTGAAGTTCTTTTTGACGGCCTGGCCAACCTCCTCGACGATGCCCATGTAATCACATCCTACAAGCGACCCATTCAGGCCCTTGGCGTCCAATGTGGTCCAATCTGTTGGATTCAATGCCACAGCTATGGTGCGAACCAGGACATAGTCAGGCTGTAGCATTGGCACTGGAATCTGCTTCAGTTCTGCCTTTCCAGTCCCTGTGCGGATGAGGCCGAAATTTTGTACCATTATTGCCATGTCATTCAGAGCGACAATAAATGCTGAGGGATTCCAATTGTGGCCAGTGGCAAGTCAACACATTCGAGAGAAATAATCTGCGCGGACATTCGCAGCCTATATGTCAGAACACCAGTGTACCCTGTTGTTCAGAAGCTTTTATGCGTTAGCCTTCAGCATCTTGATGATATGATCAGCTCCGGCCCTGTAGCCGGATCCGATCAATGGTGGCAAAGCACCCAGAGTGCTTTATAATGCCTAGAGGAGGATATTCTTCTTCGTAACCTGACGCGCACTTGTCAAGGCCCCACCGACGGTGCAAGTGGGCTACGCTTGATCAGAAGTCGCGCTTTCACACCTTGGGTGTCGAAGCATGACCTATCCAGATGGTTCGCAATCTCATCTGACAGTCCGAGATGAGCAGCGGACCACTGTCGTGGTCTATTCATGGATATGAGGCGGATCTCTATCTGTACTACGATTTCTTTACAGCCAATGGCGTCGCTTCATCCACAACCCCATGGATGGCTTGACGCGCTTATCGATAAGGGATAAATAACCTTTATTGCCTCGTATTCAACGACGATTGATGCCCCTCACGGCCTTTAAGACCGACGGTCACTGTCTTCTTCACCTGGCTTCACTCGCGGTTGCTATGCCGAGTACCTGGCAGCATGGTTATCGACCCGTCTAAGAGGAAACGACGCTTTCATGCAAGGTCCAAATCTGGTTGTCTGACGTGTCGGGCGCGAAGGAAGCGCTGCACAGAGGAGAAGCCGGTCTGTTTGGGATGTAGTCGCAATTTTCTCCTCTGTTCCTGGCCTTCTCCACCGAACCCAGCTCTAGAAGATGGCGCGGTTGCAGAAAACGTTGACCCGAGGGGTTTCTCAGACTACGGTGTCTCTGAACAGCTGGATACGAAGCGGCATGGCAAGCAGATCATGCCAGCTAATGATCTCACCCACCACTCAGGATGTTCATACCTCGAGCCAATTCTAGGTGCTGGACCGGGCAACATCTTGCCATGCTTGGAGTCCCTATTTGCAACTTCTTCAACCCACTCCAAAGCACTTGCGTCTCCAAGAGAACAGCGACTTTTCCAACACTTTCATGAATCCACCTCCGGAATGCTCGCAGCTCGGGGGTTTTGCTACAACCCTTTCGTTACATGTCTGCTTCCTCTAGCCATGACCAATGATGGCATCATGCATACAATCCTCGCGATTAGTGCATCCCACTATACCAGCGCTCTCGGGAATGACTCTCTCTACGCTCTCGGGAGGCAGCATTATGCAATCGCCATCAGGTTTGCCAAGCATCAAATCACAAAATTCGCAAGAGGCATGTGTGATCAACCTTTGGTGCTTGCGGCGCTACTCTTGTCCTTGTGTGAATTTGAGGTAATGCCACCCTCCCTCCCAGCGCTTCCGCAGGCCCAGCTAACTCGGCCGATCAAGTGTGTCGATGGTAGCCTTCACGGAGCAGTCCTTCATCACCTGAACGCGGTCACCCAAATCCTTGCGCAAGTGCCACCTTCTTGGTTAAGGAGCTGTGAACCTCTATGTGAATTTATTGCCGAGCTGTACACTTTCTTAACTACGGTGTCGAGAAATTTTGGACTCGCTGCTAGACACACTACTCCCCAACTGCATATCATGCACAAGAAGGTGGGGCTGGAAGGGACCTTTGGTCAGCTCTACGGCTTCATGTTCGGCTGTGCATACGACTTATACATGCTTATCCCCCAGATTCAAACCTTGGCCGTAGAGCGGCATTCCCAGCCGAACGAGGATTTGCACTGTGAGGCTGAGTTCAGGGCTATTGAGACTCAGATCGGACAATGGAAGCCATCCGAGGACATCACGGGGAAGGATGTGTCTGATGCGCTAAAGGTTTCGGGGCTGATGTTACAGCAGGCGCTGTACGTCTATCTGAGCTGTGCAATCCATGGTCCAGGAAAGCCGAACTCTCTCCTTCTCTACGACATTCAACCCAAAATTCAAGCGTTCCTCAACCTCATGTCTCTTCTTCCTCCGGCTTGCTCTGAATGGACAACGATGTCTTGGCCAATGTTGGTCGTTGGATCATGTGTACGCGATCAGGTGCGACGGGAGATCATGCTTGATTGTGCTAATGAGAGGATGCCCAAAATGTTTGGTGCATATGCCCTTATGCGGACTCTGCGTTGGCTCTGGGAGAGCGACGACCCAACTGCGTTCGGTCCATGGGGGATCGAGAAAATCATGACAGAAAGAAATGTCCGGCTGTGCGTTGGATGATAAAGTCGTTGGAGGATAGACGTCTCTCTACGACTCAATATTCAATGCGCGGGCCATGGTACGCATTTCGCGCGTGGAAAAACCAGTTCAACAGCCCAAATATGCACATGATTCCAATCACTACCACCGCATAATCTGCCATATTGAATCTAATCAGCCAATCTCTACTAGACTCAATATTGTCGACAACCAGCAATCCAACTTACTCATATTTGAGGTGGTCACCGGTCTAATAGCTGGAAAAAGGTAAAAGACGGTGGTGATGAGGCTCCACAGAACACAAGCACTGTTTGCCACATAGCCGAGGGCTTTCGGCAGCCTGAAGCTTCTCGCCCGGGGTAGAAGATGCTCTGGGCGTCGCTGGTAAAGCAAGAGCGCCGCAGGAATGCCGAAAGATATCTGCTGAAGAATGTCGCACGTCGCAATGAATGCATTGAATGCTTTCAGCAGCATTCAATCAGCTAAGCCCTTCATACGAAGCGCGTGTTTTGGTCTGGAAATCTTCCATGCCTGCCACGGAATCCGAAGACTTACCTGTGGTGGATGCCATATACAGACAGCCGGTCAAAAGCACAACAGCCGCGTTGAAGAGCAGAGCCTGGACCGGGACATTCAAGTCGGGATGCACCCTTGACAAATAAGTGGACAATATCAGGGCATCGTCTCGTGCCAATGCCCATGTCAGACGAGATGTGGTTTGCTGCATGGCATTGAGTCTGATGGGCATGGCCACCATGAGCGCGGCCATGAATACTGTCGCCGCAGCCTCTGACCTTGTCGCTTGGATCCACAACTCGTATGTCGGAAATCTAAGAATGACACAGCTTGTCAGTCTCTGGACGGCTGTGTTGGATGTTAGTACGTGGGAAAAGATATCACTCACCCTGTCTTTGTTAAGATGATGGTGGCCAAATCATTCAAACTGTATGAGACGGCAATGGCGTACGCAAAGGCCGTAACAAATCCAATCCCCACCACACTCATGACAGCCTTGGGTACTATCCTAGCGGCATCCAAGCACTCCTCTGCCAAATGAAGTGACGCATCGATGCCGACAAACATGTATTGTGGAGTCGATGTGCCGGTGAGGAATGAGATTCCGTCTGACCAGCCCGAGTTGTTCTCGAAGATGGTCCAAACGCTGGAGGAGGATTGTTTGGGGCTTGATATGGCTACACATGTTAGTGTGATGATGACAAAAAATGCCAAAGTCCAAAAGACTTGTCTCGGACAATTGGTTAGCTAACGCAGAGCCATGTTTTGCTTTATACAGGTGGTTGCTCACAGCCTATGTCATAGATCCAGGTGGTCTTCTTGATCAGGTACACGTTGTACAAGAGGACCATGATGTTGATAGCTTGATACAACAAAAAATAGTGCCAGGTCTCTGGGGTGTAATCTTCCGTGAACTGGATGACCACCGCCAGCAGAATCTGCGCCGTGATGAGGTTGACCGAGGCGACGGTCGCGATCCACGAAAAAGCAGCCAGGAGCCCGCAGGCGTACGAGAGCGGCTAGCTGACACTCGACGGAGCCAGGATCGAGGTGAAATGGTACTGACCTCCAGCGGTCGGGTACACGGATGCGAGCTCGGCCAGGGTCGCCCCGTTGGTGAGGAACGTGACCGAGACCAAGATGACGCCGTACAGCAGCGTCACCGTGCCCCCAGGCGCGATGGCGATGGCCAGACTGGTGGCGATGCCGATCCAACTGTTTGTGAGGTCGAAAGACACGACGACGATGCCCAGCATCGACAAGGTCCGTTTCAAGTTTCGGAACTCGTCGATCCCGATGACGCCGAGGTTGTCTTTAGCATCGGCGGCGGCGTCGTCCACTTCTTGCGGGTGGTGGACGACCTTTGTTTCGGTCACCCCTAGGTCATTTTGTGAATTGTTCGACATACTGATGTGAAACAGATCTGAGGTTAGTCAATCAAGGCTGTTTTCTGTGGAAACAATCAAGGGTAAACATATTTCTCTCCGATCCGAGATGGGGATGTCGAAAAGCAAGAAGCTCATGAACAAATCTTTGCGTTGAGAAAAGAGTGCTCATTGCGGTGCTTTAAGTGTTGTTGTGTTGTTACTGTTCCGCTGCTCCTTCTCTCAGAAGATGTACTGTACACACATACATAAGAAACCTATCGAGGTATATTTTCCTGTCAGGGATCAAAGACAATCAGCAGCGCCCTTGCACCGCGTCTAGATGTGGGGACTCCACCCCGGCCGGCCTCGAGCAAGAATTGTCGACTGTCTTTGATTGAAGGCAAGTTGCTATGGAGATCTCCTGACCAAGTCTAACCGCTGGTTCGACATTGAATCTCTTCCCCTCCATTGTGCCGAGAGGAGAGGAAAATGTTCATTGGGGGACATCATTCCGGACTTGTGAGAGATGTCTCTAAGCACTTTTCTCCACATATCTCGACGACGCCCGCCCTTTTTGTTCTTCTCGCAGCCTCCGGTTCGGGTATATCTTGATAGACCATTCGGTTCAGTCTATTCAGGATTTCCTCGTCAACCTAGACCCCATCTCAGTGATGACCGCGTCAGTGAAAGCAACTAGATTTCTGTAAGCCGGCGGCTCTGCTGTGGACGTATACCCGTACAGGCGCTTCTCGACTTCTATATCGCGTCTAGATATTCGCCTTTACCCATATCGGATGGGCTCACAACGATGTTGACGGGCAGACCCCGGAGCCGCAGATAAGCACCGTCGTGATGGATTTGTATATTGGTATCGAAACTTGGACTCGAATAGATACTTGTGATGATAAATCATTATCATGATTCCAGCATTGCTTGATTTTTTTGGGCGGGTCTGAGATGAGGTTTCGGATTGGTTTCCAACGCTTTTCCCGATCATTCCTTCTGGTAAAGAAAAAGCACGACAGCCCCCTTGTTCTCACCAATCGGTATATAAAACTCGTCTTCTCTTGAGTTGAACTTGTTCCAACAGATCCAGAGACGACATACCCTCCCTCCCATAGACCCCCAATTCGTCAATTTCCTTCCAAATTTGAGAGAACAGCGGCCATGATATCATCCATGCCCTCACTCGACGAAGCCACCTCGTACGAGATTCCGGACGTCACCTACCGCAGTCCAAGTGAGTTTCCACCACCGACTGACACCATTTGTTGTCGATGGTTGACGATGACCGGCCCCCTTGGTATGACCGTCGGTATGTACGCTTGGGTTCTGACGTTTTTTCCCCCAGATAATCGGAGGGTCAGAGTGATTGCCATTGGAGCGGGAGTGTCGGGAATCCAGACTGCATATCAAGTTCAAAAGGACTGTGAGAAGTGAGCGATATTTCTTCGTCTCCCAGACCAATGCAAGCATAAAGCTAAGACAGATTTCAAAAAAATCGACAGTGTCGACTTACAAATCTACGAAAAGAACAGTACCGTCGGCGGCACATGGCTGGTGAACAGGTACCCTGGATGCGCCTGCGATGTACCCTCGCATGCATACTCGCTCAACTTTGCCCTCAACGTGAGTGACCTATTGCGGCGGCCATTCGGTCACTTGAAACACGGTTTCGAGTCGTCAGTCACGCGCGGTACTGACAATGGTAATCGTTTTAGCCCGATTGGCCCTTGTTTTTCTCCCGTTGCGAGGATATTCAGGAGTATTTGGAAAAGGTGGTGGACGTCTTCGATCTCCGCAAGTACATGCGCTTCAAGTCCCGAATCACAGGAAGTCATTGGAATGAAGAGACCGGCAAATGGACGGTCAGGATCCTGCAGACCGGCCCTGACGGACAGTCTCGTGAGTTTGAGGACAGCTGCGATGTACTGCTCCAGTGCACTGGTGTTTTGAGTCGGCCCAAGATGCCAAACGTGGAAGGACTCGAAAGGTTCAAGGGCAAGGCAAGTTCAGAAGGGCCAGCGGCCGGACACCACACACACACACACACACACACACACACACACACACACACACACACACACACACACACACACACAACGTCCCCATGGCTAAATTTATTTTGTGTGTCCAGATCATTCACACAGGGGCATGGGACGATTCGTACGGCCAGGAACAGTGGAAAGATGAGTCCGTGGCAGTCATTGGGTCCGGAGCATCCTCAGTCCAAGTGGTACCAAACATGCAGGTTCGTCCCCGTCACTCTTGTTTCGTGTCCTCTCGTGTCGCGTAAGCATCTACTGACCAGTGAACCCCACCATCGTTACAACAGCCTTTTGTCAAGCACATGGACATCTTTGTGAGAACGGCCGTTTGGTTTGTGAAGCTCGCCAACAACTACGGTGACAACCACGCGTATACCGAGGATGAGAAAGCCGGATTCCGGGCCAGCAAGACAGCACTCGCTGCCCACGCGAGTGACATCGAGAACCAGGTCAACGGCGATTGGAACCTCTTCTTTGCAAAAAGCGACGCACAAAAGAAAGCCAAGGAGTTTTTTCAAAAGCGCATGGCCGAGCATATCAAGGACCCCAGACTTCTCCAGGGTTTCACTCCCACGTGGGCGGTGGGTTGCCGACGTGTCACCCCGGGAGATCCATACATGAGAGCCATTCAAGAGCCCAACATCGACGTCCATTTCACGGGAGTCCGTCGCGTCAGTGAATTTGGGGTTATCGGCGAAGACGGCGTGGAGAGGAAAGTCGACACCATCATCTGCGCGACCGGGTACGACGTCTCTTACCATCCACATCATCCGGTGGTCGGACAGAACGGTATCACCCTCGAAGAGCAGTTTGGCGATGCTCCTGAATGCTATCTCGGCATTACGGTGCCGAACTTCCCAAACTATGTCCTGTACGGTGGCCCAACCTGGCCGGCGATGAACGGATCGGCTCTGGGGCCGCTCCTCGCGGTGACCAAATACGCCATCCAAGTCATCAAGAAGCTTCAAGAAGAAAACATCCGGTCCCTGGCTCCGCGACAGGACGTGACCGACGCATTCAACGCTCACGTCCAAGAGTTTGTCAAACGGACCGTGTGGAAGGAAGACTGTCGATCCTGGTACAAGAATGCCGACACAGGGAAAGTGTTTGCAATCTGGCCCGGCAGTAGTCTTCATTACATGCAGACCATCAGGTCTCCGCGCTATGAAGACTATCACATCACCTACCACGCCAAAAACCAGTAAGTCTTGTATTATTTGAGGATTGAGACACCAGCACACGTAGTAGTAATGTGCTTTCAAGTCCAAGACGTGCTGAGCAGAGTAGCTGACTGATTCTGTTTGTTAGATGGGCCCATCTCGGCTTGGGCTTCACCATGGAAGATCGAGACCCAGAAGCGAGCACTGCACCCTATCTCACCGCCGACGCCATCGATGATCGGTGGATGGCACAGTTTCGGGACGAAACCTCCTCCGTCAAGGTCCAGCACAGGTAGGCAGCTTTTGAACAAAGTTACCTGTACAGTCGTGGGCTTAGTCGGATTGGATCCAGAGATAGCCATACGCAGCCGTCAGGGGACTCGACTGGATATGTTGGCCAGATAGGTGACTTTGGAGCGCTAATTGTCAAGTCCTGCAGCAAGGAAGCAGTGTGATATACAATCAATTTACACCCGTCAAGCCTTCAGCGTCAATGTGCTAATTCACAAGTCACACACCAACCCAGGTCTGCTTTCGGCTTTTGTGCTGCATTCTCAGTAGGCTCTTCAAATAAGTCATGTCGGCTTGGTCGTACTCGGCGTGATTGTCGGTTGGGTTACTCAGCACAAGTTGTGCCAAGAACCAGAATTGCAAACAATCCTTCATGAAACCAGGACCTCGCCATCGCTCTTCTGAAAGTTCGGCCGTCTGCTGCTCCGATGGTGACGGCGTCCCGAAGGCTTGTCGAGCATTCTCCAGCGAGCGGAGCGTCCAGACACGATTCCAATTCCGGAGCGAGTATTGAACAGGTTGGCAAGCATGCTGGATTCCGATCGATGAACGGACATGGAAGATGACGGAATGGATCGCTAACGATGTGCCAGATTGCCGTTAGAACAACGATTCGCTCACCGATAGTATCAGAAGATCCACCTACACATGATCAAGATCCCCAGATTCACATCCCCGAGTTGGGCGAAGAACTGCATCGTCTCCGAGTCCAATTCCCGACTACTGATGACGTTCAATGCCTCTGCGGTCGAGATGCGTCGACCTCTCCGCCAGAGAGGATGCGACATCCACGTTCTCAGGTGGTTGAAGCAGTCCGCCTTCGTCGTTGCCCGGAAGCAGGCTTCGGGGCAAACTAGATCAGCGCGTAACTCGGAGGGAAGGACCCGGGGAGGCATATTGTTCATCATCGTGAAACCAGTGTCGAGAACAATAATGTAATTTAGAGTCCTGGGTGGTATAAAGTCAGCACAGGTTGAAATTTGTATGTGAGGACAGCTGTAACCGTATGAGCTCTTCTTTCAACGCGAAATCCTCCCAGTCAAAATCACCCTCGGCGAGAGATGACAAGTCAACATGCATGGCTTTGGCGAAACCCAATTCTCGAGCCATCTGTGGGACTTGTTAGTCGCCGTCTTGCCTGAACATTAGGTAAAACTCCTACTGCCACCACCTGCCCATACCGATGCCTCCTCACTCGCCGTTTCCCTCTGTCGTCCCCTTCCCAGTATTGGCAAAGACAAATCGCATGGGCTGCTTGAAGTGCCCTTAGTCGCCTGTTGATACAGACCGCATTCAACACCGAGTAGGATGAGGAGTCGCCAAAGTACTCGTCACCAAAAATCATCTCCTCCACCGGGTCACAAAAGAGCTTTGCGCAGCGGCGGTCTTCTGGGTCGACGGAGTAACTGGCCCCGATCAGTGCCATCGCAGCGACGAGCGTGTACGGAACGTTCGGGTGGACGAACGTTGGTCTGTGGATTACCGGCCAGTGTGTATACCACGTTGACCAGTAGAGCTCTATGAAGCGATGGAGATTGCGAGCGCTGAAGAAATCACGGGCACGCTTCGTCAATGCCACGCTTGGTCTCAAGCGGATTGGACTGTTTGGAGCTTTGTTTGAAATCGTAGAGATGAGTCTTAGTACAATCTCATTCGCGACCTTGAACAATGGATCGTAAGCAGTTGCATGCTCGGTATCGTCGCCACTCCATGGTTCTTTTGTTGTCGTGGTCGGAGATGTGGGATCTGCCATTGGCCGTGCATTCACATGCTGGCTTGAGAATTCAGTAGAGTTCGTCAACATTGTTTCCATCCAATCCTTGCATGGAAAGTCATCTGGCATGTCAAGGATGAAATTTGGAAATTCATTGGTTGGACCACCAGTACTTTGCAGATTCTCGCTCTCCCAAAGTGTAAAGGGTTCTGAGCGCTGGTCTGACTGTAAGTAAAGGTCGGGATCGAACGTGCCGGCGAACCCGCTTGTCGATATAAGTCGAACAAAGAAGGGAAGCGAATCATGAATATCTTGGCTTTGGAGTCTTTTCAAAGACTCTCGTTCAAGCTGTGATATGAATGATTGTGTGCTCCCGATGTTCCATTGAGGCACGGTGGAGCCGTCCCTTGTAGAGGTGGATTTCCGGCGATGGTCAACACTTGTGTTCGAAGGGGTCGTCTCGGTGATGAGGTCGTTGAGCTCTGGAATAACTTGACAAATTTCGACGTGCCTCAGATGGATATCCCTTTGCGTGTCCGTTAGCTAGCGAATGCTTGACACCGAACTAGACGTCACGGTAGCGACGTGCCTTCTCTTAAAGCTCTTGCCACATTTGGAACATTCGAAAGGTCTATGACTGGTATCTGGTACCACCCCATGTCAGCAGCTCAGCTTCTGGGTTGGTCCGGGATATCTCAGTGGTAGCAGGCAAAACAAGGGATACCAAGATCAACAGCACTGCTTACGCGTTATCATATGACGACGTAAATGTTCTCTTCGGCTGAAAGTCTTTGAACAAACCGAGCAACTAGGAGCGTGCATGGTTTCGGTTGTGGGGATCATTGAGGTCGACGGGGGCCGAGGCAGAATACCGCGCGAATTCTGGTTAATGGCCACAAGGGCTAGCTTGGACACTGCAGATTGTGTTTAGGAAGCAAGAAACATACTGTAGTTAAACCGAATCCTGAAGAGATTATGTGATATGAGACTGAATCCAACGACAATGGATTAGTGATAGCCTCATCAACACTAAGTAAACTTGGTTAGTCTGTACATTCTAAGCCAATCAGAAATGCTTAGTCTGACCTGCCTCGGCCTCACACCAAATAAATACTTCCTCCTCCCCCGCCCCCGCCCCCGGGGGGTTCACACTTCTCCAGATATCAAGGGGCTTGAAGCCGAGTATCTCGTCCCCAGACCCCAGAGGTTTTGCTGTTGTGTCAATGAAAATGGCTTTAAATAGCCTGGGGTGGCCAGGAATGTTCAGAATGCTCTCTGTAAAACACCGTGCAAAGTAAATACCTTCTTGCCAATTCAAAGGCCCCCCATTCCCAATGTCGTCCGAGGAATACCCTGTCCGCAATGTCGGCATCTATCACAATCTACCGCAATTCGACCCTCAGCTTTCGGGGCTAACAGCTTTGATCACGGGTGCCAATGGTATCTCTGGTTTCAACACCCTAAGAGCGCTTCTGAGTTCGCCTCAACGTTGGTCAAAGATATACACATTGTCGAGACGTCCCATTTCGGCAGACATGTTGAGTCTGCTGCCCTTGGACGTCCGCAGTCGTGTTCACCACATTGGGTGTGATCTGCAATCAGACCCGAAAGAGATTGCGGCCATCCTGAACGCAGCTGTAGACAAGGTCCAGTACATCTTCTACTACGCGTATCTTCAGCCGAAGGTGGAGGATGGGAACCTCTTGTGGTCCAATGATCAGCAATTGGTGGACGTCAATGTTGCTATGCTCTCAAACTTTCTCCAAGCTTTAGGGAATACCAACATAAAACCCAAACGGTTTCTCCTTCAGACTGGGGCCAAAAACTATGGCAGTCACATTGGACGAGCTCGGACTCCAAACGTCGAATCCGATCCTCAACCTCGCCATCTGGCACCCAACTTCTATTACCCACAAGAAGATCTTGTCTTCAAGTACTGTGCCTCGAATAACGTGGAGTGGAACATCATTCGTCCCCCATTTATCATTGGAACATCCTCAACGGCTCAAATGAATGGACTATACGCGTTCGCGGTGTTCGCTGCCGTTGCTGCTGAGCGTGGAACTGCATTGGCATTCTCTGGCACCTGGGAACTTTGGCAGCAATACTGCGCACAACATGGGAGTGCAATGCTGACTGGCTACCTCAGCGAATGGGTCATACTCGAGGACAAGTGTCGAAATGAAGCATTCAACAGCCAGGACACCAGCCCAATCTCCTGGGATCGCATTTTTCACGAGCTTGTCAGATGGTTCGGGGTCCAGAAAGGAGTGCAGCCGCCCAGCGAAGATGACTCTGGTTGGGCAGAGTTCAAGATTGGAGGAGGCAAAGATGCACCCATGGGGTAAATCCCAAACACCACTTACCTTTCTTCAAAGATATTACTGACCGAGGTTTATATAGGTATGGTCCTCCTCAATCGACTAAACTTGCATTTTCGATGGTGGAATGGGCCAAAGACCCCGAGAACCACAAGGCATGGAAAGACATAATGCAGAGGGAAAACTTGACATTCGATCCGTTTTTGGACATCGAAGCTAATTTCCTGATTGGAGATATGTTGTTCGTCGTTTTTGGGCCACTCTCGATGAACAAAGTCAGTGAAGCATATACCAAACTCACAGTTCAGGCTACTAACACTCTGACTATAGGCACGTCGACTTGGATGGACAGGTTTTGTGGACACCATGGAGAGTATCTTCGAGATGAATCAAGAGCTGAATGCGCTCGGAATGCTGCCGAAGATGAAGGTGCAGGCACCGCTCCCGCTTGTTTGAAACTTGCACCGTGTCTAAGCTTCTGAATGAGTGGCACTTGAGGCATCCGTTAGTTGAATTATGTATACCAACCAGTACTCAGTAAAATGTAATAAATGCCCAACAATTGCTCGTCTGAGTACAAAAGCTAGTAAGGAGTGGTTCGTGGTGATAGTATCGATTACAGGGGCCAATTCTTGGCAAGTCACGAGTGGCTATTAATCACCCTGCCAACCAGCCTTGTCAACACCGAAACCCTCTCCCTGTTCTGACTGCGTCTATCCTGCCTGCAGAATTTGATTAGCATCAAACAAGATGGCGGTCGACAAGAAAGATAAATCACAGCTTCATAAAGTAGCCTTGCGAGGTATGTTGAATGATGTTGAATGCCAATGATTGTGTAACATGTGCTGATCGAGTTGCCAGGCTCCTCGAAGTTGGTAGCCGAATTTTTTGAATACTCCATCAATACGATTCTGTGAGTCTGGAAAACGGCAAGAAAATCTGAAGTTGGCGGTAAAGGCTGACTTTTGGAAGGTTTCAAAGAGGCGTGTATCCTGCTGAGGATTTTACACCGTGAGTGAGAAAGCGCACCCAAGCGCAAGGCAAAAGCTAAGAGATACAGTGTCAAGAAATATGGACTTAATATGCTCGGTAGGACGATAGTTCCAATCGCACGCGAAAGGCTAACCGTTGCAAGTCTCCTCGGATGATCAAGTCAAGGCGTACATCAAGAAAATCATGTCGCAGCTGAACAAGTGGATGGTGGGCGGCAAGATTTCCAAACTAGTGGTGGTTATCACCAGCAAAGAGACTGGAGAACACGTTGAGCGGTGGCAATTCGATGTTCAGATCATGAGCAAGTCGTCAAACCACCGGGCGTCCAAGAAAGCTCGAGATAAGGAGAACGCAGCCCCAGAGTAGGATAATCAAGCACACGCGTCAGAATAGAACTGACAAATGCAGGGACGCAACACCTGTTGAGGCCGAACCTGAGAAGACGGAGGCGCAGATTCAAGAAGAAATACAGGCTATTTTCCGACAGATCACGGCGTCAGTCACATTCTTGCCTGTACTCGACGGCAACTGCACTTTCAATGTTCTTGTATACGCAGACGCAGATTCTGACGTGCCTATCGAATGGGGTGACAGTGATGCTAAAGAAATTAAGAACGGCGAGAAGGTGCAGCTACGAAGTTTCAGCACCAGCAATCACAAAGTTGATACCATGGTTAGCTATCGTTTGGCAGATTGATGGATCTATGCCACAACAGCCTGAAGGAGCGAGGCGTTTCGGGGTTCACAACAGGGATCGATGGTTGGATGGATGTCAGCGGTATCTCTTGCTGCTTCGAGGTTAGCAATGATAATGACTCTCATGACAGATGTTCATCTATAGCTAGTGCTATGATATTTTAGGATAAGAAAAGACTTATGCCTGTAGAATGCCAGTATGTATGGTCTCCTGTTAAAGTCCAAGTAGCCTGGTTCAAATACGAGTACGGACAAGGCTGTGTGCCTATCATACAGCCTTGTCGGTAGGCGGGGCTTGTGTGCGAAATTTGGAGAAAGATTTTGGAATCCGCTGGTCGCCCACCTAAAGAATCTCTAGACTGTATCGCCGCAACAAAATTGACGTCGAATGCCTATTGATGCCTGCGACACAGTCACATTTAATTTCCTGCCTCATCATGCGATAGTCCTCTCCGATTCGACGACAAAAGAAACCTGACCTAGAAGAAACCGATGCGTCGCCTTCGCGTGTCCACATTCCAGGCGTTGCGGTGACAACTAAGGCAAGATGCCTGTGGCTACAGAAGTCTCAAACCAGTGGCCGGGCAAAGAGCAGGTCATTAACGATGCTCCAAAAGTGATTAAAGAATTACATTTCGGCGTTTTGTATGGAGTCTTGGGGGAGCGCATCAAAAAACATGCTCTGACAATTCCACAGATCTGATCAAGACATCATTAATCAGTCTCAAGTCGAACTCGCCGACCGCCGACTGTTCGATCTCGACAAAGGTCGCACCTACGCTGAATATGGACCTCTGGATAGGCGCATGGGCGTCTCCGGAAAGCGAGATACTTGCGCAACTTGCGGTGAACAATTACAGACCTGCAATGGTCATTTTGGTCACGTTCGTCTAGTTCTTCCGGCATTTCATGTGGGATACTTCAAAAAAATCATTCAAATATTGCAGAGCATTTGCAAGGCATGCACTTTGGCCTCCGAGGCTCTGGATCAAAACACTAACTTTGTCAGGACTGTTCCTGCATCCTCCTGTCAGAAACCGACCGCCGGAAATTCATAAGTGCACTCCGCAGAGCACAGCACGACAGTCTCAGACAGGCTGCGATCGTACGAAGAGTTGCAGACCAATGCCGGAAGACAAAAACATGTTTTGAGTGCGGTGCGATCAATGGTCTTGTCAGGAAAGCTGGGACATATTCCTTGAAAATTTCTCATGATCGTTTCAAATCTTACAATTCTTCTACGGCACAAAAGAAAGTTCCTCCGCCTGAAAAGGTCGAGTTCGACCAATCATTCAACCATGCAAAGCAGTCAAATTCGGAGCTTGACAAACACCTCAAGAAGGCTATGGACGATTTAAACCCTCTACGAACTCTCAAGTTGTTTAGACGCATACGACAGGCTGACCGAGAATTGCTAGGACTGCGCTCAGCCAAACCGGAGTCATTCTTATGGCTGTACATTCCAGCGCCACCGGTGTGTATCCGGCCATCGGTCGGACAGGAAGGAGCCAGCACAGAGGACGATATCACTGCGAAGTTGGGTGACATTGTCGCTGCAAACACCGCTCTGAGAGAAGCTATCGAGAAAGGCGCCCCTGTTCAGTCTGTTATCGAGCATTGGGATTACCTCTCCCTTCAACTGGCCATGTACATTAATAGTGACGTGCCAGGCCTTGCAAAGGGGGAGTTCGGAAAACAGATCAGAGGCTTTGTTCAGCGCCTCAAAGGCAAACAGGGCCGCTTCCGAGGTAACCTATCCGGCAAACGGGTTGACTTTTCTGGTCGTACGGTCATCTCTCCCGATCCGAACCTAAGCATCGATGAAGTCGCTGTACCTATTCTGGTCGCCAAGAACATGACATATCCAGAAGTTGTCAATGAGATCAACATCGAAAAGCTGCGAAAGAGAATCCGAAACGGTCCCAGTGTTTGGCCTGGAGCAAACTACGTTTGGAAAAAAGAAGGAGATTTCCGGATCTTCTTAAGATACGGCAAACCACACGTTGTTGCGAAGGAACTCAAAGAAGGGGACATTGTCGAGCGCCACTTGGAAGATGGAGACATCGTCCTGTTCAATCGTCAGCCATCCTTGCACAAGCTCAGTATTCTCAGTCACTTCGTCAAAGTTCGACCTCACCGTACCTTCAGACTCAATGAATGTGTATGCAACCCCTACAATGCTGATTTCGACGGAGACGAGATGAACTTGCATGTGCCTCAGACCGAGGAAGCACGAACAGAAGCGACACTTTTGATGGGCGTCAAGCACAACATTGTCACTCCAAAAAATGGTGAGCCCATCATCTCGGCCATCCAGGATTTTATCACTGCTTCTTTTCTTCTCAGCTCTCTCGATCAATTCTTTGATAGAAAGACGTTTGTTACGATTTGCATGGGGATGCTGGAACCTGACACAAAATTCGAACTTCCTCCACCAGCTGTAATAAAACCGGAAACCCTTTGGACGGGTAAACAAGTCTTCAGCACCATGATGAGACCGAACAAACAGTCACCTGTGACAATCAATCTCGATGCTTCCTGTCGAGATCACAACCAGTACCATCCAGGACTACATCGGGATCTACAAGATGACAGTTTTCTATGTATTCGCAACTCTGAAGTTCTCTGCGGCAGAATGGACAAGGCGACTGTTGGCTCTGGTAAGAAGAATTCGGTTTTTTACATTCTCTACCGTGACTTTGGTCCAGACGCAGCTGCACAAGGAATGAATCGATTGTCAAAGCTCTGTGCGAGATGGTTGGGCAACCAGGGATTCACCGTTGGCATTAGTGATGTCACTCCACCTTCGTTGCTGGTTAAAGAGAAGGCGGACATGATTGCAAAAGTTTTTGAAGAATGCCTTGAATTCGTCAAGACATCCAAGGCCGGAAAGTTGAAGAGAAAGCCTGGTCTCGACGATGCAGGTTCACTCGAGGCTGAACAAATCAGAGTACTGAGTACTGTTCGTACAAATATTGCAGGGCGCTTGACATCTCAACTCAGCAAGAGAAACACTCCCATGGTCATGGCCATTTCGGGTTCCAAGGGTTCGAACATTAACGTCACACAGATGGCTGCGCTTCTTGGACAGCAGGATATCGAAGGCAAACGTGTGGGCGATGGCTTCCAAGACCGGACGTTGCCGCACTTTGCCAAACATGAGCGATCGCCACCATCGAAAGGATTTGTATCGAATAGCTTCTTCAGCGGGCTACTCCCTTATGAATTTCTGTTCCATGCAGTTGGTGGTAGAGTCGGTTTAGTCGATACCGCTGTCAAGACTGCAGAGACTGGTTACATGTCACGTCGGCTGATGAAGTCCCTTGAAGATCTCTCTACACAATATGATCGGACGGTACGGAACTCGGCATCTAATATTGTTCAGTTCCGCTTTGGTGACGATGAGTTGGATCCAGTCGACATGGAGGCCAGTGCAAAGCCTGTGGACTTTGAACGCACGTTCGCTCATGTCGAAGCCACTACCTTCGATATGAACGACCCTGGTCTCAGTGATACCGAGATCTTTACGATCATGGAAGAAATTCTCGCACCAAACCGTGCTCTTCTCACCCGTGTTGATCTCGACGGTAAAGAGCTCCCGTATGATAACGACGACGACAGGTTCGTTGATCAGCACGAAAGTCACCGTGCATTTTTACAATCTATCCACGATTTCGTCATGGCTAAGATCCGGTCGGTCGAGGATGCGAAAGTACAAAAGAAATCATTTGCTCTTCCACCACCAACAGCTTCCAATTCGAGCAAGCGCAAGGTCGACACTGATGCCGACGACGTCGAAATCGACTCTGTGGCAAACTCAACTAGACGCTCTAGCCGCAAGGGAGCCTCCGTTGCACCACCCGTGTCACCAAAGGCCGTCAAAAAGCAGAAGAAGTCCGAGTCGAATGATCAATCCGTCGCTCGAGTCCAAGCAGCACCGTCCACAAAGGACCGCTTCGAGATGACCTCGAAGGTCTCCGAGAAGACTCTCAAAGCATTTATCAACCTCTGCCTGGAGAAATATGAACGTGCTCGTGTTGAGCCAGGTCATGCCGTCGGCGCCGTCGGTGCACAGTCCATTGGTGAGCCAGGCACACAAATGACACTGAAAACTTTCCACTTTGCTGGTGTTGCAGGAATGTCGCTCACGGCTGGTGTACCTCGTATCAAAGAGATCATCAACGCATCGAAGGAAATCAGCACACCCGTGATCACGTGTCGCCTTGAGCGTCGTCGAGATTTGTCCATTCCAGAATCACTTGGGCGTATTGTGAAAGGTCGCATCGAGTGTCTCTACCTCGAAGACGTGGCAGAGAATATTGAAATCTCACTTCCGATGATACACACCATCAACATTGCTCTCAAGATCAGCCTTGATACGATTACCGAACTTGGTCTCGATTTAACCATCCAGGATATCTGCCTTGCAATCCAGCGCCATCGACAGCTCAAAGCCGCAAAACTGCGCATCCGAGTCAAATCTCCAAGTGAAGCCATGATCGAGACTGAAAGTGCCATCAAGTCGGCTAAGCGCGGTAATGCCGCCAAGATCGACGAAGAAGGGCAAACTGAGAAACTCCTACGACTACGAGCCCTCCGCAGAATATTGCCGAGTGTGCACGTGCTCGGCCACCCGCTGGCGACGAGAGCGGTCGTGATGGCTGAAGATGACCCCCGAAGCGATGAGATCAAGGCACTCAGTGCCAAGTCTGCCCGCATCAAGGCGGAGGCCCAGCAACGCAAGCTGGCACAATCCCAGGTCAAAGACGAGGAAGGTACAACAGCTTCGGCTTCACCTGAATCCAGGGTCAAGAATGAAGAAGCGGTTCCGTCGAACCCGGCCCAAGCTCCGACCAAAGACGACGGAAAGCCCGTTCAAATGCACAAAGTCATGGTGGAAGGATATGGATTGCGCTATTGCATGAACACCGAGGGTGTCGACGCGTACCACACGCAGACCAACAGTGTCGTCGAGACACTCCAAGTCCTCGGGATCGAGGCTGCCCGCGCCAAGATCATCCTCGAGATCCAGGAGGTCATGAAGTCTCTTTCCATCGACCCTCGACACATGGCCCTGCTCGCCGACGTGATGACCTACAAGGGTGAGGTTTTAGGAATCACCCGATTCGGCCTGGCCAAGATGCGGGATAGTGTGCTGCAACTGGCCAGTTTCGAGAAAACAGCGGACCACGTCTTTGACGCGGGCATCGCGGGCAAGATCGACAAGATCGAGGGTGTGAGTGAGAGTGTCATTGTGGGGAAGACGATGAACGTCGGCACCGGAAGTGTCGAGGTCGTGAGGTACCTCAATGTCGATTTGGAAGGCAAGGACAAGGGCAAGAAGCCGGCCGTTTTTGAAGATGCGTGGAACAAGGCGGTCAAGGTTGGAAGGAAGAAGACGGCAACATGAGAGCCGTTGGTTGTTCATTGGACGCCTGTAAGAGACGCTGGCTCCATGGATAAATGTATCATGAGCATCTGAGACGATGAATTATTGCGATTTACAGGATAGGCATCTTCTATGCTAGAGGTCCATAATTGATACACCTTGAGCGATGAGGTTAGACGACCGTAGAAATCAAGTGTATATTACCGAGAACTGGTTTTGTATGTCAATAGATCCTAGAGGAGTCGTTTTATGCGAAACGAAGACGTCAAGGTGAAACGGAAGAAGCGCAGACTTGTTCTTCAAAGACCTGGTTGAAGAAAGATGAAATCTCCTTTTACAACTTTGTGATTGATTCAATATGTACAGACTTCGAGGTCGGTAGCCCGATAACTAAGGTAACTCCTGGCCGTCTCATTTGGTTTGGTATTGTATTGTTAAAACAGACCAGCACAAGCACCACTTCTCTCTCCCCCCTCCTCAACAAACCACCATCACGACCGTTGGGTGCGACACGGTTATTTGAAACCGGCCTCTCTCGCTCTCTCGTCTTCCAGTTTGGCGTAAAAGTTGTCTCGGGCTCGGACGCGGGGCAGGTGGTAGCCTTGGGGATCTGTCAGTATTTTTGCGTTTTCAACCCTTTGTAGCACACATTATAGCTTTTTCTAGAAGCTAGGAGCATCCTCTTCCGGGGCCGGCAAGAGGTATACTGCCATGTGTACGTGTTTTGGTTTTGTTACTTACCGTACCACCATAGATAACCAAACGTCGTTCCTAGACCTGAAATACCGCAAACTTGTCAGCTTCAAATTCTCTTTCTCTCTCTCTGTGTGTGTGTGGCTCTCTCTCCTCTTCCGCAAGGTCCCGCCAGTTCCTCGAATCGAAGTATGGGCTGTCGTTTGTGTTTGTTGTCTTCGCACTTTCGCTGGCGCACCATATCCTTGTTCCATTCTCTTCTTCGGGTTCTTTTTCGTCGTCGAGACACATAGTAGGGAGCAGGTCACAAGGTTCGCTTACCCATCGCAATACTCAGGTCCAAGACGAGACCTCGTCGGAGCATCTGGAAAGGAAGAAAACAACATTGTCAGTCAACATGCTTCGGTTTGGCAGAGGAGGAGGGTTGCCCCCAAAAATGTGCTCAGTTGAGCAAGTAAACTGGGCTTGGTTGCAGGTTGACATACTCCTGTGATTGGTTTAATCGCCATTTTTTGTGGTTGGTGAAAGCTCTCTCTCCGAGCTTCCTGTACTGGGTATTGTAGCTTTTGTAGATCGTTGCGAGGGGACCGACCGATACAGCAAACACACACACGCAGTGGGTGGAGGTCGGGAGCAGGTGTGTGCAGGGAGTACAGTTTCGGAGGGGAAAGGTGAATGAAGGTCGTTTGCAACAAGTGAAGCTCTCCTCGAAGATCCGCAGGTTGAAGTTAGAAAGCAGCTGGTCTTGGCACTTTCCCTATTGTCCGTGCTCGGATCAGTCCACTTTCTCGTAACTGACCGAACCACCCTGCACCACTAAGGGACCGTTCGTTACTCGTACAGGGTAATAATTCAGTTATCCGTATCCAAGGTCGCAAATACGGGACATCAAACATTTGGAACGTTGTCGACATCGTCCTGTAACAACGGTCGCAACACACCCATCCATCCCTCTCTCCTCAAGTTCGGTCCTTTAGGAAACAGATGTCGACGACCACCTCAGCCACACGAAAACAACCATACCATCATCACCATGTCATGCGACACAAGGCTCAGTCCATTCCCACGCGGGAGCCGGCACTCATCGAACAGGAGGTCGTAGACAAGTTGCTCGTGGACTGCGTCAAGACGATATGCGAGGGCGAGGCGTTGAAACAAAACATAACAGATCCTTATATCCAGTCGGTCGCGCTGGAGTCATTAACCGCGGCCACTGAAGAATGTATATTGTCTTTTAACTGTGACGTTGTTCTAAATTGCTAATGATGATAAAGTCATACTCAAAGTACTTTCTATGGTTCGTCGGTCAATGCTAGCAGCACGTCGAACTGTTCCAATTGCGACTGATTTCGAGACCGCAATCGAAGTACTTGAGATCTCTAGACCCGACGACCAACTCAAGCCCTACGCATCACAGCCACAGTGTAATCCTCCTTTATACCCGACTCCTCCCGAAGACTCCTTTCACAATGTCATCGAACTCCCTTCATCATTCCTTGGCCCCGAACTCGATGGACAGGGCGAGCTGAAGAAGTTCACCTTCAACACCAAAGGCGTTCCCAAGCTGCCATCGGCGCATACCTTCCGAGACACACCTGTACTTCCTCATCGGGAGGTTGATACCAGGAAGATCCGTGAATTGGCGACACAAGAAGGAAAGCTGGGTGAACAGGCGCTCCGCAAGTTGGCTGGCGCAGTCAAGTTGGATGCGACACATTCGATTGACCGGTCCTCGAGACCCAGGTTCACACTGGGCCCTCGCAAACGTGCGAAGAACACTGTTAATATAGCCGAGCCGGCGATATTCGAAGAAACGCTGCGTACCCTTCTTTCTAAAGAACGCGAAGGTTTCGAGCTGGGCCCCATTGTATCCAGCGAAAAAGCCTATCGGATGCCGGATGATGTTCAGGTCAAGAGGAAGCAAGCCGCAAACAGCACGACTGATGCTGAACGGAAAGGCTCTTGAGTGAGGGATTGTAGAAAGAAGAACAGGGCTTCACTGAGCTCGTGACTAGTCATTACATAGCGTCGGCGTTGATGGATTTGGAAAAGAGGATTGGAGATATTGCATATGATACCCCGGGGGACCCAGGCGAGGCTCATTTTGGTGACCAGAAATACGTAGCATATCTCGCGATAGCGTTTGTAGTCGACTCATCATCGGCTTTGTTGCTCATACCTGCTGTCGGTCGTGAATTTGGGGGTTGTTTCCATGCATGTTCACCTTCCCACGCCGTTGTTTCGACGTGGAATACTTTGCCGTTCTTTTCGCACCTGTACAGCAGTACCTAGTTAGAAGACTGTCGTATTTGCGTGAAATGTGTGAGGACACATACTTTCTAAACAGTCGGACAAAAGGGTGGCATTCCATCCCAATGTCTGCGTGAGGGTTCGCAATGAGCCTCTCAGTCTGTTCTTCGGGCGTGGTGCAACTGTACTGAACCAGCTCGAGTAACGTGCAATCACGCTTCAGGTCGAAATCTCCCAATTTCCTACTCTTTTCCTTGAAGTCGACGGTGTGGTATTGTACTCGCTGTTCGAGGGCGCCGACCGGGAAAGGGTGTTGAGGCGGAGCCATATCTTTGACTCGTTTTTTGGGGCGGATGCCTATATATTTTCGCCTTTATTAAAAGTTCTTGTATCCGTCGTACAGAACTTTTGTCGTCTGTAACCTTCCTTCCGACGCACTCTGCAAAAGAACTTATTGAGAGAATGGCGCGAGCATGTCGGCGGAACAATATGGCGCCAGACTTCTCGAGGATGTGCAAGAGGAGTGTCTAGAACAGGTGAGTGAGTTGAGTCCGGACATTGTTTAGTTTGGTGGTGCACTTTCATTTTGGCTGCCCCCACCGAGTCGCCTACCATTGCCCCCTTCTTACGACGAAAGTTGAACGAGAGTGTACTCGGTACACTGTACGAGAGAAGTATCTAACGGATGATATCTTTTGAGGTCTTGTCAGTTTCTTGCAGAGGTCAGACTCAGATCATCACGCTCACATCTACATCCACGTACTCGCACAAGAAATGTCACCACCACATTCGATCGGCTCGAAGCCTTGTTGGATCCATGGACTATTGTACGACCAGAACCTTCGTCAACTCGACACACAGGATTAGAATCGCCATCTTTTGTTACCACAGCACAAAGTCCGATCACTCGTGTTGACCTGGTCGGTGAGGGCGAAGGCTATGAAGATGTCACAAGTGGTCGCAATGACTACAACCGACGTCCTCCACCACATCGCGGTCTCTCCTCATCAACGGCAACGACGGTCGAGATAACGTCGGGCAAATCCTGTCGCGGCAAGACTACACTCCTCTATTACCTTTCCGCATTGACGGCACTACCCAAAACCCATGGAGGTCGAGGTTCGGTGGTGGTTTACATCGACTCCGACGGTGCCTTTTCATCGACTCGTCTCCACCGAGTGATGCGGCACTGTCTAAGCCCATCTACACTGCACGCGCGAGAAGACACGTCGGTACGACCACTCGACTCTGATGATGAATCCCTCGAGAGTCTAGCTCGCGAAGCTTTGAATCACGTTCTCGTCTTTCGTCCTCAGTCTTCCTCGCACCTCCTTTCGATCCTCGACTCCCTGCCGACCGTACTGCTCGATCGGACCAAACATTCCAGTATCCATCGCACGTTGGGCCTTTTGGTCGTCGACTCGGCCACTTCCTTCTACTGGCAAGACAGACTGGACAGGGACATGGCCCGTCTTATTCAGTCCAAATCTCCAGGGTCTACACTCGACGTCGTACCCGAGACACGCGAAACTTTTTCTAGAACCACCCGGATCATCCAACGTTTGAAGAGTCTACAAGAGAGGTTCGAATGCGCCGTCATATTCAGTACGAATTCTTCTTCTTCGTCGTCGTCGTCGAAAGCGAGTGCCACTGCTCAAGTCCAGTCAAATCTACAACCACCGCCACCGCCGAATGAAAACAACAACACACCATCAAGGTCTCCTTGGACGAACTACGCCAGACTGACACTACACTTGGAAAAGACTCTGGTCCCACAGTTTGCCCCTCACATGTCGATGGACGAATGTCTGCGGGACGCCGAGAAAAGGTTCGAAGCCGTGAAGGATTCGAAAATAACTGCCACCGTCACCACCAACAAACGTCACCACCATCTCGATCGAGGGGGTGAAGAACAAAGGAGGAGGCAAGATCTTGGTTTTGCTTTCAAAGTCAACGATGGCGGCATCGAGTTTTGAAACGACACGCGAAGATTCTTGATCCTTTTCACAAATCCCAAGAATATACTTCTTCGGCAGCTCCTCAATGATGGGATCACCTCCCCCACGGTGAGAAACCATGAGAAACCAAGGTTCCACGAATTCACTTCGGCATAAAAAGATGTAAAGACTGGATGACGGCAATATTGAGGTGCACAATCACGAGTGACGAAATGCTCAAGGGATCCCAAGAGGAGCCTTTAAACATTAAAGTAGAGCTTTGCTATTCCTTCATTCATTCCTAAAGACTTGCTAGGATGCAATAACCTATCCTATGTACATTTGTTGTAATTTTATATATGTATAAATATATCTAATCTTGGCCTCATCTGATCATTATGATACGCTTCTTTACCTACCTTAGGTAGGCTAGAAACGTGAATTACCTGCGTCAGGAAACAAGCCATGCCGCCACACCAGACTTCCAAAAACGCCAGGACAGGAAAGTCTACTCCTACCCCCAAATCTTCTTTCGCTCAGTGATCAAGACCACGCCCTTCAGCGATGTCCTTGACACAGGCCTTTTTGCACTCTTCAAAAACCTTGACTTGCTTAGCCACCTCTCCCAGGCGTCCAATGACCTCTTTGTTGCCCTCGCCAAAGCCATAGATCACGTACGGAATATTGGTTTCTTCGCAAAACTCCCGGACGTAGTCCTGTGCCTTGCGCAAGTTGTGTCTCGGGATGCGCGGGAACAGGTGGTGGACGGCCTGGAACTGCAGGCCGCCGTGGAAGAAGTCCAACCAGGTAGGACAGTCGACGTCCATTGTCGTACGAAGCATCTTCTGTGCAAATGATTCATGCACGCCCAAGTCCGCAGTTGACATGGCGAAATGGGACAGTGTGATTTGGAGGTGCAGAGGCATTGTGACCATGTGCGAGAGCATGAAGAACACAAATCGATCCCAGTTGTTGGGGATGGAGCAGTACACAACACCGTACCCATACCAGGTCCAGAAGAAAATGATTCCCGCAATCTCCAAGTACCGATATTTCCACGCAGGGCCCTTCCTGGGCCCTTGGCCAAGGATGAGATACATCCACGACAGACGGTAGAGGTTGAATCGGCCAAACAAGAGCAAGGGATAGTACAGCCAGTGCTGCGCCGAAATCATCCACTTGGAGAACGCGTCAAAGTGCATGACGTGTTCGTAAAATGTCGAACGGAGACTGTCGAAAAAGCGGGTTGAGATGGCGAAGAACGGCATATGCTCGATATCGGGGTCGTGTTCAGGAGAGTTCGTGACGATGTGGTGGATATTGTGATTCCATTTCCACCAGCCGACCGACAAACCTCCCAGGAAATCGGCGATGAAGATACCAATACAAGTGTCGACATGGAAGTTATGCGTGATTCCCATGTGGCCGGCATCGTGGACAGTGAACGAAAGTTGATGGGTGACTGCTCCGAGGCAGATGCCAGCGATAGCGTAGTGCCCATAATGCAGGGCGACGAGAAACCCGGCGATCAAGAGTGAGTATCGACACGCTTCGATGGCGTAGGATGAATATGTGCAATCGTACAGTCCGGCAGCTTTGATGCGTGCATCGAGCTCTCGGTATTTGGCGATGATCTTATCCTGAGAAGCGTAGTCCAGGGATGGATACTTTAAAATGTCAGAAGCCCTCTCTGCAGAAAGCTTTGCTTCGATGGGATTTGTTTGGACGTCGGCGGTGTCTTTGGCGGAGGTCGTGTAGACAGATGAACCGCCCTCGGTCTTGCGAACTTTGGCATCTACTGCGTCGAAGATGGGAGACGGTGGCACACTGGTGTTTGAGCGACTACTCAAATCGCCATCGGTCTGGGAGCCTGTATCATCCTCTTGATCTTCGTTTCCGGCCAGCGGCCTGAAATGTCCGCCCTGAATCGGAGGTGTGAAATTGATCCAACGACCCTCGATTCTCCCAATAACATATTTCCGCATGCGTGCTTGAGCGTCGAGTGAATGTAATGCTCGAACCTCGTCTGTCCCATCTCTTCCAACCATGTGCCGAATAGCTTTGTCTCCTCCAGGGTGAAACGGGCACCAGGCATCAGCCTTGACCACCTGACCGTCAAGTATGAAAATCTTTCGACCATCTGCTATCAGTCCTTCGATTTCTCTTCGAGACCATACTCGGTCTCTGGGGGAGGTAGTCGTGGCCATTTTGCAGTCGGTGAAACAAACACCTCGAGGGAACGAATCTCAGGGTGACAGAGCGAGCATGATATGCAGACCAAAAAGGAGCGAATTGGCGGTCTGCTGGTCTTCACCTAGGTAGGTGTACGTATTCGTAGAACTGTAGTGGTCCACAAGGGGGAGGGGGGAGAGTAGTGTGATTTTATGCAACGTGCACAGTATTCGTAACGTGACTGACAGAAAGTGACAGTGGCAGTGAAATGGCGGTGGTGGAATGAGCTCGGCCGGAAAGTGTTTACTGTACAGAGTACAGAGAGAGTGCTTGGACTGAATTTTGCACCCCCGCATGAAGTTACGAGTACTAAGGAATTGGTGGTTGGCTAAGCACCCACGCCTTGTACTCCGTACGAGTGCCAGTATTGTCCTTGTACTTCGTATTCGTCCATCACTTCTGCTTTGCACCTACGATGCCTAACTTCAACCCCTATTCGGAATGACTTCTTCAAGTACCGAAGCAGCAGTTACACTACCTCATGTTCTTATCTCTTGCACCTAGTAAGTCATAAACGAGGACCGGTCGATGATGATAATGATCGGCCTTGATTGGCAAAGGCTTTACAATTATCCAAACTGCTTCGACTGCTTCGACTGCTTCTTCTCGCTCCGAGAAAACAACGATTGATGAGAAAAGATCAGTGCTATAGAGTTGAGCTCAGATCGTGATAACCTCACCATCTCTCAACGTCACAATGCTACGATCCATACGGACAACCAAGTCCCTGGTAATCACACGACGGTCGTCAAGCATGACCAGACCAAAAGTGGCAGTGCTTTACCAGGCTTGCGATCCTCCCGTCGTCAACGGGGTACGGAAACCCAAGAAACCAGGAGGTTACCAGGACTCCGGGGCCGACATAGCGTACGTGCTACGTTCGAGGGGAGTTGACGTTCTCACACCCCTGCCCGATCCAAACCCCCGACGCGACGAGGGATGGTGTTTCCCAGATACGGAAGCTGGTATTGTGGCCGCGGTCAAAGGAGGAGCGACAACACTCTGGGCCAACACGATTCTATTCGCCTCGCATCCTCTACAGACGTCCTCGGCGCTGGACGTTTATGCTCCTCAGGTGAAAGTGATAGGTCAACCTCCCTTACTGGTCGAACAGTACGACGACAAGAACCATGTCAATTCTCTACTCCGAGACTCTGGCGCTTTCACCCTTCCACGCTCTTGGATCGTGCATTCCCCCATCACTTCAACATCTGTGAACAACTCGCTTGAAAATCTCCCTTATCCCGTCGTCGCCAAACCAATTCGAGGCCGGGGTAGTCACGGGGTCAAACTGTGTCGTGACCGCGCTTCCCTGGAAGATCATCTGTCCAGTGTACTCTTCAAAGAAAGCCCGTCGGCGATGGTCGAAGAGTTCCTCTCTGGCCCCGAGGCCACCGTCACCGTCATGCCCCCTTTATTGTCGTCTACGTCTGCGTCCACATCTCCGCCTCGATCTTCTTCTCGAGATTTATCGGATCATCAGCAATCCACTCAGACAAGAACAAAACCCACGTACACCGCCCTCCCCATAGTCTTGCGCTTCAACCACGAGGATGGAATTGCTCCCTACAGCGGCGTCGTGGCCGTGACGGCCAATTCACGAGCCCTCCCGAAGGATGAACTTGACAGCAACCCCCGATACGCCGAGATAAGTCGCCAGTGCGAACGGATTGCCGAGCTCCTTCGTGTCACGGCTCCGATACGTGTCGATGTCCGATGTTTCGACGATCGTGACCCAAACTCAAAATTCGCCGTGTTCGATGTGAACATGAAACCTGTAAGTTTTGGACGTATTTTCTTTTCCAAGAGGACTTCAATCTCCAACCCACAAGGGCAATCGTAGAGTGCAAATTAAGAAATGCTCACACAATCACTTGCCAGAACATGACAGGTCCTGGTCGCCCAGGTCGCGAAGATCAATCCAGCCTCACGGCCATCGCGGCTGTTGCTCTGGGTTGGGACTACCCGCGACTATTGTTGAGGATGTTGGACTCGACCACGACATTAGAGCAACTGCGAAGAATCTCAATAAAATAATTTTATTGGCATATCTGTGCAAGGACCTTTCGGGTTCAACGTCATTAGGATGTTCTAGCCGATCCACTACCCATCCTCTTGCCTCAGATGAATGCTCATATTTGCCCATGAAACAAAGATTCCCGTCCTCATTATCTTTTTCATTGGTCCTAACGCCGACCTCTCGAAGGCCCGAATGATCAATTCAAAGGCACAGATCAAGACGTCAGAGTCCAATCGAATCCGAGCACCAAATCGTGGGCTCACACAGTATTAAAGATCAAAGCTCCAATGGCCAACATGAGCAGCGTTCCCATACTGGATAAGGCATTTACCGACTGCAAAGCTCCACTGTGACTTGAGCTGCTATTGGAGCTGCTATTGCTATTGGAACTTCCATCACCAAGGTTAATACCGAACGGCAAGCCTTGATAGCCGAACGTCAAATTCTGGGGAATGCTGGCGTTGTAACACTGCCCATTCACAATATCCAGACCCATCAAGTCGTCAGGAACCTTGAAGAACATGTACGATTGTTGATTGAGGTCTTTAAACCCGTCTGTGTTGTACGGAAATTTGTCGCCAGGGTCCGTGGATGATGTGTTGCGCAGGAAGATGCATTGGACCTGTCCTGGAAATTCTTTGGCCATCGCAGGGTAGTCGCGCATCACATCCGAGTTACTGGTATCCGCTACTAGGATGAACTTTCGGTGTGGAAACGTCTCGAAGACTTTGACAAGAAGTGCCTTGCGGATGGACAGCGTTGCGGACACATCGCTGAAGTTGAGGGGGCGAGTATCGAAACCTGTTCAACAGATCGTTAGCATGGGTTGTAGAGATGATCAAGCCTCCAGACAGGAGCAAGACTTACTTCCGCCAGGGTAGGTGTCGTAGATGAATTGCATGTAGTTGCGGGTGACTTGCTCGGGGGTTGTCGTTAGGTAGTGAAAGTGCATGTTGGGTATGCTGTTGGACCAGTTTGCATATATCTCTGGCATATTCATCCAGGGGGTGAAGGGTTTGGCAAAGGTATTAAGCAAGCCTTGCTTTGGCTGGTAGATCTTTGTCACTCGCAGGATATCATCGATATCGCTGACGATGGTGAAGCCTTGGTCGGACACCAGGTAGGATGTAGCGTTACCTAACGTGGCACCCTGCGCATATACATTGAGCCTTTGAGGTGGAACGTCGCCCACTCCAGATGTCAAGGTCAATGACGAGTTTGAAACAGGCACAAACACATCGAAATCTCCCTCCGGAGTGGTCGGGTACGGCAAGGTGATTGTCTGTTCACCCCCGGCTGGGGTGACTCCGCCACCTCCTCCGGGCTGTCCACTTGAGCCGGCCTCGGGACCTGGAACGAGGTCCATGGTCACTGTTTGGTTGCCCTGTTGTACGACGTAGATTTCTCTCGTGAGATTTCTCGCTTGATCTTGTTCCGAAGGTGGCAGATCAGCGACGCTGGTGTCGATCAAGAAGAAGTTGGCCAGCTTGTCGACCGTCGCATTCGAGATGTTCGGTTCTTTGTACACGTTCCCGTGCACACGCAGATTCCAGCCATTGTTCGTCCAATTTCCATAGCCAGGTATGTTCAGTACCTGGGTAGGAGAAGCGGCGAGGTCGGAACTCTTCGCGCCGACGGAGCTGGCTACGGCACTGCCGGTGGGCAGATTCTGAAAGTTCGGAAACAGGCCATTGGAGACGTACGAAGGTATGGCAGTTCCTAGGTCACTGAAGATGCTGTTGACGTAGGAGTCGAGGCCCGAAGTAATGTCACTGAGGATGCCCCGTCTCAGAGCTGCATGATCCGCATAGACGGCGAGGGTGGGCGTCGGAGCAGGAGTAATCAGTGCTTTTTCTTCATGGGTGACATCGGCAGGGAGAGCAGAAATCTGGGGGGTGGAGAGAAGGAATACAAGCAAGAAACGAAAGTCCATGTTATGTATGATGAGGACGGGAGAACAGAGAACTGATTCGTTAAAAATTGGTGTGTGCTGAAGTGAGTGAGCGAGCGGCCGTTGAAATTTATCACGATAGGAACATTGTCATGAACAATCACACCATGTTAAAGTCGGGGAGGACGAGGAAACATAGGACAAGGGCAGCGAAGACGGGGATGGATATGATTGATCTACAGTAGGTGGCAGGCATGAGATTGGGTTTCTTAGTGTAAGGTATGTAGGTGTTTGGTGTGGCCCGACACTGTAGTCTACTCCCTACAAAAACAAGGAATCGAACCGAGTGTCAGGCACCGACAAGCTAATGGGGAGCAAATCCTCGTTAGCTGGTAGAAATAATAATGCTACCACCTGCCACTTCGACATGCGGACTTTGCGGCATGACATCAGTTGACAAAGCTTGTCCTGATCAAGCTTCAATCTGCGTTTCATCCAATATTGTACAGTACTCGGAGGCAAGAACGACTTACTGGAGATGCCTAATATGGAAATCTAGCCTTCCTATTTGAGCGATCTGAGAGCGTTTTGCTCAGTCAACAGAACAAAGGACACCTGAGAGATGCCTGGCAGTCGTACATCTCCTGCGGACAGCGAATCAACTTACAGTACTCCCTACCCAGGTATATAACATTGAGATCAGATTTACTTCATCACACTGGAGATATTCTGTCCGTGAGAACTCTACGTGGAGGCTCTCTATCTTTCACCCAACGCCTCCGCTATTCATGTTGAATGTCATCATCTCCTGTGGTGTGGGCAGCGAGCCCTACCAACTGTTCATTATATCGCCAACATCTAGTGTACCACCAACACCACCTCATCTGGGTTCTGGAAAAGAAACTATCCACTCCGTAGCATGTCCGAAAATTAGTGCAATTTATTCTTGCTCAGCATCCATGTCAGCAAATCGACCTTGGTCACTACAGCAACTGGCTTCATGACCGGAACTTTCCCAGACGTTGAGCTCGCCCCTGGCTCTCTTTCCGTAACGATAGCTGCGCTTTGCCATTCGAAGAACCGGTTCAGCGCACTCAGCGGTGTATTCACCGTGATCTCGACAAAATGTCGCCTCTTCTTGGGTGGGTGTCCCTTGGGCTCTTGTGCTTCTGGTTTCTCGCTCATCTCACTCGAGAAACTGCCCAAATCGGACGAAGTCAAGTCACTGAAGTCGTTGTGATCGATGGTGACTTCACTGATATTGCCAAAGTCAAACATGACATCGGATACTGGTGAGTCTGCGCTTGCTCGGCCGTGACTGATGCGAGACAGTAGGTTTCCCAGTGTCACGAGTCCGACCAAGCGCCGGCCCTTCGGAGCGAGCACAGGAAGTTGATCGAAGCCTTTGTCGCGCATCGTTTCGATGGCAGAAATGCAAGGCTGATCGGAAGTGACCGTCTGGACAGGCTTGAGCCGGAGGTCTCGAACTCGTGCCCCTTTGAATTGGTCATTCGGCTTGATGCTGTCTCGTCGTGAGATGTGTGGCGATCCTGGTACCGCCTCACGCTCTGGAGGTGGTGTGGGCGGCAGGAGATCATTAGCGGCCAGCCAATCGTCGTCCACAAACTTCGACAGGTATGATCGGATACTATCTGGCAGGATGGCCACAATAACGTCGTCCTTGCCTAATTTCAATTCTCTCGCAGCTGCTACAGTCGCTGCAATGGCAGAACCGCTGCTTCCTCCGGCAAGAAGACCTTCTTCTGCTATTAGTCGTCGAGCATAGTAGAAGGATTCTCTATCATCTGTCTTGTACCATTTATCCACCAACTTCTGATCAAGGACATCAGGGATGAAATCGTAGCCTATACCCTCAACCTTGTATGGCTGATTGGAGAATTCATCATTCAGTTGAGACGGAAGAGCCAGGATCGAGCCTTGAGGATCAGCTGCGATGATCTTGATATTCTTGTTGTGCTTGTGCAGACCCCGTGCCAAACCAGTAATTGTTCCGCCGGTGCCCGCTCCTGCAACAATGGCAGTGATTGTGCCGTTGGTTTGCTCCCAGACCTCTTCCGCGGTTCCCAATTCGTGCGCCAGTGGGTTGTCCGGGTTCCCATATTGATCCAGGATGTGAGCGTTTGGCAGCTCCTTTTCCAATCTCTTCGCCACTCCAATATGTGATTCTGGGCTATCAAAGGCCGCTTGTGTAGGGGTCCGGATGATGGTGGCGTTGAGGGCTTTGAGGACAGCGACCTTTTCAGCCGACATCTTCTCCGGAAGGGTGATGATGGTCTTGTAGCCTTTGATGGCAGCAACAAGAGCGAGGCCTATACCACTAGGGTCTATGTCAGTCTGTCTTCCCTTTCAGTCTCTGCCTCGGGTAGGATGCACCTACGTGTTCCCGCTGGTTGGCTCGATGAGAGTGTCACCAGGCTTTATGCGACCCGACTTCTCAGCCTCTTCGATCATGCGCAGAGCTATCCGATCCTTGACGCTCCCTCCAGCATTGAAGAACTCGCATTTTGCATACACAGTGGCCTCGATCCCGAGGGACTGCGGGATTTTTTGTAGGCGAACGAGGGGTGTGCGACCGATTAGTTCCAAAGCAGAGGCATGCGTGCCCTGCGCGTGGAATCGATTGTCTCCGGCCATTCTGAACTACTGGATGTGATGGACGGTCGAGTCTTCGAGTCAAAGGAAAAGTGTTAAGAAAAAGTCAAAGTTTGTGTGTCTTGGTGTCTTTGCACCAAATCAGTGTTTAACAAAACATGACGAACTATCAACTGATGGTCGCGGCTTGTCAGCCGTTGATAACCGCAGCATTATTGAACCCCCGCACGAGGGTAATGAGTCCCTTACCTATCTAGATACCTAAGGCACCTAATATAAGGTATATAATACGTGTGCCATGTTGCCCCCCGAGCGCAACCATATTATCTGAAGATATTATATTATGGCTTCGTCAGCCTTTTGCAGCGTTCTACCTTTCTTATGATCGCATGGCTATAGTCTCTATGGAGTACTCGTACAGTCCCCGTGAATAGAGAGAGGAGATGCCCCTCTTTCCTTGTACAGTATTAGTCCATGTCTAGGTTGTTGTTCGGCCCCTCCTCGTTCGGACCCCGCGCCCTTCGAGGATGGGTTACGAGTATCAGGCCGGCTCTTTTGTTGCATTGTAGACGTTTTCTACACGTACTCGAGTAGGAATCTTTCCACGGAGACTTGTATATATAGTGGATAAGGTCTCCGAGAGGTGTGATTTCTGTGTGGTAAGAAGCATCTGTCACGTTCCGGCCTGTCGGATCTGTACAATAAATGTACGAATACGGAGTATCAAGTGGTTGATAAATGACACTGAAGACTTGGTACAGACGGAGTGCAAGGACAAGATGTCATATCCCTCGTTCACAAAAACATACCACCACTCATCTTACCCAGCCATCAGTCCTTCGAGGCCAGAGCTATCGGTCAAGGACAAGACGGTGATCGTGACGGGAGCTGGCGATGGAAGCATCGGCGGGACGGTGGCTTTGTCGTTCGCGCGAGCCGGAGCAAAGAAGATTGCCCTGATCGCCAGGACCGAGACTTCGCTCGAGGCGACAAAGGCCAAAATTGCAGAGGCGTTTCCCGACGCCGAAGTCATGGTCGTCACGGCCGACGTGTCGAGGGCAGAAAGTGTGGGAATGGCCGCGCACAGCATACGAGCCGGCCTGGGAGCTTGGGACGTCTTTGCCCACTGTGCCGCCGTCGCACCCACGCACACCACCATCGCCGGCGCCGACGAGGACGAATGGTGGCACGCTTTCGAGATCAACACGAGATTTTCGTCGCATTTTGCAAAACATTTCTTGCCCAAGTGTCGCCCGGGAGCCACCTACATCGGCACCAACGCTGGAGCGTGTTACCTTCCCGCGACCAAGTTTCCCAAAAGCTCGGCGTACTGTGCGTCGAAGCTCGCCACGGCCAAGCTGGACGAGTTCCTCGCCGCCGAGAACCCTCAGTTGCGCGTCTTCACCGTCCACCCGGGAGTCGTCGAGACCAATATGACGAAGGGTTTCATCGGGTCCAGACGCTCAGGCGTCGTCCTGGACGACGCCGAACTGGTGGGAGATTTCATGGTGTGGCTGGTCTCACCGGAATCAGAGTTTCTGAGGGGTAGGTACGTGTGGTGCAACTGGGACGTCGAGGAGATGATTGCCAAAAAGGCAGAGATCGAGAACAACCCGACCCTCTTGACTATGACGCTGGGTGGCTGGCCCTTTCAGTAATCAAGGAGCTGGAGGTGACGCTCATGCTGTCGTATGCAGCAAGTGGGTGTCAAGTGTCAAGCGTTAATCATTGAACCAATACTCTGAAGAGATACCAGGGCCGCGAGCTTGTCAATATCTTTACTCTGTATGCAGCATGAACTTTTTCCCGGGACAATTGAACATAACAGCTGTCGAAAAGTGGACTTTGTACGAAACATCTATTTTTCGATATCCTTGACCCCTCCTGACCTCTTTCTCCATCTCCAGACCTTTCATTTACCCTTCTCTACAAAGCCTTATGCATCCAGGAACTCATTGACCAGCCTAGAAAACTGCCCGTGATACTCATTCAAGAAGCCATGTCCACTGTCCGCGTACAAGTGCAACTGCGCGTCCGAATTGACCAACCTCTTCCACAACAATATACTGTTCTCCGTCGCGACGAGCACGTCTTTGCTACCGTTGGCCACCAACACGGGGACCTTGATCTGGTCGAGTCGGTCGTAGGTCGCCTCTTCGCGGTGGTCACCCGAGAAAAACCGCTGCAGGGCCTCAATCTGGTTTTGCATACCCTGGCCGCGCAGTAGAGGTGCGCGATTCGGGCGGGCGTTCGCCATGCGCTGAACCCACTGTTCGGCCAGAGCTTGCTTCTTCTCGGACTGGGTGAAGAAGGTATGTTTGAGCCCGGCATGGTGCTCGTCAAAGGTGGATCCACCGGCAACTTCGACAATGTATTTTGGGTCACTCGGCACAACACCCTCGCCGGCCGAGGGGCCAGAGCCGGCGATGATCAACCGTTGAACGAGGCCCGGTGCTTGCAGGGCCATGAGTTGCCCCACGAAGCCGCCCATGGAGAAGCCGAGAACGTCGAGCTTGTTGATTCCCAGGGCGTGGGCGACGTCGATGATGGCGGTGGCCCAGTCGGCGAAGCGCGTTGGCACTTCACCCTCGCTAAGACCGACGCCCGTGCTGTCCACCAGAAGAATCGGACGCACGGCTGCCAGAGGGTTGATGAGCGCCGGATCCCACCAGTCCATGTTGCCTCTGAAATGGACGTGGAGGAAGAGAGGGGTGCCAGAAGACTGTCCAAAAAGGCGGTAAGCATGTTTGACGCCCTTGACGGTGATGTATTGCGTCTGTGCAGTCTCGTACGTAGACATGTTGCTCGATTAAGCGTAGATTGTTTTTCTTCTATGAGAAAACTGGTTTTTGTGTGAACTTGCTGAGCTGATACGAGTAGTCACTGGAAATTCCATGGACATTGGCTATATCTGAGCATTAATATACTATTCAGCGACACGAACATTTCGCTTCTCATGGTACTGAATGGGATTATTTGAAATCGAACCTGACAAACCATAGCCATGAGGCCAATTCGGTGTTGTAGAAGCAACTGCTGGTAGGTGATTGTTCGTGGATGACACGATGCTCATTGGTCCTTGAGAAATTTCCTAATGCGGTGCGTGATGAGGTTCTCAAAAACTCTCATTGGACCTGCACATTTGCAGAGCCAGACAATACGAGTAAGAGCAGGTGTTATTTGGTAAATCTCCTGCAGCACGAACAATTGGACGCGTTTCTCTGCTGTGACCAAGTACTCACTAGGGCTGCATGGTGAATTCCGCTTCCTGACCAGCATTCGCAGGTGGTACCAAATCACCAACTCATATTTCTCTTTGTCACAACAATGGTTCATCATCATTATGTCGCACCAAATGGGCAAAAGTGCAGTCTCAATATCTGCACTAGACTAGCAGCAATCACAATCTCCATAACGATCATATGCCCTGCGAGGATTTTCAGGCTATTGGGATCTGTCGACACTCCCCTCCATAGTCGTATTTGTTTGGACTTGGTTATGAAAAATCACCGGCTCGGCACAATAAACATTTCGACATCCTGCGTCATAGTGTCGATATCGAGTCGATTGAGCACTCCGTGCCGAGTTTAGTCGAACATTAGCGAGACGTCGAGGGACACTATCATGTGGAGATTCACGTACAAGGTACAATTTTCTCCCGGAGAGCGGTTTGGACGGAACACATAGTAATGTCCTCTTATGAGGTAAGTCGAGAGGAAGGGGACAGAAGGTGGTCTAGGCGTCCACACCAAAATTGTACGCCGTACTGTACTCCCACAGGCCTGTGGCTTTGCCTATTGTCAGCCCCAGATGGCCCCATAGTTGTTAGCGAGCCCTGGCCACGGACGATCCTCCGATCGCCTACATTTCGTGGTTCACCAAGTTGGTGAGCCTTACCCCCAATTTCAGCTCCATCGTCTTCGCCGACGACACCAGCAGCAAGGTCCGCACCTATTCCAAGAACCGTAAGATGATGCTAGTAGGTATCCGGGGCGTCTTAGACACCCATCGAGTGACGACATCCAGGCAATAGTGTTACTGGGCCACTGCGTCCTGAAAAGTGGGAGTATTGTTCCATGTCCATGTGACGGGAGCATCCAGTCCTGATGAAATCTACAAAAGGTAGGGTTGTTCGCTGAGAGAAGGCGTGGCCTATGCCTTCCTTGTTGACTCGCTAATCCCATCTCTCACGCTCTCACGATGAAGCACCTCGTCCTACTCTCCGGCATCTTTACACTTGGTTTGGCCAAGACAGTCCATTTTGATTTCTGGAAGGCGAAAGTCGTTCCTAAATCATCCCTATCTCGTCGTGACAACGATGACTTTAGCGATCCCCTCCATGGCGACTATCACAAAGTTCAATACTACACCAATGTGACCATTGGCACTCCAGGCCAACCGATTGCCCTTCAGCTCGATACGGGAAGCAGTGACGCCTGGGTACCCTCGATAGACGCGGAGGCTTGTGCAGATGATGGCTGCAGTGATTTCGGTGCCTTTGACAAGAACGCTTCTTCGACCTATCGCTTGATCAAAGATAAAGCAGGGACGTTCTTGATTGTATACGGCGATTTATCGTATTCCACTGGCGACTATTTTACCGATGTCCTATCCTTCAACAAGAACATTACCTTGAAGAACACGACCATGGCATTGGCCAACGCCACGGCCCTTACTGAAGGAATCATGGGCATTGGCCTCCGATCCAACGAAGCAAGTCTCCTATACGACAAGCCATTCTCTTTCCCTACTGTTCCAGAACAACTTCGGAACCAAGGTCACATCGACCGGGTTGCGTACTCGTTGTATCTCGACTCGTATGACGACAACACCGGTTCTATCTTGTTTGGAGGCATCGATCCTTCCAAATATACCGGCGAACTCCTTGCTCTTCCACTGTCCAAAGATGACGAAGGCAACTATACAGAACTCTCAGTTGCACTGACCCAAATATCAATTCACGATGGCAACAGCACTCGCCCTCTGGCAGGGACTAAATTCAATACACCTGCGCTTCTCGACTCTGGCACGACTGACTCGTATCTACCACAAGACATTTTCGATGCTCTGTCGGCAGGCCTCGGTGCAACGAAGGATAAGACTACTGGTTTTGCCTACGTCCCTTGTGCCTACCGCAAAAGCAATGTTTCGGTCATCTACACTTTTGGAGGAAAAGACGGCGTCAATGTGTCAGTACCGCTGTCCGAGCTGATTGCCGAACAGATTGAGGACGATTCTGCGTACGAAAATGGTACTCCGGCATGCTCACTGAACTTTGACGGTACTGACGACGCGAATGGTGTTATTCTCGGTGATAGTTTCCTAAGATCTGCATACGTGGTGTACGATCTGGAGAATAAGGTCATTGCCCTCGGTCAGGCCAAACTGGGTGGAAAGGCGGCTGCCAACCATACGGCCATCACTGATATCCCTAAAGGCACGAAACTTCCAGGAGTATCACGAACTGCCACAGTCACAGCTGAGCAGCATACTACTATGTCCCTTGGCGACCCCTCGTACAGCCTGTCGCTTGGATCCATTGGCACACCTACTTTCAGTCTGCCTGGTGTTTCATTAACTGCTAGTGCATCTGCCACCGCGACTGCAGCCAGGGCAGTGAAGGCAGCCTCAAAAGATAGTGGAGCAGACCTCGTTGACATTCCGAAGAGCACAAGTGCTATGATAGTGCTGGCTTTTGCAATGTGTATGTTGTAGTAATAACTAAGATAATGGAAGCTGAAATTGAAATTTGAATTGAACATATCTCAGGCACCCTAATAAATAGGTGGGCAAGGCAAGGCTGAATAAGGCTCTCCCGGTTATCGTCTCGTAGCAACGCCAAGGCCCTTGCAATCATGACGCCGGATCAACAAATCCTACGCGCATCGCGTCACACTTGACCTCACACCAACACTTCCACTATTTTCGCAAACCATCGGTACAGTATACGTCGGGCTGCATTGCCTCTACCGGCGCTGGGAGGCTCTGCAACATAGAAGCTGCAATCGCAGCTCAGAGCGTCCTCAGACACCATGCCGCGCCCAGCCCTTCGACGACGGCACCTCAACCGAAATGCGCCCACTCCACGCTATGGTGGGAAGATCCCAAACAGCAGTCCAGCCAAGGTGGAGCTCGAGAAGAAGCTTGCGCATAAGCCTGTAGGACAGAGGCCGACCGACAGCGATGACAGCGATAGGCTCGTTGTCAAGGGAAGTGGTAGGAGGACTCGGCAGCGACAGGAAATTTTTGCCTCGGGTGCCGTGGGAAGCGGCGACACGCCCGGCGCATATCCCAGTCGGGCACAGAGAAGGAAGAACATGATCCAGGACACCAGGGATATACTCGCGAACGCGCAGCAAACGTCCTCAGAGCACGTAGCCGATGCGCCTTCAGAGCAGTCTCGACAGGATGGAAATGCTCCATTGACGAATGGGAAGGTCCGCAAAGCGTCAAGTATCAAGCAGGGCATATCAGCACCGACCCCAGCGGTGGTGTCCTCTGCTGTCAAGGCGCCGGCGACGCTTCTGGGGTCAGCGCAGCCTACTCCATCGAGGGAGACCTCGATCCTAGGGAATTTGAAACCGAGACGGAGACAACCTAGTATATTGCAAGATCTCGGCAACGACTCCTCCACCTTTGACCTTGCGGATGAAGAACAATTCCTCCCTGACGACGAATCAACCCCCTACAATTTGTCGAAATCCCACAATGCTCCCATCACCCCCGCCACAAACTCACCACAGCTCTCCACATCATCGAAGAAGAGGAAGTTTGGGTCTTCTGATCCTGTCCAATCCCACATGGACAATGGACGAACAAGCTCCCCTCTTGCGACGATGGACGCCACAACCGCGTCACCACAACCTGCTCTTCCTCCCATGCCAGCTTCCGCTCTTCGACAATCGGGCAGAAAGTGTAGAGAACGCGCCGAGGAGGAAGACGACATATTAGCTCCGCCAGAAAGCAGCAGTTCGTCGTCGCCGTCATCTCCGGCCAAGATATCCCCAGGCCAACCGGCGAAGAAGACGACGAGGGCCAAACCAAGTGAACCAAGCACCACCATGACCACGGAACAACTCCGTGCGCTCATGATGCCCACGAAAAGACGGAAAACTACGCGAGGACGTACTCGTGTCTTGGGCGAGTTTGATATTCCCATGGATTCTGATGCGAACTCTGACAATGTCGAAACATTCGACGATGACGAGGGTGACGAATCCAGTTTCCTTCCTACCCAAAGGAAGGGTCGCAAAACAAGGGGTAAAGAACAATCTTCGACCAAAACTGGTAGAAGGAAAACCTCAAAGGCATCTTCTGATTCTGCTGAGCCTCCAGCAGTCAAGCAGAAGAAGAAGAAGGCCACTGCTACTGTCACTGCTGCTACTGCACGTACAGCAGCAAAATCAGGATCAAGATCAAAATCAAGTACGCGAAAACATTTCACTACTGCTGCTGCTACCACCGCGCCTATCCTTACGCCCTCCACCTCTACCACACATTCAAGTTCAAATTCAAGAAGGAACCGCGAAACTAAGTCTCCTTCACAGTTCCCCAGTACTCGTACCGTCGAACTTTCCAAGTCGATCCCCCAAGTCGATCTCGATCTCGAAAATCGTCACCGCAAGTTACATGGTGGCTCCCACCTCGGTCGAGGCGGCCGACGAAGACAGCCCGAAAATTATATCGTGGACAAGGAAAATCTCACCCCCGACGACGACGACGAGGAGGAGGAGGAGGAAGAGGGGGAGGAATTCTCGTCAAACGAATTTCGTTCGGGTGAGGGTGAGAGTGATGGATCGCGGGTGGTGACGACGAACGTGGGAGGAAAGTCGGTTGTCGTTGAAAAAGGTAGAGGGAAATGGGCAGACATTGACGCTTGGGATATGGATTTTGAAGATGTCGAGGTCATGACCGGATCCGGTGGTAGTTCACCGATGAGACGATGACGAACCCAACCCAGTGTAAACACACGCCAAACGGAGAGAGAGAGAGAGAAAGGAAAGGAAAATGAATGAAATGATCCTTCTTCTCTTTTCTCCGCGGATATTTGAACCACCTTTTTTTTGCATGTTAAAGTACCATGACTGCCTAATCTACCTATCTAGGTACGCACGATTATGAAATGATCCTCTGTGTGTGTGTGTGTGTGTGTGTGTGTACACAGAATGACACCCCCCGTACGAGTTACGACCGGCTTGGGTCACTAGTAGGGGAGGGGCAGCTAGCCCCCAAATGCAGGTAGGTAGGTAGGTACCTATAGAGTCGAGAAATGAAGAAGCCCACTCGAGTTCTACTCGGGGTAGTCGTCAAACAAAAAGCTGTAACTAACACAACCAAGAACCTAAAGTTTGGAGTTAAACACATTGTTTCTACGTGCTTGTATATCTCATGGACATCGCCTTTGAAAAAGGAAACAAAAGCCAAATCGAAATCAAACGAGACAACCGTTCACACAAACTCTCTCTCTCTCTCTCTCTCTCTCTCTCTCTCTCTCTCTCTCTCTCTCTCTCTCTCTCTTGTTCTTCTTTTCTCTTTGAGATCTTGGACTGGGGTTCATCGTAACGTCCGAAAACAACCACCGAGGTACCAAGGTACGACAGGAGCAACAACGTATCAAGAAAAGAAGGGACAAAGCTGAGACAGGCGTCGCAGATGACCTGATGCTGACGTGGAGCCTCGCCGGGGTTTCCAACTTGCGTGACCCGTGTGCCCTCATTTTTTACCTACGAAGTCGCTTGCTGCGTAAGGACTACCGCTGTCAGTGTAAACCTTGGTCAAGTAGGAGAAGCGGCAAACGAAACGACGAGATTTCAACCTACACTCTCCGCAGTTCGACGTCCGATTGCTCCTCCTTGATGCTGATCGAATGCTCCCGCTTGGTGATACGTTTGCGCTGAACGTTACCGTCGGGAGAGTTGGTACTGGCGGTTGGCAAAAGTGCGATGCAATCGTCGCCGTACTGGGAGGAAGGGCTGTCGTTGTGCTCAGGTTCCATGTCCGTAACGTCAGCGCTGGTGGGTTTCGCAGCAAGCAGCTCTCTTCGGGCCTTTGCGAAATTCTCGAAAAACTGCTCTCGGAGGCTCGCATCATGAGTGCCACATACATGGACAGATGTATCGGAGTTTTCGTGCTCGTTGATCACCGTGGCCACCGTGGCCACCGTGGTTTCTGGTCCGGGTGTGATTTGTACACCCAGGGCTGCAGACCGGTCTCCCTGTGGACCACTCAAGAAGTAGCTGAATCGTGTACTACGATACACATTCCGTGTAACTGGAATAAGTAAAGTATGGGGGGCCATCGTTCGGCTATGCTCCATTCCAGGCGAACCTAGGACTTGTTGCGACGAGGTTGTGATTGAACGGACCCTAACGGTTCGGTCAAGAATTGGCCAGTATCAAGTGATCAAGGGCAACCCACGTTGATTCCACTTCTCCTTCAGAGCAGGGCAAATGACGGAAAAATATGCTTGTGTATAGTTGTCTTCCTTTCTGTGTATTGTCAAATGTTAAAAAGACCGGACTTGCGGGTGACAGCGAAGAAAGTCGACAATGAGGGTACAGTACATTAGACTAACTTTAGGGCGAAGTCATGAGGGAGATGTACATACGGGCAGAGGGCTTGTATTTAGCCATGAGAGCCCCGCGTTGCTTCTGATCTCTTGAGTGCCAAGCAGTTTGCTCACTGGGACGTATTGTTGTTCTTGCAGCAGCCGTACTGCAGCTAGCAAAGGCCAGCAAATGGGGCATCATGAAGATGAATCATGTCCCCCACGTTATCGAGCGCGCTTTCGATAGTGCGGGCTCGCTTGTGGCCAGTAGCGAAGCTTGTCCTGATCGACATCCTCGCCTTGTATGATACAGGTTCCAGAAAAAAGTGAGGCAGCGGCCATCGCTCCAATGGTAAAGCCTCGACAACCCGCCGTTCGCTTGCTGACGGTGTTCAACACAGCGATGTGGATCCTCGCTAGAGAGACACTTGTCGGGAATGAGGTGGACTCCCCTGATTCCCAGCTGAGGAATTGGAAGCCAACACGAGCCTGAAAACACTCTTCATGCAGAATGTGATCTCAAGCCCATGCGAAACATGGTTGGTTGTGTTTCACGCCCCGCCTCAGCCTCCACCATGGATCCGATCTTGGGTCTGAGGCTGCAGCCCAGTAATCCAGATCACTGATGGTGCAGCATAATGACAAGCAGGTAACAGGTAGCAGACAGTAGACAATGAAATATGAAGATGAAGCAGGTGTGCGTTGTCACACACCGCTTTGAAAACATCAAGGGTCAGGGTTGACGGGTGAACTTGAATGCTGCCGGGCCTGGCCAGCGTCGGGCAGCAGGAATCGATGCTTTATCCAATCAACCCTTGTTCCTGAAAGTGGTGCATCCAATCAAGGCTCTCACACCCGCACACGACGCCCAGAGGCATGCTGGTCTCGTGGTGCCAGCACAGCTTCATCCCTGCAGCTGTTACACAATCCCTGCAATCTTGTGCGGCGTGAAGAATTGATCTAACCGGGTCGTTTGCTGTCTCTTCATCTGGTGAATTGATCATGCTGATCTTTCTCAGCGACATTGGTAATGAATAATCTAACTCCCCCACAGCTATGGGCTGACAGAGATCTCCGAGCTGCCGCAGCTTGTGCTTGAGAACTCTCAGCCTCATCATCGATCAGTCGCTCATTCTTGTTACCACCAAACCACCACTGGGTGGGCTTCAGGTGTAGCAGGGGAAAATATTCGTCCATGCTTCTGTGTAGCCAGCAAGTCGATCTGTTGAGAGACAATGTATAATAAAGGACGGAAGCCAAGATAGAGTTTGTTCGTGGAGGATCATTCCTCAAGAAAATACTAAAGAGCCGTGTGGACAGATTTGTAGGGTATTTAGAGAGTCTCGTATGGCTAAACCCTTGCGAAGATGGACAGGTTGATGTTCCATTGCGACCCGGACCCAAGGTCTATATGAGAAGATCTTGCGTAGAGAATGCGGATGGAATATGGCTGAACATATGCATACAATGGTTGAAATCACCACATCGTTGTACAAAGTCGGTACTTACCAGGCAGGGTAACGAGGTATGTACCTCCTCCGTTCAAACTGTAGGTAGATCGATACCTGGATCAAGGTACCAGGCAATTGAGGGAGATGCCAAGACTCTGGGGGACGCTCAAGGCAAATAATAATAAAATAAGTCGTAGGCAGCAACTGCCACCAATTCATTCAGTGGGTCTCACATGCGATCACGACCTCATCATCAACTGCGGTTTGGAGAAACCACCATATGCCTGGACTCATTTACGACTCACTCAACAACTCATTCACTCTTACATCCCAGATATCTCTTTTTGCAGAGTAAACCTCGCCATCACTTCCACTCTTGAATCTCCTGTCAGTTGTGGCATGCCTACAATTTGACAACCTCACCAGTCCTTCGCGACCCTCATCCCCAACCTATCTACCGCTGCTTGTCCTATGGCACACTCGTCGTGACCAGCCCCGTTGCCCGTGTCTTTTGACGGAATAAACACCATGGAGAAGCTCTTGGAGCTTAGCGCGGCGCTTACTCCGACCTTGCAAGCCCAGGATGAAGACGAATATGACAGAAAAGCACAGGCGCTGGTCTCCGCGTTGAACAAACACCCTTGGCAAGATCAGCCGGCTGTGAAAGATGAGGACCTTGATGTGAGTGACAAAGGAATTCATCACTATGTAACGACTAACATTTGTAGGGCATCCCTTATTCTGACACCATTGTCGTCCTCTACTTCCTCGTCGCTGCAATAGAGGCAGCCAGCGCAGGTGAAAAAGCCGCCTCGAGACAATTACCTACCGCCGTCCTACCAGGAGGATCATTATGGGGACACATCACTCAATGCCTTCTCGAATTCGATCCGGTCCAGGTACGGTACTGCGGGTCTTACTTGTTGAAAGTAATCGACTGTGTGGCAGTTGGAGCGGAACAGACTGAGGACTACGTACCCGCCATACAGTTGTTACACCATGTTATTCCACGATTAGACGATACCTCTTCCACCCTAACCTCCACACACCGCACATTCCTGCGAATATGCCTCTTGGCACACGCGTACAGCCAGGCCATCGACATCCTTGAAAGACCAATCTATCACGTTCCACTGTCGCAGAATGATCCCCAGATATCCGCCAACCTGTGTTCGGCTTCCCAGCCAGGCTGGAAATACCTTAGTACGGCCACGGGTCTGACGCAGCCGGTCACAAGTCGCACGTTCATGGAATACTACCTCCTCGGTGGTCTGTGTTACATGGCAATAGGGCAATATCGAGAGGCTCTATTCTTTTTCGAAATCGTTGTATCGACCCCAACTGTGCCCAACGTGGCCAGCCTCATCATGATCGAAGCATACAAGAAATGGCTTCTCGTTGGCCTCCTCCTCGATGGTGTTGCTCGCACGGCCCCCAAGACCGCGTCCTCCAGCGCAATGAGATATATTCGGGCTATTGCGAGACCGTACGAATGTGTGGCAGAAGCATTCAAGGCAAACGACATCGAACGCTTGCGTGAAGAAATTGAGGCCGGAGTTGGCGTTTGGCAAGAAGATGGCAATTATGGACTCATGGGTGAAGTCTTTCAGACCTACCGCAAATATTCGATCAGAAGAATTGGCAAGACTTTTGAAGCCCTTCCGATCGCCGACATTGCAGCAAGAACCTCGCCATATCCAGACAACATTGACGAGACAAAGGCTTACATTGAGACAATGATTCTCAAGGGGGAACTTGACGCCGTATTCATGTCCTCTGGGAAAGGAGACATGTTACGGTTCTTGCCGGAAACACCCAAAGCCGAGGCCCAAGTCGTATCCCTACTGGCATCGCGCACCCAAGAACTTGCAGGCCTCCTGGCACAAGTAAAGGACAGCGAGCATCGCCTTGGAATGAGTAAAGAATACATTGACTACTTGAAGAAACTCAAGAAGATGAAGGATGATGACAAGAAGGGTAGTTCTTCCGGTAAGGCACGGGCTGACGATGTCGATGAAGATATGATGGATGAATACTAGAACGATGGTCTTGCCATGCAGTCTGATCGACCTGTAACCGAAAAGTTGCGGTCTCTGCAGATAACATCCGTGATTGGGTACTTGCGTGCCTGGGATGATAGAAGGAAATGACGTGCGATGGTAGTGAACCGTATTACGATGTAACGACTGCGTTGTGGAGACAATATCACATTGGACTTTGGAAGGCGATCAGGCAGTTTTATGCATGGGCCAGACATCAGCGAGTGCGGCCGGCGTTTGAGGAAGCAGGATCGCCTCTACCAGAAGTTCATGATCATGGTATTAAAAAAGTTCCTGGTACAGATCTGAAAGATGCGAGATCTACCACAATTGGTGTGCAGCAAGACTATGCGAAGCATACACATAGTAACTAGAGGATGGACTCCGGTCGACAATACTGACAGGAGCCTTGGACGATCGGAATGTAGCCTCTCATGACTTAAAGCCAGACCAATAGACGACTTGAAGCGAAGAAGAGAACATGTGGCACCCGTTGACGATTGCACCATGAATGCATATATATACACACGGAGCAACAAAAGTATGTAATGATTGAAACTCGTACTCCGTACGTAGGTAGGTACTAGATACATACACATGGTAGTCAAAACTATAGCTCACTGAGGAATTGAGACCACACTGTCCGCTCTTAAAACAAAACGGACTCGACGCGAATCCCAGTGACCCCCCGGTGGAGGGAGATGACAGCGCCGTGGTCATGGTCGAACCACGAAGGTGCTTTCTTACTGTCTCTTCCCTTCCAGCAGGAAACCGAGAATTCATGAAGATGTGGATCACCGAAATCCCTCCTTCTCATTTTCTCACGGCGCATCACCAATCCCCCTTCCTTTCTCCCTCCACTAATCGCCACGATGTGTCATTTTTGGTTTTTGCATGAGAAAAAGTCTGTCGGTGGTAGACGAGACCCCAAGCAAAAAAAGAGTGGAATGATTCGACTTTGAAATAAGTGACTGAAGGAACAAAAAAATCGTACAACACCACCCCTAAACGTAGTAAAACGCCTTTCCAACCAAAATGACCAAGGGTATTGGTGAGAGGTTCAATTTTTGTTTTGGTCTTTTATTCCTTGGCCGCAGGTTACGTTTTGACAATCTATGCAGTAGCGCTGGCCCCGGTATCTGTGGTCGCGGTGACCCTTTCAATCTCAATCTTGGGCATGCTTGCCGAGGCACTACCGAGGTCGGTCGCTCGTGCATTTGGGTTCTTGGTATAGTAGTTGCCTTGATTGGGGAGTTAGTCTAGGTGGCTGCCTGTCCGACGAATGCTTGACTCACTGATGGCCGACTTGATGGCATCCTCTGCCAACATGGAACAATGCAGCTTGACCGGCGGCAGACATAATTCCTTTGCGATCTCGGTGTTTCTGATCTTGCCTGCTTGTTCCAGTGTCATGCCCCGAACGAGCTCGGTCAGATACGACGAGGACGCAATGGCCGAACCGCAGCCGAAGGTCTTGAACTTGACGTCGGAGATTTTCTGGGTGTCAGGGTCGACCTTGATCTGAAGTTTCATCACATCACCGCAAGCCGGGGCTCCGACGAGACCTGAACGAAAGCATCAGTGGTTTGTTATTTGTTGAGCGGGTTCGGAGGTCGGATTGTCATCTGTGAAAGCGAAGTTCGGAGATAACAAAATTGAAGGATGGGGGGATGGCGAAAAACCAAAAGGGCCCTGACTCACCGGTACCAACATCGCCGGCGTTCTTGTCCATCGATCCGACATTTCGTGGATTCGAGTAGTGGTCCAACACCTTTTCATGGTATGATCTTCTCTGTGTGGGTTGCGTGGCGGCCGGTCTGAGGAGAGGTGCGCGGGAAGCCAAAGTTGGGCGGACGGAGGATTGGACCGAGGCGCTGATTGCGCGAGGGACGTTGAGTAAAGCTCTTCGAGACATGGTGTCTGGTAGGTTGCGAGGGATCAGAGTCGTTGTCAAGGGTACGTTGATGGGTTTGGTGATAGAACGTGGTTTGTGTAGAGAAAGAGTACGAGAGTTGTTTGTAGAAGAAAAGGAATGATTAGAAGCAGTGCATTTACTAATTAATGAGTTTGGACGGATGGCAAATGGTAACGAGCAGGAGGGGAAAATCGTGAAATGACAAGGCAATTCTACTGGCTGCGTCACGGCACGTGATCGTGAATGACATCAACGGCCTTTCCTCGTAATCGTATCGGAGTTGATCTCCATTGCCCACGGTCATCAACATCAGCCATTCATCGAATAGGGACGCGTCTCGAGAACGGCCAGAACTCATTCACCTCGTAGTGGACATTCACGACCTTGTTTGATACTCATACAAAGTATCATCTTATTGAGATCCTGGATTCACGCCTTCCACCTACAGTCGTCACTACTACTACTACTGCGGAGGCACAACACATGTAACTCGACAAATATCTCTATCATCCGCACTCACTCACTCAACAATGCCGTTCGCTTCCTCCAAGAAACGCAAATCTTCCTTTGTGGTCGACGACGATAGTGACGTCGAGGCCGATGTGACGACGAAACGCGGGAAGGGAGCCTCGGGCTCTGCGTTCAAACCCTCGGGCACGTGTCAGACCGATTCGGAGGGCAACCCTTACTGGGAGATTTCGAAAGGACGACGCGTCACGATATCCAACTTCAAAGGGAAGACACTCGTAAATGTTCGCGAGTACTATCAAAAGGACGGCGAATTGTTACCGGGAAAGAAGGTAAAAGAATTTCTTCCCTTTGATCAACAAATCCACGGTCTAAACGGAAGTACTTACTTTAATGGACCAGGGCATATCAATGTCGATCGAGCAGTACTCTGCACTCATCGGAGTCATGCCTCAGATCGATCAACTACTGCGGGAACGTGGTGAAAAGGTGCCTCGACCAAAGTACGATGGGAATGCGCCACCGGCCGAGTCTGTCCAAGACGACGAGGAGCAGCCTGAGGCTGAAACCGACAGAAAGGCCAATATCGAAGCTACGAGTGACGAAGAAGAATAGGTATATCTTCGCCCGGGGTCTTCTGGAACACTCGTATCCAACCACAACCAGACCGGAGGCATGGGTGTCAATGCGATACCGAACAACACCAGTTGGTCACTGAACGACACATTCAGATCGACCATGAGTGTGCGTCAATAGTCTGTCGGTGAGGTGCCTCTACAATCTAATCTAACTTCTACCAGTTTGGTTACTGACGTCCTCCAGAGAAGAAATCTTTGTGCTTGCTCACAAAGCCACCGTGCTGGTGTCGAGACCTCAAGAGCTACTCTCCCATTCGGCCAACCTGGAAGCCAAACTTCCCTTCTTCCAGTGCTTCTCATAATCCTCTCTGAGCTCGACCTGCGCCTTTTCTCCTACCTTGCCGTATCCGCCGCCGCCTGGTGTCATCTAGGGAGTCCTAGCATTAGCGAGGAGACAAGTGTGGTATCAAGTCTGTCACTTACCACAATGATCCTTTCTCCAGGCTGCATAGAAGCGGTGTTCTTTGCGCCCATGCTGATATGCCTGTATTCATATTCATCGGAACCACCATCTTCTCTTCGCTTCCCTTCATGTTCACCACCAGATCCTCGGCTCGTTACCTTTTTGATTTTTCTCACCCAAATGTTCTTGCCACATTGGGCATCGCCGCCTCCGTGCAGGCCATATGGGCGATACACTCGTCGCTCACTGAGTATGCTCACCTGCACAGGAATCCTAAATTCGATGTCTCGGACCACGCCGTCGCCTCCCTTGTGCTGTCCCGAGCCACCACTTCCGGCCCGCAGGCTGAATTCTCTCAGGATGACGGGGTATCTCCTTTCAAAAACCTCGGCGTCAGTGATTCTCGTGTTGGTCATATGGGTATGGACGCCACTGGTTCCCTCCCAGTCCTTCCCGGCACCACTACCACCTGCGATGGTTTCATAGTAGCCAAAACCTTTCTGCTCGCTCTCGCTTTTGCGGTTCCCGCCAAATCCAAACGTGAGATTGTTGCAGTCTCCCTGGCTCGCCGCACAGGCCTCGAAGCATTTGAAGACCACGTCGGTCACGCGCTGGCTGGTCAGCACGTTACCACCGACCACTGCAGCCTTCTCACTCGGGCTCAAGAAACAGCCCGCGGGGATCTTGACTTCCACTGGCTTCAAGCAGCCCTGGTTCAATGGGATATCCTGGTCGACCAAACATCGCAAGCAGTAGATGATCGCCGAATAGGTGACCGCCTCTGGTGCGTTGATGTTGCCGTACACCTCCGGTCCTGTACCCTCGAAATCAAACACGGCTTCTCCCTTCTCTCCGTCTATGGTGATGCGTAAACATATCGGGCTTCCGTCATCCATGTAATCAACGGCCTGCAGATCTTTACCCTCGAAACGTTTGCTGACTTCCTTTAGTAACGTTCGCACCGACTGCTCTGCATTATCTTGAATGTTGTGCATGTAGAATTGCACAACGTCCTCCCCATAATCTTCGATGAGGGTGCTGATCAAGTTGATACCCTTTTGATTTGCGGCAATCTGTGCTTTCAAATCGTTGATGTTGTCCGCCAAACATCGCGTTCCGCTGCAGTCTGGGTACTGCGCGGGCTCATCGTAGAGTAACTCGGTGATGCGCCTCTCGTCGAATTTGCCCTCTGACACCAGTTTCTCCGATTTGATCGCCGCCCCTTCTTGGAACAGTTCGCGGCTGTGCGGAGGCATGGACCCAGGTAAGATGCCGCCAATGTCGGCGTGGTGGGCACGAGAAGCAACGTAGAATACAATCTCGCCCGAGGGGCTGAAGGCCGGAGTCACGACAGTGATGTCCGGCAAATGTGTGCCACCGTACTCGGGGTGATTCGAGACGATCACGTCGCCCTTCTTCAGCTTCCCCTTCCAGATTTCGGCTTGGGTTCGGACACACGTCGACATGCTGCCCAGGTGCACAGGAAGATGTGGCGCGTTGGCAACGAGACCACCCGCACTGTCGAACAAGGCGCAGGAATAGTCTAGCCGTTCCTTCACGTTCGTGGACACGCTGGTCTTTTGCAGAGCGCGTCCCATTTGTTCGGCGATGGCCATGAAGCGATGAGCGAATATGGAGAGCAGAATCGGGTCGACTTCCTTCGCATTCGCCTTGTTGCTACTGCCTTCTTCGCCGATGTTGATGACGACGTGTGTCTCAATGACCAACGCCGACGCCGATGGAGGGATGATGATGGTCTGCGTCCCGTCGGCAATGATGGCGGGACCTTTGACTCGTGTGCCCACGTCCAGGTCTTCAAGCTTGTAGATCTTGGTGTCTACACGGCCGCCTTCAAAGTACACCTTTGACGTGGAAAACGCCTTGTCCCCAACGACATCCTTCGGCTTGATCTCCTTGAGCTGCTGGTCTGCCGTCTCGGACATGCCGCGGAAAGATTTTCCAATGCCACGCACGCGCACGTCGTCAATGATTATGTCCCTGTCCGGTAGGGTAAATCCGAATTCCTGCTCGTGCTGGCGCACAAATGCGGCACCAAAGGCCCAGTCGTCGCCCGAGTACAACTCCTTCGCTTCTTCCGCGCTTGGCTTGATCACCATCAACGCAGACTCGGTGCCTCTGTACCGCATGTTGAGATATTCCTCGTACTCAATAGCGTCATCGGAGAACCCTTGGTCACGGAGACGCTTCCGCGAGCGCTCTTTCAGGTCGTTCATCTTCGACTTGAGGCCCTCACGGTTGCCGCCATTCAGGTCCCAGACATGAGACTCGGGTACTTGGCTTTCATCGACAACGTCGGCGAGAGCCATTCCATATGCGGATAAAACGGAGGAGTAACGATGGACGAGAATTTGGCGGATGCCCAGTGACTCTGCGATGGCCACCGCGTGCTGGCCTCCAGCACCTCCGAACGTGGCGAGACGGTGTTGAGATGTGTCGTGGCCTTTGGCTTCTGTCAGTGAGCGGATGGGACGTGTCATTGTCTCGTTGGCGATCTTGACAAAGCCGTACGCCACTTCGTCCGCAGACATGTCTTTACCAGTCTGGCTGTTGATATCCTTGGTGAGTTCTTCAAAGAGTTTCCTGCTCGCCTCCGGGTCCAAGCCTTCATTCTCGTTCTTACCGAAGATCTTGGGGAAGAAGTCTGGGAGTAGACGGCCTAAGAAGAGGTTGGCATCCGTGACTGTCAGAGGGCCTCCCTTCCGATAACATGCTGGTCCAGGGTGGGCACCAGCCGACTCTGGTCCAACCACAAACAGGCCATTTCTGAAAAACAAGCGAGACCCACCACCCGCGGCGACGGTGTTGATATCGAGCTGAGGGGACTGGATGGTCACGCCTGCTGTGGTGGTCTCAAAGACGTGCTCATAACGCCCTTGGCCGTACCTGCTCACATCTGTGCTGGTGCCGCCCATGTCGAAGCCAATCACGGGTGTTTTGGTGTCCGGATCATAAGATGTTAACGCATAGCCGACTACGCCGCCAGCCGGTCCTGACAAGATGGCACGCAGGCCCGAGAACTTGTCGACATCGACAAGACCTCCGTCGGACTGCATGAACTCGCATCTGGCGCCCTTGCTGCCTTCTTCCTTCTTTACACTTTCTGTGCCTAGGCCGCCCTCAAATCCAGCTTGAAACCCAGAAATGTACTTCTTGATGGCAGGAGTGAGATATGCATCGGCGCATGCTGAGGTGGCTCTTGGTACAAGCTTGATCATCGGCATCAGCTCGTGACTAAGGCTGACGTGCTGAAACCCAATCTCTTTTGCCAATCTTCCGACCAGAGCTTCATGATCGGGAAACGTGTAGGCATGCATTAAGCATACTGCAATACTTCGGAAGCCATCGTCATACAAAGCCTTCAAGGACTCCTTGATCTTGTTCTCTTCAGGTCTCTGCAAGATTCGAACAGCCTCTCCTGAAAGCCCTTTGACGAGATCGCTGTTCCTGTAGTCTTCGTGCTTGGCGTCGACCTTTGTCTGGTTCCGAACCGGATCCTCGGCGTAATCCTCCAGGGTCACACGCTCGTCGACTTCGACAACTTTCCGGTAAAGCACATCCGGCCTGCGGATGGCGAGGTCAAAGATCTTAGGTCTGGACTGATTTCCAATCTCCAAGCAGTCCTTGAACCCGCGAGTCACTACCAGGGCCATCTTTTCACCCTTGCGCTCCAGTAAGGCGTTGGTGGCCACCGTCGTGCCCATTCGAATACTCTCGATCTTCGAGGTATCAAGCGCTTCTCCTCTCGGGATTTCCTTGTTAGTGAACTTTTCCATCAGACGGCGGATTCCTTCAAGCGGCGCATCTTTGTAATTGGACGGGTCCTCTGATAATAACTTGATGATAATGTCATCTTCCATGCGCCCAGTACCAGGGTTGCCAACGCAGTCTGTGAATGTGCCGCCACGCTGCCCACGTTAAAATGTGAGTGTGAGAGAATGTAAGCGAACAATTGACGCCTGAAACTCACATCTATAGCAATTCGGATGCCTCTCTCCTCGCCTCCAGCATCCCCCATCTTGAAGTCTGCCTTCGAATTTGTTATGCACGCTGTTCCCGGTGGAATATCTCTGCCGGATGGATAGAAAACTGCTGAATTTCAAAGCAGAGCGTCACCTGATGGAGAAGTCCGCCCACCAGAGCCGTGGCTATAGAAGTTTGATAGAAGCTGTAGGCGCCAAGATTTCGGTGCTGTGAGCCACTGATTGACTCACCCCTGGGTTTGATTGATCTCAATAGAAAAACGAAAAGATCTTTGTATCCCGGATATGGCAGCAGCGAGATTGAATCAACGGTTCGGACGAATAAACGGTTCAAGATACAGTACGAGCGAGTACAGTGAGTGATCGTCGGTTGATCATATTTCGTCATTGGCCCCGATAACTGGACGAGATCAAAATTGCCATCTACAATTTCATGAATTCGATGAGAATAAAACCAGCACATGAAGAAGAATCAATCGAACCTCAACACGAGAAATAGCAAAAAATTCTCATCAAGTGAGTTATGCCATCAATGGTTATATCAACTCGGAGTATCGCGGTTTCTCACAAAAAGTAACACTGGTTATGGCTGGCGCAAAACAAATATTCTTCCTTATTTAACGCCGACATTTCACACAGCCAAATCATGCTAAAACAGCTTCATCAAAAAGTCCAACACAGAAGTAGATTCGTCAATGTGGTTCGTTTCATTGCTCTGAGCTCTTTCTGTTACTGTCGGAGGCTCTCTGGGCTCCACGCTCACCACCTTTTGTCATACAGTGCTTGATGATCCATGGATGTTGAAGGACGTGATCAAGTGGTATTCTCTTTTCGGGGTCAAGAACCAGGAGCTATTCCACGTGTCAGCCGAAGCAATAAAAAATCTCAAACCCACTTACTCTGTGTATTAGATCCTTCGCCTCTGCACTGACGAAGCTCGGCACACTCATGTCACCACGAGCAATCCTTCTCTGTGTCATGATCGGCGTGTCCTCAAACGGTGCTTCTCCAACCAAAAACTCGTATGTCAAAACACCCAGACTCCAAAGATCGACTTTCTCGTTATAAAAGTTGTCGGAACTTCCTGGCTTGAGCATCTCTGGGGGAAGATAATCGAGGGTACCACACATGGTCTGTCTTCGATTGTTGGGAGCATGGACCGACCAGCCAAAATCAGAAATTTTGATCTCGCCGTGGATACCAACTAAAATGTTTTCGGGCTTGATATCTCGGTGCATTACATGCTTGCTGTGCAGGTATTTGAGAGCTGCGGCCATTTGAGCGATGTATTGGGCAGCCTTCCATTCCGGGAATCTGTGTTCTTTGCGAAGATGCTTGTACAGCTCACCTTTTCCAGCAAATTCTAGGATGAGGAAAACCCTCTTGCTGTCGTGAAAATGGCCGTAGAGCCTCAGAACGTTTGGGTGTCGTAAGTTCGATTGAATCTCAATCTCTCTTCTCACTTGCTTCTCAACTTTGCCTTGCTGCAGTTCGGACTTGTGTAGGACCTTCAACGCACAAATCCAACCTGACGATCTCTCACGCGCGAGATATACTCGACCGAATTTTCCCTTTCCCAATGGTTTCCCTATTTCGAACATCCCTAGGTGGAACTGCTTGGGTGCTTGTGGCTGGTCGAAAAAAGCTACTGTCTGTTTTTCATGGCTCTCATCAGACGCGCGAGATGATTGTGCAGGTTTTCGGACGGGCGAAGGTGGTAGAGTTGGTACACTTGTGGTGGTGGTGATGGTTGTGATTTGGCCAGCATTCTGTCTCGATTCGTTTGTGGTTTGAAGAGCGTATTTGACCAAGTTTGCCCTAGGATGGCTCGAAGGAAGACTGGCTATTGTCCCCGTAGCTGCAGCCTGGAAAGATTCAGTTAGATTAAGACATCGCATCCAAGCATGGAGTTATAGGTACCTTGGATTTGAATGAGGTGTTGGTTGGGGCTTCATTTTCGTCGTTGACTGTGAGGTGCTCGAATCGAGCTTCGAGGGCTTTTGTCGCCATTTGGAGATTATTAAGATAAGATTAAAGGAGGGAGAAGTTGTCGACCTGCTATCTCGTTGTTGCTGTTAAATTGACAGTGACACTGCAACTGTGACTGCGACGATTCTGAAATGAATAAAGGGTACGACAAAACACATCGTCGCCCATGGCAACCGCTATCACCAGGCTTAAAGACATTGATAGGGCTGCGCAAGCCGCGCCTGGAGCGCAAATCTGTCGGCGGTGCGGGGATCATTCAACAGGCGTTAATTGTCTAATACTGTAACTCCATGCGCATGGGCATCATTCAACTACTGCATTTCTTCTTTGCGCACTGACATGTCAACTGGAGCATAGCGAGCAATCCTCTGTTGGACAGGATCGAACGAACTCGACATTGTCCACCAGCTGATCCTATTATCATGGCAGTCAACAATACCCAATCCAGGGATGCTGTCGACACGAATTATCCCTCTGTCACAGCAGCTCCTCCGAGATCATTCTCCATCGAAGGGTTCCGCATAACGACTCAAAAGCTCCCGATACTGAAAGCTGGACCGATCGAAGAGATGACGAACAAGCTAGGCATTGCACCTCCTGAGATGATATTCGGCGACAACTTCGTGGCGATCGAACACCCGCCGTCTCACTGGGGGATCAAGTTTGATGCATTCGGGGCCCTAGACCGGGTGGATAAGACTGGCGAGAAGAGGCTGAAAGTAGCATATTCAAAAGAGTGGCATCAGAGCAGAGAGGACTCACATGACATCAAGGAAGTCATCAAACCCTTCGACTGGTCCTATACTACCGACTACAAAGGAGATCTTGCCCCGGAGAGTCCGCGCTTCAAAGAAGGGAGCAACCCCATCCCGCTAGAACTGCTGAAGCGACCGGATCCAATATTATTCTTCGATGATGTGATCCTGTACGAAGACGAGCTCGCAGATAATGGAATCACAATGCTTTCCTGCAAGATCAGGGTCATGCCTGCTCGCTTACTCCTTCTGTGCCGGTTTTTCATGAGGCTCGATAATGTTCTGCTAAGACTTCGGGACACCAGGGTATATGTCGACTTTAGCAAGAAGGAGGTAATACGGGAATACGTCGCACGAGAGGATTCGTACGACAAAGTTCATGACGAACTCGCAGCCAGAAGGGATGATGTCGCTGCCGTACTCCGAGATGCCAACCAGATGCCGGATCTTCTACCGGTGGTCGAAAGAAAGCTTGAACGAGTTGAGTTGGGCAAGTGAGCTGTTGTCTTCCAGACCCACGAGTCGCAATTGTCTGAGCACGTACGACTGATAACAGCGTCGCCCGCGAAAATACTCCCGGGAGGAAAGATTTTTCTCGAGCACCGCTCCTGTGCAGATCTTCGTCCTCATTTCCAAATACGAAGAAATGTATACAACCCAAACAATGATGAAGAAAACATGATTAGAACACCACCACAACGGCAGTAAACAACTCGACCCAATACGTCAGGTTTGCAAGCACAAACATCAAGTCCCACTCACATTCGACGCAGAGAGATTTGTCTTCACGTAAAATGCCCCGACAATGGCACATGGGAATTGAAGTCGTGTATATGCGATGCTATCCAGCATTGTTTACACATGCGGGTCACTGCTGGTCGGCCATCATTATACTTCGAACTTCGCAGGCATAGCATGCAGTCATGGGCTTCATAGAAACCCCAGTCTGAACAAGAGACTGGGACTGGGGTAGGAGGACGGAGTCTGCTTCAGACACGTTCGAAGGACCCTCACGTAACCGCACCTAGACTCTCTAGCCACTCGCTTAACAGTTGATGATCTACAAAGCTGGGCAGGCGAACTACGGAGTACAGGTTCGTGTCATCGCCTAAAAGCGTCTGCAGTGGACATTGTCTCGCGAAAAATCCCCATAGAGTACAGGTCAGAAATCAATTGGCTTGACCCAGCTGAGCAAATGAAAGTTCCGGTCATGTCGAACACATGATGGCAGCGTGAAAGGACTGAAGCATCCAATTTCCGCATTTTCCCAAATGGCCAAAGTGGAAACCCAATGAACCAATCATGTTCCACAGGTTTCAGCCTTCTTCCCATCCCTCAGCACCCTTTTCTCCTCCTGTCTTGGTGTTTATCGACTTTTCTAGCCATAAAGGCACAAGTTGTACGTACTTGGGTGGCTGCTAATCTTCCTCGGATCGACCGTTACAAACCATTGGTAAGGCATCCGTTTTCCCACGCGAGGATTGTCCTTGAGCCGCAACAAGCATGGCTCTAAAGACGGGCAATGCGAGGAACAAGGGTAGGTCAATAGTCTCTCGCTTTTCTCTGAAACCATTTTTTCAATCTCGAGTCCCTTGCTCTTTGCCTCGAGAATTCTACGCGACAGTTTCAATCGTCTCCGTGCCCTGGGCATGATGAGCCCTCTCACAGAGATAGCCCTGTGGGCTTTGGCATTCGGTATTTCCTTCTCCAATGCGTTGCCTTCGGTACCCGTTGCGACCGATCCCATTGTCACAACGAGCACTATTACGACGGCTGTTCCATCACTGGTCACTATCTACTCCATTATTCCTGCAACCGACGACTCGAATGCGTTGTCCACGATCACAACTACTATAAATGGTCAAGAGGTGATTACGATCTCTTCCGGCAGCGTAGTCGCGGGCTCCAGCACCAGCACCATTGTGTCGACGTTGACGGTGACCACTACTGAAGTTGTGGTCAGCACAATTGGATACTCGACAGTATTCGGTCCAGACCCCGAGCCAACGGTAAGTATTCAACATCGCCTTTGATATCACTGAGATATGCCGTGGAAACATTGCGACCGGTGCATTCCCTCGCTAACACCCATATAGGCGACCCCTGCCTCCACGCCGGCCACGATCCCCAATTCAGCGGCACCTACAACGCCCATCAATGACCCAGCTACGACGAGTGTTCCGCTGGGAACATCGACGACTGTGTCCAACGAAATAGTCAGCTCCTCGGGTGCCAGCACTACGAAAGGGGCTATTGAGACAGCGAGAGTGACATCCTCGACTTCCTCGTCCGCTTTGGCAGCTGTAGCAACAGCCTCTGGGTCGTCAGCTTCGTCTGCGTCTTCCTCGCCCTCACTGTCAAGCGGAGCCAAGGCAGGAATTGGCGTCGGCGTTGTGATAGGCGTCATAGGTCTTATCGTTATATCCTTTTTCCTGGGCCAACGATACTCACGCAGGCGGCGAAACGAAGCCATTAGCCACTCTCACACAGATTCTGGCGGCCCAGATCAGGAGAAGGATGTTTTCCTGGCTGGTCGTCCTTATGAAGAAACGAATCCCGATCAATATGCAGGCGGATCGACTAGTGGCAAGCATCAATCTTCCCCAGCAACAACAGAAGTTGGGAGCACTTCGCCCGGTACGAAGTTTGCCGATGTACCAAGTCCAGCCGTGTCATCCTACCATAGCCCCGGTGGAGAGCTTTCTGCTCTCCCACCACTCAAGGACGACGACATGTATGTGGGTGTGCCGAGCTATATGTCAGGATCGAAAAGGTGGAGCATGAAAGAATATGAAACATGAAGGCGTTCACTTCAGGCACGAGTTTGCTTCAAACAAAATCGGCTCCGATCGTCGATCAGGCAGGGCCAAAGAGGCCAGAGGAGGTGTATATCACACGAGTTCCAACTCTTTGGATGCCCATCTTCTGGCACAGCTGGCCCTTCGAGATTGGCTGGTCATCATCTCATCATCTCATCATCACAAAATGAAGACAACGTGATGTTCCTTCGCGAGTTTGGAATAAATGCTCGGCTTCTGTCCGCGTCAGGGCTGTTGGGCCTCTGGCCTCAAGAGACGCACACTCAGTCGCGAACTATGAACGTCGCACCGAGTTGCTTCACCGACTCGTCAGCGACGATCGTCTACTGTTACAATCGCGCATTCTCAGACACAGCATATTTGCTCCAAAAATCAGCACTCGCCGAATTTGGGATGACAGTGGGTTTGAGAGCTCCCCAGGATGCTTCCAAGGACCGAGTTCCTCACTGTTGCTTGTAGTCTTTACATGCGACCCACCTACCTATTTTTTTTGGCAACGATGAAAGAGTTTCGAACCCAGAGCTTGTGTTGGACAAGGCTACGCTGGAGTCTTGGGCAGATTACGGGAAGAAATCCACAAAGGCCTGGCTGCGGCAGATCAGCAGTTCTGGCCACGATGGACCTGATAATCATCCCAAGCGAAGTTCCCGCGGCTGGAAAAGTGCCTGGGTCGGACAAACCCACGTTTTGTGTTCCGGCAGTACCTGAGCGAATCACGTGTAGCGCTAGGACGGAACTGTGGCTTATGCTGAAGGTTGAAGATTTCACGTCTTGGTACATAGAGCAATCCAGTCGATGTGCAAATTGTAAACGATTGTGATTCCCAGCTCCGTGACGCAGCTTACTGACACGTAATCAGGTCCACGTACCTCGTGGATCGAGCATCAAACACCACGAGCAGTGTATCCTTAACTACCACATCTGGACTAGATTGCCAAGTCAAGGTCACGTGCCGCTGTCAAGATCAAAACCTCTCTACGCCTGGCTTTCCTGATTTTTTCATTCTCTTACGGCCCGAACATCCACGTTTATATGATCAGCGCATTGTACGACAAAGATTCAAAAATCGACAACTCACACACGCCGATCACTCTCCGCCGTTGATGGTCCACGATGCCGGCCCTGCTGGAGGACCCAGAGTCGGCCGTCGTTTATCGGCAATCTGGGCAGGGTCCGTATCCGACCCCAGAAAATCCGCAAATCCCCTCCTCCATTTTCCCTAGGACCGTCACGCTCAGGGATCGTGTTACAATTGCGACTCTTGTGCCTTTCTTCTCGCCTGAGGCAGTTCCGAAACGATTATTAGCTTATCTTTCCGAAAATCTCAACAAGGAGATCGAGGGTGGAGATACGTACCCGATGATCGACCCTCTGCCACTCGAGACTTTTGGGCCTTATTGGTTTGGTAATTTCGGTGCGGTCATGATCTTGGGTGATATTGGAGGTATTGAAGGGGTCCAGGACCTGGATCGAAACGGTGCTGACTGGGACAAACTTTGTCTGGGGAGTTTCTACGTCAAACCCAACTACCCCGGTCGTAGTAGTCACGTATGCAATGGTGGTTTCCTGGTCACCCCAGCGGCACGAAACAAAGGTGTCGGGAGGTCTATGGGCCGGTGCTATCTCGACTGGGCACCCCAATTAGTAAGTTCTGCTCGAGAGCGGATAGCGTGCCTCTGGCGGGAATTTGTCTAACACGCAATAGGGCTACACGTACTCTGTCTTCAACCTGGTCTACGAGTCCAATACTGCTTCCACAAGGATATGGGACTCGCTTGGATTCAAACGCATTGGTAAGGTTCCTGGCTGTGGAAATTTGAAATCGTCCAGCGAACCTGTAGATGCCATCATTTACGGAAGAGATCTGAAAACGGACCTCGATGGTGATCAATCCGAGGAGAGATTCGATAAAATTCGATACTACTTGAGACATCAATTATATCCACAGGGCGCGGGCAGGTCAGAAAAAAGCCGACTTAGGAGTGCCGCAACGCACTATAAACTAGTGGGTGGTCAGGATGGTATCCCGGAAAAGCTCTTCTTGAAGGACAAGGAAGTCATTTCCGACCCTCAAGCACAATACGATATCGCCACACAGATACATCTACAGTCGCACGGAGGCATCAACAAAACCACTGCCATCATAGCTACCCAATATCACTGGATTCGCATCAAAGAAACCGTGAGTCATGTGATCAAGAACTGTCCGGACTGTAAGGACGTGAACAAACCTCCAGTCAGTCGACTCGAAAACAGACCTCGAAGCAAGACAGTTGATGAAGCACCTGCGACACTACCGGCACCGGCACCGGCAACGTCCCCGCCGTCGCCACCACCGCCGCCCCCTCCCCCTCCTCCTTCTACTCAACCTTCACTGCCTCCACAACCTCCACTGCCTCAACAACCTCCTGTCGAGATTCAAAGCACGTCTCAAGAAGATATAACCCCCAATCGTTTATCAGATCACGACTTCGCTTCAATACAGCAGCAAATGGATCTTGCTAATGACCATCTGACTGATCCCAATGGGCACGTGCAAAGTAATGGCAACCTCGATGCACATCTTCACCCTGAGCCGCATCTGCATCCGGAGCTGCACCCTGACGCCCATCTTCATGATGCGCATCTCAATGCTTATGATGAGATGGCCATCGACCCGCAGATCATGGAGCAGATCCAAGCCATGACCGAGTACGACCAGAATACACATGCTTATGTTCAAGCCGGATTGGGTCAATTTGAGGCTCCACACCTACAGTCGCATGATCCGCACGATTTTAATCATCAGCCCCAAGACCATGGCTTCATGAACGACGCCAACGGCGCCATCATGACACATGATCATGTCATGGACGACAGCGGCACAGGGACAGGGCTTAGCAACATGCAACCTATTCAACATGTGTTACCCATGGACTACCTCGAAACTCCGAACAATCAACAGTTTAAACTTGAGCCATGAAAGTGATGCTGTCGGGCGTTTTGGGAAAAGCTGGATTTATGGAGCACGCAGGTGAACGAGCTCACGACGATGATTTATACCGCGTCACGCAGAATGACCTTTCTCTTCGATATGAACATACTTTGATCAACAGCGCTTTTAGAATACCCGATGCTTGAAGTACCGGAGTTGCGCCAAACTTGGGAAATTATAGAGTGTAGATAAAGATAAAAGAAACTTGCTTGGGGAGCAATTCCCGCCAATATGCTTGCCAAAATTCCTGACGAGGTCCACCTGAACTTGATATTCGACTCTTGACCCTCTCTTGTGTCTACCCGAGAGATCAAGACATTCCTCGGCTCGTTTGGGCCAATCCGACTAATCCTAATCGAGACAATCTCCTCTCGCTATCTCTAACCTAACTCACTCACGACCTGGTATCTGCCTGAGTCTGCTGTTGATCAAGCCTAGTCTCACTCGTATTCGCATCAATCGGAACAAGTCTCTCTGACATCGAACATGAAGGTGTCACTGGCCAGCGTTCCGATCACCATGCATAGTTACAATGGAGAATGTGAAGCCTAAAAGACCACCGCGACCTCCACCGAAACTACGCACCAAAACCGGCTGCCACAAATGCCGTGAACGTGAGTGGCTCAACTTGAGCATGCTTGTGTATTGCTGTTGCGCGTATCATTGGGAGGGATTTCTTCTGACCAACAGTAGGACGTAAAAAGTGCGATGAAAAAAAGCCGAGATGCGGCGCTTGTACGAAGCTGCAACTCGACTGCAGTTACCGAGAGACATCGTGCTCTCCTCGTCAGCCTTCACATGACGCAATTCCTCTACCAGTTACAACGCCAGAGACCGAGGACAAAGTTGTTGATGTGATCCTGCCTTCGCCGCTGGATTCCACCGTGAGCTTCAATCCATCAGTGCTAAAGACAAAGCGTGATTGGATGGTGTTTCAGTACGCCTCGACGAGATTCATCCAATTACTCACTACGCCGGACGCAACGGCCGAATTCCGCGATGTGTCTTTTGTATTCGCGATTGGATTTCACGAGCCATGGGTCATGCACGCAGCGCTGGCTCCGGCGGCGTTGCACGCCTCGTGTGCTGCGTTGATGCCTCGAGAGGATGCCATGGTGTACACTGAGAGTGCTCTCCGTGGTCTTCGAAAGGCCATCGAACGATCCCAGGTCATTGCTGACAAAGGAGAGACCTTTTTGGCAGCATCTCTTTTCCTAGGGGTCTTCGAGGTTAGCCAGGCCTCCAATTTGGATTATTCACAATTCGCTGATTGACTTTTTAGGACTTTTACTCGGCTCCGGCAAGTCAATGTTTGACTCACTACAAAGCTATTGCTCGAGTGCTTGAGGAACAGACTGTAAAAACACGCCGTTTGGATTTGGATCAACTGTCGGTCTTTCAACGTACTCTTCTCGACTCGGTGCTTTACCATTTTGCCACCAGGTTGATCTTTGAAGAGGACGTCGATGCCGTTTGCGAATCATTCCCCTCTCAAACTATAGCCATGTATATCGATGCACTGGAAAGTGGGACACAGCAAAGTCACGAATCATCTTCGATTCTTCCAGTCCTTGGGCGATGTAAGCCCAGTCTTTTCCTTCTGATCTATCAGATTACCTGGCTCAGCAGGCAGGTGCCGCTCGACAAACACAGCAGCAATCACACGCTTGCCCTTGAATGTCTGGAGGAGCTAGACAAGCTCTTCTATACAAGCCCAGTTCTAAATTTCGACGGAGTCTCTTCATCTGGTGATGATTCATCGAGGACGCCGAGCAACACCGATGTCGCTGCGAAACTCTACTTCTTGGCTACCAAAGTTTTCCTTGTGAAAGTTTTGGACCCAGGTCAAGTGCAGAGCACCTCGAGACAAATTTCTGCCATGCTGCAGCAAGCGTTTGAACTGCTCAGCTGTTTTGACGGAGCTGCCCCTTGTGCGCAATTCATCTGCTGGTCGATTCTTGTCTTGGGCTGTGCTGCCTGCCCAACAAGCAAGATCGAGACATGTGCTGAGTCTGACTTGCCAGTTGACAGTGGCGCTGAAGTACGCTTGAACATGAGGACTCTTATTCAACGACAACTATTGCAAATCTGGAAGACCTCCTACTCTGGGTATGTCAAACGAACAGCTGGCGCTCTGGACAAGATATGGAGCCTTCCCGACTTTCTGGTACGCGATCTTTCAAAACTCGTCTCGACAGCCGGAGTTGAATACGATGGTTTGAACGCCCTGGTGTACAGTGGGGGTCTGGGACAAGCCTTGCTTTATTTGCCTATCTCTTGAGCGAAACGACGCAGGTTCCAGCACGTCCTTATGAAGTTTTCACACGTGGAGGGCGAAGGACTTGAGCACTATACCGGCATCCTCTAGGAGCAGATATGGACTCAAGTCCCCTCATCCCGACTTCAAACTTCATTCTCACTACAGGTTCCGCTGACTTTAAGACCTGAGAGCATGGTCGTTCGATATTCATTGCTTAAACACTCTGCACTACATACCAGCGACATCGTATCTTCTAAGCTCGCTTCAAACATTCGTCAATGACTTTTGTCACCTGCAAACATTCCTCATCTCGCATCTTGCTCGTGAAAATTTGGAGCGAACAAGGTGCGCCATCCATCAATTCAGGATCATCTAGAATCTTTGTTAGTCTTGATTTCAATCCTCGGCAACGACTTACAGTCTGGTGCTCCTTGTCCTGCCTGCACCTTCCACGGTTCTGGGTCCAACTCTTTCGAAGCCTTTCCGAACGGTATGACGCACGCCGGATACTGGTCACACATTAATCAGCCGGAGTTCAAGAGAGGGGGTCCGGGTGCCTACATCAAGCAGGTTCAGGAAGGCCGTGAAAGGTGGCCACCCAAAATTGTCATGGGGCACAGCAGTGTTTTGCGCAGCTGGCGCGAGCACTGCATCCAATTTTTTCTCCAACCAAATTGTTCGCCAATTCTCACAGAGTTCCTGTCTTTTCACCGTGAGAAGAGCATATTTGTGAAGAAAATCAAGTCCATCTAGCTTGGGAACGAAGTTGTAATGGCCAGCATTACCAGGTCCAATTTGTGCGGCGACAGACGGCACTGGTGGCTCGCCGCTCGCATCTATGAACCCCTTGGATGTCGCGGTATGGAGGCCGAAGATTTCGCAGGCCACCTCGTTAGCATCTGAAACTTGGCCTTCAGCGGGCGTTAGGTACACGAGATCATGGCCAGCTGCTTCGAGCTTTTTGGCAGCCTCGGCCAAGGCCCGCTTGATTGGAGGTTGCAGCGGGTACACACGATCTTCTGACATGACACCGATCCTCAGTTTGGACTTGGTGTTGGGCCCGAGTCTACGCCATGGGACGTCGATGGCTGTCGAGTCGAGCAGTGCGGGGGTGGTGTCGAGCACTGCTTTGGTGAAGATTTCGAGTGCGTCGACATCGTTGGTGAGGGGCCCGGCAGAAGCGGTGATGGGCTTCCATCCTGCGAGCGATGGAATCTGCTGGCCTCCGTACGGGATTCGAGAGCTTGTCGGTTTGAAACCGTAGGTACCTGCCCTTTTGTCAGCTTTCGCGACATGTCTCAGCAGAGTCTACATATTCGCCTGACATACCACAGCACAGTGCGGGAATACGGACTGAACCTGCGACGTCAGTGCCGACACCCAGGGGCGAACCTCGAAAGGCCACCAATGCACCTTCTCCTCCGCTCGAACCTCCGGCATTGAGAGCCGTGTTGTGTGGGTTCAAGGCGCGTCCGAAAATGTTATTGTCGGAGTCGGCAGTCATGAGTGTTTGAGGAATATTCGTCTTCACATAAAGCACGGCACCCAGACTGAGGAGGATGTCCACCAGTGGTGAATTGGCGGTTGATTTCTTTCCTAGAAAAGAAACGTACCCAATCGAGGCCTCCTGTCCCTTGATCTGGAACCCGTCTTTAATGCTTATCGGGAGACCGTGCAATGGGCCTAATTTCTCTCCCTTGGCTCTGCGCTCGTCAAGAGATTTGGCCCTGCCGATGGCCTCATCGAAGAATGTTTCCGTCAGGCAGAATGTCAATTGCTGGGCGATGGCAGCTCTCTTGCAAAAGGCGGTCGTCACATCAACAGAGGTGAATTCGCCCGAAGCCAATTTGCCGAGAAGAGCCTCAACGGTGTAATTCTCCGTGATGTCCAACTCATGATCGGTCAAGATGCCAGACTTTCTCGGAATATCCAAGGCGATCAAGTTGTTTGGGTTCTTGTCAAGCGGAAGGGATAACGAGTCCAAGATTGAAGATGGTAGCAACCAGTTCTTTGGAATGGCAGCTCGCCGTTCTTCTCTCTTTCGAGCGACGATATCTTGCCAACTCAGTTTCTGTTCTGTGGTGGTTGTGATTGAGCCCATCTTGAGGTATCGAGACTGTTTACTTTTTGTTCTTGATTTCCCGGTCGGGATATATTGCTTGTACTCGAAAAGCGCCTTTGCTCAACCAAAGGACGAGTCTATGTAGGTAGTCCAGGGAGGTGCTAGACAAGTCGACAATCTGACGTTGATATGAGTGTTCAGTCTCACGCTTGGGGAGAAGTGCACCTCGGTGATAACAGATGTCGATTTCATCTCCACCATTGAATGATTTCTATCTTGGTTAGTATGTACCTCGGTAGACAATATCATTTGACGGTAACTAGTTGACGGCCTGGAGAATGGGTGCCTCTGTACGCATTTCTCCGCCTCGTGATGGACCTATCAGCACCAGTTGCGCCGACACCATTTAAGCTTCTCCAGGGACTGAAATCGTTCTAGCTTGACATCTAGAAAGTGGATTGATCTGGCTTCAAAGCATGGCTCTTGAGTGCGGCAAGATGCTTTCGACATGCGCTCGTGCCTCGACTCGGGTCCCAAGTATTTCAATGGCGGGCAGTCCTCGTTGCAATCTGCAAATCATAGAGGCCGCAAAACGACAAAGACACGATACGACAGTCTGATTAACGAGGGGCCTTTTTGATTCTGAAATATCAGCAAGGGTGAAACAAAATCCATGGATTCATCTACAGATCCTTCTATCTGGCAGACTCTGACCACGAGGCTGAGTCGTGACCCTGGCACACCGGTCGATGATCCAACCATATCATTCTGGCAAGAACCACCACTTCCAATAGCTCAACATGCATCTTCACGTTTACCTAAAGACGCGGACATTGTCATCATCGGCTCTGGCATCACCGGGATCAGCACGGCCCTGCATCTGCTTCGAAGAGATCCAAAGTTGAACATTGTCATGCTCGAGGCGAGAACCGCCATTTCTGGAGCCACGGGTCGAAATGGCGGACACATAAAAGCGGTACCCTGGGCCGACTACTACGCTCTCAAGGAAGCCTATGGTAAAGAGAGTGCAATGAAGATCACCAAGTTTCGCCTCGCGCATCTCGAAGCCATGGTCGCCGAAGCAGAGGCGCTGGGGGAAGAAGGGAAAGTTGGGCTGGTACGACGGGTCGACGGTGTCTGTGCGATATACGACAAAGAAGTCTGGCAGCAAGCAAAGATGAAACTGGCCACTTTTCTAGACGACTTTCCTGAAGAACGAGGGAAGTGGACCATGCACGAAGACGAAAATGAACTAAAGGTGAGCAGACCATTGGGACACCATCATCTCGATGACACTTTGCTGATGTTTTCTTTGCTACTCAGGATCTCGAAGTGGCCAACGCTCATGGCTGTATAGTAGGCCGTGCAGGAGCAGCGTGGCCATATCGGTTTCTAGGGGTCATATTGTCACGATTGTTACAAGGCGGGCAATTGTCACTAGAGACGCATACGGTGGCCAAGGACATTCAACGCACAAAGTCAGCACCTACCCATGCGTACGAGGTCCACACCACAAGAGGCACGATACTAACAAAACACGTCCTCCATTGCACGAATGGTCACGCGGCTCATTTGCTCCCTGCGCTACAAGGTAAACTGTACCCGTTGAGGGGACAAATGACCGTCCAGACGGTAAACCCTGAATTCCCCCGGACCGGGGCCCAGAGGTCTTACAGTCCCATGTGGGCCAAAGGTTTCGATTACATCACACAGTCCCCTGGCGAGGACGGTTCTCTATACCTAGGCGGCGGACTTTTGCAAGATGGTGGTTTGGAGAAAGACGAAGACTTGGGTAACCCGGATGATAGTTCTTTGAGTGCGGGTTGCCTGAGACATCTTGAATCTGTACCTAGCCGGGCTTTCGTTCGCGGGAAAGGGTCGAGCATCGAAAGGAGATGGACGGGGATCATGGGTTTCACTGGTGATGGATTGCCTCTGGTTGATCGTGTTCATAAGTTTCTTTCTGGGCGGGAAGAGTGTGATGACGACCCTCGGGCTGGTGGCGAGTGGATTGCGGCTGGTTGGGATGGGTATGGCATGGTCCATTGTTGGTTGACAGGTAAAGCTCTCGCCGCCATGGTTTTGGGTCACGAGGATGAGGTCGTCGAATGGTTCCCACGTCAAGAATTTGCATGTACCGAAGAAAGATTGGGAAAGATGAATCCCGAGAGTGCCTTGAGACACTTGCTGGGTTAGGTTAAAAACGTTATTATCTTGTTAGGTAGGTAGGTAGACATTACGGAGTAGGGCATTCGTCTTCCTTTGCCGAGAAGGCCGGGGGGGAAAGGGATTGATTGCAAAAGATGGAGTTTACATTGTGTCTTGTTGTACAGTATGTTTCTTGCCAACGTCGCCGGCAATTGAGAGATGGTCTAGACCTTTGGTTTTCTTAATCCGTACATTGTGCGCATAATGTATGGACACACTACCTTACCTATCGATATCGCGGATAGATAGATACATACGGTCAAGCCCTGTACTGTACACGTAGTGCGAAGGTAGATAATGGGGTAAATTTTGACACTATGCCAGAATTAGAAGGTTGACCCTGAAGGAGTACATAAGTCATTCGGGACTTTATCAAACAGCGATAAAGAGACAATGTTAAGTCGATCCCTTGTACGGCGCAAAGCGTGTTTATTGGTCGCTCCTCCTTAGAACAACCCTCGGCGCCTTCAGCAAGCTAATTCATTCATTCTTCTTGTTTCTAGTTCACTAGAGGCAAGCAGCTATACGCGAGATCTACAAAATCGTTGTCCTGGGCACAAGGACCTACGATCCTAATGTCGACCTTCTCCGCAATTTCGAGATGCACACTCTCCGTATCTCGCTGGGCTAGACCAAAACCAGGTTGGGACTCTCGCGTGGCCAAGATTCAAATGATAATGCTAAATAATGACCATTGATAACGAGAACATCAACTTACCCAGCTACCCGTGTTATCTGCCTACATAAGTAGTTGAAGTCGTGTCTTTCTTCCTCCATCAAACAAAGTATATTGAGACATTGATATAACCTGTCCTCCCTCCCTCCCTCCTGTCTGGACGGCGGCCCCCAAAAGACTCGACCACCTCAACCCCACCTCCTCCTCTTCCTCTCCCCCCTCTCCTCTACTTTCCAACCATACAACCAGGACACTGTTCTTCTCTTCTTTCTTCTTTTCCTCATCCATTCTACTCCTCATACAACCCAATCAATATACATGATATATCTCTCCCCAAAATGACCATGGACTACAACAACAATGGAAGACTCCCCCCGGGGACTCAACGTATCGAGGATCAGGCTGGATCTAAGATTCTACTTGCTCCCCAACCAAACGCTGACCCTAATCAACCTCTGGTACGTACATATACCCAACAACAAAACCCAAAGAAACACAAAAGCAAAGCACTAACAATACTACTTGCTGTAGAACTGGCAAGTTTGACTCTGCACCTGCAATAACCGAAGCAGCCCTATACCAAACCTTTCCCTTCTCCGTCCGTTGCTAATGCTGCCGTGAAACAGGACCAAGCTCCGCAAAACAGTACACATGGTCGTCTTGTGTTTTTATGCACTCATGGTCTTCGCCATGTGAGTTTGTTTCTTGAGCCTGTTGATATAAAAGCTGATTGAAAGGCGAAAAGTCTCTGTGTCGCAGTTCCCCTCTGGCAAGATTTCAACGCCGAACTCGGAATGAGTTATGCCATCCTGAATGACGGTTACGCAACCAACATGGCCACCTTGTCAGTAGGGTGCATTTTCTTCGTCCCGGTCGCTCTTCGATTCGGAAGACGTCCAATATACCTCCTCACCGCCCTGATCATGCTCGCCTCTGCCATCTGGCAAGCCAAGATGCAGACGGTCGGCGACATGATTGGAAGCAATGCCATCTCTGGCTTTGCTGGCGCCGTGAATGAGGCCATCTTCCAAGTCACGGTATGTCTGAAAACCTGATAGACAGTCATAAAGGATGCAACGAAGCTGATTTCTCATCTTGCCCCAAAGATCGCCGACCTCTTCTTCGTTCACCAACGCGCCACTATGAACGCCATCTACCTCTGCCTCGTCATCGCGGGCAACTACCTTGGTCCCGTCGCCGCCGGGTACGTGGCCGTGAACCAGGGCTGGAGATGGGTATTCTGGTACTGCACTATATTCATGGCCATCGTGGCTGTCTTCATGTTCTTCTTCCTCGAGGAGAGCAAGTACATACCTAAAATCGTCGAGGGCCACGAAATTGTTGCGACAACGTACAACGACCAGGACCATGACCTCACCAAAGTGAGCAGTATATCCAAGGACAGATTGGGTTCGATTTCCATCGACGCGACAGAGGCCGCCAATAATCAGCGCCGACGCTTGGTCGACATCGACACCACTATCCCAATGGACTCGTACCTGAGGCGCCATCGGCTCTGGTCAACTGAGAAGGCATTCACGACCGGCAACCGGAGCTACTGGATGCATTTCTTCCAGGTGAGAAAACAAAATCACATGCCTCCTATTGTGGCTTGAGGATAGCATGCTGACCGTGTATTTAACTGTCGCACAGCCATTCCAAATGCTGTACACTTTCCCAGCTGTGGCATTCTGTGCACTCCAATATGGTTTCCTCATCGCCATGTTGGCCATCCTCGCCGTTACACAGGCTACTCTCTACCCAGCTGCACCATACCTCTTTTCACCAATCGGTATTGGAAACATGGTAAGTTGGGAACCTCTCTTTTGAACAAAGTATCCTGACAGGTAGCAGAATCTTCCCCCAGCGATTGGCGCTATCCTGGGATCCATCTTTGGTGGCCCTATAAACGATTGGTTCATCGTTCAAGTTGCAAAAAGACGTGGAGGTATCTATGAGCCCGAAACTCGTCTTTGGCTCTTTTTGATCCCCGGGTTCTGTATGCCCCTGGGCCTTTTTGTGAGTAGACAGATTCCCCAGCCTGATAATATATGCTACGAGACTTCGGCTGACCAAGTTGTTCCGGACAGTTGTATGGCTTGACAATCGCCAAGGTATGTAATAAACTCCCATCGCCAAACAACAAACTAAGGGCAAGACATGTTGAGAGATGAGAGACTGACTCTATTACCATACAGGGCATGCCATGGGCCATCAACGCTGTCGGAGCCGGTTTCATTGGCGCAGCTATTGGCGGTTGCGGCGACATGGCTTTGACTTACTGTCAGGATTGTTACCAATATGTGAGTGACTCCTACCCATACCAAAATCCCTTATTCTCGAACTGCAGATAGAATGGATTCATGTACTGACCCATGTCACTTCGTCGTTTCTAGATTCTCGGTGACGCTCTCACGGGTGTCGTGTTCGTTCGAAACATCATTTCCACCGCTCTGGTCTTCGCCATCACACCTTGGATGCAGGGTATGGGGGTGTACAACATGTTTGTGCTTTTGGGATGTTTGTCCATCGCAGTAGCTTTGACTTCTGTCCCTCTCGTGATCTGGGGTCGGACATGGCGTGTGAGGTTGGCAGGAAAATATGAGCATTTCGTTGCTAAACAATACTGATTGTTTTCCTGTATGCGGAGGTGATGATGCGACATTGTGCGGGTGGCTACTTATCAAGAACGCCAGGGAATATGTCGGCCAGGGTATGTACGGGTCCTTGGGACATCAGGAATCTAGATTAGGTAGAAAATGGATGACTCGAATTAAGGCTACGGGAAGATCTTCCTTGATTGCAATCCTCGCTCCACTCCACGCACCTTTCGTAGTCTTGAAAGCGAGACTTTTGTTGACTTGCTGTATGAGAATAACTCCCCACGACTACCTTACCTTGTCTACAACATCGTCGATGATTTTTCTGTGTCAGCTTTGGAGTAGCCTGAGTAATGTCCATAGCTAAGAACCCCGGCGCTCAATCGCCCAATACTCCGCCGTAAAATGTGCTGCCAAGCATAGCCCGCCTTAGTTCGAAAATGCGTCTACGCAAGAGTGGTGCCAAAAAAGTTCTTGAGGGAGGACGAGGTGCGTACCGACCACCCCACTAACAACACCACTCTTTCCAAATCCCCGATACCAGGCAGTCAGTGCGAGGAGTCAAAGATGGCGGCATTTGGCGGACAAACACCTACCATCATCGTTCTCAAAGAAGGTACGGGCTTGCTTTCCCCGTTCAACTGCGAGACACAACTTTTACTAACGCCGCTGCGTCCACGCAGGCACCGACCAGTCCCAAGGCAAGGGCCAGATAATCTCAAACATCAACGCCTGCCTCGCGGTACAGAGCACGGTGAAGTCCACCCTGGGCCCCTATGGCGGCGATCTACTCCTCGTCGACGGCAACGGCCGGCAGACCATCACCAACGACGGGGCCACGGTCATGAAACTGCTCGACATAGTCCACCCGGCGGCACGGATACTGACCGACATCGCGCGGTCGCAGGATGCAGAGGTCGGCGACGGCACGACCTCGGTGGTCGTGCTGGCCGGTGAGATCCTCAAGGAAGTCAAAGAGCTCGTGGAGCAGGGCGTGAGCACACAGACCATCATCAAAGGTCTGAGGAGGGCGAGCGTCATGGCCATCAACAAGGTCAAAGAGATCGCCGTGGGCACGACAGAGGGCAACAAGAGGGAGACGCTGCGCAAATTGGCGGCCACAGCCATGAGCAGTAAGCTCATCCATCGGAATGCTGACTTCTTCACCAAGAGTACGTTACACGCCCTTCCCCCTGAAATCCAATTAGTCAGGCTCGGACCCGATATGCTAACAACTGTGTGTATTTTCTAGTGGTCGTCGATGCCGTCTTGTCCTTAGACCAAGAAGACCTCAACGAGAAACTCATCGGCATTAAGAAGATCACCGGTGGTGCGCTGGAAGATTCCCTGTTTGTGGACGGTGTGGCGTTCAAAAAGACATTTTCCTATGCCGGTTTCGAGCAACAGCCGAAATCCTTTACGAGCCCCAAAATCGTGTGCCTTAACGTCGAACTCGAACTGAAGGCCGAAAAGGACAATGCAGAAGTCAGGGTGGACCAGGTCTCCGAGTACCAAGCAATCGTCGACGCAGAATGGCAGATCATCTATAACAAGATGGAGGCGCTATACAAGACCGGTGCAAAGGTCGTGCTGAGTCGATTGCCCATCGGCGATCTTGCGACTCAATACTTTGCAGACAGGGATATCTTCTGCGCTGGGCGAGTCGCGGCAGACGATCTCGAGCGAGTGTGTCAGGCTACTGGCGCCACGGTGCAGAGCACCTGTAGCGACATTCTCCCATCACACTTGGGTACCTGTGGCAAGTTCGAGGAGCGACAGATCGGCGGCGAACGTTACAACCTGTTTAGCGAGTGCCCAGAGGCAAAGACCTGCACGCTTGTTCTACGGGGTGGAGCCGAGCAGTTTATCGCTGAAGTGGAACGAAGTCTTCACGACGCAATCATGATCGTCAAGCGTGCTATCAAAAACCACACCATCGTTGCTGGTGGCGGCGCTACAGAGATGGAAGTTTCGGGTTATCTGCACAGATTCGCAGACAAAAACGTCCCGCACAAGCAACAAGCCGTCGTCAAGGCTTTCGCAAAGGCCCTCGAGATCATCCCACGACAACTCTGCGACAATGCCGGCTTTGATGCCACAGATATTCTTAACAGATTACGTGTCGAGCACCGCAAGGGAAACACCTGGGCTGGTGTCGACTTCGACCACGAAGGTGTGCGGAACAATATGGACGCCTTCGTCTGGGAACCGGCTCTGGTCAAGGTCAACGCACTCAGTGCAGCGGTCGAGGCTGCTTGCCTGATATTAAGTGTTGACGAAACCATTAAGAACGAGGAAAGCCAGCAGCCCCAAGCGCCTGCACGAGGGTTACCTCCTGGAGCAGCGCAGAGAGCCCTCAGGGGCAGAGGAAGAGGTATGCCGAGACGGTGAGCGAGATGGCAGATGTTGAACGAGAAGAAAACAATGAGCTCCTGGGTTCTTCCCGCCCATGTAGATTACGTCCAAAACAAAAAGTGGTCATATTGGCTTCTTGCTTCGATTAGCGAGCATCTGCAGCCCCTGTCGACAAAGGGCCCATGGCGCACAGGATGATATGACATGAGACCAATGATACCAGAATGTCTGTTGGCACCTTGATTGATAGAATTCGGATTAAATGTGAACATTGGTGCAACTTGGAGCGTAAGACGCTGGGAATGAATGGACGATGCCAGGTCGCGCAGCGAACCATATGTGGTGGGAACCTTTTTGCATATCTAGACTCATCACATGCCTCTCGGTATGGTTGGAATGTGTTCAGCTCAGGTCAATAGGCTGCCTCTCTTCTAGACCCAAGAGTTAGGCAAGCAGATCGACATCTTCTCAAGATGGCTCTAACGAGAGGTCGAAATAGACCGACAACTAAAAACAGTGTGTGGTAAATCTCTATAAGACTTGGTGTTCATTGTTCTTAGATTGTCCAGCTCTTGTCATCACAGCCCCTACTAGGCTCAAAGGATGGTCAAGCATGTGTAAGCATGGATCAATGTAACCACAACATCATCGCGACAACCCCGTATGAATAGATAACCAAATCTGGGGGATGGTGTAAACACTGCTCTGTTAACAGCCCCTTGTCAGAGACTACCCAGACCACAGGGGTTTGAATTTCGGCAAGGGCTGGACTTGCTATATGCGGCCCAGTCACCTATTGCTTACTACTCTGTAATGCCAGTTGCAACTACTGAGGGTAACACGAGGGTATCCGTAACAGGAAAGACATCGTATGCAAAATGACCAAAAGGACTGAGATTGCAGCAAGCTGAACCAATCGAGTGTTTTGCGCAGACAGCATTATCCAGAATGGCCAATCGTCTAGGTCCTTTTGCTGGCGAAGACTTGTGGCGCAGCTGGATCTTGCATGAGGCACGACTTGTCACCACTGGGTCTCGGTCTGCATGCAATTTTACGGCCTGTGCCCATGTGAATGCAGGGCTGTTCGAAGCTGATTGCCATATGCCACGTGGATCCCTCGAAACTCAGCACTTGGAGCTAGAACGAGAGAGAAAAAAAGAATCGACTTCTAACCTCACTAGAGAGCGGGAGAACAACGACTTGTCGAGTCATGTCTAGTTCGGATGAGCTTGTAGCTAGCCTCGTACCCCGTGTTCAGCTTGGAACTACTGAGAAGAGCCGACCTTCGACGCTTTTGAAGATGCATACAGGGTTTCAGCAGGGTTGTAATTCCTATGACTGCATTTGGACTGCATAGCCAGCTAGGACTGAATCTTGCATCTCGTCTGAGAACGGTTGCTCGATTTAGGGTCAAGTCGAACCGTCGTAAACTGGAAACAGAGGAGTTGTTCGCTGGTACACGGCCCTCCTTTCAAGGGTTAGTCGTGAGGCGAGCGAAGCTGGAACTTAGGCGGAGGACGTGCCCTTTCCCGCTGCAAGGCGAAAGGAGAGGGCGACTAGCCGAGAACAAAAAGACCCCGTGAACATCGACCGAGACAGGTTGACAGAGGAAGAGGGGACCGAGACACATGTGAGCTGGATGGTGGAGGCTTTTGACGCCGGGAAAAAGCACGTCTGTCTGGTCTCGTAAGCGGCCACTTTCCCGCAGGGTCTATAACAAACAGGAACAGCACAGTAGGCGCAGTCGGTCGTCTACTCTAGAGCCTCACATTCCATTCCTTTCGGTTTACCTGAGTCATCAATACTGTACACGTATAGCCGTCGCCACCTCGTTCATACCAGATTCTCCCTCTCGAAGATTCGCGTATCGGCACAGATAGTCCCGTCAGCCCTGTTCTCATTACTCCACATCGAACCCTGGCACATTGACCTAAAATTCCCCATCCCAGCCGAGAACCTGAGGACTCCCGCCCACTTCATCTTACGAATACCAAAAAGCACCTTCGTCGACGCTACCTATTCTTCTCGCCCAACGGTGTCGTGCTTCTTGAAAATATCACGGTCGACCTCTATATCTCTAACAAATTCTTCACTGTCCTCGAGTGTACAATGTCTTGGTTCCCTGGACAGGGCGGCTACGGCGTAAGTCTGACACACTCCAGTTCCGCAGCGAGAAGCGGCAACACCGAGCTGTTATGACGCAGGCAATTGATGATAGACGGCTTACTGATTGTACTCAGGCTCAACAACATAACAACTACGGCGGATACCCTCCCTCACATTCTCCGTCACCATACCCGCCTCAGGGCTACAACCAAGGCTACGGTCAACAGCCATATCCCCCTCCACAGTCGTCACAACCGTACCCGCCTCATGGTTACGGCGCTCCTCAGTACAGCCAACCTCCGCCAAATGTAGCACCATATGGCTATAATGTACGTCCACAATAACCCTGGTTCCAAAAAAATATCTGATGTGTGTTAGAATCCCCCTCCTTCGCAGGGTGGCTACGGAGGATACGCAAGCCCGCCTCCTCAGCCAAATGGCTATCCTGGACCCCGACCAGGCATGCCCTCCTCATATAACAACAACCAGTCACAAGGCCATGGCAACCCAAGACCTCCGCCTACTGCTCCCCAGCAGTTTGGAGCCGGAGCACCAGCAGGATATTCGTTCCAATACTCAAACTGTACGGGAAAGCGGAAAGCGTTACTGATAGGTATAAACTATTTTGGTCAGAGAGGACAACTGAGAGGTTGTATCAATGATGTGAAGAACATGTCGACCTATCTCAATCAGAATTTCGGCTATGCTAGAGAGGACATGGTAATCCTCACAGACGACCAGCAGAACCCAATGTCACAACCGACAAAAGCCAATATACTTCGAGCTATGCATTGGCTCGTCAAAGATGCGCGTCCGAATGACTCACTATTCTTCCATTACAGTGGCCACGGTGGCCAAACGCCAGATCTTGATGGAGATGAAGAAGATGGATATGACGAAGTAATATACCCTGTCGATTTCCGGAACGCGGGTCACATTGTGGATGACGAGATGCACCGCATCATGGTCAAATCACTACCTCCTGGTGTACGGCTGACGGCAATATTCGACTCTTGCCACTCAGGCTCAGCACTCGACCTGCCGTACATCTACTCTACCCAAGGTGTCCTCAAAGAGCCCAATTTGGCCAAAGAAGCCGGCCAAGGCATGTTGTCTATCATCTCGTCCTATGCTCGTGGAGACATGGGCGGCATGGCCTCTACAGCTATGGGCTTGTTCAAGAAAGCTACGACGGGTAACGCCATTAACGAACGCAACAAGCAAACCAAGACGAGTCCTGCGGATGTGATCATGTGGTCAGGCAGCAAAGACTCTCAGACTAGTCAGGACGCCAACATTGCAGGAGAAGCCACTGGCGCCATGAGCTGGGCTTTCGTGACGGCGTTGAAGAAAAACCCACACCAGAGTTATGTTCAGTTGTTGAACAGCATCCGTGATGAATTGGCTGCCAAATACAGTCAAAAACCGCAGCTGAGCTGTTCCCACCCTCTAAGTAAGTTCTTCCTTCAATCAACTCTCAAATCAAGCACTAACCGTCAAACCAACAGACACGGATTTACTATATGTGATGTGAACAACGAGACGCAGGAGGATAGTCATGATACCCGGGCCTATGGTGCCATGGAATGGTTCTTAGCACGCTTCAACATTGTATAGTCGGCGTTTCCTGAGCGGCTTCCCCTGGACATGCCACAAGTTTCTAATGGAAGTGGGAAAAGTCATGGCGTGAAAGGGCGAGCACAGAGTATAATTGAACCTATTCATCACACTTTTTGAGAGCATCAACCGTTGCGTTCATGTGCCGTGTAGCCGTCCATCGTTGGATGTTATCATTAGTACTGCCAATCATGAGCACTATTCATGTGTATCTAGGCAGTGCCTGAATAGTGGTCTGTAAGCGAGGCAAGGATTGACAAGAGTCAGCCTTGAGAGCGTCCAGAAGACCTATTATAGGATGCAAGGACGGGATGTTCATTTTCGTTCTGCTCTTGGCTGTGATTGTAGTGGCCGCCTTGGAGAAAAACGTGCCACGTGAACGCGGGCGGAATCGTATGCAATACAACGTCAATGCTGGCGCCGCATGTCACCACCCACTTATCACGAATCTTGCAGCCCGGCGCATTGACAACGAGCCCATGATCGATTTATGAGTGGCATTGGTACCGACTTCACTTCCTCCCGTTTCTGTCTTGTCGCCAACGAGCCTCTCCTACCGTCGTTACTTTTTCCAACATGACTACTCTTGTTCGTCCGAACCGCCCTCCAGCATGAAGCCTGATGTCCCTCCCTCGTACGAGAGCGCCATCAGTCGCGAAGCATGGCCGATAATCGCGCCCTACATCCCCTCGAGTGACCTCTGTTCGGCGTGTCTTGTATCGCGGAAATGGTACTCGATATTTGTTCCCTTCCTCTGGGGCGATCCCGCTTCCCACTTTGGCATTGCCAACGACGCCGTCTACGTCGCGCTCACCCGCTTCAAGAGGATCCTCCGCAAGGCGAGGCCGAGCGTGAGAAGCCTGACGCATACTTTGCACCTACCGCCTGCGCTCAGTGAAATATACGGCGGTCCCAACCCGACGTGGTTGCGCGATGTCCTCGAATATCTACCCAATTTACAAAGTCTGGTCGTCACGAAACTACCCTTTTTCGATCACCATAGTCTCAATGCGTTGAGACTTACAAGCAGCGGGAGGACACGGCCCTCGGGAGAAGACGACGAATTGCCTACATATGGGTTGAAGCTACTGCTGGCTTCGAGTGAGCCGAACACCACATCAAGCGCTCTGGCGGGCGCGTTGCCCAGATTCCCAAGTCTAGTCTATCTCGACCTTTCGTACACGTCACCCGCGAGAGATGCGGCCGTTCTGGCGGCGCTGCTATGGCTGCCAGATCTGCAGGTCCTGAAATTGAGGGGCGTCGGCCTGAAGGACGGAGAGGCCGAGGTGCTGGCCAATGCCATCGGCATCAAGGTCCGCCTGCTGGATATCAGGGACAACCTGTTGACCGATATGGCTGTTCGTTCCCTAATGCAGGCTTGCTTTCTTCCATCCGACGCCTCAACCCGTGGCAATCTAAATCTGGAAGATTGGCCTGTTGGCATGGCCCCAGGCCCGGACTTCTTCAGTCTGGACACCTTACGCAGTGAAGAACTCGACCATGAATTACTGAAGCAACTGACCAAGCCTCTCACAGGGAGGTTAGCGTTTGAAGATATTCCCCACAGAGGTCTTACTCATCTATATATTTCGGGTAATCGCCTGTCTGTCGAGGGCCTCTCCAGTCTGCTCAAGTCGGAACGACTACACATACTCGATGGTGGTTCTGTCGATACCGTCAAAACCATTGCAAGGACACAATCACTCTCTTCGCCTACAGGTTACATCGACGAGGTTCGATTTCCGGGAGCCGAGAAGCTTATACCTGTGCTGGCGAAATCGGCGAGCAAAAACCTCACATATCTTCGTGTCGACCACGCCTTGGTCACTGCAAAACTAGAGGGTAGTCATGGTTCCATTAAACATAAAGCGGCCTCAGCTGCCTCGGCCGAATCTGTCAAGTCTCAATCAGTGGCTGCTGAATTGTCGTCAGAGGAAAGGCACATCGTCGAAGCTCCAGCGCCAGCTCACTATGCCGTGGAGTTGCCTGACAACGGACCAATTTTCGAATTGGACGCTACACCAGCACAGCCGAGACAAGAGCTGATAGGTGACGTGATGTATTTTGCCTTGAGCCCTCCAGTCGGCGAGAAACCACATGAGTCCAGCCCAGTCGAGGAGAAGCAAAGTCCCATCAGAGGCGAAGGCCCTTTCGCGCCAGAAGTGGTCAACGACAAAGATCTACACAACAACGAAGCCGAAGACCATGGGAATACGACAGAGTCCGAAATCTCTGACGAGACTGGGACGCACAGTACGACCAGGTCTCTCTTTTCGCCTGTTTCTCCCATCAGCAACCATGGTACTTTTCAACCCTTGGTGGCTCCGTCGGCAAAAACAAAGCACATGCCTACTCATCTTCCTCTCATAAAAGAGCCATCTGAAACTACACCTGAATCCCCAGCCGTCCAGCCAGATGCGACCTTGTCTCCTCTACCAACCCCGACATCTCATCGTCAAGCTCAGATTGAAACTCTTTTGGCAAAGAGACCCATGCAACCGTCCAAGCCTCAACTAGGATCGCAGGTGAACCAAATGGTCTTCTCAAACCTGCGCAGTCTTCATCCGTCTCTGCTTCCGAATTTACGAACACTAATACTGACTGATGTGCCTACCACTACCTCGAAATCCTCGGGTGTTTTAGAGAACCTGAAGTCGTTCATTGCCGCTTGCGCCGATGAGTCTGCCCTGTCCCGTCTCCTCGCCCGTACCGATTACTCTCTTCCGCCTGGCCGAGCGCGACACATGGCCGAGCTCGAACAAGCACGTGCCCTTTTTGCCTTGCGTACAATCATCCTAGAGATGGAGCAACCGGCGGTCAAGACTGTTGACGCCCAACGCGGCTGGCAACATTCTCGTCAGGACATCACCATGAGTAAGTCGTCCACAGGTGACATGGATAGTGAGAACTTATGGTCCGCCGCGGCCAATGATTTCAGCTTCTTCGGGGAGGAGGGAGAAGAACATGACGAGTGTGGCATTTATGAGCATGATCCAGAAAAATATTTCCCAACCGCGCATTTTGATGATAAAATCGTCTTGACTTCAGGTGATGGACACGATGACAGTGGATCGAATAGTCCACATGGCAGTGTCAATCAGGGCTGGGGGGCCGGAACTGGGACCCTATCACCTTTCTCGATGAATCTTGGTGGACGATCGGCGGGAACGATAAGAAGCCCAAGAAATTTGCCTCTGGGGAGGAATAGGCGAAGTTCAAACGAGCCTCATTCTCGACCACACAGCGGTGCCGGTAGTGGGACATGGGACCCTCGCGAGCTACTGTCAGAGGTGCAAGGGGGACCTGTTTCGCCAAAGTTTTTGAATGGACACATTCAATCTGCACAACGTCGGATGGCTCCGCCACCAACATCCCATCCCAAACAAGTGGAGCCGGACAATGAGTCGGAAGAAGAGCAAGTGGATGTTGTTGCGGAACTGGCTGCATGGAGAAGGGAGCGAAAGAAGGCGTATGAGGAGGAGTTGTCCAGGTATAGGTCGTCAAGGGCCGGCGGACACAGTCGAGGACCCAGTCAAAATGGGCAGAGTTACGGCAATGGAATAGCCAACAACAACACTGGATCGGATTCGATGGATGTACCACGAGGTTATGGCTATGGCTTCGATCCGGGAGCCATTAATGCCGCGACCGGAGCAAACAAGTCATCACCGATGTCGAATGGGTCGACCACTCCCAAGCCTACGACTCATGGCGACCTTAATGACATTGACATGAAGTTTGTAGAGGGTCATTGGAAAGGCGAGATCAAGGTGATTCGAAATCCGACCCCCAAAGGGAGAACGGGGGTCGTGGACATGTATGGGAACTATTTTGAAAAGGGCTATTTGTATCCCTGACGACGTCGACCGACCAGATGTTTGGGAAATCTACCTACCCAAGATACCTACCTTGAAGAGAAAGGAGAAGCAAGCAGCTATAATACCCCCCATATACAGATTGTTGATTTTATGTCAAATGACCATGTTGGACCTACAGGGAGAATGAATTGTATACCCTATATATGATGATTACTTTACACTGGTAGCTCCGTTGTCTGATCAAGGCAGGAACAGGTTGCGTCAAGAGTATCATGTAAGGAGAGGCCTTCGACATCCCCGCTCATATGATTTGAGGACGAATTGATCCTCCTTTCAATGACCTAGGAACGTATTTGCAAACTGTTGAGGAATTGCGTCTGTCTCAAAGATTTGCCAATGCTGATGGAACACACGAGGGTCCTTGACATCATCACGGCGGTCCAAATTACCCCCGGAACTCACTACTTGGTCGACGACGCTGTTGTATATATATGGTACAGTTATATTACACTGACACCCCCAAGCCGTCGTCTTTTTCTCGCCCCCTTTTTCAACTTATCCGAACGCCGCTTTGGGCCATCCAATCTCCTCCCTCCCTTGACTGCTTCCTTCCGTTCCCTTGCACTCTCTCTTGACTCTCCTCCCCGCTCTCTACTGCCCCCTCTTCGCTTCACATGAAAGGTGCTTTACTGATAAATCGTACAAGAGGTTGGTCGTCCAAAAACATTCATTTCTCCGCGAACGCCACTGTGATGCCGACCTTTGTGTGAAATCACACTCGGCGCTTTCCACCTTGCCTCACTGTCCCTTGACCGCTTTTTGTAATGCCCAAACCACCTTCCGGAGCCACTTTGTCCCGGTCAGGCGTAGAAATGTCGAAAATTACTTCTTTGTCGACCGTACGCATCCAAACACATTATCTTGGCAGGAGGTGACGAATCAGGTTTGGATTTCTCAGGGCGAACCTGAGAAAGCCACCACCATCCAATGCGATAGAACAAATGACAGGGGTATGCAGTGCGAAAGACAAGATGTATCTCTGGGGATGTCTGCGACCAGTGCGAATATGGCGTTGATTAACCATATAAGAGCAAGGCCAACCCGTCACCTTTTCTTCTACGTTTCCTCAGTCTCACAATCGACTGTGTCAGAAGAACTTCTTCACCCGAGCCAAAGTCTTCAACCAAGTGCTTACGTGGTTTTATATATTTCCTCTTGGGCCCTAGAGAGGCTGAGTCCATCACTTTTCTACACGAAGTCACTCCCTTCGTGGTGAAAATGCAGCGCCCTCCCAGGAAGTTACACTATTTGAAATGCCACCAATGCCGCAAGGATCGTCAAAAGGTATGTCGGCACATTTGGCCGTCCAGGCGCCAGATATTTTTGCTGCTGAACAATCAACCCTAGTGCACCCCTACCGATCGCTGTTGGCCTTCTCGGAAACGTGACCGCTGCATCAAGTTCTCTTATCCTTGCTCGCCAAATGTCACCGCTCGCGGCGAAGCGGCAAGGCCTCTGAAACCCCCCGAGATCCCTCAAGGGAAACAGCCGGCCTCACTTGACTTCAACCTAGAGAATCACGACTTCGGTGCCGACTACACGGCAGCTCAACCTGGTCGATCAAGTCTTCATAATATGGAGAACCCATCTAGCGACACTAGTCAAGACTTTCCCGGAACGTCATCTATCGAAGGTGCTTTTGCCGAGACGTTTGCCCCAGGTCGTGTCAACGCCAGTTGCACAATTTTCTTCTCCCAATTGAAACTTTCAAGGTGGAATCTTACGACTTGTTGCATGGCCCTCGAGTCTCTGGCGCCTGAGGATACGTTGAACAGGTTGCTTCTTGGCAAAGCGTCTGTGCTCGGAGAAGCCACTGCAATCGAGCTGCAGAACAGGCTTCTCCAACGTGAAGGCCTTGTCGCTTCAAGTTTTGTCCGAGATGTACGTATTCGACAGGAGATGGCTAAAGGGAGCAGTCGAGATAAAGCTGTGAGAACTATCACTGCAGGCGAGGTTTCCCATCTACTAACATCAGGGACGACAAAAGGCAAGAGTCAGTCAGCACTGAAGGACATCGTCGCCGCCGCTCGTCGTATTCGAGAAGGAGACAGGTGGAGTGAGCTAGTTGAAGTGTTTGGTGCTCGCGAGGTGCTCCTCGTTGACGCATATCACGCCAAATGCCGTTTTCGATTTGGGAAAATGAGCGAATGTGACATTCACACCGAGTTTGGGGATGTGAAAAACCTCGAGTGTTGCCCAGAAAGCCAACCTTCTTTCAGCATTGACAGAATCGTGAAGAAAGGGACCGATGAAATTTTTGCGACGCTCAAGGCGATACTGCTGACACCTGAGCTTCAAATGCAGGTGACTCTTCGGCGGTTGAGCGGGCTCACCCCTGTGATTCACCGCCTTTTCGGACCTGACAAGATAGACCGTTTCCTTGCTGTCTACAGTGGGCTATCTCCTTTTCTGGATGTGAAGCTCAATCTCGGTGAACACGACTCTGACTGGTTTCAGAAGTACACGTTCTGTCCTGAAGGTTTGGAAGAAGCAAAACCCTTCGACGCCGAACTTTTGCTCTCAGTGATCTCATCCAAGTTCGAAGACGCCGTAAAAGAAGCAAAACTCTCCAGTCCGGGCCTTTTGCATTCAGAGATGTCTTCGAAGATCGAAGACGCGCTCGGATATGTCAGCTTTCAAACTGCTTCTGAGTCCGATGACGGGTCTGACGTGTGGGATTTTCGCGATGACGACGCTAGCGATGAGGACACTAGCGAGGACGACGAAAAGGGCGACGGAAAAGGCGATGACAAAAATGACGGCGATCCGGACGAGTTTTCTGGTATCAATGAAGAAGATTTCGGCTTCGATGAGGATTTCTGTATTCACTTCCAGAACAGCGACGCATTTGCTTCATTTTCACTCTAGCCGGGAGGATGACCCAAAGCACATCGGGTTCCTGGCTCCCCAAAAACAACCAAAACTCCCTCTTTTGTCTGAAAAAGAGAAAAAGAATGCCAATCTCTTGGTTGAGTGCTCGAGGTTGCAGTCGTTGCCCTTTGGCAGGTAATTTCAGGCCATGGAGCGACAGCAAGTTTCCGCAGCTTCAACAGCAAATGATGGGAAGAGCTGTCCATTCTTGCTGGTCTCGAAGCAGGCGCTCATTCTTGTCCTCAGTGAAGCCAAGTAAGGTTCGGAGGTTCGGAACGGGTCATACAATTTTCTCACTGTCGACTGCGCTGGGAGGTACAGTTGATGGCGAACAACCTGCGCCATCTCCCAGCAAGATCCATTGCGCCCAAGAAGAGACTATGAACGGGAAAAGTGCCTCGTACGGATCGGACCTTCTGAACGAAAGAGTTTGAACGTACACTCTTTGATGCGGCTATCGGGGGTGCTAGGTTATCGGGTAAAAAGCAATCACTTGACATGATCGTCGAGTCCTTGATTGATATATTTGTAGTCCGGGGAAAGCGAAGAGTTGGTATCATGATCAAGCAGTAAACTTTCGAAGACATGTTCACCTCAGAGTTTTGAAGAAGCAGACGAAGACATTTCTGTCCCAAATTATACATCTGGCAGTAGAACAGGAAATGCCAGAAAAGGCTCTGGCAACCCGAATTGAAAACCGGATGTTAAAAGGAGCCTTCGGCCTCCACGAGGGCCTAAAGACGACCCTTGGGAGTCTAAATGGCCCTTCTAGATATTCGGGGCGTACATATAGTATATATATTTCGTATCTCTAGCCAGTGCCTCGTATCATATTTCGTTTAGAAAAAGCCAAAAAGAAAAATTCATCCTCATGAGTAAAGCCCGGTCGAGTCCGCACGGTTCCCGTTTCAGAGAAAGAGAAAGAGAAAGAGAAAGGGAAACCAAAACCCCCGGCAATATTCCGAGTGAAAGAAAAAAGCACCTCCTTTGAAACGCCATTGCTCATGCAAAATCAGGCACATCCTATACGCACACACAGCTTCCTCATAAATCGTCTCTTGCTTTTCTTTTTACTGTGGCTGGGGGGCCGGAGTTTGCCCTGCCCCGAAACCCCTCCAACGGTTACTGCTCTATGCTCCTTCACTACCAAACTCTGCCGTCCAGTCCGCGTTTCGTTTCAGATCGTCACCGGACACGGTCGGTCTGGAACCCTTGATGGCCCGGATGAAGTCCTTGACGGTCAAGGGGGGTTCGAGCAGTTGCTCCGAGTCGACTTCCATCCAGGTCATCTCCATGGCTCCTGAATCACCGGGAGAGCAAGGGGTGAGTTTTTCGCCACCATCTACTTGGACCTGTTTGTTTTTGTTAGTCGAATGGGTGGTGGTCTCGTGAAGGTTTAGGACATGTGGGCTTTTGCCTGATCAAGGGCGAACGGGCCCAGATAGATGGCTTGGTAGACGTACCTTTTTATAATGGGTTGCAGTCTGAATCTTTCTGACGGGTTGCATCAGGGCGTCTTGTACCGCTATGCTGATATCACTTCCGGAGTAACCTTCACTGAGATCGGCCAGGGCCTTGTAATCTTGTTGTGTCATTTCACATTTCGTGTCGCCGACGGCGAGCTCAAACATTCTCATCCGCGCCGGCTTGTCGGGCAAGGAAATGTGCACTCTGCGTTGGAAACGTCGGCGGATGGCCGCGTCGAGTTGCCAGGGGATGTTTGTGGCGCCTAGAATCAATACACCTTTCGAGTCTTTGCCTACACCGTCCATCTGGACCAGAAGTTCCGTCTTGATACGTCTCGACGCCTCGGACTCGCCTTCTCCTCTGGGACCGCACAGGGCGTCGACCTCGTCGATGAAGATGATTGCCGGTTTATTTTCTCTCGCCATATTGAACAGCTGCTTCACCAGTCGCTCCGATTCACCCATCCACTTACTCACCAGGTCGGAAGAGCTCACGCTGAAAAATGTGCTGTTGGCCTCGGTCGCGACGGCTTTGGCCAGGTACGATTTACCAGTCCCGGGAGGACCGTAGAGTAATATGCCCTTCCACGGTTGTCTTTTCCCCTGGAACAAATGAGGGAACTTGATGGGTAAGATGACGGCCTCTTTCAGTGCCTCCTTCGCGGCGTCCAACCCCGCCACGTCCTCCCACTTCACGTTCGGTTTGTCCGTCAGGATGGCCCCCGTCAGTTGACCCCGTAGCTTCTTGCTGTCGGCATCTTCTTCGTCCTTGTCGCCGCCGGCTTCGCCCTTGCCTGCCCCGTTGACCGCTTTGCCGTTGACGCCCATCGCCGCCGGTTTCTTTCGATTACTCGGGTCGTTGGCTTGTATGTGCGCCTTCAGTTTCTCCACTCGGTCCATGTACTCCCCAGCCTTCGCCCGTATCATTTCTTTTGATTTCGGGTTCTTCTCCCATTTCAAGGCGAGCATGAAGAGTTCCAGAGCCGCATAGTATTGTTGGTATGCTTGTTCATAAGACCCTGCGGTGTCTAGTTCGATGGCCTTTTTGACCGTGTCGATTGCGCGGCCGAGAAAGTCGGTGTTCGACATGGTGGGCTAAGGAACTCTGTGTGGGCGCAGAGGGGGAGGATGTGTGTGTCGTCGAAAAAACGAGGGTGTGTCTGTGTGTGTGAGGTTGGTCGGTGATGTGATGCTAGACGTAAACAAGCGCCCGTGGTTTGGCTGCCTTGGGATATTCGCTCAGGCAGTGGTGGCTTTATTCTCTCGCAGGCGGGCTTCCTTTTCACAAAGGATTACAGGTTGACTGAGGATAAGTCAACGACAACTCTGTCTTGGTCAAAAAGACATCTAGATAATCACTGTACTTTATTCGTGCTAGACTTAGATTAGGTAAAGGTGGGAGATATGGAGAGGGACATGATAGATGGTTCGGGGGCGGCATTTGCCCCGCGACAAATCGAATGGCCGCGCTAAATAAACATCTTTCCAGGCCTACAGTGTTCCATACTAACATCTTCTCTGCACCCTGACAAAGCTTTTGCAGATACATATCCCCATTTCCCCTACTCGAGACGCCATGGAAGAGGATAAAAACAAGTTACAGACCTTGTCGGAGGCTCTGCAAAAGTTGCAAGACGGTAAGGCACACAGTCTATTTTCCTCGTTCACTTTGGGCTTTTCTGATTCAGGTGGGCATCTAGATCTACAGACTACGATCGAAGCGCGACAGAAACTTGAAGCCCAACAACAAGAAAACAAGGCTGTTCAGAAAGAGTTTGCATCTTTGAGCGACGAGGCTGGCATTTACAAGCTTGTTGGCCCCGTTTTGCTGAAGCAGGACAGAACTGAAGCCGTGGGTGCAGTGGATGGTCGACTGGAATTTATCAGCAAAGAGATCAACCGGACCGAAGGCAGAATCAAAGAACTACAGGATGGTGCTGAGAAAAAGAGAGTAGCATTGCTACAATTGCAGCAAAACCTCCAGATGGCGGCGCAGGAACAAGCGAGCGGTTGAAAATACTTCGACTGACTACGAATACGCCTTCTCTAGTACGGCCCACACTGTATGCCTCAAGGACAACATTTCGGACGGTGCCTGGATCTCTGAACCAGTCCCGCAGTCAACTTGCTCACCTGGATCAGTCGCACAAGGCCGTCACAGTAGGTTATGGCTAGATGTGCTTGGGTCAAGGCGCGATGACTCGTTGTAGCCTCCGGGCACGAATGCCGGCGTTTTTGGCTACTATCAAAGCCGCTCATCGCTTCTACTATTACCAGAATGGCCCCAGCAGTGAAAGGCTTAGGCGGCCTTGAGAATGGCTTACCTATCAAGTCCGCGAGGGACTTTGAGTGGTACAGATAAAGGCTGGACATCAGACAGGTATTCTGCTACGGAGTAATACTTCCTGTCATGGAACATTTATGAGAAGGTCAAGGACTGTATCCCTCTTGTACAATTCTCGTCGAGATCGCTTCGCAGTCATGATGATGATACATAGCTACGGGCGAGGAAGGGCCAACGCGGGATAGCACCAGACATACCCTATGGAAACTAACTTCCCCTGTGTCTATCAATCAAAATAGGTTCAATTGTCAAATGAACATTAAAGCAATCTACAAGTCATTTAGCTGTTCGTCGTCATGTCTTTATTTTTGAGCCCATCCCGCTGATATAAACGAGGCTGAAGCTCGACAACAAGGCTGAACTCGCCCCCCGCGCTATTGGCCGAACGCCAAATCTTCTTCGCTTAAAGTTTTTTTTACTTGATCGACATCCGACCACAAGACATTTAAATAGATCTACTTCGTAGAAGATCTTGAGGGTTATGTTGATAACCTTCTCTCCCCCCAACACATTCAGCACAACTACACAAAATGCCTCGCGAAAACAAAAAGCGTGGTCGTCGCGAAGAGGCCAAAAACAAACGAAAATACGAAGAAGGCGATTCACAGAATTCAAAACGGTTCAAAGCCACCGAACAATATGGGGATGAACAAGTCGACCACTTCGATGTCAGAGGGAATGCTGGTGACGAGTTCATAAGTTTTGGGGCTCCTCATGATCACGGACACCAAGAGTTGCTAGAAGAGGATCAGTTTCATGGCCTTCTCGACCCCGAAGAACAGGAATACTACTCGAATGTAAATAGCAAAATCGTCGCGAATGACTTCGAGTCGGACGAAGACCGCGCAACTTTCATCGAGGCGGTGTATCGAGAAACAGACGGCAAAGAACTCAAGGTCGCCTCTAGCCAGTCTTGTTCGAGATACCTGGAGAAAATCATCATGCTGTCAACATCCGAGCAGCAGCGAAGACTTTTTAACAAATTCCTCGGCAATCTCACGTATCTTGTCCGCCACCGATTCGGAAGCCACTGTTGTGAGACTCTTTTCTTGGAAACGGCAAAGCGACTTGGCGAGCATCAGCGGGAAAGTGATGACGATTCAGACTTACCTACGATCGAGCAATTACTCTTACAGGCCGCAGAAGAGTTCAGGCCCAATCTTGGATTTCTTCTGACGGAAAAATTTGCTTCTCACACCCTTCGAGTGCTATTTTTAGTTTTGTCAGGGGAGCCGTTGGACGACGAATCCACCAAGACGATTCTTGCCAGCAAGAAGAAGGAAAAACTGGAAGCGCCGGTGCCGAAGGCGTCTGCAGACGGCAATACTAGCTCCAAACGGCGGGTACCCAAGTCTTTCAGCAAGGAGCTCGCAAAATCCATCGAGGGCTCGGTCTCTTCAATTGACACTACATATCTCAGAGCACTAGCGACGCATCCTACTGGAAACCCGGTGTTGCAACTGCTGTTGAGACTGGAACTCACCTTGTACGGGAAACAGCATCAGTCAGAGAAGATGTCAGTGTTCAAGAAATTGTTACCTGACGAAGATCTGGAAGAGGAGTCTGAGAGCGCAAAGTTCATCTCCGGGCTACTATACGACCCAGTCGGTTCTCACCTGGTGGAAATTCTGGTCCTGCACGTACCCGGAAAGACCTTCAAGAAACTCTACAAGAACGTTCTGAAGTCGCGACTTAACAGCATGGTCAAGAACGAGACGGCAAGCTATGTCGCGATCAAGGTTTTGGAACGACTAGGCAAGGATGACCTACAGGAGGCGAAGCAGATGATCTTGACCGAGTTACCCACCTTGATAATGCGACGAAGATTAGGCATCATCAAGGTTCTAGTAGAACGATGTACAGTGCGCCACGTCGATCTGAAAGACGTCGCTGAGATCATTGAATCCGGATTGGAAGGTGACAAGACAACATTCCTGCCGAGACTACTGGGGTTGGACAGGTCGAAGGATTCAACTGGAGCGGAAGCCGACGTTGGACGAAAGCCAGCCACCCCGGCACAAAAGGCAGACGTACACGCCTCGCTACTCGCTCAGGCAATGTTACAAAACCCATCCGCACGACAACCCATCCACGACAGTCTACTGGCACTCGACGCTTCATTTCTGGCCCAGATGTGCAAGGACCCAGCTGCCTCGCGACTCATCCAGGCTGCACTTGCCCCCAGCGATGCAAACGCTCAATTCCGCCGACAGTTCATCCCTCGCTTCTTTGGTCACATTGTCGACGTCGCTCAGAGTCTCAGTGGCTCGTACGTAGTAGACGCCCTCTGGTCGGCAACTGACGGGTTGTTCTTCCTCAAGGAGAAAATCGCCAAGGAACTCGCAGATGACGCCAGCCAGCTGAGAGAGTCGACGGTCGGCAAGAACGTTTGGAGAAACTGGGCCATGGACATGTATTCGAGACGGCCTGGCGAATGGCGGGCTTTGGCAAAGGGACAGACCAAGACCGATGGATGTGAAGCCGATGGTGGATCCAAGGAAGAAAGGAACGGACAACAACAGCAGCAGAAGCAGAAAAAGTCAGGACTCGAGCTCGCGCGGGAAAGGTATGCACAGAAACAGATGCACGGAGCAAAGCAAAAGACTCCTGCGACGTCTGCGAATGCCATTGTGCGGACGAATGCGTAGGAGCATACTATTCAGTTCATGCAAAGTAGTATCGAGTCGTCGGTACGGAGTACGTGGTAGTCTATGTAGATATCTCGGCAAGGCTAGACTCTCCTTGACCCTTATTTCCAGCCTGACTGCCTGGTGGGTACAGTACTGTACAAGGTACTCCGTATATGTAGCCCGGGCTCTATTCAGAATGGCGTCATTTCTGGGGACTCGGATTTTTACGCAAAGATACCCGTACATTGTAGTAGGAACAGTACGGAGTGTTTTGTAAATAAGATCATGCCATAGTCATCGCCATAAGCGTACCGACTCATCCTCACTTCGGTATCGTTCCTTTTGTATTCCTTTCTTGGTATAGATTTCTAGAGGAATTTTTGGTCGTTGTCGTTGTTTCGACCTGCCATACTCTGTATATTTAAGCACGTACTCCACCTTAAAAAAATTGACTCGAGTTCGACACATGTTTAGTAACAGCAATGCCGGGATTCCAGGGGTTGAGACAAGACAGCAACCCACATCAGTTGAATGGATACAAGTCTCAAGCTTCTTCCAACGGCATCACAGACGGTTTCCAGAATGGCACCACAACACCATCAAGAGCATCGCAACTGAAGACACTTCTCGAGGCCACCTTGGACCAGCTGATTCCTTTTGTCCAACGAGCCGACGATGAAGTCGAAGCTCACCAGCTTCAACGGGCGATAGGCAGTACCTCGCTCGTGGAAAGTCACCCGCCTGACGAACTGAGGTCGATCCTGTCGCGAGATGGGACACTCTCACTCCCGGACGACGGCACCGGCCGTACAGGACTGCTCGACTCTCTGGCGTCGATCCTGAAATACAGCGTCAACACATCTTCTCCGGGATTCTTGGACAAACTCTACGCCGCACCTTTACCCCCCGGCATAGCGGCGGACTTGATCCTGAGTGTCCTCAACACGAACCTCCACGTCTATCAAGTGTCTCCAGTGCTCTCGCTGATCGAAACGCACGTCGCCAAAGAACTGGCGTCGATGTTCGGCTTTACCGGTCCAAGGGCCGGAGGGATCAACGTCCAGGGTGGAAGCGCGAGTAATCTAACCAGCATCGTGATTGCGCGAAACTCGTTGTTCCCCCAGACCAAGACACTCGGCAACAGTGCGGATGGCTTGCGACTCGTCATGTTCACTTCCGAACACGGGCATTACAGCATAGAAAAGGCTGCACAGCAATGCGGATTCGGGTCCGAGAGCGTCGTTCCGGTCCCCGTCGACCCGGTCACTGGAACGATGGACGCGGACGCGCTCGAGTCGTTGATCGTGCGGGAGAAGCGAGTCAACGGGACGACACCGTTTTACGTCAACGCCACGGCCGGGAGCACGGTTCTGGGTTCGTTCGACCCCTTCGTCGCCGTCTCGCGGGTCGCCCGCAAGTACGGGTTGTGGATGCACATCGACGGCGCCTGGGGTGGAAGCTTTGTATTCTCGGAGACGTTGCGCGGGCGGCCCCTACGAGGGTGCGAGTTGGCCGACAGTATCGCCGTCAACCCGCACAAGATGCTCGGTGTGCCCGTCACTTGTAGTTTCCTGTTGCTCAAGGATCTGAGGGACGCCCACAGATCCAACACTTTGAGGGCGGGTTACCTGTTCCACGATACCGCCGAAGACGAGGACAACACCACCACCACCGAGGAGAACGGTGAGGATGACTGGCCGCCACCGGAGGACCTCGCCGATCTCACGCTCCAGTGTGGACGACGAGGTGACAGTCTGAAACTATTTCTCTCCTGGCAGTACTATGGCACGTCGGGATATCGCAACAAGATCGAAACCGCTCACTCGGTCGCCTGCCACATGGCGCAACTCGTCGAGGACCACCCCGACTTGGTGCTCGTGAGCACGAATCCACCACCTTGCCTGCAAGTGTGCTTTTATTATGCCCCGGGAGGGAAAATGACCTTTGACCTAACGAACCACCAGGTGGGGTCCTCCAACGGTGACCGGTCAGCGACAACCGTGGTGGAAGAAGTCGGGAAACGTAACACGGCCATCACCAGCCGCATGACACAAAAGTTGATCTCTCGAGGTTTCATGGTCGATTTTGCCCCTGCCTTGAGCAATGCGGTAGAAAGAGGTTCCTTTTTCCGGGGAGTGGTCAACATTTCAACCACAAAAGAAACCGTCGAAAGGTTGATTGATGACCTCGTCGAGGTAGGCAAGGTTGTTGTGGAAGAGAGAAGAAGAAAGTGAGGTCGTCGGAGTCGGAGACTGCACATATTGTAATATACAGCCATAAGTATAGAAGAATATAAAACCGCAAGATAGAAACAATCTAGACTCATACATTGGATCCCACAGTCCGAAGAATTGCCCAGATTCTTGTGTAACATACACCACAGCCTCAACGGTTCTGTTTCTCCTACCATCAGATAATCACTTTCTCTTTCGACCCATAGTCACTTGTCATCTGTAGTAGACACGAGTCTAGCCTGGATGGGGGGAGAGAGGAAGATTGCCATATCAATGTATTCACACGACCATCACATCCAGCAGCAAAGGGCAATCTTCCTCCTTTACTGTTCATCTCCCACCACGATCCCATACTTTTCATAATCAACATCCTCTAGACTCGACAAAACCTCACCCCATCCACTTTCACCTGCTTCCGCTCCGTCCATGCCCATCTCTCCCTCTCCGGCGCTTCGTCCGGCAGAAGAAAACACCTCCCCTTCTCTCCCTACGTACATGTCCCTCAACCATTTCTCGGGGACCCATACCACCCTCATCCCGGCCCTCCTGGCCGCCTCGACTCCCGCCACGGCATCCTCAAAGACGAGACACTCTGCCGGCTTGATTTCTCTTTCGTTTTCCTTCTTCCTCACCGTCTCGTTCACAACTTCCAACGCGAGCAAGAAAATGTCGGGAAACGGTTTGCCCCTACCCCTTTTCAATCTCTCGTCGTCCCCCAAAACTTTGTGTCCTTGCGGTATGAGACTCAAGACGCCGTCTGGACCAGACAACCTATCCGTCTTGAGTCTGTACATGGCCGATTGTGAACTGGTGGCCAATGCCAATTCCACTCTGTTCTTCTTCCTTTCCGATCCGGTACCACCGCTACTGCCTCCCTTGTCCCCGACCACACTCGTCGTCGTCGTCGTCGCTCTTGTCAAATTCCTCAACAACTTTTCAGCCCCCGGCATCAATCTCGTAGTACCAAACACCTCTCGTAATCGTCGATCCAATCGACTCTGAAATTCTTCCATCGTCGGCGTCGGCGTCGTCGTCGTCGTCGTCGTCCTGGCTTCTTCAACTTTCGTGGAAGAAGAGAAATTCGCACTCTCGTACAAGATCCGAGTCGATTCTTGTGCCGATCGACCTTGTAGCGACGCTTTCACCGTCCCGGACATCGAGGGTCGAGAGTATTCCGCCAAAGTCGAGTTCCGGGCCTCAGTCAACAAAGTCTCCGAGTTGATCAACAAACCGTCGAGGTCGAAGATACACGCTCTTACGGGCTGGGGAGTCGACCCCGACCCCAATAACGGTGGTGTCATGCCGTGTTCGCGTCAAACATGCACAATAAAAAGTGTTGCCCGGGGGGTGAAGGACAGAAAGTAGAATCGATTCAAATATATATCTACCACGCTCAATAACGCGGAAAATACGGAGTAATATGATGAATAATACTTTGGCCATTTTTATATTCTAGGACTAGCATCCTGTCAACATGTTACGTAGAATCGAAGTGCCACATATCAGACCTAAAGAAACAACACTCGGGATTATAAAAAAACCCCAGACTAATAGATAGGGATGAAAGAACAATACAATAGTTAATCTATTGTGTGCGGAGTATGCAAGACGTATTCAGATCAAGAGGGCGTCATATCAGATCTGAAAAAGACCGCAAAACAATCACATAGCTCAAGCGTTCAGTGAAGTTTCAAAAACCCTACGGAAAGAGTGAGCTATATAAAGCCTTCATGGAGCTCGATATGTGCCTGCCGTGTACTCTGATGGAAAGAAAAATCATACATGAATCACGCCGAGAAACGCCAGAATTCAACTGCAATGACTCCCCAGACCAGTACCCCCCTTTTACCGTTCCTTCCACCACATACCGCATATGTTTGTGCTCGTGTAACGCATCAAGGGAGAGTCATGGCTGGTCCTGATCAAAAGTGCCCCCTCCGTTCTTTTGCTGCTGTACAGACCCCAATTTTATGTACAATAAAAATAATGATAAAAGAAACAGTGCCGCGTTATTGCACTGGCTCGAAGCCAACCTGTTGCATGATGGTCGACGTCGAGGGTGTATAGACCATTGCGAAGGCAAAGATGCATGACAATAGCAGGGCCATCAAGATGGTGCCGCTCTTTTGAAGTCTGGGATCATTCGCCCAACGTTGCAATGGTCATAACAGTGATTAATCTTGATATGGATATTGGACGGGTTAGACAAGTTTGAAGTCAGAGTCGTTCTACGTCCGCTGCATGCCAGGTTGCATCGGAGGTCCATTCGGCATCGGCATTCCGTATGGGTTAACATGTTGGTTGGCAAAACCATTCGGATCTTGCATGCCATTCAGGAATTGTCCAATGCCTTGGGCATGTCCAACCGGGCAATCCTTGTGACCCATCAATAGAGTCCGAAGATTGCGAATTTCCTCATGGAGCTGAGCGACTTGAGTGTTGAGGCTATCGTTCTCCGCAGAGTACATTTCAACTTTGGCCTGGAGGTTCGCCAGCCACTGTTTCTTTCTCTGTCGACACTTCAAGGCAGCAATACTATACAGACGGTTAGCAAAGGTCATGCAAATCTCGACATCTTAGTCTTACCGATTGCGTTCGAGGAAGTTTCGGCGCTTTTCCTCATCAGTCATCTTCTTACCATTGCTGTTGGTCGCGTTCATGTCATCATCTCCTTCGTCACTGTCCATATCTTCTTCCTCATGAGGATCAAGAGCAGGATCGACATTAGCAGTTCCCGAGTTACCCTTTGCGCGCTTATTGCTTCCTTTAGCGCTGGCTTCAGACTTTCGCCGGTTGTTAGCGGGCTCTGCTTTGGACTTCTTCCCGCGACCACCACGGGTATTGGCTTTGCTATCCTCGTGACTTTCCGGACTGTCGCCATTTGAAGAGGCCGCCTTTTGGTCTTGACCATTTCGTGCCGGGTTTTGTGCAGGGTTGGGAACAGCAAATTGGTTGTTGGGCTGGCCACCCTTGGCTAGCATAAACAAACCGTTGGCGGCATCTGTCGCGTCGTGTTGATTATCCATGTTGGTCTTGGGAAGGGCTTCTTGTGGATTCGAAGTGTTTGCGAATTGGTTGTTCTTATTGCGAGCAGCCGCGTTCATAGCAGTGCGATGGAAGTCAAGTGTTCCAGGTGTGGCGCCTCCACTCTGCAAAGAGTTGAAAAGTGCTTGTGAGTTTGGGCTGGGGGCCGGGAACATAGACCCGCCACCGCCAGGAGTAAGACCAGTCCGGAGTGAGGACTCGTTAGGTGTTGGGAAACCACGGCCGGGTATGTCGAAGTAGTCGCCTTGTTGAGGACCAGTCAACATTGCGGGGCTCAATGGCCCAGATCGAAGTGAACTTTGCCAATTGTATCCCCCAGTGGAACTCGTGCCGGGGATGGCAGGAGACGTGAGTGCGGCGACCGGCGGCAGAAGAGTTTTTCCAGGCGTCTCTGTTGATGGAGCCCCAAAAGATTGTTCAAAGGGATTGAATTCTTGTAGTCCTCCGTTGGCGTGGACCGCTGAGAAGTAATCTGGGGTTTCTGTAGGATTTGCAGGAGCAGGTCGCGGTGGAGGTGCAAGGGGTTCTGTTGCTTGAACGATTGGCTTGGAGTCGTCGGCCTGCGATGTGGGTTGCGATTCTTCTGGATGATGGTCAGTGATGTTGTTAGGAAAAGATTTGGGTAGCGACGCGTACCTGGTAATGATGATTTAGATTGGACAGGCGAAGTCTTGGTTGATGAGGCTGGCATTCGTCGTTAGCAATTATTTCTATGTAGTCATGACACGGCCGTGAACGGTGCACCGCAGAATGGCAATGCGCGAATGGTGGTGTGGTGTTGACGCGGATAGCAGGGTGAAGAAATTTTACTAATAGGGGCGGCGAGAAGGTGACTAACCTTGCTTCACATTGTTGGTTTTTTTATTGTCCATAGGCGACGAGGTGCGAGAGGTAGGGCCAGCCCCAATGTGTTGTTGTGATGGTTGAGTTGCGACTGCGGCGCTCGCCATATTGTCGGGTGGTGATGAAGCAATACGTAGATGGAGGAAACAACGTCAGCCGTTGCAAAAGTGACGTCGATGAGAGCTGGGAAGGCGCAGGCGCCTCATATACTCTGGTAGGGCAAGAGGGCTTGGAAGGGATTGCGAGGTAGCAGGGTTGGCTTTTGCCCTAACAGCCCCTAGCGATGTGGGCGACGGGGGAACTCTGCGAATCAGACGTCTGTCAGCAGGGAAGACGGCAGCGCATGGCGATCGCCAGCCATCCAAGAACCAGTGGTCATCGCCACTTCTTGCACCCACCATCCCAAGTCCGATCGAGCAGTACGGAAATTGGGGCCGGGGACAAAGAGAAGCACAGATGCAGGTCAGAAAGCAGACAGCCGACTTACTGCGAGACAGATCTCACCACCCTACAGTCGATTTTGCGTCGAAACCCAATCCTGGTATATAGTCACGATGTCTGACCAGCGACCGAACACTGGCGATTGACGAGGGAACCCAATCTCTCGGGAGAAAGACCACTAGAGACGAGAAATGGGGATGACGTTGATGTGTGATACAGCCGCCAAAACGCACTACGAGTACGAGTACAGTGCGTGTGCTGGAGGGAGAACAGAACAAAGCCCAGACACTGCGAGGCCTGTTAGCGTCCCCAAGACAGAGGAGGGGGGTCAAAGTAGGTGAAGAACAAAATCTTATTGCAGGCGTTACACTTGATGGATGGCCCGAGGGGGAACGTGCAGGCCTGGAGAGTGAATATACCTTTGAGAGATGAAAACGAGGATGTTGTAGGCCGTGTCCTCGACGCGCAGAGAAGGTGAAAAGTGGAAAAAAAAGGGTACTAGAGAAGGGAAAATGGGCAAAGTACCAGAGTGTCACAGCACCACAAATTCTACAAAGACACGATAACGATGCTTGACTGGACGGATTCGTATGCAATGCCTTCGTGCAGAAAGTCGGTGCTTCGAAATCGAGAAATTGTGACGCAATCATTGTCAAGCCATCAATCTTCCGAGCCTACGCCATCCGCTTTCTGCCTAGCGGCCTGATACCCTGCACTTTCGGTCTTCCCTTTTCTTCTTCGGGCCAAACGCCACACACCTCGCGTACAGTACGAGTACAACAAGGATTCAAATGGCACCTCGACCACGGCTTCTACATTCCTCCGAACAAGAGTACACAACGATAGGTACTCAGATGTCAATACTGCGCTTTGATACATTCAATCAAAACATTCCCATGCGATGAAAATGGGAAATTGAACGTCTCTCGTGATTTGACATGGGTCTTCTCACTCGGTCCTTTTTCCTCAGTGGAGGAGACCATTGCCACTATTGCCTTACCAGACCATTCGAACGTGCATTATTAATGCTGTATATGCAATTCTCCACCCGACTCACAATGACGCAAAAATGATAATGTTGGTCTCGTATGAGAGAGTTGAGGATGGTACGGATATAATACCCTGCCGAAGTCGAGTGGACAACTCGTCGAGTACCGATTTGTTGTTTGAGTGCCCATCAGTACTCGTACGAAGTACTGGTACAAGCCAGAGGTACCTATAGACTGCGGATTTCTACAGAAGATATGCACAGTATCTTTCGCAGATCATGCACTACGCAGTCTTCACCTTGATGTTGTACATTTCAATTCCGTGCGAGAAGCATCAATGGCCATGGCCGTGATCTTAGTCCTTGTCTTGTAACCAGCAAAGTGCCGGCATTATTTCATATTCTAGTGCTACAAGTTCTCTGTTCCGCTTGAAAGGCGTAAGAAGGGGAACCGCCCATGGTGGTGCTGCCTTCTAGTTTCCCAGCGACCGCAATGTTGGGTCACATATGTACCTAATCCCATCTGCTAGTACATCATCTGTAGAAGTCAAATTTATCAGCTTCTTGTGCACCCTTGACTTGACTCGAGTAGGCATCCTCTAGATCGGCTTGAATGATATTGTAGCGATTCTTCCGAACTGCTCGAAGCCCGGCTTCTTGCATAATGGCTGCAATGATGGCTCCAGATAATGGATCGTTGCGTACAATCAAAGAGTCCAAATCAACTTCAGGCGAGAGTGACATTTTGCTGGCAATTGTGCTGAAGATGAGTCGACGTTCTCGTCGATCTCGGAGTGACGGGAACTCGATTTTCCTATCGAGACGTCCGGGTCGAAGAAGGGCCGGGTCCAGCGTATCTGCACGATTGGTGGCCATGATGACCTTGACATTACTGGTTTGGTCGAAACCATCCATTTGATTCAGGAGTTCCAGAAGAATACGCTGCACTTCACGGTCGGCACCAGTTTGTGCGTCAAATCGTTTGGTTGCAATTGCATCAATCTCATCAATGAAGATGATGGCGGGGGAGTTCTCGCGTGCCATCCGGAACACATCCCGAACCATGCGTGGACCTTCACCAAGATATTTCTGCACGAATTCCGAGCCGACCACCCGGATGAAGCTTGCAGTTGTGCTGTTTGCCACAGCCTTGACCAGCATAGTCTTGCCCGTACCCGGCGGGCCATAGAGCAAAACGCCACGAGGAGGGTCAATACCAATCTGCTTGTAGAGGTCGAAATGTGTCAGGGGCAGTTCAACCGCCTCTCGAATCTCTTGTTTCTGCATGTCCAGACCTCCCACATCGGCATAGGTGACATCGGGCTTCTCGTCCGCCCCAAGCATAGCAATGGAGGAGTCAGCTTCTGGCGGGAGAATGTCTACAAGTGAGTTGGAGTGTCGGTGGAGGGCGACCGAGGAGGATGGCTTCAACTTTTCGCGGTCGAGTGTTGATAGAATCCGAACGACATAGTTTGAGCCCGTCGAAGATTGAACGATTCCGGTGCTACTTGAAGTCAGTAACACATACAAAACAGAGCATCATCTTGCTCACTTTTGATCGATGGCTTCCATGAACTGGCCGATCACAAGGGGAACACTTTGTATCCGCTTGATCTCTTCTTGTGCGCGCACGAGTTCTCGTTTGAGTGATCTAAGAGTTTGTTAGACTAATTGAGAGACCCGGTATAAGCAATCTTTACCTCTGCTCATCTTTGATGTATTCTTCTTGAAGCTTGATATACCTGCTTAAGGTCAGCGATGACACCGGCGTAAATAGAGAACTTCTTCTTACTCCAAGTGCCGCTGTAATCTCTTCAGTGTCGAGTATTCATCCCCACCATCTGCTCCAGCTCCTTCTAGTGAATCGATATCTGGTATGGAGTCTGATACAGGTTGTTTTTTGTGAGGCGGAACAGTGTGAATCGGATTGTCAACCAGAACGTCTCCCATTGTTGCTGCGGGATGCTGGACAGGTATGTGTCGTGGAAATCGGCTCAGATGAAAGGCTTGCTCGAGCAGAGGTAATGACAGATGTTGGTTTGATGGGTAGATTATCTATAACACTGATTGAGACCAGGTCTCAAATCGTAGTTGTCGGCGCAGTTAAGAAGGCGACCATCGGAACGCGTTGCCAAGATGGATATGGCGCTAAGCTGACAAGGGCGTCCACCACTCCCCAAGCCCTTCTACTCCCTACCTGCTCCGTACTCTATGCTTAACCTCGCTATTAGGCATTGGCGGCGTACAAACAAGCTTAAGCTGCTCTACCTGAGGTAGGTGTCTACAGACAGTGTACCTGGATCTTTGGACCTATCTTCCATTCTGAGTAGGCCACATGCTGCTAATGCTCTTGGTGCGGCTCTAGCTGCAGCCTGCTCTGGCTCTTAGGCGCTAGATAGCTTTGTCTGCAAAAGCATCCATGGGGGCCCCAAACTGACATGCTGGCTTTGCTTTATTCTTATAGATCAGACGCTTCGTATTCAGGATCTCAGATCTTGTTGTGACCATAAGGAATGCTCCAATCTCATCTAGACAAATGTGTAATAGAACCGCTGCGTGAATGAAACCTGCCTCGTATGTCAGGGTTCCGGATTCGCTCGGCTTGGGAAAGCGCCGTGGGAGATCCCGCGACCAATATTCAAACGTTGTCCTAATAAACCCTTTCTGCTGGGGTCGAAAGCTACTCGTAGGAAACTTGCAATGTTGGCCATAGAAACGAATGTCCTTGAATAGTGAATACGGGCTTCATCAGGGCATCTCAAGAAGGAGGATCCAAGCATACTGGAGTAAGGGTTGTATTCAACCTTAATTGCTAGCAAGAGTGAGAGAAAAGACCCTGGCCTGGAGCGCCATAGCATACCAGGCAGGCGTGCCCATATGTGCCTAAAGTGGGTTGAAACGAATCATATCGGATCTCGAGTAATGGGAAGGCAGATTCGTTTGAGCCTACTCCGTATCTCTCGGCTGTTCCTGTGACACAGCGAGGATTCGTGTCCTAAATGGATTCACGGTGCCAGTTGAGAAATTTAAGGATGGATCTACCAATCACGGAAAAGTATGCCTGCTTGCTATGAGGCGTGAGTCTCAACGATGATGAACGGGGATGTAAGCTGTGGAAAATATACGGTGCCTGCTTTAAAGATCTCTGTCTCTTCTTCCCCATCCGTCCTTTCTTCCTTCTCCTGTTCTCATGAGGTTCTTTCTCTCCTCGCGATCTTGTGCCTCGAGTCCATTCACATCCCGTACCCTCGAAGACTGGACGCTACTACTAACACAATTTGTCTCTGCACTCCGAATGTCGTCGACTCACCTGTGTATTTCGATATGATCTTTCCAATAGACCGTCTGAGCGACTGGCGAAAACAAATGGACTTTGTGTCATCCTTGATGGATCTATTGCACGATCGTCAAGATCTATCCCCAAGATCAATTATGCCAGAGTGTACAAAGTTCCATGAGCGCGGCATTTGCAAACATCCAGTCAAGCTGGCAAGCAATGGCTAGTTACAGGCAGTCAAGTCTTCAGCACTGAGCGAATTCATATGCCACTGATGGGCAGGCACGCGGACATCAGTTGTCCTTCCAAACGGGATGGCCATGGTTTGATGGCACAGACCCAACTCCAAGGCACTTGAAAAAGAGCCTAAACCCAAAAGGATGGCTGGTGCGACCACGCTTTCAGCTTTGCATAAGTGGTGTCGACAATTTGGACACACATGTGCAAAATTCCTAGCTGCATCGGATGGAGTCCTTTAACAAGCCATGCTGGCCAGGAGAAGAGCAGATGGAACTCGCAAGAAAGAAACCCCAGATCAAGCCGACTTTTGGTGGTTGAACGGCCCTGGATTTTGAAGAGGCGGGAATAGCATCGGACGCACACGCAGTTGGTGAGTGGCTGGAAACAATGATTCGTCTGACATCCCATTTCTCGATGTCTTTCCGCCGATACGCCTTTCAATCACCTCCGTCAGACACCTTCGGATCTCCTCGACCAACTCCCCGGCAGCGAAGTGGGACGCGCTCCAATCCCATTGATTGATTATTGAGTGCTAACAATCAAAAAAGCAGAAAGCGCCAGGGTGGCCATTTTTAGGGAGTTGATCCACGCCCCAAAGTGTCACCCGACAAGCGGTAGCTGCATCATCACCACCCGCCCATCCTGTGTCCTGTGTCTCTGTTCTTTCTGTCTCTCTTGCAGGCCGTTTAGGCTCCTCTTTTTCACAATCCCTCGCTCACATTTTTGATCTGGCCCAGTTCCCGATCGTCTTGCCTTTGGTACTGGTTCATCGCTCTCGTGCTGTGTCAGCCAGCATTTGTGCCCTTTGCTCAAGCCTCCCCCGCTTCTCACTCTCTCTGTGCTTCTCTTCTGCCACTTGCGTACCCGGCCACTACCACCATACGCACCAACGTATCAAACAAGCATCAAATCACCATCTGATCACACTCGCGGTAAGCCTCCTATCGAACCTTTTTTTGCCCCTCCTGTTAGCCAACCCCCTGGCACATCTTTTGAAAGTGGATTTGTCTCGTTATCACCTTCCCGCCGGTTCATAGCAGCCGGAAACGCAGGCTGCACATGGCTTTTGCCCACCACATCACCGACCCTTTCCTCTCCTACCGCACTCGTCCGTCCACAGATCCATCACTAGCGTCTGTTTCCCATCGACAACATTGATTCAGATCGTGTTGCACGGCCCAATAGACGCGTGTGGGACTGCCTTGATCCTCGATGCCAGTCCTTTGGCCTGGCTGACTCCATCGCTAACCTTTCCTTCTGCCATCCAGTTCTCGAGCTAAACCCTTTTCGGCACCCCAGCCTCAGACCGAAAAATCGTTCCCTAATCTCGACGCTCCGATTCGGTTCGCATACCTCTACGCTCTGACGATTCCGCTTCACAACATTGCCAGTCAGGTAAGTAGCCTTATCCGAACCCCATGTATCTTAATATACACCTCACTTGCCCTGTATCACATGTTTGCCTGCGTCGTGTTGACCTTACACCCTCCCTGACGCGTCTTCCTCACCATCGAGCGCATCCTGATATTTCTTCAACCATCCACCATCCAGGCCTCTGTTCATCAAGACTCCACTAGCCTTCCATGATACCCTGACCCTGTCACTCACGCGACCTGCGACAGTACCTTTTTGGACGTGTTTGACTTGAGACTGACAATCTTGTTGCTGCAGCCCATGGATGCCCAAACCTCCTTCAAGCCATGAACCCTTGGCTTCCCGACTCCTCCTCGACTCCAAATAACCATGTTGGTTTTGGAGGCACGATGGATGGTGGCATGTCTTTTATGCAACCTCCTCAGACTATAAATCCCGCGCAATTTCAGAATCCTGCCTTCCTCAATGGTGCAGGGCGCACTACATCACCTGCGACGTTCCACAATCCAGTATATCAGACGAATCCTGTTATACCATCTAAAAGAACAAGAGACGATAGTTTAGGAGCATCTCCACGCCAGGCTCAAGGAGGTTTGCCTGTTTCACGTGCGCAAACACCTGGACAAGGTCCCTTTCCCGGTTATAATCCCCAAGCCAACGGCGCTCATTCAATTACCAACACCCCGGTGCCCTTTCAACATCTCCAAACCTCTGCCAATGCTACGCCATCACCTACTATTCAACAGTTGAACCAATTCAATCAGCCTCCTGGCAATCAACGCGTGTCGACGGCGTCGCCGAACCCGTTCTCACCACAGCACGGCCCGCCCCATGCCTCCCCGGGCCCTTCAGACCATGCCAATCGTGTTGGCACTCCCCACGACAATCCGCAGAACTTCATACCCAATGGCGGGTTCCAGCAAGGCTTCGGTCAGCCTCAATTTGGACACAACATGAACAATGTATTGCCACAAATGGGAATGAATCCTCAGCCTAATATGCCACAACAACATCCTAGTGTCTCTGCGGCACAAAGGAACTATCAGATGCAACTTCAGGCACAAGCGCGTCAGATGCAAGCACAATCGCAAGCTCGTGGTATGAATGGCATGCCGCCCAATTCAGGACAGCCTATGCCCAATCCACAGATGCCCCAAGGACATGGAACGTTCCAACCCCCCAAGCCGAACAACCCTGAGGAGTTTCTCAGGGGCTTGCAAGCATTTATGGCTTCTCGTGGCCGATCAGTTGATATCAATCCAGTTATCTGTGGCCGGCCAATACAACTGCTACGTCTTTACGCGGCTGTCGTTAAGAACGGGGGCTCCCAGAGAATCTCTAAGATGAATCAATGGGGTGGGGTGGCTCAACAATTTGGATTCCAGCCGCCGCAGCTGATGCAAGCCGCCCAGGAGCTCCAGGGATATTGGCATAACAACCTCGCACCTTATGAGGCTGCCTGGCAGATGAACCAACAGAAACAAAGGATGGCTGCGCAAGCCGCAATGCAAAATCAGAGCCAGAACCAGAGCCAGAGTCAGATGTCACCGCCGCGGGAGATGAATATCAATCAAGATGCACGACATCAGAGATCCACCAGTGCCTCGATCAACGGCCAAGGACAACACCAGGCGCAACAAGCCGTTGCCAATGGACTCATGCAACCGCCTCATGGACAGCCAGATCCTTCAATGACTCCGCAACACCAACAGAACATGTCCAGACAGCTTGATCCTCAGCAAATGAGTGCTCTTCAAGCTCAGTCGCATGGCCAGACACCGCAGAAACGACCTTCAACTGGCGCCGGCAAACCGGCAGAACCAGAAGTGGATTACAGCAAACCTTTGTCGAAGCCAATCGAGGACCCTTTCAAGCCTGATACACTTCCCATGAGTCGATATCATGGCCCTATCAATGTAGAAGAGATGGCGATGATTGGGCAACATATCGCAGACGTGAAGCCAATAGTACCCACGATAAGAGAGATGGGTCTCATCGACATTCACGCGATAACAATGTCAATCAAATCTGGAATGCACGCAGAAACCAGACTGGCGCTGGATGTTCTCACGACCCTTTCAATCGAGCCTGCGTTGCAGCTCTCACTGGTTGATTGTGACGACTTAATGGACGCTTTGATTGATTGTGCTCAGGAAGAGGTCAATTTCCTCAGCGAGCATGCGGCAGAAGTGTCAGATGACATGCTTCTTCCATCATATGAAGAGCTTATTCGTTCTGTCAAGTCGGAAAACGAATCGTTGCCGGACATTCCTGATTTCGGCACTGTGGCTTATGATCTGGAGCGAGCAGCCGACCGATTGATCTGTATAACCACTCTTATTCGCAACTTTTCGTTCTACGAGGCCAATTTTATTGTTCTAGGCCAGCCAGAAGTTCTAAAATTGATCAGTCAAGTCATCCGGTATCTCGGCACCACTGAAATGTTTCTACGGCATCACCAAAATGCTCTGGACTTCATGAAGGATGTGGTCATTTTCCTCAGCAATTTGTCGACCTCACTGCAGCTTCCAGGAAAAGAGGAAGCATTATGTATCCTGCATTTCCTACTCGCCTTTGCGCCGACTCCTGGGCCAATAACAAGCTCGGGTAAGATATCCTTCACCATGTACACACCATCTTCGCATAAATACCTACCTTCTGCCGTTGACAGCTTAGCCAAGCTACTGGCTCGCGATGAACCAAACCGAATGTACTACAAATCAATTTTTGCTGCAGATGCGCATTCAACACCGCCGCATGAACTATTGACCAGAAGCTTTGGCCTGGCTATATCACCGGTACCGGCAAACTCGAACCACACCAGAACAATCATAGAAGCCAGGAAGCCATTCCTTCTTCAAGGGATGCTTGCAGCCGAAATACTCGCAAATCTTGTACCAGGCTATGAACAATCCCTAGCTCGTGCATGGTTGGAATCCGAAGACGCGTTTGCTGGCAACCTGTTGCGACTGGTAGGGTTGCTAAGTGCTGATAGGACAACTCAGACTGCCCCGAGACAGCCACAACAGAACAGCAGGCATCAACAGGAAACGGATCCCAACGGTTATGGAGCTATTTCGAATCGTGCCATGGCGGTACTCAAGACACTGGTTCAGAAAGCGCGTACCGTCGATGCCGATGGAGCAACCGTGGTTCCACTGGGAGTAATGCCGAAGAGAGAAAGTCTTCTGGGTGCCATGATACAAAAAGACATCGATCCTGGTATTCTACGACAATTGTGTGTCTACGCCGCTCTGGAGGACTAAAAGTCTTTCAGCCCTGTTACTCAGAGACTTTGATGTTTGCGTGGCTGAAGCCTCGAGATCTGATGTGTACATTCACTGGTCATACTGTGCAGCGTCATCCAACAAGGAACCTGGACCTGGATACGAGGCACGAACCATCCTTACCGTCATTGGATACATACTGTCTACACCAGTCTTCTCAAGTGTACAATTGTGTATTAGGGTTAGACCCTCAAGTTGTGTATCAAGCCAAAATTGCTATAATTCATTAAGAAGAATCAATCCTTTTGACCAAGCGAGAGAGATTCAAACCACACATCTCAATTTTAGGATTGGGCCAGTTTCAGGTAGTTCAGGGTGTATGATGACACGTATTTACAGCTGTCTTCTGTCGACGTGTATAGATGTCGATGTCGAAGTGTTTATACAAGTAGATTTCTACTGAGCCATCCGTGCTCGTCTAGTACGATATTGTACAAATATAGCAACAAGAAGCTGAGCTCAGGGTAGTGGCCTTGTCGGTAAACCATTGTGAACTTCAGCAAGGCCGCTTGCTAGGCTTTGATCCCACAAGATGATACTGTTTACAAAAAGTTCACCAAGTTGCATTGCATCTTTCATTAAACTGTGCCAGTTCAAGGGCGGCTCAAAACCCATTCAACTCAGCCCACTTCTTTATCTCGGGCGCCCTCCATCCACGGACAACGATTTGCTTAGTTGTCCGGTTTATAGTGACGGTCTCTTTCCGCCGACCCCGAATATCTGTAATGTACTGGTCCATACCAAGTGCCTTCCGTACTTGGCCTGCCAACTGTTCTAGATCGCCGGTAATCTTTCGTATCGTTGTGATGTGCTTTGAGCCTCCAGACTTTGTGCTTTCGTATACAGGAAGGTTCGAGGAAGGCGTTCGCGAGATCTTGAATGGGAGGTTCGAGATGACTGCCAATTTTGAGAGGATTGGCGAGGAGGCTGTGGTGGATGACGGTGTCGGCGTTGGAGTATGACTCGTTGCTTGTTCAGAAGTCATACGCTGGGCGCGTAGTGCGCTGAATTCACCTGTGATACGTGTCAATAAAGCTGTTTTCGGGTTACTCAAGAGCGTGAAAAGCATACGTTCTTTCCGGACTGCTGCTTTCTGGCGTCGATGTAGCTTGTCCAGGCTGGTGATTTTGGCGTATTTCTCACGCGGCATCCAGTGAGATTTAGAGCGGATTTGGCAGAGGGGACGCCCTGGTCGCAGCCATAGGGCACGAAGGAGGAGGCTCGAGGGCGCCTTCATCTTCAGATGTAGCTGTTGAGGAGGAATATATGATCCTGAGGATGCATGTTAACCCGGCGCTCATGAAGTCTGTCGCAGAGACCAGACGCCAAGGCCGCCGAAAAACCCGCTGGCTTCGTATAGGAAGGTTAACCACATCGGGACTAGCTTTCATATCCCCACCGTTGGAAACAGCGACACACAGAAATTCAAAGGTGATCACGGATTTCAATGTGAGAGAAGGGCTGTCCTGAACACTATTCCAGAACCACGACACTGGGGGTAGATCTCGCCCATTGACCTCGAAATACTGCCACCGATAAGGCAGACTAGTCGTCCGTTCTCTCACACCTCACTGAGTGCTGCCAGGGCCTCTAAGCCGGAAAAAAGATCGAGGTCTTCAACACTTGAAATCGACAAGATGACTGCCATTGAAGATCCCACGGGCGAATATGCCTTCCTTTCGAAGCTCCTCCAACATATGGATCGCCATCTCATCTTCCCTCTACTCGAACATCAAACCAGCTCTGAAGACATCTCACAGCAAAGATACGATGACCTCAAACTTGCCATCTTCAACCTCCTCAAGAACACGAATATGATTGATTATGTCGGCAGCCTGTACAAAGAAATCCACAAGTCGGAGAATGTGCCTACAGAGTACGCGAAGAAGAGAGAGGAAGTTCTGAACAATCTTGCAAAGTTCGAAGAAGAATCCTCCCACCTCACAAACCTTCTCAACGACGAGGCTGTCACGTCTCAACTACGTAGCGACAAAGTCGCCAACTTGAAATTCCTCGAAGAACAGCATGGTGTAACTCAACAGATGGTAGACAACCTCTACGACTTTGGCCGGTTCCGTTACGAATGTGGTCTCTACCCCGAGGCGGCTGATTTGCTCTACCGATTCCGAGTGCTCTCCACCGACAACGACAAAGTTGTCAAGGCCACGTGGGGTAAGCTGGTGTGTGAAATCCTGGGCGAAGAATGGGAAAGCGCACTTGAAGAAGTCGAAAAGGTCAAGGAGCATATCGAGACCAGACTTTTCAACAACCCACGGGCGCAATTAACGGCTCGAGAATCGCTTGTCCATTATGCGCTCTTCCCATTTTTCAACTACGAACCTGCCCGCGAAAAGCTCACCGAAATGTTCTTCTCTCCTCCATACATCAGCTCCATTCAGACCGTCTGCCCCTGGATCCTGCGGTATTTGGCTGCAGCCGTCATTACGAACCGTGGTCGGCTCAATAACTCTCACAACTACCAGAAACAACTGAAGGATCTGGTCCGAGTTGTCAAGCAAGAAATCTACGAATACCAAGATCCCGTGACAGAGTTCGTCAAGGCGCTCTATGTCGATTTTGACTTTGAAGGCGCACAGAAGAAGCTCTCTGAGGCCGAGGGTATTCTGCGAGGAGATTTCTTCTTGGGGTCATCTACAGATGCATTCATGGATTCGGCTAGACACCTCATTTCAGAAAGTTACTGCAAGATTCATCAGAGAATTGATATTAAGTAAGTCTCCTACGCCTCGCACTGAAGACGACAATGTACTAATGACTTTTCAGGGATCTCTCGACCCGGTTGGGTCTGTCTCAAGGTGAAGGCGAGAAATGGATTGTCAACCTGATTCGGGACACAAGAGTGGACGCAAAGATTGATTATCAAGCTGGCACCGTGGTGATGAACCATCCTCCGCAGAGCGTGTATCAACAGGTGATCGAAAAGACCAAGGGCGCTTTCTTCCGTACGCAAGTGCTCAGCGCCGCCGTTGCCAAGTGAAGTGTAGGTGAGAATGGTGAATGAGGAACCGGATAGAGAGGAAAAGAACAGCCGGACCTCGAACGCAATTACTATTGATTTCAGCAAGACCAAATCAGAGGAGCTTAAGCTCATTCAGTCAATAGATGCCGGGGCCCAACTCCCACAACGCAGAAAACTGGGGCGAAGAGTTGAGCAAACAATTACGTCGTGAGACGGAGATCTCTTATCCAGCCGAGAGGATGATGATGGGTCAAGCTGTAATTGTGTCGAGGGGGGAAACGAGGCCGGAACTCGGGCGCGGAATGTACAGCATGATTGATACCCGTGAAACTGCTTCATGAGCTACGGAAATGAGTTAGAGCTAGAAACAAAAGCATGGAAAGGGGTTGGCACCATGATATGTTGGACTTGTCAATTCATGCTGTCCCCCCCAAAGCCAGAAAATGAAGATGCCATGAACAAAAGGAATTTTACCTGATTAGGACTTATACGATCGACCTCTTTAGTGGTTTCTCAAAGTTGTTGATACAAGGTACAAATTACCTCAAAAGGTAGGTATGTGCAACTGGGGGTATCTATCGCCAAACTCTCTCGTTTTCGGAGGGAGAACGTCGACTTATCATTTCTGGGGAGTTTCGGCCTGCTTATTCTTCAACTCCTCCTCGACCAAGAGACCCTTGACCTCCTCCTCGCTCATCCACTCCCTGACGCTGTCCATGATGTCCTCGAGGTCGCGGCCGCCCTCGAGCACGCCGTCGAGGTTGCCGCTCTCCCGGCCGCTGCGGTGGTCGGTGACGCGGTTCTGCGAGTAGTTGTAGGTGCGGACCTTGTCCTCGCGGCCCGTCCTGGCGACGCCGCCCATGACGCTCCGGCGCAGGCGGATGACCTCGGCCTCGCGCCGCTCGCGGCGGATCTGGGCCAGCTTGCTCCGCAGGAGCTGCCAGGCCTTTTCGCGGTTCTTGTGCTGGCTGCGGCTGTCCTGCATGGAGACGACGATGCCGCTGGGGGCGTGCGTCAGGCGCACGGCGCTGTCGGTCTTGTTGACGTGCTGGCCGCCGGCGCCGCGGGCCCGCATCGTCTCGCTCCGCACGTCCTGGGGCGCGATGTAGTAGTCGCTCTCCGGGTCCTCGTAGTCGAGGTCCTCGCCGCCCGTCTCGGGCAGGTTGGGCAGGACGAGCACGCTCACGGCGCTCGTGTGCGTGCGCCCCTTCTTCTCCGTGCTCGGCACCCGCTGGACCCGGTGCACCCCCGCCTCGGACCGCAGCACGTCGTAGCTGCCCGGGGCGTCGACCTCGAGCAGCGCGTCCGTCAGCGCGCTCTCGGGCACCGAGTCGTCGGGCGTGTAGCTCGCCAGCGTCGTCCGCCACCGCTTCCGCGCGCAGAACCCCTTGTACATGTCCAGGAGCGTCTGGGCGAAGAGGGACGCCTCGCTGCCGCCCGCGCCCGGGTGGATCTCGATCATGCACGACATGTCGGCGAAAGGGTGCGCGGGGATCAGGGACGTCTTCAACCTCGACGTCAAGCCGGGGAGGGTGGAAAGCGTGGACTCGATGTCCGACTGGGCCAGGGACTTCAGCTCGGCGTCGGACGAAGGGTCGTGGAGGAGGGCGTCCAATTCGGAAAGACTCTAGTGACCAACCATCAGTGAACCGTTTTGGGTTGGTTGTGCACACGACAACGACACCACCGAGTGTGTGTGTGTGTGTGTGTGCGTCCAGACGACAACACAAAAAAGTGTGACGACGACATACATTCTGCGCATCTTCCCAGTCTTTCAACGCTTCACAGACCGAACTCAGTTCGCCAATCCTTTTCGCAACTGACACATCGTAATTCTCAATGTTTGCCGCCGAGAGCTGCGCATGTTCAGCTGCAATACTGCGGGCTCGTTGGAGTAGAACGGGCGAGACTTGGGACTCGGTGTTGACTGTAGTTTGACACGACAAGGGACAAAGTCAGCCAAGGACAAACTCTTTTCTTTGCTCGAGAACATGGCGGTGCAACTTTTTGCATGCATCTCGAATACGTACAAGAACTTTGAAACCGAATCTCCCCAAAGGTAGGTCTAACTACCGTGCGTAGAGAAGGTCCAAGGCATCTTGAGCATAGCAGCCAGCTACGACTGCTTCTCAACATGCCTTGGAAATTGCGCGACTCAACTTCATACAACCAAAAGAAGTGCAACAAAGTTGGCTCATCAACCTGAACGACGTACCGAGAGCACTTTCAAAAAGTTCCAATACTGGACTCCAAATTCCGCGTTCTGAGGTACGGGGTCGAGGGTTATTATCTAGGCAAGTCTAACGAGCCAATCGGTGATGGGGCCTTTCAGCCTCGTGAGCCTGATGAGAGGCAGCCTTACGGAGTATGACCCTCGACAGTAGCCTTACATCAGGGTCAGTCTCAAATACCTCCGATTCATGGTTTTCCTTTGCGCGTTTAATAAAATAGAATATCGAGACTGGATACTACTAGAGGAAATGTCTCAGGTGCTGTATATCTATGGCATAGGACAATTTCCCGCCCGCATGGCAACCGAGTATTAGAGCTTAAAACCTTCGTCCGTAAGTTGATTTCTTCCCAACCATCCCGTCCTGTTAATGCTGAAAGCAAACTCCAGTGCCAGGCTAATATGTATGCATTTTTATTCTCTTTAGTCGTTGAGCAATGCGTATCCTGAACGGCGGGGGGGGGGCGATGATGATGATGATGGAAAGCTGTACAATTTTAGACGCCGTTCGTGAGTCGTCAGTCCCTGTGTTTCGTGTGACCATCAGAATACAGTTCATTCATGACCGGAAGGCCCACATGTTGTCGCCTTTGCCCGAAGGATATCCTCCATCAGGCCTCTCCTGCACCGGTGCCAATCTGGGTGACTGGCCAATCCAACCCGAACCCCTGTCGTCTCCATCCATGGGGAAGAAAACACCTTCAACTTCTTCGTCAATCTTCTTGGAGCTCAAGCCAGGACTAGCTATGCCACGGTCCAAACGGCCGATGGGTGCAGAAGAATGTCTTAGCCCACTTCCCCTGCCACCATTCGATTCGCCAGACTCTGTACGGTCCAGTTGCATCCTTGCCATGGCTTGCGATATTCCAGAGGCTTGCGCATTCGGTCGCGAGGATTCTTGTGGCATCCAAGAGCCACGGAGAGGTGAACCGACATGGCCAATACTTGGGATAGTGTTTTCTGCGGCCTTCTTTTCACGTTGCTCTGCCCATAAAGCACTGAACCTCGATGGACTCCCCGTCGGCGGTGACCCTACCGAGGTGGAAGAGGTGCCACTTGGTATCGCAAGACCGCGTGCGTGATCCTTCGTGCCGAGATCTTGCTCAGGTCGTGACATTCGCCTCATCTTTTCTTGCGGTGTAAGAACTTCGTCGTGCAGGCTATTGGGCAACAAGTCGGTTTCACTCCCAAGGTTTTCTTCCCACTCGTGATACAAGTTTGAGCGAGGGACACTGGCCGACAAACCTCTCATCTTGATCGGTCGTTGTGAGTGCATTATCCTCTGGCTGATCGAGTCTTCCGTGTTCTGCGGAGACACTCCAAGCGGTGATGCATTGCGAAGATTCGAACCAAGATTGGCGTTTCTTACATTGACTATGGATTCAGGAGGACTTCCAAGTTGTCGGGAAAGGGAAGATGATGCGGGGGACCGTAAACCAAACTTGTCGGGTACAGACTGCCCTAGAGGTCCATATTGTGCGATATGAGAAATGCCATTGGCATCGAAAGAGTGTGGGAGGGGAGCATTGAGTGCGGTTCGGAGGTTGTCGACCGGCGACTTCGGGAATTGGTAGTCGTTCGGAGGTGAGCCGAACTGTGAGGTTGGAGGGGAGTTCAAACCCGAATCGAGGGCAGAAGCAGTCTGGTATTGATTGTATCGGTCCTGGAATGCATCGGGCTCATCGCTGTCCATGAGTGGGAATCCTTGATTGGGGAAGTAATCTGCATTGTAAGGTTGCTGGTTCAGCATCGACTCTGCTGCATCCTGAGATGGGAAGGATTGTTGTTCTCGGTTCGAGTAAGTATAGTTGCGATTAGCCATTGCTAAGCCGACGTCAAGATCTGCTCGGTTGACACGTCGTCCGTCGGGAAGGTAGTGGGCCAGAGCACATTTGGCGCCGAATTTGCAGTTCCCCTGTACTTATCTTAGCCGAGTAACACCAACAGAAAAGAGAAACCTACCTTCATAAAGTATTTGCATGGCGCTTGGTGGCTCATTGGGTCGAGGGAGTGTGAGAATGGGCATGCGTTGCCTGCTTGACAGGCACCCTGCCGGAAGAACTTGCATGGGACATGCTTGGTGTCTTTGGAATGCTTAGAGGGCCAGTTTTCCCCAGACTTGTGAGCGGACTTACTCTTGTTTGAGGCATTTGGAGGGCTCCTTGCCATGTCGAATAATGATGCGCCTCCGGATCCTCCGATGCTGCTCTTTCTGTCTACCCCATTTCCATATCCAGGCACGGGAACAGCCTTTTCACCATTTGCGCCAAAACCGTTGCGCGCTCGATTCTGTCCTTGGATCGTGGACCCAGGCATTTGTGCCGATGACAGACTGTTCGAATGACCCCTATTCATATTCGGAGGTTGATCATGATCATTCCACAGTCCTTCAGTGTTTGCAGCTTGTCGAGGAAAGGCCGTGCTCATGTCAGACTCGGCGTCGGTTGTCAAGAGGCTAAGTCGAGATCGAAGGCGAGTCGTGTAAGATTCGAAGGTCGGAGGAGAAGGTCGGTCTTTTCAGAGAAGGTCAGACTACGCTGAGGCGAGGAATGCTGGAGGGGTGCCACGAGTCATGCGTACTCCTTGCGCGCAGGCCCAGGGACGGTGTAGGCTCTTCCACGTGTGTTTGGGCAGATATGCGTGGGATGGGAGCCGGTTTGGCGGATGTGTTTGTTGTTGCGACTGCAAAGTGTGAGGCCGTGGTTGAGGTCTATTCAGGTGGAGCAACAGATACGTGGAGCGATCTGTGTAGGACTCTCACGGACGAAGGCTGGGGAGACTGATATGGTCTTTTATCAATGATCGCAGACACGTAGTGGGGCGCGGTTAGAGGAGGAGGATATGGGTGGGATGGCAGCGAAAAGACACTGTAGGCCCCGGTGATGATAGGCTGCAATTTCCCCCACACGACGCGTGACTTCGAGTCCCATCAGTCCCTTCACAATCCCTGACGCCAAGACTTTGATAGACTGATGAAGTCTGACCGCGGCTTCTTTAGCAGTTGTCTGACAGTGAGATTTAACATTGTTACAGTAGTACTTTTTTGTCAGACTCGCGTCTTCTGGTTCCTGTTGACAAGATCTTTCATCAACGAGCCGTCTTCATTTGGTACTATCAAGACAACCCTAGTCAGCAATGGCCGACCGGACTGGGCTCCCGTTCCTCTATCAAACAAGAACCATCCTCTGTCGACCACTCCGACTACACCGACCGTCACAGCGACGACTGTTGTCCGAATTTCCAAAGGTGTTTGTCGATGGCAAACAAGAATCCAGAATTCCTCTGTCACCTCCTCCTGGAGAAGAGTCTTACCTCCAGCAGAGAGGCCGCCAGGCGTCAAAGTCTTCGACCAACAAACTACCAGAGTTTCTTGGTTCAAGTGTAAACTCCACCATCACAGCAAGTGAACGTCGCGCGTTTGAGACCATCCTGCGTTTCACACCTGACGAGTCTCGATCCGGGCCTGTCGGTGTCAAGGACCAAACGCCTCAGGACGATGCATTGGACACGGACATCGAAAGCATTCTCGACATATTTGCCACTTCTGTTCGGGGCTACAATGCTGCCCGCGATGCCAGACTAGCCGCCGCTCGCGACCCAGACCAGCAGCACGGCCATGATCAGGACGAAGGTCTGGATTTATCGGAGTCTAAAGTCGGTCGAACGACCCGACAACAGCCCGGAGATTCAGACGTCGTGCCACTTGACGAACAGTCGTTCCAACAAATCGCCGACAGTCGTCGTTTCGAGGGTTTCAACGAACCCATCAAGGCTGCGGTCCGCAAATGCATGACCGAGATCTCCTCCGCGCTACAGGCAGCAGCCACCTCGCCCAGTGAACGGGGCGATATCGCCATGTGGCGTGTCTGCGAATCCCAAATCTTCTCGCTCGCCGCGTATCTACGTCCCAAAGCCGTCAAACGCCAACGTTACGTCGGCCCCTTGAGGTTCACCTTTTCGAGAGCCGAGTCCGACGACGCTCCTCGAGCTCTGGAAGCCGCCGAGCGAGAATTCAATGCGGCACAAGAGGCGGCCGCTGGCCCCTCCGTCTCCAGCGCAGAGACCCTTCAGCGGCGTAGCCATGACCAATCTCTGTCGGACGATGAAACCCAAAACCTCGTCTCCCAGAGCATCTTGCACCATGTGTACCCTGCCGCCCTCCTCCTCGCGCTCCGCCTGTACATCCGCCACTTCCCTTCGTCGCACCTCCCGCACAACTTGCTCCCAAGCATCCGCTCGTTCGGACACACAAGCTACGTCCTGGGAGCCAGCACCCAGTTCTACAACTCGCTCATGTACCTCGTGTGGTCGACGCGGTCGTCGCTCCGGGAGATCGACTCCCTCCTGTCCGAAATGGAGGGCGGCGGCGTCGAGCTCAACGAGGAAACCTACCGTCTGCTCCGACAGATCGAGGACGAGCGCGCCGAGGACCTCGAGTTGGACGAGAAAGAGGACGCCGGCTCGCTCCTGGGCAGTCGCGGTGGACCGTGGTGGAGGAGACACGAGCAGATGTTCTGGTTCCCCCGGATCCTCCATTGGCTCGGCGTCATCTCCAAACGGTTGAACACTGCGGCGATAGAAGGAAGACCTACCTGACAGAGGAAACTAAACTCGACTCGCGTCTCGTGCCAACACTTGTATTACCTTTTGTATAATCAACACATGTAGGCATAGATTTAGAAATTAATGATTTCCCCAAAATTCTATCATTGTGATCTCTGTGTTCAAATGAAGATACGAGGTATCGCTTTACTTTACAGACTAAGTACCTTGGTAACTCTTCCGTTTTGGGCAACAAGTCGGAACTTGGCCCCTTGTCTATGTATCTGAAACAGCCTGAGCCATCGGAGTCTTCAGTATCCTTGAGAAACCATGTCTGTAAACTTTTTGTGGCCACACCTAGTACAATGCCTAGATCCGAGAGGTGTAGGTCCCGAGTCGTTTCTCGCTCAAGTTGGTGAACGTAACGCAACACGCACCATTTTGATGATCCGCAGGTGGTCATACGAGAAGTTGCCCTTATCCGGGGAGAAGGGGACCCAGGTACTCATACACTCTTGGGGGATGGGCACTAGTGACGGACTACGCCCGGTCAATCGAACGCTTCTGGCTGCAAGGGGTCGTTGGCTCTCGACTCGAATCCTCCACATGCATTGCCGTCAGTTTTCCCCATCTCTTCAAACCATTCTCCCTGCAGACTCTCGAGAGTGGCGTCGACAACAACAAAAAGGAAAAGGAGGCAGTAACAAGTAGAGTCTTCGGAAATGGTCGATGCGGCAGCACCGGCATGAAGATCACCTCATCCGTGTCATGCTATATCAACAAAGTTGATCAGTGTACCCCTCGGAACGCAACCTCCTCAAGCTGCACAGTCCCGTTCTCCACGCCCGTCACAAAATCTTTCAAGTCCATCTTCCAGCGTTTCTGTCCGACAGTCTTGAGATCCATGTCGGCCGGACAGGACGGTATCTTGCCCCATTTGGATTTATCCACGGCCATTGTGTCAGCGAGACTGGCGTCCTGCCCATCGACGACCTTTGCATGGTTTCCCCCTTCCCCTTGACCTCCAACACCGTGTCTCTTGTCCAATTCCTTACTCGTCTCAACCTTGACGAAGACGGGGATGACCGCACCTGTACCCAGCGAAAAGGATCTGTGCCCGAGAACTCTCAAAGTCGCGCCAATGGCGCCCGAATGACTCGTGAAACTGATTCTTTCTGAATTTTTGAATTTCTCGCTTTGCATTAATTGGTCAAACAACTTGCCGAGCCTCGTCGTCACCGCATCGTCGGGCTCTCTCAGATCTGGGTCCCAGAACTCATCCGACTCCGTGAGCAAGGGGTCTTGCGTCGTGATGAAGTCGGGATAATGGTCGCGAATATACGACACATCACTGCGCCTGTCGCACGTATGTATGCCTGTTCCTTCACGTAGCCGCTCCATCACAGTCGGGTCGAACTTGTCCAAGAGACCCTTGAACGTGATCTGTGCAGTCTCCATGGCCCTGTCCAGTGGGCTCACGAAATACGTCTGTGGCAGACTCATCTTCTGGCCCTTGATCTGCGCCTTCCAAAAGTCGTTGACCTCTGCAGCTTGTCGGCGTCCTTCCTTGCTCAAGTGCGCATCGGACCAGACCATCACATGCTCGGGATCTCCATCCAGCGCCGAATAGTGACAGTCCCACGCTTCACTCCCGTAATATCGTTCTGCGATATTGTGATACCCGTTTCCGTGTCGACCTAGGAAAAGCAACTTGTATCGTGTGTGGCTACCTTCTTCGGATCCATGCCTCTTGCGCTCCTCTGCTCGATTGAGTGTCGTGATGTGGTTTTCGAACCGCTGCCAGGCGGTCATATCTCGACCTTTGTTTGGCAAGTTCTCGTCCGAGTCGTACGAACGCTGTACAAGCCCGAAGTTCGTCTTCATGAACTCAAAACTCCCTGGCTTCGTCGCTGGGTCATCCTGCAGAAAGTAGCCCGGTAACGTGGTATATGTGTACTTGTGTAGATTGGGCTTGCTTTGTACATGTCCCGGCGAGTCTTGCGCCCCAGGATCAGGGTCCGTGTGGACGTCAAGCACTTTCTGGCCGCTCATGCTGAGAAACGAAGCGCCTGCGTCGCTCGCTTCTAGCAGACCGCAAACGACCAGCGACACAGTGAGAAGGAGAAGGAGTTGTCTTGTGCAGTTTTCGGTGTCTCATTAGCCCGGAAAGTCGCAAGTCATGGTGGGTCGCGGGCGAGCGTCCACTTACATGGCAATTGTTGTTCGACAGATTCTCGTCGGTACTCTCCACCGGCGATGTGCTTTGCGATGACTTGAGTCGAGCAACATCACGAAATGCTATACCATGGTGTTTAGGAACAACATGATCTTGAGAGAGGTCACACAACATATCGTGTTTGTTGTCAAAGGCCCAGTGGTAAGCCCGGAACATTCTCAACAGGCGCAGTCTTTATGCGTTGCCGTATGATTACGGTGAAGTTTTTGGGTATCGCAGTATGACCTCAGCTTCTGAATCTCATTCTCCGTTGAATCACTTCTCTTCTTGTAGATCAGTTGTGCTGCAGATCTAGTCGCATTCTAAATCGCATCAATATGTGGCAGGCTTCAACGGACATATGTTACAATGGGTCGAGCACAGCGTTTGGTTGACACCGGCTTCTAGACTTGTTTTAGTAGGCCATCTGGCTGGATCCGTATGAATATCAACAGGAGACTTGGCTTCCAGCAAGAAGCGTTCGTGGCTCCATTGTTGGAGGACAATACCAAGGTCATTGGCATTTGCGGGCAGTCGCATTGAATTGCGTAAGATGTTCTCAATGGTTGACCACATCGCAGAGCTCGTTCGCTTGACAACGCCAATGAGTCGGGACGTTTTCCATACTCGATCATAGTGGCCTTGATCGGTAGGCATCGAAAGTAACGTCCAAAGCAGATGTTCCGCACTCAAGTCGCTATCGTCATCATCGTCCTCGAGGATCTGCTGTAGAGTGGCCAGATACTTTTCTGTCTGAGACGAGAAATCTCCCAATTCTGCCATGATTAGGTTCAGAAGGATCAACGATGCCATTCGGCAGTTGTCAACAGCTCGTCGTTTTTCAAAGTCATTGTAGCCTGTCTCAAAATTCTCCAGAGCGGTGGACAACTCGGACCCGGCTCGAAATGAACTCGTCCGGAATGGATGGTCTTTTAGAGCCTTATGTTGATCAGCAGTCGAGGGCAAGGCCTTCAGTGTTTGGGCCTTTCGTCTACTCAAAAACTCAACAAATTCATCGCAGCTCCGGTCGTATGCAGATCCGGAGAGTTGGGTCCGATTTCCCATCGAGATGCCGACCGAATCTGAGGTTTCATCGAGGTAAGCTGGATTTCCATCCATTGTCGGCCAAGAGTGCGCTATGAAACTCCTTTGCCCCGTCAGCGGTCTTTTTCTGTGGGAATGCGTAGAGGATCCTTACCAGACGATCTTGGTGTGCATCGGTGGATTGTGTTGTAAACCGGGGAAGCCTCCACGCTCAAGCAAGAGTCGCTTAAGTGCTCCCCAATGTAGTCTTGCTACCTGACGGTCTCCCCAGACACGCTTGCTAACGTCAGTATGATTGGAAAAGATGTCGTTTCGAAAAACGTACTTCTGCATTGGCGAGAAGACCGATGCCCATTATGGTCCATTCATCACAAGGACCTTGGAGGAGCCGAAGACTTCTATTCACAGCCTCCAAAGAGCGCTGCTTGAATTCCATCGTTTGAAGAGACTCTTTTTGGCCCTTTAGTGTCGCCAGGTGGAGCGCGGCGTGATGCAGCATGCATAGAAATGGTATTTCATGCTTTCGATAGAGGTTGAAGAGGTCCCAACACGAGCGTGGTTTGCGCACGGCTCTATGCCAATGGCGATGGACGAGCGATGGTATGACAAAGTAGTAGTGGTCGACCAATTCATGCACATCCCGCGTAGCCAGTATCGGATAAGAATTAAACGGGTCACCCCTCCCACGGCCCAGGTAGTCAATGAAAGAAGTCCTCACCCGATGAGAACGCAACATGATATGCGTCTCGACAATCTCGCGCTCCTCGTCCTTGGGAATTTGAGCACCACTTGCCGGCGCATTGGAGCTTTTCGAAGTCGACACGCCTGCACCAGCGGCAATGTTCGAAGTATCCTCGGAATGAGTTGCAGATTCGAGCTCCTCATACCTCTTCCGCCGGTAGTGTTGTTTTGTAAGGAAGGCTCTAGTCCTTCTTCTCTCGGCTTTGCTCTTCAGTCCTTCCACAAATTGGAATTTCTGTTCGAATCCAGGGGAAGCCTCGGTCGCAATCCTTTTATGTAGCCTTTGAAGGGACTTGTCGACCTGAATATCATGAAAGGAGGGACCAGCCTCGCAAGGCGTTCTACGAACCATGCTGCTGGCAATATTGTTATCATGACGGATACGGGGAGCCATGCACCTCTGATGTACTTATTAATACTCGTTAGTACAATAATACCTACGCAGTTTGTTAGCTGGAATTCTCATTCGGATCTCGGCGATATCTCACCTAAAGTCCAACGCCACCTCTTTCTCGAAAGTGGCGTAGTTGGCTGCTGAACATCGAGCCATAACCTGCTGTGAAAGCTGCTGCACAAACTTTATAGCCTCAATGTAGAGTGAAGATGTATGTAGCTAGATTCCATCAAGAAATTGTCAGTCTTCTTCAGCCAAAGTCGACGAGGAACCCGTTGCTGATATCATGCCGAGTCTACAACGGAGATAAGAAATCGCGCCATCAGCATTTTCAGTTGGCATAAGAAATAGGATATCACAGATTCACGGCAGCATTACTGATCACAAGGAATGATTCATTGTGTGTTTAGCGACATTAGTTAAGTCGCCTTCTACTTGCTGCTCAAGCAAGCTGGAACAACCATGTGCCAGTACTTACAGGCATAGTATGAGAGCTGGGCTTGGTCAACCACAATGCTCAAGTTCATACCACAACGTCACTCGTTGCTACAACGCTCTGTATCTCGCGCCGGACCTTTGTCATACTCCCGCCATTATGGTCGAACAGCGGACGTGCTGTTTTGCTCGTGACAGGAAGCCCTTCCGTGGCAGTAACAGCAATAAAGGGGGAGGGAGAAGCATGCCGGATGTGAACGCCCCACAAGGTCATTGGCGCATTTGTATGGTTGACCAGAAGTGCATACATTGCTTCCATGGCGGATAGCTGCTGTCCAAGGCCACTGGTTCCGTCCCAACCGTTGATATACCATTTTGATCCGCACGTAAGACCGTTGTTCTTATGCACGCATGCTCTTGCGGCGCCCTGTGCAGAAGCCCTGATGATCTCGCCGACACGTCCTGCGGTGAGGGGTGCCATAATGGATGTCGCGCTCAGCCATCGAAGAAGGTAAGCCTTCATAGAGAGTTGGTCGGTATTGCAGGTCATGCCGAGCTCACATTCTGCCTCGAAAACAATATTGGTTGCATTCTCGAAGGGGGACACAAAGGTGTTCGTGGCTTCGAGCAGACCCACAGTTCTCTCAATCCAAGGAGACGAGCCGTTGGTGAGATTCTGCAGCACTGCGGCGCCGTACAAGAACAAGCCGACATTGTACGTCCACTGATGATGGTCAATACCGGTACAATTGATTGTTTCATCAGTGCCGTCAAACACATTGTAGATGTTGTCAATGAGGCCAACACCGACCGTCCAGTCCCATATCTTGTTCGCCCAGTGTATGTAGGTCTGATTGCCTGTGAGTCTTGCCAACCGGGCAGAGAGTTGAAAGAAGGCGCCATTGGACACAGAATTCTTGTAGTAGTAACCTGCATTTTGTGGGTGAAACTGCCATTTGAGACCGCCGTTACACTTTGTAGTATTCCACCGAGCAACGTAGTCTTGCCATGAGTTCTCGACGATCTTGAGCCAGGAAGGAGCGGGCGCAGGTGGCTGAGGGAAGGAATACTCTTCGGCGGATATTGCAGCAAACACCCAAAAGGCTTGGTCGTCATTTCCCTCATCCAAGACTTCGGAGGGCATGTTGAAGTCGTTCGCTGGACCCAGTTGAGAAACGAGAGCTTCGGTCATGACATTGTTGTATGAATTGTCCCCGGTGTAATGCCAATACTCCATCATGCCACTCCAAGCACCGCCGGACTCCCACCTACGCGTTTTTAGTTAGAGAACATGTCGAAGTAGGGAGTGAGTAGGTGGGTTACCAGTAGTATGGCGGGAAAGGCCATTTTCCAAGGGTGCCGCCACTACGATTACCGTTGTAGAGCTCTTGCAAACCAGAGGCGATGGTTGCAGCTGCGGTGAGGATGGAACCTAGCTGTTGTTAACAAAGTCATGGTCTTCACTCCAGCCAGACCTCAACTCACTTCGGTCATCGACATCCAGGGCGACTGCCAGCACAGTCGACGGAATCAAAACAAGAAAGAGAATGGAAATGAGTGTAAAGCCATGCATGATGGCAAATGCAAAACTGTGACAATCGACCGCTGAAAGATGAAGGCTGTTAAAGAGAGAATTGATGGATGGAAGACGGACGAAGAGGCGATATCATCAACGTTGAGTTTTCACAGCCCCTGGGAAGAAGCTGCAGTGAATACGTTTTCTCGAATTGACGCCCACCATATCACAGTGTCTTCACTGCATCCCAGGGTGAACACATCATTGTGCGAGAACCTTCTGCTGACCTTAATCGCCCAACGGCATCTTAGACAAACAGATCATATCGATCAACACACAAGCGTACCCCTACCGGATTCTTCTGCTTTCGAAATACCGCCATACAATCTGATCATTTCGCATCCAACCCCATAGCCACTTACAAGGCACCGAGACCATACGACTCCGAGCAGACGAAGTCAACACGCAAGGTCTGACCCCAGACGATTTTACAGACCAGTGTCCCAACTCTGAGTCTACCAACGCTCATTTTGTTACAGTGACAGTGAATTCTGCTGCGAGATGTGGAGGTCCTGGGCGTACTCTATAGTCTCTCCTTTCAGATCCGTATTCCAAGTGTTTCGGATTCTGCCATGTCAACCATTTATTGCTTCCGCAAAAGTCTTATGGCAGGCCGAATGCGATAGCAGTCATACAGCCCTTCAGTCTTACCGCCTATCCACATCTCACAACTCACCATTTGCAATATAGGAAGTTCGCAGGGACGGTTCTGACCAGTGTTGACCAACACAATCATCAAATCGATACTTCTGACAAATAACTGTTCATCAGGTCGTAATGGTAGCATATCGCCTGAAAGATGATCCATCGTAGTCCGTGGAAATCACTGTAACATCTTACCTGCCTAGTATCCTAGCTAGGTGCGACCTAGGATGTCCGCCTATAACAGCCTCAAAGACTCGCTCCCGGAAGACTTCCGCCTATCTCGATATCACACAATCTGAGAGACTGTTCCCGGAAGATGTCCGCCTACCTCGATATAACAGTCTCAAAGACTGTTCCCGGGGGATGCCCGACTACCTCGATATAACACAGTCTCAGAGGCTGTTCCCGGAAGATTTCCGCCTATCCCGATCAGGCGGCTCAAGGCTGACCCATGGCGCCAACTCGATTCGGAATGTATTATCGAACAGACTTAAGATCCAACATTGTGCCTGAAATATAAGCCACGGCCAGCATCTGTTCGGTTTCGAATGTGCCCTTTCTGTTGTTTCAAACATTTACAATCCTGCAGCTGCATACTCACCAACATGATTGATTTTCAGTTGTCGCCAGAACAATTGGCTATGAGAAATGCTGTTAGAGGATTTGCTCGTGCCAATCTGCAAACAGCAAGGTCGATATATGAGGCTCAAAGAGCATCATCTTCAGCGTGGGAGGACCGCTTTCGCTCAACCCAACCTATTTACGCTGAAGCCGTCAAAGCCGGCCTGATAAAGGCTCAAGTCCCAAAACAGCTCGGCGGAGCAGGTGGCCCTCTGATCGAGGCTGCTCTTGTCGTGGAAGAGTTCTATGCTGTCGAAACCAGCGCGTCTTTGACTATCCTAGGTACTGGATTGGGTTTGACCCCCTTGATCATGTCCGGCTCCCCCGAGCACAGCAAGTTCTTCAAGCCATTCCTTGACGGTACAGGAACGCCGCTGGCCAGTCTCGTTTTCTCTGAGCCTGGAGGGAGTGCGAACTTTGCAGAAGCAGGTGCATCTGGTTTTGAGACAGTCGCTCAATTGCAAGGCGAGGAATACATCATAAATGGGGAAAAGGTGAGTGATCTGCGTTTCTGCTCATTCGAGTTGGTTACCGACAGGATGCAGATATGGGCGACAAATTGTTCAGGCTGGGATGACAGGGGTGCGGACGTGCAGTGCGTGCTATGCCGCGTCGAGGGTTCAGCGGCCGTGGACGATGTTCGTGGGCAGACAGCAATCATCATCGTCACCCGACAGGATATTGCTAAGAATGACGCGAGCGCATACTCCGTGCTTTCTCATCCCGAGACCATTGGTCACACAGCCGTCAATGGGCCGCACATTCGCTTCAAGAACCTGCGTGTCCCAAGATCCAACCTACTTGCTCCTCCTGGGAAAGGAGCAGATCTGGTTGAGATGACATTTACTGCCTCCGCTGCTCTCGTGGGCGCGATGGGCGTGGGCATTATGCGACAGACATTTGATCGGGTTCTTGCATGGGCCAAAGAAAATCGACGAGGCTCAAAAGAGGCTATGATCCAGAAACAAAGCGTAGCAGATCTGTTGATCAAGATCAAGACTCGATGTGAAGCAACCAGAGCTCTAGTCTGGAAGGCGGCATGTTGTTTTGGCAGCACTCGGTTCGGAGCTGAACTCTGCTATGAAGCCAAAATCTTTGGATCCGAAAGTGCTGTTGAGTGTGTCATGGATGCCATCAATTTGGTAGGGGTATCGGCATACTCGCGAACCCAGCCATTTGGAGACCTGCTGAACGATGCTGTTGTCCTGCCGATATTTGATGGCGGCAATGTAGGGGTTCGACGGAGACAGGTTGAAGCTATCTTTGCTCAAGACGCGTATGATCCTTGGGAGACTACCTTTGGGCCAGAGAAGTGACGACAGAACCGACCTGGTTTTACAGGTGGCATTGCATGTGTAATCACGAAGCTAGGCTGCCTCAGGGACAAAGTATTCCCGGAATGCGTGTAAAGTCGCCATAAGTGATCGGGTAAGCAGTACAGTTACGAAGATCTAGAGCATAAGGTAGCATGAGAGCACGGCTCCGAATAGGGAGTACAAGTCCTGTTTACTAAGAAATTACTTAAGCGCCAAGTCAGGTGTTTTGTCGACCCTGATTCTCCCCGTTGGTTCACCCAGGTTCGTTCCTTTCGCACATCATTTATTATTTCCCATTCTTTCGCCAGTGTGTAAGGGTGAAAGCGTGGAAACCGGATATTTCTCGTAAAACAGGACTATCAATCTCGGCACGACGTCTTGATGATGTTCTAAGCAGATCGGGCAACCGAAATCCTCCAGGGATTCAAGTACTCTGCCTCGGCTCCGCCTCACTTTGTTTCATCACTCTGGCCATCCCGAAGCGTGTACAAGATGCCGAAAGCGGTCAAGGGAGCTCTACTACAATGCGACCCGCCTCAGATGGCTATGGTGCGGAAGATTGACCGCGAATCCAACAACGCATACATCATTGAGGAAATCGACGATCATACATGTTTGGTCAAGGAGACCAAAGTGGAAGAGATCAAAGCGCGAGTCAAAGAGCTCATGGATGCGGCCATGGGCATGGATGAGGACGACAATGACGACAAGGACAGCGACCTGGATTGAACGCAGCCAGAGTACGAGGTACTCCAAGTCAAGGCGTATACACTTCTCCAAAGATCTTCGCAGGGACAAAGTGGGCGAGACGGGACCTTCTGTACCCATGTTTATCGAAAGTGGTGAATACAGACTTGGCCGAATGGACCACTTGTGTCATGGTAGAACATAACCAAAAGCGAGCTAGAGTGTTCCCGAACGCAGCTCGTCGTTCACAATCCTCTTGAATTGAGACTTGAGGAAATCAGGAGCACCAGAGGAGGTGGCAAAAGGCTGGTGAACAGGAAAATGCATTGATGGGAGAGGCATATGCGTAGCACCAACCACCCTACAGAAATGACTACGGGGGTGGTTCATAGGCTATGGTGGGTATGTGCTGGTATCGGGGTAGCGGTTACGCGGCAAAATGCAGCAGGAATCCCTAAGCGAGCACGCAAAAGGTTTATTCGTAAGAGGGAAGTGCAACAGTAGAGAGGGATCTACATGCAAGATTCGTACTCAGCTTGAAAACTTGGTAAGAGGGGTTTGTCGAATACTGTCATTGCTTGATCGCAAGGAATTGGATACAGTAGACAGCTGCTGGAATGAATCTGACACGTTGACACACTGACACATTGACATACATGCGAATGACACGCTTCTGTCTGCATGCATGCATGCATGCATGGTTGATTAATGCACATGACCTCTGGGCGAAAAGGGCAGACTGGACCCTGGCAATCGAAAATTGACTGGACGAAGGAGCAAGTGGTCGAATTTAGGGCTTGGGGGATTGACGGCTGGCGGCGGTGCTGGGGGCGCCCGGTGAGCCTAGTGAAGGCGTTAGGGGCGGGGAAGACAGCCGGGTGGGATTCGTGAATGCCTGAAAACTGATTAGGGCCAAAGTCTGAGAATGACTTGCGTCCCTTGATCTGCTTTGGCACCGGAACCGCTGGCAAAGCGAGAACGAGCAAGAGTCCGGATACGAGGTGCAATACAGCGCCTTGTACGCACGAACTCACAACCGAGGACTGAGGGACTCTTTTAGTTGCCAAACATGGAAAAGCCGGAGATATTCCAGGCACGAGCGACTCGCACAGAGACAACCCGCCCAAAGTCACCAAAAGGCAAGCAAGGAGTAATAAGGAATAACATGAGTACGGATAATGAACGGCAAGTCTCCTCCCTTGGTGGCTTCTTGACACTACAGTAGCACCTGGGGACCCAATATCACACCTGTTGGCCACCGCCGATGGCGCCAATGAGCCAGTGGATGCACTCAGCGCCCTCAATACCTTCCTTATAGGCTATAGGTACGAACAGGGTTCAGTCAGTATGCACCGCTAAGGTACCTCAGAATGCTCTCCTGTCCAGTACTCGTATGCATTGAATCTTCTACTCTTGTCCTGCAGCGACTGTGATCGTCAACCATTTGATTTCTGCTGCTCTCCATGGAATTACATACTCGGTATCGGCTTCGCTTGACGCCCAATCCACTGCTGATCGGTGAATACTGGCCAATGTTCGGCGCCACATACACCCTTGTCTCTTCCCTCCCTTCGTCCACCCCAATACTCCCGTAGCAGAGAGGTGAATTTCTCCGTAGACGGCCAGCTAGTGCCTGTCATTCGCCCACTACTCTTTTCGTGCATCGGGCTTTCGGTGGGCCACACAGTACGAGTAGTTGTGGCCCTTTTCCCGTATCTGGATTCCCCGTTCACCGTTACACTAAATGACAAGCCACACTCCGTGCCTACCGACCGACACTACAGTACAACATGTACAGGCAACAGAGTCTTCACCACAACTCTCTCCCTACATTCCTCTCTGCAGGTGTTTACAGAACAGTTCATACCTGGCCTATTCTTTGCACTCTGATTCTTTATCTTTAATTCATCCTGTCCCGGTCCACTCCACATTTCCTCTTGACCAGCGCGGCGCTCCCCGCTATATTTTCCCCTGCTTGTTCCAACCCTCAAGTACATTCATCCGAAGATAGAACATTGCGACAACAATGTACGGCTATAACTTCAGCTCACCCTGCTCATAAAACCGCAACGTCGATCAGCTACATCATCAAGCAGACTACCCGTCAGGTTCTATCCACCGTTCACCGACGCACAGTGGGCATAAAACCCCGCCGCCAACTCATCAATTCCCCAAACAATTGTGACATTTCACACCCTCCCACGCTCCCTCGTCACCGCCTCGCCTTGCAGGTCTCCAGTTCTTCGCAACATTCGAGCCCACTAGGTTGTCAGCCAGATCTTTCTCCCACAGTCTTAAGATCACTTCAACTTTATCACAGGAGCTTTTTAGTACGTGAGAAGTGCGGCAACCGTCCCGGTCCGTCTCGTGGAGCTTTTGACGTGAAAGGGTTCTGACTTTGTCCAAGATTGCCAGCAGGGTCTCATCCTCTCCCTTCTGCCCCTGACTGGTTTGCATTGGAACCCAAGTCCCCCTTCTTCAGTTATTGAAGTACTCTTCTCTTTCCCGACTAATCCACAATATCGAACAACCAGTCCATGGCATATCTCAGGGTCGGCCAGAGAAAAGTGTACCGTCCATGAACATCACGGTTTTGCACTTTGCTATCAGATCTGCCGAGCAGAGAATGAGGCCAGCATTCAAGTCACCAAATCATGCTCTTCCCGGCGAATCTACTCCCCAACAGTCCACCTCTTGACACAAAGAAGGCGTTGATATTGTTGGACTTCCAGAATGACTTCGTCAGCCACGATGGAAAACTATCTGTCGAAAACGTTCGGGGCTTCCTACCCAACCTGACCACCCTTGTTAAAGAGTTCCGCACGAAAGGAGATGTGATATGGGCTGGAACCGAATACAGGCAATCTCGTTCCACTCGGTCTGCTGTGACAGGGTCTCATTCCATCCTCCTTAAGCAGTTCCTGCAGGGGCAAGACAATGATGACGAAGAAGGTGTGCATTATAACGATCCTATTTACACTCGCTCACCTGCCGAAGCTCCTCTCTCCCCAACAAAGACCCCGGACCGCTGGCATGATCGTGAAGCCTTCCTTACCCCAACCATGACAATGACACGCCACAGGTGTTGTTTGCCCGGCTCTACTGGTATTCGGTACCCAAAAGCTATCGAGTCTACCATGGATCCTCAGAAAGATTTGATAATGCTCAAATCTCACTATTCGGCATTCGTTGACACTCAACTTCTGATGCATCTCAGGACAAGACTAATCACCCAAATCTATGTCTGTGGGTCGCTTTCGAACATTTCCGTTTATGCAACTGTCCTTGATGCCGTATGTCACGGCCTAGAGGTGACTATCATCGAGGACTGTCTCGGCTATCGTGACGAGATGTGTCATACCGAGGCCGTACGGCAGATGGCCGACAGCATGGGAGCAAATGGTATCGACTGCCAAGAACTTCGAGACGATATTGCTGGTCTGTTGGGCGATGTGATCAAAGAGGAAGATTTCACCACCAAATTCCAAGTCAGCTTGCCGCGTCCAACATGCCGGACAAAGTCGCACACGTCCAAAAGTCAGATTCGCAACTGGATATCCAACGTGGAAAGTGACGAGTTTATTACTCCCCCGCCGGAAATGGAAAGAAAGTCTTCGAAAAGGATCGGAAATATAGGTGACAGCAAAAGGGATAATGACTCCAAGGGTGACTCACTGAAGATCTCACCCCATGCCACTTCAAGCGAGCAAAGCCCCCCACGAAAGAGGTCAACTAGCGACGTTGATTCTTTAGAAGAGAATCGGAGCTGCAAATTGTCCCATAAACCATCCACGAGGCGCAGCTCGGAGAATAGTCGCAACTCAGAAATGGCGAAGCAGAAACAGAAACCCTCAGCCAGGAAACGATGGCCCTCTCAGGACACCTTTCAACAGCCACCTAAGCATAGTATGACCAGCGTTACTGAGCATGTTTTACCAACTATGGCTGATATTGCGGACAAAAATCCGAGTCTTGATACCAAAAAGAACGAGGAACACAATGCATTTTCAAAGCTGTACAGTGAGCATCATCCGTGCGGACAGAAGAAGAAGAATAAAAGCGTACCCAATATTGTTGGTCAAGGGGATAGGATTGGCAACGGTGATTGCCAGCTTTGTATCGACGTGATCGAAAGTGAAGAGGCTGAGAATGCCTTCTACGCTCTGAGAGATCAAGTACAGTGGAACAAAATGTACCACCGTTCGGGAGAAGTGCCTCGTTTGGTCGCTGTCCAGGGTGAGATAAGTGGAAATGGTTCTAAATCCCCCATCTATAGACACCCCGCGGACGAGTCGCCTGAATTGCTTCCCTTTGACAGTACGGTCGGCATGTTAAAAAGAGCCGCCGAAAGGGCTGCCGGGCACTCCTTCAACCACTGTCTCATCCAGTGGTACCGAAACAGCGAAGATAATATTTCAGAACACTCTGACAAGACGCTCGACATTGTTCGCGGGTCCAGTATCGTGAACTTCAGTCTGGGTGCCCAGCGGACGATGATCTTGCGGATGAAGAAGACAGCAATAAGAACAGAGGGTGGCCATCGCGAGGACGACCATTCACGGCCATCCCAGCGTATTCATCTTGCGCACAATTCCCTTTTCATTCTCGGCGAGGAGACCAACCAGTATTGGTTGCACTCGATTCGAGCGGACAAACGGCCTGCAACGGAAAAGGACGCCGCCGAGCGTGCATTCGAAGGCCAACGGATAAGTCTGACATTTCGACAAATCGGGACATTTATCGACTCTAAAGAAAGCACCATCTGGGGCCAGGGTGCCCGAGGCAAGAAGGAAAAAGATGCCCGCAAACTGCTCAAAGGGGTCGAGGCAGAGGCCGAGGGGGAGGTCATGATCCGGGCGTTCGGTCAAGAAAATCACGCCAGCGCCGACTGGAATTGGGACGAGGTATACGGAAAGGGTTTTGATGTTGTCAACTTTGGCGTCAAGACTGATGCAACCGTGCCGGTTGATCCCGAGACTGCCCATGCTGTCTCGTGAAGGTCATCTTTTCCCTTGGAGGATGGACAGTGAAGAGAAACGACCACACTCGAACGGCTCTACTGCTACCATATGGAAGGACCCTCGGCGACCAGAATCGCAATACTCACTGGTAGAGTTCTACAGGGGGAAGACATCCCTCGGCCAACAAGTTTCAAATTCGAAGCCCTGGAGGGCCCCAAGAAACAGGGAACCCAAGGGTAGGCCAGATATCTACGCGGCAAACTATCTGGCGCGTTCAAAACATGGCCACGCGACGAAGGCTATAAACTAAATTATACGAAGGTACGACACATGTTTTGATGATCTTGATGAATTGATTGTGGCAATTTTGGCATCTACACATTGACATTGACAACGATATTTTAAGAGAGAGATGTGTTTCTTCGCATATTGTATGCTAGCTCTACCATACATACATACATGGGGGAAAAAGGGTCGTGCAACATTTGCGGGTGCACGTTCATCAAAGGAAGAGAAGAGGAGGGGACTGACTTGAGTGTGTGTGATGGACCGTGTTGTGTAACGGGTGTTCAGGTTGCCGTCAATCATGAGCCCAAAGCGTCATTATATAAATGACAATACCAATCAATGTACTCCTCCCGATAATCAAATGAATCAGTAAAGGGGTAATGTGACGAGGGGGTTTTGGTTTTATTTGTGCTACGTTCTGCTTGCCAGCTTTCCGGGACACAGCTATACCATTGTACAGCTCAACTAAATGAAACCTTTCCGTCCTTCCCTACTGTGGCGGTCGACAACTTGGGCTGTGACCTTGGTACTGTCGACGTCGATGCCGCCGCCGCACTGCTGGCCTTGTGTGCCCCTTGAGCATTGTCAATGGCTTCCACCACACTTCCAGCCGGGGCATCCGCGATCTCGTTGACTTCCTGCGCGGTCAAGACGTCGCTGACTCTGGGCGCTCGACTCTGGATGAGAAGTGTCGTGGGTCCGCGAAATTGCAAAAACAGTCGGTCTCCCCATAATGTCCTGCGGCTCCACGTCCGTATTCTGAGCGAGGCATTGGCCAGAAATTTGTATGTGCTGCTCGTCTTCAACGTTTCCACAAACTTTGAAGACGGGAAGAAGTTGCCCAGTTGCAGTGGTATCTGCAGACGAACGTTGTTGGACTTGAACCTGTACGGTCGAGGTCGAGGGGACGGGGACGAGGCGGTGTACGCAAGCACGTTCGAAGGGTGGACGACATAGGACTCTCCCTCCGCCAGCTCGATCGCGTAGACTTGTCCCTGGCCTGCGAGAGCGAGCAGACCTCTCCCGGTCACGTCGGAACTGCCCCAGTACGCCAGAGACAGTTTTGCATTCAGGCTCGGTTTCACCGACAAGGTACTTCCCGTCCACGCCAACAGGGCTTTTCTCTGTGCCAGTTTCCAATCCGTCGTGCCGTCCAGCTGTAGGATCGTGAACGTGGTCAAGGGTGACCGCGTCGATATGAGGGCGTTCGATGGAGATGTGCTCGTGATTTTCTGGTAGAGAAACGGAATCCCGACCAAGGCTCGACGGACGGGGTTCAACATTCGAAGAGACGAGACCGTGCCGTCCGGGTCACCGCCAAAGGCGACCAACGTTCCTCGACGTGTATAGAGATCTTGCGACGGAGAAAGTGTGACGGAAAGTAACGAGTAGGGACTGCCAATGACCTCGAAGCTGGCGTCTGCAGAGGAGAATGAAACGTGTTAGAGATATACCATCCACGCCCGCCCGAGAGATGTTGTGGGTGACTGACCTGGAGAAGAGGCAGACAGAGATCTACTACCAACATCAATGCTGCTGGTATCTGTCGATGGCGTCGCTTGTAGCGAAATGTATCTGTATCCGCCGACTCTTCGACCCGCGACCAAGTGTGCTGGGAACGCCCATCTTCGTGGAAAATTGCCCAATCGGCGCAGACTGCAAGCTGGGATGGCGGGCATTTTCGACTGAACAGAGGGTGTGTATGTGCAAGGTCGGAACACCAGGATTAGACGGTAGTGAGCGACCAGGTGGCCGTCAAATATTGGCGCGCGTGGAAGAGAGTCTTCCTCTCTTTCAACAAAAAAGTGCACTTTATGGAAAGCTTCAGTCGAGGAGCTCGATGCCCCCGGCTTGTCGCGCTCCCTCGGCACACTTGCCCCGAACGTACATAAGGTAGGTATAGCCAGCAGCCTTGTACTACTACCAACGAGCCTCACCAGGCTGCGCTTTCCTTCAACAACGCCTTCGAGACAAAATCCCGTAGATATATAATGCGATTCCGCACATAAACTCACCTAACCATAACATATATCGAGGCTGAGAACCCTTTTCAACCATTCAAACATACCTATAGAAACATATAACTCGAGCAATGCTTTGTTCCGAATCCAGCAGCCTCAGAGGTTTTCTGCTTCGCCTTCAGCGGCCAAAGGATCATGGGGCTTTTGTTGTCACTTCTCAATCTGATGTCCGAAACGCGAGTACATCTTCCTCCATTCAATGCATCAGATCTTCAAAAGGCGCATAAATTCGGTCCGGGAGAACGTCCACCTTTCCACGGTTTCATGTGGGCGACTTTGGGTCCATAAGCACATCCGAAGTTCAGCCATAAGCATCTCAGTCTAAGCCCTTACAAACTGGCAAATCTGGAACTCGCTGCCGAAAAAGAGTGTTATAGGCGACACCCTGGAGGCCAAGCCGTGGTGCGCCTTCCACTGTTCTCCATTTTAGTTGCCCACGGCGCAACTCGAAGCCAATAACCGTTTATCATTAATACGCGCCCTGCGCATCGCACGGCTGATGAGTCCCCTCCTCCGTCTGAGAATTCGGGATGATGTCGAGACAGGCAATGGAGCCAGACCGCTGTTCTGCCGCCACTCCATAACGATGTGGGAAAATCAAGGGTTTTGGAACCAGACTTTGACCCTTGATGACTTTTCTTGACTCTCCAGGCCCCAAAATCTATGCAGAGATTGCATACAGACCTGGACCTTTTCGTATCGTTGAGCCCGTCCTCATTCGAGCTCTATCTGTAGCAAGAAACATGGTAACCCAAGTATCGGCAACTACTGGAAATGACGATGACGCCTTCCCATACAAGCAACTGGCTGTCGTGGGTATGTATATGTCCACCTATGCAGTGACTACCGTCATCCCTTTGGCACCACCAACGCTGACTGGATGCGATGTCTAGCCATTTGCCGTCTGGCAGAACCTATCGCGTTCACTTCGATAACAGCATATACCTTTGTCATGGTCAAAGATATCAAAGGTGAAGAAGACGCGTCCTTTTACGCCGGTCTTCTGATATCAGCCTTTGCCATGGCTGAAGCCTCGACAGCCATGATCTGGGGAAATATTTCAGACCGATATGGCAGGAAGCCCATCATTCTCGTCGCATTAGCAGGCACGGCTCTTTCAAGTCTCTTATTTGGTTTCGCCAAACGATATTGGGTGGCTCTTCTTGCCCGAGTCGTCGGTGGTGCTCTCAATGGAAATGTCGCTGTTATGCAGACAATGGTAGCCGAAATGATCAAGAACCCGGCACATGAACGTGAGTTATTCCGTGATCTTTACAAGTCATTTGGCTTACTCCATTCCAGCCTCAGCATACGCCGTTCAGCCTTTCATGTGGAGCTTGGGGTCAATTGCAGGCTCAGCGTTGGGGGGCTTCACAGCGCAACCTGCTAAATTCTATCCTCATCTGTTTTCGCCTGAAGGTCTTTTCGGGGAGTATCCCTATCTTTTGCCAAACCTGGTCGCTGTGGTGGCAATCCTCATCGCCATGCTTCAAGGTTGGCTGTTCCTCGAAGAGACCAACCCTCGACTCAAACCAAAATTGGATCAACCTGAACAAAGCCGAATCGACGATGGTCCTGTCTCGGAACGAACACCACTTTTCCGGCCGCGAGGACGTAGAGAATCGGCAGTCGAGTCAATAGCTGTATCACTCGGTCGAAGCAGCATGCGTGGCAGTATTCGAGAGAGCTTTTCGTATGCCGCCAACTCCGCCCCACTTCCCAATGATCCTGCCTTCGATCTTCGGAGAGGCTCGCTCGCATCCATGGTGTCGATCGGCTCCTTCAAACGCCTTGCCGGCATGGCTCCCCAGATCTCTGACGTCGTTGTCGAGGATGAAGAAGACCCGGATACTGAGCAATCTGTCACCGCGTTCAATAAACCAGTCATATTCTGGACTATCGCCCTTGTTCTGATGTCGTATCACCAGATGTCTTTTTACTCACTCTATCCGGTCTATATGCTTGACGATCCACACCAGCCCCCGAGACATCTTGATCTCATCGGAGGGTTGGGATTAACCCTGCCCAAGGTGGGCACTTTCCTTGCTGTGAACAGTATTCTGTCTCTGTTCTTTCAAGGAGTTCTCTTTCCAATATTCGTGAGCAAGCTCGGTGTTTGGAAGGCTGTCTTTACCCTTGTTTCGATAGCGCCTATCGCGCACATCCTGGCCCCCTTTGTCTCAATCCTGCCGAACCCAGGCTGGGGTCTCTGGGCTCTACTTGCGCTTCAGAGCTTCACCTGCATCATCATATTTCCCAGCTTGTTGATCTTGCTCAAAAACGCTACGGAGTCACCTCTTGTTCTGGGCAAGGTCAATGGCTTAGCGATGTCGGCTTGTTCCGCAGCGCGAACCGTTGCGCCGCCGTTAGGAGGTATTATCTACAGCTCGCTAGGGTCGGCAGCAGGTTGGTGGAGTTGTGCCATCATATCGATCGCGGCGATTGTCCAACTGTTTTTCGCTCCTAGGCCCAAGGAGGACAATGCCGCAATCCTGCGCCGAGCTTCAGTTGTGGTAGAGGCGCCACCAATGGCCGACCACGCGAGAGATTGAACACCAGACGATTTCACGCCTTTCCATTACTATATATCATCGCCTCAAGGACGTGTCGGATTGACACATTGGTATCTATGCATCACGCGGAGTTTTTGCGGCATATCGTTACTTTGGAAAAGAATACGGCACATATTGCGTTTACACGAGCATTAACGGTATTGGATTGGCTACTCTCTACTGAATTCCAGGTCAAATGTTCATTCTAGCTTACTGCAGTTTTTCTTTGAGCCACATTTTGATAGCACCCTCCTGACACGTGTCACCCAGTTTGTCAAGCTCACTGTCTGGTAATGGATACAAGGGGGCATCATGGATCTCTCTCTTTCCCACTACGAGCTTCAAAACGTCACTACCGACACCTTCCTTGAATTTGCTTGCGAAAGAAGTGATTCCATCGCGCAAAACTTCTTCGTCCCCTACTGTGATGAGCACCGAAGATACCTTGACACCAGACCACCAACTTGGCGGGGCTTGTTCTGGGACAGTGTACTCATCGTCCTGGATGCCCTTTCCCCGGCCCTTGTACACGTCAATCCAGTAATTCGCACATTCTGTGTTCACGACATCTCGCTTCGCAAATTCGGTCATCGATTTGAACTGGGAGGCATCCGATGAGACCCACGGTGCGATCATGAGGGCGCCGTGCAATTTCCCGGCCAGATCGAACGGCTTCACGACGTCTGGCCTCGGGTGTGGGTGATTCGATATATGGCTGAGTACGCAACAAACCAAATTTCCCCCAGCAGAGTCGCCGCCTACCATGGTTGTGTCTGGCGTACGATTGGGCAGAGAGAGCACATAGCGTAGTGCCTCAACGCATTCGGCAATTTGAAGTGGGTAGAGGCCTTCTGGGGCGAGGGTGTATGCGTTGCAGAAGACTGCAAGTTTCCCATTGGACCACTGGACGACGCGGGAGAGGAACTCGAGATGCTGAGGCAGCCCAGGCATTACGAAGCCGCCGCCATGGAAATAAGCCATTACATAGGTCGCCGAGTCTGGGTCGCCGAGCCAGAAGCCTTTTGTCTTGGTATTGGGAATATCGACCGATCGAGGGGTCAAGTTTTTTTGACTGCAGAATTTGGTGTAGATAGTCGTGAATGGAGGAAGTAATATTCTGAAATCAAAGTTAGCGTTGCGAGTCTACATCAAAGCTTGCACAGGACAGGAAAGTCGACATACTGCAATTGACCAGTTGTCAAGTGTGTGAACATAGTGCGAAAGGCGGTTCGCAAGACATGGTCACTAACTGTCGGAGCGCCCTTTGTCCCTCGAAGAGGACTGCCTACTAAGGCGAGGATGCTTCTAGCAAAGACATATGATAGTCCTGGGATGAGGAGGACTTTATCACTGACTGTTGATGGCATATCGCCTGCGACAAGATTCTTTGAATATTGTTCACGTCGAGAAGCAGGAGTTGTAAAGCGCAAAGATGTAAGGGATCATAAGTAAGCCTGACAGCACGGTATGCCTCGAGAATTGGATACTTAGATGGTTTAATAAACAATCGATTCAGCCCCCGAATTCATGGCATGGGGTATCCCTCCTCCGTACCCACAACGACTCCATACTGTTGGCGAGATGAAGTCAGACGTCGCCAGACTATTCATGCTATTTGAGCGTCAGGCGACCAACGCACGGAGTAGAATCGAAGAAATCTCGCAAGGCCGGCTTACGAGTCAACCAAAGCTAGGCCCGGTTCTGGGTCATTAATCGACACATGCTCGTGTTCCAAAATGTATGTAAGCGAAATCGCTGACTAGTCGTTCCCTACCGGAATGCCAATGCGCAATGCCGATGAACAGTCTCGCACTTCGTAGTTCTGGTAAGCATGCGTGCTTCTTGCGAAGGCGATCATAAGGCGGATTCCTTAGCGGATTCCAGGTATCAAGCACTGGTATCAAGCTAGATTGCCTGAATGGACCCTTACCACGCATCATTTCTCACGGCTTCCTACTATGTACTTCCGCACAAGCACTCTAACATTCCGCCAAGAATCTTGAGCTGGGATACTTTTGATAGCATTGTAGTAAGGGTGATTGTCTTCAGAGACGACGAAGAGTTTACTTGTAGTCTCAAGTGTACAGAGAGTGGCGCGACCTTGCAACAGTCACTGACTCGAATATTAATTGTCAGAGCCAAGGTCAGGAAAGCACATGGTAGCCAACGACTTGAGTTTCAAACGCCGTTCTTTTTGCAGCATGTCTGAGGGCACTGTATCTGGAGTATGCCGCACTAGAGCGGTAGGAAAACACATGAGCATACAAGGTCTTACACCCACAGTTGCGGTGCTGAATACTCAGCAATCTGCCCACCTCTTCAGCATTCTGCGGTAGTACAAGCTGTGACATAGGGCGTCTTACATAATTTCCTCGGTGAGACTGTCGACGACAGCCTTGCCAACGAGGCTGAATCAGTCTAACGAATTCGGGCTTAGATATTTTTTCTACGGTGAATCAATACGAAGGCCGAGGCCGAGAATTCTGGCCCGAATACGGCCATCGCATCATAATACGCAAAAACGCCTCATTCTTTTCAATAAATAAGGTAGCACAGAGTACAGCGCATCCTCTACGCGATACACTTCAACTGGATTACACGACAATAGGCTCCCGACGACTTCGATGATAACGTCCAATGCAGTAAGCCGATGCAAGAGGGCCCGGAAGCAGCCCTTTGAGATCAGTCGGTAGAAGACGAGCATCAGCTTATGCAACGATGCTCCCCAGGACGGTTTACAGCTGTGGCAAACGGCACTTTTACAGCTTGGCTGAGGCCGGACCATCGAGGTGGCATGCCACATGCCGAACGGCGCCATCACGAACTTTTCTCCGCCCATTCACTGGATCAGCCTTACTCAGACGTGACGAACCCGCCAAGAGGTCAATTGAAGCTGCCAAGGTCGCAGAAAGTCCTCCAAGCCGGTCCGAAAGCGCAGAGGTCACGAAGCCAGAGACCCTACAGAATGCCGTCACACCCAAGGATGCCCAGGAACCGGCCAACAAGAAGGATGCCACTCTGTTGTCGGAAAAGGTTGTGTCCAACAAGGAGCAACGGAAAGTTGACCTTGCCATCATGAGGGAGATGGTCAGGTATCTGTGGCCAAGAGGGGATTGGGGCACCAAGGTACGAGTAGGTGCGGCGTTGGGACTGCTTGTGTCGGCCAAAATCTTGAACGTCAACGTGCCATTTTACTTCAAGAACATTGTCGACTCGATGAATATTGATTTTCTGGCTGTTGGCGGAACAGCTTGGACCGTGGCGGGTTCGATGATCGTGGCCTATGGTGTGACCAGGATCGGCGCCACTCTTTTTCAGGAGTTGAGGAACGCCGTCTTTGCCAGCGTCGCGCAGAAAGCCATCCGGAACGTGGCGCGCAACGTCTTTCAACACTTGCTCCGCCTGGATCTCAACTTTCACCTGTCGAGACAGACTGGAGGCTTGACCCGAGCGCTCGATCGAGGTACCAAAGGTATCAGCTTCTTGCTGACGTCCATGTTGTTCCATATTTTCCCCACCGTGCTGGAGATTGGCATGGTATGTGGCATCCTTACGTATCAATACGGAGCCCAGTTTGCAGCCATCACTGGGGCGACCATGGCTGCCTACTCGGTCTTCACCATCACCACGACATCATGGCGAACCAAATTTCGGAAACAGGCGAATGCCGCGGACAACCAGGGGGCCACGGTGGCGGTGGACACTCTCATCAACTATGAAGCGGTCAAGTACTTCAACAATGAAAAGTTCGAGGTCAATCGCTACGACAAAGCGTTGAAGAAGTACGAAGATGCGTCCATCAAGGTCACCACGTCACTTGCCTTCTTGAATACCGGTCAGAATGTCATCTTCTCCAGTGCCTTGGCAGGTATGATGTACATGGCAGCGAACGGAGTAGCGGAGGGCTCTCTCACTGTTGGAGATTTGGTCATGGTGAACCAGCTCGTCTTTCAATTGTCGGTGCCACTCAATTTCCTAGGATCGGTATATCGAGAACTCCGACAGTCACTTTTGGATATGGAAACACTCTTCAATCTTCAAAAGGTCAACGTCACGGTGAAGGAGGTGACGAATCCCCGACCCCTTGCCCTCACACGTGGGGGAGAGATCAAATTCGAGAGTGTCAGCTTTGGCTATCACGCTGATCGACCGATTTTGAGAAACTTGAGTATGACAATCCCTGCAGGTAAGAAAGTGGCCATCGTCGGGCCCAGCGGCTGTGGCAAGTCCACGATTCTCCGACTTCTGTTCCGCTTCTACGACGCAGAATCAGGAAGTATAACGATCGACGGCCAGAACATCCGCGAGGTGAGTCTGGACAGCCTCCGACAAAGTATTGGTGTCGTCCCGCAGGACACACCATTGTTCAACAACACCATTGAGCACAATATCAGATATGGAAAGATCGACGCGTCCCTGGACGACGTGAAACGAGCAGCTCAAAGAGCCAGAATTTTTGATCTCATCGAGCGTCTGCCGGCCGGGTGGAACACGATGGTCGGCGAGAGAGGTATGATGATCTCGGGTGGTGAGAAGCAACGCCTCGCTGTTGCGCGACTCCTCTTGAAAGACCCTCCACTCTTGTTCTTCGACGAGGCCACGTCGGCACTGGACACGTACACCGAGCAAACGCTGCTGCAAAACATCAACAGCATTCTCAAAGAGAAAGCACGCACGAGTGTCTTTGTGGCACATCGCCTTCGTACCATCTACGACAGTGATATCATTTTCGTGCTCAAAGAGGGTCAGGTCGAGGAGCAAGGTACTCATGCGGAACTGCTTGCTATGAACGGCTTATATGCGGATCTGTGGGCTGCGCAAGAAGTGTCCATCGGGCAGGACATGACTTTGGAGCGGTCGCTGGAAGAAGAACGTGAATCGGAGAAAACGAAATGAGTTGGTCTACCTGCAGACAGATACACCACTCGCAAACATGTATGGCTACCAAATGAGTGCAAATGAAATGTCGAAGAGTGAATGTAAGGGGAAACTACCTTAGTCACCGCCGGAACGAGTACATACATGCCTGACGACGGGATTCATTACCAACCAACATCGCAGTCACCTTATTCACCACCTTCACACACCCCTCCCAAAAAAAGAAACAAAAAATCCAGCAGGAAAAACAAAAAGTTTGGAGATTCGAACCCTCCGGCTCTGATACTTATCCCGACTATGACCATTCACAAATCTCTACTCCATAGAGGAACGTATTACTCCGTAATACTTGTCAGAGATGCTACAGTAGTCATGGAAACCCAGCAGACTCCCAAGTTTAATCCACTAAGCTGGATTTCCAAGGATAAGCCCAACCTCCAAACCATTAGACCAAAGAGTCGCATTACGACGTGGTGAGTCTTGATAGTGGCCATCGAGGCGGTCTTTGTTGAAGGAAATTCCACTGGATTAAATATATATACACCATAGAACATGTAGGTACTTAGTATGGACTTGCCAGGTATTCCCTTGACAATATAGCTGGGAAATGAAGCACAAGACAAACTTGATCCTCCGCACACGAGACCCCGAACATGATACCCCTTCGTTACCAGGCTCATGGGTACGTTTGATATCAACATGGGCGACCCCTCCGGTCTCGCAGCAAAGTGATACGAAGTTACGGAGTCTGTAGCCAGCCGAAATGATTATTGGGAAATGTACAGTACTCCGTACAGTACAAGATTTCAGAGACAGGGGGATGATGAGCCTTCTTGGCCTAGTTTTAACCCCTGGCACGTGGCGTTAGCTTGCTGGGGAAACCGAAACCCCCTCTATCCTGTTTTTGTATCTAATGGATACAAGTATTGCGGCAACCCGTGGTACCTGGGTATGTATGGTGATGTTGACAGTCGCGGACCAACTTTTGACTGGTTGCTCTGAAAAAGTCCGTCGATCATTTTGACTCCATGGCTTGCATGAAAAAAGTCCACCGTCGCGTTCATGGCAACGAACGGCGTGTGATAACACACGTTCTACATACACAGCAGTAGACCTGGTGGGTTGAATAGGGGAGGGCAAGCTGAAGCGCAGACCACAGATGGACGAGATCACGAATTTTCTATCCAGCTCCGTCAACCAATTCAAAGTAGTCTTGCGGACAGACCACGTACGACGAACACGTTACAGCTGTCATTCAAGCCCCCTCCCCTCCAGAACTTCTGAGCATGGCTTCTTTTGACAGGCAGTGCGTGCTCTCTGCATGAACGCTAGAAGGCGAGGAAAAGTTCCTTGGAGTGACGCGAGTGGAAACATTCAAGTCTCAAAGGCAGGAACGACAGCGACTTAGGGGGCTCCCATCGGGCTAGCATGATACCTAGACGACGCCTAGCCACGCCTGACCACGCCTAGCCCCCGCCTAAATGCGGCCTAATGACTGGCTAAACCCGCGTACAGAAATTGCGATCGGACTACCAGGCCGTTTTCTTTCTCCAACCGACTCCTTTCTACGGAGGTTGCTGGTACTAACGAGGGAATGCCACCCACCCTGCCACCGCCCTTGATAATGGGAACCACGTCCACCACTGTCGCTTGTCGCCGGCGACGAGCATGACATCTTCCTTGTTACAAACGCTCCTTTGAACCTCCTCTACCTACTGTTCAAATCGAAAATCCTCGGTAGCTCAACTTGTTGTGCGAAACCCCACGTCGACCATCCCGCATTTTCTTGCTGCACCCGAGCGTTTCACATTCACAAACGGCTTTGCATAAAACCTGGGAAGAGCGACGCCCGCACATTGCGATCGAACTCACCCTTTCACCCCGTACAGGTATCTTGAGAATCTGGTCATCAGGAGCCGTCGCAAGACAATCCATCCACCATCTTACACCACCTGCTGTTGCACGAAACGTTCTTCCTCGTCGAGAACTCCCCCCCTTCCGCCGCTCGGTGCCGAAATAACAGCGAAATCTCTCACAAAGGATAGACCTGGGGACCTATCGCTTTGCATACATTGTCTCGTCGGAAGGTCGGATAGAAAGAATCCACGGATTGGGTCTGCAACATCCCGAGGATCACGAGGCTATACACACACGGACGCAATCCTTTTTCACAAGGTGTCACGAGAATCAGCTTACAAGGGTTCTTGTGGGATATAGAACCGAATCCCTTGCCCAGATCACAACTACTCGCCCTATAACCCATTTTACACACCGGTTGTGACACTGCCTTATCATCGTCAACATGGGTCTCTTTGAAAAGTTACAATCAAGTGAGTCGCAAAAACTATCTACGCTGCTCTGCTTTGCATGTCCACAGGACTAGGTTTTACTACCTTATGAGGTATTCTTTCGGCTGACCACGACGTCCACGTCTTACTTCTAGAACTCGAACTATACCGCCTCGAGCAGAAATATGCTCGTCGCAAGAACAGAACCACCTACAGCACCGGCGCCCAGTATGTCGACGGAGAGTACGTCTACCCGAGTGGACCGGACTACCTGGAAAGCCCCGTCTCTGCAAACTCGACCGGCAGCAGCTCCGGCAGTTCGAACAAGAGAAGGACCATGTTCTGGACACCTCCTGATCAGCGCCGATGATGCCACCTCCCTCAAATCATTCCAATTCGACTGAAAGTGGTGGCGGGGGCTGTACAAATTTCGTGTCTTGACGTTTTCGGGGTCTGGGGTTTTCAAGCATAGCATGGGCGTTGTGTGTGTGTGTGATTTCCTTCTTGGGGTTTGGAGTACCACCATGACATGCTCCGTATTGTTATTATAAAGTTACATGGTTTCAAGGACGCATTTCATTTGTTACGAACAACATCAACATCGATTGGAGCCGCGAGAAAAAGAGACGAGTTTGCCGTCGAATTGAGTTGGGGGCCAGGGTGGGCAAGAGCAGCGCAACCCGAGGCAAGAAATTACCTATCTGCCTAGGTACACACTGTTGGACGGGCACAGTGTCAGTAGGTAGGAAGAGAAGAGCACTCTTTTTTTTCCGCTTCAGCAAGCGAGTATGAAAATACAGTACAATACTTATCTCATCAAAAGAGGTACAAGTCTACCGGGTCCCGCGAAACTCGGTATTTGTCTACTATACGTACGTCACGTCAAAGCCGCGTCAATCCGGCAACGCTCAGACCACCGCGTCTTAATGGATATTCGTTGCCAGTGACCGCCGGAGCATCCGAACGAGGAGGAGTTGAAGATTAGAGGTGGGAAGACCATCATACTCCACACCGTATTTTGCCTGGGATAAGGTAATCCTTTGCAAGAGACAAGCAAAGGCTGTGTGTGCCAGGTGTATTGAGCAGTGTAACGTTCTAGCTCACATCATCCCTCGATAGTTCCTGGACGGGGATTGAAGAATGTTCATGGCTGTGATGTGTTGGGCGTGAAAGATGTTGCTACCATTCCCATGTCATGACCTCGATGGAGAGGCACGGGAACACACGATTTGATTCTTGATCATTCTCCTTTAGATTCATGACACTTGCCAGAGAGTATTGGATATTCTGCGAATCTGCCTCGTTACCTGCTTACTTACCCACCAAAGGAGGTAGTGACTGGGACGGTGACGATGGTGAAGATCAAGTTCCTTGTGAATCATGCCTGTGGTAGGTGAAGGATAAAAGAGCAGTTTCTCCGATCACTTCCTTCGGGTTTGCTGTGAACATGAACCCCCAAAGATTTCAACTTCTTTCTCTTTCTCTTCTGACTCGAGTCAACCCGAGTCAACATTTCAAGATTGCCACAGATCATGGGAAACATACCCCAAGGCATGGGTAAGAATCCACAAGTTTGTGGTAGCAAACTTCAAGCGGTGGATAACAACACAACAGCCACTGGTAACAAATTTCAAGCCACGAATAACAATCCTCAAGCCATGGATAACAATCCTCAAGCCACGAATAACAATCCTCAAGCCATGGATAACAACCCCAAAGCCACTGGCAACAAGCCCCAAGTCAGTAGTGACAATCTACAAGCCGTCGGTCACAGCCCAGAAGCCATCAATGCCGGTCCACAAACCATTGACGACAAAGTTTCTGCCGCCCCGGCACGAAGTCGCAAAACGACCAAGTAAGGAAAGCAACCTCCTTTGGTAACTCTTCGCATGCTGACTGGACAATAGCTTCACAGGATCAGAGATCGTCACTATACTTGTCGATGTTGATGAAGTGGAATACTACCATCACAAAGACAAGTTGATCTCCAAATCCCCCTTTTTCGCGGCTTGTCTTGCTTCGGGCATGAAAGAGGCTCAGACCAAGAGAGTCAAGCTCCCCGAGGAAGACGTGGAGGCCTTTGACTGCTTTGCGGATTGGATCTATGAAGGGTCTTTGCCAAACATCTCGATCGGAGAGCCGGTGAATTCGACGATGAAAGCCTGGATCCTTGCCGAAAAACTCTGCATGCCAAAGTGGCAGAACGCATTGGTTGATCACTTGGGTCACATCTTCACCTACCATGCCGAGGTGAAGGCCTCGCAGATAGCTTGGGTCGGTGAAAACGTACCTACGTCGAGCATGCTGTCGAAGTTCATGATGGACTATTTCGCATATCAACTTGCCAAGAGCACCAGCTCCTATCAGCAGAAGGATCAGGACTCGGGAGAATCGGTGTTTGACGAGGAGATTTGGTCGGCGATGACAACGTCCACTGTGGGAAATCGGTTGATGTTGAATGCTGTCAATATCGCGCGGAATCCAAGGGCCTCTGACCCGAAATATAGACCACAGGACTACCACGTTTCAACGGTGTCCAGATGTCGTGAGGCAAAGAAAGGTTGAGAGTCGCTGCTAGACAGCCGCCGGGATACGAGGGTTGAATTGGAAAACATTGTCAAGCACTGGCATCGGTTGAGATACGATAGCATGACAGCAATGGACGAAACTGCAGTGGGCAGTCAGAGCACATAGATGATGAACACACTCACAAATTAAGAAATACTGCAAGATAGTTTCTTCCATTCCAAGCCTTTCTTAAGAGAAGATAGATTGGTCGTTGCTGTACGGAGTACTCCTTATGTCTATGGGTGATGTTGACTATGGGGGTTTCCGACTTTGCCGTTTCTTTCGGCCGTGGTTGTCATTGCCCCGTCTCCGATTGGCCAATTCCTTTCCTTGTGTCTCTGTTGATTTTCGTGCCCAGCGTCTAATCTTCACGGCCTACATCATTCAACATTGCACATCACTTTTGTCCTCTCCTCGTATGACTTTTGTTGCATCACAAGGTGTCTGGCGTATAGCATACAGTATAGCACATCTTTTGGCAAACACACCTCGAATCCCCAATCGCGCCTTTTTACGACTTTGACGAAGTTATCTCGCGAGCACCCCCGAACCCTTTCGTCAGCGCCCGCGATAGCCACCTGATTCAGCAAACAAATTCCTACTTGGAGCGATATATGAAAGAGAACCTCTGATATCACACTTGATTGATATCTTGTGCCTTCTTGCATCCGTCAAAAAAGCCAAAAAGAAGAGTCATGGCTCGCATCTCACGCTTCTTCGCGTATCTGCACTCCCTCCTTATTCAAGTGCCTCAACACGGCTACCACAACATCTCACGCGTGATCCAACCGCAAATGCGTCATCTTTCGGAAGGGTTCACGGCCAACTCTTCGAGTCGTATGATAAACAAGGGTATTGAGCTGCGGCCGATGAAGCCGAAGGAGACCGTGTCGAAACGGCCAGAGATGTCGAAACCTCAAGAGTGATGCTGTCGGACGTGTACGCGGAAATAAATAATAAAAGACACAGCACACTGGAACACATTCAAGACTTGGTGTAAGAGGGTAGCAATGGGGAAGAGCATGCTCGGGAACATACCTTCCAATACCGAGATGTGTGCAGTGTACACAACACACTTTGGGGGGATTTTGGAAGCATCAATTTCTCTATTCGATTCGCCCTTTCAGACCCATACTCTCTGTGGCAGGAGACACAGAGATTGGTGTTTGGATGCTCGTTCTTCAAGACACATTCACCACCAGTGTGACCGTTCTCCTTCCGTCAACATCAATCAGCACTCCAATTTCTTCGAGCTTGTCTGCTCCGGTTGCAGTGAAAGTTGCAGCTACATATCTGGAACGGACGAACCCCGATTTGAATACCTTGTGGCCGGTCTCCATTCTGGTACTTGTTGCGCGAGATTGCGCCTGCCACGACTCACGCCTATCGTCGCATTGGAAGAGCCAAGCTGCTCATTTTGGATCTGGAACGTAATACTCCTCGACTTGATGTGCTGGGCTTTCCTCCGGGGTGCTTTTTGCAATGTCGATAACGGCCCAAAGTATCCAAGTCGAAACCGCGGGGTTGGCCAACAGCATCTTGATCTCATCAACATGATTGAGTCCTCTGTATCTGTCAGAATGGATAGCAATGGCCCAGGTATATTGGTCCATCACCAAAGAAAAGAGATTGCTAGACTCGTCAACATGCTTGGTCGTCGTCATCGGATGGACCAGAACATGTAGGGTCATCGGAAGAGCAGGTACTCATCCTGTTGTCGTCGGCCATTGTCGTAGTGGTGACGATTGATTGTCGAGAGCAATGAGGAATGATGGATTTTCTCGCGATCGGATGCGGATCCATGGTCTAAAATCCCACGAAATTGAGGTGTGCATGAAATGTTACTTTTGAACCAGAATGCGGTGACACGACGCATGTCCAAATCTGAAGATTGTTACTTTGACATGATATACCCTGCCACTGGAAAACATTTGCTGTAAACCAGTATTCACCATGTACCGCTTGTCTGCTTTGCAAGTTTTCCATGGAGGAGGCATTGAGGTTTTCCATTGACATCTCTAGAGTATTTCCTGATCGGTTCGAGGGCAAGGCAACAAACACTCGGTTGCACTCGATCGGCAATGATGAGACATTGTATGGTGAGATGGGAGTCTTGACAGGCTTCTGGTGTAGTTACAACATTGGATATGTACCTATTATCTAGAAGACCATAGAGAACAATGGTACTTAGGTAGGTACAAGCCCCCATACGACGTACCACCCCGGTACTCTGTTTACTTCTCCGTATGTAGAACATGTACATCGAAGTCATTAGAAAGGATCATCGACTGCGAAAGCACTTGCTTCGACTTTGTGTTTCATATTCTCTTCATTTCGAGGGTACGTTACAGCATGGTCATGGTGATAAGAGATAGACTCGACTCCTTGTCCTACCTGACCTATTTGGGTTTTTCAATACAACTTTCTCCCCCTTGCCCAGAGGATATGTTGTCAAACATTTTCCAACACTCTGTCAACTTTCAAAATCACAGTTCATTCTCGGGGGTTTTGTGCTTCTGCTTTCCAAATTCATTATCCTCCCCCCCCTCCCCCCCCCTGATTCCCTTCGGTTGTGTCCACGTGGTATATATTTATAGTTGTCTTTTTAGAAGGAAGATCACAGATGCGGTCCTCCCCCTCACTTAGTCCTCAGACTTGACTTGGGTCCGGTGAGTAGTAGTAGATCAATGGAATTGATCCTCCGTCACACCTTTACCCATGGCGCTCGTGCTGCTCACGCCGCCCGTGACCATTTTCAGGAGGTTGTCGACGTAGTTGGCGCCGCTCCACTTCTGGTGGGTGACGACGTCGACCTTGTTCTGCATCTCGGGCTCCTGGATGAGTTCGCCGTAGGCGCGCATGCCGCGCTTCGCAAAGGCCTTGGCGAAGGTGTCGGAGATCAAGGCGGTCGAGTGCAGGCCGGCCAGGGTGATGAACTGCCAGCAGTAACCCAACTCGGCCAGCCGTTGGATGTAGGTCTCCTGGTCCTTGGCCGCCATGGCCGCCTTCCAGTTGAAACTCGGCGAGAGGTTGTACGCGAGTCTGGACGGTGACACACACACACAAGTCAGCAAAATGACGTTCCGAGGAACGACGGCAAAACACACGAAAAACGCGACGCGAAAGGACAGGCAGAGGGACGTACTTTTGTTCGGGCCACACGGCGTGCACACCGTCGGCAAACTCTTGGGCTTGGGCGTAATCTGGCAACTTGCTCTCCATCCAGATCATGTCGGCGTAGGGTGCGTAGGCGATGGCGCGGTTGACGGCGCACTGGCAGCCGCCCTGGTACCGGTAGTAACCTTCCCGGGTGCGGGGGGCGTCCCAGTCGAAGTAGACGTCGACGCCCGTCAGGCCCTTGGCGATGGCGCGGCACTCGCCGTTGCTCTTGCCCTTGCTGGCGGCCTTGTACTTGGCGACGAGGCCCTGCTTGTCGACGTGCACGCCGGCGTTGATGGCGTCGACGACGGCGTCGTCGAAGAGCTTCAGGCCGCACTGGGAGATCCACGAGTCCTCGATGGCCTGGAGCTGGTCGCCGTTCTTGCCGGCCTGCTCGGCGGCCACCATCAGGTCGTTGAGGGGCTGGAGGTCCTTGTTGGTGCTGCCGAGGATGAAGGCGTGGTCGCGGTGGTCGATGGTGGTGGTGATGAGCGTGGCCGCCTCCGAGTCGGTGCGGGCCACGGCCAGCAGGTCGACGCCCATGATGTCGGCCTGCGCCCGGATGGCCACGAGCCGGTTGATGTGCTCCGAGATGGGCACGAGGACCTTGCCCGCCATGTGCCCGCACTTCTTGGTCCCGGGCGCCTGGTCCTCGATGTGGATGCCCGCCGCGCCCTTTTCGACGAACAGCTTGGTCAGCTTCATCACCGCCGTCAGACCGCCGTGGCCGGTGTCGGCGTCGGCGATGATCGGCCGGAGGTAGTCCACGTTCGGCGCGGAGCCCCTCTTGTCCTTGGGGGTGGTGAGGCGCTCCTCGCGCTGCTTCCGGTCGTGGAACAACTGGGCCATGAAGAGGTGCTGGACCTTGTTGGGCACGGTGTTCATGGGGTAGTCGGCCAAATCGGGGGAGGGTTCGTCGGTCGACGAGGCCGTGGACGAGGACTGCCATCCCGAAACGTAGACGGTGTCGAGGTACTTGTTCATCTGGGTGAGCATGGTGGGCTCGAGGCAGCCATAGGTGGCCGAAGCGGTTTTGGTCTGTCGGATTGCAAGTGTCTTGTCAGTTTTCTTCTCTTCTTGTTCATTCAGAGGGACCGAGGGTTTGCAAACGTACGGCAAAGCGGTTCTCAATCAACTTCCACAGCTTCTTGGCCTGGGTATTGCTGGGGTATTCGATCTTGATGGTGCCTCGCTTTTGCACAATCTGTTCGGCGGTAAATGGTCTCTTGGTGTAGCGCCATCTTGAGTCGCTCCACCACTTCTTTACAGCCTCTACATCTTGGAGATATTGCTGCTCTTCCTGGTCAAGGGAACCCATCTTGTGTGTGGAGGTAGTAAGTAGCTACAAAAGATACTTGTGCGCGTGTAGGAGTGGTCCTTTTGTCGTTTTCTCTCTCTTCACGCAGACTCACAACGAGAGCGTCATATAAGAATACACCGAGATATAGAAGCACAGAGACACAACACAACCCACCAACAATTGAGTGGAGAGTAGAGCAGGATACAAATATAGTCGTCGGAAGAGAAAGGAAGTTCCAAAAAAACAGTCATACGAGGAAGACATGGCCTCCAGTTTAAGTAAAAGCACAGCAACCCGGCCATGAGGCAAAAGTGGCTGGCTGGCGCATGCTGAGTGGTTCGAGCACTGGCAATTGGGCCCCATCCATCTCCGATGACAAGGGACATGACACCGAGGAAGCACGTACCCATCAGATCATGATTGACGCATTCGGCCAAGCTTAGGATGCTGATGGGTAGTCTGGCTATGAGTTATCCCGGGCCAAGGGCGGAAGAAGAGAGGAGGGAGGAAGAGCGGCGCACAGGCATTGGCTATTCCCAAGGAAATGACTGGGGAAGAAGCCGGGCTGGAGGAGGCGACGTGCAGCAAAGTGCGTACTGTAAAGAGCACGAGACGATTTCGGTAGAGGATCGGCTTCTCTGGGGAAAGGAAAAATGGCAAGTCGAAAAATGGGAGCAGAAATGCATGTGGAAATGACGTCCATTTGATTCTCTCCGTTCACCCGTTGCCATGCCCTTTTCTTCCACTCCCTGCAGCTTTTGTAGGTTGTAGACACCTCCTGTGAAGTTCTATACACTTGGTAAACGTCTTCTATGTTTTCCTTGCTTCTCTAATGCTCGTTTACTGTCTTTCTACGCTTCGTTGCTAGTTTCATTCCACCGAGAACTCACGAACCAAAATGCGTACCTCGGCACATATCACGTGATTTGTCGCTCTGCCGGAAAGGGAAAGGTCTGGATTCGATGTGACTCACGAGGATTATTCGGAACCGACTTCGACAGATTCAAAAGTCACCGATCATGAAGCCGTCAGAAGTACCTCCGTATCAACCTCGACATCTTTGATACTCGTACCGAAGACATCGACGATGATGGTGATGATGGTGATGATGGTGATGATGGTGATAATGATTGCTCGCAAGAACGCTAGCAATATATACATAGAGTGCTCTGGAAACATGGCCAAGGTACTTCACACACACCGCACGTAGCCACAACATACCCCCCAACACCGGCCCATCATTGCATTGAGACTCGGTGGCCTCGAAATGCTGAAGTAGAAATCCGCAACGCCACCCATAATTGCATCTGGGCCCTTCGATGTCGGTAATCTACTGTCCTGGAACTTTCGCAAAGAATAATGCACCTAAAAAGGATACTGCGTATCACATCAGCCATACCCGTGGCAATACTTCCGGATCCTCCCGACCAGCCACCATCATGCACCCTGCTCGGATCCGGAAAGTATGGCCAGGTCAGCCTCATCTGCGGAATCAGGTCTTGACTCATCGGAGCCCTCCTGAATCATATCGTTCAAATCGCCGAGGTCGATCTGTGTGGCTTTGGCAAATGTTTCCCACGGAGTTAGAGTACCCAGGGCTCGTTTCATATGCATCGGGATAAACGATAGTCCGTATACATAGCTGGCATTGACCCAACCGAAGCTGTCAACTGTTAGCACACGCTCACCCACAACCTTTTGGTACAACAGAGTGTACTCACCCTTCCCTGGGCACACCTTTGAAGTCGGCGCCTTGGTTACCATATTCTGCCTCAACTTTGTGTGGATCGAGCTCACGAGTCACGTTGTACTTCTCTACGACCACACCGTTGAAGTCAACAAATGCTTTGGTCACCATGTACAACCATTTGTACGCCAGTCGCTGTGCCTCCTCAATGTATCCATATTTGATCAAGCCACCCCATGCCAGAATCTGCTGAGGAGCCCAACCGAAGGGATAGTCCCATTGGCGATTGGGACGATCAAGTCCGACTTCGCCGCGAGAAGCCTCTGTGCCGGAAACCAACCCTCCAAAGCAATCAAATTTGGGAAGTGCATTCAGAACCAAGGCAGCGGCTTGTCGTGGTGATGCACATACTGCCCACATGGCCCAGAATGTCGTCGCGCTTTCGTAGTCGGTGCGCTTCTTGTTGACAGTATCATAGTCAAAGTACATTCCCTTGGCTTCGTTCCAGAAGTATTTGTCCATTCGAGCCCGGCGCAATTTAGCACGACGCTCCCAGGTGGCAGAAGTCTCCACGGTGTCGTTCTTATTGGCCTCGCATCGGAACTCCTCAGGCATACTCAGCTTATTTTGAAAATGCTTTCGAATGCACCAAGCGATGTCGCACTCATACTTGTAGAGCAAGGAGTTCAGATCAACCGTGGCTAAGTTGGCTGCACAACCTTCAAGACGGTAGGACGTGTCATGGCCAGACTCTCGAACGGCACGATCATGAAGGAAGTACTCATCAAGCTCAGGCTCATGTACTTGCTCCTCGTTGTATGCCTTGACAAATTCCTCGAATGTCATGCCATGCTTCTTAGCATACGGGGTGAGGATATGCACAAAGTGGGATGCCTCGGTCTCCGGAGGAACCCCCAGACCGTCGGGGCGGTAGCGCGATAGCCCTGTTGCAGGATCAAGACGAGGTGCCGACATCCAGACGCTGTAGTATTCCTTGATAGCTGCTCGAATGGCCAGTTTCAAGAATTCCTCGGCACCGTGTTCTGATTTGATCTTGTCGTAGACCTTCAGCGCCATGTCTGTCAAAAAGGGTGGCTGAGATCGAGTCAGATAATACGACCGGTTGGCATTCAAGATCTTTCCATAATGTTGGATACAAAAGGCAAAGTTGATGACCATAGACTTGGCGATGTCTATTTTGCCATTCTCAATGAGACCGATGGACTCCATGTAGCTGTCCCAACCGTAAAGCTCGTTGAAGCGACCGCCCGGGACAATGAATGGCTCTCCTTTGAGTGTTTCTTTGCCGTTGATCATGGTCTTCTTCATCGCAAGTGCTAGGATACCTGGAGAATCATTCAGGCTCCGGACATATTGCGCAGTGATTGGGCCTTCGGGGAGCCATCGGACGTCCAACCTCAACTCAGGACGGTCTTTTGCCACGTGAGTATAGTATTCAAACTGCTCCGGACAGCCACGAGGGATGTAGATACGTGGTCTAGGATCTTGGGTCCAATCTTTAGGATCGCGGCCGGCTTTCTCAATGGTGTTAGCATCGAGCGTGCGCGTCAAGTTGTTCCAGAACTCGTCTCGGATGCGACGTGAAAGACGATCCACAGGATTTTCACTGAGACGGGATCGATGTATTTTCACCACCTTTTTGCCCAAATCTTGTGCCAGAGTCAATTCTTGGAGAAGATTGCTGATCATATAATTGCCTCGAATGTCGGTCGATCGATATCCAGCGGAGGCTAGCGTGCCCAAAGTGATATGCTTTCACACAATCAGCTATTGAATATTGTGTAGAGGACATGTGGGCTTACCTTAGGGCCATTGTCCTCTATGGTGATCTGCTGGTTGTTGTCGTGGTCCTCTCTTTCTAGGAGATCCCTCAAGGTGCGCTCCACGTCCACCAAAAGCTCCTGGTGCTGTTGAGTGTGTTCATCTAGTATAGTCTGGGCTTAGTAGGTTGGTCCAGGTAGCGACAAATGTAGTACGAACCGTGACTTGTCCGACGTGCGGGATAGCTGCCTTTAGCAGAGAGGAAATTGGTTTCGCGAGCAGGTTTTATGTACTGTCCTTCGTCAGTCGACGCACTGTTTGTTGTTGTGCAGCCCTCCTCACCGATGAGATAGCTCTGTTCCGGTTGCCCAGTAATTGATGTCTAACTGAGTCTTCATCAAAGTAAACAGAGGGGGAGGAATAAGGGTCACGCCGTTCTATAGACGAGCTTCGTCTTCGATTGTGCCCATGTGACAAGCTCATGACCGCCGAAGTGGTCTACGATGTCAGCAGCAAGCAAAGTCAAATCCTCCCAGAGTCAATTACCAGGGTGGTGTCTGGGTATGTGGTGGGATGTGACAAGAACGCAGGCGATATTATGAGGTCGAGATTCGGGCTGACAGGGGCCACCGATGATGTCGTTTTGGACCCGCTTCAGATTTTGATCGGCTTATATCCGACGGTGGGCGTGGAGCGCCAGTGGGATTGTGACCTCGGCCCCCAGGCACACGACCACAAGGTGCGGGAGGAATACGAGAGTTGATGATTTGGCAAGAAAGTGTAAGGGATCGGACGCGGGGTTTCGAAGGAATGGTTGAGTGGTATTGGTAAAGAATGGTAAAGAATAGTCGAAGCGGTGAGAGAGGGATTGAAGTACTGAGGCGAGGTCGATAGGTAGTGAAGTTGACAGTGCGAGTGGTCGTCGACACGATATGTGACGAAGGGTTCGCAGAAAGGACTGTCTTGCTCGTAGTGGCTCTTGTGTACAGACGAACAATATTTCACGATGTGAGGAAGAAGTGACGATTAAGAAAGAAAGAAGAGAAAGAAGCAGGAAATTACCACTTGGGTCAGCTGGACCAAATGTTGAGACAGCCAAAACACACAAAAAAAGGCCTCCAAGCGGTGAGGCCGATGGCTCAATAATCAACAGCCTTATCTCTGCCGACCTGGCACCAGTTTTTCCCACTCTCTCTCTCTGAATAAGTAGCATTGAGCATCAAGCATTGAGACTTGTCGAGTCAATTACATGCAGGGTCTGACAGGGGGCGATCACTGTATCTGGACATCGCACCGCATGAGGAAATTCTCGGAGTCCGTGCTGCTATTTCTCGTAACAATGGCTCAGATATCGACAAGGCTGCGGTGTGACAGATGACAGTGGCTGTTCTTTCGTTGTACCATTCTTAGCGAGCACCAATGCATTAAGAATTGGGGGATTTTGATACTCAACAGAGCCTTGGAACCCCCACGACCGTGTAACCGTCTTAGCTCTCGCCCTTCTTACAATAGAGGGGGCTTTTTCAGACTACCCAATCAAGGCTTGTCCTAGTCAGGTTTTTTTACTCATATTGCGCCATCCGCCTACGGGGTAGTACAGTTGCACATGCCAGGCACCAAAGTGTTTTTTCCATCTTTGCACAACCGAAATCCCGAAGATCTGGGGGATCTGAATTTGGCGTCTTAGCACTACGGCAGGCACCTCGAATGGCTTTTGTGCGGCAATTGGTCTCTGTCATGCCAATTGTACTCGGCACATGTACCTAGGTACCTCAAGTACCTAGCCTGTACTGAGTTTCTGTATACAGATATATCAGATACTCCATCTTTCTACCCTGTACCGGAGACAAGTCTCAGATTGAGCTGCTGTCGATCCTCAGGCCCTGGACACACACGTCGACACCATCCACACCAGCTGCGCATGATTCCTTGAGATTCCCTCTCCAAGTATTTGCCACTTTCCCTTTCGTCCTCATACTCCCAGACTGTGGCACCTACCTTGACTCGTTTCTTCACCTTTTTTTTAACAACCCCACCAATGCCCTCGATTTCTTGCTGCAAATAGCCGGGCTTATTGTTGACATAGTCTGGGGTACCAGTCCGACTCGGACCACTACCCTCAGCATCATCACAACCCTTGCCTTCGGAGCATTCTATCTCGACCCAGCACACGGCTTTCCCGCTACTTTCAAGACAGTCTTCGCCGCGCCCACACTTCTGGCCTTGGTTACCGACCCCTAATCCGGTTCCCAAACCACCGCCGATGTGCGTGGAATATCTCGATCTCCAGGTCCAGACTCTTTGATATGTCGTATCAGACGCTCCAAGATTCTGTGCACATGGCATACAGAGGAAAATGCCGTGCGAGTCACAAGTGCAAGGCTTTCGTAGGAAGGCCGGCGTCGTGAAAGTAATATGATATTCATGTTCTGGACCATGTTCATCGGATCCATCCTCAGAACTTGCCGTGGATGAGCCTGACACTGAGCGTTCTGACCGGATGGAACTTGCACTGGACTTGGTTGCTCTATGGTCAAAACCTGACGAGCGTAAAGGCTGCAGATGAGCCTCGATGGGTGCGTCTAAGCACGTCTTGCATAATCGTCTATATCTGTTCTTCATCCTACTGCTGCTGGGAGGTTTGGCCGTGCAGTTCCGGCAAACAACAATGCCACATCGCCTGCACGGTGCTACCAGGTCTCGGGCACAGGGGCTGAGCTTGCTTGTAACTCCTGATGATGTATAAAGCCCAACAGGTCTGTATTCTGGCCTCGCAGGAATGACAGAGCCTGGAAGGGATTGGTATTGATCACGGGAGGCTGCGGCCCCTGTAGGTAACAACGTATCATAGAGCAATTCCTCGAGCTGCGGTTCGGCTCTCTGCGCGGATAGTCTCTCGGTGAGAAGAGGAGTATCGTCGTGGACGCATCGCAGTGATTGCGTTTTAAGCTGGTGTGCAAACTGCGTCAAGCTCGCATTGACGCTTTTGCAGGTCGAGGAAAGGGCATGGAGATCATTAAGGTCAATCGAGGAGGCCAGCGATAAAGCAACACTGGATTTCTCGCGTCAGTATTCACACATTTGTAAGTGCACCAGATCATGGCATACGGATAGCACGTTAAGGCAGCTGCTAATTTGTTTGCTGTGACCGCGGTGGACTTATCGTCTGTGCTGTTGCTTCCGACTGTTGCTCCCCTGGTCACTGAGTTTAGCTGGTTCCAAGTGTGGTACGGACGCGGATCGGATTGCGCAGATCCCAAGTCATTGCCCGATCGACTGCCGGAAGCGCAGTCATCGTCTTCGAGGTCGTAGAACACTGCCATATCGGTGCCATTTGAACTGGACGTTATCACTGACGCCCAGAATGCAGGATGAAGCCAATAGTCAAAGCAGGTGCCTAGCGATACAACTGCCCCCCGTTGTATATCGAGAGAGAAGTCTTCAAGGGACCAGCTGACTTGCAGAGGCGGAACAAGATCGTGTGAGCGGGGTGAACAAGATGTGGCATCATCAAGGGAGTCGAAGATCCAGCCAGCGCCGCAAACGCCACAAAGGAATACGTTTCCCCACCAGTCACCGAAAAACAAGGGCAACTCGTATCCCAAGGCGCAAGGGAGAACCAGGGACACCCATGATGGGCTCTAACCTGCTTGTCAGTTAAGCAACCAACAAGTGTTACGAGGACCGTGCAGCATAGCATTGTACCACCAGAGATGACCATCCTCTATTGAATTGTTGCCAACATGAGCACCTATCTGAGGCCTAGTAGTCCTCGTGCGCGCCTTGGTGGCTCTATAATCATTCTCAGCCGCATACTGTAGGTTCCGAACGCCTTGCAAACGATCGCAACTAGTAGGTGTATTTCTTCGACAACGATGGCATCTCTGAAGCACATGTCTGGAAGCGGTTTCCCTCCCTCAGCTTTACCGAGGAATGAAGGACTATTCTCGTATAGGAACGGAGTACGGAACAACTATAGGTGGTCTGAATACGCAGAATAGCAGATTGACCGAGGTACGGATACGAATTACGAGGACCCCTTCGGCGCGCGTTCCACCCTCCTGGCCATCGTCAAGTGGGAGGATTTCGCAATTGGTGAAAGCAATGCGAGTAGTTACAATGTCCACAAATATCCTATTAAGCGACACCTCCTCTTTCCCAACGCCGTCCGTCGCCCCTCTCATCTCGAATGCCTTGCCCATAACTACAGGCTCTCCCGGTGGAATCTAGTTATCTACACGAACACCTTTCCTACACTCCAGGATCGATCACAAGATGGAGTCTATGAAGCTGCCAGTATTCAAGACCACGCCGGTCGACGACATTCCTACGATTGTCTCACGCCTGCGCAATACGTTCTACTCTCAAAAGACTCGTCCTGCAGAATTCAGGGTCAAACAACTCCGCAAGTTGTACTGGGCGATCGATGATCACAAAGAAGAGTTGGTGGAGGCATGTCGCCGCGATATGAACAAAGGCTATTTCGAAGCCATGGCTGGAGAAGTTAACTGGGTACAAAATGATATCGTTTTCCAGACCCAGAACCTAGAGAAATGGATGAAGGATGAAAAGCCAGCCGACATTGCTCTCACCAACCGGTTGGTGAGCCCTAGGATACGCAAGGACCCATTGGGTGTCGTTCTGGTCATCGGGTAAGATCATAAAGTTACCTCGTTGCAAGTGCCTTTGCTGATCCTCAATCAAGTGCCTTCAACTTTCCCGTGAACCTATCCTTTGGACCCATGGTCGGTGCCATCTCTGCGGGAAACACTGTGCTCTTGAAGCCATCTGAGAGCTCTCCCAATTCTGCTGCTGTTATGCAAAAGATCATGGAAGAATCTCTCGATCCGGACTGCTATGCATGCGTCCAAGGTGCTATTCCCGAGACTTCGGCATTACTGGAGCAGAAATGGGACAAAATTTTCTTCACTGGGTCTTCAAGAACTGCTAGAATCATTGCCCAGGCAGCGGCGAAGAATCTCACCCCCATTGCCTTGGAACTCGGAGGCAAGAATCCAGCATTTGTAACTAAGAAGGCAGATGCACGCTTGGCCGCTCGGAGGTTACTGTGGGCGAAGACTATGAATGCAGGCCAGCTCTGCATCAGCCAGAACTACATTTTGGTCGACAAAGATGTCGCCCCATCTCTCGTTGAGGAGCTCAAGGTTGCTATGAAGGAATTCTTCCCAGATGGTGCCAAAAAGAGCAAAGACTTCTCACGAATCATCAACACTGCTGCCTTCAACCGTATCAAGAAGATGGTAGACAACACATCTGGCAAAATAGTCATCGGCGGAACTATGGATGCCGAAGAACTCTTCATCGAGCCAACTGTGGTGCTAGTGGATGATCCGAAAGACTCTCTCATTGTAGAGGAGTCCTTCGGGCCTCTCATTCCTATACTGCCCGTGGACAACTTGGACCAAGCCCTTCAGATCGCAAATGAAACTCATGCAACGCCGCTAGGTGTCTACGCATTTGGATCGAAGGAGGAGACCAAGAAAATCCTGGATGGGACTCGCTCGGGAGGTGCCAGCATCAACGACGGAATTTTCCATGGTATCGTTCCCAACCTTGCTTTTGGCGGTGTAGGTGATTCTGGTACTGGAGCATACCGTGGCAAGGCATCGTTTGACTGCTTTACTCATCAACGGTCGATCACCACCACGCCAGGATGGATGGAGAAATTGTTAGCGGTGAGATACCCGCCCTTCTACGGCACCGACAAGCTGAAGCAATTCAACAAAATGGGCTTCCTGACGCCCGACTTTGATCGAAACGGGGACAAGAAGGTGGGCTGGCTCTGGTGGCTACTTACATTGGGTACTGCCAGCGCATCGAAAGGTGCGTCAAGGGCTGCATTAGTAGCCGGTCTCTATGTTGCAATTACCATGCTGATGCAGCGTAGGGCATTGAGGCCTGGTCTGGCATGAAGACTAAGTAATTTTCTGTAGTTGAAGTCGAATTTAGCAAGCGGTGACAATAATGAACCTCCTACTCGTACGTAGATAATTTCACAGTGACAATTTTTCCATCTGTTTTATCGCCTTCAGTGTAGTACATCCTCACCCACAGTACGGTGGCCTGGCACCCTTATCGTTATGGGCTCACCCCGGCCTAATCTATGTGCCGCGGCCTGCGCCCTTTAAGCTGGGCTTACGAGTACGAGTCTCGAGGCTGTCATAGGCATCAGCCACAGCCAAGTAATAATGCATTATTGAACTGTGAACGTCATCGCCTGCGCCCGCAATTCTTTCGGGGAGCCTGTTCAACAGCAGACAGACCATCCCGCATTTTTCTTGATACCACGATCGTCAATTGCTGCGTCTGGTTGGATCATTGCCACCGACCTTCTTCCCTGCATCTCCCTGTATCTCATTTCCGTATCTTTGGCAGACGCGTCTAAAAGTCCTTACTGTCTGCTTGCCTCTGCTGAAATTCCGACCTCACCGAATATTCTTATCGAGAGACAGCCTCACATTTCGACCTCAACATAGTCGGCCGCTTCGCAAGCACTAGCAGACTCACTGGGCTCAAGATCGAAAAGACTGTATAATGACCTCTACCTCCAATACTCCATTTGCTACACCTGGAACGTCTACACCGAACACTAGACCTGGCACACCCAGCAGCCAGCAGCCTACGCCAACCAGCGCGCCGGCGGATAACCAGCTGCAAGATGATAGCTCGAAGCTGCGAACATTTTTGGGTTTATTGAGAAAGTGAGTCATTTGCATACGAGGAGAGATTATCTCGCTGGTAGACACAAAGTCGGGCTTTACAAGAACGATAAAACTGACAAGTGGCGGTGGGCAGGTTTATCGGCGTCACAGATATCGCCAACGTCCGTTTCTCTTTGCCTTCACAATTGCTAGAACCTATACCGAATCTGGGTAAGATATATTGTTGGAAGGTGAATAAAAGCATGGGATTGACGAGATGCAGAGTATTGGCACTATCTAGATCGACCTGAGACGTTCGCAAGGTAAGAATATGCTGGATTGTGCTCCGTACATTGTCATGCAAAAGAAGATAATCTGAGACGCACATCATGGCAGTATCGGCACGTCAGACAGCGATGTTGGCCGCATGCTAGAAGTTCTGCGATTCTGGTTCACCAAAGATTTGGTTTGTGGATCTCATCCATGCTCATATGACTTTGCACTCATCCCTACCACAGAAATACGTCAAGGGAAAGCCATGCAAACCATACAATTCCACGTTGGGGGAGTTTTTCAGGGTGAGTTGTGTCATTTGGGCCATATGCGTCCCAGGATCGTTCCCGAGAGCTGTGGCTAACCTCATACATATCTCAGTGTCAATGGGAGGTGACAGAGCCAGCGCCATCAATATCTCAACCATCCAAAGCCCCACCACAACCACCGGCAGATCCATCTGGTGAGACTAGTGACAAGCCGGTACGAATATCGTTCTTGACCGAGCAGACGTCCCATCATCCTCCCGTCTCAGCATATTGGTATGATTGCCCAGAGAGAGGCATCTTCGCGCGAGGCTACGACCAGATTTCCGCCAAATTCACTGGCACATCCGTTCGTGTCGTCCCGGGCATGTATAACCGCGGCATCTTCATCACTTTAGCCAACCGGGATAACGAAGAGTATCAGCTTATCCATCCAGCCGCTTCTTTGGGTGGCCTGCTTCGTGGATCACTGTATATTTCCGTGGCAGATACTTGCTCTGTAACTTGCCCTAAAACGGGGCTCAAGTGTCTGCTGACATATGTTGAAGAGAGCTGGTTTGGTAAAGCGCAGAATCGCGTTCATGGCCTCATCTTTCGCTACGACCCCAACGATGATAAGTATACTCGGGTCAAGGATGTGCCGGATAAGGACGTCCTTGTGAAGATTGAAGGATGCTGGCAAGAACAGATCACTTACACAATCCCCAAGACTACAGCGGTCAAGGAAACCGCTGGCCTCGAACCTACATCAGATAAGCAGCTTCTGATTGACTTACAGCCATTGTTGCCGGTTCCCAAAGTCACGCCACCTTACGAGGAACAGCTTCCTCACGAATCGCGGTGGTTCTGGAAGGATGTCACAAACGCCATTCAAGAAAAGCGGTATTCTGACGCCACTCGAATCAAGCAGGACTTGGAGCAAGCTCAACGCGACAAGGCAGCTAAGCGGAAAGAGCTGAACGTCGAGTTCAAGCCACGATTCTTTACTACTGTCACCGAGCCTAACGGCAAGCCTGAGCTCACTGAGTACGGCAAGGCTACGCTCGACAAGATGCACAAGCAGACGTATCAACTCGAACATATCCCTGAGCTAGGGGTGGACGAGTAGAACTCGATGCCGTTTGGATAGTCAGTCCAGTGTCAAAAGAAGGGGCACTTGATCACAAAGTGCTGATACCTGTACCTGGAATAGAGTCGCAATGGCATAACAGTCGAGACATGTCATGTTGGAAGCATAAGCTGAGGAGGAAATATACACCTTACGAAACAACCTGAATTCCTTCTGCATGTATAGATGACAGGACGAGGAAGCACTGTCCAGGGTCGACAGTGGGAGTACTTCCCCGGCTTACTCGACCTTGTCCTTGATGTTTTTCCCCTCCCACGATAGCGTGGGATGGTTTGTTTTGTGGTGATAGATTTGGTCAGTGTCCACCTACGGAGTACAAAGCACGAGCTTTCAGCATTATTTTGTTTCTAACTTTCTCTGCCATTGTATTATTACAACTCATCTTGGGACGATACATCGTGTTTCGAGACATTCCAATGCGACAAAATGAGGAATTGCTGGCCAGGATACACGGTAATGAAGCAGGACAGACTTTCGTGAAAGATAGCTCCTTATGACGAATCGAGGGTCTTTCGCGAAACTGATGAGATTCAGAGGTTTCGAGGTCTTGTTTCCTTGCCAACGCGATACATTGAGACACTTGCGCCTGAGTGAACCAAAGAACAGGCTGTCTTAACAAGCGTCGGCAGTGATTCAGCTCGATCATTAATGGATGCGTCCTCGATATCACTTTGCTTGGGGGCTATGACTCGGCTGGGCTGCCTTACCTGACTTGCCTCCCCATATGCTTTCTAACGAAGACGAGAGATGGAGGTTGGGGCGTAGATCGAGGTGTGTGCGCCGCAGGTCTGCCTGCATAAGCCCTTCCTCTAAAGAGAGCGGCGTGTATGAGTTACGGCAACAGGTTCTTCGTCTTTTTCTTTGTACCTATTTCACCTTGAGATATACTCGCCGAGTTCCTGTTGGTGTGGGAAGGGGTCGACGTACGAGGCAGTATCCGGTACGAGTCTTGGTTAGGCAATGCAAAACTCGAGCTTGGGACGGGTGTATTTTGAATTTTGATTTTGGTGGCCGTTGCCATCTGGATCTTTTCTCGGTTTGGCCCCGCTTCGATCGCATATGCCTGATGTTGTGGTGATCGCAGACGTTGGTCTCTTCTCTCTTGTCTTGTGTCAATATTATGAACAGGTAAGTTGGGTGTGGTGTAGATGAGCCAACACGGGCGTTGATCCTCTTCCTCCCGGAATCATGATGGATGGCATTTCTCGAGGATGTGTTTCTGAATGATCAAAAGTTCGGTCTTGCTGCTCCATTCAGTCACGGCTGACGACGTTCTTTGTGGATGACGGGACGACGACGATGACGATGATGATGATGATGATGCTGATGGCAAGATAGGTTAGCTTTGTTGCTGTCGTTAGGTGTATGCCATGAGGGCCTAGTTTTCATTTCCCCCTCTTCAGTTCACATCGGAAACTCGGAGGTTCTCTACGGAGTAAGTACAGTGTTGTGTGTGGGTTTGGGTATTCTTCTTCTTCGGCGACGTCGTCCAAGTCTGTATTGGGATGCCGCGTGTGCATTCGGGTAGAACTGTAGAAGAAGGTCCTGTTTGACTATACCGAATGTGAAATCTTCGCCGTTCCTAGATGCGTAATGCAGGTGTAGTGTAAACAAGTAAACAGAGGGGCTGGATAGCGGGGTACGTCATCCTTACCTTCGATAGTACAATACATACGGAGTACAGGCGAGGCTGAATGTCCCGAAACATCCTCTAGGAGTTTTCAGTAGCGAGGGGCCAGCGTTATGCTATACTGATTATGTCAAGAAACCCGGGGGCGGAGATATAACCACGCATTCCTACCAAGTATGGAGGTTTTCCCTTTGGGGTTACAAGGGATCGATCCTGTTGTATGGGTCACGGGTTTGACTCTTTTGGGGTGGTCAGCCCGGTACAGGCGGTATCGATAAGCGGGCGACGGAGTGTGGCCAATCCTTTTTGTATAGAGTACTCCGTATGGAGTGTGGATATGATGATCGTGTACTCCGTATCAATATGTTGACCGTACGGCTGGTGAGACTCGGTCGAGATCCGAGTAAGGCTAGAGTGGACCGAACCGGATATGCAGCACCGGTACGAAGTAGAAGGATGCGTACTTGTATAGACCAGCCTCTCGTGTCGGAGGAGTAGCTGGAGAAGGGTGTTTTCTCCGTAGACCGTAAGAATATTCGCTTGTGAAACCCGCGTGGGCGGGCTGGCTTCCTTTAAGCTATACTCCGTAATAAATCGTCAAGGAGATGGTCTGGTTCGGAGATGGCCTTAGTCAGGCTAGCATGGCCGATGTATGTACCTCGTATACCGACCGAAGTGTGTATGGATATTGTAGATCTGGTAGCCGGGTTGTCTACCGTTGTTGGCGAGATCCGAGGAAACGTAACGCCCACCTGAATGGAGGACTTTCCCCTTTGGAGACCTCTCCCGAGTATGAGGTGCATATGTACGGAGTACGTACTGAGCCCAACTTCTTTTGGGTGCACATTACTGCGTACTGTCGTTTAAAAAAGGTGCTCCGGATTAGCCTACGATGCAAGTACGGAGTACAAGTCTCGTTAAAGAATTATAAACCAAGGCCCATCGGCACCGTGATGCGAGGTCGGACCGACTTATCCTCGTAAGAAAATGATCGCCAAACATGCATCGCTTCAACAGGGTCTTGTGTTGACACACCGTTTCTCACTCACACACAGACTTGTTCTTCGTACATACCGTAGAATGACGGGCGCAAATGGTGAACTTCGCGGTGCATGTCAATTTTGGTATAGCATGCGCACTGAAACCCACCAAGGAATATAATCAGAAGGATCAATTAATCCGTCGAGAGTGTTGCGTGAGATGTGAAACCTGCGTCAAAGGCGTCTCGATGGCTGGCCTTCCCGCTCGAACGTGTGTTAGTTTCATCATTCAGGCAGCCCAAAGAGCCTGGACGCATCAAGCGAAAGTGTCTGGTTGTGAAGTATCCGTACACCGTACGGAGTACAGTCTTCCTCATACGGAGTGCCGAGGACCTCTCGGCGCCGTTGTTGAATTCCCACTCCGTTCTCCGTACTTCAGGACTGGCATCTCGTGACGAATGTTCCGTGCCCCGTTGGATCAAGTTTTGACGCACACCAAATGTACCGCCCCCTAAAAGGCATAGATCTTTTTTTTTTGAACAGGAGATGAGCTGTACTGATTTTGGTAATAGGGGTAATTGCACAATTGGTTGAGGATGCCACGGGGTCCATAAGTCTCCAGAACGCTTTCCGTCCGGACCACATGGTCTGTGGAAGATTTCATCAACACGGGCTGTTAGGGCGGGTTCGAAGTGGGCTTCAAAGCAGGGGGTCAGGATGGATGCAATGAAAATCCTTTGTCGAACGTCTGAAACAGTCGCGGGAAGCCGGCTTAGGTCGGCACCCTGAAACAATATATGAAGATTCAGGTGTTTGTGGGATGGTATTGGCTGGCACCACCACTTTTCATCACCCATCCTAGCGTTGCTGGGAATGACGAAACCGGTGACAGGGATCCTAGTCTGCTCTGCTCGGGGAAACTTGTAGTTTCGCCACGCATCACCGCAGGAAGATGCTGTAAATACTGCAGTGGACGATCCCTGAGATGCTGCAGGAGTAAGGAGTTGGGCAGTGACAACGTGTACAATTCATCATGCACGACCCGCAGGACTGGGCTGGCCCAGCAACTGGTTGCTTTCTTTGGAGGACAAAGTAATTAATTCCTTTTGTTCTACTCCGTACTCCATGGTCCGTTGTCTGAGAATGGTGTCGGAGAAAACCACGATGAGATGAAACAGGCAGTTTGTTGTTGTCGGGTCACAGATGTTATTACCTCAGTCTAGACCATGCTTCGTTTCGTCTATTCCCGTACATTTTTTACGGAGTAGAAACACAATAAAGATTAACCGAGAATACTGCGATAGAACCCGGTCAAGTGCCGTTTAGTGGGAGAGCGCTGTCGGCAAGAAAGCACAAATGATCATGGCCATTTACGCTTTTGCGCATGGAGCATGGGAGATTATGGGACGGACAATTCGAACTAGGTACTCCTTATTCACCGGTACTCGCACCAGCAACCCGCGTCGAAGTTTTGTCAGGAAACAGGAGCATGAAGTGTCCGGCGGGTACAATCTGCGCTGTTTCCGTGTTGAAGACATGGTGATCAGGGTGATTATACAATTGCCACAGGGTTCAGCCACTTTATGAGGCCCCCATTCCCTCCATGATTTATAATATATGTACCGAGTACGAGACCAAGCCACTGATTACATACATGTGGCAAGTACGAGTACCACGAAAGTACAGACCGTAATCCTTCTCTTCGTATCCAGGTGGCTGACAGAAGCGAAAGGAGTGGGAAACGGGACACGAGAGCCACACGAGAGAAATCTGAGTGATCTGCGCAACTGACCAGGGTGAGGCACGAAAGGAGTTTAGAAGGATCCATCCAACATGCGTAGTCGACATTTACGAGGGGAGCCACCGCGCCAATACCGCGTGGATGTGGACGTGCTCGTCAAGTACCTGCATGATTTGCATCCCACTGGTCAAGCCGTGCAACTCCCGTCTGGTGGATGTGAAATCTCCCGGAAGGATTCTGGTGCTTCTTGAACGATCAGGAGTTTGATGACACAAAACAAAAGACCCATGTGCTCGTTCTGTGTTGGCTTTACGTTCAGAAGACGATGCTCACGCATCGGAGCTGTCGCAATCTCAAAACTGGTCCCGGTGGCTGAAGCAGGTTCGTACGCGACCAATCGCTCATGGTACTATTTCAGTCATGGGGTGATGCAGCCCAAGATCCATTCAGAAGCCTGCATATCACTTCTTTCGGAGGAGCTCGTCTTGGAGATTTGGCCGTGGTTTGTATGACAAGATGACTAGTCGGAGGCGTCATCGGTACGACAGATCATCGGACAGCCGGGAACGAGTATGCGACCGAGCTTCTGGGACGGGTGTCTTGCACAAAACAATGGGCAATGGACCGAAGCTATTGTAATTGTCATGGTTGGACGTTGATACTCCGTAAAGGACGGTCGATCGATGAGCATACGTAGCACCGAGATGCTTAGTGCTCAGGTAAGGCAGAATCTGCTTTTAACAATACTTAGCGCAACGGTTTGGGTTAGTCTGAGGCGGGCCTGGTGTGTTATCGTGGCGCTGCTGGTTGGCTACTGTTTCAAGCTTGTCCTCTCTAGGTCTAATCGTATTCCTCAAATAGCAGCGCCAAGCCCCTCTAAGCGGCCTGCGCCGCATTTCGCCATACTGTACGGTGGATGGTTTGCTATTCAGAGCCAAACAGGGCCTTAGGACCCAATCACTGGTGGTGGCCTCAGGTACCTCCCCCCATCCATGTCATCTTCTGTGCACCATCATCAACATCTGACGGCCATCTCACGAATTGCTGCATGCGTCTTGAGCTAAATCGGCGAGGATGGCGGAATTCTCAGCCTCCCACTGGCGGATGACCGTGGTACTAGCCACATAGTGGCCGGCGTGCCGTTTACGATCCACCCCTTCGGTCCCTTCCCTTCCATTTTGGAAACGACTCACGACACTTTTCTTTCTTCTCGACGAGCTAGTTCGGTCGTGCTTTTTCTCGCTCGCAAAAGAAGATTGACCATCCTCATGGTGGAAATGGGCCCCCCTGGTCCTCTCGAAGACAACCAACTCCCTAGCCTTGTCAGTATTCCCAATCCACTCACACGCTCCCCCGGTCGCTCCAATCATGAGACGATCGTCCCTTGATCAGAACGGTCCATATTTACACACCGAGCCGGCCTACGCTTGACCCAGAAGCCTCACGTCCTCTACACAGCCGCTCGGTGTTGATTGGCCGGGACCACCCTATACCTCGCGCTGCCTCTTCGCTCCTCCACGTTCAAGCTCACTAATTTCACCCTGGCTCCTGCGTGTTATTCAATTCCATGAACTGCCACTCCAACATCATACGGGCACCCATTACCCATCGCCCGTGGACAAGAATAACTCGTCGTTGTACACTTGTCGTTGCCCCGCCACGTGCCTAGGGCCTCCCTCCCCATTTCCAGCGTACTCAGCCCTGCCCAATAGGTTGCGGATGATTCTCTAGTCTCCTACCTCCCATCTTTCCACCATCAAATCGTCATTTCTTTCATCACACTTCTCTTTTCATACCCATGCTGTGGTCTCCATTTGCTCAAACAAGCTTAATCTTTTGCTTGAGGCTCAGTAAGGGGCGGAGACTTCCAAGCATTACTTCGACTCCACCCTGAAACAGTCGGCGCAGAGCTCTGGGCTCTTCGTATACTCTATATCTTCTATACCATACCCTCAATCCCGCCATGGCCCCAAAGAACCGTTCCCATACACCTCGACTTTCCGGTCCAGCTGAACCAACTTCGCCAATCCTTTCTCAGCATTCCACCACTACATTCCTTTCAGATCCTTCCAACCATCATCGTCACAGTCGTCGTGGCTCTCGGGACAGCCTTCGCAACATATCTTCAGCTCAGTTGCCTACTCCCGACACGCTTGCCTCGACGCGGTCGCCTATAGCACCCGACTCCCCCCATTCTACTCTCGAAAGTTCTAACTCTCGTCGTGAAAGTGTTTCGACCATGAGGACTTCGTCGATTTCCCTCGACGGGCCTCCTGCCTGCACGCCCACAGGCCGTGTCAGCAAGGCGAAGAAGGGCAAGAGAGTCCATGCTTGTGAATTCCCTGGATGTGGAAAGGTAAGTCTGACTCGAACAGCAAACCCCCAATTCAAGGCCAACCACTTGATCTTTAGGAGGACCTGGCTGACGATCAAGTAGGTCTTCACAAGAGCAGAGCACAGAAGGTGAGTCCAGATTGGACAGCTCGTATGGGGGCGATGCCCTTACTCACATTTCGACAGGCGGCATGAACTCAATCATAACCCTGAGGCGTTGTTTCCTTGCACTCGTCCTGGGTGCAGGAAAGCATTTCATCGTCTTGACCTTCTGCAACGACATCAAGAGAGACAGTGAGTATTTTTCATATACCTCTTGAAGCGTTTTTGGTTCGTACATCTAACCATATGACAGTGATCTCGAAAACTCTGCTCCCTCTCCAGGGCAAATGAGCCAGACACCGCAGATGTCAGTGTCCTCAGAACCGCCTTCTTCAGTCATGCCTGCCGCAGTTATGAGCAGTCCTCAAGCTGGCAGAAGTGCTCCGAGAACCTCTGCCGGCGCATTGTCGATTGGATCCCTTGTTCACCCCCAAACAGACTATCGCTACGGCATGGGAACGCCAGCATTCAATGGATTTGCCCGGCAACCCATGCAATTTATTCCCGGTTTCAATTCTTCTGATGATTCTTTGTTCTATACCCCCGAGAGCAGCCAGTCTCCTGTTTCAGATTATTATGGGCGATATGCTCACCGCCAAAGCATCTCTTCCTCTTCTTCAGTTGCTGCCTTTGAGCCGAACGGAACCTCTCCTTTGATCGGTGGAACCATTCCAGGTCCATGGGCTCCTTCTTCCGCCCCTCCTAGCATTTTGCCATCAAACATGCTCGATGATGGCGCATACCTTCCCGTTAGTTCCCCTTTTCTTTGGGTTGATGCGTATACTGAAGCTGATCAGTCTCCTGCAGACTCTTCCCTACCGATACCCCTCTCCGACCTGGATGGCTACGAATGGTCTGTCATTCGAGGAGAACTATCAAATTCCTCTGGACTTTTATCAGGAGATTCCCCAACCGGTGTATCCGACACTATAAGGTGGCATTGTCTTGACCACTATTGGCAATACTTTCACCCTCATTTCCCGATTGTCCACCGGCCCACGTTCCTACCTACAAAGCCAAGCCCGCTTCTTGCAAGTGCCATGTCAGCAATTGGATCACAATATGATGATCGACCGGACGCAAAGCAATATTCCTTGACGCTGTTGGAGATTGCGACAAAGCTGCTGAGAAGGCGGGACAGCATTACGAGTCGATCACGATTGGCGGACCTACAGACCGTTTTCTTGCTTGAAGTCTTGAGCAAGTATTGCTCCAGGAGAGTGGAAGTAGAGATGTCGGCTCGATTCCGGTCTCTCTTTGCCAGTCTCGATCAAGCGCGTCGAACATTGGCCACGGATCCTCTAGCAGTCTTCAGAACTCTCCGGAAAGATAGGACTTCGGAAGATATTTCGCGAGCTCACAAGTTTTGGCTCGATCATGAGACACGGAGACGGATTCTCCAAGCGTCGACCGTACTGGATCATCAACAGGTGACCTTGTTCGAACAACCGCCGACGATTGTTCAACACGGGCGACCCAGGAGGACCACAAGCCCGAGTCTACGGTGCAACATTCCTCTGCCTTGCTCCGAAGAACTTTGGGAAACCAGTCCCATCGAGAATTGGGTCCAGATGGCCGCGAACACGGACGCATTCAAGCCACGGTCGCATCGGCAAGACTCGAGTATCACATCAACCCCCGACTATTTTCAGAGCCTGGTCAGTATGGTAGCCTGCCAAGGGTTGCCTGACCAGGCACCAACTCGGCAGGAGCGACTAGGAGACGCAGCGGCCTATATGGCTTTCAACCGGCATGCCTTGGAGATGGCCCGGAATACGCCTATCAGGCAGTTGCTCGTGACCAGTGGCGAGTCCTGGATCTTGGGGAAGAAGTTGGAAAACGAGGCCGAGTTCCAGGACGCCAAACGCGTCCTGAGGGCCTGGGCCGATTCCAACTTCCAAAGTCGGATTGCCATGTGGCATGCCACCCAGCTGATTCGCAGCCGTGTCAAGTTTTCATATTCCGAACCTACGAGGACCGAACTGGTGGTCACGTTCCAGGAAACCCATATGCTCCAAGAGCCGTGGGTCTTGTACCTTGCGGCGCTCGTTTGTTGGGCTTACGGCCTTTCGGCATCGGCGGCAGCCTTGGATGGCAACGGACAAGGTTCGGGCGCCGGCTCAACAGCCAGCGATCCACATTCCAACCCATCTCGAACGCCGAGTTCGTCTTCGGCACATCCGGCGCTCCTCGACTCTCACGAAGCTGCGTATTCGATGAGAGAGTATCTCAAGGCCACCGACGTCGACAAGGTGGACGGCATTCTCGGCGTCGACCCAGATATGTTTGGTCGGACACATGGTCTCCTCGAAGTCATTCGACTGAACAAGATTGGTTCACTTCTAGGAGGACTCATGAACGAAGCTGAAAGGGTTCTTTATCGACTTGTAGAGGGAAGGAGTCGTTTGTCACATTTTTAGAGCAAGTAAAAGCGGGAGAGATGTGTGTGTTTTTTTGGGGGTTTCTGATTCCAGCATTTTTCTTTCCCTGAGATTGGGCTTTCTTGGGTTGGGGGGAACCATTCTGTCACGACCATGATGACCACGTTTATGACGACTACGAAAAGATTTGTTGTTTGATAGGTTTTTGTTTTTTTGTTTTTGACTTTCTGATCGTTTGGTTTATCTTGTGGACTTTAGGATACCAGCAGAGGTGTTTTGATACCATGGCTACCACTGTACAGAGAACCTCAGCGTATGGCGTGTTGGGCTTTTTGTTTTCAAATCGAATCCGGAAAGACCTTGAAAGATGTTGTTTGTTTTTCTTGGGAAAGCGAGCCCTGGTTCAATGGGCATTTTGATCCCCCGGGCGAAAAATTCATGAACATAGTCACACTACGGAGTATTCTCTCTGGTGGGAGAATCGATCCTTCCCTTTGGGACAATTTTACTTCGATGATACGAGGGAAAGTTACTTATTTCGCAAGTTGTTTCAAGAAACAAGTCTGCGGAGGAGTATCGAAAGTCCTGATTCATTTCGTGTTGACCTTCCTCCATACTCTTGATGCTCCTTGCACCAAGGTTGGTTTTTTTTGTAAAATTACTAGACTTTCTAGGTAATAACGGAGTAATCGTAACGGAAATACCAGTGATGGTAAGCCGCCCTCCCAAAAAGAGAGAGAAAACCCACCGAACGAAACGAAACCAACAAGTCGAACGGGGTTGGGGGGGGGACAGGGGTTAGGGATGTGAATGCCTCAATGAAGTATTTGTGGGATGTTGGTTTTGGTTAGTTCAATACGGAGTGACTCTTTCGTGGTACGGAGTAAGGTACTTCTCCGTACAGTAAGTGATACCTCGTACTATGTTGTTTCGTAAACAACGAGTGGGGTTACGAGCTTCGAGTTTCACGAAACGAGGTACCGAGTACGGACAAGGTCGAGGATGACTCCCGTACTTGGTTTGTATAGTAAGTGCTATATTTGGCTACCAATGGGGGTAGATAGCTAAGGAGGTAGATAAATGAATTGCTTTTTTTGCTTTTGCTTGCAATCTTGTAACAACAACAACAAATGGCATATCCCCGTTCGCCGCACTCCGTACAAAAGTGTGTCTCTACGAGAAAGGTTCGGTTCCAGTAGGATGAATTATCTCTCCGAGAAACAAGCGCCTCTACTCAAAATGAACGAGGTGAACGAGATTCATTGCGGATAAACGAGCGAAAAAAATGCAACCTGTACAGTACAATGATTGCGACTCCATTATAACAGAGTTCAAGCCACTTACATTTCGATTTGACCTAGTTCAACACAATTGTTGGAAAAAAAAGGATGATGGGACGCCTGAAGAAAAGAAAGAATCAAGAAGGACACCTTCCAAACACGGATTACTGTATTATAGTACGGAGCAGTACACCACACAAAACGAAGAGATTCTCCCTTCCCCCCCCTCCCCCCTCCCCCTTGCAGATCATTTCCACGAGCCGCTCAAGTCCAAAAGGAAAAACAAAAATTATGCAAACTTGCAAAGCTACCTTGAAAACACAAAGGTAGGTTTTGGCGAAGCTCCTCCAGGTACTCCCCCCTATCCTGTACAAGTTGGCCAGAAAACAGGGGGGGATGGGGGGAGGGGGGAGTGGTCCCATTCGTTCCCTAGTGATCAACTCCGTACAGTACTCTGTAGTGGGCCTCAAAGTTCGGAGCAACTTCGAAATGCCCCTAAACGATTTTGGGTAGTAGGGCATCATTGAACGATTGGATTGATTTGGGGACCACATTTACTGTACAGTATGTACGGAGTAACTTTTTTTGGGAAGGTTTCTCGCTACCTTGTACTGTACAAGTAGGTGTTTGCGTGCATCAGGGGGGTGGATTCTTCGTTTGGGTCCGAGCAGGTGCGTGCACTTACGAGTCATGTTGTCCCCTTCAACAGAGACAGACAGAGAGACAGAGAGAGAGAGAGAGAAAAACCCAAGGCCGGTTCAAAAGCCGTTACGAGTAGCCCTTTTTTTCCCGGCCTTCTTCTACAGACTACAGAGTAGACATTTCAGTATGTTCTGAAAAAAAAGAAAGATAAATGTACTGTGGGGACATTCACGACTCCGGGGTGAGACCGATCAACCTTCTCCGGATATTTCACACTTTTGTTGTTGATCCTCTACGTGTTGTTATGTTCTGGGATGGGAAATGTTGTTCAAGTCTGAAAGAATAAACACAGTTTGAAGACTTCATCTACTCAGAGGACGCTTTTTCATGACTGCGAAATAACACCTGCCTCATCAATACCCATAACACCCTTTGCTTCGATGATCTTGCATGAAATCAATCCAAACTCTTGTCATTTTCTCATGACCGAATGTTCACCTACCCCCCCAAGTTGGAGCTTCTTCTGTCGGTCTCTGACCTCTTTCCAATTATCTCTCGCCCAGACCAAAACATCACTGAACCTGTCTTCTTGGAATGCCTTCCTGACTTCTGCTAGCGAAGCAGCGTCCGCGTCTCCAACCCCAGCGATGTCGCTCTTCATTCTCCTCACGACATATCCAACTTGAGTTCCGCTGATGGGTAAGGTCTCCCTGATGTCCCTCCATAACTCATCGACTTTGACCTGTCCCGCCCATTTCTCTCTCCTGTCGTCAAAGTCTTTCGTGAAATCTCCTCCAAAGTACTTCTTTGCGTCCTCAACGACCTCGTCTCGGGTTAGATGGGCGTCCTTGCCAGGCTTGTCGTGTACGTGGGCAGGCAAGTACGTGTTGATCCAGTAGCGAAATGCAGGACGCTTGTTGAACCTTGCACGGTCTTTGTGCTTGCGTCCTGTGCCGAGATTTTGTTTGTCGGGGCCATCACCGCCTTTAGCATCTTGCTGTCCTCGGTTTCGTTCCTGCTCCCACTGATCCCTATTTCTCCAACGTCCAGGATCATGGAATCGACAAGTCGTCGCGTAAGCCATCATCTCATCCAAGGTGTCGAAAGGCTTCTCGTACTGATGGGTATCAAGACCGAGGTAATCAAGGACCAGCTTGGGATCACTGGTCATCTGCACCCGCGACTGAACTTTGTTGTGAGGTTCTACCTCTTCGATGCGAAGTTCAAGGCCCTTTGCGCATGTCAGTCCGGCATGTCGGATGATACCACCAAGCATGCTCCATAGATCACCGTGAGATTCGATGAATAGATGCCATTTGAAAGATTGTTCATCGTGGCAAATACGAATATCAACTTGGCAGAATCTCTTCTCAGGGTCTGGCAGACTCGGTGCATATGATGCCTTGGGCTCGGGATGTGGTGTAGGATTATCGTTAGCCTTGCACAGTTCCTTTTCCCGATCTTTCCCTTCATCGCCGCTCGCAATGTTGTCAAATTGCTCAGGCCAGGGCAGAGCGAAATGAAACATTGACCAGCTTCCCATACTCTTCGATCTATGTGCTTCCAGGATGTCAGACAGATCCCTGCGAATGATAGGCCGAGAGATGTTCAGCGGCTCAGCGACCAAGACATCAATGTCCCCATGACTTTTCTTCGCGGGAGCTTCGGGAGGGATTCCAACGAATTTGAAGTGAGGCTCGAGCAGACGCAGTACGTGAGAGGAGACGTGGTGGTAAACTTCTGGGGGCATTCGCGGCGTGGACAGACCATCCTCCTTGAATACCAACCCTCCCATGGTGTCGAAATCGAAATACCGATGATTTTTGCTAGAAAGGATTGAAGTTATGCTGAGATGCAGATTATGAAGAAAAAGTGAAATGACTCAACATCATCCCTACCAAAGTTTGTTGGTAGAAGGTGCCATTGTGTGAGTCAAACAGCCGTCTAGGTAAGCAGCATCACAGTATCTGGACCCAGGAAGTTGTAATGCAGTGTTTGTCACCTGTAGAAATTGTTTGATTCATTCTTGCGGTGTCAGTGACGCGCACTGCCTCACGCAGCAGGCAGTGTCATTGGAATTCACCTTGCAAAGGGGGAAAATCATTGTTGTTCTTCTCCCTCTTAATTTTTCCCATCACTTTGCATCCTCCCAATTCAAGCTGTCAATTCTGACTGAGATACCAGATAGATAACCTTTACAATAGTCTATCTGATGATGTGACTAACGAGTGCTGGCAACTCGTTGATGAATATTCGACTCCAGTTCTGAGAATCTCGGTGAGACGCCATGGGCTGCAAAAAACCACCAACATTGGCTGGACGCCTCGACTCCTACCCTGGAAAATCACAATCCTTGTCATAAGGTAAGTATGCATTCTGAACGCTGTTAACACGGCTGACTATGTGAAGATACTGTGGGCGCAGGTCATCACCATGAATGAGTACAAGGGTCAACGATAAATATTGGACCATTAATAGGTACTTCTTAGGTACCCAGGGAGCTTTGATTGGCGGTGTCAGATCATCACTGCCACTTTCCCAGCTAGGCCCTAATACAATGGTGAGCCTCAAGCTTCCCGAGTCTCCTACTGTACGAGTAACAGAGCATCAACAAATGTCGGCGATCTCCATCTCCTGCTTCGCCCATCAAATGACTGGAAAGGGAAGAGTCGCGACGCTAACATTTTGCGGTCCCTGGGATTTGTATTTTGACTGGCTGGATTCTTGAATCATTTCATCACATCCAGGTACGCGAAATCACAAGGAGATAGGCGGGAGAGCCGCACTCTTAACTCATGCTGGGTTGGGACATCCCTTGAACATTGGCAACAGTATGGACTGGCCTGGGAAGCCTACCTCCACATCTATCTCACCCTCATGCGACATCCGGTCCTCTTGGGCTTGGGTGCTAGTTATGGAGTCTCCTGTAAGGTGCCGCCTTTCGGCTGAAACTAAAAGGGCAAAACAGCAAATAAATCAAATGGGATCAATTGAGGCCAAACAGTTGTGGCCCCCCTTGGGACGCCTCACTGCCCAGGCTATCGACACATGCTGTACACATGCTGTACGGAGTACAGTAGGTCTGTTTTGTTTCCTTTGTGCTGCCTGCGCCTTTCTCTTTCACACCTCGCAACATCACTGCTCGATCACTACCAACGGCGCATACCTATATCCATACCGGATTCTCAGGCAACGCCCCCAATCACCTACCAGATTTTGTCGAGTTTTTCCACCCACAACCAAATCTCTTTCTTTCTCGAGACAGTCACTTCACTTCCAACCTTTGCGCTGACGGGCGGCTAATATGGCACCGTCCTTGTCTACTTCACTCCTCCTCAGCCTTCTTGCAGTCTCTCAACTCACCTCAGCCACCTGCTACTGGCAAAACTCCACCCTTGCCCCAGATGATCCTTATTCAATAGCGACCGACGATACAGCATGTTTTCCTGACCAGGAGAACTCACCATGTTGCGGAACGGGCTGGACGTGTTTAAGCGACGGTGTGTGCGAGATCAAACAAGGGGATACAACGTTTTATTACCGTGGAACTTGTACAGATCGTACCTGGAATAGTGTACAATGTCCTGGATGGTGTTTTGCGCAAAGTAAGTATTCGATATGAGTTTGCGGGACGACAGACGAGGCAGTGAATGGCATAAGTGAATGTCCTGAGTGAATGCCATATTCACTTCACTTCAGCGGTCATTATAAGTGGATATTATATTTGCTTCACTCGCGTGAATATCATGAGTGGATATTCTATTCACTCTGCTCGAGTGAATTCAGCCTGTGAGTACTTGGCTAATATGGCTTTCTTGTTACAGATTCCAATACTTCTATACCACTTGCTAAATGCGACACGGAACAGGATTGGTATGTTGGCCTTGTCCACTTTTCCAATCATCAAGAATTATATGATTTGTATCTGTATAATTGTCTCTCATACTGATATCGAGGTTATAGGTACTGTTGTCCAGGGGATAGCGAGTGTAGCTGTGAAACTGGAAAGAATGCCGTCAAACTGGGAGGAGGGCAACCTTCCACCATTACTGTCATTGGAAGCACCAGCTGGCCCGGGTTTACTAGCACTACAGCACCGTTCACAGCCAGTGATCTTGTCTCAGACGGCACCGCAACTGAGACGAGCAGCGAAGCAGCAGCTACCTCATCTACCAGGTCTACGAGTAACACGAATACTCCAGCAAGTATGTCGTCGAACACAGCTAGCGCAGCGGCTGCTTCTGCCACCACAAGTACCCCGGCTGTATCGGACGACGGAGGGTCAAGCAACACAGGCTTAGCCGCCGGGCTGGGTGCTGGATTGGGTGCCGCAGCTGTGCTAATCGGAGTACTTATTTTCTACCTCGTTCGAAATCGACGCAAGAAGAATGCTGCCAATGCAGGGGCTAGTGCTGGCTATGGTGGCGTTCCGGGAAGCAGTGCTACAATGCAGAAGCCATTCTACACGGATTCTCAACAGTCCGCACCGTATAGCGACATCAGTCACCCACTGTCCCAGCCAGAACTCCCTGGACAAGGAGAGTACAACAGAGCAGAAATGGCGACAGAAACACAGGGTCAGACCGTGTACAAAAACCAGCACAGAGCGGAGCTTGATGCTTCATGAGATGACGATTTCTCTGGTAGCGAGCGAGCAATGATTTTTGGTTTACGAATCTTGGGTGACAACGTTTGCGGCAGAATTGACGTCAAATGATATATCATATAATACGAATACCTTTCACTGATGTGCAACTCTTTGAAAAGCATTGGTCAAGTTCGGTATAAGCAGAAAACATCTCAGGCAAATGACTCAGCAAGACTTCACTAATCCGCTTTCTTTCTCGACCGCACGGCCCTGCGGCAATATAAACCACCGGAATGCTGATTGTTGGCTGTTTCCGATGTTTGCCGGCGCCTGTCCCTTTGAACCAATGACTGGAATTGGCCGCTCTTCCTATTTTCTGAGCATGCGACCGACCAAAACGTCAGTCCTGGCAAGCAAATGTGAGCAAATCGAACGAGTCTGGTGTGGCAATCCCATATATTTTGTGCGATGAGCATCACATGCGCACGACTTAGCGTACGATTCAGAAAATTAACATCATCGTCCAACCAAAATGGGAAAACGACGGAATCTACGAAGATGAATGTATGATGTGTAAGCAACTACCAACCCGTCCTGATGGTGGCATTTATTGGGTAAGATCTCATTATACCTTTTGTTTGGCGTCCATCTCGCTTCAACAAGCTTGGTTTAATCTTCAATTACCTTTATTCCTTCAACCAGGGTCCTCTTTCGGCAGTTGGTCTAAACAGCCTTGTTACCATCCATCACCTGCACGATCTGACCAAGTTCGAAGTCAAGTCGAAGTCGGGTCTTCGTATCATGGCGATAACCCGGTGGTAAGGTTGTGGTCGGAAGGGGTAGGTCTCTGGTCTTTTGAGGATAAATCTCGCACGCCGCTCTTCCGTCGTTTACCTCAGCCTAGAAGCCGACAGAGTATGTAATGTACGAAAGATTCATTTCATCTCCTCCCCTATCGGTTCATCATCTGTGGCGACATATTTACCAGGCACACAGACCCTGGTCGAGAGGCCGATTCAAGAGACACTCCTGACTTTCCCTCATTCCATTTTCTTTCCTTTCCTTTTTGCTCTTTCTTTTTGGGAAAACCCCCCTCGATCAACTCATACCTTGCCCAATTGAAACACAGGGGATAGTATAAGATACATCGAATCGAACGACAAAGACGCCTTCAGCTGACCTAAACTCCCCATTTTCCCAAGACAGGGAACGAACTCGTACTATAATACTTGTTCTCTATCTATTCAAGCCTAGTACTACTATCCCTGCCCGTCCACCAACTAGTACGACTGTGTGACCTACCTCCTCTCCTGGCGCTTCTAAGGAACCCAGGTCTTGTTCGCCATCGCTGGTTCCAGACTTGATCCGACTTTTGAATTCGACTTCAACCACCACCCCGAGCGGATCCCGACCCCCGTTGACGTCGTCGGTCACATACCAGATCACAAACTCGTCGAAATTCGCTCTACCTATTGACATCTCTTTGGGTTGTGGGGATTCTGACCGACCTTTTCATCTCGATTGTCTGGCTACTTGCTATACAACCATTTATATATTTGTTTATACGTCCTCTCTTCCTAGGAACTTGTTTGCGTCAACCTTTTTTTCCGTTGTCCAAAAATGTCATCATCGGACAGTCTAAGTACGACGTCGTCCCGTTCTTCACGTTCTTCTTCTTCACTACACATCGACATGTCTTTTGGTCACGACACCACTACCTCTATGGCTCAAAACCCTGGCTCGACGGCATGGCAGCAGCATCACCACCACCATCATCCTCACACCCCTCACATCCCTTCGCCACACGTCCCTCACATCGCGACCCCCCACCCATTGGCCGCCGCCACTCAGTACCTGGACAAGCACGTGGTGGGGGTGTTTGCAAAGCACCAGACAGAGTTCAATGTCAACCGGCAAGCGAGGGAGGCAAAACGCGAGGCCCGCCACAGCCTTGTCGACAGTCCGATTCCCGAGTACGAACACGATGACGACGTCGAGCGGCACGAATCCGATCGGCAACGACAACACAAGATCAGCACGGCCCTGAGGACGGCCGCCGTCACGTCGTTCGCCCCCGCCTTGGTGGATGGACAAGGTATCATCGACGACAGAAACGAAGGGGACGACAATGAAGCGTGGATGGCGGTTTTGGCGAAGAGGGAGGCTGCAAGGTTAAGGTCGGGAACTGGTCTGTCGACGGCCACGGGTGGTGGTGGTGGTGGTGGTGACGACTCGGGAAAAAATTCGTCGTCACCACCACCGCCCGGCGGACGAGCAGAGCGCTAGTGCGAATGGAAGTGCAAGTGCAAATGTAAACGGTGGCGAGCCTTGATTGCACGGGTGACGGGTCGAATAGGTGGTCAAGGTCGTGGGCGAGCAATCAGTTGGGTTTGATTTGAAAAAAGGACCGCATTCAAAGTCCAAAGCCCGTCGATATCGATATCGACATGGCGCATCATGAAACGATTGAACGATGAACGATTGAGTGTACGAATGTAGTTTGAAATATGAAACATGAAACATTAAACACACTCTCCAAATGCTCATTCCGCTGTCAACACTCGAAGAGCAAAGAACATGATCAGTTTCACTTTGAAGTACTCCAGTACTATCAACTCACGACGCGGTACGTCTACCCTACTGTTACTCCAATGCGCGCCCAACACCAAAACAAAAACAAAAATGGTGTATACACAAACGGTCCCATGGGTCAGTCATGTCTTCATATGAGAACGGATTTCAATCGTCAGATTACTCTCCCTGTCAAGTGTGCTCATTCATGCCTCGCTCTCGACGACCCGGTATCCCTCTGCCAGCTTCTTGGTAATCTCCTCGTTCTTATGTTGCAACAACGACAACGCATAAGCCGTATCGTCCCACTGTCTCTTGTTGACGCACCGACCAAGTCTGGCCGCGAGTTTCTCGGCGAGGTTCTTTGCATGTTTGTCCTGTAAGGGGCAAATTAGACATGATCAATCATCATAGGTTATAGCTAAACGCCAAAAGGGGCAAAGGGAAGTAGCGTCCTGTACGGTGACGGGCATGTGAAATGACAATGTGCCGGCCAAATCCGAGTAAATCCGAGTGCAAAACGAACATACCTTTTCGATAAAGCCACACAAGAACTTGAGAATTCTCTTGACGGCTTCTTCTTCCATTACTCCGCCCTCCAAAGGACCATCTTGAGTGAGAACACTAAACATGTCCACAAACTGATTATACACGGCGTTGTCCTTGGTCGCCAATTCGGTAAAGAACATGCGCGCAAGATCCGCGATCTTCTTGTCTCCGTCCTCGAGACATTTGGCCATTTCGCCCAGTTGACCCTTGACTTTGACTTGTCCAGCCAAAATCAAAAACGTCAGGGTCATCAAGCACGTCCGCTTGACGCTTTCGTCACCATCGTTGAGTCTTCGATACAGAAAGTCCGTGTTTTCGTCAATGAGGTGATTGAAGCAGACCGCCATGTCGCCGAGGGCGATCACGGCGTTCGACCGGACGATTGGATCTGTTGATCGTTCGAGAATCGTAATCAAAAGAGGCAAGTTCTTTTCGCAGTACTCACTGCTGACGCACATGAGCTTGGCCAGACATAAAGTCGCCTGGGCCTGGAGTTCACGGTCTTTGTAGGCTGCGTTGTTTGCACAAATCTCCGTCACCAATGGACCGAAATTGGCAAGCAACGAGTTCTGCCCATAAAGGAGCTCTCGTTCTCGAATGTGAGCAATGGCTTCGGTAAAATCGTCCTCAGTTGTGCCTCCAATCATATCGAGTTCGTCCTTCTCTTCTTCTTTCTGCTTCTCTTCCAAAACCTCTTCCGCGGCTGTCTTCTTTCGTCGAGCAGGTGTAGGACCGGCTGACTTGTCTCCTGACGTATTACTAGCCACGGCCTTGTTCTTTTCTTGCTCGTGTTTCCGCCGTTTGAAGTCAAGCTCGCACAATTCTAAATGAACAATTTGTTTGATGGCGATATGACCAACTGTAAAGAAAAGCTGAGAAAGGGCAAGGGATGGCTTCTCCTGCCCTTCTTTCGAGGCAGCGGCTTCCTCTGTTTCGGGCTTGTTGGCATCCTCGTCCGCTTCGTCAACATCCATTGGTTCAGCATCTTGAGCCAGTTCCGGGCTCGGCGTTCTCGAAAGCGAAGACAGGTCCTTCGTTTGTTGAAATACAAGTCGAGTTTTCTGCCTCAGTACTTCAGAACATAAGATATCAGGGTGGTCCGACAGAATATAAATGGCAGAAATTGCTTGTTCAGCCATTCCGTACCACTCCTTACTAGAAGACGTTGTCAGGAGAATTGAAGCGAGCATCCGTAGAACTTCATGGTTGTTGGGCATCCGAGACAAACCTGCTGCTGCTGTCTTTTCTTGAGCCTTCTTCGCAACAGGTATCATACGTCGCAATGCAACGCAGGTGAATTTAGCAAGGACAAAGTCTTGTCTGCCCAGTTGACCCAACCCTATTCGCAGCATGGTATCAATCTCCCTGATAACCACCTCGGGATTGGCCAAACCTATCATTCCAAGGACAATTATTGCACCTCGTCGCTGAGCTTTAGAGATTTCCTTGTTGACTCCATATACCTGCCACAACTTTGCCACCACTAGTTCAGAGATATGTCCAGCTTTGAACATCGTCGCTAGCAGCTGCTCCAGTGATGTCAATTCTGCTGGAGTAGCTCCAAACGTCAAGCTGATCATGTTTCGAGCGACAAAATTGGCGGCATCGTTGGCGGTAAACATATCTGGAGCGTCGAAGAACAAACCCTTGTAATTGTCGATCAGGTGAGTTTGTATACCCTTTCCTTCATCACTATTGCCTTTGGTCCAGATTAGTCGGAGCATGCGTCGAATGCCTTGACGGGCTGTCTCAATCTTGAACGCATCGATAGTGACAAAAAAGTCCATCACATCAATGACTTCGGTTTTGTTTGGGGAAGACAGCAGCTGTACTGCAAATTCTGAAGCTTCGTGGATCACATCAATAAACCTCAACGCCTCCAAGTAGTACTTGCGAGTCAGCTGAAGTTTTCCCAACACTTCCGAAGTCGCGGCTTCTTCTTGAGCCTTTCTTACTGCCTCAATCTTCTCCTCTTCAGTCATTTCGTCCGGGTCCTCAGCTTGAGCATCGGCATGTTGCGTAGCATCATCCAAAAGTTCATTATCAACCTTTTCCTCGCCGTTGGCCGTCTGGGCTACTCCAACTTCTTCGGGCGGAGGCTGTAGAGCTTCAAGCTGGGACTCTACGGCTTCTAGCCGGTCGACCCAATCCTTCCTGGAGAGCTGACCACCGTGCATCACACTGAAAGGATGCGAAGCGACAAGTTTCCTGAGCAATTTGATTGCATTCCGGCGCACGTTGCTGCTCTTGTCTTGTAAACTCTGCATAGCCAGCTCAGCAGCATGTTGCCGCCGTTTCGGGAATTTCTGCTCCAAGTCGCAGATCTTTGTGAAGACTTGGATTGCTTTGACTCTACAAAATGGAGCCGTGTCCAAAAAGCGCTGCTCGAGTGTGTCGAAGAATGCATTGATCTGGATTTTGGTCGTCTCACTCTTCTCTTCTTGCTTGCTCAAATCAGCAAGGAGATTTCCACAGACTTCGATGACTGAGCATCTCAAAGTGTAGGATTCGCTATCGAGGAATTTGGCGAGAAGACCCATCTCTTTAATGACTAGTCTCGGCTCCAACTCCGACAGCTTGATCATAAACGTAGATACTGATTTTGGGCCTTTTGTGTCATTTTGGCTGAATTCCTTTCCTGCTAACTCTCTCAGGATCTCTGCGGAGAGCTGATGATAATCGTACTGTTCTGCCAGAATGTGCAGAAACTCAGCCATCGGCTCCGACAGGTGCTCGAAATAGGTCAAATTCTGCACGATTGATGTTTGTGCACCGAGAGCATGGCCGTGGTGTTTGACGGCCACACAGAGCACCTTGAAGCAAAACATTCGAACTGGCGTTATCTTGACCCTGGCCTCGCTCTCCATGATCAAGTATACCGACCGTGTGAATAAATTAACGAACGTGTCTCGGTCAGAGGTGGTTTGAAAAATGCGGTTCAATTTCAGCTTCATGACCCGACACATGACATCCATTGCGCCTTGTACTTGGCCGGCCGAATCCCAAACATCATCTTTCGCAGCTGATTTGGATCTTGCTCCTTTTCCTCCTCTTCTTGCGGGGGCCAAGTTCGATTTCTCAAGAGCTTTTGCTTCGACACCTGAGATTGCCCACTGGAGAAGGAAGGCATACATCTCCAGGAGACGTTTATGTTGTGTAATGGTATCTTGTTCATCATTTTCAATATCGTGGTTGGCAACGTCCGCTGTAGTTGCGAGGCCGGAAACGATCAGATGGAGGATCTTGCTTAGAGAGTGGGTAGAAAGGACAGAGGATTGCCTGGATTGAAATGTTTTAGCACAAAAAGATCTGGGAATATTTCAGGTGATAGTAAGGAGGAGAGAGAGCGCACTTTAGCAGAAAGAGCAGAGTATCAAAGATAACACTTCTTCCCAGGGCCTCAGGGTTCTCAGCAATTGCGTCTATTACCGGATCCAGCGCATTGTTGACGAGGTCTGAATTGAGACTATCTGGATCATTCTCACAGTCGAGCAGCTCGGAGCTCGCTTCTGGAGTTGGAATTGCCGTGGAATCACTCAGATATAATTTGAGTAACTCATTAATATCGAATTCGACCTGGTCGTCCATGTTGCTGATTGTGCCTGTGCACGGCGTGGAAAGGAAAGGCAACTGGATTCACCAACCTTTGTTTACAGTGGCCAGTACAAAAAAAAGGCAAGGCTTCACCGCGCGGTGATTTTCACCACAGAAGAATTGGATCTCTCAGAATCAAAGTATCAATCAGTGCAAACAAGTTCACCGACATCGTCAAAAACATAACGATCACTCAATCATCCAGAATTGCTTTGCAGGGCTTGAAGTGTATGCGCACGCGTATTGATTGGTGGGATTTGTTGACAGCCGCTTAATCGGGCCATTCACCCCACAACAACACAATGAAATTGGCGAAGGCCAGAAGAGCCGTCCTGTGGTCTCTGCGACCAAGGAGGTTGACTGCTAGAAAATCAACAGTTCCAAAACACTCAAAGAACAAACAATCACAATATAATGTTGTGCTAACTCCCACTGACGCGTTAGAAGTCGAAGACGCCGAAAAGGAAGGAGCTGATCCTGCGCGTCCTGAACGTCAACCACCATTGGAGGTTGAGACGCAGCGGGCCGCTGCAGGAGAGTTTGCAACTGCAAGGTCTGACATTCTGGGCAAGAGAGGGCGACTCGACATGGTACACCCGGACATTGCCATCCACGAGGATGCCGAGGATAGCTTCCATGACGCTCGTAAGTCGCAGAAACCACTGCGCAGTCACGACATGGACCAGCCGCAGTATGACGAGGAAGATGACTCCATACCTGGGTCCTGCTCCGAGGATTCGGAAGAGAGTGAGGACAAAGTCGACGAGAGTGTCATGGAAGACATGCGGAAACTAGAGGAGAGTTTCAAAGGCATCTCTGAAAAATACCGGTTGATCAACCGCATCGGAGAAGGTAAGCTCGCCGTTCCAGCTCGACCATGTCGATACTCATGATCGATAGGCACATTCTCGACGGTGTATAAAGCGGAACAACTCCCTCAGGCGGATGATTTCGACCAAGAGAATGACGTGCCCTCGGGGGTGCTTGATGAAGATATGCCAGCATGCAAGAGACGGAAGACCAATTCTACAGACCAACACATGCGATCTCGACGAAGGCCCCAGATTGTGGCTCTGAAGAAGATCTACGTCACGTCGTCCCCCCACCGAATCCTCAATGAACTGGAGCTGTTGCACGAATTACGAGACTCGCCGTATATTTGTCCGCTGCTGACGGCATTCAGACACCTCGACCAAGTCGTTGCTGTGCTGCCATATTTCAAACATCTGGATTTTCGGCTATACTACCGCGATTTCCTGGTCAATGACATGCGTCACTACTTTCGCAGCCTGTTCAATGGGCTGTGGCACGTTCATAAAGCTGGAATCCTGCATAGAGACATAAAGCCGACCAATTTCCTCTACGATCACTCGAAACGACAAGGAGTGCTTGTTGACTTTGGTCTTGCTGAGCGCCAGGGTACAGACTGGCAACAGTGTCTCTGCACAGAATTCAAGGAGCGACGCAAAGACAAATTTCTCAACTCAGTCGCCATTCAGATGGTACAGAACCAAGCTGACCTGATGTCTAATGGCCATCCCAAGAATGATAGTCGACCTTCACGACGAGCAAACAGGGCAGGCACAAGAGGTTTCCGAGCACCGGAAGTCCTGCTCAAATGCACATCGCAGACCACCAAGATCGACATCTGGTCTGCAGGTGTCATCTTATTGACGCTGTTAGCACGAAGATTCCCATTTTTCAACAGTGCTGACGACGTCGACGCCATGATCGAGATCGCCTCTATCTTTGGTCGGAAGAAGATGAAGGGTGTTGCTGCTATGCACGGCCAAGTCTTTGAAACCAACATTGAAACCATTGGCGAGCGTGGTTTTACACTCGAGAAAATTATCCTTTGGGCAAGCTGTCGAGAGAAGGAACATGACCAGCTCCGCGCTGGTGAGGCGCAAGCCGTTTCATTCTTGGAGGGTCTCCTTGAACTTGATCCTGCTAAAAGATTGAGCGCGAAAGAAGCACTGCAGCACGAGTTCTTCACAGCACCTGTCGAGGACGAGGAAGAGCGCGCAGAGCGAGAGGCACAAGATGAGCTCGAAGAAGAGCAGAGATTAAGGCGTCGCTGATAATATTGTCACAGCATTTTTGAGGTGTTTGAGGAATTCAATGACAGCCTGGTAGAAGTGTATTATTAGCAAGCTAGATACCCCCTGGGACATTGGACGGCAGGGCATTGCATGGTGAGGCTTGTGTTTGACGAACAGTGTGCTTGATGGGGGAGGGTTTTTGACGAGATGAAGAAATGTCCTCGACGCGAATAGAGCGCCATTTTATACAAATGAAGAAGAAACAATTCATGCATTTTGCTTTCTAAGGTCGATATAGAGGGTCAGGAGTTTGTTGTCACGGCGCTGTTACGAATACGAAGATATTAACGGAATAAACACCAAGCCGTTTGTTGATGTCATGACCAACGACAAACAAAATGCGAGCGCAAAACTCCAATAGTGGATCTTAAATAGACGGGCTGATAACAGTGACACCGGCGACTGTCGACAATTCTAAACTACAGACAAATCTCTTTTCGAGTTTCGCGTAAATCCCAATTTCGAGATTCAAAAGTGGCAGTTCGCGTGCTGAGAGAGCGTCGAAGCTTGTCCTGCCACCACTCTCTCAGATATCGAAGAAGTTCACCTAGGGTTGTCACTATACCATCCAGTATCAAGTACCACATCGAGTCGTCTACAATTCATTTTCTTAAAGTATAGAGAGCATACACACACACTGCGACCCAAGATCTACCTACCGATATCGGCCTCTCCTTTGATGCAATTATACCCTAGACGTCTTCTCCTACGGCCGGCAAAGACATTTTGGACATTCAGAGCCATGTCCACGGCGCCACTTGGTCCAAAGGCAAAACGCCCACCTAAGCGTTTCGCACCGCTCGATCCGACGCTACAGCACGACAGGGACCTCCCAAAGCTGAAGGGTATCATATTCGATGTGGACGGCACGTTATGGTAAGTTTCTCTCTGCCAACCCAGATACCTACCTAGGTAGTATTCATCTGGCACAGCCTTTCCTATGCACAGGGGCGTCTAGATGACCGTTGAGTGATACACGAAATAGTCTCCCTCAGAACTACATGTTTCGTGAGATGCGCTCTGCCTTGGGTATCCCGAAATCCATCGACATAATTGACCATATACGGTCGTTGTCCAACGAGCCAGACGGGGAGCATCCCGCAACTGAACCGCCACATTCACCGCTCGACCCGACGCAACCGCCGTCTGAAGAAATGCTCTCTCCGACCAGCGACACCGACCCGGATCCGGCCCCATCGTCGCCCCAGTCGCGTGCCGTGGCTACGATCAAAGCCATCGAGCGTAATGCGATGACCTCCCAGCGCCCTCAACCTGGACTGCAGGAGTTGATGGCCTACCTCACGCGTCGGGGAGTGCCGAAGGCTCTGTGCACGAGGAACTTCCCGGCGCCGGTGCACCATCTGCTCAGCACGTTTGTGCCGGACGAGAAGTTCCACCCCATCATCACGCGCGAGACCGAGGGCGTCCAGCCGAAACCGAGTCCGGAGGGGCTGTGGACGATTGCGTCGCAGTGGGGGCTTGACAAGGATGTCGACGACAGGGTGTTGGATGGTATCACAGTTCATACTGGTCCAGAGGGCGAGATAGAGGTCGATCCATTGGAGGTCACGAAGAGTGTTCTCGGGTCGGGATTGATCATGGTGGGAGACAGTATCGACGACATGGCGAGCGGGTATAGAGCTGGTGCGGCGACGGTGCTGTTGGTCAATGACGAGAATCAGCACTTGGAAAGCCACGAGTATACCGGGTTGTGCGTGAAAAGGTTGGATGAGTTGATTGATATTCTGGAACGGGGGTTTAAGGAGATGAGTGCATCGTGAATACCACCCTATCCTACCTGACCTAAAGATCTATCACTCTGGAAATGACTCGCAGCATAATCAGCCTACTGTGACCCAAACAAGATGCAGGTGATTCAGGGAGAGAGAATCATCTGCACTCTCACGCAGGGTACATCCCGCCGGAACATACAGCATGGGGTAGGCGGAGTAAATGATCCAAAGACAGACGCAGGAGACTGCTGCATTCCCTACTCATACACGTGATGATTTGTGGCAGCAACCAAGCAGCTAGCATCCCCCTGCATGAGTATCACTGTATCATGACATGTCTGGTTGCACAGAATAGAGACACGGCAATAATGATTGATACGGTACAAAACGATTCGTGGCCTCAAGGATGATGCGCTGGCAAAACGAGATCGAATGGACGAATGAGGATGGGAGAGCAGTCGCTGAAACTGTTCATCACATTTTTTTGCCTGCGCACCACCGCCCCGTCGCCTGTGCAACCATGCAGGAATTTCTTTCTTTTCTTTTCTCGTCAGGGCTGGGCGTCATTCGCGGCCACCACAGGCCCAAGAAAGGCGGCTTGTGGGGAGTGCGGATGGCGGCAAAGGCCCGTAGCTGGGAAGCCATTCGTCCCGCCAACCGTGAAGCCGGATCTCTCGGTGGATGGTTTTGGCAATTGTGATTGTAGGATAATTTTGGACCTCGTCGGGCACAGGATCGAGGCGGTCAACAACGATGCATCAGCTGGTCGAGAGGTAGGACTCGTATCTATTGTTGAGATGTCTGTTTGAGATTTGGTCTGTAGGGGGGAAGTGTGTCGGTATTCCAGCAGCGCCATTTAGAAGAAAACCTGATGATGATAACCTGGTACCGGTCAAAGTCATAAGGACAATACTTCCGGGCAGCAAAGATCTGTGCGTGGTAGTACCCGAAAATCAGACGCCCGAGCTTTGTCTGGAGAATAAAAAAGCTGGAGAGAGCTTGGGCCGGCCTGGCGAACCGACACTCGACGACGGCTGTCTCATGATAACCATAATTCAAGCTCGCGTCAGAGCTTGCATGAAGAGGCTTCTGAAACCAGTGAATGAGATCATGTCGTTTGTTGATGAAGTTTGAAAATGGACATGGATGGAGGCGCCAGACAGAGAGGAGAAAGGGCCTGCTGAGCCTTTACCAGCGGGTTCCTGGTCGGCGTGGCGAGCTGCCGACAAGGTGACTGGCCTTTGAATATCGCCTAAGCTTAGCGGGCACTTTGGTGTCACTGCGCCATTTGGGGCCTCTAAAGATTCCCGGGCATTTTTAGATGGCCTACAGAGCCTAGAGGGCCTAAACAGCCAACAGTAGTGCCTCTGTACGGAGAACTTGCCTCTCCATCTCACCTCCGCCCAGTAGCCCAATAGCCCAATCGCCTCACTTACCACTCCGTCCCCTGCTGCTGCTGTTGCGCTACTCTCACAATCCCAGCTGTCCGCAACTCATCCACCTCCATCTCCATCGAATTCGCTTCAGCAGCTTTTCTCTTTCCCTTCCGAGCCAGTCTTGTCTTGCGTGTTTGCTTGTCAGTTGAGCCTTTTGATTTCTGGCCAGAGATACCCGTGAGCGTTCGTCAACTGCGATCCTAGACAAACGGTGACAATTGTCTCAAACAAAGACCTCGTCCACAAATTTCCCAGCCTCACAATTCTTCCACGAACTGTTCTCTGATCACCTGTTCGTCGCTTCCTGAGTGGAATCCTCCCTTACGATCGCAAAAACAGCTCGTCCGAACACCGATCTCACTCATGTCACTCCAACGACGTTAATAAATAATCTCTGGTGGACATCAATTATCGCCGCTACCTGCAGCCTTTTGTTTACATTCGACGGAAAGCCTCGCACTAAGCAAGCCCCTCTTTCACCGACAAGTCATGCAAAGCCGCTGCCTCGCAGGAGAATAAATAATCGACCTGTTCAAATAAAGAGTGCATGCGCAACAGGATCTGTGCATGTCCTCCATGAATTCCCACCGCCTGAGGTAGCTTCAGAATGGGCTTTACCAGTCGACGCCCAATTCTGCCTGCGCCCACCGACTCGGAACTAGGCCCGACTGACGACACTGGACTTGGAACAGACCTGGGTACGGATCTCTCACGGAGGAGTGACAAGACATCCGATACTATTCCGGACGACGGTACACCGATCACTATCACGACCGCCCCAAAGCACAAAGCCAAGGGCAAACTTACAAAAACCCGACAACAATCCCAGACTTCTCTACTTATTGAGTACTTTGAGGGAAACAAGACACCCGAGTCTGGTCAACGAAGGCCAAGCTTACGGGTCCGATACACCCCATCTCATTCCAGGAAGAACAAGGAGAAGGGAGAAGGACACATCTTGGTGACTGAATCTAAATCGGCTCGACGACCCTCCCAAAGTCATCGTATTGTGCTGGGAGGTAACGAGTCTCTTGCCGAGAACCCAATCACAAGCGACATAAGTTCGCTGGATCCTGCTGACGACCTTGTATCTGCTGCACCGGTCGAAGTCGAGGTATTGCGCGGCACTCCCAGCGAACTTTCAGAGAGAAGCCCTTCCCCGGAAGCCAGGTACATTGAACCAGGATCAGATATCTCTTCTATGCCGGCCGAGAGCTCTATCGGACCACATCAAACTATCAGCATGGTGCCTTCGACTCAGAGCGGCAGTGTCGCCAGAGGTACTTCCTACGACGGGCTGAAGCCACCCGTGATACCGGCGGAACGGAACTTGAGTAACGAGCGAATCACTCAAAAGGTCATTGAGAAGCTCAGTAACAAGCCTAGAGTATCCGCGAAACGACAACACAGCAGTCACAGCGCCAGCCGCAGCAACGGCAGCAGAGAGGCTGAAATACCGAATCGCGAAGCAAGAATTCGTGTCACGAAGCCTGTTGAAGATGAATCCGCTCCGAGTGCCACAGGATCTAGTCTTGTCAGTGGCTCCCAGTTATCCGCAGACCTTCGGCCAGCCGACCAACGTTCAGCACGATCTGGCGCTTCAAATGCCTCCATCACAAATAATCCAAGACTCCTACAAGCAGTCGAAGACGCCGTCAAACGGATGATACTACCGGAGCTCGATGCGATAAGAAGAGATCAAAAACACTCACATCGATCGCGTCACGATAAATTAAGCAGTCCCTCGGATATTTCTTCTAGCACCATCTCTCGGGACGACAGATCACGACGTAAGTCGTCAGGGAGCAAATCAAAGCGACGTGAAAGTCGAGACTCGGAGTCCGGTTTGGCTGCAGGCTCTTCCCGCCGCCGTAGGAGTCACAAGAATGTTGATTACGACTCCCCATCCGAGCAAAGCTACGATCCAACCGAGTCGCTTGATAGCAACAGCATACGCGAGGAGAAGAAGTCCCGAAAATATCGAAGCCATCACTTACGGGATGTAGCGGCAGGAGCCCTTGGGGGAGCAGCACTGACCGCAGCAGCTCTTAAGTCTCATGATTCTGGCTCGAGCCTCGAGTATTCAGTGCACCGAAGACGGCGTCGAAGCAAGAGTCGCAGCAGTCGGAGTGCCAGCATTGCAGAGAAGGAAGATGCCTTTCAAAAACACCATGTTCCTCCTATGCCCTTTGTCAGTGATCTCGGGACCGACCTGACTCGAAGTTCTTTGAAGTCCTCGAATGATGGCAGGACCGAAACTCCAACCAGAGGTGAGGTTAGGGGAGTGATACGTGGCTCGCCTCTCGATGTGCCTTCGCCAGGATCATTCACACCCACACGAAACTCTTTGGATCTAAAGAGAGGACTTGGTACTCATCATGGCAATCTCTCAGAGCATAACCTCTCCGGCCCTGATATCTCATCCAGGAAAGAGACCTTCGACGAGGATGGCGTTGATCGTTCGGACGAAGTGGATGATATTGACTTTGCAACTCATGGGTTTGCTGCCCTGACTGATCCTGAACGAGCAAGAGCATACGAGAGAAATTTGCATCAACAGCATCCGATCAGAAGGGGTCTAAGCCCTATACAAAGTGTCGCTAGCTACCAAACTACCGAACCCAATCGTACATCCATCATGCACGCAAGAAGTTCTGAGTCTATCAACTCGCCGAAGAAGACTCCTCAGATGGACGACCAAATATCCATATCCTCAATATCATCGGCGCCAAGTACTGATTTGGCTCGCTCTCGACGACCTCAAGGCATAAGTCTTGAAAATCGCAGTGAGATCATGGGACAACATCCAAGCTCATACAATTCCACGCCAAGGCAAGCAGATGTTGATGTTTTTGAAGAACAACATCGCGAAAACGAGAGTTACCGCGATGAGCCGTATATCGACAAGGTTACCGCTGGACGACAAGTCGGCCAAGTGTCAGGCGCGACTGCAGAGTACATCGAGTCTCCAGTGGGTGTAGAATCTGCAGTGGCATCATTGATTGAGCCATCAGTCGTTGATTCTGCGAATCATTACTCACCGCGTGGGAGTCAAGCAGACTCCTATAGCGCCCGAGAAGAGCAAAGTCCATACCACTCTCAGCGAGGAAGCCCCTTGAAGCATGAAGTATCACACCACAGCTTTGACGAACGTGGTTATCCTGCTGGTGAAGACATAATGGATTCCCCTCCTCAAAGCCCTGCCCGCTCGATGGAGCATTTCGATGCTGTCCCGGCTCAACCAGCAGTCCAATCGTCAGGAAACCAACCTTCGAATCAATCTGAGCGATCGCCAGACTCAGACATCACAACCAACCCCTCGATCATTCGAGGTCCGATTGGCGGGATGGCTCAAGGCAGTACTGACCACTGGCCTTACGACCCGACACCACCACGCTCACATCCAGAGTTGGTACTCCCGCCCGTAAGCAGAGATATAGGTTCTGCTGGCACCGACCTGATTCCGCAAGCCCTGTCCATTAACCGTGGCTCCGACTTGGATCAGAAAGGCGACCTGTACATGAAAGCGCTGCCACTAGCCACGCCACCTGGAGGCAAGGATGAAGGCTACGAAACTGGCGCCAATGCTCCCTCTCCCGGTCTGTACTCTAACAAGGACAACTTCGCCATCAATGCTCCTCTCGAGGACGATCCTTTTGCCACTGGTCGGGACAAATATGTCAGTGGGTTGTCCCACGGCCTTTCACCAATGTATGATAGTGCTTCAGGACGTGGCCGCGACAACATCCAGTCAAAAGATATTGTGGCACTCATGGACCATCTGACAGTGCGCGACGCCCAGCGCAATGCACGAGACACGGAAATCCTGGTTACACTCGTCCGTAGTGCAGCCGAAATGAGAAACTCCTTTGAGGATATGAAAAAATTCATAACCGAGCAGGACGGAATGATCATAGACTCGGCTGATAGACAACATCAGCAGACACAAAAGATTGTCAGTGGACCTCGGCCGCAACCGATGACTCCTCGCGCTGCCACATCTGCAGCTTCAGAGGAGGAGCTCCCTTCGAAACGGCGGAACGTCTTTCAACGAGCGCTCCGTGGCCTCGGTGCTAAGAATACGCAAGAGCTACAAAATATCGAAAACATGCTTATGCGTCTGCTGGACGAAGTAGAAGGACTTCGAGCCATACAGTCTACTTCGGTCCCGCAAAACCAGCCCAGGTCTACGAGTTTAGCCTCAGCAGACAATGCTCAGCCTCCTACTGATACTGGTTATGAACCTGAGGGACAGGCTGGTACATCATCTACGGGTGATCGTTCAGGCTTCTTTTCCAACAACTCCTCTCGTCAGGCAGACTACCGCAATTATACCATGCAACGAGATGTTTCGAATCGAATCAGTACAGTGATGGAAGGGGATGAGGAATATGAGGATTATGGCGATGGCCTTGGTGCAGCTACCGCTGGAAATGTTCAAGCCATGTCGCGATCGACCCCAACCAGAGCTGATCCTGGTCGACAAACCAGAGGCGGATCGGTACCTCTGAATACTCCACCTCGAACGCATGTTCCACATATGGGCTCGTTGAGCAACGACAATACTCCTCAGTATTCCGCGAACGACGGCTCGGGGCGAAAGCACAAGACTTTTTCATCTTCTTTTATCCCCAAGATGGTCTCTAGGTGGTCCAAGACTACTGCCTCGACGGAGAACTATCGAACAAGCAACCAGCGAATCCGCCCGTACTCCGAGGTTTCTCGTTCGGGCTCAAACCTAGGGGAATACGAATACGAAAATGATCCTCAAGGTGACGATCGACTTCGTTCGCAAGGCTCATTCCAACAAGAACACTATGAGGATGAAGAGAATCGTCCACGTTCTCCCTTGTTGCCCAGCCAGATTTCAGACAACCCTAAATACCAGGCACATCGAAATAGTATGAACTTGCAACACCCTCAACCTCGACAAGGTCCAACTGGTCGATATCAGTCTCGATTAGAATCAGAAGCCCAGCTCTACAATGACGAACTGTCGCCAACCTCGCAGACCTCCTCGCATTGGGATCATCAACATGGATTCCGAAATCCAGAAGGCACTGCAGCCATGTATGGAGGACATGTCAGCCCAGTCTCTGATCTGACATACTCCCAGGATCTCGGCATTCCCCACGACAATAAAAGCGTTGCGTCTTCTCAAGGACCACCGCGGCCTCCGAAGATTCCAAATGATGAGCCTTTGGTGCCTCAGCGACCCCCTAAGGTGATGATGAGTCCTTCTCCTTCGAATCGACAACCGACATACGTCGACCATGTGGCTGCTGCCCGCGCAGGTAGTCCAGCATTCGATAAGGTATGTCTTAATGTAGTAAGCTGAGAATGGTTCTTTGCTGACGCTTATGCCAGTCTCCTGTGGCAGCTTTGCGATCTCCGCAAAGTCAAGGACGCAAACCGTCTGGACCTAGGCCACTTACAACAGCAAGTGGTTCAAAGGGTGATATGAACACCATCAAGAGAACTCGATTTAGAGGAAGTCCGCATCAGATCGACAGCGAGGATGAAGCGACAGCAGCCTATTAAGCGGGGTTGTGTGGTCTGGCTTTGGTTGTAATTTCAAGATGCATACGACGGTTGTACAAGTTTGATTCATGACATAAGAATTTTCTATTTACTCCTGGCGAGTGAACAAAGCTGCAAAGCTGCTGGTGGTGATGTGATTATGATGATGAAAATGATGTACAGAGCGGTCCCTTTCTTTGACTTGGTATTGTCGATTTTTTTTTCAAAAGCGAGTAATTAAGAATTGGATGTGGCAGAGAGTTGGATGGATGATGGTTCTCTCAAAACCAAAATATTACCAGTCAAGTGACTCGGATTATGACGACTGTGAATAATGGGTGTGGTGTTGAAGGTCAAATGCATCTTTCTTCGTTCTTTCTTGGTGGCGTACAGTGTGGTACGTATGAGAATGTCCAGAAAAGGTAGAAACCGAGTAGAATATCAAAATGATCAAACTACGGAGGTCTTTTATGAGGCCGTGGTTTCTTTTTGCTTGTACGGATTGAAAAGAGATGTAGACACACCACAGTACTTTAGACGAGGTGATTGTAGATTGTGTAAAGACTCGGGTGCTACGCATACCAGAACTCCTGTACTGTCACAGTTGCTAGTCCAGCTGAAGGAGGACTGCAATTGCCAGGTAATCACATTCCGTCACTCCGTGGTAGTGGTGACGACTGTTTTGATAGAGACAGACTTTACGCGGCGGAAAGTACAAATGTATTTATCTTGTATCACTTTGTGTTTGTGGCGGATTCGAGTCCCGATCTGAAAAGCATGGCCACCCAATCCGGTACCGCCCTGACCAGGGTCGCCTGCCAGACCTTGTCGGGGACGAAGACGCTCCCACTCCTTCCCGACAGGACCTGGGCCACCACTTTCGAGGCGACGTCCCTCGGGGTCAAGACGAACTGTTTGGACCGCGAGAGTTCCGGTTCCCAGGAACCGATCAGAGGGGTCCGGGCCCAGGTCGGGTGGACGATCGAGGCCTGGATGCAATGGCCATCGGGGCCGTAACGGTGGTGGGCCAGTTCTTGAACCAGACTCTCGTGCATGCCCAACACCGCGGCCTTGGTGGCCGAGTAGTCGGCCAAATTGGCCACCCCAATGTAACTCGCGCCGCTGGCCAAGGTGACGACGTGACCTTTGCGTCGGCGGAGCATGACGGGCAACAGGAGTCGGAGTAGGGTGAAATGGGACAAGACGTTGATCTGGAAGATGCGCGACAGGTAGGCGTCGGAAGTCCCGAGGATCGTGTGTGCTTGAGCTATGCCGGCATTGTTGATGAGGACGGTCGGCGGGGTCATGTCGTGATCGTCGAGGAGTGAACTGATTGTGGTTGTGATTGAAGAAGGAGATGACAGGTCGATCTTGTGACATGTGACTCGGGGGACTTTTGAGGTGAACAGAAATCAACACTTGCTTTGTTTGACGAATCTCGACGCTCGGGGATGAGAAAGTAGGAGCAGGCAGAGGGAGGTAAGTTGGAGAGGTAGGAAAAAAGGTGTTGTAGACTCACGCATTTTGAGGTCATCAGGTAATTCTTGAATGTCCAAGACGACGATGTTGGCTTTTGTTTGGTCTGCAAACATTTGGACCATTTCCTTTCCGAACCCGGAACAACCACCGGTGACGACTATGGTTTCGGCACCCTCGACGTCAAAGGACCAAGGGACTCCTTGTTTCCTGACATGCCAGTAATTCAACGCCAGGCGGTTCAGGAACCTGTTGAGGTGGATGACCACGCCGATACCGAACAGAACCTTGAGGACTTTGAGAGGGGGGTCCGCGCGAAGGGTGACGCTGTCGCGGGTGGTGAAGGGGATACGGAAGGGCAAGGGGAGTTTCTTTTCCGCCGGGAACCATGGGACCTTGGACAAGACGGACGGGTAGAGAGTGGCGTACAAGAGTAAAGGACCCGTGATGTATGGTGAGAGGAGGGATTGTTTGATGGTGCTGGTGGTGGCGAGACTCAAAGACGAGCTCGGCGAGGACGACTTTTGAGATGACATTGTTTTGCTGGTAGACAAGAAAGAAACCGTGAGAGAGAGAGAGAGAGAGAGAGAGAGAGAGGGTGAGATGTCAGATTGATAATGTTGTTGTTCAACAACAGGTGTCGGCGTTGTTGGATCGGATCAAGATACTGTAGATTTGGTGTTCGTTATCGCGAGCGGCGAAAGCGAAAGCGAAAGACACGTCAATAGAGTTGAATCATCAATCGCCAGAAGTGATGAGTCTCATTTGTTTGTTAGACAATCAGAATAGTCGAATGGAAAGAGACTAGGAGATGGTAAGAACGAGAGGTCTTGACACCCGATAGAAGGTCGCCGTCATCTTACGGCTGACTTTCTGTCGCGAATACGAGGAAACAAGAAGGTTCTCGTAATGCCGAGGAAGAAGTTGTGAGGAGTTGTTGGTACAGAACCAGGTTCAGTCAATACCCACAGTATGGAGAAGTCTTTACCTATTGTAATGGTATCAAAAGGTCCCCTAAGGCCTGTACTCCGTATCTGCTCCTTGCTACTAAATGACTAAGAATCCGGGGTCGGAGAATATCTTGACGTACAGTACTTTTGTGGTCATCATCAAAACTACATCTTCTCTCTCCCTCTCAATACCCATGTGTCTCTACCTTTGACCCTTTCTCAATCACAGCAAATACGCGTAATCAGCAACTCTACTCACTGTCTCTCATTTGTCTGCATGGAAATTGAACACTAGTCAGACTTATATTTCCCCCCCAATGTCTCGAAATCCAGTACACCCTGTCGTAAGTAGCACTGCTTCACACCGAATTAGAAGTACACCGTTCTTTTCATGGCCGAGGATTTCAATCCCAGTAGATACCGGATCAGACTCGGCGTTGGACAGGAGGACGAAGACGAAGAAGATGAAATCTGGTAGAGAAAGAGGACTCAGGTCTAACAATCAGAGGAGGAAGATGTTTCAGTAAACCCGGCGATCAAGAGCAAAAAAAAAGAATCCATCACACGACTGGGATTTTCTTACCTAGGTTCCAAACGTTGGGAGCCTGGGATCAAGGTTTTTGTTTTTGTTTTGTTTTCTTTGTAGACAGGAGAAATGTCTGGCCCAGTTTGGTGTAACCCATGTGCATACGCCTATACTCACCGTGGACACGAATCGTGGGCGTCTTTCTTCCTGCACCGAGTTCACAGTTTCGGCTACAATCTTTCATAGCAGTCGCCCGTAATCTGATGCCTGTGTCTGCTTGGCTTCCTCCTGTTTCTCTCGCATCGACCGAGTGTGTGTCGCGTACGCGCATTTATCGAGGCATCAAAAGCGTCACGCAGGTCCGAGGAGACAGGAAGACAAAAGCAATTCCGGTCGAGTCTGAACATTAACAAGAATCAAAACAGAATCATCATCATTCAAACAAAAGTGGTATCTAAAAATCATCGGTTCAGAGACAACGCCGCATCCTGGTGCCAGGATCAGGAGAAAAGGAATTCGGAATTCGACGAACTCAAAAAATGAACGGTCAGCTCCAGGTCGTAAAGATGGTTCCCTCCAATCTTCCATTTCATCCGTTCGACCCCAACCCACAATTGGATCCCATATAGCCACCATCCAATCATCATGAAATCCGCCTGCGTAAATTCATGTATATCTGGGCCCTTGTGTGTCTTGTTATTGCACTCATTCCTCATCTAAAAGGCCGATCGTATGTCCCATCGTCATTGCCGACCGCACTGGCTGGCGCACTTCGAAAATGGCTCAAGTCTCCGCTACCAGTCTTTCGCAATGCTTGCCTCATAGTTTCGACGTTGATTTCACTTCCCATGGCCAATGGCGAACTCTGTCCTGGCAATGGACTGCCAGTGCCACGCGGAGCACGGTTCGGGGACGTCTCGAATCCCTTGACCGAGGCCGTAACACTGGTTGGTGGGGAGGTCCCAAACGCCGCGGAAGAGGTGGGAGATCTGACAGGAGAAGGGGATCTGGGAGGTATAAGAGATGGGTGGCCAGACAAGTGAGCCGAATCACGTCGCACATCGCCCGCCTCCTGCTCTCCGTGAACCACATCGGCAAACGAGATGAAGCTCAATCGGCGCACATCGGTCGAGTCCAATGAACCATAGGTCGACGTGTTGTCCGTGTCTTGGCGATGGGTTGAAGGGGCAGGGAATTCATCCTGCATGGACGAGGCCAAGGATTGCTCGTTGCCTAAACCTGTGATTGTCACGGCCGCTGGCTGATGTGTCGCGGACGTCACAATCTCCACCGTGTCTGGATCAAGTTTCTCGTTTGTAATGGCTTCAGCGGACGCATCCAATGCAGGCGCAATATGGTTTTCCATGATAACATGGGAAGGCAAATGAGGAGATGTTTCTGGGTGGACCACCTCATCCTGTACATTCCTTTCGAAAATCATAGATGAGGCAGGGGACTGAGGCCTGGGAGAGGCGCTTTGCCTGCCTAGCCCGGGCGAGACTGGATGCGGAGAGGTCATGGATGTCCTATGCGGTGAAACAGAACCGGCGAGGATATCTGGAGATCGGCCAGGCGAGACTGGAATTAACCCAGCTGGTGGGCTAATAGGCATAGGGGCGGATGTTGCAGGTCCCTTACCCTTGGATTTATCTTCGTCATTCTTTTTACCCAACTTCCAAAAGTCTCTCTTTCGTGGCTTTGTAGATGTATCTCCAGCTGCTGACCCGAGGACTTGTCTCTCGTTGCGCTCGACAGAGGGGTCTTTCAATAACGGGGAGGCTGATTCTTTGGACTCAGTGCTAGGAGCAGCACTTTTGTCATTGATGGAGGATTCTTTGGCTGACATTTCGCTGACAGTGGTACCGTTTTATCGAGGGATATGAGGTTGTTGTGCAAGATGTAATTTGGGAAAGTTGGTCAGTCGCTTCGAGGGTCGCAGCGGGGCTTTCGGAGAGAGACGCTGCTCAAAGACAATATTGAATGCATAACATGTCGGAGGAATCAAATATTGAAACGTCGGTTTTTAGGTATGAATGTAATGTGTAGAATGTATTAATTGATTTGCATGCACCAGGCAGGTCGCGAGGGTTGTGCGGAAGGGAACAGTGGGAGGCCTTTGTTGGTTGGTAGAGGTGTACGTAGGGTGCGGAAGGGGTCATAAGATCGTCAATCGGGGTCGCAATATTGTTCTGGGGTCGATGCTTGAGTCTGAAACTTGATAGTATCTTGGATATGAAGTTGAGGAATTGCTGATCAATTTCAATGGCTGTGCTGGAAGAAGCGCGAAAGAGAGAATGATGTCGCAGGAGGTGAGGCCAGGGACAAGCAGATCACAAGTTGAAGAATACGAGGGATTGACCATTTGGGCCGCAGTCACAAGTCACCTGAGACTCACTACGGACTATAATGGAGCAAATCAATACGACGAGGGAATGAAACGCGAATCAATGCGCCCTCGACGGAATGAGATTGGCCAAACAACGATTACGGAGTCAACACAATCTTGTTCATCCTTCAACTGTACAATTCGTATAACTTTTACGACCATCGCTGCATCATCTACCTACGAGTGCCTCTACGATGCTCCGTACTGTCTAGTCCGTTTCTCACATCACCATCTTACCCTTGATACTCTCCCACCGAGCAAATGGAGCTGCAACTGCCACCACACAGAAACATGCTATTACCAGCGTAAATGGTACCTTGACGCCATCCATGTACGCTTGCAACACACCTGCTAGTTGCTCTCCTTGGTATACCTTTGCAATCTGAGAAGCTCCCAGGCCCAGGACGCGGGCCGGATCGACGTTCGGGGCTCGTACAGGTAACATTTCCAGCAATTTATTGCTAAATCCCGCTTCTCCCGCTGACACCCATATAGCAGATCCAATAGTCTGACTCCACATGATGATGGCTGTGACCGTCGAAATATCCGCCGATTCCACGATGCTTTGTGCCACCATCACGGGCACCTGGAGGACAAGTCCACAACCTGTCCCGACAAGCAGTTGAAAGCCAACCCATTTTCCCGTACTGGAATTGACATCCAACGTGTAGAGCAAGCCTGCCCCAACTGTCATTGGAACAGAGCCGATCAGTATCACAGGCACATATCGGCCCCAGAGACTCATGATCACTCCGCATGCAATTGCAAAGAATGATGATGACAGCACAATAGGAAGCATGTTAGTGCCTGATCTGGCTGCCGATACACTTCTTGTCGATTGGAAATAGATTGGAAGGTAGTACAGAAGTAGTTGGAAGCCAGCGACAACATGAAATGCAATCACGCACATTACCATCAACGTGCGGTTTTTGACCTCTCGACCTCTGAAGACAGCGCGTTCTCCGGAAAGGTATTGAATCGCGACAAAAAAGATCAACAGTAGACCAAAACCGACGAGCAGGCCGATAATTCGAACAGAATTCCACGGTCTGACTACTCCTCCGTCTTGCATCGCCAACAGATAACAAATAACCGCCCCCATGATGACGAATGTGCCAGGGAGGTCCATTTGGAGAAGCTTTTCCTTGAGTGTCACTTGGGGGGGCGTCGCCGCAGACGGTGGTTTGAAAAAGACCAGGATGACAACGACTGCCGGCAAACTGATAGGTAAATTTATCCAGAACACCCAGCGCCAGCTGGCATGATCTGTGAGAACACCGCCCAGGATAGGTCCCAATACGCTGGCGATTCCAAACACGGCTGCGAGGGCTCCCATCATCATGTTTTTCTGCTTGGGAGGCGCGACAAATGCAATGATTGTGTAAATTCCAGGCGGGAGGCCGGCACCAAGAGCCCCTTGGACAGCCCGTCCGGCAATCAGCGTTTCAGAATTCTGGGCGACTGCGCAGATGACACATCCAATGTTGAAGCCAATGGCGGTGATGGCAAAGGCGATATTCAAAGGAAAGTATTTCAGAATTTTGCCCCAAGTGGGCTGCCAGGCAGCGATGCACATGAAGTAAGCTGAACCATACCATCCCTATGAAGCATATAAGTCCCATGTCCATCAGGTGAGCGTCTTGCTTACAATGTCTTGAAGTGAATTGAACTCGTCGGTAATGCGTGGAATGGCAGTCGAAACAATCGTCATTTCGATCGAGACGCAGAACTAAACGAGGGTCAAAATACAGTGACGGAATAAACAGGGCAACTCATACCATGACGAAGACGAGGGCGGAAACTGTTATCACCAGAGGAAGCCCTTTCGTGGAACCGTCTGACTTCATCTCCGGTTGACTGTCCATACCACTGTCGGAGCTCTCATTTGCCTCAGCCTTGCTTGGCTGACTATATCCAGATTCAATGGCGGCCCTGGAGTCTGACATTGGCACGGCTGATATTGAAGGAGGTTTCGCCTGAGATGAAACCTTCTCGCTTGCGGCTGGCATCCCGAATGATGGCTCAGCTACCATCCTGAAGTGATGTTGTACAAGGCAATGTCGAAAGGTATCAGCTACAATGGAGGATTTCTTCAGATGCGGGCACCGAATTTGTACAACGAGCAATTTATCTGCGTCAAACTACTAGCTGCTCCATGGCATGATCCTCATGGTTGAAAGACTGACAGTTTGCGGATTTGCGGACTTGCGGACTTGCGGACTTTGTGCCTACGATCTTTACTGCTTGACAATGCTAAGATGGGGATTGCGGAAATGAACCATGGATTGAACCTGACCGTTTATGGCTGCTTGCTTATGAGCTTTTCCCATCCAACACATCAAATTCTCGTTGGAGCGACAACTTCTGCTACAGCCCCTAGACTCGAGGACCGCTGCCTGTCCTTTGGGCTGATTTACGGACTCTTTCCAATAGCTTCATCGACAAGGTGCCATGTGTGATTGGCTACCTTGGTCATTTGTTCCTCGCTGAAGATTGTCTTGTTTCCTATTGACCGTCCCCTATTATCAATATTGCTCCAAAATATGCCTTCATTATTCTCTCCCGAGGCTGCCGCACATCGAGCCACTCCACTCAGCAACCTTTCCGCACACACATCAGGGGTCACTGCAACAATTTTGAAAGCCAGTTTCATCAAGGGCTGCAGATACCAGGGGAGTTCTCTGAAGAGGCCCGTTTCAACACCACCAGGATAGGCGTGCACAAAGTGCCGCCTCCCAGCATCGTTTCCATGAAGTTTCTGCTGCTGTGCAGCATGATACTGAACCATGACATCGTTCATTACAATGCAATGATTCGCCGCCTTGGCGAGAGAGTAGTGTTTCTTGAGATCCAGGTCTTCCCAATCCAACTTGCTCGGATCGCCTGTCTTGCCGTCTAAGACGATGACGACCTTGGCATCGTTTTTCAGGACGGGCAGAAGTTCGCGTATCAGCAGCTGTTTCCCATAGTAGTGCAGGGCCATCTTGCGATCGATTCCATCCGGTGTCTCTGTCCTCCCTGCGGTCGTCATGATTCCTTGGGTCATGACCAGAAAGTCAAGTTTCGGCTCCGCCGCCGACTTGAATGTGTCGGTGTATTGTTTGATCTGGCGCATGGACGAAGCGTCCAGGGGTCGGAATTCCATGTTGCTGTGCGGCATGGTGGTGGGTTTGGTGCGACCGCTGATGATGACTGACGGCGACAAGGTGTCAGCGGCGAGGCGACAAGCCATGCCATAGCCAATGCCACTTGTTCCTCCCACCACCAAAGCTCTCAGGCCCATATTGTCGTTCTGGAGGTGTCTGTATCAAGCAGGAAATTGTTGATCAAGTAATCTGTGTCCAGCCTACGGAAGCAGGAGGCCTAGGTAACATTGACAGATACTACATATATAAGACTGGATTATATTATCGCTCTCGAAACCAGTAAATTTCGAGAAGTTAGTTGGGACCGTCGGCGAGAGATATACAGTCAAGTAAGAATATTTCGAGAATTTGTTATTGTAATGTCAAAACGCCAATTGCTGACTTTCAAGGCCACGAAGTCTTGATAACGTCCTAAGAACGTCAATAAGTGGCGGCATTAACATTAGTCTGGCGCTAGCAATCGAGTACAGTTTTCTAGCCACGGACACTTGGCCCTTCGTATGGAGTACTATGGATTCTTGTGATGAATACTGTAGACGTAGTGTATAGATTGGATGGGGTATCTCTTCGGCTTTGGTAGCACAAATCCATCTCGAATTGTCCCCATGGACAAAAATTTGAAGGTTCGAAGTCCCAACCCAGCGGTCAGCGCTTCTGAGACTTATCCCGACTATGACCATTCACCCCCTTTTTGATAGAGATGTTACAGTAGTCATGGAAACCTGCTGAGGAATCCGGGGTTCGGTTTAATCCACTAAGCAGCTGGTTTCAGGACAAGCCCAACCTCCATTCCACTCAGCCAAAGGAGTTGCCAAATCGGCAGACAGGTATTTGTGCCCGGCAGCTCCGAACGTTTCCGATTCCCTTCCGGGGGTTCGGCCCCCGGGGGGACCAAGGACGCACGTACAAGGGCGACCCGGCCCAACCCAGTAGCATCACACTCAATGCGAGCATGTGTTGACCGTATTGTTCAATTCAACGGGTCTCGCTTGGCTCCTCGCAAAGTCGCGACTGGATAACTGTATGGGAAGTAAAGCATCAACGACACAAAACGGATTCACTTCAAAAAAAAATGAAGACCGCTTTTCGCCGCTTGGTACGCTTCAAGACCTCTGAAGGGAAGATCAAATATGGAGAGGCACCTTCTGAGGGTGCATCAGTCGGTGATGTGATCAAAACCTACAATGGCACTTTTCCTTGCGAACTTGAACCGTCGGACGAACAAGCCGTGGTCGGCGAGGTATGTTGGTATCCGGATCGGCAAAAGATGCCTTCTCGAAATGTATACGCTGAGAAACAATTGCGGTTGTGCAAAACAGATTCTGTGCCCACTGGCCTCCACGCCCATCTTCTACGGCATCGGGTTGAACTACAAGGGACACATAGCCGAAGCCAAATAAGATGTACCGCCATTTCCGACCGTCTTCACCAAGCCGCCAGGTAAACTGTCCATCCAGCCGTATTTTGCCCGTCTCAAATCTAATCAAGAGGGGATTGTAGGCGCCCTCGCGGGCCCATATGACCACGTCCACGTTGACCCCGCCTGCCAAGTCCTCGACCATGAAGGGGAGCTGGCCTTCATCGTCGGCAAGGACGTGAGGAACTGCAGTAGTGCCGAGAACAGCGTCGAGGACAATTGACTCGGGTCCACCGTGGGCAACGACGTTTCCTCGCGATACTGGCAAATGCCCGAGCGGTCCGGCGGTCAGCATGGCTATGCAAAGTCCTTTGACCAATTTGGGCCCATCGGCCCGGTGATTGTCTCGACGTCTGAGATCCCCGACCCCCGTCTCGACCTGAAAACGACGGTGAATGGAGAAGAACGTCAAAACTCCAACACGGGTGGCCTGCTGTCCACGATACCGCAGATCCTCGAGCATCTGAGTCGCGGAACGACGCTGAGAGAGGGCACCGTCGTGATGACGGGGACTCCGTCCGGGGTGGCGGCTTTCTCGAAACCACCCGCGTGGCTCAAGGACGGAGATATGGTCGAAATCAAAATCAGGCAGATTGGAAAGATCAGGGATAAGACGGTCATTGGATGATGACCTAAATCGAAGACCGATGTAGCGCATCCAGAGATCATCGTTCGTAGATACAACAACAACATGCAGTACCCACCTAATTATCTTTGCCTGGGATGGTGTTTTTGAAATCTCTGCCTAAAAAATGGGAACATGTCGAAACTGGTAAGCTGTTAGTAAGAGGCTTGACTCTTGTAGCGTTTGCCCAAAATGATTCCTTAAGCCTTTCCGGTACCTTTTGATTTGAGCTCCAATTCCATTTGCGTCTTCGGTCCTGCTTCCATATTGTTGCATGCGGTGTTGTATGCTGGTGGAAGACCTCGGTCACCATGGTCTGCATATCCAGCTGATGAAGACGAAGGGGAAAGCACCCGCCAGCCATACTTTGATGCCACATGTCAGTCAGTGAGCACTTGAACAAAGATCGTTGAACGTACGGCCAGCAACCATCAATGCAGAACTCCCATTCACCCAGTGGGCAGGGGCAACAATGACAGTGAGAAATAACAGGCCGATGATGGATGCATATCGTAGGAGCGTCATCATGTAAATCCTGCCCCTGCCCGCGCTATAGATCCGCAGTCTTTTCTTGTGCACTATATAGGTCGGTTAATCTTCTCCCAGTATTGTGATAGCATGTGGCATGTACCTTTCGGCTCGACCGGCGCAGGCGGCCTCCGTGTAAGCTGTTCAATATGCAGTCGTTCCTCGGGCGACAGAGTCAAGTTTGGGGTGATCTCAGCCTTGGGTATCACCTTCAATGGCACCTCCACCTTTCGTCCACCATCAAGCGCCCAGTCCTCTTGTTGAGGCACGACAAGTTCGGTACTAGCTTCTGACTGTTGTGGTAGGGCCGTACGAGTTCCCTCCAATTGTTGCTGTGCTTGCTGTCGTGCGTAGACTACCTGGATCGGAACTCGTTCATTCTTCTTCTGCTTCTTCTTCTCGACCGGCAGGGGCTTGAACTTCTGATACAGTGGACGGGAAGTGCTAAATCGAGCATGCTTGGTTGCCGCATATCGTCTCGAGCACGTGCTGAAGGCAAGACGCACCTCCGCGACTAGAAAGGGCGGAAGGCTTCCCATTGAATAGCTCAGCAGTGTCTATTGTTTGAAGTCATTGTCGTTGACCAAACTCGGCACTCTTCCCCGAAATTGGTCCGACGCGGTCTCACTGTCCACTGGAGATTTGGAGGAAACTGCACCTGAGGTTGGGACCCCGTTTGGGCAGGAGGACGATGCCGCCCTGTGCTCACCTCCCGCCGCGGGAATCGCACCAGCGCCAAGCGCCAAGCCATGCATGAACGCTTCCAATCACAGTATGTGTGGAGGGTATGGGGGTTCTTCTTGATGTGCACCACTTCTTCATGGACAAGAGTCTCCTGTTGCTCCGTCAGCGTCGCCGATTGCATACAGTCTTCTAAAATGCTGTCTCACCAACAAGACGAAAGAGCTCAAATCGTACCGTGGTCCGGACTCATTGCCGACGACTTCGTTTGACAAATACTTAACCCAGGTGGTGTTCGTCAACGACAGCAAGGCGGCTGATGCACAGCGGCTGAGTCGAATCAACACGATCGGGAGCATCCAGTAGTCCATCGTGGATCGAGCACCTTCACCTTCACCCTCGTCAGCTTCCGTCTCTGAGAGGGGTTCGATCAAGAGCCTGAGGACGTGCTGTGACTTGGAATCTTCCGCCGCGCCGCCGCGATTGGAGTTCCTATACTATTTCTCCAGAAAGCTCGTCTAGCTTTCCCAACTTACTCGGTACCTACTATTGCTTTCGTACTGATCCCAACATTCATTTCATGCATCTAACAGCGGCTCCGGATCGGGATCTTGTTTCCGAGGCCGTTTTGGGTAATATCGGAACGAAATCCGACCTTCTCCTAGTAATAAGCTAATGTACTCGGATCTTCTTACTCTCCGTTGAGATCGAATCTAATTACTAGTTGCAGTTGCTCTTCTCCATTATTTCTTCGAGATTCCCCGTATTTGTCCTTTTTTGCATCATAGCAGTGTCTAAGATCTGTATGTATTTGGAATCATACACTTAGTTTGCTCGACCCACTTCCCAGCATACCGCTGCAATCCGTACCAACCTGGAGATTCATGTGGTACTAGTAGTCACTAAGTGCCGCTGGACAACACGGTATACAGGACTACATCTTGATCAGATTAAGGATATAGAGCCAAATACTATCAGTCAGTACTAGTGGTATAGGTCTTCTGAAGTAAGTACTTGCTCCTTTCTTTCTAGGTGAACGTACTGTGAGGATACTCAGTACTTACTATTCTCAAAGCAAAACCATCGGCATCTCTACAGCAAAAATGCCTGCGACAGATCTTGAAGTCGCCAATGGTGCTACCACTATGATCGCGGCCAGCGCTTTCTTTGACACACTTGGTAAGCAGTACTGACACGGTCTTCAAGTTCATTTCAAACCGAAATTCCAGCGACAATGTACCTCTCTATCGTCCTGCATAATACCATAGAGTACATGCCATTTTGGACAGATAGTACCCAGAATTAAGCGATAATACTGACAAGTTTCTTTGCAGTTGAGACTGGAATGGAGTATTGCTTCGCGAATCTGTAAGATCGGATCTGATTTGCACACATACCTCGAGTCCTGTTCTTGCCTGTTTCAAACGAATATTCTACTTCTGACAATCATTGCTTCTCTCCAAAAGGGGGAGCGACCATCCAGCAATTCTCGAGGCGATGGCAGAAGCGAAAAGAGGTCAGTGGTAATCCATTTGAGGATATCGGGTTCGACTTGTATCTTGAAAAGCAGTGGCAACCAAGTTGAAGTTGGAATCTGCCGTTAGTCAAGCTGCTGATGCGACATTAAGACCCTTCGAGACCGTTTCCTACGATCATCACTTGTCCCTCCGAGTTTGTGGCCCTGTCGGCTGCACTTGGTTACGCTCAAGTCACGGGGATTCCGGTAGGTTTCTGGATTTTTTGCTGTCTCTTCCCGACCCCAACGATATCTAGGGCAGAATTCATCTTGTCAATCTCTGAGCTGCTAATGGCTAACGGACTATCGGCTCTTGCATAGCAATGCGTCCTTGTCCATGTCGACTGTGGTACGCTGGCTCTCGGCCAGTCGATCCATAATGCCTCTGTGGCCAGAGTTCCGGTGCTTTGTTTCGCAGGGTTGAGTCCCTCAACGCAAGATGGCGAGAAAGTGGGATCACGGACAGAGTAAGTATCGCAGAAGTTCGCGAAAATTTACCCCCAACCTTGTTACGGTTCCATATTCTGACTGGTGTTACTTCTTAAGGTATATCCATTGGCTCCAGGACGTCCACGACCAGCAAGCCATTGTAAGACAATACTGTCGGTATTCGGGAGAAATCCGGATCAGCGAAAATATCAAACAAGTCACTCTTCGAGCTTTGCAATTCTCAACCTCGGATCCTAAGGGCCCATGCTATCTTGTTGCCGGGAGAGAAGTTCTCGAGCAGGTATGAAGCAATCGAATTTCATTCGTTCCGGTCAAACTGTTTTTCCAAGGCAGCAACGACAAAATCTAACTAGGAAGCTAACTTTACTAGCATATTGAGATTCCCGATCTCCAGGGACTTTCAATGGGCCCTATTTCACCGACTGGTCTCCCAGAATCAGGTAAGGAAGATTTTCAATACTAGATGCCTTTGCCTCTGACCTCGATTGCCAAATCTGGATCTCCAGGAGCTGACGGGAAGTTTCATTGGCGCGTGCAGGTGTGGAATTGATCTCTCACGCCCTCATTAATGCCAAACGGCCTTTGATCATTACCGGATATTCCGGGCGTAATCTTCGTGTCCCTCCGCTTCTAGCCAAACTTTGCGATCAGTTACCGATTCGAGTCGTTGAAACGGTTGGCTCTGACTTGTGCATCCGTCATGATCATGACGCCTATGTTGGGTTCACTGTGAGGACACATCCTGAGGTTCTCAAGGCTGACGTGATCATCGTCCTGGACTGTGACGTGCCTTGGATTCCAACAGCAGGAAAGCCTGCGAAAGGTACGACAGCTCTCCCCCTCCATCGTCATGCGTTTCCTGACCCTGATCAACCAGATGTGACAACATTTCACCTGGACGTGGATCCTCTCAAACAGCAAATGCCGCGTAAGAAGTCTTCCTCTCCAAGATAAATATTTGCTTGAGTGGTTCGGATAATCCTGACTCAGAGTGGACGTGCCAGTCTTCTACATTAACGCTGGGAAACGGTATCGGGTCAGTAGTGAGCTCGCCATCACACAGCTCATCCATTTCCTCAATCAGCAAAATTTACGACAGGAGCATCATGCGGCTGCCTTTGAGGAACGTGCCCGGGAGGCACGAGCATGGAGGCAAAATCTGCGTGAACTTGAGGCTCCCCCTATCGACGGCACCATTCGAATGCCTTTCCTGGCAGCCCGCCTACGCCATCATGTGCCGCCCCAAACTACGTACGTGCTCGAGGCCGTGACGAACGCGGCAGGACTAGTCGACCATTTGGGCTTGGTTGAGGTGCGTTTCTCTGGAGTCCGGAATGAACTAAAGATCCACCGGGGGAGAGTGGGTGACGAGCCTTGGAGAAGGCGAGCGCACTCTACCCTTTTCCTGTCGCCTGTGCCGTTGAGCAAGTTGCTTTACTTGATTTCGTTTGCTCTTCGGTGAAATTTATACGTCTCAATGCTGACTTATATCAATATTTCAGCCAGGGTCTATGTATGGCAGCGGCGCTGGTGGGCTGGGATGGGGCGGTGGTGCAGCTCTGGGTGTCAAGCTTGCTAAACCAGGCTCTTTTGTCTGCGCGGTGTACGTTCGATCACACCTTCGTCAAGATTTGCCGGATCTCTCCAGGCAACACTCTGCCCTACTCTAGCTGTTCTTTGGTTTGATGTTGCCCTAGTGCGGACTTCGCTAACTTTACTCCTTAGACTGGGAGACGGCACCTTCTTCTTCGCCCAGATGGACAGCGTCTATTGGATTTCCCGACGCTACGACATCCCGTTCCTCATGGTAGTTCTGAACAACGGAGGCTGGGAGGCTCCTAAGGTGTCCGCCCTGTTGGTCAATAATGCCGGGTTGGCCTCGCAGGTGTCGAAGAAAAGTATGGTATTCGCCTTTGTCATCGCAGTGGCTCCCCCGAAAGTTTGTGACGTGTGCTGACCGAGAGGTACACCATATTCAGCATTGAATATTTCTTTTGAACCGTCGCCAGATTATCCTGGCATCGCCGCCGCCGCAGGAAAGGCCTGGGGCAGAACCGTCACGGATCCGAAAAACCTCGACACGGTTTTGAGCGAAGCTGTTAATGTTGTGAAAGGGGGAATATCAGCTCTTGTGGAAGTCAGGTGCGTTACTCATTGCTATACACTGTCGAAATTGGCTGTGGTCAATCAGATTTCGCCCCCGTTCCACAATGCTGACTTGGGGGAACATTCGCAGAATTCCATCCCGGTGGCCCACGTTCCCCGATGTGCCTGCGTGAATCGGCACTTCGTGGGCCGTGAAGTCAATCGAAAATAGAATGTTGACAATTGAGGTGAAGGAAGAGAGGAAACACCATGTTGAGTCCAAGGAGAGAACAAAAACGATGCGGACAATTGTCAAAAGATGAGAAGGATTTGTGGCTGTCTGTAACCAAGAACCTTTATCTCGTCAACTGGCAAGGCTTCTCCTAAGTAGATCTGTCATGTACAATTATCTATTTGGAATCTGATGCAGCATTAGAGGGAGGCTCAAAGGCCCAACTAAGCCGGTAAGTTATATTCAAATACATATCCCATTTTCCTTCAACGTATAGATTGGCATTGGAACTTCATCTCAAGTTTCTAGAGTGTACGCTATCGTTAAGAGTGTGTAGCTACATACTTTGACCCCTTTCCGTATGTTTCGGCTTTACAAAACTAGATACTCCTGGTAATAGAAATGGAAAGGTGGCGGGTAGATATCCTATTAGGAATACGAATACCATACAGTAATATCCTTCTCTTTGGTCGCCACCTCAACCAGCCTAGCATACTATTTCTGAATGGATCATTCGTCCACGTTCGACAGCTCTCGTATTACGAAGCGTAACGGAAATGCGGGTGACGATGGCCCAACTGATTCGCTTCGTCCTCGCTGAGGCCGACCAGGCGATCATCGCGACGTCCCAGGTTACGTTGCTTGTTTTCCCAAGTTGCGTAGAGATAATAGGAAGCGGTGGCGGAGACCGCAACAATACTGAAGGCCAAATTTATCGAGTGACCGACAATGAAGAGTGGAGCCTGCGCGTTGGTGTATGTCCACGACGAGATAAAACTGCCCAGACCTCCCACGCCGACAACCATAGCCGTCGAAACTGCTCGCACGGCCGGGACAGGCGAATTGTTGCCCGCCCACTGCCCAGTAGTCCATGTGTCAGCGTTTTGGTCAATGCAGTCTGCCTGTGGGGGTACAGGCGAGGCACATGTGAAGAACAAGAAAAGGAGATGAGATTTACTCACCGCTAGAGTTAGAGGAACCCCCGTGGAGCCGAAACCTACGCCGAGAAACAAGGCCATGTATCGCAAACCAGATATCTTGAGGAGAGCCGGACCTGAGAGGGTAAAGATCAGGAGGAGCATGAAGCAGAGCACCATGAAAGGTACAAAGCACAGCATGACGAGTCCACGGCGCTTGATCCTGTCGGATAGCCACCCCTGAAAGATGACCACGATGGCGGCCAGGAGGAACGGAGCGCCACTCATAATCTGCGCGGCACCCGCACGGTACCCCATAGCTTTGATTATCTGGATGAAGTTCAGCCTTGCGGACAGAAGGATAGAGGAAATGAGGGGATTGAGAGGAGAGGCGCACCGATGGAAGGAAGATAATACATGCTTGCGTAGGGACGTTGATGGCCATGTACAATATCGATGCGATCCAGTTCCCAATGTTCATCGTGGCGGCTTTGATGTCCTTCATCCGGACCCCGGGCACAGTCTCTTCTAACATCTGGCGACGAAGGCGTTCGAGACCGACCTGCTTTTCGGCTGGCTTGAGAAACCATGCAGTTTCAATGTCGGTGGGCAAGATTATAAATGACACCGTGCCGAGAACCATGGAGATGATGCCTTCAAAGAGGTAGATGTGTCGCCATGTGTGAATTGGCCCAAAGTCGGGCAAGTGCTCGAAACCCAGCGCCAGAAATGGACCGATAAACCCAGATGTGTAGGCGGATGACCCCACAATACTGATACGGGTGACGACCTCGTAACGTGGATAGAAGGACGACAAGTAGAAGGCGTATCCAGGGAAAAGACCCCCTTCGGCGAGACCTAGGAGCAGACGCATGGTGATTAAGCTCCCGTAGCTGTGGATGAATGTCGTACACAGGGTGATGAGTCCAAAGATAAAGCAGAGGCACGACAGCCATATCCGAGCCCCCACTTTCTTCAGGATTATGTTGGACGGCACTTCGACCACAATGTAGGTGAAGTACTAGAATGGGCGTTAGAAATGGTCCAATTAAGCATTCAGAAGAGCAATATTGAGGAACAAGAGAATCAGAGAGTGAGAGTGAGACATACAAAAGCTGTAGAAGCCCAATTGAAGTCCAATCCCTTCATGTTGAGGTCCTTTTCTAAGCCGACCACTTTGGCATTCCCCAGATTGGCCCTGTCATGAGGTTTAGTAAAGAGCAGCCGAAGCGAGCCTTTTCAGTCTGATCTTCATCATACCTGTCGATAAAAGCAAATATGAAACTCAGCGTCAACAGAGGCACGATATAGAGATCACATTTCCTCCTAAACGAGCGCTCGACAATCGGGTCAAGAGGAAGGTTCAGGGTGTCGACAAAAGCATCCGCCTGGCCACTGGAGATCGCGAGGGGCTTCTTGACGATTTCTTCTTGGGTGAAGACATTCTCCGTTGCTGATACGTCTCGAATCTCACCCGCGTTGTTGCTGGTAGATTGAACGGGTGCTCTGTTTGCGCCTTTTTCCATTTTGGAGGACGCTCTGCCAAGTCAATATATGTGGAGGAAACAAGTAACAGATTCGCCTGACGTAGAATCTGCAGGATGAAATGAAAACCAGTCCTGCGGGAAGCAGGATCTATATATCCAATGTGTCTGTCACTCTCACTTATCGGTGCCACTAGGAAGCTGAGCAGCCGCTTGCCGCGCCAGACTGCTTGTCGATTCTCGATTGGCATATTCTACGCCAGTCTAGAGCAATATCCGGGGTCTGGTACGTTAGCCCCGTCTAGGGTAGATGTCATCCCTTGAACAACAGCCTTCGGAGGCGGGAAGAATACGAGGAAAAATCGAGGAACCCCGAAAGAGTTCTGGCTGATCAATTTGATGTCAAGGCAGGGGGAAACCTTGAAAAGTTGTTGGTCAGATCGAATCGGAACAGGAACCGAACACGGGGTGCATAGAATAGCGGGGTCCCCACCACAGGCCCGGTGGTTTCTAGACCTCCAACGTTGACCATACGCGTGATGTTAGTGACAGTCCACGTTTACTTTCTCCCCCGCCAATATCCATGCTACTTGTTACTATGTAACCCTCACCAGAAAGATTTTGGGCCAGCCGGAGGTGTTACCGATGCAAACAAATGAACACTAGTATGTAGCCACACTTATCGCATAGAAGGATCTATCCGCTGACATTCGGCAGGACATTGGAATCGAACTATATCCTAAATGTCATAAGTGACAGTCCTAGTCCTGACCCATTCGTCTAGTCCTGTAGAGCCAAATCGGCCAAACCCGCTGCTCTTCATGCCTCCGTGGGGCAAGGCAGTCTCGTCATGCACCGTCATTGCATTAATGTGGCACGCTCCAGCTTCAATCTCACTGGCAAATCTCAGCCCTCTGCGGAGGTCTTGTGTGAAGACGGCGGAGCTTAACCCGTACTCTGTATCATTGGCGATGTCAAGTGCCTCTTCTTCACTCTCGACGACGATGAGAGAGACTGTCGGGCCGAATGATTCTTGTCGATAGAGATTCATCGCCTGCGTGACCCCGGCAACAGCCACTGGGCGCATGGAGGCTCCCGACGTCGAGGAGGAATGGATATCGCCGTAAAGAATTCGAGCACCCTTTTCAATGGCATCCTCCACCAATTTCCTATTCCTGACGACAGCGGCCTGATTGACGAGAACGCCGGCGTCGGCAAATAGTTGTTGGGTGGCGGATTGGAATTCCCGCTCGAAAGCGTCGGCCACGTTTTTGTGGACGAGGATGCGCTCGGTAGACATACAGACCTGGCCAGCGTTGACGAATGCCCCTTTCGCACACTCAACGGCGGCAAGCTTCAAGTTGGCATCTTCCCAGACGATGGCCGGGGCTTTCCCGCCCAGCTCCAACAACACCGGCTTCAGGTTCCGGGCAGCGGCTTGGGCGACAATTCGGCCCACCGCCGTACTCCCCGTAAAATTGATCTTCTTGACCCGAGGGTCGTCAATTAAGGCGTTGGTGACTGCCGCTGCGTCCGCTGGTCGATGGGCGATGAAGTTGACAACCCCTGGTGGGAGCCCGGCTTCGCGGAAGCAATCTGCAATGGCCCAAAAACAGCGTGGAGATAGTTCAGATCCTTTGAGGACTGTGGTATTCCCGGCGGCGATGGCGAAAGCAACCGAGCGGAAACCAAGAATGTAGGTTCCGTTCCTGTTGTTCTCGATCAGTATGTGCATCGATGGAAACGGATGATGAGAAGCAGGCGTTGTTCACAGGCACATACCACGGAGCGATGGCCAGTATCACGCCGTAGGGCTCCTTGTGCACATGAGCGCGTCTCCCTGGCTCGGCAAGTTGGGCAATGGTCCCCTGGAGCCCGGTCAACCGCCCAGCCACATCACGTAAGATATCAACAGCCAGAGGAACGTTAAACCCGGTAACCCAGTCCGTGGTAGCCCCTGTTTCTTCTTCATTGTATCTACTGAGCTCTCCCACCCGACGTTGGGCAATCTCAGCAGCTCTTAGAAGAATGTTTCTCCTTGTGTCCAGTGTTGTGTCTCTCCACCCATGAAAGGCCGCCGACGCAGCGTCCACGGCGCAACGAGCATCCTCGACAGTGGCACTCGTGCATTGATGTACGACTTTGCCTGTCGAGGGGTTGACCACGTCAAAAGTCGACGAGAAAAGGACGTCCTTGCCTCCTATATGCGCTGGTACCGTGTATTTTTCTGCAGATATGGCTCCAAATTCCCCCAGAGAATTGCTTGCGTCGATCTTACCTGGAGACATACTGTCCTTTATGGGTCGCTGGTGCAGTCAAGACTTTCTAATAGCTGCCAGAGGAGTATAAAAGGCGATGTTCTCATATGTCTCCCCGGTCTCTGAGCCAAAAGGAAGAAGTGTGAACTTCGATTGGAGATGGATCAAGAAACAAAACCTCCTAGATAAGCTACAAGTCGATTTCGTGTTGTACTTTCTGATCAAAAGATTTCTAATTGAGCTTGAATATCGCCTGTTTGCCGAGACTCATACTAGTAGTATTCATCCGTGGCCGAGCAGAAGTTTGAACCTTTTCTGGGTTGGTCTGTTTGTCGACTAATGCAAGGTAACAGGAGGTTTTCTCCACCCAAGCATTTTCCGAGCAGGTCTTCTATTCCAAAGCTATACCCTAGTTAGCAGGTTTGGGTTGGCTTACCCTTCCACACCAAAACACCTAGTGAGCTGCGTTGGACTATTTGCACCCAAGCTTAAGATCTCGCCGATCCAGTTGACAAATTGTGATATTGACATGATGTTGCCCAATCAGGGGCGAACGTCTCCATCTGCATATTTCGCGGAATTTGTTAAGATCCTCATAGAGTGCTGCGATCAAGGTGTGGGCGATCACGAATGTAGAATCGGCTCAGGCTCAGGCTCAGGCTATTCCTGCGCTTGTGGTTGTCTCGAGCACTAGAGCTGAACCCCTGGTCGAAATTATAAAAATCTACAACCAATCTTGGTTGACTTGGTGGAAAGCTGCAACACCAGGGGTATAACACGCACCTCGAATAGATAGTCTCACTTTCATGACCCTGGAGCATCGTTGTCTACCTGCTTCTCGGTCGGTCAACTCGCTCGGGATTCTGGACTCAAATTCCAAATCAAAGGCTAGAAGGTTTTACCCTGGATGAGTTCATCTTCTGCTCTGTGCTCAGGCCCTTTCCAAATTGATTAAAAGGACAAACGAAATCGTCGAAGCATTAACCTTTTCAGGATTTCAAATATCGATGTACTCGTACAAGAATTAGCCTTTTCATGATTCCAAATGTCGCTTTTTCTGAAGCTCTCCAGATTTCCGATTTCTCGGAAGACCACGTCCGAACACGAGACGCACTCACCAGATGACCTCCGAGCACGATTGGCTGCTTCTGAAGCATCTGACCGTTGACACTTGCATGTAATGAGCAGAAACAATCAGCTTCCATTAATCTTGCCAGTGGTCATCGGAAGCCAAACTGAGGAATTCAGTCTGATGCCTGTATCGGCCTTGGCCGTTCTACGTCGGATGTGATGTTTTGACAGACGAGAAAGAGACAAAATTGGACATTGTGGAAATGCTGGGCAAGTCCCTTCCATCGGCTATCTCGACAATGACAAGAAAACTTGTGTCTTTCTAGTACTGACTTGAAAATAAAAGAAATCAGCATGCCAAAAGACAACATAGCGAAGACAATCTATTTATGTTCACGTACATTCATCAGGAGGCCTTGGACCTGAGTAGCCGAGCTTCTGGCTAACTGACTGACTGACTGGTTAGAAAACAGTGACTATTAATGGCACGCTCAGCGGAGAAAACTTGTTTCTCGCCGTTTTGTTTTGCTCAAGGGACCAGATACGACTTTGAGCCTCGTATAGTAGTTAATGTTGAGGTCGTCTACGACCGATAGACCGACAAGTGCAAAGAGAATAACCCAATTGACGTCTAATCCTTGGATCCACATGTATGCTTTCGACGTCGTTTGTAGGTTCAGATTTTGAACTGGAACCAGACCAGATCGTGATGTCTGTCCAATGTTCTCAGAGTTGGCCCAAGGACCATTGATTCTGGCGAAGAGCACGAAGTGATGCCCTTCTTGAACTCTTGGAGACCATTACATATTTATATGAAAATATCCGTCGCAGGCGTCTTGTGTCGAGCAGGCCGTTGACCCCGTGGTACAGAAAGAATTCTTCCTGCAACTCGAGAAATATGACATTTATCTCCCTGGACCCGTCGGCAACAAGTTTCAGGACGTATAGAAATGGAAAAAGGGTCGATTGCTCTCTTATCTTCCCTGTTTCTTTTCTCGTCCGCCCCTACATTGACATTCATGGAGATCTTATCTTGATCTGGATACAAGTACTCTGTGAACATCGTCCGCCAGTGTCGACTTGTCGATTCCAAAACCTCATTCTTGTCTCGGGAACTTGACGGGGCTGATGGTTATCTAGGACGCCCCTTGGACCAACACGTATTTACTATATAGTGGGTACAATACATCGAGAGTTGATCTACTGGGTTTGCAGCTTCTAACCAATTACTATGTACTATGATCAAGATCTTCAGGCAAACAAGCAAACGACGCTAGCAATATCAATGTGAAGAGCATATCCGTGGTATCACGGACAAACTAACTGATTATTCTAGAATCACTATGGAGGACGTCCAGACCTGCACACGCTCTGTCTGAGCCGAAATTGTCTTTGAAAGGCGCTCCCCATCAACGGTGCGATATTGGTAGCATTGCATGTGACCCGGTGTTGTCTCCGCTCTCAGCATCGTTGGCGTCAGGCTTTTCCTGCGCATGTTCCCAGGGAACTCTTCATCTTGCTAGTCTTGACAGGGATACTGGGAACCCATGATTCCGAGTATTTCTCCGCAAAGATGTTTCGCAGGGAGGTAAAGAGGGGCAGGTCGAGGCCGTCGAGCCATGGCGGACGCGACGTATCTGTGAACCGGGACGGTTTCTTGGGGCAAGACGAGCTGGAGGCCTGCATAAATGGTGCCGGTCGTGCAGGGTGTCCTCAGTCCTCAAGGACTGGTTGACCAGCATCAGCACTCGTCGTTCGGCTTCTTCGGCGGAGATCCGTTGCCAGCATCCAGAGAACCTTGCGTGTTTCGTCAATTATACAACACGAATGTAGCAGCAGGATTTGGACTAAACGGCACCAACTTGTGCATGACTGTCCACAGTGGCTGGACGTGTGCTTGAAGACTGCTGAGATAGCCTTCAGTTGAATTGTGATCTTGGGAGGCCCTCACCGAAGTTTGTGCTAGTTCAACGATTACATGTTTGAGACATGGTGGCAGGACTCGAATTGCACTCTAAAACTGGTGTCTTGTTATGAAAAGATAGAAATTTCCTCTTCAGTTCTGCTGAACTGGTGATCGAGGCGCGATACTAGTACTGACTGAATAAGTGCGAATGGCCTTGGTCAAGTATGCTCTCTCTTTTGAAGCTTGTTTATTCGTATCCTTGTATCTCAAAAAGGTGCTTTGGAGTCAAAATGAGCCCTGTCTCAAAGGGATACGATCTGGCACGCAAGGAAATCATCTGAACATCCCTTGTCATGTACAACCAGCTTGTCCGGTACTACGAGTACTAGCACTGAGCTCGTCACTCTTTTCCCGGGGGAGAAGAGTCCCGCTATTGCTCTTAGTCTCCCGTTGACACGGTCCGAATCATGGCCGTCCGAGAAGAGAGACTTCCGAGGAGATAAAGGGTAATAGAAGGTCACAAGCGGCCCAGGGCCGCCTCTTGGAACGCCTCAGGATTGCCGGGAATTCCGGGGGATTGTCGGTATTGATACCCCCGCATTTAGGAGCCTTTCGGGTTTGGAAGTGCACTGTTCATGAAACTAGCTGCCCTGTCTGCTTCGCCATTTCGAATCCTTCTTCTATCCGCAAGTGCATAATGCAGTCGACCACGGTGGATCGGCCTTCATATACGTTCTCAACTGTGACATTCGGAGCCCGCCCGAGTCCGGGAACAGGAGTTGATCCTTCGCAAGCCCCACGAAACAAGAGGCACAAAATCCCGGTCGCATGTGATCCATGCCGGACTAGAAAGGTGGGTCTTCACCCAGCACCATCTTGACTCAACTCAGGAAGAGGAGGAGAGAGAAGCTCTTGGAGATGCTGCTGTTCTTGTCAAATCACCAAGTTCACATGCCTCTGGACCTGCTACTTCCGAGAACCTGTCCATAATGCCTCTGTCGTTGACTGCACCCCGAGGACCAGACCGTGACTGACTGCACCACAGGTGAAATGTGACGGTATACTACCAGGTAAGATAAGACCGAGCCCGAGGTGGTTCCCATTTCATGATCGGATCCTGGAGTTCAGCTGGTCGTTGGTCACCCGGAATGCTGCATGTGTGTGATATGTTGTGAAGCTTATCTTGGACCAGCCATGAACAGGAGGTCTCCTTCTCTGATGCTCCAAAGTTGTGTTCTTCAAGTTCTTGTTGCTTACCCGCTCACGAAACGATAGTCTGTGGCCCATGCTCAAGGAGAAGTCGCAAAGACCCTACACAATGCAGCTGGGTCCATGGCATGTCACGGAGCAAGGGACAGGCCGCACGAGACTATGTGCTTGGCTTGGAAAGACGGATTGGAGAGTTGACCGAATTTGATAGGGACAGGCACAGCGACGGAGATGGCCATACTGCGAACGGGGTATCGGCATCAACATCGACATCAACGTCGAGATCCGCCGCAGCGACGTTGCCATCGCCGGACGGACAGCCAAAAAAGTCCGAAACCGGCCCACGCTCGGCTCCGACTCACGCCAGTCAAGCAAGTCGACCGGGTGACGATAGTTCGACCAATGGCATGACCGGCTCCACGATCGGAAACAGCTACAGGACCGGGTTTTTTGGTACTTCCAGCGCCGGGAATTTCATTTCTCAGGTCCGACGTGCCGTGGACTCGAGGATACACCCCGACCACTCTGCGACCGTGTCATCCGTAAACGAAACAGGGCCGATGGTGTTCCATGAGACTGGGCAGGCGCGAAGCGCGCCACCAGTTTTGGATTACTATTTGCCTGCTCGAAAACGAGCTGATGCGCTGCTCGACCTGCATTGGAGCATTGTTCATCCGCTGTATCCCTATCTGGACAAGGCCGAGACCATCGCCGACTATACCAAGTTGTGGACCGGCGACAGTGTCAAATACGACGAGTCGCTCTTCTTGTGCGTAATCAACACCGTCTTTGCCTTATCATCGCAACTCGATCCCACCATCTCTCCGTCTGCACGACACACCACCTCCGACCGGTTCCTGCAGGAGGTGAGGAGACTGCTGGATCTGTGGAGTACCGGGTCCGTCCGAACCGTCCAGACATGTTTACTCCTGGCACAGTACTTTCAAAGCACCAACGACCCCCACCAGTGCTGGATGTTTGTGAGCTTTGCCATCCGCATCGCGCAGAGCCTGGGATTACACCTTCCCGAAACCAGTCACCAACTCTCGTCGTCGAGACAACAGCAGCTGTTGCGGCGGATCTGGCACGGTTGTGTTTTCATGGATCGGGTGGTTGCCATGACTTATGGAAGACCGACCATGATTGATCGATCCGTGGCGACCGCCGTACCTTTGCCCCTCGGCCTTGACGACGAAGCCATCCGCCATGGCTCCTCCCGGTCCGGTGAGGCTTCGGACGTCGACCAGCCTGTCCCTTCGATGGTAGATTTCTTTATCCATTCCCTCAAGCTATATGACATCCTGCAAATTATCCTGGCTGAGTTCTACTTGCCGCAATCGCGCAAGGACAACATCAGTCGCCATCAAGGTGAGCAGCTGGCCCCGGGGTCATCTCCCCTCCCCGATGCCGCTCTTTCAATCCTGGACGTGGACAGAAAACTCATGGGGTGGGAGCGGCAACTACCGGCGCATCTCAGACGATATTCGATATCCGACCAGGTCGGTAATGGGAGTGGTGCGGAGTCTGCTCTCAGCGGAATCTTGCATCGTCAAGCAGTGATCTTGCGGCAACGGTAATCCTCCTAGCTGAACAAAACGAGATGTAGAGTTTGGCCCAGCTAACACCAGAACATCAGGTTCTTACATATCCGTCTCCTCTCGCTACGGCCAATCCTATCTGCGTTCGTGGCTTCGAATGTGATCGGCTCTGACACCCTCGCGTCCTTTGGCATCCATCTCTCCCATCGAATCGCACACCAGTGCTCCATCGTGTGTGTGAAGGTGGCTCAAGAGACCATTGATTTTGTGGCTCGGCATTGCCCCCCGGGGACTTCGACCATGACGAGTCCCCTGGCGGCGTGGTGGTACAACGTTCTCTTCGTCTACAGCGCCGCCACGGTTCTGATTGCCGCCCGGCTTCGACCATCACTGTTGCTGGAAATCACGGATGACTCGATCCGCGGGTCATGGCAGTGCGCCATGTCCCTCCTTGAGGGCTATCGGCCATTCAGCACGTCAATCCCAAAGTTACTAGCAACATTGGACTTGTTGTATGAAGAGGTGCCGTCTAGATACTCCCAACACCGTCAAAATACCCATGCATGCATTCCATCAGGGTTTCAAGACGGCGATAGTATCGTCAATGACCGCGCTGACGATGACGAGCCCGCTCAAGTTGCGGGTTCAGCCACCGCTGAGCCCAGGGGTGACAGTCAAAATCACAATCACTTGAGTAGCTCCGAGGGTGCTCGAACGACACAGGTAATTGTGCAGTCCGATTATATCAATCCAGCTATATACGGTGCTGACCCAGTCGACCTTGTTGGGTATCCCGAAGATTTTCAGGGGCTGAACCTGTATAAAGACCCGGACGATATGTCGTGGCTGAATGCCTTGCCCTTTGATACCATGGTATACTCTACTCTCCGGTAACACTAGTCAAAGTAGGATAATTTTACATAACAATCTAGTCCAGTTCTTTCTTTAGGCTTAGGGTGTTAAGAAGCATACCAGACTTCTACTCTTCTTCCTTATCCTCGGTGTTTCTGTCCTTCTAGGTTAGTCAGCGGGGGCTAGTCTTAGGCGGAGACTGGTCGTCCTCACCGTCGACTAGTGGGTCTGTATTTGATTCACTGCCCGCATCATCTGGTGGCGTGAGAGGCTCGGGTGAAGACGAAGGGTCTTGGAGACGTACTTTCCGCCGCCGCGCACCATGTCGAATTCTGTACAGATTCTACATAGCCATACCCTTACGCTACCTGTAATATCTGAGTTAAAATCACCAAGCCGTGAATATAAGGGCCCTACTCTTTCCACAGATTTAGGTGCTTTTCCTGCGTGATGCAGAATCCGCTTTCGACGATGCTGCCAACGCCAGGGGCATTTCTAATAGCAGTTAAACCATATCTTGGCATTGAAATCTGCGGAGTTACGGAGATATATTGACCACTACTTTATTATTACTATTGTTATCAAATATCACAATATTTGCCTGTAGGATTTCACGAATCTTTGTACGCCTTTATGATATTCTCGTTGATACTGTAGTCCAATGGAAATTCTCACGACTCCAGAAGGACCACGAAAAAAGAGACAGAAAAACTGTAACAGGTACGTACGGCCACTCCAACTCTACTGAACAGACTTGAGAGGCCTCTCGGGCCAATAACGTCGCGCAAAGTGCTAACACATCTCATCGAGCGCACAGCTGCGTTCAAGGAAAGAGAAGATGCGACAGGCGGACGCCGGTATGCTCCCGCTGTGCCGACAGAAAAATCGCCTGTATCTACAGTAGAACTTGCCTGCCTGGTCGGCAACTAGAAGGTCTGGCGGACGGGCCAGCGCTGGAAAGTCATACTACACATGATCTCGACGAGCCATCAGAGGATACTTTCGACCCTGTGATGCTGGATTTTGGACTCGGTCCCATTACGTCCGAGTCCATGCTGAATCCTTGCTTCGACAACGGGACATTCTCCACGGCGGACGCTTTCGATGCCTCGATGTCTGGTGGCATTAGCATTTTTTCAAGCCAGGATCAATGGCTCGTAACAACGGAGCAGCACGATGCCCTCGAACGCGCAGGCACTCCAGTCGACGAAGAGATAATTAGATCTTACGAGAGAATGGCTCCCATTTGTGTATGACTTTTACCTTGAACCCAAACCCGTTCATCTCCCCATTTTTGCTTTTGTCCAATCCCGACTCGGTATGCTCACCCTTTGATTTTACAGGATGGAATCCAACCATGGCATCTCTACGATCCTAGTACACTACTACATTACATCGTAAGCCGTGTAAAGAACTTTATCTCTGACATGGCCACGACGAATGCCTCCCCTTTCCTCCATTGTTACCTCTACAGGGATCATACCCCGGCTTGCATACTATCATGCTTCTCTACGAGTGTGCTCTACACGAACCGTACTCCGGCGACCACTGCCATGGTGATGCGTGCGATCGACCGGGCTGTGAAGGACCTTCTCTCCACGGAGACCGGCGGCGGCGGCGGCGCAACGATGCCCGTGGAGAAACTCGCCAGGACGCAAGCCCTGTTTCTGTTCCAGATAATCCGCCTACTCGATGGGGACGTCACCCTGAGAGCTCAAGGAGAGCGTGACATTCGACTTTTGGAGGTGTGGTTGAATGATTTGTGCAAAGTTCGTGAGAACTTGCGCGATCTCGGCGCCGGCAGTGGCACTAGCGAGAGGAATAGTGTTGGGAGAAGAAATCAACATCCTCCGCAATGGGAGGTGAGTTGGGACCACACATATAGGACCCTTCAATCAGCACAATGTTCCCGCACGAGCCATCCACTTGAGCGAGCAAGAATCTGTTTTCGCGATGATGGCAAAGGACAGGCAAACGACTTGGGCTTGGACACCTTTTGGGCCTGACTGAACGAACTGACCTGTGCTAATTCGGATTTGTGTCTCTAGACATGGATCTTTGCAGAATCCGTTCGAAGAACTATAATAATGGCTCATTCATTTCTACAACTCTACGAGATGATGAAAGGGCTAGGGTCCGGATCATCCAACTCCTCTGAAGCTGAAGATGACGGTTTGTCGTTCCCCCCCCATCCCCTCCCCTTTTCTATCGTTGTTTCTCAAGACCATATACCGGCTAACCAACAACACACTTGAAAAAAACAGATCGTGGAGTCTGGGATTATACCCACCGATGGACTTTGTCTCGACATTTGTGGGAAGCCAAGTCTTCATTCGAATTCGAGCGCGCGTGGAAGGAAAAACCACATTTCATCATCACGAATTACGCGTTCAACCACTTCCTCCAAAATGGTAGAGGTGACGACGTGGACGAACTTGCAGAGATTTTATTGAGCGTGTAAGTTTTGATGTTCTGAACTCTCTAGTATTAGGTTACACATGCGTTCAGCGTACTTGGGAAACGCATAGGATACACGCACTCTTTAGCTTACCTCTAGGGATATGCTAACTTTTTTCATTGTTTAGGTACATGGGAGTTGAGGAAACAAAAGAGTTTATTACCGCAAAGAGTTGAAGGATAGTACTACTTGTATATCAGTTTGTGGTAAGCCATGACAACACCATTACCAGTACCTCTACCTGGCTCCCTGTACATACCAATCTCTCTCATGATTCTTACTCCGTATGCCTCGTTTTCAGATTCCGTCCCGGCTTAGATTCATCTCTTCTTCTTTTCCGCCCCTTTTCAAAAATTCTCTAATGACATTTCCCGTCACTTTGGCCACATTGTTTTGATAATCATCCCAACCCAAGCTACAGAACCAGTTGATACTTCCCACCGAAAACACCGCCCCTCCGGCCTGAGTGTCATAATGCACCATGTCCGACCTGATTTCTTTGGTCTGTGATCCCAGGGTATTGACGATGGGGAACCCCGTACACTCCGGGGCGATGCCAAACTCGTCGGAGTGTCCCGTGCTGGAAGCAACCACAACGGCGTTGGTTGGACTCCCACAAGCCAAGTCGAAACTGTCGATCTCGTCTCCACTGGCACCACCGCCGAGTCCGTACTCTCCTATCAACAGCTCTCCGTCGTCGCCACAGGGAACACCCTCAAACATCCACTTTAGAGCTTCATCTCGACCTTCGGCTGTCCGTTTGTACGGCACGCCGGGCCCCGTACCTTCTCCGTTGAAAGAGATCCCAAAGAGACCGTGGGAAGACCTCCCCCGTGTCCGCCACAGTCCTCCCTGCGTACCGTTGGTGCTCATGAACCTCTCACCACCGGGCAGGGTATAGGTCCGTACTCCCTGATCACCCCGCCTCACCTCCAGGCGCCAAGGTCTCTTCGGGTCGACCGCCGACACCCAGTAAAACCCGTTACCACCCAGGTACATCAGGTTCCCCCCCCGTCGGGCGTAATGCTCGTACGCGTTATACGACTGGATGGTGGGGTACTCTGGATGGCAACCCGTCATGACGGTGTTGTACGGGGCCAGCATCGCGGCGCCGCCGTTCAAGTGCAGGTCGTGATCCGTGAGGACATCGTAGGGGATCTTCTCACGCTCCAGATAACCTATCATCATCGAGTCCGCGCTGAGCTCGCGGGGTCGACTGAAGGCCCACATGACGTACCCCGGTCGCAGGTTCATGATGGGCCTCTTGGCCGTCGAAAACACCACCCCGGAGTCGTCGTTGTGCACGTCGTAGTTGGACAAGCCACAGTCCAGGCGTCGGTGGATGCGGTAGAAATCCTCCGTCCGGACGGTCTGCTCGATGTCGAACTTTGGCCCTATCTCGACGCACGAGGAACGGCCCTGGTCGGCCAGTTTCTCGTTGGCGTAAGCCAGGTACGTGAAGGTCGAGAGGACCAGAGCAACTTTCGCGCCGGTTTTGGTTGTGGTCTGCTTCGTCGGTCGGACGATGAACGTAATCATGTCCGAGGTCTTGCCGTTGGTCGACGTCGTCTCGACCGCGTAGATGCCCGACCGAGCGTCGTGGGGGAGTGTGATGGTGAAGTCCGTCTCCCAAGCCGCGTCGTCCAGGTCGTCTTCGTGAAAATGGATCGCGCCGTACCCGTACTTGGCTTTTGTCCAGTCGACCTCGCTGCCGTCCCAGTCGAATCCCGCCACGGCCCTCGTGGGGGCGTTGACGAGTACGCCGTCGTGTCCGTTGCCGGACGCGTCGATGATGGTGTCCTCGGAAATGTTGCGTCCGAAATCGTACTTCACCAGAATTTCGGATTTGGGACAGAGAGTTTTGATGGTCGGGCTGTCGATACGACCGTTGAAGAAGTTAGTGACAAGGGGGAAAGTAGGCGTCGTGGGACTTTCCGCAAAGCTGCCCGCCAGGAGAAGAATGTTGCTGTTCTTCTCCGTAGAAGAAGAAGGCATCAATCTGACGCCGGCCGAGAGTTTGTGTTCGACATGTACTGCCGGACCCGCCTTTTCAGCCAAGTACGGAATCGGCAGTAATGAGACCGAAACATTCGTGTCTTTCAAGGTCAACTCGAGGGTTACCCATCGTTTTGTGACGGGCTTGAAGTTTGTCTGGATGACTTCGACGGCGGCGGCGTCGTCCGGCCCGGTGCCTAGCCACACCGCGATTTCCCCGTCGGTGGTCACGACGACGGCGAATCCACTCTTGGAGTTCACGTCGAGCGTGGAGATTATTGTTTGGGTGTGCCCTGCTCGAGGGAGGTGTGCTTGAAAGTACAATGACACTTTGATCCCGTTGGAGATCGATTGCCATGATGATGATGATGCTAGGCCCCATTCGTCTGTCCTGGCATAAGAGCCGATCCTCACAACTTGGTACCGGCCTCTTGCAGTCCCAGAAGGTATTGAGGTGATTTCCTCGACCTCCTTTTTGGGAGAGTGTGGGATGTCGACTCCTTGTATCACCCTTACCGTCTTGTACGTATATTCTGGTTCGGTACATGATACCTATGAGAAACGAGAAACGTGAATGCTTGCTTTGTACACGTTGCCATATATCGGGAGAATGATGTGTATGCTTGAGTAGATGTTGTGGATAGGTGCCTTTATTACCGGGCAACTCACCTTGATCGATATCATTTCACCTGGCGACGCTATCCATGGGTCTGCGTAGCCTGTGATTTCAGGAGGATAATCCTGGGTAGGTGGCGCGTCGATGGTTTTCGCCATATTCGCGGGAGGAGGTGATATCTATGGAACTCTTTTGAAGTTTGTCTTACTGCGGAAGTGATTTTATACGCCTTTGCACTGACCATGTACTTACTGTATGAACCGCGAAGTCGGACATGATATACATTTGGTTGCCCTACTTATCTGGGAGATAGTATATCGCGGACACGGATTTGCGCGCGCCATGGAGGGATTGCTGTACGGAGTACTTACCGTACAAGTAATCATCAATCGCTCCAAACGACGATGACCATTCCATACGCGCAGAATCCCCGGCCTTAGTCCGTACCAGCACAGCGTATCTCTCTTGCCTCATTTGGTAAAGCTGCGATAGAGAGATAGAGACAAACACCAACACCACCACCACAAGTAATGGGGTTGTCGACGACCAACTCACAAGACCCTACAAAGGTTATGATTTGAGTCTGTCGATAAGGGTCTAAATACCAGGGGTGGTTCGTCTCTTAGAATCTAAGAGTGCTGTATGCATCAATTTTGAAGCTTCAATACCAAGTAGCAGGTGGCAGGTGCCGATGGCGCCCCAAAGTGAGTTGCGCGATGCGATAGCTCTTGGTGGGAATGAAATACCTACCTAATGTTCAGGTACTCATTCGCGGCGACGTACCTGATACATAACCACTCCATAGTGGTCGAAAGCTCGACGGCCATAGACGCCGTAATCTTGCCTGGAAAATTGCGGCGTCCGTACCGCATTCAGACCATCACTCAAAATGCCGAGAAAGGCAAGCTCATCAAGTGGTCGCTACATTCAAACGGTAAGTCCTGTTGTTGCGTAGCAAGCGACCTTCGAAGCCTGAAGTATCTGCCGATGGGTGTAGTCTCGGGGTTTGACGAGGCGCAGCGATCGAGGATCGCCCCCGCAATACTCGAGTGGGAATCTTGTCTCGTAATGTGTAATGTTATATCATAACTCACAGTCCCGAGGCTCTCGAATACTCGCATCCTCGGTCCCTGGTGAATAGAGAGTCACTGGTTTCCGAGTCAGGTTGCCAAGTGCAAGAACAAAACCTGGAGTCAAAAGCGAGCCATTGAGATCAGATCAGTCTGGGGGGTTTTCGAACAAATTCCGCTCGTTGGAGTATAACATTTGGCCGCAGTCTTGGTATAAAATTCGTTAGCCAGTCATTGTACCAAATTCTCCACCGTATAACATGGCGGTGTTCTTGGTATATCTTGGGGCCAAGTCTTTCCACGAGTCTCTTATGACAAGCCATCCCGCAGACAAGAGATGCTTCGATCCACTTGCTGCACTTCATCAGGTCATGTCATCGTCATGAGAGCCGACAAGAGAGCGGGGGAATTCAAGATGAATTGCAAGTGACCGAGGCAAAATCATCAGTCTCAGCCATGGAATGCCGTTGACATGGCCTGATCCCCAGGGAATACTTAAGAGAGTTCATGTCCATCTTCAGGCTCATTTACCTGCTGGCCATACTGAGGAAACTCAGATAAACTACCCAAAAACTGACTGGTTTGATTGCCACTGCAAACATGTCTGACAGCCAGAAAGATCACTCGACCGAGAAGCCCATTGAAGCTCTGCATTTAGAGAAGGGCGACGATGTTTCCTCGGTTTCGTCCAAGGCTAATGAAGGGCGTACGCCTCAGGAGGAAGAGCGAGACTGGTCCCCAGAAGAGGAGAGGGCGTTAGTGTAAGTCTGAGTTTCTAGATCTCTTCTGCGGAGTCGAACTGATTGTCCTTGGAATGAAGCAAGAAGCTAGACTTCCGTGTCTTCCCCATGCTATGTATAGTATTCGGCCTCAGCTTGCTTGACAGGACCAATATCAGCACCGCGTATATTGCCGGCTTGTCCGAAGACCTTGACCTCGCCGTGGGATCCCGTTATTCGATTGCCTTGCTAGTGTTTTTTGTGGGATATGTGATTTTCGAGCTGCCCAGTACCTGGGTGATCCGAAGACTTGGGTGAGTGCGAGAAGTACCCATACCCTGTGAAACGGATGCTGATGAAAACCCGCAGAGCTCAGCTTTGGCTCAGTTTCCTGATAATCTCTTGGGGTCTCATTGTTCTCTGCACTGGATTCGTTCATTCTTGGAAGACATTGACCGTCTGCAGAGCATTGTTGGGAGTTTTTGAGGCGGGATGTGGGTATCCCTAATGGTCTTTCACCCTGTTTCTAACGGCGCTAATGATCTCCAACCAGTATTTCCGGGAGCGGTGTACATTATCGGTTCATGGTATCAACAATATGAGACTGCAAGGCGTGTCTCCCTATTTTACATGGCATCCTTGTTGGCATCTGGCTTTGGTCCAATCCTCGCATACGCACTTTCGCTCATCAGGGTCGGCAATGGTGATTTCCGCCGAGGGTGGCGATGGATTTTCATCATCGAAGGCATCTTCACCGTTGTTGCCGGTCTCGTCGCACCATTCTTTCTGGTGGAATTTCCAGAGAGAGCCAAGTGGCTTACACCTCGCCAGAAGCACATAGCCTCCGCCAGACTGGTGACTGACAAGAAGGCCAGGGAGTATGTCCATCCCACGCTAAAGGAGAGCATGAAGATGCTGCTGGACTGGAAACTCATGATTTACTCTCTGCAATACTTTGTCTGCGCATCCTCGGTCTATTCGCTGGCGTACTTCAAGCCGATCATTCTGCGACAGGGAATGGGTTTCAGTTACGCCATGTCGCAGGTACTGGCATCGCCGCCGTACGTTTTTGCCATCATCATGTCCCTCATGATGGCTTGGGTGTCCGATAAGTACCGAACACGCTGGACTGTACTGTGTGCCCAGTCCCTCACGGCTATTGTGGGCCTCTTGATTGTGCTGTACGCAGAGGTCCCCGGCGTTCGGTACTTCGGCCTTTACCTCGCTGTTTTCGGTACACAGGCTAATGTCCCGGGAACACTGTCGTACGGCCAGAGCAACACGGCAGATGTAAGGAAAAAGGGCATTGTGGCTGCTACCATGATCAGCGTGGGCGGGGCAGGAGGGATATGCGGGAGTACGATTTTCAAATCGAGTGATGCCCCTAAATACCTACCAGGCATGTGGGCCACGATTGCCATGCAGTTGACATACTCGGTTTCAACATTCGGGCTCAGCATGTACTTGAAGAGACAGAATAAACTGGCCGACGAGGGCAAACGACCAGCATTGGAGAATGTCGAAGGTTTTCGATATGCACCCTAAGCTGTCAGGCAGTCAATAATAGAGAAGCTAGTATGGCTTTGCTCTATGGAACTTGGAGTATTGAACAGGGTGAGTACCTAGTACTACTCGGTTACTTGAAGTTGTAAATAGACAGAACAGAAAGAAACCTGTAGATTTGGAAGGGGAAAGACGGTGATGCCGCCCTAGCAGCGGCTGGAGTGTATGGAGTTTTAGCCCAATGGGTTCTAACAAGTTACCTATTAGGTACAGCACCTCCGCACAAGTCACCGTCCCCGCATGCCAGGTCAAGCCCTTTTACTAGCCACATCATGAGAGTTACAATTATATAGGCATATCATGAGATTTCATGTTGTAATAGATATCATTTGATAGAGCTTTTTCAGAGAATATAACTCTCTAGTTATGTAACTAATATCGCGTGTACCAGCCCTTTACCTCGAGGACAGTCTTAACCCTGTTCTCTATACTCTTAATAACACTCCTAATTCTTTTAGGAGGAATAGAAGCCTATGCCCATTGAATAGTGTCAAGGACCAGGTCATATCGTGAATTCGTAATAGGGAAGAGTATAGCGTAATAGGCCTTTATTAATGAATGACTAGCTAAGTGATAGCTTAAGAAGAACTTAGAGAGCTTAAGGAGTGTTAGCTCATAAGGGGGTAAAGACCTCCTTATATAGACGTAAAGGGGGGTCTATATTGTACTGGGAAATGATGGAGGTGTCTCCTAGTGGCCGTTGACTGGCTGTGGCAAGTGTGTGTGTGGGACGGTGCGAGTGTCTTGGTCATGGCATCAGAATGAGTAGATAGCAACAAGCATAACACACACGGAGGTGTGTAACTAGGCAACGAGATGAGTCTTCTTTTCCTTGAGTACGAGTGCGCTGTTCTCTAGTGGCTGTGAGCCCTAGGTGTGTGATGTTGAACGAGTAACGCGCTCACCCCGTGGCCCCGTGAATGTCGAGTGCGCCTGTACGGACACAGGTGGCTAGGACGACTAAGCGGTGAGTGCTAACGAGTCTCTGAGGTCGACGAGGACGTCGACATTGTCTACAGGACGCTGCAGGATTGTAGTGTAGGTTACAGAAAGGGTCTTTACGGATCAGGAAGACCTCTGAGTTTGAGGTTTGTTGTTGTTGCTGTTACAGACTAGCCCTATACGCACCTGGTACTTTCCCGTTTACTCCTATTATAATACTATAGCCTATTATAACAATTTCTTAGTATTCTTAGTAGTTAAATAAGGTCTCTTTTTGGCTAGCTACTTCTTTATATTATACTATTTTAATAGTCTATAAATAGTGTTATTTAAGACCATAATATCGTAATATACTTTATGTTTCGCATAGAAAATCTTTATATTATTTATAGTAGTATATACTATATATCTTTTCTCATGCTTAGATAGACTATAAGGTCTCTTAGACCTAGTGTTAATGCGTAGTCTAGGATTATTAATAATGTCCTGTATGGAGGATCAAGAAATGTTGCATATCGCTGCGATTTCACGCCAAGATTTCCCGCCTAGGTGAAGTCCTTGTACAGTACCTCTTTTATAGTCTGTATATTCGCGTTGACTAGACATCATAGATCTTCTCACATTTTTCACTTACCATACGAATTTGTATGGAAAATGAAAAAAAAGTGAAGTGAGTACTATTCATGTGCGGGGTGAAAATACGAAGGTGGACGGTGACTTGTGCGGAGGTGCTGTACTTTTAGAGGAGGAACTTCAAGATGCCCAGACGTGACATTCACGCCACTCTCAATTTCAGAGCGTTGAATCAATATGAGTACGAGTCGTTCTCCCCGGAAAAGACAGAAAAGCTGTGATCAATGCTATCTCCGAAAAGTTCGCTGTCATGGGAGGAGTCCCTCCTGCGAACCCTGTCGAAGACTCGATTTTCCATGTTCCTTTGCCAATGATGCTTCTGTAGGCAGCTACGGGAACTCGGAAAGAACTCAACCCAGGAAACTACGTGGTGGGAATGCCTGCCTGCAATGTCGCAAACAGAAAAGTCGATGCGATCAAGGCATCCCCCGGTGCTCGCACTGCGTGGAGAAGCAATGGACCTGCATCTACGCAGCGACTGGAAATGCAGGAGCTCTCGACCTCGAAATTCATAACCCACACCGGAACCTGGAAATGGAGACGATTCCTACGCAGTCAACCACAGATTTACAGACACCAGGCGCTCATGATGACTTCGTGAATCTCGAACAAAACATTTCCGAAACGCCCAAGGAGAGTAATGCTGAAACTTCTATCGCCGTTGGACCAGACACCCTGACAAGAAATCTGGTGGAGGAATTCTTCACGCTTCTCTACCCTCTACCGTCGTTCTCTTTCTTACACCCTGAAATAACCCAAGAACGATTGATGGAAGGGTCTCTGGACGAAGCTTTGGTCTTCGCGATATGTGGCATTACCGAACTTCAACGAAGATCGGACTCTGAAGCTCAAGGACGAAGTGTAGCGTGGATTTCCAAAAGCGAAGAGCTCATTTGGCAGCATCTGGAGAAGCCTAGCATGGCACGCCTTCAAGCGTTGGTTCTGTGTGTGGCTTACCGCATCGATACTGGCTCCTCTCACCGGGCCTTCATGCTTGCAGGAGTTGCCTCTAGGTCTGCAACTGCAATGAGGTTAAACCATGAAAGACATGACCTGGATCCTACCAGCAATGAGGTTCGACGCCGTACTTTGTGGTCCCTCAAGGTGCTTGAACAGTACTTCTCAATTGGTCTTCCTGAATATGAACTGCTGCCATTTGAGAATATCTATCTACAGCTCCCGAGTCGTGAAGACTGTTTTCAAGAGTCTGACCAGCCATTACATCTGGAGGGAGGAGCATACAGCCTGTTTGTCAAACTAACATCGTTACGAAGGGACACCATGAAATTCAATCGCTCAATAGCTCTGTTCGACCAGCCTTTCCCACAACTCCTCAAGCTCACCCGAAGTCTGGACAGTGAGCTGCTACATCTACGGGATCAGATGCCCGCTGGCTCAGACATGGCGGCCGCTAGTGTGGCCCAATTCATCTCGACACCGTGGCTGGCGAGACATCTGGTCATGCAACTGTCATGGCATCAATGTCGATGCGATCTATATCGGCTCTTTCTTCCAGGCTATCCAGAAGCTGCACCCGCACTGGTACTAGCTGACCTCGACCTCGCCACCACACAAACCGCGGTTCAGGTCTGCGCGAAAAGTGCACTCTCCATCATTGAAATCTTGTCTGAAGTAAACTCACAATGCTCTCATTCGCCTTTAATGGAGTATGATTCTGCCATATGCGGCTACCATGCATGTCGGCTGATCTTGTTTCTGGCCGGTTGCCAGTCCGAAATGTCTTCCATCTCCAAGGAATACGCGATCAGCCGAGGAGAACTATGTCTGGCCGCTATGAAAAGATTTTTCAGACGCTCAGCACCAGTCGGTCCTATTTTGAAGGATCTGGAAAGACTAATTTCGACGTGTAGCACCTCTTCCGACAACTGGGCTCAGCTGATTTTCCGCTCAACTCCTACCGAGAGAAGCCGAGACCCGTTGCTCTCTCAAGTGGCAATGGCAAAACAACGTCTCGCTATACACAGTCTACTACGACAAGCAGAATTTGAAGACGGCGAGTCTTCCATCGTAGCCTCATCATCTGGCCCGGCAGTTCAGCCCTCCCCAAATGACAACACGCCACCACCCTCGTATCCTGTACCAACCTATGTTCCCCAGCAGAGGTTGGAATTCGAACAGGTATATTCTCATTTCCATGGAGATTTGTTTAGATTCTCTACACAAACAATGGAATACCCATAACTGCCGAAGCGCTAGGAAATGTTGACCAATGTTTTCGGATGAAAGTGCCCATCAGCCTGCTAACATCAGATACAAGTAGCAGTCTTCAAATTTCAACCGGCACTGAGGTGTTTATCGGGTACCAAAATGTGTCCATGAAGCCATCTTCCACTCCTAGACAGAGGTCGGCTCCCAAGGCTCACGAGATCAGTACCAATAGCCGCAAATCGCCCGAAAATATATGCCTGACAGCAGCTTGCTGTGGCTGCTACGGGTATCGGTCCCCACCATGCGAAGCCCTACGGATGTCGGTTTTCCACTCCGCATTTTACGATCAGCCCGCTTGGAGGGCCTCGATCCGAATAGTGGAGTCGAACGGGAGGTGCGAATTCATCAACAGAGCAAGACTTTTTGATCATAAGTCGATAATCTTGTATCTGGTCGGCCGCGCTTAAATATCTCTTAAATCTTCCCCTCGACCATCCTACCCCCAGGTCGGATACCTGCTTTTCTAGTTGTACATTGACTCGATTGCGAGTCGTGCCTCAAGCCATGGCTTCTCGAATGGGAACAATCAAGGCTTACTTCCTGGTGGCTGTTTGTTGCACGGGTTCATTCTTGTTCGCCTATGATACAGGTGAGGTCTTACAACGCTCCAGCAGGTACTTTGGATCTATATTGACCATGGGCATCAGGTATCATTGGTGGCGTCCTAACCCTCCAATCGTTCCAAGACGATTTTCGCTACAGCAACAAGGAAAAGACCAATGTCAACTCGAATTCGAACAGTCTGCTACAAGCTGGTGGTATGGACTATTGCCCTCTGTGCCTTTGACCACATTCTCACCAACTTTCTAGCGTTCTTCGCGTGTTTCTTCACCTGGCCCTTTACTGCACGCTTCGGTCGACGGTGGTCTCTCGCTTTGGCGTCAGCCATCTTCTGCGTTGGAGCGATCATACAAGTCCAGAATACACACCACATTGGTGCATTTTACGCTGCTCGAGTCGTTTCCGGCATTGGCGTTGGTATGGCAACAGTTATGATTCCAATGTTCAGCGCAGAGATGGCACCTAAGAATCTTCGTGGGCCTCTCGGGAGCATGTTCCAATTCTTTTTCACTCTTGGAGTCATGACGAGTTACTGGGTCAATTACGCCGTGTCAACGAAAGTGAGCCCTGGAACCCGTCAATGGCAGATTCCTATCGGCCTGCAACTTGTTCCTGGCGGCCTCCTCGGCCTTGGAATGTTGATTCTCCCCGAGAGTACCCGGTGGCTGGCAAAACGTGGCAGGCGCGAAGAGGCGATGAAGTCCCTGATCTGGATTCGTGGAGGCGACAGCGAGGAAGTCCAAGCTGAGTATGTACGTCCTATCCGAGAACGGAATTTGATGCTGATTATGTCTAGAATGACGGAGATCCTCGCTGGGATCGATGCTGAAACACATGCCAGAGAAGGACTCACCTGGAGAGAGATGCTGGCTGCAAGCAATCGCTCGCGAGTCCTGACCGTGATAACCCTGCAGATTGGGGTGCAGCTCACCGGTAACACCTCCCTGGCATACTACGCTCCTCAGGTATTCCAGACCGTCGGCGCAGGCAACTCGAAGCTTCTGATTAGCGGATTCTTTGGTGTCATCAAGGTTGTGTCATGTTTGCTCTTCCTCGCTTTCTTGGTGGAGCGAATCGGTCGGAGAAAGGCTTTGATGGGTGGTGCCTTTGCTATGGGCGCTTTGATGCTGATTGTTGCGTGTCTCACCGCGACGCATCCACCGAAGAAGAACCAGACACATGTGTCGGCTGCAGGCGCGGCTGCTATCACGATGATATATCTTGAAGCAGGTGGGTGTAGATGAGATCCATGGCCAAAAGAGAACAAGCTAGCTAACATGATACCTTTCAGCCGCATACAACATGTCATTCGGTCCAGTTTCGTGGCTGTACACGAGTGAGATTTTCTCGAACCGTACCCGTGAAATGGGTATCGCCATCGGCACTGCGACGCAATGGCTGTTCAATTTTGTCTTTTCTCAGGCCACTCCACACGCCGTCGACAATCTTGGATGGAAGACCTTCTTGATGTTTGCCATTTTCAACTTTGCCTTGGTCGTTTATTCTTGGTTCGTTATCAAAGAGGTAAGCAACATTCCCAAGAACCAAGTCCGCCGACTTGCACGGTACAGAGGGCTAACCGAATCTGTATCTAGACGACTGGAAAATCTCTCGAGGAAATGGAAACCGTCTTTGGTTCGGAGCAGACCAAGATTCGTGCCGAGAATCTAGAAGCTGCGCAACACCAGCTCCAAGAAAAGGCCATCAACTCCACCACACACGTGGAAGCGAAGGAGACGTAGAAAAGCCGAGGCTGTCGTGGCAACGAGAACAGGAATCGTTTTGCTAGGCTGACATTGCACGTTGTTAGTTAGTGGTCACTTTATCAGACGGCTAGGTCGGAGGAGGTAGTTCGATGCTTCCGAATCGTCTCCCATAGAACACAGTATTGATACAGTGTTCCAAGTTCTTCACAAGATCCTTGTAGTAAAATCTTGGCTCGTACCACGTCTGGGGGATGTTTATTTAGGGGAAATGCAAATGCCACGTCGAGGTGGATTTCGTGGACCCCTTCCACTTTGATTTCTTGCACGAGCCCTGCCATTGTATACAAAGTACGGAGGATGGATAGCTACCTGAGTATGACTACATCCAGGCTCATGTAGTACCATGTCACAGACTGATCGTTGCGTTCTTTAGATCAACCAATTTCGAACTCGATCCTACCCAAAAGGTATAGTTCCCCGAATCGACCTGATATTTGGCGTCGTTGTAATACCCTAGTTCCATCTTGTCGACGGTGAAGTTGACCTGTCGTGACTGTCCAGGTTGCAAGTCGACTTTTTCGAAACGAATCAGTCTCTTGTTGGGCAATTCAATGTCGCTGGAGGATTGTTGTCGGTAATAAGCTTGGACCACCTCCTTACCGGCCACGGAACCAGCGTTGGTGACGGTACAAGATATCGTAATGACACCAGTACCGTCGCCATCACCACTGCTAGTTGTGGTGTTCGTGGCGTTCGTAGCCTTTGTAATCTGAGGCGAAGAAATGTCAAAAGTCGTGTAACTCAAACCGTACCCAAAAGCCATGGGGGCACCGTTTCTTTCCAGACACGGAAATGTCCAGTCACCTTGCCCACAACCTCCAGATCCTGAAGGATAAGAACCCGAACCACCCTCGTGGTCGGACGGGAGGTAGTCGTAGTAGATTGGAAACGCCCCGTTGGCCTGAGGCATGGTGATGGTCATTTTGCCACTGGGGTTGACTTTCCCCGTTAGGATCTCGACGAGACTGTCGGCGGTGAATTCTCCCGCGAGGAACTCGTGGAGGATTGCCTTTGTGCGAGTGACGGTCGAGTTGTCGAGGACAAACGCCTGGCCGCCGTTGAGCACCAGAACCGTCGGCACGCCGGCGTCCAGGACGGCATCCAGCAAGGCCTGCTGGTCTCCGGGAAACCCGAGGTCGGCGTGAGAGTAGAATTCTCCGTCGGTGCGTTGGCCGACGTTGGAGTCTTGGGAGTAGACCGACAGCGAACCGAGGGACGCGATGGCGATGCCGGCCCTTTTTGCAGCGGCGACGGCGGCTTGGATGCCCGAGGTGTCGTTCGGGCCGGTAGTCGTCGAGTAGATCTCGACGCCTGCGACGTACTCGACGTTTTCGCTGCCCAAGGCCGCTTCCAGACTTTGCTTCAGGGTCCGGCCGTGCAAGGGGTTCGAGCTGGTGGATGGGGCGTAGGATCCCGGGTCGAGAAGGTCTCCAAACGGACCGACGAGTGCCACCTTGGAGAGATTGGATTGGGGGAGGAATCCGTCGTTGTTGCTCAGCAGGACGATGGCCTCGCGCGACGCCCGACGGTTGACGTCCAAGTGCTCGGCGGCACGGAGGGTCTGGTTGAGGGTTTCCAGGGTAGGCAGGGGGAGATCGAACGTGCCCGTCTCGAATTTGACGATCAGGTTCTGCCGGACGGCCTCGTCGACAAGTCGGATGACTTCTGCATCGTCAGAGCTGTTGACCAGGGAGGGGAAGCAGGCGGGCTGCCCTGGGGCCAACTCTAGCTGCAAGCCTGCTCGGAGGGCTCGGAGGGCGGCGTCTTCGAGGGAAGAAGCCACCAAGCTCTGAGTGTCCAAGTGCAGAATCCCCATGGCGTCTGACATGATCAGACCCTGGAAGCCCAGTTCCGACCGAAGCATTCCCTGGATCAGTTTCGTGTTCATCGACATGGGGACCCGGTCGACGCTCGAGTAAGAGACCATGAGGGCCGTGGGGTTTTCCTTGATGACCCGGATGTAAGGGATGGCGAGGTCGTTGTAGAGGTGATTCACACCGCCGTTCATGCTCGCCGTGTTGACACCTCCCACACCTTGGCCGTACATGAAGTGCTTGATCGTCGTGCCCACTTTAATATATCCATTCTCGTCTCGTTCTTGCATCGTCCGAACATATTGAGCGGCAAACTCTCCAATCAGGTAAACGTCTTCTCCATACCTGTCGTCACCATCACAAGAAATTTAGTACCGGGGGTCTTAATAAAGAGCAAAGAGAGAGGGGGGTTTTAGGGGAAATACTGACATCTCTCCGACACGGCCATACCTGGGATCCTTGGCCACGTCCAATTCTGGGCTGAGGACCCAATGCGTTCCCAAAGCCACGTTCTCCTCTCGAATGGCCGCCACGACTTCTCCGTACAGATCCAAATCCCACGTCGTCGACAAGGACAATGTGGCCGGGAACACTGTTCCACCGGGCACATAGATCGAGTTAACGGAATCCGTGACGGTGATCCACGGCACTTGAGAGTCATTCAATTGCTGCTCCCGAACCCTGTTGGCGTACGGCAGTACGTCTTGGGCCTGGTTGAGCTGAGAACCGTAACCTGATAGGTGTGGTCAGTCAGGAGAAGAGAGATCATCGAGAATGTAGAACTCACTCAAGATGCCGTGTTGCAATGGATACAGGTTGTCCCATGTTGTCTGATTAAAGGTAACGTTTGGGCCAAGCAGTTGTCTTATCCCACCCATCTGGGCGATCTTCTCTTCCCAACTGAGTTGAGGCAACAAACTATCCGCCCGGACAGCTGCAGGAAGAGACTTGTCCTGCCATGCTGTGCTGTTGTTGTCGCGTCGTACCAACACGGCGGATGAAGCTGCTGTCGAGATAAATAGAGCAAGGCCAGAGAACAAAAGACCGACCATTTTCGCTGATTTCTGCACGCGTGATCCTTCAGAAGGTCTCTGAGAAACGTTTACTCGCCAGGTTCAACTCTCGACACCATTTTTATAGCTTGCGAACAACATCAGAGGCTAACGAATGCCATCACTACCGAGGTCAGCCCATCTTTGCCGTGGTTTGGAGAGAGTTTGAATTTTTTTCCATTCCGAGGCGACGATCTTTTGGTAATTCGCCTCGAATGGCGACGGCACCATCGCCTTCGCTAGGTAAGTTATCCTCGCATCGCGCGGTGCCAACAGGTCAAAGTCCACCGCCCGGCTGGTATGATGAGACTTGGAGCCCCATGTTCACTCCGTTCTGCGGGGACATACGGTAAGTGGTAGTTGCGGAGGTTCACGTGGTGAATGAAGCCGTCGACCGACATCCGATGCATTGCCTGTTTGGGAATTGTATCCACTTGAGTATCTTCGACCGACATCCGTAGCGCATGAAGTGGCAGTTCCGTGTCTGGCCGAAGCATTTGGTAACATCTAATCTCAACGAGCACACGAGTTCGGTTTGGGATTTTGTGAACAGAGGGTCCCATTGAGAGACCTCAAGAGACCAAGGCTGATTAGGACACATTATTCAAGATCTTTTTCCTTGACCTTGATCCTGTGTGACGTTGAATTCCCTTCACCAACGTCTCCCTTTTTCATCGTGAAGAGATCAAGGCGTGTACAGTACACAAACCCAAACATCTAGGTACATGTTACAGCCATGGCAAACACAAAGCGGCCAAACATTCTTTTCATAATGGCGGATGACCATGCATCCAAAGCCATCTCAGCATACGGAGCCGGCATCAACAACACGCCCAATCTCGACCGCCTTGCTAAGGAGGGAGCCTTGCTCAACCATTGCTATGTGACCAACTCGATATGTACCCCGTCTCGAGCAGCAATTCTGACAGGCACATACAATCATGTCAACGGAGTGGTGACACTCGACAGCAAAATCAACAAAAATCTACCAAATGTAGCGAAACATCTCCGGACAGCAGGGTACGACACGGCAATGATTGGCAAATGGCATCTAGGTGAAGGAAAGGACTGTGAACCCAGTGGATTTGATCACTGGAGTGTGCTGCCCGGTCAAGGCAACTATTGGGACCCGACCTTCATCGACATGGACGGACATGAGAGGGTCACAGAAGGCTATGCTACGGACATCATTACCGACAAGTCTTTAAAATGGCTCAAAGAGAGACCTTCCGACAAACCTTGGTTTCTAATGTGTCACCATAAAGCGCCGCACCGCAGCTGGGAATGTGATGATAAGCACAAGGGCCTTTACTCTGGCAAGATCAAGGTGCCCGAGACCTTCTCAGACGACTATAAGAACCGGGCGAGGGCCGCCAAGATTGCAAAAATGCGTGTGGCAGATGATCTCACCTATAAGGATCTTGGCCTTGTGCAAACTGATGGCGGGAGACGCAAGCTGGGTGAGATGATGTGGGATGGAGCTCGTAAGATCCCAAACAACCCACAGGGGCTCCGACTCATCGACGCGGATGACGGAACTGTCTTTACCTTCTCTACCGAGAAAGAATTGGGTGAGTTCAAGTTCCAACGATACATGCAGCGGTACCTCCGCACCATCCAGAGTGTGGACGACAACGTCGGAAGGATGTTGGATTGGCTGGACCAGACCGGTCAAGCTGAGGATACCGTGGTCATCTATACCTCGGATCAAGGGTTCTTTCTGGGCGAACATGGCTGGTTCGACAAACGATTCATGTACGAGGAGAGCTTCCAGATGCCATTTATGTGCCGATATCCCCGAGAAATCAAACCAGGAACCATCAACAACGACCTCGTGAACAACGTTGATTTTGCCGCCTTGTTCCTAGATTGGGCACGAGCTCGAACGCCGAGCTACATGCAGGGCCGTAGTTTCAGGGGGCTGTTGAAAGGCGAGACGATTGACGATTGGCGGCAGGTGGCATATCATCGATATTGGATGCACAATGATATCATTCACGAGGCTTATGCGCACTATGGGGTCCGGGACCAACGGTTCAAGTTGATATATTGGTATTGTGAGGACTTAGGTGTGGAAGGCGCAAGGCCAGGAGGTGAGGATTACAAAGAGTGGGAGCTCTTTGACTGTCAGGAGGATCCGCTGGAGCTGTTCAACCTCTATAACGACCCTACGTATAGGGAGGTCGTGGCCCGGATGACCAGGCTCTTGGAAGAGAAGATGGATGAGATTGGTGACGAGCCCGCCCACCAGGTGAAGCGGATAGAGGATTCCCTGGTTCAACCGAAGCTTTGAATTCGTTGGAATTTCATGTGCTGCCTCGAAGGTATTTGGACTTTCTTCTTTTGGTAAAAGTAGTCGATTCTCATTTAGAAAGGACCCAGGAGCTGCGCATTAGATTTCGAGTTCGTTACGAAGTATTTTGATCGTTGCTTGTGGGCTGCGATCCCTGAATCGATATCAATAGTAGAGTAGTGTTTAGTAAAGAATTGGTTAGCCCTAGTTACGATGTAAAAGCAGCGATGCTCAATGAGTACGCAGTTTTGTCGCCAAGCCAAAGTGCCAGCGGCGGCGTTCGGCTTCTCAGGCCCTGCATCTCGAGAGTAACTCGATAGTAGCATCAATCTCCTACTTAATTTGTTTTCTAGTCTCTATTTCTTCCTTTTCCTTTCGTCTGGTGGCACCAGACGCTTTCATACCTGGTACTCCAAGCTTCGGTTCGGCTCACCGTGGAGAACATGGTATCTGAAGCTCGGTAGTCTACTCTTGTTAAAAAAAAGCCGCAACATACAACCTAGACAAAATTGCGCTCAGGCTGCCTTTCAATCGCATTGGGAATTGTCCAGAAGAATATCTTCGTCACAGTTTGCACTCTCTCCGATCGCCATGCAGTCAACCACTGTATTCTCGTCGCCCTTGACGGCGTCGGGCCGGTTCTACAAGCTTTGCGCCCAAATACTGCAACCTTCGACTCGGCGACACCAATCATCCTACCGCCGGGCAAGATCGAAGCTCAATGTCAAGCCAGATGCTTCGTTCTTGCCTTCCAAGACCGAGCAGCATGACCACATCATTTTCAATCCTCCTCCGAGCATGCCCAATATCTACCACACGCCTAACATTTTTCTCCCCGACAATGATCGAAGAAAAATCATACCCGATCGGGAAACACGAGAGGCACAGTTGTTGCTAAGCGAACGGATACCTGTTGTTAAAGGACAGCAAGAAAAGAGATACCATCTGACAGCGAAGGATGTGGAAGAGATGAGGGCTCTACGCAGGACAGCCCCGTCAGAATGGAGCGTCAACAAATTATCCAAAAAGTTCGACTGTTCTCCAATCTTTGCCATGTATGCCACAGAAGGACTGGCACCAGGAAAACAAGAACTGCAGAAAACAGTGACAAAGATTGTCAAGTCGAGATGGGGGAAGAAGAGACGGGAGGCACGCGAGGATCGAGAACTACGCAAAGAGAAGTGGTATAGGGACGAATAAGACCCAACTTTTGTAGAATATGAGCGAAGTCTTAGCTTTCAAAAATGTAAAGATACTGTTGATTGTCTCGGAAAACCATCTATAATCAAGTTCTGCTGGTACACTAAAGTCGTGTGAGCAATTCGTAGCCATTTCCATCAACAATTCATCACCCCGAAAGACTCGCGCGGATTTCTGCCGCATCTGCGACCTTCCACTACAACAACTCTCACATAGGGCCGAACTACCCGCAAGTAACCTTCCTGATAAACACATACATGTTCCTCAAATCTCGTGCTTCTCCATTCTCTTTCAAGAGTCTGCGTACCTTGTCAAGCACTTTTCCTTCCTCTCACATCCAGAGCAAATCCAATCTTGCTCCCCTGCATCCATTGACCTTTACACCAGTCCGGACCTACTACGGCCATATCACAGACCACAAGATGGCGCCTCAATTGGAACCCTACTTCAAGAAGTGCGATAAGAACTCCCATGTACATGCACAACCACTGATTCCTTTAGGGTCGATGAACTGGCCGACTCATTCATTGAGCGTAAGCAAAGAAGCCGTCCGCTTCAACACCATCAGTGGCGGGGTAATGACAGAGATTTGCAACAGGTCTGCGCAAAGCCGTCGCCATCCCTTCCGTGTCTGCAGATGAAGAGAAGAGAAAGGAAGTCGTACGGGTACGGGCATATTGTATCCAGCCATGACTTGGTCGGACATGACTGAAGAAAACAATAGATGGGCCAGTTCCTCGCCAACGAGCTTGAGACACTCGGCGCAGAAGTGCAACAACGACCCTTGGGCAAACAGCCGGGCAAGGAACACCTCGACCTCCCTCCCGTCATCATTGCGCGCTACGGCAACGACAAGTCGAAACGAACAATTCTCGTTTACGGGCACTACGACGTCCAACCTGCGCTCCTGGAGGATGGCTGGGCGACGGAACCCTTCAAGCTGACCATTGATGACAAGGGCCGCATGTACGGCCGTGGAAGCACTGACGACAAGGGCCCTGTGCTGGGTTGGATCAACGCCATTGAGGCACACCAGAAGGCCGGCGTGGACTTCCCCGTCAACCTGCTCTGCTGCTTCGAGGGTATGGAAGAATACGGCTCCGAGGGTCTCGACGACTTTATCAAAGCCGAGGCCAAACAGTTCTTCAAAGACGCCGACGCAGTTTGCATAAGCGACAATTACTGGCTCGGTACCGAGAAGCCTTGCCTCACGTACGGTCTCAGAGGATGCAACTACTACTCGGTCGAGATCTCCGGCCCAGGCCAGGACTTGCACTCTGGCGTGTTCGGCGGCACGGCACACGAGCCCATGACCGACCTCATGGCCGTCCTGGGCAAACTGGTCGACGTCAACGGGAAGATCCTCATCCCTGGTATCAACGAGATGGTTGCGCCTGTCACGGAGGATGAAAAGGCCCTCTACGGCCCCATCGCCTACACCATGGACAACCTATACGAGAGTCTTGGCAGCACGACGGGAATCTTTGACGACAAGGAGCGCACGTTGATGGCGAGATGGCGGTTCCCGTCACTGTCGATCCACGGTGTCGAGGGTGCCTTCTCGGCCCCAGGCGCAAAGACCGTCATCCCGGCCAAGGTCATCGGCAAGTTCTCCATCCGTACCGTGCCGGACATGGAGTCACCGCAGGTCAACGAGGCGGTGTACAAATACGTCAAGGACGAGTTTGCCAAGCTCGGGTCCAAGAACAAGCTCGACGTCTACTGCCAGCACGACGGGAAGTGGTGGGTGGCCAGTCCGAAGCACTGGAACTTTTCGGCCGCGAGCAAGGCCGTCAAGGAGGTCTACGGTGTCAAGCCAGACATGACCCGCGAAGGTGGCAGTATCCCGGTCACCCTCACGTTCGAGGAGGCGACCGGCAAGAATGTGCTCTTGTTGCCCATGGGAAGCAGCACGGACGCGGCGCACAGCATCAACGAGAAACTCGACCGGAGGAATTACATTGAAGGTACGAAGCTGTTGGGTGCGTACCTTCATTATGTTGCGGAAGAGCCCATGGTGGCTGCGTAGATACCTATCTTAGGCACCTATTCGTGTCTGATGCCCTCGAGAAGTCAACGATAGCGGCAGAGAGGGACTCGACTGTTCACCTGGACCTAAAATAGAAGTGCTATAAGACGACTTGTTAAATTATGCCGATTCCCGAGCCCTAGAAAAGTATAGTCTCGTATCGTACAGTATTTATCTCAGAATCCTCGACCCTCATACACCAGGCACTAACGAGCTTAAGTTCACCCCAATCTTGATCTTGATCGGAACCACGAAACAAACCTGATCTTGCCTACGGCGACGCATTCCAGGAGCGGAAACAGACGGATCCAGGCTCCAGTCAGTTTCCAAAACGTCTCCATCTCATAAGACCTTCGCATTCTCAAGGATGAAGAGTCACGCTCGAAGGGAATATCTATACCGTCCGCGTAAGCAGACTAACACTAAATCTACCAACCCAATAAGAGACTTCCCCTGCCACGGACGGCTTGAAATCGGATGCTGTCACGGTTAGGAGAGGTCTGATCTTGGAGAAGCATGCATGCCTTGAGCAGCGCTTTCGCTTCCCAAGGGAAACGCAACGACCTCTGAGCTGGGATGCCACCGATGCAGGTCGTCGATACCAATGACCTCGTCTTCTTTGACGTAATGTTGCATCAGGTCCATGGTGATAGGTGAAAGAGCTCCTAGTTACAGTCAGGACATGTACTTCGTCGACTATAGATCGCGCAAGGCTGAACAAGTGGACCTTTAAGTACGAACCTGTTGAGTCTGACATAAAGGTACTAGCGCGGACGATAAGCCGGCGAATTTGTAATGAAATGGGGGCCCATACCATTGCCGGGGCCGGCTCCCACATCACTACCGTGGACTAGGGTCAAATCAAGTGAGTATGTGGTGAGACAAGACAGCCTTCACTATTCCACCTCTGTTGGCATTTGATGTTATCCAGAGAGCAAGAAAATTCAAATCTAGGTCCAGCCGGCATGTTCAGCTTCGTAGCCCCATGGCTTACCAGAATCAGTGTTGTTGATGAGCCGGTCGGTGGGTCAGCCGGCGGGAAAAGCAAGTCTACAGACTGGACGAGGACGCCCGTTAGTCGGCCAGGTTAGTCGCGCGAGAATCGACTCATTGGTTACTGTATCCTTGTCTGCCAATTCATATGGCACTTTAATACTTGAGAACGCAGCAGAAAACTCGCAGTTGAAATGTTTCTTGTTGATCTGTCTGTCCATTTCATGAGAAGAGCCACGCTTACTTCTTCGTTCTCGTTCCAATGTCATCCTCTGGTAAAAGACCTTGTGATCCTGCAGTTGTGGACGTCAAGACCACTAACTCTGAGGCAGAGTTTGTGAAGCGCCAGATCACTGCACCGCCAGGTCTCCCAAGCAAACAGCCATCAACATCAGCCTGGCAAGAGCCACCGGGTCCGATTGCTCAGATCCAATCTCAGCATCTCCCAGATGCAGTTGACATTGTCATTATCGGTTCCGGGTTGACGGGATGCGGCGTCGCACATACTCTGTTGAACCACCCAGCAGCTGCACGGCTCCGCATTACAGTCCTTGAAGCACGCAATGCTGTTAGCGGAGCAACAGGCCGCAACGGCGGTCATCTCGTCTCCAACGCCGCCGAGCTCGTCCCAGGTCTCGTTGCGGACTTCGGGCCAGAAGAGGCTGCCAAGGTTGCACGATTCAGCGAGGCTGCCATCATTCGTCTCAAGGAGATCGTCGACGGTTTGGACAAAGCTGACCACGAAGCCTCTGAGTTTCGGCACGTTGTCAGCACGATGGGCTTCCATGACCAAGAAACCTTTGAGAGCAGTAAGAGGGCAATCGAGCTCCTTCAGAAAATAGCACCTTCTACTGGGGTTCTAAATCACAACATTATTTCCGCAGAAGAAGCGATTGAGGTTTGAGATTCACATGTTTCGACGGATTAGACGACGTGGCTGACTTGTGAAGAAATACCGCTACCGGGATGTTGTTGGTGGCGCGGAGCAGCATGGAGCGGCGGCTCTGTGGCCTTATCGAATGCTCACCGCCGTCTACAAAGATCTTCTGAACAGGTATCAAGGTCGATTTACACTTGAGACCAATACTCCAGCACTTTCCATAGAGTCTGGTGTCCCAATCTCGGATGGAGATTCATTATACATTATCGAGACACCGCGCGGCCAGATCAGGTCTCGGAAAGTCATACATTGTACCAATGGATACGCCGGTCACCTGATTCCAAAGCTCAGAGGCAGCTTGTATCCGTTGCGCGGGACAATGTCTGTTCAGAAACCGAGTGCGTCGTTTCCTCGTCTTGGGGATCAAGTTTCGTGGGCCCATGGCGGACAACGAAATCTCGACCCCCGAACTGGTATAATGGATGCGAGTCTGTATTATGCACAGCAGAATGCAGTGACGGGAGAAGTTTGGATCGGCGGAGACGTTCAACCACTCAGCCAGCTCCTGACCAGCGATGATTCCTGCGTTGGGGAATTAGCTGCCAGAAACCTCAGCACCATCCTTCCTAGGATATTTGACGACGATGGCTCCCCGGAACCATTAAAGGTGTGGTCCGGCATCATGGCCTTCACTGCCGATGGCCTACCAATAGTTGGGAAGCTCCTCTCCTCGTTGACGGAGCGTTCAGGAGACGGAGAATGGATCTCTGCTGGGTATAATGGCCACGGGATGGACAAAGGCTGGTTGTGTGGCGAGGCCGTGGCGAGGATGGTGTTGGAGGAAGAGACTCCTGAGCTTCCGGGTTGTTATCTCTTGAGTGCGGAGAGACTCAAAAGCTTGACGGTAGACAACGCTGTAGATAGACTTCTCAACGTGATCGAGAAGTGATATAGCAATTCCAGGGAACACACGTAGCGACTTTGAAGTGTTAATAGTTTCGATATCAAAATTGCCAGATCCGGTATGCCCCTCACCGGGAAGATATTTCTCCGAACCTTGGAAACTGATCTAATACGTTGCGTGAACTGCCGAGTCGTGTGCAACCCCCGTTCCCCAGAAACGCTGATAACCATCGGTCGTCCGCTAACTCGCAGCCAAGTAAACGATTCGACTCCTGACCGTTCCATAATCATCGAAACGCTATGGACGGCTGCCCTCCGCAGCAGCGGGCATGCGATCGCTGCCACAACATCAAGGAACGCTGCCGATGGGTTCATGGCTATCCCAAATGCGATCGCTGCTTTCGTCTCAACCACATTTGCCAGAAGAACCGCCCTACGAGAAAACGCGGCCGGAGGCCTTTTTCATCACCTGACGACTCTCCCGTTGGGGGGAATGACTTCAGGCAGGACGGGTTACATCGAGACAGGATTCGAGTCCCGGGCCGACACTACCAGCCTCCCTCCCTGGACTCGAAGGATACGGGTTACACCTGCCCAGAAGAGAGCTCCGGTGGCGAAGCATCAATCACCTCTCGCCCCGGAAACGGCTTGATGAAGTATAATATCAAGATGTCGACAGCTGAGACCGAGCAGATTCGGCAAATCCTCTTCTCTGACTGTCTGCTCGAAAACTTTATCCTGGGCCCGAGTTTCTGCGAGAGCATGCGCCAATACCTCATCCCGCGTCTCTTTCTCTCCAAGACTGTGCTCCAGGACGGGTTCCTCGCTGGCGCTTTGTCATGGACAGGCACAGAGGAAGGTTGCCTCGAGCCTGATCTGGTCGACGCTTCGTTTCGTCACGCCTCGTCCGCCCTGGCATCGCTGGGCTCCCTCAAAGTCACCGACTTTGAAACAATGTCAGATTGTCTTATGCTGGGCGTATCTCTGATAAATTTTGCACTGAAACATCGTGTGAAGGATGTTCATACCATCTGCTGCCAGACCCTGGTACTCATGAAGCCGTTTTACGATGTACACCTATCGGGAGCATCGGATCCCTTGGGTCTCTTGACATGTATGACTTTGTGGGACATTAGCGGATCTGTATTGCAGTCCAAGATCCCAACGCTACGGTTTTGCGTGCCGCAAACATCTACTGACCAGCACGTTGATCGTTATTTGGGCATTTGCGTGTCCCTGATCCCCCTTCTGCAAGACATTTGCGAAATCAGCGCGGCACTGCTCTGTGTCGACGCTGATGACGCTCAAGGAATTTTTCAAACGTGGCATGAGCTCGAAGACAAGGTTCAACAGTGGCGTCCAGCAACGTCACAGGACCTGCACCGCCTATTCAATGCCATCGAGGTTTCCCACATGCTGTGCCAGGCTCAAGTCTGGCAACAGGCTGCGCTGCTTATCCTTCATCGTTTGCGACATCCATATGGCACCAATGACGAACCAGCGCGGGTCCTTTCCAAGGCCATTCTCACAAACCTAGATATGATACATCTTTGCACGAGAAAAGCTGTCAAGCACGTCGAACTGGCCTTTCTCGTGGCCTGTCTCGAGGTTGAAGCCAGGCAACGTCGCCAATGGCTTCAAAAAGTGCGGGTTTTGGTCGGCTACTCGGCCCAGTTTCAAAAGGACATGCAAGACACCATCACTTCAATCTGGAGAGCTCAAGATCGTTGCAAAACAATGTCTTGGGGAAGTTTAAGTATATTCAGCTCAGGGTTCTTGAGAAGTCCGACAGTACAGATATAGTCGATGAACCCATGATTCAATCAGCACAGTCAAGGTCTCTGGGCCATAGACTTTGATTTGCTTCAACCACCCATCCAAATTCTGGCAGCAGGGCCGATGTACTAGTGCAGAACATAGTGACGATACCTGTCAGCAGTAAATCGTCGTGCGTCCTTACCCCAGAAAATCAGAAAGACAGGAATTGTCCCCAAGACAAGCGAGAGGACCACACAAAGAATAAACATGTTCTGGAGGCCCATCCCTTTGATCCACGGGACCAAGGAGAAAAGCACGACGACCGAGAACACGTTCCTGACGAATACCACCCCTACAAACCCGTCTCCAACAGCCTACCATTGATGTGTTAGAATAGACAAGGTGCTTCTTTTCTGAAATCAAGGGAGTAAAGTCTTACATCTTTATATGAGTCGATGGCATATGAGATTGCCACGTCGCCGCAGACCATGAATCCTGCGCCATTGATCGCCAATCCTACAGCAACAACCGGCCACGGAGCATTCTGGTGTGGTTGTTAGCATCCCACGTTCGCTAATGCCTGCTCGGCAGACCTTTCAGTGTGGAAGTACAAGACTTACATGGCAAAGGCCGAAGCCAAACATTGCAATTCCGCCGGTCGTCAGCAGTGCGCCTGGAATAGCAGGGTACAACCGCATTTCCGGCTCATAAAGTCCATTGTTGCGCCGGGCCAAGTGCAAAATGATCCAGTCATTCAGAGGAGTAATGGCCATGCCCACGACCGAACCGATGAATGGGGCCACATTGAAAAGGCCCAAAGCTGAAGCCGAGAAATTATACGGTGGGGCGGATAGATGCTGCGGTGCAAGGGTGTTCATGATCGCGAACCAGGCCAGAAGCGAGCCATAGGTGATGGCAGTATATGCCATCCCGGGAAACATAACCAAGAGGATAAACGGCCGGTAGAAGTGCTGCGAGATGGGTGCCGGAGTCTTGGTCACCAGAGCGAACCGTTCACGAAGAGGTCTTCGCGCGGGATACAAGTTAGGTACGCTTATCGAAGCCACAGGTTGCAGCCCCTCTTCGGCTGTATCTTTCTTGGGATTCGAACCGCCGCCGGTCATTGTAGCTTCGGGCTCGCAATTTCCCGGCAGGCTCCCAATGAGCGGTGTATAGGTTGTCTCCTCAAAGAAGAACAGGACAAGAAGGAAGGTGACGGAGAGGAAAATGGTGCACCACCACCACATCCAGCGCCAGCCTTGTGAGTCAATGACATAGCCTGCCGCGACAGGGCCCAGGTATGCTCCGGTAGCTTGGGTGCCGAGAAAGAGCCCGTTCACGGTGGCGTACTGATGCGTGAAGAACAGGTCCGCAATCGTGACTTGAACAATGGTCTCACTGATCGCACCGGCCAACCCCATCACCAAGTTTGACGCCATGAGCTCTCCATTGGTGGTGACTCTTGCCGACCAGATCGCACAGGCCAATTGAAGCGCGAGGCTGACCAGATAGACCGGTCGTCGTCCGTATCGGTACGTGAACGGAATGAAGAAGACGCATCCAACGGCCAAGCCGGTGTAGTTGAGGGCGATCGACGTCGTGTAAACAAATGTGGTCATGCCCACATCTTCAACATACTCGGCGTAGGCCACGAACTGAATGTCGAGGAGGACAAACGTGAAGAGGACGTAGAAGAGGGCAAGCGTAAAGTTGACTCCCTTTCGCAGTTTGGACCAGTTCAACGGCTCATTCGGGTCGTCAGACGGAGCCGGTTGCAGTATGGTCGATGATTCCCTGGTCGTAAACACTGTCACAACGTCAATTTCCGCAATTTACGCTCCGGGTTTTGGAGTCCGTTACCTTGGCTCAGAAGGACGGTGCCAGGAGGCGTGTCGACACCGTTGGTATTCGAACCTCGCACCATGGTAGATTCGACAACGCAGGAGACTGATGGAGGAGAAGCTGTACAAATCGGGGGGGTTTCACGAGAAACGTACTGCAACCACGGTGGACTCGAGTACATCCAAGATATATCCTTCGCCCGAGGACAGAATGTTTATTCATCTTGACTCCTATCACGGTCGCATCGCATCCCCTTTAGGAATGTCCTTGAGATGCGAAGTTCAACGACCTGACAGGCCATGGTGGAACAGACAGCCTCATTGTGTAGGTGCCAGTAAGAGGACTCCTAGACATGGATTATCTGCGCCAAAAGCAACTCTGGAGTAGTCTAGTCAGGACAAACAGGCCGGTCAAATTTCCGGCTTATCAGCCAATCAGACGGCGTTGGACCATGTCGCGGCACCCACCTAGTTAGTCGTTCTATCCAGATTGGGGTTTCCAAGAACAATCCCCCCTCCCCCCCGGGATACCCACCACCAAACCGCTACGAAGGTTATAATGACGTCTCCCTACTGGGTTGTCGCGAATGTTCAGGACGTGCAAGCACAAAGAAGCTGAAAGGTTACCGGGGACCCCATTTCGTGTCACAAGCTCCAACTCTTGGGCCTTGTGATAGATCATAGCAACGAACGAGCGCTCATTTAGCTTCGAGACGTCTTGGCCACTGGGGTGGACATGTCAAGGACGACAAGAAAGGGATTGACAATGTTCTTCGCGATCCTTGTGCCGGTTGCTTCGGGCATCTGAGAGGCTCGTTACCGGCCAGAACGGAAGCGAGCAGCCGCGGGACAAGAACCATCAAGGAAGTGTAGAGCTGATCGTGAAAAGAAAGACGGATGATTTGAGAGTCTACGAAGAAACAGCTCACCAGGAGGTTCCGCTCTGTTTTTGGCTGTCTGAGTGTCTCATGAAATAACTGACAAGGACAATGTTGGCGAAAGTGACCAGATAGTTACTGCGTTTTTGGCTACCCTGAAGCCAGCGGCAGCCTCGACTCTGTGTTGGCTTTCTGCTGATTATCTTACCGACAGGCTGATCACTGATCAATACGGCACCTGTATTATAAAGCTTATCACAGATATGCGATTTTGCCTGGGACTTGTAATGTCCTCCACCGAGGTAGGAAGAGCCATGTGTGCGTCAGTCCCTATCAAAGACCTCCGGTCGCATGAAACGCCAAAGGTGAAGCATAGACAAGGCCGGTGGTCTCGGTGGGAGGCCCCCCTCGGCAGGGCTAGCTCCCCGCCATCCAAAGAGGCCCAGCCGAAGTCTCACCCAATCCATCCTTGAATGCGCCGGCTTATCGTCGCGCATGTTATCCGACCGGTGGAATAATCCGGGGTATTTGCCCGGTTCCGCTTTTCTCATCGATTCTGACTGACGCATGGCTTTGCTGTCTAATCTCTTTTCTCATTGGACAATTTGAACGTCGGGGTGGTGAGTATCGATCCCGTGGAACCATGATATTCCCGCGTTTGGCTTTTGTCTATGTCTGATATCTCCGGTAGCGAGAAGTTATGAACTTCGGCCTGACCTCAGAAGGCAAGTCCATCCGTACAAAATACTTCTAAGGATAGAGGGTTAACCATATTTTTAATCGTTCTCGGACACCTACAGCTTCTATCGTGATAAAATTGTGGGTCGATGGCTCAAGTACAGTTTTCCAGAGCGTTGTTGTTTGCCCTGAATACAAGGTGGAGGCGGTCATCTACAGCAGATACTGGCCGAGAGGAAAATTCCTTTGTTCTCGTGACGGTGTTTCTTCACCGTAGAAAGCCAACGAGTCATCCATCATGATGTAGGTTCAAAGTATCGCTAAGATAAAAGCATGACTCTTTATGCTACCTTCGGCAAGTCAAAGCGAATTCTTATCATGGAATGACTTGACTCTCACTTGGACATATCCAAGGGTCTGCTTCTGTTACGAGCTCTACATATAGCTCGCCTACACCGAGCTCGACTCGATGTCCGTCAGTGCTTGACAGCCGAGACCGTTGATCACTGAGTGCCTAGCCCAGGAGATATATTTCGGGAGATTGCTCTTCAGTAAAGGGCAGGAGTTCTCGTCAGAATCACTGTCAACACTCGAAACACGGACGAACCTACTGCACCATGCACAAGTACTCGTTGAAGGCTGCGACCGTTGCAGCAGTGTCATTCCCCTTTTCGGTCGGCGCCCAGGGCCTTGGGCGCTTCCAAAAGTTCAATACCTCGGATGCGATCGTTCCTGTGTTGGAGGTACAAAAGTTTGGCCCGACGGAGGGCGGATTCTTGTTCCTCAACACGCAAACCAACACTAGCACCGTCCCTGCCATCTTCACGGATGATGGCTCGTTGGTCTGGTGTGACGATCAATTCGAGCACAGCACCAGCGTCTGGCCCATCGGGCCTCTACGGCCACAAAAGGTTCGCAATCAGACTCTCCTCTTCAATTGGGTCGGACCCGTCTACAATGAAGGACTCGGTTGGGGAACCATCCAGGTTTTTGACGATAGCTACACCAACATCTACAACGTGACCTTGGAGGAGAGCTTTCAGATCTTTGATCACATCAAACATTCGTCGTACATGGATTTCCATGAGAGTGAGGTCACGGACAATCAGACAATATTAGTGACGGCGGTCAACATCACCACGGCAGACATGACGGCCGTCGGTGGCCCCGGCGATGGATATGTCATAGACAGTCAATTCTACGAGATCGAGATCCCTTCCAACAAGGTCGTTTTTCGGTGGAGCAGTGTCGAGCACGTCGACCAGATCCCGCTTAATCACAGCCTTCTTCCACTTGAGAGTCTCATCTCTGGCAACGGGACGTCGTTCGAACATCCGTGGGGCTACTTCCATATCAACTCGGTGAAAAAGTATGGGAACGACTACCTGATTTCCTCCCGGCTACTGTGCAGTCTCTTCTACATTGACGCCGGAGGCAATGTTCTCTGGACCCTTTCTGTAAGTTACCGAGAGTTCGAGCCCGGCTTTGTGTCCCTAGAAGCTGATCTACTCCCAGGGACAGAATGGTGGCGACTTCAGACTCGGCGAAAACACTCGTTTCTGCTACCAGCACGATGCCCGAATCGCTTATCAAGACGCCGACAGAATGACCATCACCCTGCATGACAATGGAGATACGGAGTACGACAACAATACCCTGACACGGGGGTTGTCGTTGGATCTCGACATGTCTACCAAGCTGGTCACGGTGAATCGGTCCTTGTCAAACCCGACCGGCCCAGTGTTTGCAGTCTCTCAAGGGAGCTATCAGGATTTATCCGACGGACATGTCCTGCTGGGCCACGGTGCTGTGCCAGTTGTCGAGGAGTATGATGCGGATGGCAACATTGCAATGCTGATCACTTTTGGTACATACTACCTGCAGCAGTCCTACCGAGCCTATCGCTACCCTTGGACGGGAAGACCTGCGACTCCCCCAAGAGTGGTCGCTTTCGAGGGCGAGGGTACGGATGTGTACATGAGTTGGAATGGCGCCACCGACCTCGCCGAATGGTCTGTGTATTGCGGCCAGCCGAATGGTGGAGGATTTTCGAAACAGGCTACTGTGCGGTGGGCTGGATTCGAAACCGCCGTCAACATCCCACAGAAATGCCAGTCAGTGCAGGCGGAAGCCGTGACTACCAGCGGGCAACGGACGAACTCTTCTATCGTCACAGTAGGCAAGTTTGGCTTGTGATATATATTGCTCAATATGATGCTGATGGCAATAAAACATCGACTACTTGATATAATTAGATTGAACGTTGTATCCTCGAGATCCATCATCTGGCTGAATCGATTGTTGAGGAACCACACTCAGCATTGCTCCACGGTGCACATCCGACATAGCAAAGCACGGTGACGGAGGTAGACAAGTCGCTTACCAGTGTGACCATGCCGAACGGCAGATGAAACCACGAGCACAACCCAGAGTCTGCAAACCCCAACCAAGCCAGCAGGTCATCGCGAGGTACCGACATGCCCAGCCCAGATTTGATTTGCCAGGTGCTCCGTAGGGGTTTTGTTCGTGTAGCCGTATTCGAAGTCTTTCGGAGCACGACAACTCCCAATCTCCTTCTCCACAGAATCGTTTCGTCGCCGAATTAGTTCATTTGGGTGCATCCGTAAGTGGGACGTAACGAACTCCCATGTCCCTCTTTTTCGTGACTTTTCCATCTTTGTCTTTATCCACCACCCAGATCCACTGGCTACCCCAGCCATCTTTGTCTTCCACGGGGATGAACATCCTACCCGGGGATTTCAACTGGTCGACCAGACTCTGGTGCAGCTCGGTCGCGGCGGCGCCGACGTGGATCGCGTCGTAGGGACCCCCCTTGGGGTAACCTTTGCGTCCGTCGCCCACGACGAGTTCGACCTTTCCCGTGTCCAGAAGCCGGCGGCCTTCCTCGGACCGCCTCATGTTTTCCCGGCTCATGTCGACCAAACCCTGGATGTGGTCTATCCCCACGACGTGGCCGTCACCCTTGCCGTCCGCGCCGCAGACCAGGTTCGCCAGGACGTGAGTGAGGTAGCCACTCCCGGAGCCGATGTCGAGGACGTTGGCCGCCCCGGACTCGGGCATGAAGGGGAGTAAGGACTCGGCCGCCGAGGCGTGCATGTGGGGTGCGCTGATGGTGGCCGAGAAGCCTATGGGTTGAGGGGAATCTTCGTACGCCGCCGACGGACTTGAAGGGCAGTAGTGAGCCCGGTCGACCGAGGACATGGATTCTCGGACGCGGGGGGAGGTGATGAGCCCGGCGTTGAAGAGGTTGGTGATGAGTTCGGCGTTGGTGCGGCCGGAGCTGCGCCACGCCATGGTTGTCGGGGAGGAGGAGGGAGGTTTGAAGAGGGAGAGGAGGAATCTCTTGACCGAAGGGCGTGGAATGATGGTGGGATACTCTTGCTGGTGAAGTGTAGAACTTGGGAATGGTTGGAAGAGTATCGCGACGAGGACGATTGATATTGAGATGATGGTGATCGCATAGAGAGTCCTAGGTCTGTGGACCATGCGGTTGCTTTTCAAGGCTCAATACACCGAGGAGAAACATGATAGAAATTCTGAGGTGGTACGACGATGTAATTGTGTGTTTTGCAAGCGACCAGATAGCATAAGCCATTTGGCATGTGGTGTGAGAAGAATCAAGATGCAGCGGCGGGGATGTCACCACACGCGAGTATTTACTTACAGTATGTCATGATGAGATCGGATAAATTGTTCCGGCGCCGCGGGGTTGAAAGGGTGCAGCCTCGCCTCCCACAGCCTCGTCGACCATGTTAGGGAAAATACGGGATATTCTCAACAATTGTTTTATTCGCAGGGTATCCTATCTGTGCTGTTTCCAAAACCCCCTATGGACCGGACCAGATCAATGAGTTGAACATTGACGTGACGTTTTCAACACTGATTCTTTATTCTTGTGCTTTTTTCGCATTCTCCGCGGCCTTCAACGCCCTATTGAATCGTGCCAGCAAATCTTCGGTATCCTCTAATCCAACACTCAATCGGACCAGATCAGCATCCACGCCTGATTCGGCGGCCCATTTCAATTCGTTGTAATGCGCAAGAATGGTGAACGGACAAGCCAGTGTAAAGTTCGTCCCCAGGCTAGGCCCCTTTTGACACTCGAGCGTGTCGAAAAAGGCAATCGCCTGCTCGTATTCCTGGAACGTGACGGAGAGCAAACCCCCGTAACCACCGTTGGGCGCTCGGCAGGCATCGTAGTTCGCCCGGGTCGGACTGAATTTCGGATAGTAGACCTGTTTGACGAATGGACACGATCGGAGCAGATCGACCAGGGCTTCCGTGTTGGAGTTGATCCTCTCGGACCGGTAGATGAAATCTCTGGAGTTCCGCTCCATGAAGACCGCGTCCTCGGCCCAGTAGTTGTCCTCGTACTCGTTCTGGAGCGTCTGCTTGAGCTCGCCGTACATCTTGCTCTGCGGGTTGAGCACGGCACTGCCGCCCATGACGTTGCTGTCGCCGCTAAACACCTTGGTCAAGCTGCTGACCACCATGTCGGCGTGGCGGAGGACGTCGATGTTGGTGAAGTTGCCCACAGTCTCGTCGATGACGACGGCAAAGTCGTACTTGTCGGCCAGTTGACGTATGCGTAGGAGATCGGGGGAGTTGAGTAGCGGGTTGCTGGGGAATTCGGAGAACAGGCCCAGGAATCGCTCGCCGGATTCCAGCCGGCGCTCGAGGTCGTCGAGACAAGCCGAGCTTCCTAGGCCGTAGAACTGGCAGCCTGGGCCCCACTTTTGTAGGATCTTGAGCGTGTCGACGTACGGAAAGCCGAAACAGATGCTCTTGCGGGGCTCACGGCCGTGGGCGGCGGCGTTCGCCAAGAGGATCCTGTGGGCGTTGAAGATGGATGACATTCCAGTCGGGTACAGGTACACGTCGTCCTCTGACAGTCCCTGCTGTCGCTTGTTGCTGTCGCTGGGTGATGCGGCGAGGGCCTGTTCCAGCTCGGAATTCTCGGTTAGGCAACCGGCAATCCTGCGTCGAATCGCAAGTTTGGCCTGTGAGGCCAGCTTGATGTTGAGGTTTCGGCCGAATCGTTCCTCTACAAATTGGGAGGAATCCTTTTCTGAGACATCAGCCGAACCATCTGAGGGTTGTGGGGCTTCTGGGGGAGGAGCGACGCTGTGAATAATGCCGTTCTGAGGCACCTTCTGATATCTCCGAGGTCCCTTCGAGTATACATCGTCCGTCTTTGGCTTTGGCTGATTGGTGACAGGCTGCAAGATCCCCTCCTTCAGTGCCTTCAGGCAAAATTCCCCCCGCCGGCTCGAGATGCCGTCCCCAGTATGCTGCCACACCTGTTTCGCCACACTGAAGTAGTCCTTGGGAAAGAAAACGCAAAACAATGAAGAGAACGTGGTCTCGTGGTTTTTGCCTTGGTTGACGGGTTCCAATTGCAGTATGTGCACGATGCCAGTTCCTAGACCTTCAACTTTGTCATAGAAGAACTTTTGACACCTCTTTGCGGTGGCGAGGGATGGAAACAACATGACTTTCTCGCCGTGTCTGCCATGAAGCTTCAAAATTTCCTTCTCCAGTTCTTGGATGATCAGATGGATGAAGAAGCGGGGATAGCCAGTTTGCATCCTCGATAAGAGCCATTCTTCGCCTTGTTCGTAGCTAACATTGGCTTTCCATGTCGGCAACGATACGCTCACTGCGTGCGCTGTATTCGGCACTGGCTGTCCAACAGCTGCAGCCATTGTGGATTGGCCTGAGATTCTGAGATGTTGAGAACTCTAGACAGAGAGACGATGTGTTTGCTCAGTGCAATTGGGACTGTTATGCAGGTGACCAAGCGCTGGGGTTTGGAGTCATCAATGAAGATTTTTCCGATATCGCAGAGACTTCCCACCCCGTTCAAATTGTCTAGTATACTTCAAAAACTTTGGGTTATTCACGCACCAGATATGTGTGTCTGTTTCAATAATAATATGTCCAATTACCCTGCAGAGGATGCTGTGATCTTTGAGATACCTTGTTTCCCATCAGAGTTTCTCATCTTTTGGTTCCGGGACCAAGATGGTCTATTAACGGCGAATTAAGTGCCGAGAAATGCGTCGAAAATGGTCTATAAATTTTCTACTCTTGGCAGCTCAAAGTTTCAAGATTCATCGTCCGCCAACTTCCAACCGCCGTACCATTGGTCTTTTCATATTGTTGGATAGCATTTAGCGGAAATTGATTAAGAGTTTACGTTATTTCAACACCCCGGAAACGAGTTCTAGGATTTGCGGTGGTGGCCGTTGTGTTGCGTTGCGATGTCTTTCGAAGCGATGCCCTCAAGACACTCGCCAAAGAGGAGAAAATTAAGCCATAGCTCAAACGGCTGTGCAGACGAAGAACGCAACGATGGCAGTGCAGCAAAGAAGAACACAATTACGAAGAAGCCCAAGAACAAAGACAATAATGTACCGGCTAGTGGAATCACCAAGTCATCGATTCTGGCTTTGCAGGTCGCAGATTTGATTGCAGAAGTAACACCAAACTATGATCGATCTTATGCGAAATGGGGCGGACTTTCCAACAGACTGCAAACTATCATCAAGCAGATCAAGACACGAGCTCCAGTCACTGCGGTTGACGCCGTAAAGACTCTACGCAAAGAGGGCGTTAGAATCCCATTCACTGAACCACGGCCTTCGAAGGACACCAAGTACAAGTTCGAGTTCACTGTACCAAAAGACATCGAGGTCGGTGGAGCACTAGCTTGGGGATTAAGCGTCAAAGGCGACAATGTGATTCAGCTTACTGCTATAATGCCGCCTGAGCTACTGCAGGAAAAGGACTATCTCAACAACCGGGCGCCTCAAAAGGCTGCTTTTTATCTGGCTTGCATTGCCGCCGGCATCAAAGAAGCTGCAGGCTCAGAATTCGAGATGTCTTTCGCGTATCTATACGGTGTAGACTATCTGCCGGTTCTGAATCTCATAGCCAAAGACAAATCCTTGTCAAAGGTCAAGTTCCATGTCAGTGTGGGGTTCCCAGAGGACTTGATGCCGACGGCAAAGACGCTTCCTACAAAGAACAACCTCAGACACGGCACAAATGAGGCGTTGGAGACCCCAACGCCATTCTACAACAGTAGCATACGATTTGCAGCGTCCACAGCAACATTCAGCGAGATGATCAGGTCCGCCAAAAGCGCTTCATTCGACGACGCATGCCGCCTTGGGCAAGTCTGGCTACAGCAACTTGGCTTTGACAGCTCAATTCAATCAGGTGGTTTTGGCTTTTTGGAATGGAGCGCGACATGCGCATTGTTTCTTCGGACGGGAGGACATCGAGGTCTCCCATTGTTTTCGAAACAGTACAGCAGTCTGCAGTTCTTCAAGGCCATGCTCCAAATCCTTGCGACTCGAGACTTCCGTGACCCAATGGTTCTCAATGACACATCTCTCGAAATACCGAGAATAGAGTCACCTGCCCTCTACGACGCAACCACGGGTGTCAACATTCTGTACAAAATGACGCCATGGTCATATCAAACTCTCCAACACCATGCCCGGATTTCTTTGGCCGCAATCAATGCGCGGAACCAGGACAACTTTGATGAGACTTTCATTCTCAACACCGTCGTTCCTGTCGTGCAGTACGATGAGATGTTCCGCATCACTCTCCCCGTAGAGGGCGTCGACACAACCTCGCAACTGCGCCAACATCTGTCCAAGATGCACAGCATTTTGGTCCGTGGTTTGGGAGACCGCGTGAGCCTCGTCAATTTTAAGTTCCTGGTAGCTACGGAGTGGCCACTGAAGCATGACCCTGCCGTTACAAACGGAAAACTCGATCTCGAAGTCCGCCTCCTCACCAATCCCGATGCTGTAACGCGACTCGTCGACCATGGACCTTCTGCCGACGAACAAGATCTGGCCGCAGAATATCGAGCATTTTGGGGCGAAAAGGCCGAACTCCGCCGCTTCAAAGACGGCTCCATCTCTGAAGCTCTCGTATGGGCACCGTCCATACCTGTCACGCACCAAATCATTGCACATCTCCTCTCTCTACACATCAAGCTTCCACCTAGCTCGATCTCTTCGGCCACGCTGAACCTCGAAGCGATATACCTGGCGGATGAATCCAACCTTGGGGCAAAGGACTCATTTCGTGTCATTAACAACGCTTTTCAAAAACTCACCTCGACACTCCACCACCTCCAAGATCTACCATTGCCAATCCGCTCTATCTCTCCGACCGACACTGCACTACGCTCGGCCAGCGTGGGCAACCCTCTTCTCCCATCTACAGCTAAACCGATTGACTTTCTCATTCAATTCGACAGTTCAACGCGCTGGCCGGATTCGCTTCCTGCCATACAGCACACCAAGATTGCTTTCCTGCTCAAGCTGAGCGAACTTCTCACTGCCCAGGACCCCAGCTTGACGACGCGTGTAGGTCTCGAGAACACTTCTTCGGCCACCACGGGGAACATGAACACCTCTTACTTGGATATCATATACCCCTCTCAAGCACCCGGGCTGAGCCCCGTCTGCTTTCGCGCAAGGATCTTGCACGATCGTGAACTGCACCTTCTTCAGACTGCTCTGGCGGACAAGAGCCTTCATGGCAGCGCCAGGGACGAGCTCTCCTCGGCGTTGGTCGTGTACAAGCGCGAATTTGTCGCGAAGAGCGCACACACGAGCGCGATACGGGCGCTTTCTGCACGCTTCGCCGCTTTCTCGGGCACGATGAGACTGCTGAAGCGCTGGGTCGCGAAGCATTTGTTGCTCGGCGACGGTCACGTGCCGGAGGAAGTACTCGAGATCGTGGCGGCCAGCGTGTTTGTGACACCGGCACCTTGGAGCGTGCCGGGGAACGCGACGACGGGGTTCCTGAGGGCCCTGAGCCGCGTCGCATGGTGGGACTGGACTTCGCGCCCGCTGCTGGTGGATCTGGGGCTGGCGCAAGATTGGGCGAAGGAGAGCATCGAGGCCGTCAAGACCAGGTACGAGGCTTGGAGGAGGTTGGACCCGGCTTTGAACAGCGTGGTCTGGTTCGTCGGAACGAACGTCGACGAGACAGGGGTCGTCTGGACACAGGGTGGGAGGCCGACAAAGGTGGTGGGGGGTCGCCTCACCGCTCTGGCCAGAGCGGCCGTGGACGTGCTCGCGAACAAAGGCACCGGCATGGGCGAGGAAGATTGGATGGGCGTGTTCGAGACGCCGCTGGGAGACTTTGATTTCTCTATTCACATCAAACCCGGAGTGGCCAAGGGGGTTCCTGAGAAGACGACGAGGCCCAAAAGCAGCAAAAAGGCACTTTTGAACGGGGGAGGCGACTTCAAGAACCTGCAGATCGCAGAGGTGTTGGACACCGAGAGTCTGGGCTACGACCCCGTCGACGTGTTTGTGCGCGACCTGAACTTCGCCTTCGGTGCGAGTGCCATGTTCTTCCACGACCACTATGGGTGCAAGCTGATCGCGGGTCTGTGGAAGCCAAGTGCGTTGGGCCGAAAGGAATGGCGCGTGAGGTTGGGTTGGTCGAGCGTACCTCTACCTGCTATCGATGACGATGAAGAGGGAGAAAGCAAGAGCATGTGCGTTCTCAACAAAGACGGCATCCTTGCTGAGATTGCAATGCTGGGAGAAGGGTTGGTCAAGAATATTGCTACCAAAGAGTGAATGATATCTTCGAAAGTGTACATGTTGTCATTCAGTTGTTGGCATACCGATACTTCTTATATATCTACTAGGTAGCATCTACAAAGATGCAAAATGGAGCAATTCATGCTGTTGGCTTCATGATAGCCAGATATCGCCAGTCTTACAAAGCCCCAGGACGACAATGATCCCGAGACCTATTCAAACCTAGGCCAAATGCCGACTAAATTTTATGTACATATTTGCATTTCCCAGGCAGGGTATTTGATACTCTTGGTGCCAACCGTCGATGCCAAAGCATTTCAGATATACTTTCTGTCTGGGTCCAGGGAGTCCAAAAGCTCCATTGTCTTTTCGTACCTGATAGAATGTTAGTATCAGCTTGACCTCAAAACAAGGTCAGGGTACTCACATGGTGAAAACGATACCACCGCTGAGGGTCAGGCGGCCAAGACGTGGTAGGGCACCCGACCAGAAAGTGAGAATTCCTTCATTTTTGAAAATCGAGGCTGCACAATTGAAACTGTTTTTGTACACCTGCTTTGCTTCCAGACTCTGCATTCGAGTCTTGATGGTGTCGAGAGGCATGGTCGCATAGACCGTGACAACACCTGCAAGACCTCCAAGCCCGAATGTCGTCACTGAGCCCAGCTTCTCACCAGGTGCTACATAACCCTCCGCGAATTGTTTGAGGCTCGTATATGTGCTGAATCTGACGGCACTGTTTGCCGCCTGTCGAGCTGTCGTGGGCACAAAGCCCTGGAAAAAGCCTGCAAGTCCCTTTTCTTTGAATATCACCGACGAGCCATGGAGGAACCCTCGCATTCGCGGCTGTGCCCTTTTGTGATCATCTATCAATTGTGTTTTGATCGACTCTGACGGCGTCACTGCCAACAGGGACTCTGTGATGCCAGCACCAAAGCCAGCGGCTACCGTCCGAGGCCCGGATATCTGGCCGTCCTCGTCGGATAAGAGGTGCTTGTATTGGTCGAATGCGACAAAGCGCACACCTGCCTTGAAGGCATTACCTATGATGGCTGTCGTGCATCCTGTGTACCATTCTTTCGAGGGAAAAGGAGGCAATGGGAGCTTTTTCTCGGTCGGCAAGTGACGATTCAATTGGGATCGTGTTTTTAGGAAATCAAACGGATAGGTGATTGCTGCGCACATATACTCGTGAGCCACGTACATTGCAACCGCCTCGGAGATCGACGAGAGGGTGTGGTACCAAAGTCATCAAGGGAACAGGATCACTGACCAATTTCGACGGCGCCCGCTGTTGAACCAGCTATGATCGAGCGTAACGCACTGGGCTTGCTCAGTCATTAGCACACACTCTTGTAGAGTGATGGCACAAGTGGCATACCTTTGCCTTGGTCTTGTCTCCATCGGCCATGGAGGCTGCCATGGTCTACAGGAGCAAGCCCCAAGGAAGAGACGTCCTTTGCAAGAACGAAGTTGGATATGGAGGGGCAACTTCAAGCTTGTGGTAGAAATGCGATCGGTGCGATTCTTTTCTTCCATGGGCGCAGTTTGGAGTTGGAGAAGCAATTCACTGAAGTCATAAGTGACTAACTCGAATTGGCAATATCTTAGTGGCTGACTAAGTTGTCCGCATGGGAATTAATTTGATCCGCAGGCAAACGCGTCTGAATCAAATGATAACGCGCCTGTGCCTGCGCCCGCCGCACCGTCACCACTGACATAGGCTGTGTCCCTCATCGACACCACGTCGCAACCACTTTCATGCGCATTTTCTGACGGACATAGCCAATACCAGCGCTATCATGGCGCCAGAAAAGCGCTCGGCACCCTCTGATAGCGATGACGAGAGCGACGCCGACCAACGTCGTGCCAGGCACTCATCGTCCACACCCTATGGCTCAGAGGTATACTTCAAGTGGTATCATGATGGTGGCATTTATTGATATTTTCGTAGTCAAAGCGACGAAGAACCAACGACAAGTCCTCTACCGCTCAGCATCCCGATGCCTCCAGCGAAGTAGACGAAGCAAGTACTCCTCCATCGGATTTCGGCTCTGACGCCGACGAAGATAATGGGGAGGCTGAGTTGGCTGCCACCCAGGCCATTGAAGACAGAAAGACCTCGAGAAAAGATCAGAATAACGAACCTGCTCTCCATGGCATCTTGGAAGAAGTAAAAGTGACCAATTTCATGTGCCACGAAGACTACGAGTTTCACTTGGGACCGTTAATCAATTTCATCACCGGAAAGAACGGCAGCGGCAAGAGCGCGATCTTGACTGCAATTGTACTCTGTCTTGGAGGAAAAGCTTCTGCTACAAATCGTGGTGCCCGGCTCTCGAATTTTATCAAAGAAGGCAAAGATCATGCGACTATCATATGCAAGATCAAAAACCAGGGCGACTCAGCTTATATGCCTGATTTGTATGGGAGTACAATACAGGTCGAGCGGCACATCTCGCGAACCGGTGGTAGTAGTTTCAAACTAAAGTCCGAAAGAGGCCGGATCATTTCGACCAGGAAAGCTGACCTGGAAGAAATCTGCGACCACATGATTTTGCAGATGGAGAATCCTATGACTGTCTTGTCCCAAGACCAGGCACGACAGTTCATCTCGTCATCCAGCGCGGCGGAAAAATACAAGCTGTTCATGAAAGGTGTGCATCTGGAACAACTCGACCAAGATTACCGTATCATCGAGGAACAACAAGAAAACATCCATGCAAAGATCGAGACAATCCGTCCGGATCTGAAAGATTTGCAGAAAAAGCATGAAAGTGCAAAGAATAAGCAGGAATTGTCGCGCAAGTATGACAGTATGCTCGATAAATTGCGTGATTATCGTCGACAGCTTGCCTGGGCTCAAGTCGCCGCCAAAGAAGCTCTGAGAGAAGACTATCTCCAGCAAATCCAGGAAGCTGATACCAAGATCCAGGAGGCCGAGGCCAAAGTCGGACAGCTCGATCAGGTGTTTCAGCAATCCGAACTAGCTGCGTCTGCTGCAGTTGAATTCTACAGTGATGCTGTAGCTGTCGTTACTCGGCTTCAAGAAGAGAAGGCAGAGGCAAAGGCAGACCAGGATGATATAAAAAAGGAAACCCATGATGCTCACGCCGAACAACGGAACATTCGCTCGGAGTTGCAAGCGGCCGACGAAACAATACGCGCCAAGACCCAAGAAATCGAACAGGAAGAGCAAAGACTCGCTGAGCTCAATGGAGGTGGTGCGGCAAGGCGCATTGCAGAGCTTCAAAATGCCCATGAAGCCCTTAAGGAGGCAAAGCAAGCAGAAGACGATCATAAAAGACAAAGAAATGAACGGGAAGCAGATATTGAGCGTATGGGGGGTCTCGAGACAGCCGCCCAAGAGGCACTTACAAACCATCAGGAGCGACTCAGGCAACAGAAGAACAATCTCCAGCAGCTGAGCCGTAATCGTGCCAATGCTGACTTGGCGTTTCATCCTAACATGCCAACGCTGTTGAAGGCTCTTGCAACAGACACAGGGTTTCAAGAGCGGCCCATCGGTCCCCTCGGCAAGCATGTCAGACTTCTCAAACCCGAGTGGTCGTCCATCATTGAGAAGTCTTTCGGTAATACTCTCAATGCCTTCATTGTGACCAACAAACGTGACGAAAAGCATCTGAGCGATGTCATGCGACGTGCCAAAGTACAAACCCCGATATTCATGATCAACAATCAGCACCCAATGGACATTGCTGCTCACGAGCCTGATGCCCGATTCGATACGGTATTGCGAGTTCTAGACATTGACAATGAACTTGTGAAGAGACAATTGGTCATTGCTCATCACATTGAACAGAGTATCTTGATTGCAGACATGTCCGAAGCTTCTGAGACATTATTCGGGGGACGACCGCTCGAAAAAGTGAAGCGCTGCTACTGCTTCAGTGCAAACAGTAAGCTTCGTGGCGCATGTCTGTTTTACCGTGGTGCGCAAGCAGCACAAGATCCGGTGCACGAATACCTTGGAACTCCGCGGACGAAGACTGACGTCGAAGAATCTATCCGGAGGCAGCAAGCTCTCATTGCGGAAATGAGTGAACAGCTGCGCCGGCTGGAGGAAGAATACCGTTCTGCTCGCGATCACCATGTGAAAGCGCAGCAAGCGCTTCTACGTCACGACAGGGCATCAAGAGACCTAAAGATTGCCGTGCAGGAAGCTGACGATCAGGTGGATCGACTAAATGACGAGATCAAGCAGGATAACGCCGAAGAGGGTAGTTTGGAAGTTATGCGGAGCACGTTGCGGGACGCCCAAGAGCAGAAAGGAATCCATGAAAGTTCTTTCCAGGACGCAGTAAACAATCTCGATGTCTTGAAGGGGAAGCTCAGGACCGCCACTCGACAGCTGGCTGAGTTGGATGCTCGTATCGCAGAGGCTCAAGAAGCAGCAGACGAAGCACAACGCCGAGCGCAAGAAGCTGATAAGAAACGAGCATTTGACCAGCGCGAGAAACAGCAGGCTGAGTCTCGAGTCCAGGACGGTGTGGGGGACCGTGAAAAGTTGGTGAGCAATCTAGCAGACTTGGACGACACGATTGCCGCATTCACGGAGCAGGCTCGGCAAGTTTCAGAGAGGGTTAACATTCCCGAAGGGGAAACCTTCGAGAGTCTTGACAAGCGCTACAAGAGATTATACGAGGACTATCGCAAATATCATGATCGGATTGGAGATCGGGAACAAATCGCTGCTGAGGCGACCCGGTGCAGAAAGGCATTTGACACTGCACAAAGGGAGTTGCAGAGTCTCGAGAACTTGCGAGACAAGCTTCAAGAAACGATGCAACAGCGTAAAGAGCGCTGGAAGCTGTTCCGAAGCTACATATCAGCCCATGCAAAGGCCCAATTTGGTTTCATGCTGAGTGAAAGAGGCTTCCGGGGCAGACTGATCATGGATCATCATCAAAAGCTGATGGACTTGAAGGTGGAACCCGACATCACCAGGCGTGACGGTTCAGGAAGAAGCGCTCGTACCTTGTCGGGTGGCGAAAAGTCCTTCTCGCAAATCTGCTTACTGCTTGCCATTTGGGAAGCAATGGGGGCTCCGATCAGATGTCTAGATGAATTTGATGTTTTCATGGATGCGGTGAATCGAAGCATCAGTGTAAACTTGCTCATCGAGGGCGCTCGACAGAGTATTGGACGACAGTTTATCTTGATCAGCCCTGGATCGAAATCAGACATCCCGCGAGCTCCGGATGTCAAAGTTAATGAGTAAGTCACTGACCTAGCACTGAAAAAGATCCATACTGACGTTCACCAGGGTTGCTGCACCAGAGAGAGGCCAAACAAGACTGGTTCTTGCATCAGCTTAGGCTCGAGGTATTGCACCTGCACTCGTAAGGCAGCCTATTGTGGTATGAAGCAGCACGAAGATGCGCAATAAATCAGGTGCTGTATCCGAGCTCGGGTGTCTTGTCACAGTCGGGACGACAACCTTGTGTATCCCAAGCGGCTAAGCATCGCCACGTGAGATGACGGCCTTCGATTACTTGGTCGGTTTGATGGACAGCCGTATGGACCTCGATCCATTCAGTAATGCTGCTAGACTCAGTACAGTCTTGTGCGACCGTACGTGTTCCGCCGAGCCTCTCTACATCAATCATTGCTCGATCCCGTCATCTTTTTTACACCAGCCAGTTTATCCTACGGCCTCCCAAATATGTGCGTTGCTGGTTTTGTTGGCAAAACAGTGTATCACCTGTACTGCCGTGCTCTAGCCCTAGCCAAACTGACCCGACCCTCTGGACCGGTACGATATGCCCTTCCGCAGTGAGCACCCGATGCTAGGTTTTTGCTCACCGATATTTACTTGACCACCACCGACATAGCATAATGATAATGGGGCATAAAACGTTTGTCTTTCAGTTACCGACATGCAACTTTGGTGTCTGTTGGCACACAGAAGAGTATCTTGCAGCATGTTCATTGCCTCATCCTTTCCATACCGAAAGATGTCGACTGGCGTACACAACCATCAGCAATTTTTAGATTCTGCGCCGCAAAGGGTTTTGACGTACAACAAGCATGGAACCGGGGCCTTGGAGACGTTTTTTGGGCTTTATAGAATGAGCGACTTGCAACGGAAGATTCTAGCCAGATTCCTGTCTCACACCAAGCCTAGCAAGACGAGAAATTGCGGCTGTGTGCCCCCTTGCGTTAGGGGAAGGTAAGCCTGGCAGCTCATCCGCACTCAAATCACTGGGACACCGGGTAACTTTCATCAGCTGTCCTTGCAAAGGACCACAGGGTCCTGGCGTGTGTCCGAAAAGCTGTGTGTGTCCGTGCAATTGATATGCAACAAGCCAGGAGCTTAAGGAGGGCCTATGTTACGGTTGTGACGATTAGAGGCTGGATGGGAAAGGGGCCAATATGTCGATGGTCTTCGGTGTGATAACCCACTTTGCCCACCTTAGCCTGTGAAGAGTACAGCCAGTCTGACCATGTAGTCGCTAGAGACATACATATGTTCTTTGTCTGAGTGGAATTTACAATAGAAACGTATGGAAGGCCACTGTTGGAGGCAGCCTCGCACCGACTAAATACTATAGGCCAAGGCTGAAGATGGCCGCAAAAGGAATAGTCGAATCAAGTGTCTTGGCGGCACAAGGTTCCAATGGACCAAGTCACTAACAACCTGCATCACCGCCATCGCTATTCGAAAACCACAATTCAGCTTTCCCACTTAGAATCTCTCAATTGACCAACAGCCTCAATCTCACTTGACCTACTAGTCCCAGCCAGAATCACTTCTGACCATCTCATTCTACCATACAGAGACCAATTCCTCTGAAAGATTCACCACTCAACCACAAAGCACGAGGCAAACACAAGTCGCTCGCCGACACAAAAGGCTAACAAACAAAGCCTGATCCTCAACTTCACTCTCCCCTACACCGCCTGCGACCTTCTCCTCCGCGAGGGCGTGACCCTGATTTCGAGATCGAAAGTCTTCACTTGAAGCACACCTCCATCTCTGGCGCACATACGTTGCCCCTCCATCATCATACCTTCATAACAAGCCACCTCGAACTAATCCAAAAATGACGGACGCTTTAGCATCACAGCTAAACAAGACCTCGTTAAACGACGGTGCAGACGAGAGCAATTGGAAAGAGTCACTCAAAATCCCCAACAAGGATACTAGACAACAGACTGAAGATGTAACGGCTACGAAAGGTCTCGATTTCGAGGACTTCTACATCAAGCGCCAGTTGATGATGGGAATCTTTGAGGCCGGATTCGAAAAACCCTCACCTATTCAAGAAGAAACCATTCCAGTTGCCCTGACCGGTCGAGACATCTTGGCCAGAGCGAAGAACGGCACCGGGAAAACCGCGGCCTTTGTCATTCCTACCCTCGAGAGAATCAACCCGAAGAACCCAAAGACGCAGGCGCTCCTGCTTGTCCCGACTCGAGAACTTGCCTTACAAACATCACAAGTCTGCAAATTACTCGGCAAACATCTCGGCATCAATGTCATGGTCACCACTGGTGGCACTGGTCTGAAAGATGATATCATTCGGCTGGGAGAGACGGTGCACATCATCGTCGGCACACCTGGCAGAATCCTCGATCTTGCAAGCAAAGGTGTTGCAGATCTATCTGAATGCCCCATCTTTGTCATGGACGAGGCTGACAAGCTGCTGTCACCCGAGTTCACCGTGGTCATTGAACAACTACTTGGTTTCCTTCCCAGAGATCGACAGGTCATGCTTTTCAGCGCAACATTCCCCATGATGGTCAAGACATTCAAAGACAAACACATGCGCAATCCTTACGAGATCAACCTTATGGACGAATTGACGCTCCGCGGTATTACTCAGTTTTACGCTTTCGTCGAAGAGAAACAGAAGGTTCACTGCTTGAACACTCTGTTCTCCAAACTCCAGATTAACCAGTCGATCATCTTCTGTAACTCTACAAATCGTGTCGAGCTCCTCGCGAAGAAGATCACCGAATTGGGATATTCTTGCTTTTACTCTCACGCCAAGATGCTGCAGCAAAACCGAAACAAGGTCTTCCACGATTTTCGTGCTGGTGTCTGCCGAAATCTGGTCTGTTCCGATCTTCTCACTCGTGGTATTGATATTCAGGCTGTCAATGTGGTGATCAACTTCGACTTCCCCAAGAACGCCGAGACCTACCTCCACCGAATCGGCCGTTCTGGTCGTTTTGGACATCTTGGTCTGGCCATCAATCTGATCAATTGGGACGATCGCTTCAACTTGTACAAGATCGAACAAGAGCTTGGTACCGAGATCCAACCAATTCCCCAATCCATTGACAAAAAACTGTATGTATATGACAGCCCGGAGAACATTCCTCGACCGATGCCTCCTCCGGCTCCGGCTTCTAGGGCCAATAACGCTCCTATGATGTCAGCAAACGCTTCCATGAGCCCTAATGCGAATGGTCAAGGCCAAGGTCGACGACAATACAATCAATCCAATGGATATGGACAACAGTACAACAATCAAGGACGAAGCGGATATAGGGGTCGCGGCCGCGGTCAGGGTGGTCGAGGTCGTGGTGGCTATGCTCACCAGGCAGCAGCTCCTGTCGGTCAAACTGCACAATAGTTCGGGGGAACTATCCGGCGTTGTTTTGATCTAGCGATTGTGTTTTTTTTTGTTTTCTTTTTACGGCGTTCGACCTACCACCATGATCACGAGGGTCTATGATATGCGAAATGCGCAAGCTTGGAGTTCGATTGATCATGGCTAATACAGGCTTCTATCTTCTACCGGATCTGTACAACAGTGTCCGTATGGGTTTTTGCTTTCTTCGCGTTGGGCGGGGCGGAGCTTTCTGGATGATGAAGATCGGGTATAAAAGGCTTTTTCGTCCCGTGGCATGCGCGCGGGCTTCGCGAGCATCGATGACCGGATTGATCATGACACTGCATTGTCATGAAAATGGGCCGTTTCGTTTTCTTGGAGTGGCTGATGAGCGTTGCTATCCACAAAAGGAAGGGGTCGAGCAGGTCTCAAGATAGGCACGGCAGGTCTCCATGGCGTTTGTATGGGCTTTTCTTCTTACCTCCATGCTGATGGCATATCAATCACCCAGTTACGCGACGACACTTTCATTCTCCCCTACGACATGAAACATTTGTTTTCCTTCTCAGAATCATCACGACATCCCAAGGTTGACGTGCCAAGGCATCATTACATCTTTACTACGACGCAACTACCAAAACTCTCACACACCCTACTCCGCATCAATATCATTGAAGGTACGGACTGTTTCGACCTTTTCTTCTCATCATCGACGAGGGCAATGATAACGATAATGGTTTTCCATTTCACCACCACACCCACCACGATTCCCATTACCGCCATCACCCACGATTCCTCGACTCTGTTCCTCTCAATGCCCCCTTCCTCGTCAACGTACTAGATACGCCGAGGAGAGGCTAATCCTCTGGCCATCATTGTATCTTCTCGACCACATACATCCACTGGCAATCAAAGTTCTGCCATACATACAGCAATAGTCTTGTACTTGCCTTGCCGCGGCGACGCCCGATTCTATCTTTTATCGATGGACGTCAAAAGTACAAGCACTCTTTTATTTTCTTGTGTGTACGCAAGCAGAAAACAACACAAACGTTCACAAGCGCAGCCACAGCACGGCACATGCAAGTTTCAACCTTCAGATCAAGACAGACTTGTGATGGGGAAAAAACACAAAACAAACAAAAAAAAAGAATAGGAGGGAAGCCGAAAAAAAGTCGGAATGCCGAGTTGGTTGAGGTCGAGGTTTGTTTCCTTTGATGACTCGCCCAACCATCAAGAAAAACTTTACTCCGGTGGACGTGCGAGAGGAAGACTCGGCCGATGACTTGGACAAGGGCAAAGTCAATGGCTTTTGAAGATCAGGACGAAAATGAAATCAGAATGAAAAGGACGAGGATGCTTAGCACTCTTACTCGCAGAGTTTCCGGGTTCGTTGGCAAAGGTCCAGGGAAGATTTTGGGGGGCTGTCTGCTACCTCGAGTTCTCATCGCTGTAAATTCCCTAGCTAGCCAGCCACCTATCTTGGCCTCTCCAAAAATGAACAAGAAAGCCATTCTTCCCTCTGTCCTGATGACCACCTACTTTTTCCCTTTGACACTTTGGTTGGTTTGATTCTTGTGTGTGTGTGTGCGTGTGTCCAATGCCTCGATTCTTCTATGCCCTGGCGGATGGGAAAAGAGTCAACCGCCCTCCCTACCCTGCGCCGCCCACAACTACAAATTCTATCTCGCTCTCGAGACCCTTTTCATTCTTTTCCAGTGAGAATCCGCTGTCCATCACACAAGACTACTCCCACTGACCGTTCTTTCAGATGTCACCAAGCAGTTCAACAGTAGATGGATCCACCGACACACCAATATCCATCGCGACGACCAGGTAAAATTGAGGACTGGGAAACACCAAGACCGAGGTGAAAAAACCGAACAGGTCTCAATAGGTCAACCTCTTTTGCCCACCATTCTTCCCGGGCCCACCACCGGAATTCTTGTGGCTCGGTTTCGTGTACGAGCAATATCTGTCCTTGATACTGACGACCTCGTAGACACCCTCGTCGCTGGCACGAATCACCTTGGTAAACGCATCGGAGGTGTCGTGCCGAGTCTCCAACACTTTGGGAGCAGAGCGGCTGCTTCTTTTGGCGTTTTCGGATCGTATGTACCTGTTCCCCAGAGCAAGAAGTGTTAGTACTTGTACTCATCCAGACAGTCATCACAAACAGGATCATCAAACCGAAGGGGCGGAGGAACAAGAAATGAGGAAGAGAAACATACGTAAACTCGAATGGTGGCGTTCCGGTAAATGAAAAACTGATGTCGACTTCTCCACCCTCGTGGATATCGCTGACCAGAGTCTTGCCGCGGCCCATTTCGACGGTCGGATAAGGGTGAATGACCTTTTTGATCTCTTTTCTCGCTCGACATTTGCCATTACCCATGGCATTGTCGCTGACACCAGTGATTACAAAATCACCAGGGGACTCGGCGAGACGTCTGAACTCGTTTCCAGTAACATGAGCCTTGCGCTCACGACCTTGAAAGGTATAGTAGACGTCAAAGGGTGGTTGGCCACTGAGGGAGAATGACACGTGCTCCCCGACACAGAAATCGTCGTGCGACTCGAGGGCGAGGATCGTAGGTGGGGACGACACGAAGATGCGCACGGATGAAGGGTCGGATTCGAGAATACTTTCGCAGCCACGGCTGTCCCTCACAGACCGGATTGATACGCTGTGCGTGCCTAGATCAAGCGTGGATCGAGACAAGGGCCATGCGTACGTGCTAGACTGGATGTCTTTCTGACGAATGATTTCCGGTCGTGAAGAAACGCCGTGGTGGACAATGGCAATTTCGATACTGAACGGCGGAACACCGTTGAAGGTGATGGGGATATTTTCGGTTTCCGCTTCGACGCTGGCTGTGAAGCTTGGGTCGTCCTTGCAATACCCGTACGTCTTGCCAGGCTCGCTGAACTTGGCGCTTGGCGGAGCATACACTTGCTGCTTGACAACGAGAGGTTTGAAATGTCTCTTGTCGTGTGGGTAGCGATTGTCGCTGAGCTCGTTCAGTGAGTAGGTATATTCTCCGGCTCTACTCGTGTCGAGGTTGATCGTTGCACTGCTCCCAGCAAAGCTGCCCTCCTTGTTGCTTACAGCTGCTGGGCCTTTTAGTGGCTCAAACCTCTGTTGGTATTTGATGTGATAAGGTCCGTTTCCACTGAAGCCCAGGAAAAGGGAAGATTCGTCATTTTGGCAGACCGGAGGCTTTCGTACAGATCCGGCGTTGTCTCCCTGGACATCGGAGTCTTTTATGGCCATTGTCGGTCGAGGTATCCAGGTAACTTCGAACGTGTTGGCTTTGGCGTCAACCACACCTGGGCAGCTGTCGTGTACTGAAATGATCTCATACGTTCCTGGTCTGTCAACTGCAAACACCGAGTTGGCATTAAACAATTTTTCTTCGAAAGAGCTGTCAGGGTGGTCCAGGTTTCGAATGCGGACAGCCCATGGGGAGTTGCCTTTCAATCTGAGTGGCAATTGAATCGTCTTTCCATCCATCGCCAGTGTTGATCGTTTGCCGTCAATCTCCCCGAAGCCTGCGCGAGGCTGTTCGGGTCTAATCTCGATTTTTCGTTGATCTTTCAAAGGAGTCCGGCAACCTGATTTGTCCTGAACTCCGGTTAATACAACATCATAGGCTCCTCCTTCCTTGAAACCAGGGAAAAAGATCGTATGCAGGTCCTCTTCCGATTGGACGCTATGCTTCTTCCTCTTGCCGCCGTGTACGAGCTCATAATCAAGCTTCCATGGTCCTTGGCCAGCCAATGCCACTTGTACCGCGACAGGTTCATCGAGACAAGCCTTGATAACCTGCGCGTTAGGGTGAAAAGCTGCGGATGCTGGTGGCATGATATCTTGCTGGAAGACGTAATCCTTGTCTTTCAGAGATCTCGGGCCATAAACACTATCTTCAATCTCAAGGACATTGTAGATATAAGAGCCGGCCGCATTCTCGAGGAGCTCAATTCCACCACGCATACCAGAAAACGACTGTTGCTTGACACGAGCCTGACCTTTATGAGTAATGGTGTATCTCACTTTGAAAGGTGGAGTGCCTGTGAAATCCAAGTTCAGTCTCATGCCAATGGGAATTCCAGCACACTGGTCAAAAACATCTTCTTTCTCGAGAGCGAGGTCTGGTTCTGGAGGGTTGAACAACAGACAAGAAGAGGGCTCCACGATCTCTCCATGACAGAATTGGCTGTCGATTGACTCAATATTGTACCGTCCAGGTTTTTGCACCTGCGGCCGTGACCGATCGTTGACCATATCGAAACTGAATTCTTCTGTGGGCGCGTTCTCATCTTCGGTGTCCGGATGAAAGGTGTATTTAACTTTCAATGGCCAATCGGACGGAGGTAAACGGCTTGCTGATTGAATACTTATTGGGAGACCGGTCGATACTCCTCTTCGTACAGGTATCAGTCCGCCTTGCTTGGAGTCAGGGAAGTTCAGGCCGATCCGAGGTCTGTTATGAACAGTCAGGCTTTGAATTCGAGGAGCGTGAGGGTTCTTTGGGTTGCTCGAATCGTAAGTCACTTTATTTCCTAGGCCATCTTCCACCTCTTCTACCGTATACGAATAGCTTCCATTCTGATGGAGCGACTCATTGATTTCAAAGGTTTCAGTGGTCGACCTGGTCCAGCCCATCTGAGGTCGGTTGAGATCCACCACTGCCTGAGCGGCCTCCTCTTCAGAAACATAGCCTGAGTCTGGACGCGGCTGAACGTTCTGCACAATTGAGCTTAATTGCTTGTGATTGACAGTCTTGCTGTACTTCACTTTGAACGGAGGCACACCAGACAGTTGCAATGCCACATTGCTGAGATCTCCTGTGCACCGATTTTCTGAAACGGTTGAGATGGAAGCCTTGGGACATTGCACAACTGCAACATCAAAACTCCGCTTTCGCACTTCCAGTTTCGTCGTGTCTATAACACGATGGAGCTGATATAGCCCTTTTTTGGATACAGGATATCGCAAAGTTCGAGGACTGTTAGTCTCGGACCTGGGGATTCCTGCATCAGCATGCTTCTTCATTTGCTTGGCTTGCTTGCTGCCGATTAGAATTGTTTCCACCTCATTTGTGTCGAGATCAAATCTTTGTAATTCGATTGAGATGGGAGTTGTCTGATTGATTTGGATGGGTATATCGATAGTTGGATTGGAAGAATCCAGACAAAATGATTTCTTCTCGGGGTTCAGGATCGCCGAGCCCTCCGGGAGGATATGAATGATTTGCTTTCCCAAAATGATGGAAGAATTATGTAGAATGTCGGCGGGCTTGACTCGTGTCTCTGAAATTGCAAGTTCCCTATCATATGCAACCTTGACCAAAGCTCCTAACCAGGACATCAGCGGAAGGGGGATTCTATACATTAGAAAGGCATTCGCGATAGCATGCAAAAGCCATATTGTGAAGGTGGTCGCAAATGAAAACTCCAGCCAGGGAATTCTGAAGGCAGGAAGAGCCACGAAGAAGGCAGCATCTATTCCTATCCATTTCAAGAACAGCCATGTCGAGTCAAGGTCGTTCTCCACACCGAACGAGTTGTATAGTCTCCATGCAGTCAGAGCAATGTAAAAGGCGAAGACATAGAATCTTTGCGACGGAGCGTCCACTACTTCTGTCGGGATAAATGGCTGGCCCGTGGACCTGGCATCTACAGGTACCTTCGTTGGCTGCTTCGTGGCGGGCACGGCTCTTCGAGAAAATGGCGAACCTGGCGAGCCAAAACTCGAGCCGTCGTCGGGATTTGAGGTACGGAAACGAGGCTGTGTTTGGGGAGTAGTGGGGAAGGCCGACCGCAGTCGCGGCGTTTCGTTCATTGCACCATGCGGCTGTGAACAGTCCTCCTCTTATGATTGAAATGTATTGTTCTCGTGGTGTCAATCCACTCAAGGATGTTGCAGGTCTCGTGGTGCAGCGCTAAACTCGATATCGTGGTTTGAATTTGTTGTGAGAGTGGCAAGATATACAGCTGATGCGGCAATCTACAGAAGTAAATAGTGCCGGCAGCGCAAAATTGGTTGTTAAGTTGAACAAAGAAAAGATCCAGTCCGAGAGAACGAGAATGATTTCCTCCAGACGCAGTCGCGTTTTCTCCAAGCGCGTCATAGTGCAGAATCGCTAGCCTTGCCAGCCTCGTCAGCCTCGTCAGACTCTAAAGGGCTTGGCGTTGACTGGCAAGGCTGTGGTGACCCTGGAGGACTCGATTCTCCAGATCACAGCAATGTCCGATTTAAAGGTTTCGACAGCTGATAAAACTACTCTTTTTGAACATCTTCTAAACATGTGTTGCGTACTCATCATCATTAGTGTGCACTTAGACATACACACTATGTCATTTATCGTTGATGCAAGATCAGCTTGCTCTGCCTTTGGTTCCCTGCCGCAGCCTGAAAACATATCCACCATATTCACCTTGTTCAATCCCTACTCTCCCCGTACTCATACCTGCATGTTCCCCAAACATTTCACGCTTCTTGCGAACTGCCTGCTCTGCTCTCTCGCCTTCAAAACGAGCAGCTACCAACCCGGAAGTACTCAAACGCTCCCGTATTTCATTGGAGTCCTTGGGGTGAGAATGTAGCGCCATGATGGCCAGCAACACTCCCAGGACGGCGTACAATGAATTCAGCCCTACGAGAGTGTACAGTGGCGCCTTGGGAACTCTGGCAACTAGCCTTGTGCTTCGCTGTTGCTCTTCCAGATTAGCTCTGCCATTCATGATGCCGGCACTCAGTGCCAAAGCGGCTCTCGAGTATGCCTGTGCCCACGAATCCGCCATCTGTTGTGTGTCATTGTACTGTGACGCCGAGTAAGCGGCCGTCTCGAGTGCAACCTTGCCGAACCCATAATAGTTACCCGCATTCAAGATTGTTCCCACGGAGCCATTCGCGACTTCCGCAGTTGCGTGTTGGACGCTTCCATTGAGGAAGTCGTAGCTGATCTGATACGCAGTGGCAGTACAGTTTAGGAGCCAGCTCGTGCCGCCTTGGCTTGGGACAACAACGTTGCCATCTGCGATTTGTTCCTCGGTGGCGTGCAATTCGACGCGGGCCCAAACTCCAATGAAGTGAGGATTGCTCGATCGGGTGAGGAAATTTTCGTTCCCAGAGTCCGATGAAGCGTTTCCTAGTTCTATCAGTGCTGCATTGCGAAAGAAAACAATGCCGGCACTCCGAAATGGAAGTCCAGTCACAGCATCAGTCTCGTCACCGTTGACATTTGGAAGGGCCAGATTCCCGTAGAATTCTTCTGTGCATGTGAAGGGCTCCAACTCTTTAGTCTCAGCATGAAGGTGGCATTCCCGACCGATTTGGGCGCATGTGGTGTGCATGGCAAGGGACTCTGCGCGATAATCGAGTCCATCAGGGTTATCGGCCGGGCCCAGATAGGCCATGTGCATGCCATCGATGAAGACGTCATAGACTGCGTTGTTGCTCGATGTGTTGGACATGACTCTAGCGGCTTCATTTGCTCCGACCAGAAACACGTCCCCGTGATCGCTGATGATGCAGTCGCCGGCATCGAAGTCGGCTGAGGGTTGCGTCGAACAAGGTCCGTCCGGCAGTCCACGCCCAAGGCCCATAATCGGGGTTTGCGGCTCGACTATTTCAATGTTGATTGCTTCTATCACCAAGTGCAACCATGTATCGACGGCAGCGATGGTGTAGCCGAGAACTGTAAACACAGTCAAAAGAATAAGTGCACTACGCACGCAGGAAGCCATCTTCTCCTTGTTCGGCCAACTCCGATACGCCACCAAACTGAAGAAAGGTGTGATGCCGCCTGTCATTGTCTCCAGAAGCATGCCGAGCTGATAGGGTGTTGGCAAGTCAAACCCTGCCATTTGCGAGTGTTCCTTCAATTGTTTGGCGATGGGGAAAGACACGAGTGTCATGGCGCAAACGGTAAGTAGAGGTGCAACAGTACTGGACCATGAGGCAATTGTCACAAGAGTTGTCGGATTGAAGTCGACATAAAAAGCGTCGCTGTCGAGCTTCGTCCCACGACTAGCAAGGGTATTGTTCGCCGTCGCTGAAGGTTCTTTTACCTCGTGGGCGACCACCAAACCCAATGCCAACCCTGCAAGTCCCAACATGAGAACCACGATAAGTGTCATTGTCCCGAAAATGATCTTCTTGCCTCCGCTATTCGTATTCGTCAAGGATTGAGTATCTTTGGCTAGATAGGGAGGCATGTTTGAGCCACTCCGACCGTCTTGTGACGCGAGAGAGTCGTAGCGTTCCATGTTTTTGAGGGGAATGTCGTTATGGAATCGAAAGCCATCCTTCGATTGTACGAGTGTGTTATACTGTGATCTGGTAGGCGAGGGACGCTCCATAAGCTTGCACCAGGGTAATATGCAGTAATGACTGTCGATATAAGAACAAACGACAAGAGATACTCAATGACTGTATTTTCGATCAGAACGAAAGTCTGGACTGCGTCGCAGGAGATCCATTGACGACCTAATCAGCCTTGTTAACCCTAGCATCATTTTTGTTGATTGCCATCAATTGGCATGGATGGGAGCAGCGCTTCCCTGAGTTGTTCAGGGTGGATCGTCGTTTCTCGAAATTGAAAGTCTTTTGGGTGCAATGATTGGGTCTGATGAATTGATGCGACAAGGCTGGTGTTTCTAGGCGTAAGCGGCCTAAGGGGCTCATCTTATCGGGTACGAGCCACCTCCCTGTCGGGTCCTTTGATATGGAGTAACAAGGGGCAGCCATATGGGGTCTCTCTAATCACTAAGCTTAGGCGACAAGGCCATTTTCTGGCCATCACGTCGTCCCTAAACGTGACTTTCACACTTGCTGGTCATTCTGAAGCTTCATGTCTTCACCAGCTCACATACCACCTTCCTTTCTAGCCTCTATCCTAAATCTTGGATCCGTCAAGTGTCACTCTCTTTCTTACATGTGAGATACCATATCCAGAAATTGATGCGGAGCAATTGATTCTGCCGGAACAGATGACATAGAAGGTACGGCTGTAATTGGAGGCGGTGACCTAGATACAAATATTCACAGCCTTGTCGATTATTGGCGTTGACAGCCTCGTGCCAAGGCTGCCACCAATTCGGCGACCGGCCATTACTCCGTATTCTTTGTCTTTTTGCTTCCTCACCGCTCAATCTTTTCTCCCGGCAGTATAAAGGGGATGGACGTGCCTGGAATATCCAGTGACGCGACTTATCACTTCACTCAAGAACTGCTCTCCAGGCACGTGCAGCCGCAGTGACAACCGTTGAGGAATTCCAAATGGAGCTGCGTTTTGTTCACTCATCTCCTTGTTCTCGGAAGGAACAATTCGACCCGCGGGCAAAGGAGTTTGCCCAAGTAGTATTGATCTTGAATGATTGTTGCGAATGAAAGATGTCTCGTGTGAACGACAATATTCCTACCAAGCTTGCCCTGGAGCGGTCAGCAAATGACGACGCACTGAAGACTGGCAATGCGACCGTGACCTCTTCCACACCGGATGATGCGACAGCTAGCAAAGATGCTACACCACCCATCGATGAGTATGCTGGTCCCTGGACTGGATGGGCTGAACTAGAGAATGACCCTGTATTGTTACAAATCCTTCCGAACTCGAATTTGGCTAACGGGCAGCCCAGGTTATCTTCACTACCCTGCTGCGGGAATGGGGAGTGCCGAGCATCCAAGTGAACGAAGTAGTGCCTCTTGATAGCATCTTTGATCATGACCCGTGTGTACCATGGACTGGCTTGATCAAGACCGGACTGCGCTGACCATGGTAGGGACGAAATCTTTGGTCTGATCTTTCTCTCGCGATGGGTGCCACAGGAATCAGAAAATGAGATTACAGAGGCACCAAAGGGTGTATGGTTTGCAAACCAGGTACGTTGTATGGTTTTTGTGGCTTTCGATGCTTCTCTAACGATGACCAGACGTCATCGTTCTCCTGCGCGACTGTCTCACTGATGAACATCGTCAACAATCATCCAAACATTGATCTGGGTAGCTCATTGAATGATTTCCGTACAAAGACCATGAGCATGACTCCCAAAGAGCGTGGCCTTGCATTGGACGCATTTGATCATGTCCGGGAAGTTCACAATTCTTTCGCAACTGATATTGACAAGATGAACGTCGATCTGCGATTAAAACAAGACTTCACTGCGGCAGAGAAGAAGAAAAAGGAGCAGTCAAAACGTCCTCGCAAAAGGCGCAAGCAGATGCAGGATTTTGACGACGAAGAGAACGGATTTCATTTCGTGGCATACGTTCCTGTTGAAGGAGTTGTCTGGAAGATGGACGGTATGGAAGTGTTTCCCCGCCAGGTCGGTCCCCTCTCAGAGAGCGACAGCTGGGTTGCCATGGTGCTGCCTGAACTTCAGGCTCAATGGGAATCGGCCAGCACCAATGACCTGGAGTTTTCCTTGCTATCATTGACAAAGATGAAGGACGCATCGAGTATGGGGCAGGATCAGCAGAAGATGGACCGATTGAGAGAGGACTGGGGACCCTTTTTCGCTCAAATCATCAGAACACATGCAGAAAAGGGGACGTTGAAAGACTTGCTGGGTTGAGATGAGGGGCGTTGAGGAGCAGACTGTCACTTAGCCTCTATCGTGCCTCGTTGATAGACTTTTACGAACTCGGAATTCATGGAATGATCGATTGAGCTTAGACTGGTCCACCAATACAGTATCCTGTCATCTCATTCTGTTGACATAACCTTTATGCATGTATTTGTTGACGCAGTCCTTGTGGCCGTGGAAAGATGGTGGTCACGTGTCGGCGGGTTCAAATGCTCATGACGTGACGGTTTTTAAACCTCTTTGGCAAGGGAAACGATGAAATATAATCAATTCAAGTTCAATTTCATCCACATCACCATTTGCCCTTGTCCTACATGGCCAAGGCGTAGTTCCACTGTCAATGCTGAATCGCGATGTCTAGCAATCGTGTAGATGATGACGCCGTGATGCGAAAGCCGGAGAGTCATCACCGGCCTCACCTCACAACACTCCCCGACGAAGTCATTCAACACATATTGTCCTACTTACCTCCTTTGGCGACAATCAATTTGCAGTACACATGCCGGCGCTTTGCCCATGCGACCCGTGAACCACTCTTATGGAAACAATACTGTTCTCAGTACCGCAGGTGGGACAGCCGTCCACCCCACCTCCCCTACGAGGAACTGTTGAAGGATCCGTCTTTCTACGGATGGAAGCTGGTCTACGCCAGTCACCACATTGCGTCCCGATTGACACGGGATGCTATCGACAAGATGGTGAACGAACCTGTCGGGCATTTGGATTTTGTCAAGGAGGTGCTCGATGCGGGCATCCATGCCAAAGATGAGCTCCGGAACCTGTATCAGAATGCGGCGTCTTCGCCAAACCACCTCGCACAAAAGTAAGTGGTTTTAAAGCCAGGGTGTGACCTCGGATCTGCGCTAATCAAAGCTTCCCAAAAGATTCTGGTCTTCTGCCGCATCTGGCTGTCTTAATCGTTATTTGGCCGTTCAGGAGTGGCTGGACGCCAAAGCCCAAGGTGACGATATTGACGACAATGCCTTCGAACGGCCGATTGCCGCTTTTGACCTCTTTGTCGTTGAGATGCGGGAAGAGGGAGATATCGAAGATGTAGGTTGAGACACCACCACCAGTTGTGATGACAACTTCCAAGAGTTGTGTTGACCCAAGAAAAGATCTACGAGAGGCTGGATTCTTACGTATCATCGGTCCGCAATGCTCATCCTGATATTGACGACATGTCACCGCGGACCAAGGCCAGAACCATTGCCGCACACCTGTTACAGAACAACTGGGTTGGCATACAAGGCAACCGCCACTACCACAGCCTGGACCACATGTTTCTTGGGGTCGCCCTGTTCAGCGAAAACAGAAACTCGGTCCCGCTGATCTCAGCTGTCATCTACTGCTACGTTGCCCGCCACCTCGGTCTCCAGGCCGCGCCTTGCAGCTATCCGTACCATGTCCACGCACTGATCCGGCCACCGGCGGGCATGGATCTGGACGGAAACCCTCTCCCTGACTCCTTTGATCATAACGACGGCCCGCACGAACTCACCCATCTGTACATGGACCCGTTCAACACATCGGAACCCATCTCGTACTCGGCCCTGGTGGAGCGGGCGCGCTTCGTCGCACCCATGTCGTCGGCCTCCCAAATAGAGTCGTACCTCTCGCCATCGTCGCCCCTGGACCTCACCATCCGCGCCTCCCACAACATCTTGATGGCGCCTCATGAGTACCGAGGCGAACCGGCGTTCCCCGTCGACGTCAAGCTCGCCTACTACGCGGCCCTCTGCGCCGCCATCATCATCCCGCGCGCCTCGGCCCATGATATCGAATCCATTCGTCGGCACGTCACCGCCCTGACGCACCACGTTTGCCACTCCATCGACCTCGACATCCACCTTTTCGAAGCCTTCTTCCTGCGGTTGACCGCCGAGTTCCCGGACGCCGCAGCCTACCGCAGACTCATCCGCCACATCAAGGAGTCCGACCACGAGACTTTCCCGCCCCAACGCCGCTCCGACCCGCGCAACCGGGACGTCAAGTACCACGTCGGCCAGGTATTTCGGCACCGCCTCCGCGGCTACAACGCCGTCATCTACGGCTGGGACCCATACTGCAACATGGAAGAGTCCTGGATCACGCAAAACGACGTCGACCGCCTGTCCAAGGGCCGGCACCAGCCCTTTTACAACGTCTTCGTGGACGACGGCTCGTCGCGGTACGTGGCCGAGGAGAACGTGGACGTCCTGTCGCCCGACCAGATAACGGACCAGGTGGTGAACTCCTTCGGCATCGACATCGGGAAGTGGTTCAAGCGCTACGATCCGGCCACGGGCACTTTTGTGAGCAACGTTCGCCAACGGTACCCTGATGATTGATGACCGTTTTGGATTAGATGTTCCTAGACTATGCATTCCGTGCGATTGGCGGGTTGAAATTCGTCGTACGAGAGAGAGGGACGGCATAGCAGTAGAGTTTGGTAGGGCGTTGGGATTATTCAGGTAGCTATTCAGGTCTTGTGTGAGGTGGATAGGAATGACTGTGCACTTGGTAGTACTGGACACGAATTAACTCGCAATTGGATACGAATAGTGGACCCTTTAAAATATATCCTAGGCTCTCTATTTTTTTGTTTTATACAAGATTACCTAGCTACCATACGCAGTGGCAATGGTAATGATAATGGTAATGGTAGCGGTAGCGGTAGCGGTAGTGCCTGGTTCCATATGTATATTTTGGTGTCGAGAAGGTGAGATGAAGTGCTGTATTAAACGCCATGGTCCACGGCAGGCATTGCGTGAGACCTGTGACGAGATAAGGCTTGTGTAGATGGCATATATTTGTAGTCGTGATTGAGAAGAGAGAAAGAAATATATATACACCTTGTACTCCGTAAATATATGCGATGTAGTTAAGCGGCGAGCATCCACGGTAGACATGCGTCACGTATATAAAAGTATTTTGTACTTTTCGGGGGAGGGATTCTTCATCGATCGAGAGCCTGCTCTTGACACTATTTGGTGATCGTTAGCCTGCTTATACTTCTATTGCCCAAAGACTCCAAAAAGAACTTACCATTTGCCAATACGCACCCCTCCGTCTCAACAAATCGTGGTGCGTACCACGCTCCAAGATTCTAGACCCTCTCCCGACTTCACTCTCGCCAAACACAAAGATCAAATCGGCCTTTTGGACGGTGGCGAGACGGTGCGCGACGGCGATGACGGTCATGCTTCGTTGGCCCGCCAGGTTCTCGATGGCGGCCTGCACGAGTTTCTCCGACTGCGAGTCGAGACTGGACGTCGCCTCGTCGAGTAGGAGGAGCATGGGTTCTCGCAGCAGCGCGCGGGCGAGGCACAGACGCTGCTTCTGACCTCCACTGAGCGATGTCTGCGTGTTGATTCCCAGGGGCGTCGCGTACCCATCAGGTAGAGAGGTGATGAAGTCGTGGATCTCGGCGGCTTGGCAGGCGCGGATGATTTTGGGGTCGTCGACGACGCCGCCAGAGCCGGTCTCCGAATCGTCTTCCAGACCCAGAACGAGGTTCTCACGGATCGTGCCGTCGAAGAGCTTGGGTTCCTGAGCCACGAGGGACAGGGCGCGGCGGTACGATGACACTTCATAGTCGCGGATATCTGTGTCGTTGAAGAGTATCGCTCCAGCGTTGGGCTCGTAGAAGCGTTCGAGGAGGGATATGACTGTCGTCTTGCCGCAACCGGAAGGGCCAACGAAGGCGACAAAGTGCCCGGCGGGGATGGAGATGTCGAGGTGCCGATAGATGGGAGTCTCGCGGGTCGGGTATTGGAAGGTCACATTGTTAAAGTCGATTTTGGCGCCCGTCCGGGAATGGGTGAGTGGGGTCTGTGGGCTCGTGGCGGTCTTGCGTTGATTTTCAGTGACTTCGTGTCGAATGTCGAGAATGCGGTTGGAAGCTGCGGTGGCGTTTGCCAGGTCGGGAGCGAAGCTGAGGAATTGACCGGCTCCCTGGGCGCCCATAATCAGGGCAATGTAGATGACGAAGAATTGAGTGGGTTCATATTCGTGGGATGCGAGGAGTTGGCCGCCGTACCTGTTAGCAGAAACGTTAGCGGGTGTTGAAAAGATGAAGGGACAGGTTGTTGTAGCGAGGGATTGACAGACCAGAATGTTAAGGCGATCGAACAGAGCTCGAGACTGTCGGAGAGAGCAAAGACGAGAGCAGCGTAAGTCGCTTTTCGTGTTGATTTGCGGATCTGATCTCGCAGCAGCGTCTCATATTTGTTGATGATGGTGTCTTCCATAGTAAGTGACGTGACTGTGCGAAAAGCACCGATGGCCTCATTGGCGAACTGTGAGCTTTGCGAAAAGACTTGGTTGTTCCACTCTTCGAATTTTAGGTCGAAGCGGATTCGGATCATGAATGCTACCAAAATGACGGGCATTGCAGAGAACAAGATGACCACTGTCAATTTCCAACCGTATGTGAAGGAGATGGCGACGCATCCGATAACATTAAAGACGGCGATGGTAGGGAAAATGCCGTTGAAGCCCAGGAGGTCCTGAAGTACCTTCGGGTCTGTAGAGAGACGACCCATTAAGGATCCGGACGAATTGCCTTCTCGATCATAGAATGGAATCGGGTTTCGAAGGATATTTTGGAAGTATTCGAGCCGATACGTAGTTCCCACGAGCTGTATCCCATGTGTCAGTCTCGTGTTTCTGGCCACCGCAAAGGGTTCATACTTACGACCGACATATGATTGGAGAAGTAGCCGAGCGTGAAATAACACACGCCCACGCCGAGCGAGAGGATAAAGAAAATCAACGACCAAAAGTCACCGCGCGACTTGAGTTTGTTTCCAGTATAGGTGAATACTTTGACAAGGTTGGCAAAGATGAAACTCTGCAGTGGGTACGCAGCTGTGCGACAACATTCCCTGGTCAGCGGTTGGACTTCTTCACACGCGGTGGTTCTTTTACCAGGGACAACTGACCTGCTCCACCAAAGATCCCAGCCACTAGCACGACATAGATCTTCCAATGACGCCGCTGCTCGTAGAAAAAAAGCCCTACTGTGCCTATTAAGCCTTTGCGTTTGTAAACCGTGGTTGAAGCTTCCGTATTTTGTTTTGCTGAAGCCCTTGTGTCGACTCTGTCAACCGCCTCTATGGATCTTTCATCGGCATCTGTCATTGGAGGCGCTGACTCGGCCTCCAGCTGTTGTGCATGTACGAGACCGGCATAAACACCATCTGTGATGGCCAGAAGCGTGTCGTGGGTGCCTTCTTCGACTTTGCGCCCTTGACGCATGACGACTATTTTATCGGCCTTTCGGATTGTGGAGAGCCGATGCGCAATGACTATGGTTGTACGGTTTTGGGAGACACGGTCCAAAGCCTGTTGCACGATTTTTTCACCACGGACGTCAATTGAACTGGTTGCTTCGTCGAGGACCAGGATAACTGGTTCACGGATGATGCTGCGTGCAATGGCCAAACGTTGGCGCTGGCCACCACTCAACTTGATCCCACTTTCGCCGACTTTGGTCAGATAGCCCTGTCATGGTCAGTAAAATTCACTCGGTGGGCAAAGAACAGACTGTACATCTGGAAGCTGGTTTATGAACTCATCTGCAAAGGCCTCCTTGCAAGCCTTTTCCACACGCCGTCTTTTGAGCTCCTCGCTCTCATGCTCCCACTTAGTGCCGAGCAAACCAAAAGAAACATTGTTGAGGACCGTATCGTTGAATAGAAATGGTTCCTGCTGAACAAGACCAATTTGCGATCGCCACCACTTCAACTTGGTATCGGAGATATTATGAGCTCCCACAAAGATCGCACCTTGGTTGTCTACCGGCGCATTCTTCTCTTGAGTGGTATTCTCAGTCTCAGAAACCACGGTGGAATCTCTGCCATCCTTACTAGATTTGTGGGCCTCCTCTTCATCCTCCTTGTCCGGTCTGAGATCGTACCATCGCTCCAACAGAGCAACAATTGTACTCTTGCCACTGCCCGAAGGTCCTACCAAAGCAGTCGTCTTGCCTTTTGGGAAAGTGGCTTCGAAGCCTTGTAGAACAGGCACATGCTGCCGTGAAGGGTAAGCGAAAGAGACGTCGCGAAATTCGATGTCCTCGTGAGAACTCAAGTCAGACTCGTCTAAACCTTCGTAGGACAGACTGGGCGAATCGATCATAGCAAAAAATTCGGTCGAGGAGCCGATGGCTCTTTGCATGAGAATGACAGGAGCTACAAGAGTGCCCAAAACGCCGACGACTATGAGAACGGAGAAGAAAACACTAATGTGGTTGTCAGCCGAGAAAGCAGGTGGGGACGGAGGTAGACTCAGACGTTATGACCGTGTTGATGTTGTCAATATGGCCCTCACGGAAGAGCTTCAAGCCGAACCAGAAAGATAAGGCAAAACTGGCATACATCGAAAAATAGATGGGCCAAAGTTGAATACCCATCTGTAAAGACATCCCGAGACCATTCTTTTTTGCATTTTCCACTGCTGAGAAGTACTTCTTGGTCAAGGCTGGTTCGGCGCCTAGTGAGAAGACTGCTCGGACGGAACTGAAAATTTCTCCCGCTATCGATGCAGCTTTCTCATTCGCCTTTTCCAGTCGTTGCATCTGCTTGAGGACTATGGGTGTGCTAATGCTGTACACCACCAGCACAAAGAGCAAGGTTGAGCTTGTCACCAGTGTCATAGCCCAGGAGAATCGAAAGGCAACGGCATAGGCGGAAATGATCAGGGCGAGGGACATGAAGAGAGAATGAAGTTTATCCGATATGCTCATTTGGATGGTGTTGGCTGAGGTGGTGATGGTGTTCGTCACAGTGCCTGACGAAACCTCATCCAACTTCTTGATCGGCTGTGAGAAGAGCGACTTCATATAGGCCAGTCTCAAATTGGCGGATATTCGAAGTCCCGTCGTCCGGAAGCAGAACTTGATCATATTAGTCCAAGGAGAAAGAGCACTTTGGAGAGAGCAGGGAACACGAACCATTGATATATAGGTCAAGCCGAATTTGGCTATGAACAAGGCAAAGGTGTATAGCCTACGAATGGTCAGTGTGATGCAGGCTATCGTCGTATGTGTCAACGTACGCATTTTTGTTGACTGAACTTTTGAACTCCGACTTAGTCACGCCGCTGTCTGGGAGGAAGTAGCCATTGAAGTCGCCAACTAAACGGCCAAAGACAATATTCATCAGCGGGAGCGCCTGTGGAAGGAATCAGCTCAATCATCCAATTTGGGATTTTTGCTTCTCAACGTACAGTGCCAGAGGCGACGGCGCAGAAAATTCCAATCAGAAGGGCTGTACTGTCGGTTGAGGTCCTGTGTGAAAGGATTCTCTGCGCGGCGTTAGTATAGATGCCTATTTGATGAGTACTCAGGGACGGTGTCGAACCCAATAATTGCCCACTTGGGGCTTTTCCTCCTGCTGCTCATCATCTTTGACGGTGATGGTAGTTTCTTCTACAGCTTCGTCGGTAGCTGCTTTGGTTTCGCCGGTCGGTGGATCTTTGGTCTTCGCCATCTTGAAAGATCAAAAGTGAGCGCAATGGGCTGGTTGGGTTCATTGCTTCATCACATCGCTTTGTGGCATTCTCCGCACAATCATTCTGCGGCCGAAAAGACAGGTTTTAAGAATATATCAAGATTGCAAGAGGGTGATGTTAGATGGATCGATGCACATGTGTGCCTTGTTTCCTTTATTATTTAGCGAGATTTATAGTACGGAGTTCAAGAGGAGTGCGAATACGAATACGGATACGATACGCGGGCCCTCCCTCCACACTCTTGATGTGGTTGGCGCTGTCGTTTGGGCAGCATGACACGCGGTCAGAGATGATGGGGAGAATCGCAACTGGACTTTATTTCCCTAGTCACGGTTGCCTAGATATGACATCTGCCACAGCATCGGATTGAACGACGTTGGCTTCGACATTGGCCCACGAGCGCAGCAATTTACTCGAAGAGGGTGACCTAACGAACCGCCCAATGGGACTTGCGATAATTCTCAACTTGGCTTGTGTACGAGGATCTTGGCGAATGGAGCATCCCGAAGCTACCTCTGTACGTCTCGAAATCAACCTTGGAACCGCAATAGGTGGATCATTTTCAATAATGCGAAGATAATATGGAGTGAAAGTAGTGCTGCATAATGCGAGTCTGCCTCGCCGCGCGTCTGCCGTGGTTGACTCAATAGCGATACTGAAATATTTGGTCCAATCTGTTCAACTCCAAAAAAGATACAACCGACATTCACAGAAAATAGACGCAATAATTCAATCTTGGGTACGATCGAACACTAGGGTAAAGTACGGAGTATTTCTCATGCTCTCAGGAACGTACAACATGGACAGGTCACGTACAATTGTTTCTTCCTGCGTCCTCAGGTACGACTACCACGCGCTTCTGAGCTCAAGCGACACCGACTACTTCAATTGAAGGAGACCCTCAATGGCAGCATATCTCTTCGAAACAATAATTGAGCTATCATATTTTTGAATTCGGTCTTGCTGTAGGTCAGTCGATCGTAATGAGACAAGCCGGCGAGCTATAGTGACTATTGTCCTCGGTTCACCTGGCGCAACAACACGTCCCGCGGCTCTCGAATCGAAATCTCTCCTCCTTTCGAACGAAGGCGAATTCAAAAGCGTCCTCGAGTGAGGTCGAGTCGCGAAAGAGATTGAATACAAGAAACACGTAATGATCGGGGGTATCGAGCAGAATTATGAGATTGATGCAAAGCCACTGGCTGCGCCAACAAGACACTTTACACTCTGATTAAATGGCCATGTCTCTATCAATCCTCCACACTCTCCGGTGATACGGCCTAACCATATGACTTCGGACATTCTGAGACCATGCAGTTCCCGATGCCGCACACCATTCAGGCGACTTCTCCAAGCCGTTGTCTGGCTGGTAGCGGTGTATTGCAATAAATGCAGCAGCGAACTCGCTCTCTTCACCGCCAATCCTTGAAACGAGGGATCCTCGAAGTCCAACTGTCCAGCCTGTCACTTTCATCAACATAGGCACATGCTCTTCTGTGAACCACTTCAGATTGTCCTTGATCACCGCCTCATCTTTCTCAGGATCCTGGCCAACCTGCGCCACTACACTCCCGCCGGGCATTATTGCTGACATCCCTGGTTTGACCTGGTAGTATATCTGTCGATATAGGTGCCATTCGGATGACTGCACACACTCTGGCTTCTCGGCTATGGCTGCTTCATAGACGGCTGGTGTGATGACGTTCAGATCGTCAACTTGGTAGGTGATCGAGTACCGGTGAGGCTTAACTGGATCTATCGGATCAAGGGCCGTTTGCACGGTATAGCCGCCAACTCCTGGGATGTTTCTGGCAAATCCGCCGGCAAGCCTCCAAGCGTCGAACTCGCGAAAAGCTGTTGCCGGTTTGAGCCAGACCAAGAGGAACCCTTTTTCTGAGACTTTGCCGCTCATGGTGATTGGGCGCTTTTTCCGCCGATGTACAAGTGCATGTTACTGATCGTATGCTTCATGATTGAGTCAAGATACTTGACATCTTATCCCGATGAAGTCGTGACGGGATTTGAATATCCTCCCCGCAAACTTCTCCAACAATATGCAGAAGTCGGGACCGTGGCTCATTTTGATTTTACGGACACTGAGATTCAACAACGATATAACTCCGAATGAATTTCGTCCCAAAAGGGGAAAGCAGGAATTCCTGTACTTAGTGAGATATACCCTTTTGCCGTGAGTGTGACCTCCTCTGCATCCCAAAGCTCTTTGAATTCGAACCCATATCGGGCAGCATTTCGGCGGCGATTAGCTGCAGCGAATTTCTCCGACTGCAGTAACCCTTTGGAAATGCTGTTATTGATTTTGGTCTGAAGAGCTCTGGCCACTGACTGCCCTTTATCCAGCATTTTGAAAACATCCTCTTGCAGCGTTATACTAGCCCGGTTCAGAAAGGCAGAATCATATTCAAGGACTGTGAGGGTTCTATTGAGGTTGGTTTCCATTCTCACGTACTCGTGTACTTCTTTAAGTGGAGCACTGCCTAGCATACCCTTTTGAAATTCGGCTCCTGTCTCGGTGAAGGATCTCTCGATATACGGGAGTCCTAACAGCCACATCATGAAATTTAGGCCAGCGTCTAATCGTAGAGAGTATTGTGCAGTTATATTCCGGTTAAACATTAATATCACTAGGTAATTAATAAAGGCTGTTATGCGCCGCACACTCTAGTCTTTAAAAAGGATTTTAAAGCTAATTAAAGTGTTATCACTAAGTTTAACATTAAGCACTTTAGCTAAATACTTTTTACCTTCTTAATAATACTGCTTTACATAATGGCCACCCATAATTAGGAAAGGAAGTAATAAGATCTCTAGAAAATAGTGAGATATTTAGTTATATATCTAGAGCTTTTTCTTTATTTAATGTGAGATAGAATAGGTTAATTTATGTCCTTATATACTCCCCTTCTCTCTTTAATGCTAATTATATATAAAGATAATATCTAGGCCTAAGCCCTTTTTTTAGAAAGTAGTTAAATGGTCTAGCTACCCTTATGATATTATCCTAGAACTTGGTAATACCACCTTCTCTAGATTAATAGTGTAGTATTAGTCTAAGGTCGTAATCCGGATTGCCCGTAGGCTGTGCAATCCTATGCGCGTCTTCTTTGGTGAAGCCTGCCTCTTATGTACGGAAGTATTCGATTTCATTGGTCAGAAGTTGTTGCAAATTCGTTGTAACATCATGCGTGTCTTCCTTGTGGAGAAAACTAATAAACGATCCCAGTGTTTTCTCATGAAGCTTAGAGACCACTTCTATGGCGGATCGTAGTGTGAGATCTGAACCATGGAGACTTGTCTCTTCCGAGAGAACTTCCGAGCCCACGGCATTTTCAAGGACTGAGTTGGATCGCTGGTCAGGATTGAAATTGTTCGACGGACGGATTTGTTTTGCGATGTCGAAGACTTGTATCGCTTACTTTTTCGAGGTGTCGCCTCATCAGCCTCAATGGTGAAGTCATGAGAAGCACTTGGGCTTCCATCAGATTCCGGAGTTCTCTGTTGTCTCTGTTCTATCTTCGAAGCGCGGAAGTTGCAAAGATTTTCATACACAAGACCCACGATATCACGGCTGTTTTCGGGCATAAGGAGGCATCCTCAGAATCACCTTCTGCTTTTGTCTTTTGCGCCGCTTTCTGCTTTTTCTTGGATGGAGGGGTTGCTGTAGTCAATTGTCTCACCGGCGGCCTAGGGCGAGATCTGTCTCTTCCGAGGCCCCTGCTCCGACTGCGCCTGCAGTTGTTGTTTCTTTATTGCTCTTGTGACCGGCCTATTGCCAGAATCCACATTCTTTGGCTTCTTCTTCGCCGATCCAGCTTCCTCCTTGGCCTCTTTTCGCTTTTCTCCTCTTCCTCTTTCGCCGAGAGTGTCGACCTGGGGTGTACTTGTGTCTCCGTCATCAGCCTCATTCCTGATCAGAGCGTTCGAAGTGGAATCACCAGGGGCCTTTTCGACTTCCAGGTCTGAGTTGTCTTCGCCTGCATCGTCGTCTGTGGTATACAACTTCTGGCCTTCCCTCGCCACCTTCGTCTGGAACATATTCGGCTTCACTGTCGTCGCTGCTCTCGAACGACGAATCCGGGGGTTGAGAATCCGCCATGTGGAGCTTACTGGCATCTCGCTCTTCCCACTGTGCACCGTACCAGTTTGTAAAGCGCGCCATCTTTTCCTCGGCAGGTTCGATGCTCACGGAGACCATATCGATCTTCTCAAAGACGCCGCCTCCCTCTTGAAGCTCTTGAGAATCACGGGAGTGATGTTCGGGGTCCGGTTCCAATCCGGATGGCAGCTTTCCTCGTCTGGTCAGAATGCCAACCTCCTCGAAGGAAGAGGGGCCGCTGAAGACGGCTTCAAAGTCCATTGTGGGACGCGCTACAGGCCAGGGTCAGTATAGCCTGTAAACATGCTTTCAAATCACGGTAGGTCATTTGGACTTAGGTTCTGTGCTCAACGAGGTTTTCGGTCTCCAATGCATTGGTCGCAGAGGCTGCTACTGACTGGTGGATACCAGTATCTCTAGCTTCACCAGTACTGCTTGGAAGTTTTCATCAGCCAAGTTGGCCTCATCGTTCAATGCTACTAACTGATATATCAACTTGGGCAGCTGGTCAAATCTGCGCTCGGCTAGTAGTCTGGCAACGGGCCTAGTGAGGCAGCCATGGATGATGGCATGCAGCCTCTTCGCATCGGCTTTGGCTTCAGCTCGATAGTCTTTTTCATGCGCTGCTGCCGACTTTCTCGCGAAGATCGATGACTTCTTGACGGGTGTTGTCTTCTCCAAGGAGATGTTCGTCAGGGCGGTGCCGAGGCCGTTTAAGACTTTCGCTATTTTCTCTCGATCTGTGCTCTTAAGCCTGTCTCGAAAGAGAGTAGCGCAGAACGAGTTGTCTGCGACTGGAGCCATGTTTGAGGTTCGCGAGAGCTCGGCCAAGTGATGTCGATGTAAGCTAGATGGATGAACTGCCCTGGTGCCCCCAGTGGTTTGGCTGCACTTATCATGTGATGTGGTTCTCGGTGGCCTGGCCTCACTTATACTTCACTCACACTGCGCCGTGTCTTTTGCGCACCTTAGATTCTCTTCACCACTTGGCCACTCAATCTACCAAGTGAAGGTTTCCTCATCCAGGGGGAAATCTCTCGCCTCCCTGGCTCCATCTGCCCTTTTCCCACTAAATAACAATCAGAAACACCCCCGGTGACTTTGCGACGAGAATGTCGAGCCAAAGCGCGCCCGCTACCGGAGACGGCGAAAAGGCCTCGGAGAGTATCATCTCAAAAAATATTGCCTCGACCACTACCGGCGGGTATCTCGAAGACCCATTCGAAAACCACGAGCCGTACGAGATCATTAGTCTAGCTAATGACACGAATTTACCTAGCTGGCATCGCATTCCTTGTTATGAATGACTACCCAGCTACTGCCAAGTTTCTAACCTCAGCCGAGAGAGAAGAAGTCACTCGTCGTCTCGAGCACGATAGAAGCTCTCTTGCCGATGAATTTGATATGAAGTACTTCTGGCACGCCGTTAAAGACTGGAAGATCTGGGTCCATATGTTCATTACCATCGGGTACAGCAGATATCCCTTTATCCCCCGATCTTTCGACATTGTTTTTTTTTTGGCTAACAAGCAAACTTTGATAGTATCTATACGCCATTATACTCGATCTCTCTCTTCCTGCCCACCATCGTCAAGACTCTGGGTTACACCAACGAAAAGGCCCAGCTCATGACTGTGCCGCCTTACATCGTGGCCTGCTTTTGTTGTATCACCGGAGGCTTTGCCGCAGACAAACTCAAGACTCGCGGCCTGTTCATGATCGGGTTCAACATCACCGCACTGATTGGTCTGATCATGCTCATTTCCTCGCAAAACCCTCATGTCAAATATACGGGCTGTTTTCTGTTTGCTGCCGGGATCTACCCGAACGTTCCCCAGGGTGTGGCGTGGAATGGTAACAATATTGGCGGATCTGTCAAGCGTGGCGTTGGTATAGCTATGCACGTTGGATTCGGTATGTTTTTTTGTCTCCATTCTGTCCCCCTGTCATTGGGTCACCTTTCTATCATGGCGTACCTAACGTGTTGTGCGTGGTCAGGTAATCTCGGTGGTGCGATTTCAGGGTTCATTTACCTTTCCAAGGATTCACCCGAGTTCACACAGGGTCATGCCATTTTGATCGCCATGATCTCTATGAGTACGTGTCTCTGCATCTTTATGACGTTGTACCTTCGACGAGAGAATGCCCGACGCGATCGAGAGTACAAGAGTCCGGCAGAGTACAATGCAAACGATAAGCACGCTGAGAGGGAAAAGGGTGACAATGCCACATTCTTTCGCTATACTACTTGAGAGAATGTAAGGCACATTGTCACGCTGGGTGGTTTTTCCTATGAAACGACGCCCAAAGGGAAGAGAGACAAGGCTGGTTAGAGAACAAGAGGCTTGTTTGACCCATTGTGGTTGGTTTCGTCTTGGGTAGATGAGGAAGCGAGAGGAACATGACCAGGGTCTGTGAAGACCCACCTTTGATTCAAATGATGAGGTGATGGGAGGCAGCAAGGATGAAACGGATCGGGGGTCGAAATTGGGCTAGGGATTATATGTGTTTTGACACTACACACACTCTCTCCGAGCATATAATGGCCAATTAGATCTTTGGTGACTGGAAAATCACCAAAAAATCCATCTTTTGTTTTGGGTCAATCTTGTGCCATGTGTACCTAGGTAACGATGTCCAAGAAACTGGTTTTGATTCGTAGTTTTCTCTGTTCGTCATTGACCTTGATACCTATTTTCCCGGGCCCCCGTGTCATAAAGGTCGTTAAAAAAAATTAAAACGCAGTCGTCTATACCCGAGTTATGTAACTCATCACGGACCGTCCATGCAATCATTCACGAGTCTCAATTTTTCAGTGGTCGAGGTACGTAAATTCTTGTCGTCATGATGTTATGATCTTGCTGCTGTTGCTGTTGTTGTTCTTGTCGTCGTCGTCGCTGTCGTCGCCCACCGTCGTCGATGTACTTCTCAAATCGTCCATTTCCATCCCCACGTTCAACGCCGCCTCTTCATCGTTGATCCGTCCACGACCACGATCGAGTTCGGCCATTGGTATTACTGAAGACGACGACGATGATTGTGATTGTCGTCGTCGTCGTCCTCCTCCTCCTCCTCTTCTCGTCGTTGCTTCTCCTCCAAGTCCAGCGTGTTTGGTTGTGGTCCGGTCGTCATCATCATTCTCCTCGTGTTGATACAACCTCATGTTTACAAACATGGCGTACAGTCCAAAATCGTAAGCCAGTCGACAGACGCCGGCGACGAGGAACGCGATCCAGAAACGGTCGTCCGCCGCCAAAGCTCCGGTGACGCTGGGACCGGCCATGGCCGCCAGAGTACGGACCATGGCCGTGATGCCCATGACGGCCGTACGTTCCTGCGGTTGGACGACGGCCGCGATGAACGCCGACCGAGGTGCCTGGTCCATGTTGTTCAGACCCGCCCGGACGAGCAAGAGACAAGAGGTCAACCAGAACCAGGGTGGGAAGGGAAACAACAACACGGCCGCCGACGAGGGGACGTGGGTGAAGACCATGGTGTTGATGAGGCCGATGTTCCGAGCCAGGGGACCGGCAAAGACTGCCCCGACGGCGCCCAAAAAGTAAGCGATCGACGTGACGTCTCCGAGGGCCGATTTGGTTGGGTGGAACTTGACGTCCATGAAGTAATTCGTCAGGGAATAAGGTACCATGCCGTCGGCAAGAGAGTCGACCGCCAACAGAAACCAAAGTTTGTACATGATCGCCCGTGTGGGCGCCGAGACTTGGGCGAAACGTCGACCGAACCAGGTTGACATGTTACGGAGGCGGGATCGACCGCCTTTTTCTGGTTCTGGTTCTGGTTCATCTTGTTCCCGTCGCCCAGTGAGGTCTTGATCGTGTTGGTGTCGGTTCTGCCGTTGCTGGAGGGTCGTATCGTCCACCTCGTCGTCATCATTCTCTTCCTGTGCTATTTCGACATAGTTCTCATCTTGTGAACCCAAACCCTCCAGTTCACATTCTTTCGTCAAGGGCAAAACTAGCACCGCATTCACGATCCCCATGAGAGTGTAGACCCAAAACAAGGCGTGGTACGCGTCCACGGGTCTCCAACCCGGTCGATCTTGGAGGAAATGAATCACCCTCCCTGAAACTTCGGATCCTATACTAGATCCCAATGTCGACGTCGTGACGTACCATGCCAAAACGTCTGACCTTGATGATGGTGTTGTCAATTGTGACAACATTGATCTGTATTGATGTTAGCTCGGCTCGGCTCAGCTTTTGCTTTGCCTATCTTTGCCTTGGTGTACTGGACAATCCCAAGGCTCAAGGTGATACATACTCTTCAATACTTCTGAATGGACCAAAATCACCACCTGTGACACTCACGACACCCAGTATGGCCGCCACCAACAAGACCCAAAAATTCTCAAACAGGGCAAACACCACACCAGTCAAGACCATGAGTCCCGATCCTGCCATTAGGACTCTCCGACGACCCACACGGTCGGCGACCAATGTGAGAAAGGTACCCAGAAAGACATCGCCCAGGAGTGTCAAGGTCATGAAGATACCAATCTGGTGGTCGGTATAATTTAAAGCGGAGAAGAAGATTGCTTTTATCGTTTCATCAGTATATCCACATGAAAAGAGTAGAACAAACTTCTTGGGGAGAGGAAGTGGGTGTGCCTGTGTATATTTGAGGAATCGAGGGGTCGATCATACCTAAAATCAAAGAATTCGTACCATACGCAAACATACGACATGTCCTGGCCAAGATGATCAGGTATGCGTTACGACCTGTTTGTTGGATCGAGACGATCCCGAATTCATGATAGAACCATTTGAATGGACGAGATATCTTGGTCCATGTTGACATTGACATTGTCCTGTGAACAGTGTGGACAGTGTGTGGAGCGTGTTGTCGTGTCCTTCAAAACGGTCTTGTTGCTCCAGAGAGTCGAGTCAAGTGTTGTATCCAAGACGATTCGACTCACAGAGTCAACTACTTCGGTTAGGTAGAGCAGACGAAATACAGAGACTTATTGGCAGTCAAAGGTTAGAGGTAGATCGCCAAAGTCGGCAAAGAAGTAAAACCAAACTTCAAAAAAGAGAGAACGAGAATGTAGCAAGAGTGAAGAAATCAAAACACAAAAACAAAAAGCCGGTTATTCAATTCGTAGAACAAAGTAGATTCACACACCGCCGTCAATTCCCTCGATGGTGCCCGCATTTCGCAGGTTTCGCTAAGAAAAAGCTTGGAATTATAGGTAAAAAACAACAACAAAAGACTGTGGAGATGGAGATGGGTAATGCAGCTGCTGAATAGGCTCCGATATGAGTCAAAAAAAACGTACTCCGGACTCGCAAATGAAGAAATGTCGGACATTCGCCGGGCGCAATATCGGATCAAGTTCCGGGCGGCACAGACCCCTGCTTAAATAGGTTGCGAGGACAGTACGGAGTACCTAGGTACTTGTAGATAGGTAGGTAGATATGCGGGTCGCCATCACAGGTTCAGTTTGATCAGACTCACATGAATGCGATGCGATGTGATAAGTATGGAATAAAGTATTAACGATCCAATACACACACACTAGATACAGTTACTTTCAGCCTTTGAGTGTCCTGAAACTCAAGTCAAGTACTCGGTCTCAAAACTCCCAACACCAACACCGGTAGTCATGGCTGACATGACTGGCTGACTGACAGTATGATCGTATCGTAACCCAAAAAAGAGAAGCATCGCTCAATAAGACTCCCTGAGAGGACTCCCTCCCTCTCTCTCTCTCTCTTGCATCCCCCTTAATAAATATAAGTAAATTCGTCATTCTTTCGATCCGTCAGGTCCAAAAACGCCTTGTCGCCCAACCTCTGTCCTTGGCCGTCGGTCTCTTCCTCCACGGCGACGTACCTATCCTCCATGGAATGGTCCTTGATGACGGCGGGTTTGCCATTCTTGACCCTGGTCCTGGACTGCAACTTGTTCAAAAACATCAGATTGGCCAGCTGAATGATGACCACGGCGAAGAGGGTGACGAAAATGGCCAACGTGCTTCGCAGACCGGGGTGGTACGCGGGGGCCTCTTTTTTGTCGAACAGTAAAGGACCGATGATGTTCCCGGCAGACGAACCGGCGTTGTAGAGAGACATGACGACAGATTTCTTGGTGCTGCCTCCGGTGTTGCCGACGATCCACGAAACGATCAAAGGGTTGCCCCCGAACAGGAAGGCCAGGAGGTAATAGGCGACCAAAAGCCCGGCGGTGGCTCCGTCGTCTCGAGGCAGGCAGTAAAGGACGGCGAGGCCCGCGATGACGGGCAACATCAGCGACGCAAGCACGACGGATTTCAGTTTGGCCTTTTGCGCGGCGTACGAGGCCACCAAAATCACGATGAACTGCATGGCGCCAAAGGGCATGTTGAGCAGGGAAGTCTTGTACTTGTCGAAGCCGACCCCCGACAGAATGAGCGGGCCGAAGGTGTTGGTGACGCTGGCTCCGACGTTGAGCAAAAGGGACATGCCGATCCAGAGGTAGGTCTTGGGTTCGATGGCCAGTTCGAGGATGTGCGACCACTTGTACTCTCGGTTACCCGTGCCGGTGTTGTTGGCTCGGAGGCGTTCGATGGCCTGGGCCTTTTCGTGGTCCGTCAGGAACCTCGCCGAAGGGATGTCGTTGTCGAGGTACCACCAGACGACGGGGGCCGAGACGATGGTCACCAGACCGACGAATAGGAAAATGATCTGCCACTCGGCCAGGGCGTCGGATTTTATCTTGCCCAGGCCGTAGGAGAGGGCGGAGGCGGCGATGGTGGCGATTCCGTTGGTGCCGTACCACGCAGCGACGCGGATGGGCTGCTCTGCGCGTCGGTACCACTGGCTGGTGATGACGCTGAAAAGCGGAAGACAGCCACCCTCAAAGAGACCCAGAAAGAAGCGCGCAGCCATCAGGGAGCTGAAATCATGGCACGCGGCCATCGAGGCTTGGGCGACGCCCCATCCCAGACAGAGGGCGGGCATGAGGATGCGGTGGGGGACCTTGACGATGAGGACGGACGAAAATGGTTGCCACGCGAGTTGGGCAATGGGCGCGATCGATCCCACCAACGAGTATTGGTTGCCGGTGAGGTTGCAATCCTTTTGGAGGCCGAAGAGGGCGCCGTATCCCAAAACCGACTTGTCGAGGATCTGAAGGAAGTAAACCCAGACGAGAATGATTAGGATCCTTTTGTCGGTCTTTCTTCTGATGCGTTTGTTCTGAGACAAGCGTCAGTAACTCGGCAAAGAACGTAAAAAGGGTGTGAAATTTACATCTTCATCTGTGAGTTCGACTCGACCAGTCCCGACTATCGAGAGAGCTCGATCGCCGTGTTTCTTTCCCGCCAGGACCAAAGTGGGCTGGCCCGTCTCGACATCCTCGTCATGGGCCATGTGATTTCTCTTGTCGTCCATCATACTGGCCATGGTCGGACAGAGAGAGAGAGAGATTGTTGTTGTGGTGACAGGCAGGCGATATGGGATGCCCGATTGTTGTAGGATGGTTTCGCAGTCCCGAAGTCTGCTCGTTGGTTTGGATGCGAAAGTGATGGGCGGGGTCTAACACCTGGAGGGAAATGGGACGAATTTATAGTCAATTACAAAAGCATGGGTAAGTGCATTCTGCCTTTCACTTTGACCGCAAGAAGAAAGAAAGACGTCGTCGAGTCGAGTCGAAGCTCGCGAAACCGAACAAGGGGGGGTGATGAAAAAGGTGTGGGGTCTGGGCATTACAACATACTTTCGACCCTCGTGTTGTTTTTCGCCTCAAGCTCACGAGAGGGAGAGAGACAGAGCTATCAAGCTTCAAAGGTTATGAAAAAGAAAAGAGACCAATGAGTGATTGCACATGTCATGCTTTGACCGGGGTTGGGTGTTGCAAGACCATGAGATCATTGGCGACTCCGTTCAAAGCCTGTGATCAGCCACTTGACTCGACGCTATTTTTCGCCCGGCTCACAGTACACCAACCAAGACAAAGATCAACCCCGCAATCAATCGAAGGGGAGTGTCGGCGTTTGAACTCCCATCCCAAGGCAGGACGAGCGGAACAGCCGCCGCTTTCTTTCGAGGGCTACTCGTGTTGAGGCTTCCGGAAAAGGTGACCGTCAACCTATAGCCGGGCGGGTTGTTCTGGGGGGAGGGGGGCGAGAGCCTCTTGGCTCGTTGTCGGCCGTAGCTCCGTCTTGAACCGTCCGTGGGGGCAGTTGATGATGGTCGTTGGGGGTCCTTGGGGCGGGGGGTGTTTGGGGGTCCCACAGCCACAGTGACCGAGCTCTTGTTCTCTCTCCCTCTTTGAAGCTTCCCAAAGTCTGGGGAAAGTCGTTTCAATCTGTCGCACTCGAGATTCCAGTGGATCAAATCTTCAATTGCCGAGGGTAAGGTGTTCACCACACCTCACGAGATGGCGGCAATTGATCGGAAAGGATTCCTGTCACTGAGGTGCTCCACGGACTGAGCCCAGGGCCGAGCTCAATCTAGGCCTTGATCATTGTCTCGTGGGGGAATTGCCACGATGAGACTTGTTGCGCGCCATCACTCTCGCGTGCGAGGAACGGCAATGACTCGGAGATCTATGTCGAGGTGATGATTGACCATTAAAAGGATAGTAGTCTACTCTAAAAGAGAGCAAAAGTCAAGTCTAAGTCTAATGGCGAACACGAGCGAGCGCGTCGCTTTGCACAAGACCGACTTATTTCCTCCAGCCTGTTGACATCTATTGCCATTACCCTTGTCGATATTCATCTTCGTGAATGCTCCCGACTTGCACTTGACATCCCATTGAGTCTTGTGCGGAACTTATGGAACGGTCGAAATCGTCGGAGGCGTCCAATTGTCCAAACCTTGATGATTTTCCCCCAGGAGTGCAGTTCTCTGCGGAATCTAGGCATGGTACCGTCTAGTATACGTCGGCCACGTCGGCCCTGTCGGCGTCTTCGGCACGTTCAATGATTCCAGGTGGCTTGGGAATCTTTTGTCGGAAAATGTGTCGCTTGATGAAGTAAGGAAGCCATACTTTCAATTCATATCCGAGGAAGCTCTTGGTCGGGACCGAAAAGACCTCTGCGAGAAAAAAGTCAGCATCAGAGCCCCCAAATCAGGATGAATGGATTGTCATCACATACGGTCAATTTCTTCCAGGGTGAGTTGTTTGGTTTCTCTGACGAAACAGAAGATCATGAACCAGGCAATCAGGTTGAGTCCAGCATAGAAACCGACTGGAATTCAAGTTAGCAAACAATCGCCAGTCGTCATGGGAATGAAAACCTACAAGCCCCAGTGGGAGTCATGACGGTCCTCATACGAGGGAAGGTCAAGCTGAGGATACCAGCTACAAAGCCTTGTCAGCCATTTGCCAATCTCACATTCAAAAAGTTGGCTCACCAAAAGTGTTGTTGATGCAGACTGCCCAAGCCATCCCCTGCTCACGCTGAATAGTAGGGAACACTTCTGCAGAGTACTGGAATGCAATGGGACCTTCTCCCAGGGAATAGGCGATGGTGAAGAGGTAGACGAATCTAGTCGCAAAGAAAATGATTAGATCGGCCGCCCATTAAATCCGGGCATCCATCACGACTTACAAGACAACAGGACCAATCTGGGATCCACGGCTTCCATCCGTTTTGAGAAGAGATAGACCGGCGGCCAACAAGAAGAGGCACATGAAAGGGAAGGTCTATGGACACAACGCCGTCAGCTATCATCCCCACGGCAAGTCAATTGGGGACAGAAAACGTACCGCCAAGGTCAAGGTTCTTCGGCCCTTGGTGTCGATGAGGAACAGGGTGGGGAACGTCGCCACCATCTGGATGGCACCATAACCCAAAGATGCGTACAGGGCCTGAGTTGGGGTATAGCCGACATCTTCGAAGATGGTTGAACTGTAGAAGGAGATGACTGGAACGAATGTTAAAAGACGCGATCTGAGGACACCGGCGAGAGGAGCAACTTACTGTTGATGCCACACATCTGCTGAGCAATCATCACGGTGGAGGCACCATAGTTGGCGCGCCTGATTCTGGGCACGGCGAAGCAGTCCCACAAACGGGCGAAATAACCGTTGCCACGAGCTTCACGAAGTTCCTCCTCATAGAGAACGTGCGAGTAGTAGAAATCTCTGGCGGCAATGATGGGATGAGCTCGCAGTCTTTGCATCGATCGGAATCCCTGGGCGTGCCTTCCATGCTTCATGAGCCTAGCAAAAGTTATGGTCAGTCAGCAAAACAATGCCAGGGATGCGGATCATAGAGCTTTCTAGGGAGCAACTCACCAACGAGGACTTTCGGGACAGAAGTAAATTCCGATCATGAGGATGAAAGATGGGATAAAGGCCGAACCAAGCTGAAGCCGCCATGAGATTCTACCAGTGTCCTTGACGATGACATTGGCAGCAAAACCCAAGAAGATACCTAAGCGACGAAAAACAGAGCAGATCAGCCAAAGGGCTCTTGGAACAGGCAAATCCACAACAGTCTCAAAAGCCTTACCAGTGACGACCCAGAGTTGCCAGAACATGACGAGAGCACCTCGGACACGGGCCGGGGCCATCTCAGCAGAGTAGATGGGCACCGTCGCGTTCTTTGCACCAATTCCAATACCCATGACGAATCGAGCGGCGAACAATCCTTGCCATGACTTTGCAAATCCGGAACCGATGGGCGTTGCAGTCAGACAGCAAGCGGTGATGAAAATCTCGCCTCTTCGTCCAAAGTAGTGATTGAGAGGATCGACAATGAAAGCACCACTGCGCACCAGGTCAGTCTTCTCATTTCACGACGCCCGCAAAGGGACCACAAGACAAACTGTGTGTGAATACAACTCACATGAGACCGGCCGTCAAGAAAATGATGGCGTTGATAATACCGACGATCCATTCATCTTTGCCTTTGCCGTTGATCCCGAAAGCTTCAGGGAAGGACAAGTTGGCACCGTTGGAACCGGTCTGATCCCAACCCTGGGTGGCGGCTCCGATGGCGCACAAGCCGATCGAGTACCAGAGCATCTTGGGGCCATGCCACTTGTGATCCTTTTCGTACTGGAGGGCGTTGCGCTCGTGGTCCTCGAGTTCGTTGACGCTGGCGAAGTTGTCCGGGTCGCGGGCGACGAGGGCGGCGCGACCAAAGAGGTTTGCATGCTCGGGCATGCCGTGGGTCTCGGCGAAAGACATGGCATTGAGGACCGTCTGTTCCGGCGAAGTGCGCTATGACCGGGGTGACCAGATGTGTCAGTTTTTTGTTTTGGTCTTGTTTGTTGATGGCTGGCTCTCAAGGTGGTCGACTTCCCTTCATGGCGGCGCAGCACCGGGAAGAAGACGACAAGGAAGAGTGTGGCTGTCTTGGTTTGCTGGCTTACCTTCAAAGGATTCTCGACCAGGTTGAGAGCGACAGACTTGCGACGACCGCCCTGCTCTTCCAGCCCGGTGGTGGGCGTCTCGAAGATGGCCTTTTCATTGCCGGTGACATCGGCAGTGTCCACCGAAGGTTTGTCCGCCATGATTCTGCTGCAGGTACAGTACAGTATGGGAACTGTTGGTTTTGGAGGGGGAGGGAAAGGGAACGAGAAAGAGAAGATCTGCAAACAACACGAGAGGAGAAAAAGGGTCCGGACCGAAGTACATATATACTTGTACTTTGACGACCCTACATACACTAAAACACTACGAGTACACACCTACTGTACGGAGTACTGCTACTAGCTTGGCTGGAGATACGGAGAAAAAGAGGGCAACAAGAAGAGAGTCAGGTATCCATACTCCCGCCGTAATGAGTAGTACGGTATACTACTAGAGGTAGTGACCTGGGCCACCCAGCGCTCTTCGGCCGTTTCTTCTCGTCTCCGCATTGGAGGAGGAGGAAGAAGAGGAGGAGGAGTAGTGGCCCGGGTTGCGGAGGGTGGGTGTACTGTGGTTGTATGGAGGGAAGGGAGGAATAACTGGATCGAGGGAGGAAAGCAAGAAGCTCCTCCATCCATTCGGTAACAAACGAGTAATGAGGTAGTGAGCATGGGTACTCCGTAGTACGGTACAGTACAGGTAAGTAGTCGTACCCATGACCATCGCAGAGAGGGAAAACCTGGGCGCGCGCGCCGGACGGAATCCCTTGGCGGGTCCTTCGAGTACCACGTCAACAAACACTACTGTATCTAAGTGCTCCGTTTGATGTACGAATGTTGATAGACGCCCTGACGGTGGCTCCACGTGCGATGCAACCAAGGAGCCCTCCATGTAGACGGATGACTATGGCAATTAAACGAGGGAAGTCATTATTCGCCTACTTGTATACTGGAGTCACTCAACCGGAGTGATCGTCGCCATCTACTGCCCAAGGCCGTAAAGGACGTACAGCAACGAGTACAATGGGGAGCGGTCATGCTTGCAGAAGTGTGGGACCCCGACTAGATGTTTAGAGAACGATCGCCCAGTCGTCGTTGTGTCGTTGCTGACCCGGATAAAACAGAGAAAAGGCAACTTGTTGAATCATGGTCCGAGGACTCACACGAGTATTTTCCCGTGCAGTCCGTGGATAGGTTCTTCTTCATGTGTACAGTACGGACCCAGTGTTGTACTGTATGCAACTCCTTTTTTGTCGGTGTCCTGAGATTCACAACTGTTGAGGGATAATCCCAGTCTTTTTGTTTTCTTCTGTGGCCCCCGATCAACACATCCGATCTTATCTTGCCGATGGAAAATCAGGCCCCTCGCCTCCTCCTCGTTCTATCTCCCCAGTCCGTCCCTTGCTCCATAAGCAACGTGTCCAGATTGCATCTCAGGTTTCCTACCCGGGGAGGGTGGTGGTCGTCGATCGAGGAGAAAAGGGTCTAACACTGCTTACGAGTTGTTGTAAATGCACGATCGATTGAATTGTCCATACGAAGACATACAATACACTACGAGGCTCACCTTCGTACCAGGAACGGGTGTGATGACGATCATTCATTTTAGGGGCTCCTTTCGTAGCCCTAAGAGACGGCAAAACAAATGCGCCTACTATGTAAGCCCAGACACGAAAATGGAGCCTTCCTCCCCCCCACCCCCCTCCCGCCGAACAGAAATCAAAGATCGAGAGAGAAGACGTATGTATTATTTCGTTCCGTACTGTAACCAAATTAATGACAGATCAATAATAATCTGTCCATGTCTGTTTCTAGAAAGAGAGAAAAATTTTGTTTACTCTCATGTCATGATATCCGTAGTTCCAGTGGTTTGTTATCCGACGTTGACGTGGGACATGGTACTGGTTGTATGAGCCTTGAATCGAGGACGTAAGGCGTAAAAAGGATCACGGAAAGTCAATCGTCGCTAAGATATGCTTTGCTTTTTCACTTGGGGTCGGTCCAAGAAACTTTCTTTCAGTGGCGTTCTCTTTATTACCAAAGGAAGACTGATGAAGAAGTCTTGGGTGAAAAAGCATGGCGGGTTGGCGGGCCCAGTGAAAGAGGATCAGAGGCACGTGAATCGAGCCTTGGGAGGAGGACGAGAAGCGCCTTTTACTTGCCTTGCACCAGAACCACTCCGGAAGGTGGGCGGATGGACGGGGAGATTGCTCGGTGGTTTTGTACCCGGGACGAGTACAAGTACAGTACTCCGTACGGAGGATGATGGAGGGGAATGATGGAGTTGTGTGTGGATTTCAGGTACGTATCGTCGATGCTGCTCACACTACTCGTCTCCCATGCCCGTCGGCGAGTCGCACCCAGAGTATACCTAGGTAATAATCAAACCCTCTGAAACAAGGAATGAACCTGTGATCAATCACATGTGGACTTGTAAGGGCTCGCCTAGGCTTGTTGGTGCCATCGAGTGCCTAGATAGCCTTGGGAGTTTGCTGGTGGCAACCACCCGGTCATCACTCCGTACACCAAGGGGAACCACATTTGAGCCGGCCAAAAAGACCAAACACCACCATCTACAATGATACTAAACAACGATACAAGGACTCGGTACGCTTGGTCATATTCAGTAGTGTAGTCAGTAGTACTGTAACTATCCTTCTTGTAGTAGCTTATCCGGTTCTCCGGCTTCGCCTGAAACATTGAACAAGTGGCAAGTTGACAAGTAGAAAGACTCGAGTGACAGGCTTTTGTCCTCCGTACCACTACTCCCTCCTATTGTACTCCGTACTGTACTGTGTTGACGCTTAAGCGATGTACTCGCTTGTCACTGTAAGTAATTTATTTGAAGTCGTTTCGATGAGAATCTCCGTTGCAAGTGTCGTGTGATACGGAGTTTGATGATGATGCCGTTGCCCACATGGTTTTTACGCAGCGATACAGTACGGATTTACGGAGGTGCGAGACGAAGAGATCCTCCATCTCTCACGCGACAGACCTAAGACAGACGAGGCGAATATGCATTGCACACATGCAAAAAATACACGAGGACTCACAATGCAACCACACACATCCCAATAGGTCATCTTTACCCGTTATCTACGGAATGATTAGGCCGAATACGAGAACATTCGGATACCTTATCCATTTTTTCGATCGTAAACCTCGTATTATTACTATTTGCACATGTCTCGGGAGTACTCTGTTCCTGACCCTGAACAAAGATGACCGGATACTCCCAAACCAGAAAGACTTGTTCTATTGTAGAAGAACTGACAGGCGATGGCCTGGGCGACTCATAAATGGATTGCTTTGGGCTGGAAGCTGTACCCGAGCTTCGATCTTTTTTGTGAGGATGTTTGGAACAAACGACTCCACGGGACTGGAAGGGGAAAATGTCACACTATGCGAGCTGCGAGCTGCGACTCTCCATATGTGCTGGTAACTCGTAATAAGCACCTGACAATTGACAGGGAGTAATGCCCACTCCCCCTACAGTATGGGTATGCGTATGCATCTGCGGTTGCATTTTGGATTCCTTTTTTTTCTCTTTCTTCTCCCTAGGTCCAGTACAGCAAGGCGTACGAGTGACGACGACGACAACCGGGGGGTCCCCTCGATTTCCCATCGCGGGCACTCCGTCTGGGTCAGACAAAAAGGGTGGACCATTTTGGGGGCCGGGTTTCATTTTGGAGCCCTTTTTTTTTTCTTACCGAGTACATATGTACTCCATACAACGCCCGCCACCGCCTATGACCTGTGAGTACGCCCTACAACGTATGATCCTGGATAGTTGTTCCGCGCCCGCCGTAGCCTGTGCTTATTAGGTCGTGCATCACCATCACAAGTGCAATTTACAGCGGATTGTCCGTGGCAATACTTACTTGTACTCGCACCCCTGGTCCATAGTCGTAACGTTGTGCTTGAACGGAAAATCAAAGACACACAAGTCTCGACTCTTACAGGGAAGAGGGGGGGGGGGGGGGAAGAAGAAAACCAGCTACGGGTTACTATATTCATCGATGCCGACAAGGCTGATATGAGTGATCCCGTTCTTGTAAGGCCAAGGCGTCCATGACATGAGAAAAGAAAAACCCCCACCTGATCGAAGATTGCATTGCATTGATAGCTACGATTTAGCCTTGGCCAGGCAGATTTCGCCTCTCTCTCTCTCTCGCGCGCGCGCGCGCACGTGCTCAAGTCCACTTCTCTCTAGCCATCTAATTGTTTGCCTTGTTACAGTATTACAGGCTCTACCGACATGACACGGTGATACACAGACGATCCACTGTGATCTAGATGGGCGTCCGTAAACTTTGGTAGGTTACTGTCCAGAAAGTGGACTCGCAAACTGGTCTGGTCGCTTCTGGGTTTGGTTACTTCATTCTCACTCGTTCGCGAACCGATAGTTCCTACCCAAGTCAGCCGCTGCGAAAAAAAGGCACAACGACAAACAAGTCAAGTCACGAGCAGAGTATCATCATGATGCTGGAACCAGTCACAATGTTCTTTCCCACTCGTTAGTACTCGCTCAAAGGTCCATCGGATCGGGGGTTCCAGCCCGCCGACACTCACCCACCTGCAATGGGCGTCGAGGCAAGCTCGTTACAGTTTGACCGCCGAAAGACGAACGAGATCGGCCTCGTGCAAAACAGGCGCCGTGAAGTACTGACAGTCCTGCCCGGGGATGTACCCACAGGCGCGACACGAGTCTGTGGACTTTGCCCGGAGGAGGGGATGACGACGTTCGAGCTGCAAATACTGTTATTGTCCAGGAAGGTTAGAATGTCAGGTAAGGCCTAGTAGAGGTTTGATGATTATGCGACTGTCGATCTACAAGAACCGAGTTACGAAGGGGGTTGCCCACCAGGTCCAGATGGTGGTGGGGTACTGTTTGACCATTCTTGTAGGTAATGGATGGACAAGCAAAGAGTCGGACCGCGTTCAGGTCTACGAAGAGTAAACGTTGACCTCCTCAAACATATTCTGACTCTACTGTCAGTTCGTGAAGAAGGATGGTGGAGGGAAAGAAAAGGAACACCGGGTCAGGATAGTTGCTCCGATTTGATCATTCGGCGGTCTCTCCCTTTTTCGCCGTCGTCCTCTTCAACCAGTCTTCCCAGTCAAACACCCCAGGACCCTCCATCCACACGCCGGGCTCCCTGTCCTCGACAATGACGCCCTCTTTGTCCCTGAAGAAGATCAACCCTCCACCGACATTCTTCAATGGATTGCCATCTCCCTCGCCTCCTCTGCCGACGGGGCCGACATTGAATCCACAGGTCTGATAGAAGCGTTCTTTACCGTCGGCGGCAATGACGCTACACGCGACACCTTCCTTTCGCGCCTGCTCGAGACCCCAAGCGACCAGCGCCCGACCTTGTCCTTTGCCTTGAAAGTCGGGATGCACGGCCAGGCAAGCCAGGTACCACGACTCGGCACGATGACCCTGCCAGATGTGATCGAGGAACCCATCCGATTGTTCCAAGATGTCTTCATGTTCGGGTGCGGCAGCACGGTTGGGTGAGACAAACTTCAATGCCTTGACTACGAGTCCGAACAGGGGTTTGAAAAGGCGTCCTAATGGGAAGAGGAGAACACGGTCAGCAAAGACGGTGATTCGGCATGAGCAGTACGTCAGAACTTACTTGGATCCCACCATGCCAATTCCCATCCTGCAACTCGATTGTCCCTTTTCGCCGGAGCCATTCGAGTCCAATGAGCCAAGCCCGTGATTACCTCCTGCTGTTGCCCCTCAACCTTTTCTGTCGTCACCAAAAAGACATGACTCCAGTCCCACCAGTCAACTATGAATTGTCGGTACCAGTACTTGTCAAAGTCGGAAGGGTGTTCGTTGCGCCTTGGGTGTATCAAACGTCCAAAGAGGACTTCGTCCCAAAAGGCGAGGGTGGTTGTACGTGCCGCGTTTGCGAGGTCGCCGAATCGGGCCCGACGTAAGGTGAAGCTAGGATGAGGGTTGAGCCCGACCGTGTTTGTGGTCGATGGACTTTTGAGGAGAGATGACGACTCGGAGGCCTGAGGGCCAGACATTTTCATATAGTTCCTGGGCAGGGTGGGCTCGTGCTTTTACCTAAGCATAAGACCAAGATCTGTGGAACTGCTCAAGAGATATGGGTTTGTGAGATCCAAAAGCACCGATTGTCCCGCTGATATCGAGCTGACGAATAATGACACTCCTGGGAAGAGTAATGACCGAATCCGACTTTAATCCCTTGTAGATATGACTTGCGATGTCGTTCGATGGACAGAATACTATCGTTTATCTCTGATATGGTTGGTATTCGTACTCGTACGGAGGTAGAGGTGTCGGGGACAGTGGAATTGGTGGAGTTTTCTTGGGATTTCTGAGATAGCCGAGTTTCCACTTATCGAAGATCTCACACACGTGTCGAAGTCCAAGGATCCTCTCTGACTCTCCAGTTGAACTAAACTCTGGCAAAGTAGCTCGACCTACACAATTTGATCAACGATAATTGATATATGTGATGATGATGATGATGATGAGAAAAGGCGACAGGCTCGCAGTACAAGGTAGTCGGGAAGAATCTCCCCTCCAGTAAGTCGATCTGGAGTACCAAGACTCAAACTCCACACCTGTCGAGACCAACGGTGTGTTTGCTAGACTCGTATTATTCCCAAGCGAAGGCGTCGGACCAAATACAGCGACCGGATGAGGATGAGAACAAGCTGATCTGATCCGAAGGAGAAAATAAAAAGGACGGAGAAGGTCCCCTGCCAAGACTACGGATTGGGCAGGTAGTTAAAGTACGGATAAGGACAATTGTACGGATGCTCGGACCCAGTACCTCAATCGACGGATACGGGCCAGCCACTTGTCGGATATCGGTCTAGGGTACATACTATCACATTCTCCAGAGTAACCGTGACAACGACCTAACTACAAGGTCGATCTTTCATCGATGTTGAAGCAATCATAAAACCGCCCGTAACACAGATCGTATTTCATGACATGCCAGGATCCAACTGGTAGCATTGATAGCATTGATAGCATTGATACCAAAAGGGTTGTACTCTATGTCAACAGACAGAGTCGATTGCAGACCGCAGACCGACATGGAGTACGCGTACTCCATACAGTGTATCGAGACTCGTTGCCAAACTCCTCAACACCAACGACATAACAACCAAACAAATCACAACCACCAAATGATACCTTGTAGAGCTCAAGTTTTCCCTATACCAACATGGTCCACGGTCGGCTTTGCCCCAAATCTTCCAAATCTATCCTTGATTCGCCTTTCGCTCTTGCATAGTCATATTCCAGTTCATGACAATCATATTGCAATGTATACCTCCAATCAAAATGTTATCCTTGCTCTTTCAGACGCCGAAAACCCACAATCATTCCTGAGGCCACGGGGTCAGCACCCCTGATACAGACCCAATCCATCTAATTCCTGTCTGCATTCGTCTCATAGCGAATGTTCCACTGAACATCCTTTCGGATTATATGATCTTGACTACCTGTCCTTTCAATCGACTCTTGGTCCCTCGTTTTGCTACCATGGTGCATGTCTTGTGCAAAAGGTGCCTGTTCCCCAGCAGCGTCACGAGTAGAGCGATCGGCCGAACGGTTTTGCGAATTGCCTTTGCCAACGGAACCGAGTTCGTACCCGGACGGCCGATGAGAGCGACCACCTGAGCCATATTCTTGTGTGCTCGAAGGATCCAGCTGGATGCCGAAGCCGCTGCTGAAACTCTTGACAAACGACTTGAGATTTGGTACCGTTGCCGATATCAGCGACCAGCAGAGTTGGACTTGCTGCAGAACAAGCGCATATACGAGGGCAAGCCCAGGATTGCGGGACGTGGTGTAGTCGGAGATGTACTTGAGGTGGAGGATTGAGAGTGCGACCAGGCTGAGAAGGAGAACTTTAGTATATGAAGCAACCTCGTCGAGGCTGGTGGGTCAACTTACGGCAAACGAAAGGAAAAGGCGAAAACCACCTGACATTTTAGTGCAAAGGAAATGTGTACAGGTACAACGATCGCAATGGCGAGGAGGATCAAAAGGCATTCAGTCGCTACATCGAAGGCTGTGATGAGCTGCCACCGCAAGAACTGCACTTGATTAGCACGGGTCCATAAGCATGTTGGAGTCATTACATACCTGGTGTGAACACTGAGACGCATTGCCTCTGATAAAGTCGGCAATCGAGCAGTCGACAGATATTGCTACCACCGAGAGAATGCCCCATAAGCCTACGGCTGTGAGGAACCCAAGGGTACACCAGTAGAATATTTTTGACTGTCCTTCAAAGGTCGCTTTCGGGCCATTCAAATTGAAAAGCCTCATCATCAGATACAAAGTAGAGGCTTTAGCAGCCGCAAGGGCCAGGAGGAACATGATTTCGCCCGCGAAAGCAGCCTGGTCATGATGTCAGCTGAAGATCGCTCTCCATATACCCGAGTGGCTCTCACTCGGCTGGCCTGTTCTACTTCACTTTGACGAAGTAAGTCTTGCGTTTGGCCCAGTCCATGGTGGAGTCCGACCATGATCGCTGTGACCTCTCCAAGCTGGATGACCTGGAGCAAGGCGTTAGTAAAAGAATGTATGTTATGAATGCTGATGGAAAATGCATACTGTAGCTGCAAAAGCCAGGTAGTCATCCAGCCCATGCGTCTTTCGTCGTAAGTGTGCTCTCAGCCCAAAAGTAATGACCGAGTAGATGAGGCATAGGGAGGCAGCTATCCAAACAGAGCCTCCATGGTCATCGGGTGTGATGGGAGAAAATCGGCTCGCATTGTCAGAGTTGGCCATCTTGGAACAGAGATTGTCAATGCTTTCGTCAACGAAGGACAACAGTGATGCTGTTACCAGCAGTAGAGATATATCAAGGGTTGGTCAAGGTGTATATCTGCCAGTAATCATTCTCTTCCCTCGAAGTATCGGCACCATCAATAGTCAACTCTATCACGTTCCTGCACGACTAGGGTTGGTCTTCCGGACAAGGATGGTGTCAGTCCCCATGTCCTTCCATCTAGGAGGTTTCTCTTTGATACACCTCGCTTCAGAAACACTCTTGCTCAGGGAACGTAATCACACGCTGACAACTGGGGTCCTGGATAGACTTGTGCTGGTACTGTAACAGTTACCACTTCAAAAAATCTGGTTGTCCCTCTCAGCGGGCCGTGACCAAGGAATGTCCAGACTCACCATGACCTCAAACCGACTAGTTAGGCTGACAGGTATCAGTTGTCGCCACTATCATGAAAGACTCTCAGGCTCCGCTACAGCCAGGATCCTATGACCAGATGCCAAAGACCATGCCGCACTCAGCTGGAGCCGATGGATGTCGATCCCTCCAAATGAATAGGTGCGGACGTGTCAGGAGAATGTTTCCCTCGACTTGATCAGTGCATGAGAGCTTTTGCTTCTCCTAGGGCAACCATGATTTGACCAGCCACGGAAATTGGGTTGATGGCTCGAGTGATACGGAGTACTTTTGGTAGAGCAAGGGAGCCGTCTTCGTGATTGCTTCCGGGTCACACAACAAGGCGTATGTGGCGTCGCACCACCAAGCCTTGCAAGGAGCTAAGCTCGGATGACTTACTTGAGGACGATCCTGTACTCGTACATTTGCGCAGGTCCGCTAGGAGCCCGTAGAGCGGAGGAGCTCCCAGCTCATCGGCTACTCTTTCTCCAAGTTGATCGACGCCGCCAATACGAGGATGGTTCTGAGGCAGCGTACCTGAGGTTTCTGATTGCACAGACTTTCCGCGATGCGGACGGCAATGAAACGCCACTTAACGATGACTTGCATATTGACAGAGACATTCTTTTGAGTACGCCATTATCGTATGGCTTGGATTGGATGCCAATGTGTGAAGGGATTCTCTGAATGCTCGGTATCGGAAGGGAAGGCCCAGGTCTTGCTGGCCCATGTCGTAGTCCCCATGCTTACCCTGGAGAGCCAAGCACCTTGTGGCTGCCTAATTTTCAATGCCACAGTCATCACATCATGGTCCCAGCCCATGCCATCCTCATGCACCACAACGTTTTGGTTAACCTCAATAAATGCTGCAAGGTTTAGAGGGTGTCCTATGATAGCATCAGATACAAACACTTAAGCTCGGAGTCTGAGCGTATCGCAGAATACTTTTTCCACCAGAACTCAATCGGCGGATGGGGCGTGCTGGAGTTTGGCTCCGTCACAGCAAGTCAACAATAGCCCTTTTAGGAGATGGATGAGGGATTCGGCTCCCCCATGCCTTGGGGTTTCGACTCTGGTGTGTCCACTGATAGGGAAACCAGAAGATGCAGTGCCAGTAGCGTTGGTGGAAGCGTCACTAACGTCGGCTATGGCAAGTCCCCGGGGGGGCGCAATCCACCTGGGATCTGCCTTCCGACCGCCGTGGACTTCGCTTGGCCGGGATCAGTCGCCAGCAAGCGTGCTTAGATGTAAGCCCCCGCCCCCAAGGACTCCCCAAGTCGGGCTCTCTCACTAATAATACATACTGTTGAATTGAATTTTGCCAATCGGTTATTCTTACATTAGTGTAAATCCGTCACCGTCTGTGCCCGAGCTTTGGGTCTAGGCTTCGAGGGGACGACTACCATGTCAAAAGCAAACATCGGAAAGAAGTGTTTGAAAACTCGGCTGAAAAAGCACGATATGTTACGACATATGTTTAACGTCAGCCAGCTTCTGTGAGATAATTGCGAGGCGGAGGAACGGATACTGTGAAAGGGCTTGTCCGCTGTCAAGTAATGACACCCGCTAGTTGCTCTGGTTTTGGTGCCTTCGGTTACGGACCGTAGTAGTGCCTGTCAGTCGTCCCCACCCTCTGCGGTCTTTTGTATTTTGGCTTTGAAGGTCGCATGCATGATGAACACCTGCATGCTTTTCCAGGATGTATGCTTTTGCTCGGAACACCATGAGGATGATCCATCAACATTCTTACTTCAGGTCCTGGTCAGGGCATTTCGGTAACAGAAGCAAGATACGGGAGTGGTCTGAAGCAGGTTGCATCCCCTGTCTCGCTGATTCACATTCTTTGGTAGCGAGAGAGACTGGGCTCTTGAATTGGCACTCGAGGAAGGTACCGTCGCCTGTAGTGCCAACCTGTCAGAGTAGCTGGACTAGGGTCAAGCCTCTCAAACCACAATTGAAGTGGATAACCAATCGCATTTCTACTCATGTTGGAGCAGCGTCTTTCCCTGTCTTTCGTATTGACTGGATTGGTCGCGGCTTATGATCCGTCAGTGTAGTCACACAGTAGTCTTGGTGGCTTCAATCAGGCGTTTTTGGCTTTGCTGTCTTGAACCAGCTCTTGAAAGGGGCCTTCCCCTGCGTCGCCTCTCGCCTAGCCTCAGTGGATTGCGATAGTGACAATTAAAGCGTTTCTTGGTTTGAAGGGAAAGTGCACTCCGTAGTGTTTCGTGCATGCGAACGACCAAAGCAAGGGTTCTCTGGGATCAGGATATGGTCGGCTAGCTTTTGCGTGCATTTGCACCGCGTAAAGCGTCTCGAGTCCGTGTACATCCATCCAGTTCGTGCACCAAGATCCTCTTCGCTTCGACGAAGCTCAACAAGGTCAAGATATACCCCCGTGGAAGCCACATGGCAGATACTTGTCGCCTTCTCCCATTCTGATCCTTTCATCTTCTGCATTCAAGACAGTGCAGATCGACCTCACTTCGTAGACAGTCAGCAACTTCAACGTGCTTCACTGTGGTAGTTCTGTCGTTCCCTTCGACCGCCCAGCCAGCTTCTAGGTTCGCCCTCAACACGCACTCTGCATCTCCGAAATGTCGCAGGCAAAGGAAAATGGCGTCCTCACATCTCAGGTCGACCTGGAGATTTCCAACCAAAACCTGCCTGCAGAGAAGAAGGGCACACACGATGATCAAAGGGATATGCTTCGTATGGGGAAGGTCCAGGAATTGAGGGTGAGCAAACACATATCCCTGTTGAAGCAAGCATGTAGTTGCTGATTCCCTAAGCGAAACTTTCGGTTTCTCTCGATTTTTGGCTTTTCCATGATTCTTATGGCGAGCTGGGAAACCATGCTAGGGTCTGTACCTCTCTTATACCTCTCCGAGTGACATATTTTGACACTGGAACAGAACATCTATCATTGGTCTGATCAATGGCGGAACGGCTGGACTTATATGGATGTACCTTGTTGCCTGGATAGGATTTCTGGCCGTGAACACTTCAATGGCGGAAATGGCGTCGATGTGAATTTTCCCAGATATCCAGGTTACCTGGTACCTTCTGACAAGTGCCAGGGCTCCGACCTCAGGTGGCCAGTATCATTGGGTGTCTGAATTCGCACCTAGAAAGTATCAAAGGTTTTTGAGCTTCATCGTCGGTCAGTGTGATTGGTATGAATTGCCTCTGCAGCTCTAATAGACTCTTAGGTTGGCTTTGTGTGCTGGGTTGGCAGACTGGTGCTGCCAATACAGGTGAGAACAAGCCTCTTCCCCGAACAGAAGAACTCCACTGATACTTCCTAAGCGTTTCTGGCCGGTACCCAGATCCAAGGATTGGCGATTCTGAATTATCCTGGATATGTGCCCGAGCGATGGCACGGAACCCTTCTAACATTCGCTGTCGCCTCTTTCTCGGTGATCTTCAATACCTTCCTCGTCAAGAAACTACCCTTGGTGGAAGGCATTGTTTTGATTGTCCATATTTTCGGCTTCTTCGCAGTTCTCATCACACTCTGGGTGCTTGGGCCACGAGGCAGTGCTCACGACGTATTCACCCAATTCAACAACTTTGGGGGCTGGAGCAGCGATGGTCTTTCCGCCCTTGTGGGTATACTCGCGGTCATGATCCCATTGCTCGGTGCAGATGGTGCTGTCCACATGTCCGAGGAGCTCCGTGACGCATCAAGAGTTTTGCCCCAAAGCATGATTGCTACTACTGTGTTCAATGGCTTGATGGGATGGGTCATCTTGATTACCTTCTGCTTCGTGCTGGGTAACCTCGACGATGTCATCGATTCTCCCACCGGGCAGCCGTATATCGCCGTGTTCTTCAGCGCAACCGAGTCATATGCAGGCGCTTCCGTACTTTCCGCGTTTGTAATTTTCATGGCGATATTCTGCAACTTATCGATCACAGCCACAGCATCTCGTCAGCTGTGGTCTTTTGCTCGCGATCAGGGCGTACCAGTCTCTTGGTGGTTTGCATATGTAGGTCTGCCCATTTGGCTCGGTTATCCCACTGGAATGAAGCTGACATCTACTTCTGCAGGTTCGACCGGGTTGGGATGTCCCAATGAACTCCATTGTAGTATCTTGGGTTGTGTCGTGTTTGTTGTCGCTGATCAATATTGGGTCGACAATCGCGCTTAACAATATCACGTCGCTTTCACTTGTGGCGATCCTGTCCTCGTACATTGTCTCAACTGCGCTGGTGTTTTGGCGACGACTTTACAGACTACCACTCCTCCCCGCCAAATTCACCTTCTCTCGATCCATTGGACTCTTTTTGAACGGGTTCAGCATCTCGTTCTTGGTATTCGCATTTGTTTTCGCCTTCTTTCCTGGAAACCCGGCTCCCACGGTGCAGCAAATGAATTGGGCATCCCTCATATATGGTGCTGTGGTCATATTTGCCATTGCCGATTACTACCTGCGAGCTCGACATGTATATGATGGCCCTGTGGAATATGTGCGAAGATTGGATTGATTGGAACAACGAGTCTGTCTCTGCCTAGGTGGACTAGCATTGCGATTTTGTTGGCCTTGGTCCAGATATCCGTGTTGGAGCAATTCCACGGGAAGGAGTAGACAAGGGCGCGATGATGTTCTCACCTACATGTGACATTGAGCGGGACAACCAAGCAAAGGCCAATTTTTTATATCTTGTAACGGGATAGTCGTATGCGTTCGATGAGGGTGAAGCTGATCAAAAGGGGAGCAGACTGGACCTGAAATGATTGATTATTTGGAGAACCGATTAAGCTTGACACGGCAATATCGAGAAGTACATGAGAGTCCTTATGAGTCCCTTTTATAGGATACACACAACATACAACATACAACATACTCGTACTGTTTGTATCTGGTGCAGAAGATGCACTCCGTATTTCACCTCCAAGATTTTCTTCGGACAAAAGATACTCCAAGTGCCGATGATGCGGGGAAACCGGATTTTTAGTTAAACCGAAAAGGGCCGGCAGCATCGTTTCTCTCTTTGTAGTTCGTAATACGACTTGTCTTTCTCTATGAAAATCACCTCTGAGATAGTTCATGGGAATGACCCATAGAAGACTCTTGGCTCATTATGCTTAGAATGAGATACCTCCTCCAATAGTCTCATAATTTAGCAGGAAATCTTCCCCGCCGGTCACAGCGCATACCCAAATCCGTCGACATTCATAGCCAGGCGGCTGAACCATGCTCTCGACTTCTCAACCTCACTAGTATCGACATGTCAGAGCCCAAGCGCCCACGTCTTGATTCATCGCTCAGTGCGCTCTACACTGGCACCTTGGCTTCCGAGGAAAACCCTTGGCCATTTCCAGAAGAACGATCTCAGCAACGACGCCGAAGTCGAGCAGAATCTGGACGCCGCTTCGAATGCACTCACCCAGGTTGCGGACGAGACTATTCGCGTGCAGAACATCTTTACCGCCACCAATTGAATCGTAATGTCCTTCCATGCTTGCGTCAATGAGTTTGATGTGCTGATTTTCGCCCAGACAACCCTAAGGAGATTTATCATTGCGACTATCCGGGCTGTACTCGCTCTTTTGTACGTCAGGACCTCTGTACTCGCCACAGAGACCGACATGACCACAGAGATAAGGCGCTCTCTCAACAGCGAAACGTAGATAGGCGGTCTCAGTCTCCTGTGTCTTCCTTGAGCGACGAAGGGGCATCTCCCACCTCGCGCGTCCCTGCAACTACCCACGCATCTAGTCTCTCACCTGCTCTTGCTCGAACATCTTTTTCTGGCGACAGTCCACAGAAAGCGATTAACACCCAAGCAGTCAGAACTCAGCCTCTTTCCAACAAGACTGACGAAAACACGTTTGCAGGACCTCAAAGTCACGCACTGCTACCTCCAGTAGCGAATCCAGGCAATACCAGGGAAAACACCGCTTCGACCCATATGGCCGATCCTGCTTGTCAAAATGCATCAATAAACTCCTCCTTTTCAATCCCCAGGTCTTACAGCTTTGGCGATCATGCTTTCGACAACGTTGACCCTGCAATTCTACGGGAAGGGGAGTCCAGACCTAACCGACTAGCCTCAGACACAAGCATTCCAGATGTTCAAGGTGACACGACCGGGACATACGCGATGCCAACTCTGGGAGAGCAACAATTCAATGACTCTCCAGTATCTATCAGGGATGAATTCACAGCATGGCTGTTCGAGGATGGTCTTGGGCTTCCTTCGGCCCCTTTCTCTATGGCAGGTCAGGTTGGAATGGGTTTTGCTAATACGTCTGATATTTTTGCCGCGACGAACTACTCGAACTATTTCGCCGAGAGTCCATTCGACACAGCGTTTCCTCCCATGGTTCAGCAAGGCACAAGTGGATCACCATCGAGTGTATCGGATATACCACTGAACAATAAGTTGCTATCACCTTCAAAACGCCAATTGCTCATGGCGCTGATTCAGACACGCTTCAACGAGGGGGACAATGCTTCACTGGGACAATTGCGAGAAGAAATCTTCCGCGGAAATATGGAGTCCGAGGACCACGTACTGAGCTTGCGATCCATGCAACAATACATTGGCTCTTACTGGTACCATTTTAATGCTCAAATGCCAATAATGCACCAGCCAACTTTTTCAGCTGACGAAAGCAACGAATATTTACTGCTGGCAATGATGGTCGTTGGAGCCGCTTACCTTACCAAGGCCCATGGGAGAGCAATGACTGACAGCGCCGCAAGGTTTGCTACGTTCATTGCCTGGCATCTTCGTTGGCACGTCTTCATGCATAACGATTTTCAACCACCGACGAAGTTGTGGGTCTTACAAACTCTCCTTCTTTTAGAGGTGTACGAAAAGATGAACTCGACGAGACTATTACATGAACGAGCGCACATCCATCATGCCACTACGATCAACTTGATGCGACGTGGGACTGCATTGATCGAGACACAAAAGGACTCCAGGCGTGAGCCGCTGACGCGAGAGGAATGGTGGAATTGCTGGATTACAGCTGAAGCTACTCGACGAGCGGTATTCGCGGCATTCTACCTCGATGCCGTCAACGCCGTCATGTTTGGCCATGCAGCCATGATGGTGGTTCATGAGATTCGTTTGCCACTGCCGTGTGACGATGCATTATGGTCAGCCACGTCTGCAGCTGAAGTTGGCCGGGTGGAAGCTAGCTTACATGCCAATGCGATCAAGCCGATATCGTTCTTGGATGGCCTCAAGAAAACCCTGACCGGTCGCAAAGTCCGCACTAATACCTTTGGACGGATGATTTTGATGGCGGGACTTCTTTCTGTGTCCTGGCACATGCATCAACGAGACCTCCAAGTGTCCAGCCTAGGGGTATCATCGACTCTAGGTGTCCCGGACGGCTGGCGCAACCCTTTATCAAAAGCGTTTGATTTTTGGAAAAAGGACTTTGACGAGAACATGGACCACATGCGCCGAGCAGCTCTACCATGGCAAAAAAACGATTCCGGATCGACTGACGAAGTCATGGCAAACACGGCGACAGTCATGTATCATCTGAGCCATATGGCAACGCATATTGACCCCTGGGACTGTCAGATATTCGCCGGCATCAAACGATTATTTGGGAGAAAGATCACCAAACCCGATTACGAGCGTGTCAAAGCGAAGGTCTTTGACTGGTCCAAAAGTTCAGGTGCTACGACTGCTGTCTATCATGCGTTACAGCTACTCAAATCGGTCTTGTTGCCACGTCAAGGCCAAAGTCGGCTTTACCAGGCTCGAGACGACTATTTGCTGGTGAGACCTTGGGCCATATACTATGCCGCACTCGTGGTTTGGGCTTATGGATTCGCGCTGGACGGCGTTCTTCGCCCGTTTCCAGACAACCTTCAGCCAATATCATCTCCAGGGCCATTCTCAATACGAAGTCACGGCTCTAGTCAGTCCATTGTCCACCAGCCACACGACGGCACCGAGTCGTACCTTGACGCGGCAACCAGAGACGCACAGAGCTTTCTCCAGAGCATTGGTGCTGTCAAGTCTCCGCAACAACTGGAAACGATTCGGGATGGTAGGAACAATGTTGTTGGTCTGCTGGGTGTCCTTGAGATTTCATTTCGAGATTGCAGGTGGGAACTTTTGCACGAGGCGGCAGAACTCCTACGGAATGCCATCATGCTCCTGAGGGGAGCCAATCGTGGTTGAGCGATTCTATACGGCGCTTATGCGTAGAAGGATCTTGTTGTTGTTCACTGACCTGGGCATAAGGCTACGTAATTTTTCAGGCAATGGTGAATACAGTGTTGTTGATATTCTACAAAGTGCCCTGGGAGAGAAGTTCCGGAGTGTTTGGGCGGCAGTTCGCAACAGCAAGCTCAGACGAAGCCGGGGGATCTGCTTGCTGGTTAGGCCTGTGGACTCCAGCTAACGAGGGCCCATGGTGGGCTCGGCGTGCTGCTCTGACACCCCCACGCCCCAAGCAATTATGGAGTATCATCTCTGGGATTTTTTTCGACTTGTGGGGGGGAATTTAGGCTAGGAACCCCCTAAATACTGGACACTTTGACGGACGCCCGGGAGAATGGCCGACGACAATGAGCTCTTACATATAATTGTTTATATCCTACTACGTAGTAAAATTGTACATAACGATTATTGTTGCTCATTTCCCTAACTTGGTCGACATATTCTGTACAGTGTGAGTTAACAAAACAATCATGGCGACGGATCAACTCAAGACCCTCGCTGGCAAGACGAATGGCGCCGCTCAGCCTTCATTCCCCGGAGCACCATCGGCCAAGATCAAGAGCATCGAATACTTTCGAGTCAAGCCTCGATGGCTGTTTGTCAAGATTTGCGACGACCAAGGGAACTACGGATGGGGTGAAGCCACTCTGGAAGGTCACACAAAGTCCACCGAGGGAGCACTCGATGAGATCATTGATCGTATCATCGGATATGAAGCAGAGTAGGTCTTTGACGACTTGTTCGTCGTATTTCAAGAAAGGGGAGTGCTAACGTGAATGCTTCTCTTTTCAGTGACATTGAACATGTATGGCAAACAATCTGGAGGTTGGGATTCTACCGAGGAGGTCCGGTGTTCATGTCTGCACTATCTGGTATCGACATTGCTCTGTGGGATCTCAAAGGTTTGTTACCAACTTCGCGTTCATCCTTTCAGCCGTCTAGGTTTCTTCAAAAGTTTTCTGACCTTACTTGTGTCTCATAGGTCGTAAACTAAACGTCCCCATCTATCAATTACTCGGAGGCAAGGTGCGCAACAAGGTCCAGGTGTATGCTTGGATCGGTGGAGATCGACCCAGCGACATTGAAGCCGCCGCAAAAGCCCGAATCGCCCAAGGACTCAAGTGTATCAAGATGAACGCCACCGAGGACGTCAACTGGTTGGACTCGCCGTCCGTCCTGGACTCGACCATCGAACGGCTCAAGACCGTCAAGGCTCTCGGTCTCGACGCCGGTCTCGACTTCCACGGCCGTCTTCACAAACCCATGGCGAAGCAACTGGCCAAAGCTCTCGAACCTTACCGTCCCTTGTTCATCGAGGAACCTCTGTTGGTCGAACACCCAGAGGGCTTCAGACAGCTCGCTCAACTCACCACGGTGCCCATCGCCACGGGTGAACGTCTCTACACCCGTTGGGACGCCAAGCGGTTCCTCGAGGACGCGAGCATTGATATTCTTCAACCCGACATTGCCCACTCTGGAGGAATCTCTGAAACAAAACGCATGGCCACTATGGCGGAAGCTTACGACGTGGCTCTCGCTCCTCACTGCCCGCTGGGACCGATCGCCCTCGCGGCTTGCATCCAGGTCGACCTGTGCACGCCCAACTTTGTGATCCAGGAGATGTCACTCGGGATGCACTACAACGTCGAGGCGGGCGAAGAGGACCTCAACACGTACCTGGTCGATCAGTCCGTGTTCAAGATCGAAGATGGTTACATCAAAGCCATGACGGGCGCCGGGTTGGGAATCGAAATTGACGAGGATGTCGTGAGGAAGATTTCCAAAACGACACAACCGTGGCAATGTAAGGAGTTTTATGGTCCCGATGGATCGATCAGGGAGTGGTAGAGATGATGTTTGCGAAGTGTATCTTGACCATCTATCTGAGTATCAATCACATGTGTATGATCATGAGTACGAGTATGAATTTCCTGCGTGTGAATAATTCGATATTGTTTGACATCAAACATTCTCATTCCGCGTATAACACTGTGAGCACAAATGACCTCTGGGGAGCCTCCGAGAGAGCAAGGTTCCCTATCCCTAGTAAGTAATTCTTACCTACATGTCCCCCCGTGTCCTCGGTGTGTCTCACGTCTTCTCGGTGTCGACATAGCCCGAACAATCACAAAGTTGGGGGTATAGCGGAGTACTTTGTACCTGTGCTAGGGCGTGCGGGATGATTTGATCGACGGGATCCTTTAGGTAGGTATTGTAGGCACTACCAAGTAGTAAGTGAGGACATGGTGGAGTGCTCAGCATGGAGTATGGAGTATGTAGTATGTGGAACTGGCAAGCTTCTTTTCCCCCACGACATCTCATGAATAATGAGTAATGTCTTCATCCGACTCGATTGAGCTGGGGATCTATGATTCCGGCATAACAAAAAACCAAACGAATCGAGAAAGAGACAGCAACGTCCGTCGTTCCCGTTGTACGATTTTCCCGTTTCAATCTGCCGAGCTCACGAGTTACAACTTGTCACTGTCAAGACATACACTCGGGATCCTGACCCAGCAACAACCGCAGTCGACTCGTACCGGGGGGGTATATATCGTTCAATCTCAAGCATCCAAAAGTCGGTAACCCTAGGGACGAGAAGAGGAAAATACAAAATTACCCATCTACGACTTTTCGAAACGCCACATCGAGGAAATAACAGATTACAAGATGGCATCGTCTCTTTCTCTTCCCAGCATGTTCTCACTCGAGGGGAGAAAGGCAGTGGTGACAGGTTAGTTTTGACATACCTTCTCTTTCAATTTTGCGGTAGTCTCACACACGGTTACCTTGTCTACCCTTTACTCGTCCCTTCGAAACCCCCCCTCCCTCCCCCCAAAAAGTAAACGTCAATTGACTCGGCTCAGGAGGTACAAGAGGTATCGGCGCCGCGATGGCAATCGCTTTGGCAGAAGCAGGTGCGGACATCATTCTCATCCAGCGAAACTCGACAAGCACGACGACTCGACAAACGATAACGTCACTCGGCCGGACCGCCACCATCTACGAAGCCGACCTTTCGTCCCCGTCGTCCGTGGAAGGTCTCTCGTCCAGGATATTGGGCGACGGTCACGACGTTTCCATCCTCGTGACCTGCGCCGGGATACAACGACGACACCCCGCCCACCAATTCCCCACTTCCGACTGGGACGAAGTGTTGCAGGTCAACCTGACCGCCGTTTTCACCCTCGCCCGCGACTTCGGCGCCTACATGCTCACCCGGCCGGGACCCCACCGAGGGAGCGTCATCAACGTGGCGAGTCTGGCGAGTTTTCAGGGTGCATTCACCGTCCCCGCCTACGCCAGCGCGAAAGGAGGAGTGGCCCAACTCACAAAGGCCCTGAGCAACGAGTGGGCCAGTAAGGGTGTCAATGTCAACGCCATCGCTCCGGGGTACGTCGACACCGACATGAACGAGGCTCTGATGAAGGACGAGACGAGGAAACGTCAAATTCTGGAACGGATCCCGGCAGGGAGGTGGGGCACCCCCGAGGACTTCAAGGGCGTGGTGGTGTTTTTGGCCTCTCGCGCCAGTTCCTACGTGAGTGGCGAGATTGTGGTCGTCGATGGGGGTTGGATGGGGAGGTAAATAGTATTGAGTTGGTGTGTGGGCGAAGACGGACGCTCAGAGACACAGTGTGTAAGTCGGGGGTTAGAATGAACAAATATGGGATGTATTGGCTAGAGTTTTCATTCTTTCTCTTAAAAAACCCCCTCCCACCATCTACAACACCAATGAAAGATATCCAAAAGGGAAAGAGAGTAAAAATGAAAGTGAACGGGATCGATTGCGAGGGAGATAGATGGAGACGAAGATAGTAATTTGGAATGGCCGATTGATCTTGCTATATGTGGGATATAAATACATATGTACATGTGACCATCCAATTGATCAATGTTGGCTGCTGATTCTCTCGATATTTCAATTTCGATTTCGAATTCGATAGACAAAGGCTTCTGGATATGTGAGATGAGATGACGAGACGCGCTCACCACATCTAAAGTAGATGTCTAAATCCAGCAGCCCTTTGTGCTTCGGTCGGTCCACTCTTGCCGATGTCCTCACCACGATCCATCTTGACATTCTCGCGTTTCAAGTAAAACCGGATCCAGGTGGCGAGAAGGATCGACACGATGGCGAACACGAGATTGACAGCAAATGCCTCGACATATCGCGGTGCCGAACGGTAGAGGTAACTGGTCCAGATATTGGGTGTGTTGGAAACGGCATTGATGGCGGCGATCGACGCGGCTCGTTTGACCGAAGGTTGATTAAGACTGCCCGTAATCCAGGAAAGGATAACGATCGAGGCCGAGTAGAACGAGGCCGGCATCAACATCATCGCGACATCTGAACAACCACGTCATCAGTATGAAAAAAACGACAGACTCCAAAAGGATGAGGTCAAAACTTACAACGTGCAGCAATGTTCAAAGTCGAAACTGCAATAACGTTCGCCAGGACCGTAATGGCCAACGGCAACACTATATGGAGGTACCTCTCTTGTTTCCGATCCGAGTGGAAACCATTGATCAGCATGCAAAAGACGCACAAAATAAATGGTGGAGCAGTCAATCCGTAGGTCTTGTTTCGTGAGAAGCCCAATCCCCCAACGACAGAAGGGAAAAAGTTGTTGACGGCGGCGGAAATGTAGACCGATGTCAAGAGGGCCATGAACATCCACATCTTTGGGTCAAGCAAGGCGAGCATCAGACCTTTACGACCGGACACTTCGTGCGAGTTGTCTTGTTGACCAATATCAGATTCAAAGTTCCAAAGAATCCACTGGCGTTCTTGCTCGGTGAAACCTTTGAGCTTGCGGATGGAGTTGGGCAGGATCAGTGCAAAAATGATGGCGACTCCGATGGTGATGACTCCTTCGATAAGGAAGAGCTATAACAGTTGTGAGCATGGTGCTCAGGTGATTGGGGAGAAGGGGGAACAAATACTTACCCATCGCCATCCTTCCAACCCGCTTTTTCCGTCAAGTTTGAGAATTGCAATCGCAAACAGCCCACCAAAGGCATTTCCAAGCTGAGAGCCAGAGTACAATATAGCTGTGCGCATGGCGAACTGTTTTCGCGAGTAGAAGAGACTGAGGTAGTAGAGAGCTCCTGGGAACTGTGGAAGGATGTCAGTACTCGATGTGACTCCTGTGAAGGGTAGGGTATTGGAAACTTACGAATGCCGCTTCAACAAATCCAAGGCAGAATCGACATGCCAGTAAACCACCAAAAGACTGGACCACTGCGGTCAAAGCTGATATAAGACCCCATACTGCCACTGCGACACAGATGTACACGGCTGGATAAGGAATCTTTCCCACGACGATGTTGGAAGGTATCTGCATCAGGATATAGCCGCAGAACAGTATGCTGATACAGGTCTGATAGTCGACGGCCGAAAGGTTCAGGTCTTTGTCAATATCGGCCAATTTGGCACTGGCAATATTCTATCAAGGCGTCAGTTTGCTTATTTGATTCTTGCACAGTTGGTAGACTTTACCTGTCGATCAAGATAATTGAGGATATACAGCAGCGTCATACAGGGCATAATGAAGCAGTCCAACTTCAAGGTAGCCTTTCGGCCGAGGGAAGCAAGCTCGCTGTCAGAGAGGGTCAAGAGAGCTTCTGGTTTCACCAGAAAGGCATGCTCGGCTCGAATCTGGTCGGCTCCGACATCTTCTACTGCGAGAGTAGTGTCTTTCGCCTGCTCGTTATCGTTCTTTGGGTCCATACTTCCTTACACCTTGAAGCCGTAGTAGTGGGACTATGAGAGAGAAGGTATTCAACGTACAGAAGTTGCAATGGTAGAGGAGCTTGTAGTTTCCCGAAACATAGACTGGTTGATTATATAAAGAAGGGTCTTGCACTTCTTGCAGCCCATGGGGTACGTCCTCACCGGTACTTTTGGAACCAACATAGCTGTGGAGAGATGGGGGTATCGCTGGGCATCCCATAAAGACGTACAGTCATTAGCGTGGGACCCCCACGGGACAAGACACTTTGCCCATCGAGAAGTGACTTTGACGCGGTGCTCACATTTGAGGTCCTTATGGTAGGGGTCTGCGGGTCTATGCTTCCGTAGGGGAAAACCGAGCGCTGCCCCCGTTGCCGTGTGGTGTACCGACGACTGCTACAAATGGGACACGTGACCTGAGGATGGCGACGAGTCCCCGGCAGTATCGACTCGTTCTTGGGTTCCATTGTCGTGCTGAAAAGAACCTGTAAGATGAGATTGCATTTGCAATACTCGTCTTGCGGAACGACCTGTTAACTGTGGTAGTGCATATGAAGCCTAAGATAAGGCGCATGTTCGGAGGCGAAGCAAGTAATCACAAAATGCATCAGTAAGCAAGACAATCACAACCACGACGGAGTCTGGCTTTGAAGATTTCGGTGCCGGGCCTCGGAGCCTCTTTTTTAATGCCGTGGTAGACTTTTCCAGGTACCTCTAGAGGTAGTAGCCGTTGTTAACAACTGGAATAATCCTGGCATGGTCAGCGCCGAATTCACTGATGAAACCCTGACAATATTATCTCCCATCATTCCTACTCCTTCTATCGGATTGTCTCTGTTTTCAGTCATAGAAAACGCTCTTGAATTTCGTATCATCTTGCTTTTGTCAGCAGCTGCAGGTCAAGTCGAGATGATTCATCCAGAATGGAAGCAAGTGAATGCCATAGTAAACGTTCGTGGCAAGAAAGCAAACGCATGCTTGAGATGCCTAGGCAATGTGAACCAGGAGAGACCACACTGGCCAAGGGCCTAATGGCAACCCAGGACATATAAAGATGGTGAAGAACCTGCGCTGAAACGGTATCGTAGGAACCAAGATTCTGTGGAAACCATAGAGTATCGAAGGTGATGAAGTCGATTTTTGGCTGGGTGCTCCTGGCATCCACATATGGTGTTGCCTTCTCCGAGTTTGTTACCAAGAAGAATGGTCTTCAAGTCGATGTTTACCACCAACCGCCTGCAGGTGTTGTCTACCAGAACTCAACTGATTCTTCTTTCTCACCGACTGCCTTCACCTTGATCCACGGCGAACACGATGCAATTCTTGTCGATTCTCCAGCAACGATAGCTCAAGGTAAGGCCCTCGCACAGTGGATCAATCAAACGATCCCTGGCAAGCAACTGAAAACGGTGTACATCACACATGGACACGGTGACCACTTCTTCACAGGACACATCATCCAACAGAGCTACCCCGGAGCCCAAGTGGTAGCGAAGAAAGACGTATATGACCATATGTTGCAACAATATGAGCCTGCTGTCTTCAAAAGTGTTTGGGCTTCATTGTTTCCGGGAGGACAAGTTACCGATACTCCATTAGCTGCCAAAGTGTTGTCGCAAAATGGGACATTTCATCTCGAAGGGCATGTACTTCAAGCAGTCGAGGTTGGTCAAAGTGATACTTACAACACTACTGCTTTACATGTTCCGGACCTTGACCTCGTGGTTGGAGGAGATGTGATATATGGCCATTGCCATCAGCTGTTCGCAGAAGACTCAAGTCATGAATTGCGGCAGAAATGGCTGATCAGTCTGGATGAAGCAGCTGCATTGAATCCGAAAGTCGTCGTCCCCTCTCATATGCAAGCTCATGATAGATATCAACCAAGCCACATCAACGAAACGAAGCGGCATATACACTTCTGGGAACAACTCCTCGCCAATTCGAGCAGCTGGCAAGAATTGGAAGCCAAGGTGAAGAAGGCTTTTCCACTCCGCACTGGCAACTTTGTCCCTCGCTGGAGTTCACAGGCACCGTTCAGCGCGGCATTTTAATATATCCACGGAACCGAATCGGACGCAACAGCTCGCATGACGTGGACGATGTGTAAGACTGACAAGAGCATCTGTGTGTTGGTCAAGGAAAGGGTCGAAGTAAGTAGCCGCACAATCGCCCATCAAGGACATGCAAGAATTGAGGATTACCTGGTACTTGGGCAGGCAAAAGACGAGGAAAGTCTGTCCAGTTTCAGGTCACGTGATATCGAGTTGCGTGTCGAAGCCAAAGATCCCTCAATCTGCGTATTTCAGCTTCGAGTTACTCCGTATCTTACATAGGCAATGAGCGGCCTGTTGCAGTCCTCATCCATGCTTGTCAACTGCGAACAAATAACTGCCGGATTATGTGTTGTGTGCTGGAACGATCGTCCACTCAATTTGAACGTATGGCTGCTACGACGCATATCCCCATCCTCGAGTCGCTCTGTCCTCACGCTCGCGCCTCACAGGCGGTCCTAATTGCCATATCTACCGAGGGGAAATACCTCCAATCAGAAGGAGATGGTTCTTGGTCTGGTCCAGAAGTACAAGCCATTGATTGATGCTAGAAAACCTTGGGACAATACAAGAACTTGCTCAGGCCGCGTTCGCTTTCAGTCGAACGTTGATTGCCTGTAGCAGAGTGTACAGCACTTCCAGCGTGGGAACAGGCACTCCTAGCTCTCTACCCTTCCTCACGGGGGTTCCGAGAATCACATCCACCTCCATTGGTCTGCCCATTTTACAGTCGATCTGCATACTGCTCCCGATGGGCGGCATTCCCAAAATCCTGTCGATCAAGGTATCAATCAGATTGTACTGAATTGGGACACTACATTTCCTGGCAACATCGATGACTTCTCGCATCAATCTTCGTGTCATGGGCATGGAATCGTCCGACGACTTGAGCCAGGTGTGAGTGTCAAGCATGGTGAGTGTGGTCAGCGAGTTCCAGGCACAATTCCAAACAACCTTCTCCCATCGCTGAACTTGGATGTTAGCTTCGACATCTAATGGTGTCCCACCGGCTCGCAACAATGAGGCAAATTCATCGAGCCGGCTCTTCTCTGTGGCAGCATCGAGTTTCTTATTGGGGAAAATCCCTATCTGGGTGTTTTCAGACGCCTGGTGTTTGACAAAACCAGGTTGGTCTTGCTTTGCGCCCACCCAGGTCTATTGTACTCCCCATCAGCGACCAGATGCTATTCTCACAGATTGAAAGACTTACCACGCAGCTCAGGATTGGAGACGTTGGAAAAGCTTCCCGGAATGGATCTTCGTTTCCCACCCCATTCTGGATGATGACAATGCAGGTCTTTTCACCAACGACAGGCGCCAATTGCTTTGGCACAGACGACTGGTCAATGGCTTTATGGACGCAGACGACATAATCGTAGGTCTCCCCAGCCTCGGCAGGAGTTTTTAACACTGCATCTTCTATTAGCTTCGTATTCGCACAGACGATGGCTGTTCAACTCACCCTTGGCTGGTCGGACAACGTGATCGCCATGATTGATGCTACTTATATGAAGTCCCTAGTGACAACCATCAGTTCGTAGTCATTTTGATCGACAATGTATCCGGTGACTGACATTGTTCTTGACTGCTTCATAATTCGAGCGAGCCACTACGGTAAGGCGTACACGGTTGCTTTGATTCAAGATGAATGCATAGAATGATCCGATGCTGGCCCAGAGCGTCAGAGACAGTGTTGGCCAAGGGTTCTCTTGAAATACTTACGCTCCTAGGCCATACAGCATAACATTGACTTGGTCAGCCATTTGTACGGACGGATGCCTTTCTAACCGATGTGAAGGTGGCGCTCTGGTCTGCGTCTTCCAGGTAAGAAGTTGCGAGCACGCAACCTATATGGAATCCTGCTTCAGAAATGTGGCCTTGCTACCCTAGTATCAATACTCATACAAGGTGCGATACGAGCGTGGCTTGGAAAACGCCCTTCAATGACAGCTTGTTGCATATTGTGATATTAGCCGGCATTTGTATCTTATTGTGGCGTGGGGGTTTTGGGGGGTGCGGGGGACGACGCATAATTACAATACCTTGCCTCGAGTAGGAGGACGGAGTGCTACCTAGTAGTTAGGTTGTGATCTTCTTGAGACGAATAGGATGATGTGAGCATTTTACCTCGAAGCCATGTGCATAGAGCTGTCACACTCTCGTACAACAGACTGTAGACTGTTGGAGCCATCCTAACTAAGCTAGGCAAAGGACAATGCTTGAAGCGGCTGCCATGCAGTAACCTCCTTTAGGCGACTACACACGATCCCCAGGCATCACCCCGTACGCCCTTCCAGGCTCAAGCGAGATGCAGCTTAACAAGCTGAAAGTTAACAAGGTTATGCTATTCTTGAAGAACCAGAGCAATCACCATGTCAACATTGCAGAGAGTTTGGTTCTTGACTTCTGCTCACCATGTCAACCTGGATTGTCTCGATGTCAAATTTGCTCTCAGACGAGTCGTAACGATCACTTTGACCATGTCAGAAGTGCATGTGTCAGGCCGCATTCTAGGGGTTCCCTCGAAACGCCATGAAACGGTTTAAAACAGACATGCTGCTGTTTGTGCAAAAGCCTACCTAAGCTAGAAAGATGGTCGCGTTAGAAAGAAAGCCAGCTTCTCTGTCTCGCCATGGATTCGACATGTAGATTCTGATAGTCGATTCAACTATTAAGTCAGTCTTGTCCTCGCGGGGAGGATTTAGAAGGATTTGGCCAAGACCATGAGGAACAATCTAGGCTTTGTTACCTGAGGGTGTTGATGGTTTCTGGGAGAAGCTTGCCCGAGGAGGGAGCGCGGTGCCTACCATGCCTACTCGGGCTATATGATACCCCTCCCGACCAACTTGCCTTGGGTAAGAGAACAACGCTAAAAGCACCTAAAAGCACCTAAATGAACCTAAAAGGCCTAAAACCTCTACCTAGGCGATGATACGTTGTGCCCCGGGAGTGGCTTTCTAGGCGCACCAGCCATAAGCCAGGAATGACTGCCCCCCAAGAGTTCAGCGTTCGTCGGGATCCCCAATAATCCCCGCTGACGTTTTCGTGGTTCACAGCCGATGCACCACCTAGACACGCACTCTTGCTGCTTCCTCCTCCCCCCTCTCATTTTCCGCGGTCGCATGCGCTGCCCCGCTTCATCCTCTCTCTTTCTCTCTCATCACCCCAGCTTCTTGATTGAATCCCTCAGACCTCACTACGGCTTATCCTGATGCTGATGACCAAATTCCAGAGTGCCTGATGACGTTGCTGAGGCAGGTAACGAACTGCAAGTGCCTCTTCCACGCAGACTGACAACGTCTACCGCCCACAAGGCCACACAAGATCCTCCCACCGCCCTAAACACGATTGGATGCCACCAACGAGGCTACTGGCCTCGTCTACTGCTACTCCATTTTCTGGGGAAGCAAGAGCGAGACGGTCTGCCTCCCAGGCTAAACTTGCCTAGCGACCCCCAGCCTTGAGGATCTGTGTTCGACCGCGATTTTGGAACTTCACCTCGTCATCCACCAACCCTCCTCACTACGGCAAAAGTCCAACGACAATGCGCCAGACTCAATGTGTCCATGTTCACTCCCGTACATCCCACTACAATCCTCCAGCATTTTAGATCACAAAGACGCCCAACCTCAACTCTGTCCGCGCCGTCTTTAGCGATTGACCGCCAAAACTCAAAGGAATCGGTGGCCCACTTGTTGTTGACTCAAAGTGCGCCGAATGGGCGATATCCAGCCTCAACTTTCCACCATCTCGTGAGTAATGGATCAGGCGCAGCCTTGGAATGAGAGATTCCAGTGTCCATCATGCTCGAAATCGTTTGTGAGAAAGGCGCATATGCTACGCCACCAACAACAACGTCAGCGAATCTTTATTGTTATTTGTGACAGAGCTGTTTCTGACTCGGAAGCACAGACATCGCTCAAAGACCATTTTCGTGCAATTTTTGCTCCAAATGCTTCAAACGAAGGTAGCGCGACCTCTTGTTCCCTATGCGCAGCAAGCATCCTGATTTTCAATAGTGACGTACTACGCGCTCATCAATTCCGATGCAAAGAACGAGGCGAAGCCCCGGTCCCAGAAGGCCAAAGTAAAGGCCGTAAAAGATCTTCGTGTTTATCCTGTGTCAAATTGCGGACGCGATGCGACCAAGAAACTCCTTGTGGTCGATGTCAAGAACTCGGCAAGGAGTGCGTCCGAGGTTGGCCACACCAGCTGATTCAACCTGTCCAGCAGAACTAATGTGACGTGTACAGTATCGAGCCCTCAGAAGCCATCGTCACAGAGACCAAAAAGTCGAGATGCTATTCCCATCCAGCATTTACTAAATACCCCAGATGGCGACGACTTTGTTGGCCGCTTTCCCATCCGCAGCACCGTATCTGCTCCGACCGAGGATGAAGACGACACTACATTAGGCGAGGTGGAGATAGGTTCCGAGACTTCACACTGGAGCGAGGACTACGACGTGAATGATGCTTTCGTCGGCGCACATATATCGGATTTTGACAACCTCAATTTCGACACTTTCTTTGGTGGCTTCGACACACTCACATTCAGTTCCTATCCAGACATGTCACAGGCCACAAGTGTGGGAGATCTTGCTTCACCAATGGCCATGGCATTAGAGCCTCGAGCATTCGAGATTCGTCAATTGCTTCTAACGACAGCATCATCTCTCTCGAATGAATTTCCCCAGTCCATCAATCTACTCCAGTTGGCTTCAGATATCGAGCTTCTCACTCATACCGAGCTTGAGCATTGTATCAATTTGTATTTCGCAAACTACCACAGGCATTGTCCGATAGTACACCGGCCATCTTTCCAACCGACTGTAGCTCCCATACCTCTGATATTGGGTATGGTGGCCCTGGGTGCGATGTACTCGCAGGAACGGGCGAAAGTTCTCTGGATGAAGAACCTTCTGGACGTGATGGAAGCATACATCTTCTCCTGGCCAGGACTGAAGGACGATTATAGTGGCTTTTTCACACTCGCCGAAGCCCCTGACGAAGAGACCCTTGACTTTCAATTCCAGTTATTCCAAGGAGCTTACTTGATGGTCGTTGTACAATTTTTTGTCGGAAATCTGTCGGGCCGGAGAAGAGCCCGGAGGCAGAGATTCACGACAGTAATAAGTGTATGCATCTCGTCCCAAGCCCGAGACCCTACTAAAGTCTTTCAGATTGCAAGGTCCTTCCGCCTACCAGTCGCACAGCATGACGGTATAATCACAATTCCAGATGAGGTTGCGTTCCAGCAATGGATCCGGCAAGAGGTTCGAGTACGGTGAGTCATCATATTTCCCATCGCATGCGACACTCACTGATGTGCGACGCATGCAGAACCATGAACATATTGTTGGCACTCGATTCTGCAATGGGCATATTCAATAATGTCCCTGCCCGCGTTAACTACATCGAACTCGACCTTCAGCTGCCTTGTCACCCAGAGTATTTTGAGTTGTCCAGTCATGCCGAGATGCTGGCTCGATCGTCCTTTCCTCAAACACGAATGAAACTCATCGATGCTTTCCAAAGACTGTTTTCTCCTCCCCGGGAGTTGAAGGCAGCATTCCATGACGAAACATTATGTTGCTGGGATATGCTGTATCTCATTCATGGTATGCAAACGTCCTTGTTCAGACCATTGCCTCCTGATACTAACACTCACTTGATAGTCCTCTTCACCCATTCCACACAACACTTGTTTGGTAATCCAATGAATCGAGCTTCACCATCGACGCTCTCGACTGGGTCGTCATTTATAATTGAATCGATCAAGACGGCACTGAACAACTGGAAGACCCTGTGGGATGGGGCCAAGAAGAGGATGCCTCGACCTTTTGCCAGCGAAATGGGATTCGAGACATCTGCAGATAGTTACTGGACCTTACTCAGGATGATCGTACAGAAGTTCGAGGTCCACTCTGCGAACACCACCACCGCCGAGATCAACAGTGCCCTGAATAGCATGTACGGTGACGACCACACCCAAGCCGGGCTCAATTCCAACGGCACAAGTCAGAGCGGCGTGTCACTTGGCTTGGATTTCATGCCGCTCGAGGCAGATTGTGATAATCAAGGCGCTCATCTGAGGAAAATCTTGGGACGATGAAGGCATTTGGGCGAAATTGCATTGGCTGACTACAATATGTCATCCTAAGGAAGTGACGCAAGCGACCGAGATCGCAGAGATCGATCACGTTGATATACCCCAGGTTTAGAATGGACATTTTCCAACTGGGATTTCCATACCCATCGGTCTCATGGTACTGTACATGGTTCCAGCATGCATGCCATGGCCAAGGCCACCCGTCTCTAAGTTAGTGTCATGAACGAGATTATCTAGTGAGGAGATCTCTCGAATGTCGCCGCTGACTATTCATTCGAGCCATACTTTGGTGAATTCAGCACTTCGAATGGAGACATCTACTGGGAAAGTTCTCACCTCCAGGAAGATAGGGACCAACCAAATCCATTTACTGTACGATCATGATCGCTATCCCCAATGGTGTCCTTGACTTGTCAATGGGCGTTTTCCTTAGGCATTATTCTTCCCTGTCGAACTCACAGGGACGCCCAGGCCAACACCCTTGCCTAGCTCACAAGGGGAAAATACCCATCCTCCACTATTGTAGCACGACACGGACCTGGAGCTGGAGTCGGTGGATTGAGGGGCATTGCGGAGATGATTGTCGAAACACTTCGGAGCAAGTCACTTCTGTTACCATCCTGCCGGCCTGCATAGAAGAGTACACGAAGCTCTGTTCGTGGGGCAAGGAGAATTGCCATTTCCAACTTAGCGAAGAAAGGGCCAGACCATTTTCCGCACCAGCCTCTTGGACATCGGATATGTACCAGACTCTCCTGTACGGTGTATGTAGGCTAGAGCTGATTTAACTGAGGTGTTCTCCGTACACTTGGGAGAATTCATATCACTTCCAGCATCCAAGTTCGGTCCCATCCGTGTCTTCATCTTTCAAGCACAATACAATGTCCAGCTCAACCTACGGTGGCAAGGGCCCGATCCCTGATCTGGCAGACAGATATAGCGGTGTACCCTCACGTCTGTCACAAGAGGCCATTGACGCCAAGTCAAGACTTTTCTCTCAAAAGACATTGCCCGATAGTGTAGCTCGGAGACGAACTGCCTTGCCACCCGGTGTGTCGAAGGAGGCTTTTGAAAAGGCAGTGGCTGAACTGCGGAGCACCATCGGCAAGGACAATGTCGAGCTCAACGACAAGCCGCTCGTGGATGGATGGTACATGGAACATCCGTAAGTCGTGGTTCTTTCCTGGTCTTGTAACACAACGTTCGATCTGACATTCGCCATCAGCAACACGCACGATGCTTATCACGTCGTCGAACAAGAAGAGCTCATCGCCAGTGCCGTGGTGTATCCTTCTGGCACCGAGGAAGTGCAAAAGGTTGTCCGTTGGGCAAACCAACACAAGATCCCCATCTATCCAATCTCCATGGGTCGCAATATCGGCTATGGCGGTGCCGGTCCACGTATCCCGGGCGCCGTCGTCATCGACCTGGGCCGGCGTATGAACAAGATCCTCAATATCGATGCGGACAACGCTTCATGTATCGTCGAGCCTGGCGTGTCATACTTTGCTCTCTACGAAGAGATCCAACGACGGAAATTACCTCTCTGGATTGATTGTCCAGATCTAGGTGGTGGTAGTGTTCTCGGTAACGCCATCGACCGCGGCGTCGGGTGAGATATCCTGTAATGTCGGTTCGAGTAAATTTTTACTGACACCTTATCAGGTACACGCCCTACGGTGATCATTTCGCCAACCACTGCGGCATGGAACTCGTTTTGCCGACGGGTGAACTCTTACGTACCGGCATGGGAGCCATGCCTGGCAAAGACGGTGCCGACAACCCGACGTGGCAATCTTTCCAGGCGGCGTACGGTCCATACATCGACGGCATCTTCTCCCAGTCCAACTACGGCATCGTCACCAAGATGGGCTTTTGGTTGATGCCCGAGACCGGCCACCAAAGCTACATGATCACCTTCCCGCGCGAAGAGGACTTTGCACAGATTGTCGAGATCATTCGACCGCTCGCCCAGAAACGCATTCTCGGCAACATCCCTCAACTTCGGCACGTCATCCAAGAACTCGCCGTGACCGGTAAGCCCCGTTCGCACTGGTACACCGGTCCCGGCCAGATGCCACGCGAGGTGATCCGGGAGAAGGCCTCCAAGCTGCCCTGCGGCGACGTCTCTTGGGTCTTTTACGGCACCCAGTACGGCGACGAAGCGTCGATCGCGTCGCAGCTCAAACTCATCAAGTCCGAATTCGGCCGCATCGAGGGGGCCAAATTCTTGTTCCCCTCCGACGTCCCCGCCGACCACTACCTCCACTCCCGGGTGGCCGTGTGCAGTGGTGTCCCGGTGCTGAAAGAACTCGACTGGTTGAACTGGCAACCCAACGCGGCCCATTTGTTCTTCAGTCCCATCTCCCCCACCAAAGGTCAGGACGCCAGTTTGATCCACAAGAGCATCTGTCGACTTCACGCGAAGTACGGGTTCGACGTTTTCCCCACCATGTGCGTAGCAGGCCGCGAGATGCACTACATCTCCAACATCGTCTATGACCGAGCGGACCCTGACGCAAAACAACGGGCCACGAACCTCATGCGTGAGATGATCCGTGAGGCGGCCCAGGAAGGCTTTGGGGAATACAGGACGCATTTGTTGTTTGCCGATCAAGTGGCGGAAACCTACAGTTGGGGTGGAGGGGCCCTGAGAAAATTCAATGAAAAGATCAAGGATTCTTTGGATCCGAACTCCATCCTCGCACCCGGTAGGAACGGAATCTGGGGCCAGAGGTACAGAGGCAAAGGTTGGGAGATTTTGGACGGCGACAGGAGAGATATCCTAAAGGAGGGTGTCAAACCAAGGTTGTGATAACAAATCGGAGGAATGTGGTGGAAGGGAAGAACATTTCAAGAAGAAGGGCCGAGGAGGATGACATATACAGACGATGATAGTAGTAGTAGTCGTCACAATAGTAGAAATGTACCATGGAAGTATATATAATATAACATATCTCATACAACACTATACGGAGTAAACAGTCAGTCGGTCTACTGGTCATGAAAGAGCAGGTCAAGTTCCTTTGGGAAAATTATTCGTTGCGTAGAAAAAGGTAGCAACACTTGTGTAGTATGTAAGAATGCATGTATATGAGGAAGGACGAAGACTGAAAAAAACCGATAGACCGTTACGCGAGCTATATATATATATATATGGTACTGTGTGACTTTGTATGAAGGAAGAAACGACAAAAACATACACATCAACATAGAGGAGTGATTTTTCCAGTTCTTAATTCCTCGGCCACGATTCTTGACATTTCAGGCCATTGTTTTCTCGTGTCCGCTTCGGCGTCGTAATCATACAACACGGCGTTCTGTAGGAGGGGGGAAAAGATCAACCACTGTGACAACAGCAAAAGGGGAACGAGAGGTATAGACTCACCCTGATTTTGACACTATCAGGATCAATCTCTTCGCCATCTTCGACACGATCCAGAGCGTTGTGCCACCTGTCTCTGACGTCTTCACCATTCGTTTGAGCTCTTCGGACTCTTGGGAACCGAATCTTTTCATAAACTCTCGTCTATACCACACACGGAATATCAGTATCAGCACCAGCATCATCGAATGTTCACCTTCACCCCTGTGAACGCGTGGTTTGGAAAGGTAGGTGGCAATCGTGGTGGGAACTGGTGATGGTTTACTCACCGCCAATGGAACATTACCCTTCCCGGCGAGCAACAAACACTGGGCCAACACTGCGGCACTCTCGGTGGCTTGACTGGCTCCTTGAGCACTGGTGGGCAAGTGGGGATGACAACAATCCCCAATCAAGGCGACTTTGTGATTCTTGCTCACCCAAGTCGGGATGGGATCACGGTAACAAATCTTCCAGTCCAGGCATGATTCGGTCTTCCGAACGATGGCTGCCACTCGGGGGTCACAATCCTCCACCAACTCACGGACGGCGTTCATGTCCCCGGGTTGGAACCACGACTCTTTGATGTCTTCGGTGTCCTTGTGGGTGATGATCCAGTTGAACTCTTCACCGTTGCGGAGAGTGTTTTGTACCAGGTGTTTGTCCTTGCCGATCCAAATGTTGACGCACTCCTTTTCCACAAACTCGGCCGTCAGGGGGTCCCCTCGGAGATGGTCCCCTTTGAAAAAGGCCCGGAAACAAGCGTACCCGGATGACTTTGGTTTGTCGTCGAATCCCAAAACCAGTTCTCGTGCTCTTGATTTTATTCCTACAAAAAGTCACCAAGGACGGAGACATGGTTAGCACAGAAAAATGACTTAATGGTAGTTATCAATCCGATGTGGAATTGACGGGAAGGGTTCTCTATAGGTCGGTGGTCGAGTGTGTGGTGGTGGAAGAGAAGGGAGGGAGAGAGAAAAAAAGTTGGAACTAACCATCAACAGCAATCACGATATCGGCGTAATGCTTCTCTCCATTCTTCAGAGTTACTGAAGGTGCAGTATCGTCGTAATCCAACACCTATATCACACGAGATGTCAGTATACCGGCGTGGTGAGTGGCATGTACGGTCGTTAAAATCTTTGGTAGGTGCTCACCTCTGTACCCATATGTACAGGGATACCCTTTTCAGCGACGGCGTCCAAAAACCCCCTGTGGTAATCTCCTCGATGACCGATATACCCGGCCATGTCCATCAGAGGTTGCTGGGCCAGAATCTTCCCGTCGTGCCACCGTCGGATTTGCATATTGGGAGACTTGTTGCCGATCTCGATCAATCTGTCCCTCAACAAGGGAGACCATCGGTCGAGCAGTTTGAACGCGTTCTCACCCAACCCCAACGAATCTCCTAGCCTCAAGAACTCGCGCACCTTTTCAAACACGACCACTTCGAATCCTGCATTGTGCATCGCCAGGGCGGTGGCGCATCCTCCCAAACCTGCTCCGACGATGATGACTGCAAGAAAGTGTTAGAGAAAAACCATTTCATGTTAAGCTGGTTGCCGCTCTTTTGTGAGTGAGTGTGTGTGTGTGCATGTTTCTTCGATGATACGTAACTCCCAGATTTACTCACCTTTCATTGGACTTTCTGGCGCTATTGAGCCCATGTTGACTGTCAAGACTTCTTTGTATTGTTGTGTCTTTTCAAATCTCGAAATCCACCTTTTCGTAGCGTAAGATATAGAACGTGTTGGGTTCTTGTTGTTGTTTCGTTGTTCGATCTGCAAGACCAAGTCGTGATTCTGTCTCTCTCGCGTCTATACGCCTACTTGGTGTTATCTTTAAGAGTAGCGTCTTCTCCTTTTCCCTCGCCAGTCACAAAAGCATAAATCAAAAGAAAAAGAAATATCCGAAAAATAAGGATCAAGGGAATAACCCCATTAGAGCAGGGGAGTCTAGACAACACACGGAACAGACAGTCCAGGAAGTGCTCGGATAAGTCAGAACTCCGGATGCAGAGCAGCGTTTGTTGACAAGCCCAGCCTAGCCCAGATGCTTGGGGGGTTGGCGGCAAGGTTGAGTTTCTCGAAGTGTCTGATGAGCCTTTGGTGAACCGAATTTGTGGAGGTTGAAAAGGATGGTCCCTCTTCCTCGAAAGATGCGGAGGCAAGCCTCGTTTCTCACTCCATTCAGGCCCCCGGGATAAACCCATCATGAAGCTGATTGGGTACTTTGATTGATTATTGCCCTTGACGCCTTGGTCGCCCTCAGAAACTGAGGACCCTCCCCCCCAAAAAACGGTGCTGGAGTTCACCCATCCGTAGAGCCACTTGGGGGACAATTCCCGTCGTCCACGAGGACTCGCATTCCTTGGGTGCAGAGTTTACAAGTACCTTCAGCATGCACCACGTTCCCTGCGCGCGTGAGAGAGAGAAACGCAAACCTTCTTGTACGTGCACTCGATACGGAGTACCCCAGTAAAGCACACCTCCCGAAGTTTCCGAACGGTCCTCGCGAAAAGCAGCTCGTCGTTTATCGTGGGTCATGAGCCAGCAAACCCCATCAGGGCCCATGGCCCTGATCGTTGATGGGGGTACCCCGTCCGCCTTCGGTGTAGCTTGTGCCTTTCTCCCCCTCATTTTCGCATCGAGCCAAAAAGCGTGGAGGACGGAACTTGGCGTGGAGAAAACCAGCCTGGATGGTACGTGTAATGTCCGTCAAAGGATAGGATGGGCAGCTTTGGCTGTCCCTACAAACACCGGCTCTTCTTCTTGAGCGGAATTGAGAGCGCACGTCTTTTGGGGTAGAAAAGGCCAAAGCAAGGCCAAGAACCATCAAGTACTTTTGCGAATACCCAAACACTCTTTTCAGACCAGACATACACTATTCGTTCGAGCAGAGCTGAACCTTGTACTCCGTATCTCGTCGTTGACTTGTACACTGTGAAATTACCTTGTTGAAAAGAAACAAAAAATGTCTGTCAAGACTGTAGGATATATCGGCCTCGGCAAGGCGGGTGCCTCAATGGCATCGAACCTGCCTCGATCAGGCTTCAATTGTGTCGTGAGGGATGCAGATCCAGCGCGAGAAAAGGAATTCGCTTCGAAATATGAGAATGTCACCATCGCCGAAGCCGGCCCAAATGCATTCAAGGATTGCGATGTCGTGATCACCATGTTGCCGCAAGGAAAAGTCGTGAGGGAAGTGGTATTGGGAGAGAATGGAATCGCCAAGGGTTTGAAAAAGGGTAAGTTTAATACCGTACAACAGACAACGACATAAAAGAATATATATTGATATAAATACTTGTGTTTAGGATGCATTATCGTCGACACATCGTCGTCTTCACCATACGACACCCAGAGCCTCGGCAAGGACCTGGCAGATCTGGGCTTGGTTCTGGTCGACGCACCAGTCACGCAGAGACGACTCCACGACACCGATATTGGTGAGGCCACGCTCATGGTGGGATCAGACACTCAGGAGGCCTTTGACAGAGTCCTGCCCGTTCTCCAGGCCATGGCGAAATGGGTCTTCCACATGGGTAAGTTGGGTGCTGGTCACGCCATGAAGACATTGAACAATTACACCAGTGCTGGATCAATCATCGCCTTGTCGGATGCGCTGGTGGCAGGACAGAAATACGGCCTCGACCCTGTCCAGATGATTGATGTTCTCAATGTTGGAACAGGCCGGAACTTTTCCACATCAGATAGCTATGCAACTGATGCACTGCCCAAGAAATACGCGACCGGGTACCAACTTGCTCTGCTTGTGAAGGATATTGGTATCTCCAAGGAACTATTTGAAAAGGTCAACTTCGATACCGATATGCCCGACTTGATCCTCAAGTATTTCAAGGAAGCCCAAGAGGGACTTGAGCCGACGGCCGACCACACTGAACTCTTGAAGAGCTGGGAGAAACGAGCCGGTTTGTCGCTCAAGGTCGGCACCCCAGATGGCTCGACAGTGACGGCGTTGAAGAAATGATGAGCGATTTTGACAAGGGTGGTGGAAGGGGTATGGCTTGGCACAGGCAGCAACCGCCATTGGGGCCAATAACATCAATTGTGGTGGACATAGAGCAACAACACTTCCATAATGGCTATTACATTGTCATTCTCTTCTGGTTGATTTTCAATGTCCTCCAAGTCGGCACTATTGTAGTGGCATGAATACGAGGTCCTACCGGCCTTGGCGCAGCTGTTGCCTGACGTGAACAGGGATGTTCAGTAGTAGAAGACTGAGGCATGAAACATCTATATAAATGGTGTTAGATATGCCCTCTCAAGACAATAACAAACAACTCTTCACGCCGGGTACTCACCATGTCTGCACTTTCCAAATCCAGCAACTTCGTCAATTGTCTCTTCTTCGAGGACCAAGCCGAAGAGGCGGCGAAGTTCTATACTTCCATCTTTCCAAATTCCTCCATCGATGAAACAACTCGCTTCCCAGAGGCAGGTACAGAGATCCATAAGCAGCCGGCCGGTTCCGTCATGTTCGTTCTATTCAGCCTCAACGGGCAACGTTTCACGGCCTTGAATTCCAAACCTGCCGAAATCCACTTTACCGAAGCAATTAGCTTCCAGGTCATGTGCGACGATCAGGAGGAGATCGATCATTACTGGAATAAGTTGAGCGAAGGGGGCGACGAGACTGCTCAGAAATGTGGTTGGTTGAAGGACAAGTATGGTATATCGTGGCAGGTTGTTCCCAAGGACCTCATGAAGCTCATGAGCGGAGCTCCTCCAGAGAATCGTTGGAAGGCAATGCAGGCTTTCATGAAAATGACCAAAATCATTCTTCAAGATGCCATTGACGCCGTCGAAGGTAAAGATGAGAAAGCCGCAGAGACCTGATCCTGAATGGGTGAAGCCCTGGCCAAGTTGGTGTTCTCATCAGATAGTATTAAGGATAGGTGATTTTCTGTACGCTCGACAAAATTGATTACATGACGTTGCACTTCTTGGAATTCTCGTATTGTGCTCCCCATCGATCGATACCAGCTTGGATCTCGTTATCCCTTTGTTTAGCCTTGACTTCCGACTTGAAATTGGCCTTCATGAATTTGAGTAATTCTCGGTCCACGTTAGCTGCAAGCACGTTAGCAATTTGTACTCATACACATCGCAAAACCATTGGCTTACCACTTGAAGCTTCAAGGACCACTGGTTGTCTACAAAGAGGACAGTGGTCCTTTTCCTCTCTCTGCATGACGACCATACACCTTATGCAGAAAATGTGACCACACTTTAACCGGATCGGCTTGTAAGAAATGCTGAAGCATACCGGGCACAAATAGTCGTTCAGTTGCGGGATAATATTGAGTAATTCTTGCGAAATGGTGAAACAAGTGGCTTTGGCCAGGTTTTGTGCCATGAATGGTGACTTGATCAGCGTATCCGACACGGTTGATCGTGCGTGCAGTGCCGTGCGCTTGTCGAATTTCTTCATGATCTTGGAGAGTGCCGTTTTGTTGATCTCCTGGAATTTGATCAGTCGGATCAAGTTGCTATTGATGCCTAGGAAGCGTTCCAAGGCGGCACTGGCGTCCTTCCCGAGTCTTCGAACTTCCTTCTGCTGTTTTTTTAGACTTTGGTTAAAGTTGGAATACTGTAGTTGCGCGCGTTCAGCATCTCTGGCACCGGCATCCGCTTCGTGGGACGACATGAAGATTTCAGCTTCTGCGTAGAGCTCGAAAATCTTGCGCCAAATCTCAATTTCCTGCTTAGAGCGTTTGGTCTTTTCTGATTTCAAGTCGCGTAGTTGGGCACCAAGTTTGAGGATTTCCTCCTGTAGCTGAGTCTGCTCCGAGTCTTGCAAGCGGTCGAGATCAGCCAATTCCCGCTTTAGGATCTGAAAGAACTCGGAGTCTGATGTCAAGGGTATTTCAATTGTTTGAGGTTGTAGTTCATCTTCTTCAGACATCACGTCGGCATTCTGAAATGCGGGATCTTGAGCTGTATTGTCTTGTAATGACCCATCGGCCACTCTTGGCTGAGCTGGGGAAGAATCATCCCGTCGAGATGGACCCGAAACTGAGGCTCTGGAATTCCGTGCGAGGCGTTGCAAAACTCGACGAGTGTCCGGCGCCAAACAAGCATCCATGGGGGAGCCATCGCGTGGATCAATGACAATGGTCAATCTTGGTGTAAAGCTGACTTTCTCGCTCCCATCGACCGAATACTGCATCAGCCTTTCACCCAGCGAGCCTCCAATCTCGGTGTCGCCAGATCCGACATGCTGCCACAAAGCGTCAAGAGTTTCTTTATCGAGACCGAGAGAGGCGAGTTCTTCCTGGACTCGTTTGATACACTTTTTCAGCTTTTTGTAAGAAATGGCAGAGTTAATCCACTCTTGAGGAAACTCCTCACGCGAGAGCGCTGCCTCAAAATCTTGACCAAACTTCATCGTGACCGCATGTACGAGCAGTATTGGGATGATTGACAGAAGAGAATGTTGATTTTTGCCAGCGAGGGATTTGTAGTCATGGTCGAAGTTTGGCTGTTGACACTACGCTATCTTGGGATGATTAACAGGTGAAAAATGTCGAAATAATCAAAGTGGCGGACGTAATATCCAGTTCGCCTACGGATCTTATTCCCCAGACCATGTCCTTGTCGCCACACGGGACGATCGAACGTTGTGCGAAGCACTCCCGCAGGTAAGGTCGCGGTCGAGATCGAGGTCGGGAACAAATGGAATTGCTACGCTGAGGCACGCCCCGTCATCTGACAGATGCTAAAATTCTGGGTGTCGATTCTTCAAACGGACGGGACAAGAATAAAAATGGGCATCTTTGATCGCCAACTAATGGAAAAGATCAGTCTCGATGAAGGACAAAAGGCGGGAAAGGCGGTAGACGTGCACGTGCACGTGATTGAGGCAATTTTTAGGCGCAGGCCGCAGCCGAACGAAATGCTTGGTAAAGCAGCTTTAATATTGGCACCCACCATTAGGCGAGACTAGAGCCTAGGAAATTATTTTGTCGGGGGTCGCTTATTGAGTACGGAATACTGTAGTAAATCATCATCGCGTGTCTGCCTTCCATCCTCCCTGCGGCATTCTTTCTCAAGGCGGTGGGAGGGGTTCAGGTGGGTAGGAGTGATTGACTGACTGCTCGTGAATTTACCACCTTCCTCGTCTCGTACGTGTAGGACATTGGCCATGGGTCAGAGACAGTCTACAAGTAATGCAGCCGAGGGAGAGCAACCTCCAGCAAAGGCCGATTACTATGATCTGCTTGGAGTTGAGCGTACGGCCACGGACGATGAGATCAAGAAAGCCTACCGGCGCAAAGCTCTCGAGCTGCACCCCGACCGCAATTACGGTAACGTCGAAGATGCCACCGCCTTGTTCGCTGAAATCCAGTCCGCCTATGAAGTCCTTTCCGATCCTCAGGAACGAGCCTGGTATGACTCTCATCGAGACATCCTCCTCCGAGGAGATAGCGCGGCTGGTGCGGCTGCCACCGACTTCTCATACAATATTCGTATGACCTCGGCGGAGGAAGTAATGAAGTTGATGATGAAGTTCAATGGTCGTTTAGATTTTACAGATGCCCTAAGCGGCTTCTACGGAGGGTTGAATGACTTTTTCAATCAGCTCGCAAAGGAGGAAGACATTGCTTGTCAGTGGGAGGGCCAAGATTACATGGATTACCCCGAGTTCGGTCTGAAAGATGACCATTACGAGGATACTGTCCGACCCTTTTACGCCTCCTAGAACGGGTTTGCTACTAGAAAAAGCTATTCGTGGAAGGATCAATACAAATTGTCCGATGCGCCAGATCGAAGGATCAGGAGGCTGATGGAAAAAGAGAACAAGAAAATACGCGAGGATGCGATTCAAGAATACAACGAGGCCGTCCGTTCTCTTGTTGCGTTTGTGCGGAAACGCGATCCGCGAGTACAAAATAACCAAAAGTCCGAAGCTGAGCGGCAAAGAGCACTTCGAGAAGCCACTGCGGCGCAGGCGGCACGATCCAAGGCGGCGAGATTGGCAAAAATGGAAGAGATGGACACAGCTGAAATACCAGAATGGGCAAGATCAAGACCTTCTCATGATGAACATGAAGGAGGCTTTTCCAGCGAATCTGAAGTGGAGGAACATGCATATGAATGTGTGGTTTGCGATAAAACATTCAAGAGTGAGGCGCAATTCAAGTCACATGAAAAGAGCAAAAAGCATGTTAAAATGTTGAAACAATTGCAGAGAGAGATGCGTGCTGAAGGTAGGGCTCTAGATTTGGAGGTTGAGAACACAGCCCCGGAAGGCGAAGAGGAAGGAGAGCCACATCCAGCACATACCCCTAATGAGCACGCCCACCCGAGCCTTGATGGCCAGGATGTTTCAGATGATGCTGTGGACAAGCCGGATATTGACACAGCGGTGGACGCAAAAGGTGCTTCGGGAGGGTCTGAAGCGATCGAGGATGACTCTGACGACGATTACGCTGCTCGATCTGATGTTGAACAGCGGATATTAGGGGGGCCAGCCAATGTGATGTCTTCTAAGGTCGGAGACATCAGCTTGGAAGATACACCAGAGACATCAGAGCCGGAGACAGCTCAACAACAACCGAAGTTGGGGAAGGCCAAGCAGAAGAAGGCCAGGAAAGCGGCACAGAAAGCAGCAGAACAACAGTCGGACAAGGTCGGATCTGTGTTGCAATGCGCGGTGTGTCAGGCTGAATTTCCTTCGAAGAACAAGTTGTTTGATCATATCAAGGAGGAAAAGCATGCGGCTTACAAGACGGAGGTGAACTCGGTCAAGGGGTCAAAGAGCGGTAAAGGGAAAAAGAGATAGTTTATTAGCGATAGAAACCGGCGAGGCTGGCCACTTTGCAAGCGCTGGCAAAGGACTTTCTCATGTTTGTGATAAGCATAGCGCTGGCGTCTGTCTCGGGGGTATCTAGTTTGATGTCCACACGAGCATCGAACCTATCATGGATAGCTTTTATGTACAAGACATGAATGAATGGATCTGTCTCGGAGTGTATGGTTTGTTCTTGTCTGGTGTCATTGGAGAGGGAGTAAAGTGAGTATGTATGGTGCGTTTCATCTAAGCGACGTCTCGTGATTTGCTATTGTCATCACATTTCGAGCCGAGGAGGGAGAGAGAGGGAGAGGGAGAGGGAGACAACTCAACAACACACCCACGACGATCCTGACAACCCCGTACTCCGTACCCAAGTGTCTCATTATTCCAGAGACCACACTACCTAGGTGCCTTGTCTTTTGGTAGTTAATAACACGGGTAAAGGAGAAAAAACAAAAGGCAGAAACTTATTTTCCTGATGTGGCCCCGACATTTTCGTTGTCGTTCGTCACAAACAAACACCATGACTTTGGTTCTGTGACACTCGCGATGATAAATCGAGAAACAATATCCAAAGGGCAAACAGCAACTCGGTACGGACATCCAAAAATAAAAATGTCGGACACTCGTTGCGCAGACCCGGATTTACAACTCGACGTTGATGTGATGATATTGGAATACACTCTGTATCATGCCATCAAATCACAATTCGGTCTTCTTTCGATTGGATGTCGAGATGCGACACAAACTACCGAAGCGAATCGACTGTTGACGATTTTCGACCGTTTCATCAATCACTTTAACCGACGACATCCCGCGCATCCAAAGTCGAATGAATTCTACAGTAATTTGGACATGCTCGAATTTTTGGTCCTGCTGTCAAACCGATCGAGTACGACGACGACGACCGAATTCAGTCGAGACACTCGAAACAAGTTACGTTCCGTTTCGGTCGAGAACCTGGCTTCTCGCCGTCGTTGGTTGGGGGGAAGGGGACGGTACGCTCGGAGACTGAGCAAGCAACCGGCCACTTCAAAGGATAACGTCCTACGAGATGTGGAGGACCGAATTTGTAGATTTTGGAATCGGAATAGACATGACGTCGCTGGTTCATCACAACATCGACCCTCACAGTCACAGTCAATGACGGTATCATCACCGTCACTGTTTGATCTTCTTCCACGATTCATGACAATCTCGGCAGAAATGTCGGCGACATTGAACCTACCTCCGAACGAGACGTGGATGCACGTGGCATGTGAATTCATGCTCCAAGCCAGTTTGGAATCGCTCGGGACCCATCCTCATGCGTCCATCATCGAGGAAGACAAAAACGTATTGCCACGTCTCGATGATTGCTTCGCGTGGGGTTACGTCGACCCTCGACACCTGATCCCCGACGATGACGGCGAGGATGTCTGTGGTGGTGGTGGTGGTGGTCGTCGTCGTCGTCGTCGTCGTCGTCGTGAACTTGACGAGAAAACCCAACTCGTCAACGACTTATTTACCGATCCTGACTCCGTTGTTGTGACCGGGGAGGAGCACGACAATGTCACGACAGATCCGGTCGGGTCGGGTCGAGAAGATCCGGAATGGACCCAGATCAGATCACAATGGTTGTCTGAATTCTCCATCCCGGCCGACGCTTCAGAACGGTACCGATCTTCTCGTCTAGACAGGTTGATTGTCAAGTTCCCTCTGGAAAAGTTTCTACCAAACCTCGTCACCTTCATGCAAAACGTTTGGGACCAATCTTGTGAGGAATTGGATGGAAAACCGATCCTGGCACAAATCGAGCAAGGTCACATAAAATCCTTGGGTGTCGAGGGGGACGAGTTTGAAGAATTTTTGAGTCGTGTCGGTCTCGGACGGAAAAAGTCGTCTCCGGAGATCCTAACTTTTGATGTTCCCGACATGAAAAGGGGGAGAGCATCGTCGTCGTCGGATGGGTTATTGTCATTAAATCCTCCTGATGGATTTAGGGTACGTGGAAATGCATGGTCCAGAAATAAAAACGACAACGACAACGAAAACGAGATACCTGTAAATACGAAGAAAAGAACGAGAAGTATGATTTGAGAATATACCCACCTCAGGTAATAAGTAACGAGTATTTTGATCTTGTTATGAATTGTGGTTTTACTGGGTTTGGTACCATGAAAAAGGAGATGAGATAGAAGAAAGTATTTGTTGACCAAAGGCTTTTTTCTATCGAGTACAGGGTAATCAAGTTATGTCGTCGTTGTCTTTTCCCATACACCCTTTTCGAATCCATCCATATATTTGATATATTCTTCACCACCTGCCACCCATCCTTTAACACCACCTTGTAGAATTGCACTTTGTACCGTGGAAGACGTATCACTTGGTTTTGTCGCGGTCTGGTCTTCAATATAATCTGCAAACCAACCCGCAGCACGAGGTCCCCTCCCACCACAAGATCCACAATAAAATATCACCAGAGGTACACCGGTCGAAGTGGCGAGGGTGTAAAGAGTTGGTAAACTGTGGTATAAAGATTGAGCTGGTAGGTTGAGTGATGAGTGAATTGTGCCACCCTGGGAAATTACCATAAGTAACCACGGAGAGAGGAAAACCCCAAGTTTGAGAGTCAAGTAGAAGAGATGAGAAGCAAGAACAGGAACTTGAGAGTACGGGTAGGAGGTAAGTAGAGGGAAGAAAATCCAAGGTAGGTGACGGGGGTTAGGATTCATCCAACTCACTTCATGATCATTCCTCCTTACATCCACCAACAAGAAATCCCTTCCTGCTCTCCTGTTTCCAGACTTGAACATGGCCAACAAGTCTTCCCTCTTGACGACTTGAGGTTCGGTGGTTCTCGGAGCGGGGAATGACGCATGCCATGGTTGTTCTTTCGTCGTCGAATCTTGTGTGGTAGTCATGGTGATTTTGAAGATATAGAGCTCAGATAAGGTGGCAGAAAGAGAGAGGTACGTAGTATATAGGAATTGATATGACTTTTTAACATACAATCGAGGATCAAGGTAAAGGTATCAAAAGTGGGAGTGACAGTTTGGAGACACCAGGTTGGCTGCTTCTTTTACACGGAGCAGGTAATAAATACAGTACTTAAGAGGTAAGTGCTTAAGTACCTGACAAGCCGAGGTTCAGTTCAGCCTTGTTTCAAGTATCCAGCCTTGCCCTAACTCGTCCTCTCTTTATCAACTCGTACTCATTCATCACAAAGGATACTTTGCAAAAACCTCCTCTTCAGCCTTTGTCAATTCTCTCATTATGGTCTCGACCCTTTTCTGGCTTCTCGGCTTGACGTCGCAAGGGAAAGGTTTTGAACAAATGACCAACCCTTCGTCAAATCCTGTTTCGTAATCGAGGTCGATGTCCAACGGTCGACCTTGATCGTCCACGACTTTTTCGAAAGAAAAGGCCCAGATCAACTTCGCGACCGCAATAAACAGATTTCTTTCTGCCAGGTGAATCCCGGGACACAATCTTCTACCGACACCTAGAAAGCACCAAACGCGAACGCAGAGAGAATTGTTAGCAAGTTGCCATGTCATGTTGAATCGTCACAGACTTGTGGAAGTCAAAAACTCACCATAACTATAATGATCGCGAGCTTCAAAATCAGCAGACACGGCATAATCATGAGCCAGTTGAGTGAACCCGGCGTATCGATCCGGGTCGAATTTATCTGGGTCCTCGTACCTCTTCTCGTCTTGATGTAAACCCCAAAAGTTGACGAGAAGTGTACTACCTTTGGGTAATAGCATGCCTTCAATCATGACATCTGTACGTAGTTGTTTATTCAACACATTCAGCAAAGAGCGAAACAACGACTGAAGAAGAGAAAGGGACGGCGTCCCCTTCAATGCTAAAACAAACCCAAAAACGTACCTTCAGAAAGTGAATGAGGAACATCGAGACCCCCAATCGGTCGCCACCTCATCGTCTCCTTTATGATTTGCAACACGTAAGGAAGGCGTTCACGGTCTGACCACCTTGGCGAAGCGTCCTCGGTACACCACTTGTCGATCTCGGCGTGAGCTTTCCTCTGGACGTCCGGGTAACACGTCAAGACCTTGATGACACTCAAGACGGTCGCCGCCGTCGTTTCCGATCCTCCTTCCATGGCCACTCCACCCAAGAAATCCAGCTGGTGACGAGTGAAATGGAGTTTCTCCGCTTCTAGCCTGTCGAGAATCCTGTCGATGATCGATTTGCCGTTTCCGGCTTGTTGTTCTCTCCGTTTGATCGCCGTATCGGCGAGATCGTGATACATCGAGTCCATTTTGCGTCCAACGTCGCCGGCCCGGGTGATCCAGTTGCCCAGCCACCGTTCGGGGATCCGTTTGAGGAAGGGAAAGACATCGACAGGTGGCATAGCCCCGAGTTCCATGATCTTCATAAACTCATCCATGACCTGGTAGAGTTTCTTCATGTGTGGAGTGTCGACGGTTGGTGTGCGACTTCCGAAGACTAACGTAACGATGGAGGTCAGGAATGGGTTGACCAGATTGACAAAAGCAGAAACTATGGAAACCAAACTTACATATGCTCATAATGATACTGTTACTGTATCGTTTCGGATGATCCATCAAGCGGTCTGGAGCTTCGACGATATCCCGAAGCATTTGTACAGCTTCCGCCTCTTGAAGACTGAAATACTTCTTGTCACAGATCGATGCAGTCAGTTCCTGTTGAAGGAGCTTTCTCGTGTCGCGCCACTTGGGACTGTAATCCATGACGAGCAGGTGGTCACCGCCACCCATGACCTTTTGGAATGGCGTCGACGGCGGCCGACCGCTGGAAATGGCACTTCTCTTATCCATTATCTCACGCACGTATCGGCGATCACTCAGGACAATGGCGGTGGAGGGACCCAGTTTCAAACTGTAAATGCCCCCGTACCGTTTTGCCCATTCTGTAAGTCTGCGAAACTGTCAGTAACGATGATTGTATGCGCAGGGAGTTTTCTTTTGGCACGAACTGGAAATGAGCTCCCTTTGATGGTATCTGATGAGCATTTCCAATCACGGGCCAAGTTGGCGGACCTGTACAATAACAGTCGTTCAGCACCATAGGTCTTGTGATATACACAGGGCTAGACTTGCCTGGTGGGAGGCTTCGGCTTCTCCTGCCAACGAATAGAATGGTATATATTATCAACGCAAGTATGGCGGCTCCCAAAATGGTGGTGACACTGTAGATAATCATATTGTACAGTTCTTAATGGTTGTCGAGTTTGGCAATCTCGTTTCAACCTGGATGCAGTAGTGAATTGTGAAAATGATCACAACTGAGATGAATGATTTGTACATCCACCTACTAAATGTGTGGTGCAGTGACGGACAAGAAGTACATCTTCACAACCCATGGTAAAAGCATGGAGTATTTCTAGGCCATGCTAGCATTCAGCAAATGTGAGACTTCCGCATACTCCGCGATGATCAGGCCTTAAGACCTGTGCTGAGAAGTATTCCGTACAAGTCCCGACTTTGCCATTTCAGGATCGTATTTCTGGAAGTAGAGTTCATAAGGACGCCGAGTCCGCTTGTAAGCAGGTCGCCTAATCAAATATAACGACTGAACGTCTCTTCTCTATTTGGAACCATATATGAGGCCTCAATTTTATGTAAGAACCTGCGGAGAAACGGAGTATGTAAGCTTCGTAATGTCCTTTTGACACTCACTTGACTGGATTGCACCAGACAGGTGTACTTGTACAATTCTTTTTGTGCATACGTCTTTAGATTTGAATAGTAGCAGTCGAAAGGCGAGGAGAACTTCGACATGAAACGATGGTGCACGAGTACTAGAGCTCGTCGAAGTAATTCTTGCGATTGAATCTCGGCAACATGAAGTCCGTACTCCATGCTCGACTCAAAGATACACGACAAAAGTAGTGCACAAGATGTCCAGGTGTAGTTGAGTTTTGCGAGTTTTGGTCGAGTCACCCGCAAATGATGACCTCGTAGCCTACTGTCGTGGGTGGCATCGTATCCGTGAAGAGTGTCCCGTAAATGGATCAGAGGTAAGCATATGTCATCCTTGATGTTTGTATGGTCCACCGAGCGTTGAAGGGTAGAATTCTTCCGAACCCAGATGCTCAATGATGATTGATCACTACACATAATGTTTGTCGCTTACTTCGGTGAAAGCCAAAAGTGCTGTGCCACAGTCTTGTTCGAGAGGCAGAGAGAATGGAGGATAGAAGCGCTTATTCTCGCGTTTCTAAGAAAAGCCACATGATTTAAAAGTGGCGGTGCAATCCAATATCTCACGTTGTAGAGCGACCACGTAGACCTTGAGTCCAGTGACTGAGAGAGAGGAGGAGCTGTTGATGGAAGGAGAGGAAAACGAAAGGAAAGGAAGTGAATCCCGGCTTGCGTGGTGGCTTGGAAGTTGGTGGTGTAGCAAATTGCACCCACCACCGTCACTTTGTGATATCGGCAGTCAGGTGGTCGCATGAAGCACGTCGACCGCCATCAACTGTGTTCCTCGTTGAACTCGACGCACAAGCCCCCTCCGTTCGTACTCGGTGCCTCCCGGGGATTCTACGAGAGTAACGCAGCATTCGAGATGGGACTTTCGCTCGTACGGCTATGCTATCCTGATGCCTGCGGGCCAACCAACTCTTTGGGACCGGGATCCATGCTTCTCTTGGGGTTGGACGTTCTCAAAACAGCTTAACATGGTCACCCAGCTTGCACTGGCAGCACCTGCAGGCTGCTCGTTCCGTACAAGCTCTTCGTCTAGGCTCCTACGCTCGGGTTCGCTTAGATGGGGCAATTCCCGTTTCGCCAACTACATACCTCGTCAGAACTCCTTACCAACGAGTCCATGCCATCCGACAGCTTTTCTCTTCTCCCGCTAACGGAGGGCTGCAGTAGTCGCAGCTTGATGGTCTGGGCACAGGGCTAAACCCAAGCGAGGATGTCATTGTCCGTCTGGATTAGGGATGGATGAGGGGGTTGCCATATATTGGACAGGTTTTGGCGAGATCCGTGTGTGAATTGGGCAGCTTCGGTGCTCCGTAATTTTAGCCTGATCGCCCAGAAAGTGACCGGGCTTCATCATCTGCCACGTGTGATCCCTTCCCAAGCTTTTCACATCCCGGGCGCTTACCGGCGTGGGACGAAGATGGTCGTGGCCGGGAACATCATTCCAATCTGATTTTTGTGTGCCCCTCCTCGTACGAGGCCGGTACTCATGTGGTTGTGGTTGAAGAGGCACCTCGCAAACAAACGATCCCTTCACCTTGACTTAGTGTACACACATCATTCGAACCCGAGACTGGTCCCAGCGAGCCCACGGAGTGAATCGGCTCTCCGGGTGGTCAACAACGGTGCCCCGAGTGCTGTACAGGGTGCGACTGTGGATACTCTAGGTATAAGGCTGTGCTAGCAGAGTCCTCGCTTTCGCACAAGGGGACAAGTTTCGAATCCAGACTCTTCGGTCTCCCCGAAAACTTCTCTGGTCTAAGCGGGGCGCCGCAAAATGCCCCAATCTCTGGTCTAACCAAATACGCATAAAGGAATATGGTCGAGAGATTCTTGACAGCGGGAGTGCGAAAATTGTCTGCTTGTTTAGTAGAGAAGGGGAAGGAGGAATGAGGAGTACATCGCTAAGGCTGGTCTGTGGAACATGCCGTAACTGTCCAAAAAGATTTTTTCTACGCCGTCATTATTGTGTTCTGTGTGTCCTATGGAACCTGTTCACTCTGTACTGAGTGCCGGGTCCCGTGAAGGCATAACAAATTCAGTGTCAGCGTCACGCCGTGATCGCAGTGTATCCATAGCTTTCCAACGCCATATTTCCCTCCCTCATCTGAGAACGACTACAATGGGGGTATCCAATTCGCTTTTATGCCAACATGTTGCTTGACGTTCAAATTTTCAGTCCTGATATTCCCGCCCGCGAGATTGAGCTCCTCTGCCCGCAGAGATTAAGTGATTTCTTCGGTTGATCGAGGCGTAAGAATGGTCAGCGTCAAGCTAGAGCATTCAGACACACCAATGTCATTTGGTAATACGATCAAAAATGGCGAAATCGTGAATTTGCAATGGTGCGAGGTATATCTGAGTTTCACCTCTGCATTCGAATCCATGAGAGCATGCGGTCCAGGGTGGGATCCTCATCAATCCAGTATCCTTTCCGACGATCAGCATTGCGTAAATCACCGACCACATGCTCGTCTGTGATGTCGTTGAGTTCCTGGAAAGACATGTTCGTTAGCGTGGAGATTCTTTTCCATGTGGTGCTGATCACTTCCTCGTTGGTAAAAAGTACGGGGAGTCGAGAGAGATTAGCGAGAATATTGGCATTTCCAGAGATCTTGAACCTGTCAAGCAGACACTACAAACCAACTTACCTGACGCAGTCGTTGATCAATTGCTCGGAGACTGTTGACATGCCGTGGACCGGGTTTTTCGCCTCGCAGCAATTGTATCCGCATCTGAACCCATCTCATGGCAGCAGATGCACGCAGATAAATCTTGTGCGCCTGGAATCTTCTGGTGCAGGCATCAAGAATAATTCTACGTAGCAGTTAGACACAACTCTGGGATACAGCGTGCTAGGTATACCTCTGCATGGTGGCTTTGGTGACTTCGGACTCGTCCACCTGTCCAGCTTGCAGACCGATGTTTCCCGGGTTGAAATGAGTGGCTAGGATAGCCTGTGACTCGGCCGCACTCTGCCTGAGCACTACATACCCGTCGAGGTAGTATGAATGCCGGTCGGGAGGGTGTGCCTCGTTGCGTGTAATGAGTGATGAGATGTGAATCTGTAGCGTCCGAAAATCATTCATCACTTCGAGGATCCGCATCGCGCGGGCTTCGTTTCCTGCCACCGACAACTTAGTATCAGTGACCCAGGACACAAGTATCTCGCGCAGTCGTCGTTACATACTTCCATCCGCCATTGTCTCGATGGCTTCCGATCTACCAGGAAGAACTTGTGGCTGAAACAGACAAGGTATCGTCGCTTGTGATCTGCAGGCAGGCTGGAAATTCCCCAGAGAGGCAATGTGGTCGCGGATCTTTGCCCTGATCTCAATATCAACTGGATGCTTGTGATAGTCTTGGAGATGGGAAATCTCTCGAGGCGGCGGTCGAAGCATGCTTAAGAAGAATCACGGCTCATAAGTGTCTCACGGACAACGATGGTGCTAGATGGAAAGAGTGCAGAAGGGGCATGGAACAAAGACACGAGTAGATAAGGAGTCAATGTCGTGGCTTTGCTTCCACCTGACCAGTCACTGCCTTGAAGAAGGCCTTGAAGAGATGGGCCCGGGCCGTAGCGTCAGAAATGGCAGGGAGGAGGATGTCCAGCTGTATGAAAGGGTGACGAAAGACATACGCTCGACGGTGAAGCTGGAGGCAAGTCTGGCAGCACTAGGCAAGGGCAGTATCGTGAGACAGAAAAAGGTCAAGGCTAGCAACACCAGACCCGACACGGCTTGGGTAGTTGCGGCATGACCATTGGGCATCGCCTCAACGAGAGACGTGACGGTAATAATGCAGCTATGGCGGTGGATCAAATTTCGAGGCTCTGCTGGGCTGCTGGAGAGATGTGAACCGCTCAGCGGATCAGCAAGCCACCACCACCATCACCGCATTGACTGCCTTGGGGGATACGGAGGACTGAAGCAGAAGCACGAGAACGAGAAAGGGTCGGCCACCGTCGACGGCGGACTCCTGTTGGACGCGGAAGCACGACGTTAGCATGCAGGAGATGTCATGGGCACCGACATGGGCAAACCAGGGACGAATAGTGGGAATGTGTGCAAATGTCTGTACATAGAGAGTTGAATAGTGGGAATGAATTGCATCGGGAAAGCGTTGGAGACTCGGCCCTGCGTCTGGCCAATCACACCATCTCCCCGTCTGCATTAGTCTATACTCAAAAAAGGGACGAGCTTCGCGCTTGGCCGGAAGCAGAAAGCTGAAAGGTCAGGGCGATGCGAAGACGGTGTGAAGGCGTGTAGCTGACCATCATCTCGTGCCCTCCCGATGCCTCTACTGGCTCCAGCGTTGTATTTCCATCCACTTCGCTTCTGCATGGGCACCGACATGTTGACGAAAAGGTCTACTCGCTTGTATTGACACGGAGATCAGTGGCCTTGAATCTGCTCTGCTTACGGAGTACACGATCCTCCAGCTCCAGGTGCATCTGTTGTTCCATTTGCGCTTTTCCCTCCAGCCTCAGCCAACAGCCACAGAACTCTGACAAGCCAACGGCCTTCGGACTTCTGGCCCTGGCTGTGTCATGCTCAGGAACCAAGCAATGACGGTATGGACCAGGCCAGTAGCGGAAGTTGTAAGCCCATCTTTCCCCTGCAGTAACGTGCTCGGCTCACATGTTGCAGAAAAGTTATCCTTTCCATAATTCTAACGTGCACCGTGGCTCTCCACAGACATCATCCCGTATCAGCTGCACTAGTGTGCTGAGCCTTCTCCTGCCAATAGACTCCGCAACGCCCATTTTTACACCAAGCTCCAGATCAATAGCTGAGTTGTAAACAGATCCCTGTCCAGCGTGGTCGTCGAGGTATATGATCCAGTGTGGCCTGGGGGCCGATCTGTTGGTACAACGCCTTTTCTTGGCGTACACCCCATCATTCAGAAGCCGACTTCAGTCCCGTTCTGCAATAGCTTGGAGACGTTCCTCGATCTCATCTTCGCTTAGTGTCCTGAACTCTGGATCGGTGCCTTCACTTCCATCGGCCTTGGGTCCACCAACGATGCCAATCTCCAATTCGCCCTTCTTGAAATCAACACTCAAGACAGTGCTGAGGGTGCTGATGCCCAGCTCAACCACCTCTTCCCAGCCGCCAGGGGCATGATCCTTGTTCTTCAGCTTCTTCTCCAGATGATTAAGCGCCTCTTGCTGTTTAGGCCCGGATGCTGTGGCTTTGTAACCGACATAGTAGCCTGCGGGATCACATTTGTAAAGCTGGGGGCCGAATTCATCGTCGACTGAAACGAGGGTTATCGCAATTCCTAGAGGTCTCATGTACGCCTATGGGGCATTAGCTACCTGATCGAGTAGTCGCTTTCTGAAAGGCTTGCTTACTCTTTGTGTATAAACTTGGTTGATGTTGGCCAGCCGCTTCGCTAGGACGTCGCAGGGCATTTCGTAGCCATTCTTGTACCTGAACTGTGCAGCCTCTCCTCTTGCTCGATCAGTAGATGCACGAGCGTCCGCTATCGAACCAGTCATCACGCATCCGACCGAGGGCGAGATTTTGAACACATGGGACACGGAGGACGGATCGATTAATTTGTCCTGTGACCAACTTCGTCAGCATAGTTACGAACGTATTGGATCAAGGTTGGATCCTTACAGGGACTTTCTTCTGTGATATGACCACGGCACAGTTCTTGCCTCGTACTCCCACGGAAGTGATATTGGCTGCTGTGATTGCTTTGAAGGCATATTCTGTTCATGATAGTAAGCATCCTTCTGTTGATGAACCCTTATGAGAGCAGTCGACGATGGAAGGGCGCAGGGGGTTTTCGGTGAAGATCGATAAAGAGCATCAATGGATAACGGATTCGAGTCTGAGCAGGACGTACCGACTTGATATAATCGACCCTGATCTGAGAAGATGGTGATGTGTCGATCATAACCCGCGCTGCCTAAAGATACGAAGTGGTCAGCTCGGTGTGTCCGACACAGCTAAAAGGGACATTGAGACGAACCAGACATCTTGGACCTCTTTCAACCGAGGTAAATCGTACAATTATGTAGCTGAAGCTCGTCCAAGGAGGCCTTGAAGGATGATGTTTGACTCAAAAACAACAGAGGGTCGAGAATCACTTCGCAGGATATGCACGTAACGGGTGTCGTTGGTTCTTTTGAAGAGTGTTCGTTCATTCAACGCGCAAACTGCGCGGCCTTGGACCTGACTAGGCTCACCAATGATAAACGTCAGCATAGTATTCTGCGCCACCTGAGCCACCTGAGCCACCTGAGCCACAGCAACTTTTTTTCCCCATACGACACCGGACTTTTCACGCCAGTGAGCCTGAACTTTTGAACACTACGATTTGGAAATTAGAGGTCTGTTGGACAAGATTTGTACACACACAAAGAGTGTGGTAGCGACTATCTGTCAAGCAACAGAATTAGCTTCGCAAAAATGCAACAGCCAGTGGTCCCAGCCTGGAAGAAACTGGGCTTAAAGCTCAAGCATTCACAAGAAAGCTCTGAGCCTCCGATCAAGATGAATGGCAACGGCGTCGGCTCTCTTGAACATGCTCAAGAAAGTCTGCTTGAGCAACCTCGAAAGAAAAGAAAATTTTCGCCGATTCGCGAAGAATCCACAAAGAGCGAATCGACAAATGGAGCCATTCAGTCAAGCTTCAAAAGCCCAAAGCCACAGAACAAGAAACTGAAAAAGAAAGTGTCATTCTCTCTTGATGCACCACCCGACCTTGTAACCAGCACATCTTCACCCAGCCAAAAGATAGCCGACGTGGAGAAATCGCCCGCGACAAAGCAAAAGAAGGAGAAGAGGCCGCGAAAAGATTCTTCTCGCGCTCGACAAGCCTCAGCTCCAAGAATCAATCCAGCTTTGGAATATCTGAGTCAGTATCATACCTCTCGACCGACCTGGAAATTCAACAAAACAAGAGAAATATGGATCTTGAAACACGCATTGTCGGAGGAGGATGTACCTAGAGACTACGATGTTGCTCTAGCAAGGTATCTACATGGGTTAAAAGGCATCGGTGCTAGGGAAAGGCTCGAAAATACTTGTCTCGAGACACTACGCGCGCGATCAGACGATGAAGGCATAAGCAGTCAAACCACAGCAGATCGTGATTTCCAGAAACGATTCAGAGACATGCTTCAGGCATCAGAAGATGGTAGTTTCGATGATCAGAACGAACATCTTCGACAGTGGATTCAGCAGCGACCACGCCCCCAGCTCTTGCTTGACAGCCTGGGTTCCGATGCCAGAGCCGAAGGAGAAAAGCCCAAACCAAAGAAGAGGAAAAATAGAACAGTGGTGGTCGAGTATGACAGCTCGAGTTCTAGCTCGAGCAGCGACAGCGACAATGAGAGCGAGAGCGAGAGCGATAGTGAGAATGAAAGCGACAGTGGCAAAGAGGCAGACAGGGTTGAGGATTCAACTTCAAGTAGTGGCAGTGACAGCAGTGATGAGTCCACGAGTAGCTCTGATAGCGAATAAACAAGACCGAGCACGTGGGATATTTTTGGTTCCAACAGAATAATTTGGAAGTCCTAGTCAACAACCAAGCTTCAAGAACACGATAGTTCCCAATATTGTCATGACCGCTTGCAAATATGCCGTAATGGTGATTGCGTAGAGTAATCCACGTGGCTGGGGTCACGGACGAGATGGCTGGGCAGACTGCCGCTTTCGTAGAGACGAAGAACAAGCCATGTATCACCAGTGGTGAGAAATCCTATATCCTGTCCGTAGCATTAGTATTAACATTACGGAGTATGCTGAGCATAGTTGAAAGCAAAGAGGCGAGTGCTTTTCAAAGACTTGGTGCACTGTTCGAGGCTTTGCCGTGCATAAACGGGATGAAGTCATTGACAGGAACAATATATATCCGACTCTAACCAAATTGATATCTAGTATGCCACACTAGCCTGGACTTCCACATCGCCTTACCTTACTCCAAAGGGCCTTGTTCCGCAGCAACAGCAGACTAACGCTTTAAGTACTAGCGAACTATCCAATCGCCCGAAGCAGTCGTCATTCGTCACCTGCGCTGCAGGCTGCCACCCAACTCCTCAATCTGTCGACTCTTCCTCTTCATCATTCGCATCAACAAACAGTTCCATCTTTCTATTTCCTTCTTCATTATCCACTGGTTGGCATCATGAAGTCTGGTCTTGTTGTCGCAGCCACCCTGCTGGGTGCTGCCAATGCTGGCATGCACCGCATGAAGCTCCAAAAGGTGCCGTTGGAGGAGCAGCTCAGCGCTGCCAACATTGGTGACCACATGCGAGCTCTCCGACACAAGTACACTCAGAAGATCATGGGAGGTCCTTCTGAAGACATCTTTAGAGAGACCTCGATCCATCCCGATGGTCCTCACGATGTCCCTGTGGAGAACTTTTTGAATGCTCAATGTAAGCATGCTATCTCGGTCTTTGGATGCCAGGTTAACCGTCAGCAGATTTCAGCACCATTGCACTGGGAACCCCGCCTCAAGAGTTCAAGGTTGTCCTCGATACCGGATCTTCCAATCTCTGGGTCCCCAGCCAATCTTGTGGCTCGATTGCCTGTTATCTCCACCAGAAATATGATTCCTCAGCGTCCTCTACATACAAGAAGAACGGATCAGACTTTGGCATCCGCTATGGATCCGGCGAGGTGGCTGGCTTCATCTCCCAAGATGTTCTACGCATCGGTGACTTGAAGATTAAGGACCAACTCTTTGGTGAGGCCACTAGCGAGCCTGGATTGGCCTTCGCTTTTGGCAGATTCGATGGTATTTTGGGTCTCGGATACGACACCATTTCTGTCAACCACATCCCCCCACCGTTCTATAACATGATCGACCAGAAGTTGCTCGACGAACCTGTCTTCGCTTTCTACCTAGGCAACACTGATGATGGCACTGAGTCAGAGGCTACCTTTGGCGGCATTGACAAGAGCCACTACACCGGCAAGATGGTTAAGATCCCACTCCGCCGCAAGGCTTACTGGGAGGTCAACCTTGACTCCATCAGCTTTGGCAAGGAGACTGCTGATCTCGACAACACCGGAGTCATCCTCGACACTGGTACTTCCCTGATTGCCCTTCCCACAACCCTCGCGGAGCTGCTCAACCGCGAACTTGGGGCCAAGAAGGGATTCAACGGACAATATACCGTAGAGTGCGACAAGCGTGACTCTCTTCCAGACATCAGCTTTACTCTCAGCGGCTACAACTTCTCCATTACGGCCTACGATTACATCCTTGAAGTCCAAGGTTCTTGCATCAGCAGCTTCATGGGCATGGACTTCCCAGCTCCTACTGGGCCATTGGCTATCCTCGGTGACAGGTAAGTCCTTCTCTTTCCCTCATCTGTATCCGATCCCGATACTGATTCTCTGTAGCTTCCTGCGCAAGTGGTACAGTGTGTACGATCTGGGCAATAATGCTGTTGCCTTGGCACAGGCCAAGTAAGCGGTGACGTTTTGCGATACATCGATTCTGCAAGCCCAAAGTGGTATTTCGGCGTTGGCCACAATCCGTCATTAATCCTCCTTGTATTATCAATCTCCGTCAATTCTGTTTCCTTGGAAGTATATAGGAAATAGTCCTCCTGGCGATGGAAAACTTGCTTCAAGGCTCTCCCAGGGGTAGATCTGGAATGGTCGGCCAAAATACAATCTGTTGTTCTCATGACTCCTCATGCCCTCATCGTCTTGATTATTCACGCATTTTAGATTCATTATGGCAGTTGGTGTGACGTGGTTCGATGGGAGGGGGGTGAGTCTCGTGACCGTGGGTAGCTTCTTTGTGTGGTGACAGCCACATTGAGCGGGCTAGTGATTTTGTCTTGGACTGGGAAGGCCGGAGTACGGATAGCTGAGGTAAGGTGTACCTAGAGCAACTTGACTGACCTACTGTACAGTAGTTGACTTATCCTGCAGTACCTCGTACTGTATGTAGGTGCAGTACTCGTACAAAGTGGTCCCATTGAGTCTGGACTGGCCACTGTTAAGTCGTAGACGCATAAAGAAGACCGTCCATCCCGCACGAAATCCACATGGCTTTGTTGGAGCAAGCACCGCATAGCAAAAGCCTCAGCCACTAAACTACATTACTGCATCTACTTGCTGCATACCTATCTTGCTTTCCTTATATTATTATTATTGCTCACCCTCCTGGTACTCGTACAACGTAAATATCGCGTCGCATTCTCTGGATTCCTGATCTCCAGACTTCCATCTCCAGATCCAGGGCCAAGTGTGGCGCTTCAACTGCGAGAGTGTCCTCCCACCGCTCAAGTTACATACCTAGTGCTCTGCCAACGATCTTTCCCCTCCTCACCTTTGCTCGACCATAGCGCAGCTCCCTTGCATTGAGCTCCTCCATTATCCATCCGATCCCTTCGCTTCCCCTCACGAACAAACAATTCCCTCCGCGCGTTACTCATTGCCCTGCTGGCCGCTCTGCCACACAGGTTTCCTACTGCCGGTTCCCTCAGACCTTGACTGCGCTTCCGGCTACATGCTTTGGTCAATGTACCTAACACTAACATCTCGTCCGGCATGCTCTTACGACTCCCTAAAAACCTCCATTACCCGCTCACCATCACAAAAGTCGAGAAACGGGTAGGAGAGTACCTCGCTCGCAACGATGACCTATTCCTCTACTCCTACACGGCCAAAGTCAAAGAAGGCACTCGCTATGGTGACGAAGAGCAAGAGGTGGAGAGGAAGCTTGTCACACATTTCCCCAGCACCCTTGAAGGTACGATCAAGGGATGGCGAGTGTGGGAAGGCGATGTTTTGACCCATCCGTATGTATCGCGTCAAATTACTAGAGTTGATCGCTAATGCGCCGCGCAGCGTGGACATCTGTGAAATTGAAGAGGAGTGTCCACATGAGGTGCAATTCCAGGGCATGTGTACCAACTGCGGAAAAGATATGACCACGTAAGTGCTGTGAGATCCAAACATGTACGAGATCCCACCTGAACAGCTTCTAGTGTTCAAGCAGGTAGCGACACAAGCGACACTGACCGCGCGCCCATCCGCATGGCCCACGACACACAACATCTGACCATCAGTAAGGAAGAAGCAAGTAAAATAGATGAAGAGGCAAAGCGCCGTCTATTGTCCTCTCGGAAGCTCTCACTTGTGGTGGATCTCGACCAGACAATTATTCACGCTGCCGTCGATCCCACTATAGCAGAATGGATGAAAGATCCAGAAAACCCCAACTACGATGCAGTCAAGGACGTTCGCTCATTTCAGCTTGTCGACGACGGACCAGGCATGCGGGGTTGCTGGTACTATATCAAGCTAAGGCCCGGGCTGGAAGACTTTCTACAACATATCGCTCGGCTATATGAGCTGCACATCTATACCATGGGTACGCGGCAGTATGCGCAACAGATTGCCAATATAGTCGACCCGGACCGAACGTACTTCGGCGACCGAATCTTGAGTCGAGACGAGAGTGGCAGCATGGTTGCAAAGAATCTTGAAAGATTGTTTCCGGTAGACACAAAAATGGTTGTCATTATCGACGATAGAGGAGACGTGTGGAAATGGAGTGCCAACCTAGTCAGAGTCACCCCGTTTGATTTCTTTGTGGGTATTGGTGATATCAATTCCAGCTTCCTGCCCAGGAAACAGGAAATCCAGAGCACGCCGAAGGTGGAGAATAGATTGCCGACCGAGGACGGTGGCGCAGATAACGACGAAAATCAGCCCGACCAATCTAATGGATTTGCCGAAGACGGAACCTCCAGTATTCAGGAGGGAACCTCAGCGCTGGAACAGTTCATGGCCATGAGTGGCGGTGATGACCCAACAGTTCGTGAAATGCAGACCAAGGGACAAGAAGAGATCATTCATTCGCAGCTCGAAGACAAACCCCTCCTCAAGATGCAGTTGGAACAGGATGAGAAAGATGAGGCAGAAGCAGCCGCCGCCAATGGCGAACTTGCGGCGCCTCAATCTACCGAATCCGACTCTAGTGAATCATCGGAGTCATCAGAAGGGGGTTCGGGAGCATCGAAACACAAAGCGCGTCACAGCATTCTGAAGAACGATGATGAGGAGCTTATCCACCTCGAGTCAAGTCTGACGAAACTCCATTCGGCCTTTTTTGCAGAATATGATCGCAAGCGGTTAGGTGGAAAGGGTGGACGTGTAGCTGAGCTTACCGGAAAGCGAAAGGCACCCCTTCCTCCTACCGATGACGACCACAGTAATGCAGTGGATCTGATGTTCGTGCCTGACATCAAAAAAGTCATGCCTTCCATGAAGATGAGAGTCTTCTCCAACGTCACCATTGTGTTCAGTGGTGTGCTCCCTCTTGGGACCGACATTCAGACTGCTGATATCAGCACCTGGGCAAAGACCTTTGGCGCCAAAATTACCGACAGAATCTCCCGTGATGTCACCCATGTCGTCGCTGCACGTCCGGGCACTGCGAAAGTCAAGCATGCCGTCAAACGCGGCATCAAGGTGGTGGGCACGGCTTGGCTGATTGATTCGATGCAGCAGTGGCGCAAGCTTGATGAAAGGCCATATTTACTCGAGGGTGCTGGAAAACAGCGTCATGAAACTTCTAGCGACCTCGGTGACCTTCTGGAGAGGTCCAACGTCGGTGCCAGCGATTTTCTTCTCAGTTCGTCCGAGGGCGAGTCTACCGGCTTAGACACCGAGGACGACCAGCCGGTAAGGAAAAAGCTCAAGTTGGATGTCGGTAATGGTGAATCGCCTGAGGACAGAGAGTATGAGGAAATGATTGACGACGGTAGTCCAATTACCATCAATCAAGATGAATGGGCAGATATTGATGCCGAACTGAAGGAATTCATGGGCAGCGACGCCGAAAGTGAAAGTGATACCGATTCGGTCAGTTCTGCCTTGAGTTTCCGAGAACGCCGCTCCATGAAGCGAAGACGGGACGAAGGCGATGAAGAAGTCGATGCAGACCATTCATCAACGGTCAAGAAAAATGGAACAGGGAGTGCTTTGAAGACGGTTGCGAACGCCAGTAGTGAACGCGATACGAACAGCACCAACACTCCCAATACCGAACTAAGAGAAGAACAGATCAAGGAAGAACAAAGACAGGTCGAGGAAGCTCAACAACGAGAAGAAGAAGACCAGGAAGACTCGGACGACGAGTTGGCTCGAGAGCTGGAGCGAGAGCTTGAGGAGGCTGATGCAGAGGAGGAGGAAAGGCCAAAAGAGACCGAGGAATGATCGACGTGGAGCAGTGCATTTGGTACAAGGACAAGTTTGGATTCTTTTGACTGGAGTTTTGGGCGAGTTGAAAGTCATCAGTGAGCATAGCAAAGCGTTGGGACAAGCGATGCTCATTCCACGGTTTCAGGATATTACCATGACACAACAACACATTGCATATTATTTCAGGGTACAATCAACCCATGAGAGATGTACGAGGACCTGGACAATGCCATACATTTTTAGCGTGGCATGGCTTTTTTGGACTACGAGATACCACTGGATACGCAAAACAGTCAACATCTACCTATCTCCTCAATAACTCGATACCCAAGACCTAGTAGTATTTTGCAGCTACCTCAACCTTTGGAAATTCATGCCTCGCTAAGTATTGTATTCTGTGTTTGGTAAGACTTCCCTGTCTTACCGAAGCCATCGGCAGAATGTTGTTCCGAATACCATCAACGCTCCTTTGCACGCCCTTCTTTTTTATTGCTTGACTTCTGGTATTTCTCTCCTCGATCTTGTCCACCTCGTCCATATCGGAGGTCCGATGCCATATTCTACTCTTGTTGGTTCTGATGACTTATTTATAACAAAGCAAGTAGCACGAAAGGGCCCGCGCCCTCTCGACGGTCTTGCGGAGCATTTCAATGATTTACACATCTCACCGGGCAATGTCCGCGAAGTCAGCCACCCCGACGACGCACGAATAGCAGATTGCAATTCTAGACATTCCGGAGCACCATGATTATTGTCCGTGTCTTTGCCTTCCCCATAATGCTGCCTCTTGTCTAGCAGACTCTCTCGACTCGGCCTTGGCTGAAGCATTGTTTTCCCTTTACCAGATCACAAAACTTGCCATACTCTCCGCTACGAGCCAACAGCCAGCTCTTGGAATGCGTTAGCAATGACCGTTCGGTTGCTGGTACCTGCAGGCTCAAACGCTGAGCTGTGAGATAGTATGTTCGACATTGCCAAAGCAGCCTCAGACCGCGCCGAAAACGCCTCGCAGGGCCCAGTTTACCCGGACTCATCTTTCTGGAATACACCCAGAAGGTGGACGTTTGGCAAAACTCAAGATGAGGGCACAAGTTCGAGGTGGACATTCGATGAGTCCAAGGATCCACATTCTGAGCATCACACATACAGCTCACGGCTGCCAACATCTGCTACAGCGTCTGACATTGTAAAACACAGCCTCGTTCTGCTTGGGTTCTCCCTACCGGTCGTGGTATTCGGGCTGGTCCTCAGTATACCCCAGAGGCGCAACGTCAGGACCGATTACTGGGCCAATGCTTTCAGTCACTGCAACTACGATGGCGACTTTACGCTCCACGACAGACCAACTTTGAGCTTGTGGAACATGTCAGGTCTCCTCATCATAAACGTCGCTTGGGGTACCATGTCCTTTTCAGCCGCCAAATGCATCGATGTCGTTTGGGATATCATGATCGGACGAGCAGGCCAAGCTATTCTTGCATGGGCTACCTTCAAAGTCTCATCACAGTATCTGGACCATGCCATGAGAGAAGCACCGGTCTCCTACGACACATTCGAAGCTTTAGCTTTCGTCCCGCCCAGCTTGGTCAACACGGCGAAACTAGCTGGAGATCTTTTGCTCTGTCGTGGCTGGCGGTCCAGGTTGGGTATACTGTGGATTCTCTGCAGCTCCCTGTTTGTTATCAGCTTTTCGTCACTCGCCTCTGCAATGTCAGGATACAACACCAACAGTGAAGCGGTCGTGGCTGGTAGTGGTGGCCGTGTGATAAACTATGCAGATTACCAAGTGGTTCAATTCGCTATCCATGATGCGTGGCGGATTGGTGAGCCTGCGCCAGTATTCATCACCGTTGGCGATGCATGCGTCCGACAAGGCTTTAGTGACGCCGACGACGACGATACTGGTAGCAATCAGGCTACCACTACTTACAGTCGACGCGGCCAAGACAGCCAATCCGGAACCGACGAGGATCCATTCGAATACGTTCCTTCCAACTGTTCCATGTTCTGGCGCACAGTTCAGTGTAAGCTTGTTGCTCGAATTTCGGCTCGATGGTGCGACTAACATTCCTGGCAGATATTGGCCTGTACGGCGCTGACGGAACTTTGAATTCGTCCAGTACGTTCATTTCGAATGGAACGAAATACAATCTAAATTCGCCAACATTGAACATCACTACCTCATATACGGCTGCTTCTCTCGAGAAACTTACGAACTACCTACACAATTTTCGTTCCACGTCCCCAGGAAGTCTGAAGTCTGTCGGCGAGCTGTCCAGGTCCACACTTTGGATCTTTGAAAACGAAACTTATTCTTATGATTACATTCTCGGCCATGGCACTTGTCAGTACAAACATTCACACAATTGGGGTGTTTCCTTCTTGTTACTATTCCTCACCACTTTACTCTTGGTGGTATGGGCTCTCGGGACGTATGGAATGTGGCTGTACGTTCAAAGGCACCCCCGAGGTGATAACATCAGATCAGTGGACGCGTGGCGCAATTCAGAGGGCAGGGGAATATACCGCTCCAGCTGGGACTTGGTTGAAGCCATAAAAAAGGATCTGGGTTCTGAAGCCATCACGCCAGACATGAGCGAGAAAGACATTCGACATCTGTTGAGGAGGCGGAAAGGCTCCTTAACCAGCCAATTTCAGGGCATTGGTGGAACAGACACGCTCTGTCAACAATCGGCGGCAGTACAAGATTTTGGCATGGCAGTACGGCTTCGCACGCGATGGAAGAGGTTCAACCAGTGGATGGATACGTTATTTAACAAGGATGACCCGGCAGTGTCTTTGGCATCACACCAGCCTGTCCTCGAGCGAGCTGACTGGCCATCGGGGACCATATCGACCATGGCGTCGTCGAGACCCTCATCGATGCTCGATTTCAGCAACCAAATCCCAGAGACAGGATGATGTCTTCAACACCATTGTACGTGAGATTTGGCGGAAGATAGCACCCTATGTATCAGTATTCATACGGAGTTCAAGATCCAGGTACCTTAGGCACCTATCCTGACTAAGCTTCACTAAATACTCGTACTCGTATACTGACTCTGGGCGGCTGTCGCCTCCTTCCGCCCCCCGCAATTTCCTTCATTCCGCCCCCAAGTGCAAACAAGCAACAACTTCCCTTGCCAGTCTCTACTACTGACTCTGTCTCTGTCCACACCTGCGCCCACGGCTGACTAGATCTGATCGCTCCTTGCCTATATTCCCATTGGGTATCACAGAATCCAAATCTCGCGACCCTTGAGGAGTCATGTCGTCTAGGTCTTCTTGTCAGGCTGCAACGCCGACCAGCAGCGAGATGGCGAGTCGAAACCTGAAATTTCGATTCCCATCGAGGCAGTGAAGATCTTACAACCCTTTATGGTGCGGCCTCGGCACGTAGCAAACCCAAGAGAGCTCCCGTGGACACCTTACCGGTGCTGCATCCTTGTGCATGCATATCACACCATCTTCATCACTGCCTGTGTGACATCTCTCCTGTTTTCCCGGGACACGAGTGGCCATGCCTCGTGCGGGGTTTTGCAGCTGCGAGACAGACAACCTATCACCCCAAGCCTTTGTTCAGGGGTCGATGCTCATGTGGTGGCTGAGCTGGCATACCTCCATGTGTAACGAGACCCGTGTTCCTCCTTTGCGGCTGAAAGCGCCGTGAGCATGTGCTCAGCCGGATCCAAAACCCCCCATGCCTCACGAGTCTGCCTTGCGACTTGCCTCCCTCCATCGCAACCGCAGTTGTCTGAAGAACTACAAACGCCAATGGCTTTGCAAACAGTTCGAGCTTATCGCCTGTCCAAGGCACAGCTAACTGCCTGGCTACAACATAACTTGGGTCCCGGTGATTATAAAGTACAGGTAGGCTATGAAGCAAAACCATCTTGATATGCCTTGGATAAAGTACTGATGCCCGAGCTAGCTTGTCCACGATCAGTATCAATTCAAGTACTCACGCCCACTCACCCGGGTGAGTACCAAGGCTGTTGCGCCGGTGACCCAAATTGTTGCATTTCTGACACAAGCTGCGCCACGCAATAGGACGAGAAAGACAAGATTGATGACCTTCGAAGTTAGCCACATCATCTATCGAAGCATAGCAATCTGCCAATCCCCAAGCCACAGCCTTCTCTTTGAATATTCGCCTTTCGTCGTCTCCTGTCTCGTGCCCCTTGCCCTGCTGAAAGTCCTCAGCATATCACAGCCTTGACGCAACAACAATCAAGCATCTGATCTCTCCACACCTCTCTCCGACGGAAGATAGTCTTGGGATTCTATATATCTCTTGCCCTCCACGACGAGGCTTGTCTTCCTGGTTGACTTGAATTCGCCAACAGATAACTCCATAAGGTGACTTAGTCAGCAACAACTCTTTCTTGCCACACTGAACAGTCTATGATCAGCACCAGTGACACGACCAGGTCGCTATCATTTTGCAATGGACACCTTCACCACCTGCCGGACAAAAGAGTATCCACTCAGCATTGTACATCCGATGGAATCGGCACACGTGCTGATTTCGTATCATGACAGACTCAAGGGGCTACAACCAAAACTCTTTGGGGCCGAAAACCGAGCCTGCGTCAATCTATGGCAGTGCCAGGAAGACGGCCAATTTCGGCATGCATGTGTACGCAACCTATCTGAACTTGAATCATACCTTGAAACCGAAGGACCAAAAGGCCAACTTCACCCTCAATGTCGGTTTGTATTCGTCAACGCACACAATGGGTCTTCCACAGAGAGGCTGAATATTACAAAGGACATGATGAGCGAAATTTTAAGCTATCATCAAGTCATGCCGTCATTCATTGATCTCATGGCTTCATTTGGTCGTGGAGCTCCATATGACTACCAGTATTGCGGTTTCAGAAGCGACATACGCCTGTCGATGAGGAACAGTGCCCTGGCTGTTCCCAGAATAAAGAGGTCAGGCCAAGTTCTGGAACTATGCTATAGTCTGCGCGCTGTTGAGCCCAGCACATCACTTCCGAATTGGCCATGGTCGATTAAACAGCTGGCAGTCTCTCATACGATTGACGTTGAAACTGGCCAGTCAACCTGGCTAGTATTCAAAGCTGATGACACGATCAAAGATCGTATCATGTCAGCCACACGATCAGCCTCTCTTCCACAGGTCAACGCCTTCCAGGACGCAAATGAGGCCCTGGCCTCTTCATTTGGCATTCACCTCATTTTGTGCCAATGGGCAGCCGAGCACTGGAGATGGTATGTCAACTTTCTAGAGCAGAAGGTGCAAGACATCACGCGTGTTAAGGTCTTCGGTGCGGTGGAGCCTCCTCGATCTCCTCGCTCCGCACGTCAGGCCCTTGCAAAGATTAACCCTGCCGCAAGATCAGCCACCTTCTCACTTTCCAAAACCCTTAGTCGCATCAGCACTTGGGGCTCAGTCCGTCAATCCTCACAACGATCAAGAGGGAGCGCCCCAGATCTCAGCGAACATGTCTCAACTCCTGGACTGTCAGAAAATAGTACAAACCAGCTATTGACCAAAAAGGAAGTTATAGAAGAAGACGAGGATGTTGGGTTTTCACTCGATGATCTTCAGCAAATTCAGCATATTGAAGAGCAAATTCAACAAGCCATGCTAGTCCAGACTACAGCTGTGAAGGTTCTCGAACAACTCCGCAACTTCTACCAGAGCCTCCAAGAACATCCGGAGTGGCATTTAAACCTCTCACCAGCGTCTAGAGGCAGTCTAACTCGATTCTGCAACCATATTGAGAACATCCAATTTGATCTCAATTCGCAATATACTAGATCGGAAACACTAGTGACACTTCTAGCAAACAGAAAGAATCTGGTAAGCAAAGATGAGAAATCCTTTCCGGTTCTTCATACTGATATTACCTAGCTTGGACAAATCTTGGAATGGCGAAGTACAGAAGCCATCAAGCTGATCTCCAGGCAGAGTCATGCCTCCACGGAGCACATGGAATCCATGACTGACGAAATGCGTGAACTTGCAGTCAAGACAAAGCAAGAGACTGTTTCCATGCGCATCATCACTCTGGTCACACTTTTCTTCCTACCGGGAACTTTCATATCTGCGAGTCGACAAGTCTCCGGAATCTCGTTACGGTATACTTATTGAAATATGCAGACCCTGATGAGTACTGATATTGTTCAATACGATCATTCGAAGGAGATCTTCTCAAAAGAAGCATTGAAGTTGTTTCTAGCCGTTTCTTTGCCCATGATGTTGTTCACGTTCTTGGCCTGGTATGCGGTCTACTGGTGTGTCAACCATAGGGAGAAGGTGGCCAAGTTCAAGCAGCAACTGCGCATGAAGTCGGAAGCGGCAGTCTAGGAAGGGCTTGACGAAACACGTGTTTCGTTCGGGGCCGGGCTCATCATACTTTGAACGTTCCCGCGCCTATCTGACGAGCAATATATAAATCTTGTTATCTCTTGCAGCTTTGACAGCCCGCTGGATCGGAAAGCGTAACAGAATCAAAACTAGCAGCGGTCAAGAGTGCGAAGCATTTGGACAGCACTTTCCATCTCGCTCGAAGTGCCGCTTATGCGTCGACCGACATTTTCTGCCATAGAAGCAGGAGATCAGAGGATCGAGACGCATTTGCCCCGCCGCCAGTACGACGACTCAAAAATAGTGTCCGAGCGCCGCTTTCAGTCTCGCTCCTTACAGCCGGTGAGGCTGAAGACCGTGGATTACCACACTCGTTCGTGACACCCATGTCTGCGATGCCTGGTCTAAACCCAGAACAAGCATGGCGCAAAGGCCAGCATCTCTCTGATTGCTTATCGAAGTCACCATCACTTGCCTAGCTGGCCAGGATAGCAGGGCTGTGTGACGCCAGCTCGCTGAGGTTCATGCATCTCTCCAACAGAGATAAAGTGCGTTGTCGCACTCGATGACAATGAAACTCGACCCATCCTGTCTTCTTCCAGCGCATGCGGACGCTGTCCTCTCTACTGGCCTTCCTGTCGTTTTAGACTTGTTTCCACTGCCCATGGGTTTCCTCGGTCTACCAGTGGCGCTATGGCTTCTATTCAACGCCGACAACCCACCCATAAGGCTGTCATTCTCGACTTGATAAAGTGGGTCGACGACAACTCTGTGAATGGCATCGACGCCGTCGGCGATCCCGCCCCCTTTATGCCGACGAAGGATTTGAGGGAACATCTCAGAGACAAAAATCGACTTCGAGATATTCTCAAGGCCTTGTTTGAGCCTGAAGAAGCACCCACGAACGTTTCACCAACCGCGATCCTCACTAGTTGTACTTCCGTCTTTGCGATACTTATAAGAATACAGAAAGGAGCATATATTAGTGAATTCCTTCGGCATAGAGTATTATTCGACCACCAACTCCCGTTCCTCACTAAACCGCCCGCATTTCCGTCCATTCCAAACGACGATTTCTACGATCGCTTCTGCAAAGAGCAATGGCGGTTTTGTGCCCACACCTTTACAGATGGTTACGACGATCTGCACATCCCCGACTCATACATTCTGCCGATTCTCACAACTGAAGCCCTCGATGAAGATGGGACGGCGGACGTGCAAAAAGTTACACTACATCCGGAATATGATAGAATTCAGCCGCCAACGAAAGACACTGAAGAGAAAGGAATAACTCGGAAAGTATCTTCCCCTGAGCACGATCTTATGTTGTAATGGCGTCCGCTGACACATATCCTAGCCTACACATACCTATGTTTTGAAATTATATCGGTCGAAGCGCTATGCCAGTGAAGAACTTTACAAGGCTGAGTCAGAGGCATTCATACATCTTCGAAACTCTCATGCACTGGGAAAGCATTTCATAGGCTACTATGGTAGCTTTACACATGGAAACACTAGGAACATCTTGCTGGAGTACGCCAACTATGGTTCACTTGAGACTTTCTTCAGTTCTGTTGATGCTCCAACTACTGGCGAGGATATTATCAGATTCTGGCAGTCCATGTTTGGAATCATTGATGCTGTTTGCAAAATTCACACCATCCCATCGCCGGAGTCGCAGAATGCAGCGCCGTTGTTCAATGGGTTCGTTCGCCTCATCTCTCTTGCTGCCAGGACTAACCTTTTTCTCCCAGTTGGCATCAAGATATCAAGCCAGAGAATATACTGGTGTCAAGTGGCTCAGGCGATGGAGAATTCGAATTCAAGCTTGCAGACTTGGGTTTGGCACACTTTCACAAAGTCAAAGTCAGGGCGAAGAGCCATTACAACGGAGCCATTTCAGGCAGAGACGTCGGAGGAACGCGCGAATATGGTGAGTTGCGCTATAATACCACAGATCCGACCAAGCTGAACGAACAATAGGTGCACCCGAGTGCTATCGTGGAGACGAATCTCAGAACCTGACAACTCGCAGTATTGGTCAAGCTGTCGACATCTGGTCACTAGGCTGTGTCTACAGCGAGTTTGCGCACTGGATAGCTCAAGGCAAGGTGGGCCTTCAGAAGTACAGGGACCGCCGTGTAGAAGTGACGAAAGCTATTCCCGATCATCTTGATCCGGGCTGTTTTCATGACAAAGAGAGAGTGCTGACAATAGTGTACGTTGCATTCCCCTCCACAATTCTAGCATGGTTTCCATTGAAGTTCATCTCTGACCAGTCCATAGAAAGGATTCACACGACGAACTTTTCAAGCACAGGCGAGTCGATGACTTCATGGTGAGACCAGTCATCAAGAAAATGGTTGAAGAGATGCTTGACGATGCAGACGGCCGGCCCACGGCAGTGCAATTAGGTTACAAGGCCAAAAAGATCATACAACAGGCGGAGAAGGACTTGCACGATCACGAACCTCACAGGATCATATCGCGGAGCTCAACAACCCAGTCTTGGGAGTTGAACCAAGAAAGAGGTATTCCTCAACGTTCATCTCAAGCAAGGCCACCAAAGGCGCACTCGAGTCATATCGCGGACAGCTACTTGGACAAAGCAGATCCCTTATCAACGGTGACAACGATTGAGGAGAGTCCTCCGATTTCGAAGGAGGGCAGTGCTGCTACGCAGCCGCATAGAGTTTCTGTACACAGCAAGGTGACTTCCACGTCCACACGCGACAACCCTTCATCAAGTGAGGGTGATCAACACCCGCCGGTCATGGGGAATGATCACCATGAGAACTCTTTTTCGTCAAATGTATCACCACCACCACTTTCCTCGCCCGGTCGCTCGAATAGCAAAGATGTGATACCACACATGACAATCAGCCAAGCGTTATTCTGGATCAGTTGTCAAAAGTACGATATGGGAGACATGGTGCCTCGAGAGCACAGAAAATACATGAACGAACTTGCCGACAGAGATCACGTGAGCTTGTTCAAGGTCCTATGCCTAGGTGATGATTGACATGAAAATCCGCAGGTATTTCTCATCGACGATGCAGCCACGATGAAACAACATTGGTCTCAGGTCTTGATGTTGACATTCATATTTGCTTCTTTCTTGAAGCGATATGATGATGACGGTATGGATGTATACTTTGCGTCTTCCAGGGAAGGCGTGAACTCCAAAAATGTGAAACCCTTGATGACAAGGGTATTTGGCCACCTTCAAAGAGACACATCCGACATTGGACAAAGCCTCGAAAGGTTGGTGACTACATATATCGACAAGATTGATGGGAAACAACGCAGGAGCCGGTTTCGTGGCACCAAGGAACCCAAGCCATTCTGCATCTATGTGCTTACCGACGGGATCTGGGAAGAGACCTCCAACGCGAGATCACCGATTAAAAGACTTGTTGATACACTAAAGCTCCATCGTAAGGATCCTACCCAAGTCGGTATTCAGTTCATCTTCTTCGGAAGCGATCAGCAAGCTCGAGAAAAGCTCGAGTGGCTCGATGACAATCTGGGTTTAGATATGTGAGTATTACAATCCATCTCCGGGTCGACGCGAAATCAAATTGTCCTGCTTCCTGGGCATCGGGCTAATTCCACAACTCACCAGGGACATTGTCGATATGGAACCGGCAGATGGAAACGTCTTGAAGATGCTGACTGGCGCGATATTGAAGAAAGTCGACCGAGTAAAGACGAACGGTCTCAACCAATGATTAATGTCTCAGGGCGAAAAGTTATATAGCGGCATCTCTCGTGTCTGTGTCTTTGTCCGTCTGTGTCTCGTCTTTTGTCCGGCCATGTGGCAAGGCGCGTCTTCTCTCCCTCCGCGTCACACTTTTTTGGATAAAACTTTTCCTTTCGGATCTTTCCGGCTCCTCCTTCTCCCTCCCCTTCGCCCTTTGCCAACCTTGGGGGATTTTGGGTAAAAGACGGGGGATTACGATTCATCCTTGATCTCCTGCCTGTCATGCTTGTCGGCACGGACGTGGTTGTTAAAGGTCCGAGTCTGAGCTGGACCCACGTGATCTTGATGACCTTGATGACCTGACTGATGGGGTGGCGAAACCGACCCCTTCATCATCCAAACCTACTACGGGTGCTGGTGTCACTTCCAACAGTCGAAGCAAGACGGGAACCCCGTCGACGGCACCTTGTCCTGCAAAAGTGTCGGCGAGACGCAAGGCTCCCGCCCGACGAAGAAGGGTGACGCCCAGGTATAGTTCGGGGGTGAACGTCGAGGTCTGATCGGGTGGGTCACCCTCATGCTCATTCATCCCCATCACCATCATTGACCTTGTCGACCGTGGTCGGACTTGGCCCGGGCAGGTCAAAAATGTCAAAATCGATACCTGGAAACGATACCAACCCAGTGCTAGTACCGATGAGGACGTCGAGTTGTGATTCGTGACGTTGGGGCTTTGCTTTGGAAACCATTTCCTGGCGTGCCGAGCGTGAGGTGGTCTTGTTCCCGAGAGACATCAGTGGTGGATATGGGTGTGGCTTGCCGAGAGAGGCCCAGTGCCCCAACCAGGTCAGACGACATGTAGTTCCTCATGTCAGACAGAAAAACATCTCCCAAAACCGTGACCGGGTCACCGGGTGCGTTGCGGACGATGATGGGAAGCGTATCTTGGTCTGTACCGGCTAGTTCGGAACTGTGATAGATGACTGTTTGCAATAGGTTCGGATCGTCGAAACCGACATGTTCATCGGGGTGAAGGCGAGTTTGAACACCGTTCTCGTCGTCGACAACGACCTTAGCAGGGCGTGATGTCGGCACGGCGAGACTCGCGAGGTTTGATAGGTGCCGTGTCGTTGTTGACTCGGTCGTATGTGTATGCCAAGTAGTGCCATGGACCGGTCCGGACAGCGGTGCAGGTGCCCGGGCTGCCGTGGCATGAGACGGGAACACAGGTGGGACGGGCACAGTGTGACGCGGCAGAATGACGAGGCAAGAAGAGACCTTGGGGGCCGACTTGTTCAGTTGAATTTGTAGATGCGGAAGTTGTCCCAATGGCATGCTTTTCGATCACGGTTGACGGATTTGTGGTATCCGTACAGGCCCCTGGTCCTGGATAAGTGATATTGTATGCTTGTGAATCTGTACGAGGCTCGCTGCCCATACGCCGAGGATGGACTCCACCAGTACTTGACGATGTCGATGCCTGAGGTACAGGCGTGATGATCCCATTGCAAGAACCGAGAGGACACAGGGCACCACAGCACATTGTTGGCCGAGAGATTGTTTGATTCTCGTCAAGTGCTTTGAAGACGGACTTGATGTCGATCGCCGAAGAGTATGGCGGTGCTTTCAGGACATGCTGAGCCGGAGATAGAGCATCCGCAGCGACGCAAGGGAGGGTCACCAAAAGGGACAAGATAATGTTTGACAGAGCCTTCATCTTGTATGAATAGAGAGGATGAAAGTCGTGTTGCAGAAAATCGAGAGGATTTGCAATTTATGAATACCACCTTCGATGAGAGGCCGATTGAGCGCTTCTTATAGCACGATACCACAAAATGTTTGTTGAGGAAATACTCTCAACAACGACAATGTCGTCCGAAGAATGCCTTGCCCACCCTCCCCCCGTGGGCACCCTAGGACATACTGTCTGAAGCGCCAACGACGAAGGCTCAACCCTCTTTGTGTAACCTGATATAGCTTTTGTTGGGGCCAGTATAGGTTCGTGTTTCGAGGGACGTCTCTTTTAGTCCATCTGGAGTCATGGTTGGAGGTTGATTTGATCCACCCAGGCTGGAAGGTGAAGCCGCGGCGCGAGGACAAAAATCCCATATGCCGTTCTCAGTTAGAATGCTTCCGCCGCCATAGCCCAAAATGGTCTTGTTCCCAAGGCATCATCATACATTTTGTACATCGCTGTTGCACCATCCCCTCAATTCAGTATCGCTCGCCTTGTATCAACGCCGTGCGTCTTGACCTCGGACAGTATGTTTATATCTAGTTCGATAATTTATTGCACTGTCACCGTCGTCGTCACCGTCTCCGTAATTATCTCTGTCACCGGGGCTGGGCCTTGGGCTTGAGCTTGCGTCACTACAGGGCTCGAGATTGGGCCAGACGTCACAGGAACAACGACCACGGGATCTGGTGTTGTGGTTGTTGGAGCATCTTGCTGCCCTTTACCTTCTATGCCGCTTGGCTGCACAGACGTCGTGATCGAAGACGCTGGATCTGGGAACGGCGATGCCGTAGACAAGGTACTCGGCCGCGGCTCTTCACTTGGCACATTCGTCTCAACAGGCAGAGGTGTTCCTGGCTCGGACAGTGCCGTCTGAGCAATGCTAATAGTCCCTAGACCTGGGGTGATTATGGTGGCTTCAGGGGTCAGGCTGGCAGTAGTCGCGGGCGAGGCAGTAACAAATACTACTGCGACTGAGGCCAAGGGCGACGAAGGCGATGATGAAGGTAGTTCGGTCCCTGATGGAGTTGCTCCCAAAGAGTCGGTGGACTGTTGGTTCTGTTGCGTCGACGCTTCGGTGGTCGCGTCCAATGAGCTTGTGACTGCCGCGGCAGTGACCTCGGCGGTGACATCGACGGTGGTGAATATTGTAGTTTGAACCTGGACAGTGGTGGTTGACGCGAAATCAGGTGCAGGTTGCGTGGTGATGGTCTCGGCTCGTGCTGGCGGAACGATGGCAGTGCCTGTTCCTATCACTGAAGAGGGATTTGAATGGTCGCTGGCAGACTCTGTCGCAACAACGGTGCCGAATGCAGATCCGAACGCAGGCTGCGTGGTGTCGGGGTTATTTGTTACCGTTGCTGGAGACGTTGATGTCTCTGACACTATTGCACCCCCGATAGTGGTCGATGGAGCTATATCAGTTGCCTGTTGTGTGGCTGCTGCTGGGCTGTCAGCATTCGAAGCTGCTGGAACCGTTGTTGTCACTGTTGTTTCTGACACAAGCGAGGCGCCGGCAGTCGATGATGTGGTTGTCTGCGTCAAGAAACTCAAGTTGCTAGTATTGCCCGCACCAACACCTACTGCTGGGACTTTTCCATCCTCTGATCCCTTACTGGCAGAGGTAGTCTCGGATCTAGGACTTGCATCCGTTGCACTCACTGCAGCTGCAGCTACTATGGTTGTAATAATGTCTGAAGATTCAGCCGCACCAGGGGCCGATGTTGTGGCAGGGGCAGTTTCAGTCAAGAAACTCAGATCGCTGATATTCCCTGCGCCAACGCCCACAGCTGGTGCTTTGCCGTCCTTAGAGCCACCGCCGGTGGGAGCTTTTGATGCTTCGGCAGGGGAGCTCGTTTGTGCTGCTCTCACTTGATCTCCTGGATCGGTCGGAGCTTGTCGTCTCCTGCGTCCCTCTTGCGAAGCGTCGATACTATGGACGACAACGTAGCGCTTTTGGGGTTGATTAACTCTGCGGACCGCGTCGCTATGCCTGAGAGAGAGAGTTAGTCGGGGAATCAGTATCAGAACAGGGAAGCTCACGTATAAATCGGGCCTGCCGATGTAAAGGTAATTAAAACAAGAAGTATCAGTGACAGTACAGCAATCTGCATGATGACGGCAGTATCCGTGATGGTCCGCAGTGATATTCAAAGAGAGATTAGCAGAATGCAAGTGATCTCGACTGGAGAAGGCACACGACCACAAGGCCAAAAGAACGGGGGACGAACAAAGTCAGCGGTGAGGTATAATATGATCGACGATAAGAAAATGCAGAGGTATAAAATAGAAGAATACAGAGTTCCTTGTAAACCTTTTTGAATTGTTGAAATCAGGCGCTGCTGGCTGGTCGAGCTCTTTGTCGGCGCCTGCATACGGTCCCAATTTCCAAGGGACCGCTGAGAGAAGTGGTTTTCGATCTATGAAACATGAGCATAAACAATTCAAGCGATGGCGCAAGGCCATTGTATTGTCAGAAACAGAGGAAGAGAATGATGATGGTTGGTATTGATGCTGCGAGACAAAAGTCGATGGCGTCTGAGGTCTGCGCCAAGGCTGAAGGTTTGATGACGATTGATTGGCTGAGAGGCGCCCAAATGGACAAGTCGCCTCAGCCTCGTGTCTTTGTCCAGCCGCCAGATGTTTCCATGTTTCGTTTCAGCATCGCCCACTATGTTTCCATCTAGACCATGTTGCACACGGCGTCTATGTTGTGTTGTACATCGTTAATATTACACCTGTCAGTACAGGCTTCGCTTCTCATGGATTTCCTCGAACGACTGAATTTGGTCGCCAACTTCAAAACCGTCCCAATTCTCGAAGCCCATACCACATTCAGAGCCTTTACGCATCTCTGTCACGTCTTTTTTGATGTTCTTGAAGGAGTTGAGAGTGCCTAGATGAAAGCGTCAGTAACCCAAATATCAGTTTCGTGAATAGCAACCCACCAGTATACACCACTTCGCCGTCCCTGATGACTCGGATCTTTTCCGAACGGCGAATGGTTCCATTGGTCACTCGGCAGCCTGCGATTTTCACTTTGGCCTTCTTGACCGTGATTTCGAAAATGTCGCCCACCTCTGCCTCTCCAAGGACCTTGTGGGTAATGATGGGCGGCAGTTTCTCGGCCAATTTCTCTGCGACGACGTCGGTGACTTTGTAGATGATATTGTAGTCCAGGATCTGAACGTTGGCAGCCTCGGCAAGGCGTCGAATTCCGGTGTCAACACGCTGGTTGAATGTTATGGCATAGCCCCCCTCCCCAGAAGCAGCAAGAAGCTTAATATCAGATTCCGTCAACTCCCCAGTACCACTGTGAACAACATTTGCGACGACTTCCTTGTTGCCAATAGCACTGACCGCGGATACGAGTGCTTCTGTACTTCCGGCAACATCAGCCTTGATGAGGAAATGTACTTGTTGAGGTCCGAGAGACTCTTTTTCGACCCAGCCTTCGTTGTCCTTTGGTCGTCGGTTTGCTTTCATTTTCATGTAGCCTTGTTCTCTCTCCCAATCAAGCACCTTAGCTCGAGCCTCTGCTTCTTCCGTCCGAGCAGTGTTGATAGCGGACAAGTCACTAATGGTACGGACTGAGTCTTCTCTTTCCTGGCGAACGGCAACCGCGTCTTTGGCTTGCTGCTCTTCTACAGCCTGAAGGACCTCTGAACCGGCCATAGGGTCTTCGCCTCGCCAGCCATCAATCTGGACAGGAGTACCGGGAGGAGCCTCTTGAATCAGCTGACCAGCATCATTCCGTAAGGTGCGAACACGAGCCCAAGTATTCCCGGCCACAATAAAATCACCAGGTCTCAGTGTCCCACGTCGGACTAAGACAGTGGCCACTCGACCAGACTCACCAACTTTGGATTCAATGATCCAGCCTTCTGCTTGACCATCTGTCTCGGCTCGGAAATCATACACATCCGCCAGTGTTAGAATTGCTTCCTCCAGATCTGCCATACCTTGACCCGTTTTTCCACTAACAGGCACGACTTGAAAATCGCCGCCAAAGTCTTCCACCACAATGTCATGCTGAGAGAGATCTCGCTTGACGCGTTCAATATCAGCATCGTCCTTGTCGATCTTGTTGATGGCCACGATTATCTGGACGTTTGCTTCGAGTGCATGCTTGATTGCTTCAATCGTCTGCGCCTTGACGCTATCGTCTGCTGCAACCACCAACACCACAATATCTGTGACATTGGCGCCTCGTCGACGCATGTCCAAGAATGCTGCGTGACCTGGAGTGTCCAGAAATGTAATGTTCCGTTCTGAACCCGGCATGACGACCGAGAACGCACCAATGTGCTGAGTAATGCCACCATGTTCCGACGCGACCACACTCGACTTTCTGAAATAGTCGAGGATCGTGGTCTTTCCATGATCAACGTGGCCCATGATTGTGACAATTGGTGGTCGAGGTGGTAACACCGAGGGATCTTCAGGGGGCGGTCGAGCGACCAGATCCCTAGTTTCGTCGATGGTGTCGATGATGGGCTCGAAGCCATATATCTCTGCAAACATTGCAGAGGTGCCGGAGTCTAGGACATGATCATATCGAGCTCCTTCAAACCCTTCTTCCTCAAGTTTATCGATAAACTCTGGTAGTCGAACTTTCAACCCTTGAGCCAGTTTCTCCACGCTGATGAATTCTGGTATTTGAATCTCAGGTCGCTTCTGCTCCACGGCTTCCGCTTTAGATCTTTTGGATTTTTTCTTCCGTCGCTGTTCGTCCAGAATATCCTCGACCATATCTGGGTCAAATGCAGGTACGCTACCCCTGTGAGCACTTCTCCTCTTGCCAGAATTAGGTTTCGTGCTCCGTGATGTATAGCCGGAATCGTCCTCTTCCACATCATATATCCTGCTTCTTCGCCCACGTTCCTTGTCAATTTTCTTGCTCCGGTCATACCGCTCTTCCTCCGTTTCCAGAGCTGGCGTAGCTACCCCAACGTCATCAACTTCTTGTATTTCAACTTCAGAGCTAACAGGTGACTGGGGACTCGTCGTCGTACGAGATGTTCTTCCAAGGTCATTTTGCCTAGAAGGGTAACGGCCAGGTTGCCTAGTCAACCTTCGATCTTGTGGTGGGCGATCCCGTGCTTGGGATCTCGATCGAGATTCCCACGGGTTCAGCTGATTCGAGGTCCTGTCAAATGCAGCTCCTCGATCATCAGACCTAGAACGATTCATGGGCTTGAGCGCTGCACCAATTCGGGAATCGGACAGTGTATCTGGAGCAGGTCTTTGGGATTGCGATCGCTCCTGACTTGCGTGTCTTCTACTTGGTACGTCACCTCTTCCCGAGAAAGGCCGAAAAGAGCGACTCCCATCTCCAGATTGAAGTGCATCTTGATCAACAGAGCCTGCAGGTGCAGGAGGACCAATCGATGAAAGCTTCCTGATCTTGAACCCATTCTCGGACCCAGTTGATGAAGCTTGATTATCCGGGTCGCCTTTGCTCCGTTGTGGTGCTCCGCCATACCTCCCAAATCTAATTGGAGGCCCTTGTTGTCTGAAGTCTGATGAGGCCTGATCGAGGATGGCACTAGAACGTGATGTCCGTTGGGAATCGAAGGGTGTCCGAGAGGGGTATCTGCCTTTCGAGCTTGGGGGTGGTCGTAGCTGGGAAGCATTGGGCTTTGTGAATTCGGACAGAGGAGATGTGCTCTTCGAGGGGGCCAGAGGAGTGGGGGGAGTTGCCACTCGCGCCGCTGGTAATGGAGGCTGAGGAGAGGGCGAAGGCTGCGCTGTGCCCTTGTAAACGAGTTCTGCTTTCGGCGGCCGTGGACTCGTACATATAGTACACTCTGATCTTCGAGGCGCATTGACATGATTACAGCGGCATCTCCATCCTAGCAATTCTCGGGAGGGAGTATGTGCAGGAGAATAGTCATCATGTTCTTCGACGTGAGCTGCCGCAGCTCCGGCCGGACGATGTGATGGTGCAGTCGATCTATATGTTCGATGTTGAGACCGTAGGGACGTTGATGCCCGTATCTCGAGATGGCGTTTGAAGGCGCAGAAGAGGCATATGTCCCTTCGCTGTAGTAGCTGGAAGAGTCAGTAAATCTTTCCGAAGGTGATTACCAGCTGCTTACCCTGGACGATACAACTCTTCGCATACTGCAGCCACGTCTGCCAACGTTCCCAACGTTCAACGGGTCAGTTCTGACGGGAGGAAATGTGTATGGGCTGATCTCCAGTAACGCCGGTCGAATCCTCGACTCAATACTTTTTTTTCCCGGGCGCGCGCGCAGCCTCCGGAGTCCAGTGGGGATGAATGAATTCAGCCAATAATACCCCGTTATCAGACGGTGTTGGCCGCCCATACAATATGGTATCGGCACAGGGAATTGCGTGCCCGCAAAAAATCAATTGGATAATGCACTATATGAACAACATATATTCGTCCTCACATATTCCGCGACCTGTTGGAATGAGGTGAAGCCACTGCACACTTTCTCGAGTCGCGGTGAGGTCCAGTCTTGGACATTGTGAGCAGGAATGGCAGACGGTGTCGAGGCTATCGAGGCCAAGGAGGCCGAAAATGCGGGCTGGGTCAGAACTGTGAAAGATCTATCGGCTGGTGCTGCTGGTGGTATTGCGCAAGTATTGCTGGGTGAGTCTCTTGTGTGGTATTGAGGTCGTAGTGTTTTTTTGGTCTAGGATGCTTGCAGGAGTTCTTTATCTGCTTATGGCTGTGAAGTAAATGCTGACTCAGTTTCAATATCAGGTCAACCATTCGGTAAGCCAAAGAAAACAGATTCTAGGTCTCTCATCTTACGTTCTTAGATATTGTAAAGGTGCGACTCCAGACAACTTCGACATATCCAAGCGCTGCAGCGTGCGCATCATCCATTCTGCAGAAGGAGGGGCCACTAGCATTCTACAAGGGAACGTTGACTCCTTTGATTGGTATCGGAGCATGCGTCTCTGTGCAATTCGGTGCTTTTCATTACGCTCGTCGAGCCTTTGAGGAACAGAATCTGAAGCGCAGTCCGGGCACTTCACCTGAGTTGTCATATGGCCAGTACTATGCGGCCGGCGCATTTGCCGGTCTGACCAACTCTGTCCTGTCTGGACCGATTGAGCACGTCAGAATCAGACTTCAGACACAGCCTCACGGAGCGGATCGATTATACAGCGGCCCTCTGGACTGCATCAAGAAGTTGTCTGCGCATGAAGGTGTTCTTCGCGGTCTTTTTCGTGGCCAAGCCGTCACGCTATGGCGTGAAGCACAAGCTTACGGTGTTTGGTTTCTAACCTTTGAGTATCTGATGGCACAAGATATGAAGCGCAACAACGCCAAGCGATCCGATATTTCGTCGCCCAAGGTCGCCTTCTATGGCGGTTTGGCTGGTGAAGCACTGTGGATTGCCAGCTACCCATTTGACGTCGTTAAGAGCAAGATGCAGAGTGACGGTTTCGGAAAGGATCAGAAATTCAAGACCATGCGTGATTGCTTCTCCCAGACATGGAGAGCCGAAGGCATGAGGGGCTTCTGGAAGGGAATTGGACCGACTTTGGCAAGAGCCATGCCTGTGAGCGCCGGTACATTTGCAGTGTAAGTTCTGATCTCTGGCGTTTGAAATATGTGTTATGGCTAACCACATTTACAGCGTCGAGATGACCATGCGCGCATTGGGATGAGGTTAAGTAAGTAGAATTATATATTGGACTCGGAGCAAGATAGTCGGTGTCAACAACAATCAGCATCACGGAATTTGGACTGTCCCTACCTATGCAGTAGTTTGGTCGGATAGGACCCAGCAGGAAAGTCCGACTACTATTGAGTCGCGTAATTTCACATGAATGATTGCCATGTTTTCTGGTAGGAATGCCATTTTCTGCGGAACAAAGTTCAACACAGTTGCAATATTTCATATGCCTCGCTGTTGACCATAAAGAAACATGTACAACCTGGAAGAGTTCTTCTGAGGTCCTATCTGTAGGGCGCATCTGCTCTCGCCACAGCAGCTAATTCTGGCTCCCACTTGTCTCCATTCGCAAGCAATTTCTCCTTGTTGTACAGCAGCTCTTCTCTGTTCTCTGTAGCGTATTCGGCGTTGGGTGTCTCCACGATAGCATCGACGGGGCAGCTTTCTTGACAGAGACCGCAGTAGATGCACTTTGTCATGTCGATGTCGTATCGGGTCGTCCGCCTTGATCCATCTTCTCTTTCTTCGGCCTCAATCGTAATGGCTAGAGCAGGGCAGATAGCTTCGCAAAGCTTGCAGGCGATGCATCGCTCTTCGCCCGAAGGATAGCGTCTCAGGGCATGTTCGCCTCGGAATCGTGGAGAAATGGGGCCCTTTTCAAAAGGATAATAAATTGTGTAGCTGTAGCACTACCTGTCAGCCTATCGTGTTCTCAATTTCGACCTCGAAATGTTCACATACGGTGCTCTGAAGAATTGTTCCAGCACAACATACATGCCGCGCATCATTTCTGTGAGTAGAAAATAGTTGCTGGCTTTGTCCGCCGCATTTTCCCCTTCGTAAAATCGCTTTGGTCGAGGCAATCGGTACCCTGAAGGAGGGGGGCCCGCTGGAAGGGCATTCCGAGGTCTCGAGGTATGGAATTGAGCTGTGGCGCGGAGAAATGGTGTTCGTTCTGTTTGTCGCAGGACATATGAAGCTGTCATCGGTCTCGCAACCAGCCGTGATGCTGGACGAAGTGACGACGCCATCTTGCGTACCTGTCGCAGATTGCTGAGAATGAGTGGCGTGCGCAAGGAGAGGGAGGAAGAAAGAGGTTTTGATGATGTCGAAGGTGTAATTGAAGTCAGTAATGGACAGGCTCTCATTCGCCGGAATCCACAGGACTGTGGGCGTGTTAAGTTGTGCTTGTCTGACGACTCCAGCTTTGTCCATAGTTGACTGCCCAGGTACAATATCTCCCCGTCAGACGAGGTCAATCCTTTCGACACCTTCAAGCTCAAATGGCCCACCGTAATTCCAACGATTTCCCTTAGCTGTTTTCGACTTGCACTTTTGGCCGAGTTACGAGCTTGACATCAGAAAATCAATCGCCTTCGCAATCACGCAGCCATCACTCCCTGAACTGCCTCATCAATACCGTAGAGTCCAATTCAAGCCGTCAAGATGATCCGCGCAGGTGCTGCAAGAGCCCTCTACGCCGTCACAAGGACCCAGGTTCCCCGACAACTACCTGCTTTCCGATCTCAGATCTCGTCGTCCCTTCTGCAATCTTCCCGAGTCACTCCTTCATTCGTCCTTCCAAGCATACGATGCTATTCCGCGCCCGCGGGACTCTCCAAAGATGAGGTTCAAGGGCGGATAATGGATCTGTTGAAGAATTTTGACAAGGTGCGCTTCGGGAATAAGTCTCGGTGAATTCAAAGTGCTAACATGGCGCAGGTCACAGATGCATCAAAGGTACAATATTCCCAGGAACGCTGTCGACGACTTTTCTGACAAGCCCATCTAGATCTCGGGCACATCACACTTCCAGAATGACCTTGGATTGGACAGCTTGGATACCGTCGAGGTGGTGATGGCCATCGAGGAAGAATTCAGCATCGAGATTCCAGACAAGGAGGCGGATGCTATCCACAGCGGTGAGTAGGATGCAGAAATCTGAGCGGACCACAGCTGACAAGATGAAGTCGACCAAGCCGTCACGTACATTTGCGCACAGCCCGACGCTCACTAAATCCGTGTGATGATGAAGGTGTAGATTGTGGTCAGGCACAAAAACCAATGGTTGTACATTTTCCTCAACCCCGGACGCTGGATGGCAGTTTGTACTATCAGAAAACAATATTAGATTCATGAGATCTCCACAATGGCACTCGATATGCTGGATCGCTGAACATTTAATTCCCGGGCCTACTTTTCTATCTTTTGTTCTATACACATCTATACCGTTCTAATTCGCGAAACCTACACAATCTCTAACCTTCTCAGCTCCTCGATTTCGGACACGGGATAACCCAGTTCGTTCAATACTTGATCAGTATGCTGGCCCAGCAAAGGTGGCTCGATCCTGACATTCATCGAGGCACCCTCGAACTTCATTGCCGGCCCAATCAGTTTTAGCATTCCATCTTTGGCCGCCTCAAACTGATTGATGTCTATCACCATATCTCTCGCCTTGGCCTGTGGATGTTCGAGTGCGTCGACGACATCATTGATTGAGCCGTATGGTAGACCGCTGCCTTCAAAGGCGTCCAGCCATTCACGTTGCGTCTTCTCGGCGAATTTTCTCTGCAGTATCGAGTTGATTTCGTCCCGGTTTTCAACTCGCCCGTCATTTGTGCTGAACCTCTCGTCTTCCGCCAACCCTTTGATGCCCATGCGTTGACAAAACCCCTTCCATTGTCTGTTGTTGTTGGCAGCGACGAAGAGCATCCCGTCCTTTGTCTTGTACGCCCCGTACGGCACCAGATTCGGATGACCCAGTCCAAGCCGCTTTCCTCTCCTCCTCTTCTCCGGACCTTTGTCCAGGTCCAGATTCAGAGCAGCCAGGCCGACATTGATCAAAAGGCTCAAGCCACTTTCAAACAGGCTGCCCTCGATCTTGGAGCCCAGGCCAGTCCTGTGTCTCTGATCCAGGGCCGCCAAGATGGCACCGTGCATGTACAGGCCCGTACACAAGTCCGCCATGGCGACACCAGGCTTCGTCGGCCCTCCGTGCTCGTCGCCCGTGATGTGCAACAGCCCGGCCTCGGCCAGCGCGATCGCATCGTACCCTGCACGGTCTCGACTCGGGCCACTGGCCCCGTACCCACTGCAGCTGGCGTAGATCAGTCCCTCGTTGTCCCGTTTGAGGTCCTCGTAACCCAGACCGAGCTGCTCCATCTTGCCCGGGAGGAAGTTGTTCAGAACGACGTCACTCTGACGTGCCAAAGCCTTGACGATTTCCAGTCCCTTGGGGTCCTTGAGGTTGACCGTCACGGAGCGTTTGTTTCGATTGACCGCGGCAAAGTACAGAGACATGTACTTGTGTTCGGGACGCCATTTCTGACCTTCGCCCGCGGTGCGCCACTGGCGAGTCTCGTCGCCCGCTCCCGGTTGTTCAACTTTGATGACCTGGGCACCGTAGTCTGCGAGGATCTGTGTGCAAAATGGCCCGGCGAGCACCCGGGACAAGTCGAGAACCTTGAGGCCGTCGAGCGGCAGGGTTTTTGTATTTTGGTCGGTGCCAGATTGGAAGTTCCTAGCTTGTTGCTGCAGACAATATCTTTTTCTTGTGGATGTCCTCTGACCATAGGCAGTCCATCTGCACACCTGTAGCACTGGATTTCTCATTGCTATTGTGTGTTTGTGTGTGTGTACGTCTATACTTGTATGGATCCGACTTTGAATGGTCGCATTGGTGATCACTCTGCGGAGAGTATGCTCTTGAACCTGGATCAACACTCCGGAATCCAAAGTTTTTTCAATCCGACACAACAGCCCTCTTGGTGGAAATCTTTTTTTGCTCTCCTTTCTCAGTTCGACTCCCCTAATAAGGCCACGCATGTGATGTGGCCAGCAGCCGTCAGTGAAGGTCCCCAATAAAAACAAGCAATAAGCCGAGTAGCCGACGGGTACTTTATGTGCGGGGGATTGCGCCATGTTGTACTCCCGTAGTATTTACTACATCAGGTATTCTTACCTAGGCAAGTACCTAGGGTATGATCGTCCTTAACCGAGTACCTTGCTTATTGAAACGTGCAGTGAAAAACGGCACCTGAGTGATTTATGATAGTGCAAGCATATCTGAAGGAGCTTGACCTGGGTACTACTATACTGCAGAAATCACCACTTCCCTGACCGACACTGGTTGACTCTGGGTACCTGTCATATCTGTCTCGTTGATGGACATTCACCCAACAGGGGAGAGGTAGCACAGAGAAGCGAGTGTCGTTGTCATTGAAGTCAATTGTGCAAAGCAAGACCAAGGGAAGAAGATACAAACAGCATGGCCATGGCATCTAAAAGTTGCTCTTCTTCCAAGAGCTTGTTGTTCCGTAAACTCTGGAGAAATACTACTACGAGACAACCCGCGGTTCTTCATCGACCATCGGTATCCATACAAAATACTCGAATGGCGGCACCATTTTCCACCACACAATCCAACCATGCTCGAGGGACGGAGTACCTTCAACTCCACGACCCGGACCTCACCGAGTCCCAACGTACGGTGCGTGAGGCCATCAGCAAAGTGTGCTCCAGGTTCGACGACGCCTACTGGCTGGCCGCCGACCGCGACCACCGGTTCCCCGTCGAGTTCCACCAGGCGGTGGCCAAGGACGGGTGGCTGGGGATATGCATGCCGTCCGAGTACGGCGGGAGCGACCTGGGCATCGCCGAGGCGGCCGTCATGGTGCAGACCATCGCCGAGAGCGGGGCGGCGTACGCGGGCGCGAGCGCGGTGCACATGAACATCTTTGGGTTGGAACCAGTGCGCAAGTTCGGCACGGAGGAACAAAAGAGTCGCATGCTCGTGCCGCTCATCGCGGGCGAGGAGCGGGCGTGTTTCGGCGTGACGGAACCCAACACCGGGCTCGACACGTTGAGACTGCAGTCCCGGGCGGTGCGAAAGGACAAACACTACGAACTCAGCGGGCAAAAGATTTGGATCTCTACGGCACAAGTGGCCGAGAAGATTTTGGTGTTGGCGCGCACGACTCCCCTCGAACAGGTCAAGAAACCGAGTCAAGGGTTGAGTCTGTTTTACACGGACCTAGATCGCAAACAGGTCGAGGTCACGGAGATTCCCAAAATGGGTAGGGCGGCCGTCGACTCGAACACTTTGTTCTTCGACGGGTGGAAGGTACCCCAAGAAGACCTGATCGGGGAAGAAGGAAACGGGTTCAAGATGATCATGCACGGCATGAACGCGGAGAGGATCCTCATCGCCGCCGAGGCTTTGGGGATAGGGTTCGCCGCGTTGAGGAGGGCGGCGCTATACGCCGGGGAAAGAAAAGTGTTTGGAAGGCCGATCGGGCAGAACCAAGCCATCCAGCATCCCCTGGCCGACAGTTGGATGCAGCTCGAGGCCGCGAGGTTGATGATTTACCAGGCCGCGAGGATGTACGACCAGGGGTACGAGACGGGAGAGTACGCCAACGCGGCCAAGTATCTCGCCGCGGAGGCTGCGTTTGGCGCCTGTGAAAGGGCCGTCATGACCCATGGTGGCATGGGTTATGCAAAGGAGTATCACGTCGAGAGGTACCTGAGGGAAATCATGATCCCTAGGATTGCCCCGGTGAGCAGGGAGATGATCAAGAACTATATCGGTGAGAGGGTGTTGGGTTTGCCGAGGTCGTATTGATGTACTCGTACTCGTAGATTTTTTTTCTATTTCTTAGACTAGAGTGTCCTCGTATGTATGCAATGGTCATGGATAGGGATGTGGGAAATACTTTCGAATGCCGTTTGCCTGAGGGGGACACGGAGTGCTCGACGTCCAAATGAGGCAGTCTACTGAGTACTCGTGGCAGTCGTCAGAGCTTCCCTTACCTTTCTTTTGCTTGTACGGAGTACTCGTGCGTACGATTTCGATTACCTCGGGACATTTGGCTCCAAGGATGATCCTACGTCGACCATGACCGAGGATGGAGTGATGAGGCGACAAGTACTCCGTAGAAACACAGCATCGGCCACTTCTGGCTTGACGTCGTCAGGTACGTAGATCAAAGGTCACGTGCGTGGCTGAGTATCGACACAGCCTCATCAACTGCGCCTCGAATTCGGCTCTCGGCTTCTCCATCGTCGAATTGCATACCAAATCCATCGCCTTCCACACCTTTCAATCCAATCAATTTGCTTCTTGTCGGTGATTTTGTTCCCTTTGCAGTACCTCAGCTTGCATTGATCCCTCGGCCATTGCGGAGAGTATGGAGTACATGGAACCAGTACCGCCATCTACAAGGCGTTCCAACCTACGTATCCTGAATGGCTGGAGTACGCGAAGCCTCACTTCGCCCTTTTTCGGGTGACGCGGCTCGCCCATCTTGCATCAACTTTGCCCTTACGGAGTAGGATCTTTGAGATCTGGCAATGGTCCATCTTAACGAGGATCCAATGATCCCTCAAGGTGTGAGCTAAGATAGGTGTATATAAGTGTTTGTTTCGTTCCCACTTGTTTTTCCATTTCGACATCAACACACAATAACAGCAATTGCATCAAACCATAATCATCATCCCACACAGCATAACCACTTCTACAAATCCCTTCACCACGAACTACAACCCAAACACAATCATGTCAGGCTACGACGCTTATTACCAAAACCAAAACCAAACCCAATATCCTTCATACAACAACCAATACCAGAACAACTCATACCCCAGTGACGGTTTCTCTGGCGGTCACCAGAATCAATATCCTCAACACCAACAACAACAACAAGGGTATTACGATTACTCGGCCGACACTCGTTCCCAACAGAACTACGACGCTTCCAGCAACAACAACAACAACAACTCTTACTACAATGACAACAACAATTACCAATCCTCAGCACCCGGACAAGAACAAGATCGTGGTCTGATGGGTGCCATGGCCGGCGGTGCCGCCGGTGCTTACGGTGGTCACAAGGCCGGCCATGGGTTTTTGGGTGCGATAGGCGGAGCCATCGCCGGTTCTCTAGCCGAAGACTACGCCAAAAAGGGTCGCAAGAACAAACACAACAAACCCAACGGCAGTATCGGTTCCACGGCCTCGAGCTTCTTCAATCGAAAGAACTAAAACCATGGGGGTTGTTGTTAAATGAAGTTGTTATTTTTGTCGTTGTCGTTGTTTGTATAGGGACGAGGTACCTTTTCTCTCGGAGCAGGCGTTGGGTACGAAGCGATGATGATGATGAAAAAAAGAACCATGACCAGACCAGACAAAAACGGACCGGGAAAAGAGAAAAAACGAAACGAGGGAGATTTGGGTCTTTGAAAGAAACTCTTCTCTTTTCATTCCATTTCATCGGTGGCCCCCACTGGGAGTTCTGTTCACGTCAATCTTGTTTTGTCGAAGCCCACGAGGTCGTGGAATCAGACGCAACAATCTGTTTTTTGGAGTTATTGCTGTGGAAGACTCGAATACGAGGTCATTGCTGGAACCATTCGCGGGTCCGTATACAATTCTCACCACAAAGGAGTTTTTGTCAGCGATCAATCATGGCATTGCATTGCATGGTTTGGTTTGGTTTGATTCAATTTGGGTGTCATTGGACATGGTTGGGACGGAGTACCACGGACCTTGGGCGTTGATGTTGGTGCTTTGTCAATATCGATCAAATAGAATACTCTCAACGAGTATTTAGTGCCACATACCTACAAAGGAATACATGAATACATACCCATACACGGTATTTACAGTAACCTACCAGATGCCTCTGTGTGTCTCGAAACGTGCTTTTTGCCTCGTATTCTGTTTTGTCGCAGGGAAACAAAGCGAAGCCCCCCCTTTTTAATCCCTTTTCCATCATTCAAACCGGAATGATGTCAATCTGGACCAGGGATCCGCTAGGGACCTTGTATTGTAGTAGGAGAGTCGGCCCTGTTGCATGAAAGGGGAGTTGGGAAGAGCCAAGAGCCCTCTGTTTGACACCTTGTGGCGCGTTGCTAAGGTATGCAGTGCCTTTGTATTCCCTGGAAGCCTACCTTGCCGACCTCAGGGAGTGCAGCCATGATCCCCTGTGACTGCAGCGCACCTGATGGAGCCTCCAAGAGAAGTGAATTTGCTGTCAGGTAGCTTGTCGTCTCTCCCGCCTCTTCACTTTCCCGAGTGGTTCACCATCTCGTCCTTTCCGCTCTAGAAATGCGCGCTTTCAGCGTAACTCGTTTCGATTTTTACCCCCCCAAAAAAGACCGAGACGGAAAAAAACCTGTTGTGAAGTCATGCCGGCTGGCCGAAAGAATCTGCGAGAGTAGTGGAACGTACGACCACGATCAAGTAAATCTGTAGATGGGTAGAGGGGTACCTCTGCTCCATGAACACCGACCGTAAACCCCAGAACCCCCTCCCTTGGAGATGTTGGAGACGTACCGATTCAGCCCTTGAGAGACAAGAAAAAAGTCCGGTAGTCAAGCTGGTTTTTCTCTACTGTCACACAGCTATCTTTTGCTGTCCTAGACGCTTTATTGGCATACCGGGATAGGACAGATATCGATTGTATGCATGGTAGAATAAGGAACAAAAAAAGAGACAGATTGAGAATGGGAGCACCAAAGGCATTTGCATTTCTTCATCTCTCGTATTCATTTATCTTTCTCATCAGTCCTCCCAAAACCCGATGTCGTGTCCACACACACTTATGAGATGAACTTTCTATCATGATCATGTCTCACATTGTCAACACTCTTGACCACGGCAATGCATACGACGCTGGAGGCAATGCATAATGCGTGTTTGTGTTTATACTGGTGGTTGGTATGGATGAATGAGCATTTCCGAGAAACTGTGTGTAAAATTTGGGTCAGCGTCTTTGTCCATACACCGTCTGAGGGTATCAATTGATTTACTCACCTTTTCAAACTCTCAACACCACGGACTTCATCCGTGAGTAAGGGCATCTTGACCACGTTGAACTCGTCGTACAACTCTTCGATCTGATCCAGGTACTTTTTCTGCATTTTCCTCCTCGCGTTGCATTGCTTGCACTCATTCGACTTTTCCGGGAAGAGTAATTGATTGACCACGATACAATGCGTGTCGATCTGGTAACTGGCCAATTCTTGAATCATCCGTTCGGTCTCGTACAAGGACAAAAACTCGGCGATGCAGACACAGACAAAGGTCGTCATGTCTGGGTTTTTGAATTGAGCATTGACTTCGGAAATGGTCTCTCGCAAGGTCTCGAGTTTCGAAGTCAACTCGTCGAGTGAACCCCCACCGGGTAGACCGCCACGGGCCCCGAGGACCGATTGCAGCATGGGTCCGAACTGGGTCGAGAGTTGAGAAATCTTGGCCAGTGCCTTTTCGAGCACGGTGGGAAATTGTAAGAATCGAAGTGTGTGACCGGTCGGGGCGGTGTCGAAGATGATGACTTCATACGAAAGACTTTTGACTTGTTTCAAGACTTCTGCGAACGACATGGCTTCATCGACACCAGGTATCTAGACTTTTGTCAGCATACACATACATACACTCATGGCCCACACCTATATACATGCGTCACTTACGCTGAATGCCAAATCCTGCATCATATTCCCCATCCCACCCAAACCTGCCATTGCATCTTGACCTTCATCTCCCGCGCCGGCGATCAAATCGTTGATACTGCCATTCGGATCGATCTCCATGGCACTCAGATTCGTGAAACCCTCAACCAGTCTGGCGTCCTTTCCAAACTTTTGACTGAACGCGTCACTGAGATTGTGCGCGGGATCCGTCGATATCAGCAGGACGGATTTCCTCGCTTTGGCCATTTGTATCGCAAGTGAACAGGAAGTGGTGGTCTTGCCGACACCACCTTTCCCACCCACAAAGATCCATCTCAACGACTTTTGATCGATCAGGTTCTGGAGGGTAGGGTCTAGGATGTCTTCGTCGGCGCTCACTACTGCGGTAGACATTTTTAGAGAGGGAAGGTTGGAGGATGAAGGTCGCGCTTCTTCTTCTTCTCTACCAGCAGGCTACAGTATTTGGTTAGAGTGTGTGTGTGTGTTGTCGCAAAAGTGCCAGTACACTTTGACAGTGTACACGGTAAACCCCCAATGGTGGTGGCTTTTGTTCTGGAAACTTCCAAAGATGAACTGTTTCAAAAGTAATGGTAAAGAACCACAAGCACGTGTTTTCTGAAATTCGCGAGTAATGGTGAAACGAGGTCGTGTCTAATGCTTCTAATTAAAAAAAGGAGGAACAAGATTCCAAGGATGCCTGGGAAGTAACACACCTCCAGCCGCTACGCAAAGGAGAAGCGCAGTCTGGCAGGCAAAAGAGAACAAGTTTCGACGTCATTCGGATAAACTGCGGTAAGTCTCGCGAGGCTGAGAAGGTCCCAACACAAAGCTGAATGACACTCAGGAGCGATGCTACGGATAACAAAAACAAATGTAACCTCTACAATACTCTTTACAATGTATATACGCCTTGACGAAGCACATCCTATAGCTTCGCCTCAGCAGCACCCGGCAACATCTCTTTGACCAGCGCTCTCCCGACTGTCCTTCCAGTAAAGACGCATCCACCGAGAAACGTGCCCTCGAGCGAACTATATCCATGTACGCCACCTCCTCCGAACCCACAACACTCGCCCGCAGCATATAATCCTTTGAACGGCTGTCCGTCCGGCATCATGACGTTCCCGTCAAGGTTGGTCTCCAACCCACCCAGACTCTTCCGCGTGAGTAAGTTCATCCTGACCGCGACCAAAGGTCCAGTACTGGGATCCAGCAACCTGTGCGGCTTCGCGATTCTTCGGCCGTCGGGCCCGTAATTTCTCGCGTTCCTGATCAACATGATTTGTGCATCTTTTCCAAAGTCATGCGAGACTTGCATATCCCTCAGTTCAATCTCCTTCTTGACCTCTTCAAGTTCCAACGTCGGTCCACCCCTCTCCTTGGCCAGCCTGTTCATTCCTTCGACGAGCTTGTCCAGATCTTTCTCCACGACAAAGTCTTCACCTTTCTTCAAGAAAGCCTGGACCTCTCTAGTACCATGACTACCGAATAACCTCTCGAGAAGCCGTATGTAACTCTTCTCCGTGAGGTCGTAGTTCTGCTCGCTGCCACTCAACGCAAACTCTCTGCTCACAATCTTCCGGTTACATATGAACCAGGAATAATCGTTCCCACTGGCCACGATGTGCTTCAGGGTTGCGAGCGTGTCGCTTCCAGGGTACAAGAACGGTGGGAACCTCTTGCCCTTTGCATCGAGCCACATCGAGCTCGGCCCGGGAATGACTCGAATGCCATGAGCCGGCCAGATCGAGTTCCAATTATGCAATCCTTCGGTATAATGCCACATTCTGTCCATACTTTTGTTTGATAGTTAGTACACGGTAGACATCACGTCCAGGACTTAGACTTACTTGATGACATTGGCACCACTCTTTTCCGCCACCCCAATCATCTCTCCGTCAACATGCGCCGGCACTCCCACGACAAAGTGCCCCGGCACCTCCGGTCCAAGTCTATGGACTGGCCAGTTCTGCTTGACTTTTTCCACATTCCCACCAATTCCACCGGTCGAGATGACCACAGCACGTCCTCTGACCTCAAAGCTCCCCACCACGTCCCTGGTCGTGGCTTGCCCTCTCACCCATCCATTCTTCACGTCCGCAAGGACTTGACCCTTGACACCGACGGCCCGTCCACCCTCGACGATCAGTTCGTCGACCTTCCGTCGGAACAAGAACTTGACGAGACCCTTCTTCTCCGCGCGCCTGACCGGCTCACTGAACGCCCTCACAACCTGCGGGCCAGTGCCCCAGGTCAAATGGAACCGCGGCACGCTGTTCCCGTGGCCCGCAGCGTCGCCGGCGCCCCTCTCCGCCCAACCCACCAGAAGAAACTTGACGCCCAGGTTCTTCAGGTACCGCTCCATGCCGTCGGTGGCAAAGTCCACAAACGCCTTCGCCCACTGTCTGGGCCAGTGGTCCTCCTTTTCCCGATCGAACTTTGCCGTGCCCATCCAGTCCGCCAGGGCCAGTTCTCTGGAATCTTTGATCCCCTTGGCTCGCTGGTCCGCCGAGTTCACGCAAAAGATGCCACCGAGACTCCAGAATGCCTGACCACCGAGATTTCCTTCGGGTTCCTGGTCCACGATGGTGACGGGGATGTTTTTGCGCGTGAGTTCATAAGCGGCGACCAGGCCAGCGAGGCCGCCACCGACGATGATGACGGGCTCGGGGTGCTGTGATTTGCTCATTTTTTGTTCTTTTTGCCCCCGGCCAGATCACCTTGATTTATGATGAATATACTTGGGATTGTTTCATCAAGCAGCTACTGGGATCCACGCAGGTGACAGGACAAGAGAATGAAATAGGAATATTCAGTGGCAAGCATAGATCGGGGGGGACGACGGGTGGATGGTGTAGAGTAGTAGAGACAAGGGTCAGAAGGAACAATGGAATGGCTCCAAGGACAAGTATATAATGTGGTGGCCAAACCGGAGCCTCGTGGATAAAATAATGCTAGGAATCGTTACTCCGTATTTCGTACTCCGTATGATGATTGTGCTGTGGTTGAAGTGCCTCGGTATTTGATATTTGGTGGCGTGAAACACACTCCATCAACTCTTCGTTACTCCATATTGCGAGTACTTTTGACGCCTCTCAACTACCTAGTCGGTACGGGGTATTACCCAGGGTGGAATGTTCTTCCCACTCGCCGACAGTGTCACACTCAAGCTTTGGAGTGTTATACTGTAACCCTTCTCTACTCTTCGTCCTCTCATACGAGTATTTTGCTCAATACTTTTCACATGTCGCCAGGGGATGGAGCCAGAGGCTGACGTTGACCGACTCGCTATGGCTATCTGTCGGCTAACGCGAGGTCCATGTCGTTTCTCAAATCCCGTACATAGCACGTTCGTTCTCATTCATGGCTACGTCCCAGTGGCATGCCGACTCGCAATCCTCCCGCATCTCACTTGGTGGGATCGGTCTCAAGGACTAGTCACCCCACAACAACCTTTGACCTAGATCGTGTCAAAGTAATCCTACCACGAGTGTCGTACTGATCCAAACGACCAAGGATGGAGTCGAGTGGTTGCCACCGAATAGAGTCTGGCAGATTAGCCAGCCGCGGGTTCGGAAAGGCTCCTTTCTTTCTGCTAGCAACATGGCTGTTATATCGAACAAAGTGCCAGTCACAGTCGAATTTCCAAAATACATTGCGAAGAGAGGGAGGTAGTCATCTCATTTGGAATCTTTGCGTGCCAAATGTCTCGTGAAATGGTCATCAAAAAGGGACCGGGTATTATAGTAAAGTGCTTGCTGTGTTCAAACATCTTGTATCATGTCACATCACATCAAGGTCTAGTAGAGCTGCTATTCATATCCTTCTCCATGGAAGTGTTGGCTTCAGAAGCCATGGCGGCCCCGCGAGCCTTCCTCTCAAGCTCACGCTTCTCTCGAGCACGCCGTGCGTGTTGTCTCCGCACATTCACCGGCTGATACACTTCGTTGAAGTTCATCACCACCCCCAAGAACCGGAGATCCACGTCTGGTTGATGTGCCAAGTCGTACAGCAACATGCTCAACCGTGACCTGAACTCGGCTGAGAGATTCAACTGCCTCGCTCGCAACGAATTCAGTTGCGTTTCATCGTCGCCCATAGCCACATTGCCAATTGGTGCAACGAGCGGAGAGTCGCCTTCCTCTGGGACCAACTGCGCTCTCCTGCCTGGTTTCGAGGGTGCTAGGGAAGTAGGTGTACTCGACCGGCTATCACTGATGAGGTCTTTCTCCGTGATTCCCCATCGACCCTGAGCCGTTCGCTGCTCGACCTTTGCGCTGAATTGTTGGCGCCTCGTGTACTCTGCAACACTATACGAGTACAGCGCGTCAATTACTTCACGGTAGCTCAGCATGCACTTCAATATATGGTGCACCTGCACCACTAGACTATCTTCTTGTTGACCCGTGATTGGATGTCTTTGTTGGCCGATAAGCCCCTTTTTGGTGATGTTGTTGAGGTAGCTGGTATGGGCTTCAATAAGATCGTCGAGTGTGGCATCTGGCTTGTGTACAGCTTCCTCGAGCTGTTTCCAGCTAGCTTCAATGACCTCGAACAGGAGGTAATATAATAACTGGTTGATGAAGTGGACCATCTCGGCCACCACACACCTGGAACGTTTCCAATCTCGACCTAGTTTGTCGCTGACGGCGGCAAGGACCCCTCGATCCCCGGTCATGCAACGTTTACACGTTGAATTCAGCGAAAACTCGACTCTCTTTATCCTCCATAGCAGGTTGAAAATCTTCAAGTATTGTGTATTTGCCCACTGGGTGATGACAACATCGCAAGGAGCGCTGATCTTGTATTCGAGGGTAAAACAGTCCCACCCAATCTCGCCGCTTGACAACTCCAGCATGCGAGCATCGAGCCTGCGTAAAACTTCAGGATCGTCGTATTGAGCGTTCGAATGTCGGATAGCGTGTTCGAGTTGGGAGGTGAGATTGTGCCTATACATGGAATTCACAGGACGATCAAGATGTTGTGCCAGTGATTCAATAAGCAAGTCAATAAAGTCACCCTGAGCTAACAACATGTACTTCTTGATCGCAATCAAATGGGTGAAAAGCCCAAACTTGGTTGCCATCAAGTGTGTCAAGCGAGACATGGTTGTCCTATACGCCACATCGATGGACATCGAGAGGTTGGCTGTATTGGCATAGTCCAGAGACTTGGAATTTGACTTCGAGTACTGTACGACCCAGTCGGAGTCGCCACAATTATGGCGAATGAAATTGAGAGACTTCCCAATTAGGAACACCTTCCTTGAGAATTCAGAAGATATTATCGAGGGTACCATCGCTGTATCAAGTTTGTATTTCTCTTCCCAGACAGATGTTGCCACATGCCGGTGGTCTACCGCAGCGGATGTGTTCGGATCGGGCGCTGTGATGAAGAATTCATGATAGGGGTCAATCAGTTCACCGTCATAGATCCAGTGTCTGAGCATTTCGTAAAAGGGACGAGCAACATGAGCCAAGAGTCTCTCGGCAAACGATGCAACAAAAGGATCGCCGTGGGAAGAGGACAGACTGTGGATGAGAGACAGCAGTTGGCCCCCTCTCTTCTGTTGAGATTCCTCGACGATAAGCTTCATCAGTCGTAAGCCCATGGTGGCATCTCTGGTCCAGATCATGCATCGTTTCAGTGTTACGCTGGTGACTCTGATCGACTGCGGATCTTCAGACTGGCTGAGAGCGGCAAGAGCCTGTCTAATCTCGGATTCAAGAGACGCGACCAGACTCAAGTATGAGCGTAATTCATTGTTGATGGCAGACCGGAGACTCTGGTCGATGAGTCCTCCTTCTTGACCATTGGAATATTCCGCCAAGCCTCGATAGAGCAAGCACGGTTCTGCAAGAGCATGGAGTAAAGATATCATCGGGACTGGAAGTGTTGTAGGTAGTTTTAGAGAAGTCACACCTGTGAACTCAACGTGTGTCGACGACACTCCTTGGAGATTGAACGGCAGATCTCGTAATAATTCCGGCTCTGATGGAGAGATAATGCGCTCCTTCTGTGGCTGTACAGGCTTTGCCTCCTCTTCCTCTTCTACCGATTGCTCCTCTTCGGCGGGCAAGTTCTTCTCGACTTTGACGTTGGCCTTTGCCTTGGGTGGTATTGTTCGCCCTCTTTCGAAGGGCAGTTCTTCCGACACGCCGTCATCATCATCATCATATGTCTGCTCGTCCGCCTGGTATGGCTTCGCAGAAGATAACGTATGGCGTCGGGGGATGTTGACAAAGTGCGCCGAGTCTGCGAGAGGATCTCGTGGGCGTGCATCCAGCATGGAAGCATCAGACAATTTGTAGAGAAGATAAAGAATAGCCCACTTCTGGTTCAAGACCGGTATGGCTAGTAGCCTCGAGTATAGATTGCTGAACCGCGCGGCCTTCTCGGGCGACGCATTCTCTCTTAACAACTTTCTCTTGATCAAGTCCTGCGCCTGATTCGTGTCCGAGGGTAATCTACTGTCGGCATTGAGGACGATATCCTTTGCATTCTGGATCGCACGATCGATGCGAAATTCCGTCTCGGTGTCATCCTGATCGATATTCGGGGCAGGGACCAGACTTTCGAACAATGAGGTCAAGGTGCCTTCGATGCGAGTCAGCCGTGGGTCAGCCATGGACATGACAAGGAACAGATCAGGGATTCGAGACGAGAGGTGGCATGGCCCTTTCGGTTTCAAACCATTTGTTCGCAAGCAATTCGTAGTGCTGTGGTTCTGTTGATCTGTTTATCGTGTGTATCTGAAATGCGCGACTTGACGCGCGCGTGTTTGCAATTGGATTTTGGGGAGGCCTACGGAGTACACAGACGAGTGGGGGTGCCTCATAGTGCCTAAAGGGAGCCCTGTGAGCCTACGACAGCGGCTCCCCACAAGTTAGTCGGGGGCGCGCAGAAGGGCCTAGAGGAGCTTAGTGCAGCTACATAAGGTAAAATCTGGTTAGGTAAACACGTTAGAGATGCGCCCACATTTAAGGCATGCAATGAGCCTACAATAGGGTCATTCCTTGGGCGAACCAAACCTCTCCCTCAAACAGATCACTTGTACTCCGTGCTCCTTACCTGAATAGTGACTCGACTATTGATGACACCCTCCTCGCAGCTCGCAACCAAGTCAACTCGAGTGAACACTTCTTATTCGGTGACCCAGAGGATCCCAAAATCATCGGTACAAGGTCACTCCCTGTCGCATCGGATCTCTCTTACTGCCCTCGATACATCCAAGACCCTGAGACGGCGTTAGGACGTTTCGATGCGGCCTCATCTGCATTGTGAAACGCGTCGACAAGCTCGTTTCGTCCACTGCTTCAATTGCTTGAAGGCGACTTGGCTTTCGGCAAGTGGGATCTCCGCGATTCTACTCCGTAAGCGACACATCTTGATCTCTCTCTCGATGTTGCGAGGAAAGGAGAGCCTAGACTTGAATGTCGCGTGTGGTGATCTGGTTCCACACCCGTTGGCGAAGACTTCTACTGCGACATCCCCTGGGACTCCGAGACTTGTCGGTCCCTGGTTTTGCCGGACGCACAAGGTGCCCGAGAGGCTGAGAACTGTGTCGCGAGGAGGTATCTACTCCGTAAGAGGAGCCCGGTATCTCGACATCCGTGTCTTAAAGAGGTAACTTTGTATTTTCTTTGCCCGAATCTGACAGTGGCTCATCATCATGCGGGGCTTCAAAGGTTGTACTTGTACTGCAGGCATGTGTTTTTCTGTTGAACCCTTCCTATTCATCTGCACGACGATAATTCTGCTGTTTGACGTTGCTGAGCGTGCATCTCTGACCTTTGGCCTTCCTAACTCCTCATGAATTGAACACTTCAACAGCGGTGATCTTGGACGATTTTGACAACGCCTCTCGAAAATATTTGATCCTCGAGTATCCTGCCGGTTCTCAACGCTGTAGCCATGATTGGCACCATCAATCCGTTCCTACTACTTGCAATTGGGTTCGCGGTGGCGTTGATCCTTCAATCTCGCAAGTCATCAAAGAAAGCACTACCGGATATTCCCTGGATCAACACTCATGAGGGAGAATTCTTGACAAGGCTTCGCTCCCGCTTTCGCACCACCTTCAACTACAAAGATGCAATCCATCGAGCCTATGAGCAGGTAGGCCCCCTCCATGACCGTTTGGCTCAAGCCCAACTAAGAGGTATAGTGTTCAAAGCACGACCGGACCTGCATTATTCCAGATATTAATGGAGAGGAAATCATCCTACCGATTTCGGCCATGTCATGGTTCATCAATCAACCGGACAGTGTCTTCAGCGCCGATGAGATGCACCGAGATGCCCTGCAAATTGACCATACCTTTACACACCCCTTCGTGGTCGAAAGGCCGCTTCACCATGAGACGGTCAGAATCGATCTGACCCGGCATTTGGCCGCTCTGACCAGTGATATCATGGACGAAGTTTCCACATGCTTTGATGAATCCTGGGGCACTGACACGGAGAACTTCAAAGAACTTTGTGTGATGGACTCAGTGATGCAAATCATTGCACGAGCCAGTAACCGTGCTTTGGTCGGTTTACCAGCGTGCCGCAATCCAACATTGCTTGAGCATGGCAAAGGGTTCGCCACAGCATTGGCCGTAAGCTCGGCTCTCTTGAAACAAATGCCTGCGTTCCTTCGTCCACTTCTGAGTCCATTGATAACGCTCCCGAACCGGAGACATACCCGAGGGTTCGTGAAGGTCCTAGCGCCGGAGATACAACGACGTCAAAGACTATTGGCCCAGGATGCCGACGACGAGAAGAAGATGGGCGAGATAGAACCGAACGATTTCCTACAGTGGTCAATCCGTCGTGCACAAGAATGCGGCTTTTCGGTTGAGAATGACCCGAGCATCATCGCTGAACGGACTCTTGCCGTGAATTTTGCCGCCATCCATACTTCAACTTTCAGCATCACGAACATCATTTTCGATTTGGTCAGCTCAGATCCTTCCCTGCAATACATGGACATACTCCGCAATGAGGTGGCCTCTGTACTTGCCGAAGAGAAGGGGATGTGGACAAAGCAAGGTCTGGCCAAAATGGTCAAATTGGACTCGGCTTTGCGAGAATCATCTCGCCTTGGCTCCTTTCTTGGTACACTTTCACGTCTGTGTGTAAATCCCAATGGTGTAACAGCTCCGGATGGCACATTCTTGCCTTGCGGTAGTACCATTTCCGTACCGACAAACCCAGTCCAGAACGATCCAATGCTGTACTATGATACAAGTACATTCGATCCATTCCGTTTCTCTTCACAGCGTGAAGCCTCAAGTACACGGGAGTCTGACAAGGAGGACAATAACAAGACGAGCAATACCTCGGGATACCTCGAAAAAGTGAACCTGAGTTTTGTCAGCACATCGCCCTCATATCATCCCTTCGGGCACGGCCGACACGCTTGTCCCGGTCGGTTCTTCGCAGCAAATGAGCTCAAGTTACTTTTGGCGTACATGCTGCTTCACTATGAGTTCGAGATGCAGCCCACGAGACCCAAGAACGTTTGGATGGGCCGAACGCATTTGCCTCCGATGAAAGCCACTGTCAGAGTGCGAAGGAGAGGGTGAATATAGGGTATGTGAGCTGGCCTCGTGTTATGAATGTGTAAATGCCCGTGTGACTGGGCAAGTTATTTCTGCATGTAATGTTTACTGTGGTAACAATCCGACTCAATGCTGGTATGACTCTGAGCTGCATCTGCATGCTTGGATTTGGTATTGGCATACGTTGCGACGATTCTTCTCTCAAATGGAACCCGTGCTGAAGCCAAGAAGGACGAAAATAATGTGCCACCACATAGCCCACGAGACGGTCTATTTCCTGCTCGGACCACAGTGCCCTTGTTGATCAAGTCTATCTTTGCATCTTGGTCCGAGCACTTTATCTAGTCGAGCAGGGACACTATCGTATCTCCTCGCGTTGTGAGATTAACCGGAGAGGCATGTCTGTGCCGGAAATCTCCAATAGGGTGTCAGTCTTGGTAGTACAAATCTGGCTATTTAGCGTCCACTCAATGTTGATTGACACACGTGGTCTCTCCCAGCCAAGACAGCCACAAGCCTTGGCATGTCTTGGACGATGAAATTATGTGCTCATCGCGTCTTGTGATGTGTAAGAATGATCTGGGCTGATGGATACTCGTAGAAGAATTTGTCGCTGAGTGTTCACATGGTACGAAAATCATGCATCCGATCATTACCACTCCTCTGGGTAGGAGCAAATGGTTGCATTCTAACTGCAATGGCCACTTTTAGCCAGGTGGGCGGCGAAACGAAGACAGGGATGAAACTCTTGGCCGTGCACTGTAAATTGACTTTTGGGCTTGAATCATGCTTAACAACCTTAGATGTTTAAGCATTAGCGCCTGTCGCTCTGCCTCCACTTGCGACGAATCGCAGGAGGCCCCGGAATCAAGGGTGCTGCGAATGGCTCTGTCCGGCCTCTCGACTCAGTACGATCTCCTGCACCAGTCGACAAGTCGAACGAGACTTTAGTAGGACTAGGTTGAGCACAAAACAAGAGTTCTGCCTTGAATCGTAGACGTGGCCTTGGAAGTAGATCCAGTCATCAACCAAGGGCCGAGACACAAGTGTTACGCAACCCTGATGAAAGCTGGCGGAGACTAGCCAAGAACACCAAGAAACACCAAGAGTATTGGCGTTGGAGCGTTCTTGAGGAGCCCGTGGAAGGCACTCGGAGCACGGGGGGCTCACACGGTGAGATTTCTGATCCGGACTGGCCCTCATCGTAATATGACAAGTCAATGTGCAACTTTTCAACGAATCTGAAGGGAAAAATTGTTTGCTTCTGCCAGTCTGTACCACGCAGTGAGGCGCCGAGCAAATATCGGCGAGAAGGGTCTGAAGCTACTCCGTACCCGTACCCCATCTGTACCCACCCATCAACCGCGAAGCCGGACCTGGTGCCGAAAAATCTACTTCATCTTTGAGTATGCCAAGCATTCGAGGGGCCGCTAAGATGGAAGGCTAAGACGAAGACGAAGATATGCGGCGGCCAGAAGTTTACAAGTGCCAGCCACCGCCAATGGCAAGGAAGCGCAGAGGAATGCTCTGCTTGGGCCGAGAAATAATGCCATGCTTAGGAATGTGGGCTATTGGGTCTTGGTGCGATGCCGAGCACAACACCCAAGAAATCCCAAGAGAACCAAGAGTTATGTTCAAGAGGCCCAAGAACACCAAGATCCGAGGAGATCCTTTGAAGCTTGTTCAAATTTCCCTGATGTCCGGTAAGCGAGTGGGAACAAGGGTCGGGCTCTCAAGGACATCTACAGTAGCCATTAGGTACCGAATACAGTAGTTTGTACATACGACTACGGAGTACAGTAATTCGGCTACTCCGTATGCAAGGGCGAGATGGGATTTGATGGTTCTGATTTGACCATCTAAGTAGGTACCTGAGAGCTACGTTGAGTGTCTCTTACACATTATAGCCATCAATGAGCATTGGTCTCGACCTGTGCCTCATCCGTGTACACAGGTACTCCGTACTTCGCAGGCCACTACCAAAGAGTCGTAGGTGTCCTCCAGTGGTGCCCAGCCCTGCCAAACCCTGGCCGAGACGCACGGGCCATTAAGCGGGCGCAGCGGCTTTGATTTAAGCATAAGCCCAAGCTTGGTGTGGGAACAACGCTGCTTGTCCGGATCCACTATATCTCTTCGTCGCGAGTGCCTGTTCATCCAATGTGGCCTCTGATGAGTCTTTCCGACTAGTAACTAAAGTAGTAGGAATAAGTAAAAGTAGTCAGAAGTAGACTCGTGCTGCCCTTCCCTCAAACACACACAATCTCTCTCTCACGCCCATCATACTCTCTGAAATTCATTTCTCCTCCCTCGGCAATCTGAACACCATCCTTGTGTTTGGAGTACTTCCCTGCCAGCGACTTGTGTCTAATCCCGTCTCTGGTCAGCCATCCCTCCAACAGTACATTCACACAGACTTCCGCCTAGCCCTTAGAACGCTATCCTGTGCGCCATCCGGGTGCCATATTCATATCTCCATCACTTAAACGATTTATCTCACTTGTACCTATATCAACACACGATCCCTACTCCGCTTCGGACACTCGACTCCTCAGCAGGCCCCTCTTGAAGAAAGTGCGCCGCACGCATTCACACGAAGCAGCAGAGACTCTGAATTGACGACAACGCTCCGCTCACCCCATAGTCGTTTAGGTGCTGCTCTAATTGCTTGACCTCACGCGCGCAAGAGCACACCCTGTGGACAATTAGACACCTCTGGCTGGCTGTGGTGGACCACCGCTCTCGGGTCATTCGGCTTGTGCAAAGTGCGCGATGGAGACATACAACGGCCACGTTCGGACGCCGACCGATGCCATCATTCTCTTTGAAGCCTGCAGACTTGGAATCTTACCGCGAGTTCAGCGGAGATTGTCGGAAAAAGAAAGACAGTCCATCAGATCAGGATCAGTGTTTGTCTGGGATGAACGAGAGGCAGGAATGAGAAGATGGACGGATGGAAAGAGTTGGAGTGCCAGTCGAGTCTCGGGCAGTTTCTTGACATACCGAGAAATGGAGGGCAAAAGAGGCAGCAACTCATTCGTCACTCCTGCAAACAAAGGGACAAAAACACCGGACAGCAACCCGGACGATTTACAGAATGGTGATGCTGAGGAGGGCCCGGACGGCTATCGCTATAAGCCTGACGGGCTGATGAAACAGTCATTCAGTATCACCACTTCCCAGGGCCAACACCTCCATCTGATTAGCTACTACTCTCGGTCACATCCCACAGCCCAAGGCCTTCGGCAACCTAGTACCGACCCCAATTTGGCTCACGTTCAACCCGCCAAAGGACTCTATCCCGAATCGACGATTAACGACCAGTCTTCGGTGCCAGCTGTGACGAGATCACCTATGGTAGGGGTTCCCAGCTACGTGGTAAGCCCCAGCGCTCCTGGCTATCACAGACCGAGCCCTGGCAATCCTCATCCTTATATGCCACCTGGTTATCTGCCTCATGGTGCATACATCTATCCCATTAGTCCGATGCATACACCACCAGGACATTACGCTTTACAGCCGTATGGGCTTCCACATACTCTACCGCCTGGATTGCCGCCGCCCCTTCCTTACCCTCCACCGGGGGCCGGGGGTTACTCCCCCCATGCGTTCCACATGAGCCATCCTCCTCCGTCTGTCTATGATCAGCGGCCACTTCGTACCTCCGAGTCAGCGCCACCGCCTGTAACAACGACGGCTAGCACCACTGCTGCACCAGCTCCACCCATTTCGTACAGTACAAGTCAGTCGCTACCGCCTCCAACAGCTCCTCTTCCTAGTCCCGGGCTTCCGCCACCTTCGCCCCGAGAAGAGTCCGATAAGCCACAAATTGACCCAAGATTGACTGCTGCCGCCGAAGCAGCCGAATCGCAACACAATGGTTCGGCATCAAAACCTGAAGAGCCAGCTGCGTCACGTCCGGCTGAATCTGCGTCCACCGGTGCCAGTCAAGCGCCTACGATTCATGCCTTGGTCCACAATGTCTCAACATTACCGCCGCCACCACCACCTGTGGATAATTCTCAAAATGAGGCCGAAGTGGACAGGCAAGGTAGCACGAGCCCTGGAGGAACAAAGAACGGTGCACCGCCACAAGACATCCCTAGTGAAAAGCTGGGTTTTCGAGAAGACAAGCGAGCTTTGAGCAAGCTTGATCGGGTATTTGCTAGGGTTTGATGCTGAGTGCTGTAAACGCTCAAATAGGGGAAGGGTTGAATTGTCTGCATCTGCCGTGGTGTTTTTGGTTCTGTACTTGGGCAACATTTTTTCCGGCCGTCCTTTCTGGCGATGCACATATTAAAATTCGGCGTTTGTCAATATGAAGTACGACATCATGATATTCAAGGCTTTTGTTTGGATAGGCAATCTTATTCTTATCGAATTCTACTGCTTGTGACGGGTACATTATGAACATAGGGGTGTGGGTCATGACCTGCCAGCTGCAGCTTGCTGTGCTTGCTTTTGCTTCTACCACTGCCGGCTGAGGCATAGGCTGACAGGCTGGAGCTGGCGACTAACATCTGCGATTCGTGAGAGGTCATGCGCGACATGATCTTTTTAGTTAGCACTGCCAGTACAAGAAGTCATTTTCAATATCTAACTCAATGATCAAGTTCGCCGACCCCTGTTCCTTTGTAAGTGTTCTTCTCTTGTGATAGATCAGGTCTCTTCTGCAATCACACAAGATGACATGGCACTTAAGCTTCAAAGTATACATCAAATTCGGTGAGGCCCACGTTGAGGTAACTTCAGTCTTGCGAGCGCCCGTACATCGTGAGGCTGAAGGTGACAAGGCTCTCGGCTCTTCGTCGGGAAAATATTTATGAGTGGGATTTACTTTCTGCTATTTATGCGCTGCGAACCTGGCTTCTAAGAGTCCCACTTGCAATTGTGCCTGCGAAGACAGCCAGTGCAAGTCAAAAGCGGGATGCTATGGCGATTTGAGAAGTCGCCATGCCTCTCGCGAAACCTCCAATGCTTGCAGAGACACGGCCTGGGAGCGAAAACAGTCAAACGTTCTTTCCACCATACACGTCCTGTCCGTACCCCGACGAACGAAGCAACGTCGCCTCCTCTGCAGGCTGTCCGCCATGCTACCCTTGTCGATAAGAGCAAGTTGTACGAGGCTGGATCAGACAACGCCATAGTCAAGGTTGTAGGGCTAGTTCGCAGCGTGCGGAAGCAGAAAAATGTTGCATTTGCCCGGGTCGCAGACGGATCTACACTGGGTAGTGTGCAAGCTGTCTTTCCTCATCCCAACATAGCAAAAGAGTAGGTCGGCGCGCTGCCGAGAAGAAGATGAGAATCTTGAGCTGATGACTGGTAGCATCACGAATGGGGCGTATGTTTCGTTGATTGGAAAATGGGTGGCTTCACAAGGTGCCGGCCAGAGTCATGAACTGCTGGTGCACGAGATCGAGACTATAGGAGAAAGCAACCCTTTGGTGAGTGTACAAGGATGATAAGGTGTCTCTGATTGCTAAGGCTTGCGGAGGAAAACCCGATCCAGAAGCAGTCTATGACTGCTGAGTTCCTGCGCACCGTTCCTCATCTTCGCATGCGCACGGCTTTTCAATCTCTCCTCGTTCGAGTCCGAAGTCAGTTGACTGCAGCGGTGTCTTCGCATTTCAACAATCGTTCCGAACCCGTCTACCAGGTCCATCCTCCTCTGATCACATCTTCCGACTGCGAAGGCGCAGGCGAAGTCTTTACAATAACCCCACGAAGCAAGGAGATTCCAAGATACATTCCGCCCAACACGTCCAGGGAGCAGGAGAAACTGTACTTTCGAGAGCCAAAATACCTCACAGTCTCCTCGCAGTTACATCTCGAGGCTTATTCGGCGCAGTTAGGAGACGTCTTTGCCCTATCACCCACCTTCCGTGCTGAGGAGAGTGATACGCCACGCCATCTAGCAGAATTTTATATGCTTGAAGCGGAACACCGAGGTATCACGTTCGACGATCTACTAGGATGTGTACGGTCGCTGGTCGTGGATTTGACGGAATCACTTCAGTCACACCAAACAGGCAAAGAACTTCTGCAGTATTACGAGGATCATAAACACCGTCCTGATGAGGTCGATTTCATCGACCTTGAGGAACGATGGAGCCGGCTCACAGGACCCTGGCATACGGTGACTTATACTGCGGCCATTGAGGCTTTGAAGGATGCTCATGAAGCAAGTGGTCGAACACTGTTCGTCAACAGACCTCATTGGGACTGGGGCTTGCAACTTGAGCACGAACGGTGGATTGTTGAAAATGTTGCGAAAGGCAAGCCGGTCTTTGTGACGCACTATCCGAGGGCCATCAAGCCCTTCTATATGCTGCCTTCAGCAATCACACCCACCTCAGAGCAGCATTGGGTGCCTGCCGACAATAACACAGATCCCGAAGAGACAGTTGCGTGTTTTGATCTGCTGCTCCCCTACGGATACTGTGAAGTGGTCGGAGGAAGTCTCAGAGAGCACCGCCTAGAGGATCTCATTCGGAACATGCGCTCGAAGGGCCTTTTGAAGAGCGTCGATCCAACAAATGGCACCGAATATCCATTCCTCGAGCCTGGAGAGTCCCTCGGTACATTGAGATGGTATGCTGATCTCAGACGGTTCGGCAGCAATCCTCACGGTGGCTATGGTTTGGGATTCGACAGGCTGTTAGCATATTTGACAGGTGTGGCCAATGTGCGCGACGTTGTTGGGTTTCCCAGAACATGGGGTCGCGCAGATTGTTAAACGACTTGTGGGCCCAATTGAGGATGTCACCTTGTTCCCCCGGCTGAAGAAGTCATGATTTCAGAATTTTGTATGAATACAACACATTTTTCACCTCCTCGACTTGTCCATGCTATGGACTTCAAGGATACAATAGTCGAAAACTACACTTCGCCCTTTTTTCCCCGGCATTCCGCAATTTCTCGTGTTGTCATTCCAGTCGCGTTTAATGTCGTACACAGACCTCACCACATCCGCGTATGCTTTAAACAATTATGTCGAGCCTCATACTCACTGTTTCGTTTAGGCGAACTCGGTTGTGCTACGTAAGTGATTGAACATGATTTGGAGACTTCTCACTGGGGTCGCCTTTGTGGCCAACCTTGCAGGACTAGTTACTGGGTATGGCACGACCGTCTTTGTCGAAGTCAGCTATTGCCCGGCTACCTATACAACCTCTACGCTTGCAACAAGGACGATGTCTAGTGCTCCATCGTCGACCTCAAGGTACGTCCTTCTTGTCGAGAAGATGACGGAGTCTAACGCGAAACAGTCTCACTCCGATCGTCCTTACTGTCATGCAGGGTTTTGGCGAGCAACCTCAATATGTATCAGCAGATGGAACCATGACAAACGACTCTTCGTTGGCCGTGGATTTCTCCATAAATCCTACAGGACAGCTTGAAGGAGCAGGAGGGTTCATATCGACCGATGGGAATGAGGCCTCGATGACCTTTGAAGTTTCTCCAACACCCGGTGCTATCTCGACTTTCTTTTCGCTTGTCAGCAACGATACGATCGCACGAAGAGATGATACACACGCCAGCAAAATCTTGGTATGGAGGAATATCGCTTTTTTTGGTGGTGAGGCTACGTTCTGCGTGTTTGGCTCAATCCTCGAGGTTGTTTTTGGGGGTACATTACCTCCAGGCTGCCATGAAGTTCTACTTGGTGCAATTCCTGCCAGCGATGTACAGAATCCGACTTCATTCTCCATGACCACTGTTCCACCATCCAGCACAAGCACGGATTCAGCCATTCTCACGGACACCACAACGACTACATACTCGTTCGTGCCGACCTCCCATAGTCCATCATTGAGCCCTACAAGAGAGCCGACTTCAGCGTCTACGACCAGTCAAACTTCTAGTCTATACTTGTCACCGAGCTCAACTAGAGCCGAAAGCAGCGCTACAAGTACTGAAGTAAACCCGAGCACGAAAATGACGCAGGGAGCAGAAACATCGTCATCAGAATCAGCTTCTTACAGTAGCACTCTCACGTCTACTTCGTCTCCGACTCTTTCTGATTACCCTGCACCCACAACCACAGGAATTCCAAACTGCTACGATCGATCTCCGTTCGATGGCACTGTCAACAATGATTACTTGATCCTTTGCGACACGGACCTTCCCGGATATGATATTCAACGAGTCTCTGCGTCTAATATTGCCGATTGCATTGATGAGTGTAATTCATATATACCGTCGTCACAAGGTCCATGTGTGGCTATAGCCTTTGATATTGTAAGATTGACTCCTTCCACCAAAAGAGTCTCGTACTGATTAGGTCTCCCAGCTCGCACCAGCGAATCCATGCGCACTAAAGTACAACATCAGTGACGTTTTCAGAGGCGCCGACTCATTCTCTCAAGCTGCGATTTTGGTCAATCAACCATACTCGCCAGAAATTGTATTCGCGGAGCCACCAACTTCCAGTTCATCTTCTACGAGTGAGGAGACTTCTTCAACGATGCCTCCGCCAGATTCCACGTCCAGTCCAAGCTCGGTCGCAACGACACCTTTACCAGAATTCACGACCAGTCTGAGTTCTATTCCCACTACACCTCCAGCGTCACCGATGACTTCGGGCACTGGAGCTGCGATAAGCACAAGTGCAGCCACTCAACGACCCCCTTCCCCCACTACCACGAGGACAACACAGACAAGTCCAAGTATGACGAGTTCATCGCATAACTCTCCGGCTACACCAGCGAGCTCCAGCACGACACGCACATCTACATTGCCAGTGCCAACTTCGTCACCAATCACGTCTTCTACAACGAGCCAGCAACCAGCAACAGTGGCTACAACAACAATGGGTCAGCAGCAATCAAGCAATCCCCCGTCCACCTTTCGCAGTCCCTTGAGCTCTTCGACCAGCCCATCGGCTGTTTCCTCGAGTACATCCATGGTTGTTTCCAGTGTCATTAGCTCTACCAGCGCGTCACCAACGTCACCAACGACAGGTCCAACATTCAACGCTCCATCGAGTTCTTCGGGTCCAATATCGTCCACGAGCTCTATAGTCACAACACCCTCCACCAGTCTTGCTGCCACGTCACTATTCACCACTTCGTCACCTAGACCCATCACAACAACACTTCTTTCATCAACCACATCCACATCCGCAACTCTCTCGTACTGTTCTGCTACTCCAATCACGACTTCTTTGTGCCCGGCGTACGACCACCAAGCGCTGAACGTCAATGGCGACGGGTCATGTTATGAAGTCGAATGTTCCACCACCCTTCAAGGCAACATCTTGACGGGCAACTCGACCACCGCATCGTCACTCAAGACATGTACAAGTTTCTGTACGCTTTACAATGTAGCCGTACCCTTTGGCTGTGTTGGTGTCAATTTTTTGGGGTCTCTGTCCGGGAACAGTCCGAATTGTATCCTCATGTCCAGCGTCAGTAGTACGACTTTTGGCGGTGGAATCGACTCGGCAAGATTATTGTATCCCGGATATCCGTCCATAAATGACCCGGATTACCTCGGTGCCACAACGACGACGGTTGCTGTTAGTACGATACGTTCCTCCTCTTCCTCTTCCGCGACGTCACTGGTCGGAGGGAGCAGTAGTGGTAGCGGTGGTAGCCAGACAGGCACGAGTGCGGGTGGGACAAGAACGAGTGCGACGAGCACGACCAGTACGACAACCCTTTCACCACCTTCGTGCCCCGCCGCACCGACCGCGTCATCGTGTCCGGCCCCCTCGGGTTCCCCTGTGCCGTACTGCTACAACTACACCAACTACGGCAACACCGCCCCCTTCGAGGTCGAATGCTCGACGAGTTTCACGGGCGCCACCATGCAACCCTTGCTCGCCTTCAGCTTCGAGGACTGCGTGAGTTGGTGCCAGTACGCCAACATCTTGGTGCCCAACAGCTGCGTCGGCATGACCTACCAATACGGCACCGTGTCGCAGGGAGGGAGCAACAACTGTGTCCGGTACAGTACGTTGACGTGCGCGAGCAGGGGCAATGCGACCTACGGCAGTGCGAGGTTGATCTGGAGTGGGCACCCCGCCATGACGGATTACGGGGGTAATTTTGGATGTTGAGACGAGGGTTCTCCTCGAGTGATGGATTTGGTGGATTGGAACATTGGTGACGGGAATCAAGAAGAGAACAGAGGAAGAGAGGAAAGGGTGGGAGGAGTAGATGCAGATGCAGGTTCAGACATTTATCGAATACTGGCGGAATGACAGGTTTTTGGCTAAGTTCTTGGTGACTTGAGTTTATTTGATCTTCCATTCATTTCCTATGTGAATGTCTGTCTACTAAGAGTTGTAGGTTGACTGACCAGTATAGGTTTGTGCAAGAGTACCCGGATGTATAATATCACGAGATTTATCACGATGATTACTCTCGTACGTGAAAAGATATACATTCAATAGGCCGGGTCCCTCCTTATGCTCGAGTTCTTTTTCTCCCTCAGTATTACTTCACACAGGGACGGGGTACAGAGTGGTGATTGAGTTCTCCGTGGTATCAAGGTTGCCTAATCCACATTGTATCCAGATGATGCCCATTATCACTTCAATTCACTTGGGAGATCTCAAAGGAATGGGAGGTCCACTTTCAATCTCGACCGGTCGATGCAGGTACCTCTCTCCGTGGTCTTCTCGTCCTCGTAGTGTCCATCTTCTTCTCACTTCATTGTTTTCTCGCACGATGACGATATTCCTCGTCAGGAACCCGACGGCGAGCAAAGCCGAGACGGCGACGAGTTGGACCAAAAATACCAAGGTGACCTTGATTGCGAATTTCCCCGTGAGGGGATTCACGGATGGGGAGTGATCGAATGCGTACACGACGCTGTAGATGCACCGTACACCGACAAACAGACACGCCACGCCCAACAGAACGGACACAGGGCCCAAACTGTCTAGTTTTTGACAGAGTCGAAAAAACATGTATACTTGGCCGATCCAGGTGACGAGGATCAAGACGATCCCGGTCTCCAGTAGAGTACGGGCGTGGTCGATTTCAGACGGGGTGACGGTGGATTTTGCCAGGTTGGACGCACCGGTCGCCGCTAGGGCGATGCCAGTGTATGCGCCTAGATGGACCAAGACTTCTTGGACGATCAGGAGACGTCTGTCGCGGTCGCTGTTGCCGGATCGATGCACCTGCTGCTGGAGGGCGTGAGGATGACGGTGGCCGCTGTGGTGGAGATGGGTACAGCTAGAAAATTCGTAGATGAAACCCGAGAGTGCGAGGATCAGAGGACTCAGACCGACGGAAGATACGATGGAGCCTGTGGTCGACGTCCCCCCGTGGTGGTGGTTCGAGTGCGCGGCGATCTGAAGAATTGCCGCGACGATGCGTAGGGATTCAAAGGCGAAGAGGTACAGGTAGCCCAGGGTCGAGCGGAGGCCGTGCTTGAAGAACAAGTAGAACGTAAAGGGGACGAGGGTGGTGTAGATTGCCAGTTCGACGATGGATAGGGTGGTGGTCTCGTCGAGAGCCATTGAAGAATGGAATGGATAGGAAACAATTGCGCTGCGGGTGACGAGATAGATGTAACAGAGTATGAGGCAACTTACTGCTTACAGTAGATGATCCGGTTCCCTCTTTGTCTCCTGGATATTGTCATGTTCTTATACATTTCCCAGCAAACAAAATAAGGAGTACACATGGATGTAATTTCTCTTCGACAGCCTCCAGAAACATGGGGTGGTGGTCACCATCATAGGCCATTTTCAGGCAGCGATGAAAAGGAATGTCACTATTCGCTATCGGTTGGACATGTATTGGTGTGCGCGAAGTTCAGCTAGCATCTTTGATCTGTCCATCGGGAGATCAGTGTAAGGTGGACATGGCATGGCGGTGTTGTTGTATCCGAAACCGAAAGCGGCGTTCCGAGGTGGTGTTAACGGAGTACGGAGAAACAATGATCCTTACCACCAATCGGAGTATTTACATAGAAAACTCATCTCAGCCTCGTCAGGCGTCCTCCTTCCACCTCCCAAAACGAGGCTGGCTCGGACCGAGCTTTCAATGGCCGGTCAGACGCTGAGAAAATCTTCCAAGGGAAAATCTAACAATGATGCTGACCACAAGTCAAAACCCAGAAACCCACCAAAGTTGATTTGTTCCTGACACCAGGTAGTCAAAGTCTCCGGCTGCTGTCTCTGATTAGTCAAAGAAGCGTGGACTGTGGCACATCCAGGCAGTCAAAACGTGCCAACACACCAGGATCCCCTGCGGATGTGGCTGGCCCACTAAATCTCGGTCTCGGTTTCGACGAAAATCAATCCCTCGTGCATTGCGTTCGGAGCCTTGTGCAATCCCGAGGACGGAGTACTCGTACAGTTCAGGCAAGGGTAAACCGGGCACACATCTGATACAAGCCCAAGGGGGCCGGGTGCGCGTGGGAAAGGGGTTTTGATGCCTCCACGATTGGCCCATCGAAAGTCTCGCACTGGGTGTCGACGCTGCAAGGAGCGAAAGGTCAAATGTACCGAAGAACGCCCCAGTTGTGCCGCATGTGCCCGTCACGGTGTTGATTGCGAATACATTGAGAACTCTTCCTTGACCGTCAATAAGGCGGCGTCCGTGTCACATCAGCCACAAGCCGGACGTTCGCCATCCAAAAAACCGTCCCCGGCACAGGTTCGCGAGCAGCCTGCTGCTGCGTCGAGCAGCTCGCGGAGTCTGTCCGAACACGAAGCCACCGTGAGCCCCCCGAGCGGATTGGACGTGCCTTATTCCAGAAACCTATCGGGTGTGATCCCAGACGACCTCCGCTCCCAGATCGAACTGTACCTCATCCACCGCTTCAAGTCCTCGGTCAGCCAGAGTTTCCCGTCGGCGCAGACGCCGCACCTGAAGGACATTTACGTCTGGCACGCGACCGAGGCGGCGTTTGACCACCCGTACCTTCTCAATGCCATCTTCGCCGTCACTGCGCTCTACCTGTGCATGTGCCAATTGCACAAACTCCACGAGAACCACGCCGTGCAACTCCCCAAGGCGCTCCAGCACGTCGACTTTGCCCAGGTCCACCGGACGTACCTGAACATCGCCGTGTCGCAGGAGCGCGACGAACTGTCGTCGTTGGGCCCCCACAACGCCGACGCCGTGGGTTTGACGTCCATCCTCCTCTCCATCATGTCGACTTGTCTCCTCTCAGATGCCCCCGTGGCCCACGGCGCCGAATACTCCCCGCCCATGCAGTGGCTGACGCTCTCCGCGGCGGTCCAGACTGTCTTCCAGGAGGCCGTCCCTTACCTCCACGAAGGCGCCATGATGAGCTACATGCGCGCGTCCCGCGAGCCCAACCTGACCGACACGGACACCCTGTTCCACCCCAACAACACCGTTCCCTTCCACAGCATCCTGGAGTTCGAAGACCCCGACAGTCCGTACGCCGACCAGCCAGAGACAAAGGCCGCCGACGGTGAAGCGTACCACAGCGCCCTGGCCATGATCGGGAGCATATTCAACGCCATCCGCGCCGGCGAGCCCAAGCACTACCTGTGTATGCGGGTGATGGCGTTCGGACCCATCGTACCCAAATCGTACGTTACCCTCCTCGCGCAAAAGAGAGCCCGTGCCATGGTCATCCTGGCGTACTTTATGGTCCTCGTCAAGTATCTCGACAGTTATTGGTGGTTTCAGGGCCGCGCGGAAAAAGAAATCCTGGGCATCAGGAGTGCACTCCCGGACAGGTGGCAGTGGGCTTTGAGGTGGCCTTTGGCCGTGCTGGCGAACCCCGAGTATGCAAAGTCCGACCCGGCCACATATTATCGGGACATCAGCCTGGTTCAGAATCACGCCGGGGTTCACACGATGGGTCCTGTTTATTCTAATGGCAATACCCCATCGTCATCATCATCACACTCTCCATATTCTGCGGCAAGGAATTCGTGAGTGAATACGATAAAGATCACGACAACGACACCGAATGACGGAGTACCTGAAGGGGAATGCAAGGGTCACACATACGATACAGCATTTGCAAAGGACTCGCCATTCCAAATATATGTACTCCGAACGCCCTTTGCAAATGTCAATGAATCGGCAGAGAGACACCCTTTTTACCCTACCCGTACAGAAGAGTGCCTCCGTCGAATGAAACGAATCGTCTCTCATTTTCGATCAGGAACAATATCCCAAGCAGCATCAAAACCAGGCCCTCGCATCCACTTATCATAGGTCCCTGGATAGTCCTCGGTCGAATCAAGGACCATGTTGGCGATCTTCAACCACATCTCTGTGCCCTTGATGGGAAATTTGGACGCGATTGTCTCGTCCTTACTATCCTCGTACGGTCGACAAACGATACTCCCGTGATGCAAGGCGCGGATGAACTTGACCACGTGTCCGTCACAGGGCATGTTTTTGGCACGTTCAATCACCTCGGTCCAGTTCATGCACTGGTCCCCCCGACGGGGCTTGTACGTCGTGATCTCGTCGGTCAGAAGCTCCGGAAAACCCTGGGTGGCGTACATGACGAGGCCCATGCGCACTTTGAATTCGAGGAGGCGGAATTTGGTGTGCTCGTCGAGAAAATCGAGCCTGGCAAAGACGGACAGGAAGATGGAACAGTTGACCGAGTGCATGAGAAAAAAGTCGAATTTGGCGGCCTTTGCGGGATTCTGGCACGCACTCGCCATCCATGTGATCACGTCGATCATCTCGGCCGTGCGGAGTTGGACCTCGTCTTCGCCCATAGACCTGTCGAGGGTGTATGAAGCGGCAACCTCGACGAGAGGCTGCGGCAAGTCGGGGAAGAAGTTCCCCATACGGTCCCAGCTACCGGGAGCGAAGACCGGTGCGTCTTTGATGAAAGGGTTCGACCGGACGGCGGTGAAAATGTCCATGAGACGTTTCTCACGCGTCCAGGCGGGGTGATTAGACGCGAGCTCCTGGGTGCGAAGAAGGTACGATGTTGCCTGGGACCGGTGAATGGCCGCTTGGGCCAATGCTTCAGCGATGATGGCTGGTTGGGCAAATTCGACGCCAAAACCCAAGTGAATGATGGGGTGGATGGCTCCTATTATCCATTGTCAGTCAAGTCAATTTCTTATACGCGCGCATCGTGGAGGAAGGGCAGAAGAAAAGAATTAATCGGTCATACCTTCAAACATCCGTCCCAAAAGGTCATTTGCTCGGGGCGTCTCATCAAAGAGGTACTCCCCAAGAACGGCTTGCCATCCCTTTTGGTTGATTTCGTTCTGGAAGAAATCCAACCACGGGGCATAGTACTCATAACGGGCCAGGTACTCTTCGAAGTTTTCGCTGGTAATCACATGCTTGCTCTTCTCGTCACCTGCATCGATCTCTCGTTGGTATCCCTTGTTGCTTTCGAACGCAATCTTGATCTGCTCGGGAGATGCACCCAGGGCTAAATCGGTGAGCAGGTAATGGACTTGGTGGTTATGCAGACCTCCTGCCTTGACGGTATCCCACATAACATGCCACTTGTCGTGATTGTGCTGGAGAAGTTGGTTCGCGGCTTCCAGTGAGCCAGGCGTGATGTTGTCGGCATGGTCGATTCCAGTATTTGCGGTTGTGATTGCAACCGTGGAGAAAGACATCGTGAAAACAGGGCGAGGGCAGCTTTTCTCTCAGGTTTTCAATCTCTTCGATATTTCGAGGTTGTACTATGTCGATCAGCACACAACTCAGCTCATATATCTTTCAACTCCCTTTCGGAGGCCATGGAAAAGTAAAAGCCGGCCACTGGCCCGTCCTCTCTCGTACAGGGGTCGTGACATCGGATACTAGACTCGTTTTTCTGCGGGGAACCTCGACGGGATGCCTGATTCTAGAGTAATTGTCATCGATGTCTTCCGTATTCGTTGACAACGGCGGAACAGGTAAGGGTGCGAGTACGGAGTAAGGAGACTGCATACTGCAATGTGCCCCCCCAACCCCCGGAGCGAAAACGATCAAAAAAGCCGAGTCGAGCCCCTGATACAACTCTGGAAAAGCAAAATGATCGTCCCGACAATGTTTTGATCTCGCGGGGAGACACGGTGAAACCATCTTTGACTTAAAGAGTAAGTCCGTACAATCGTGAAACCCAACGAGTGGGCTGACGATGAAACGAAAGACAGATCATTGCCCTTCCCTTATCACAATGCAGCTGGAGGTTGGTTTTGACAACATATGCCAAGCCGTCCACCAGGCTCACACTCCCCCAGATATCCTTGGTCGTGCCGGACCATGTCCAAGACATCAACCCAACAAGGCCCGGTAGATCACAGCAGGTATGGACTCCTTCGTACGGGATAGTTCCGTGATGGAAATCCGCTTCGAGGACTCTGGAGGTGGAGTATACATTCTTCTTTCAGATCAAACGGATCAAACACTCCGAGTTCTACTACAGTACATACGGCTTTTCTTGGACCAAACAGATTCCAGCAAAGAAAATTCTCCTCCAAGTCTGGTCCGCGTTACCATGTGGTTCCGGTACCGGTACAAGTATATTCAAAGTGTCCGACATGGTCACTGGCCAGTATGGAGACTTGACAAGCTTGACCGACAATCCTTGACCCGAGAATGCAGGAAAAAGGAACAGTCCATCCCATATCAGTATAGGGACATCCATAACGACTCACTTCTGCCTGTATCGCTGCAGGTACAAGCTGTACAAAGTATAGCCCTTGTTGTTCTCATATGAGACCGTCAAACACAGCCTATTCTTCGTCCAAACAAAACGACATCCATCATGAGCCACACGGAAGAAAAAATACCAGAGAACAGAGCCCTCATAATCGGTGCTGGGCCAGCAGGTCTCACCTTGGCACAGATTTTATGTCGTCACAACATCCCATTTGCATTCTTTGAAAGAGCCAAAAGCGTCACGAAGAAGCGACAAGGTTGGGCAGTGGGACTGATGGAGTGAGCGTGCACATTTGATCTCTGACCACGTTCCTCTGTTCGCCAATACAGCGACTGACATAATAACCACAAACAAGAGCCATACCACTCCTGCAACAATACCTCCCTGATGACTTGGGCGACATTCGAGAGACGAGTGCGAACTGGGGGGGCCACGCGAGCCCGATTCCCTCGGCCTCCTGGACGGCAAGACGGGCCACGCATTCGCCAAACTCGGCGGCGTCCCCTACGAGCAGCCAGGTTTCTTCCTCCGTGCGAAACGTGACTTGCTTCGCGGCCATCTCGCTCGACATCTGGAGGTCGCCACGGACAAGCGTTTGCTCTCGTACACGGAGGACTCGACGGGCGTGACAGTTTTCTTCGCCGACGGCACCAGCGCCCGCGGTCGGATTTTGATAGGTGCAGACGGTGCGTATTCCGTCGTGCGCAGACAACTTCTGTGGCCCAACGCCATGCCTCAGTTGAGCCAGAACATTCCGACGAACGGGGAATGCACCCTCGTCCGCTCCGAGTACGAACCGTTGCGGCGCCCGGGCAACTCGGTCCTCTCCGCCGCTCTCCCGGGGGTCTTTTTCAACATCGGACTCGTCTCCGTCGAGCCCGATCGCTCCAGGGGCGAGTTTTACTGGGGCGTCGCGTTCCAGAGCGATAACCCAACACGAGACTCGAACTGGGCAGCCGAGGCCGATCGCCAGACCTTGTACGACAAATGTGTCGAGCTGACGCGCGACATGCCAGCGTGGTTGACCAGCATCATCCATAAAACAGGTCCGGGAGGGATGAACATGCCTTGCATCAAGTTCGTCGAGTACGTCCCACCGGAGACACTGCCAAAGGGAGGGAGAGTGACGTATATGGGCGACGCGGCTCACACCATGATCCCTTTCAAAGGTGCCGGGGCAAATACCGCCGTCACGGACTCTTGCGATTTGGGCAGACTCATCGTGCGGGCTTTTGAAGACGATGACGGACCCGGCTGGACCGGAATAGCTGGGGTCCTCGACGAGTATAACTCATCACGCTGCCACGGGGACGTGAGGCTGTGCTCGGTAGCAGAGCGGCAGTATCACCGGTATGATAGATGGGAGGGTCACTACACACCCGCCAGTTACTGAGAAGCAAGGAAAACAAAGAAATTAAAGTAGAATAGGTCAAGAGGAGTTGGAGAGAGGAGGGTATATACATTCGAATGCCTCACTTCATGTACCTTTCGAACCACTCGAGCATTTGCTCCGGATGGTTCTGGAAATAGTTGTACCCGTCCCACCTTCGGGTGGTGCCTTCGATCCAGAAGAGTTTTTTCTCTTTGGTTGGGATATTGTCGTACACCGTCTGCACGTCGATCGGTTTGGTCATCAGGTCATCCTTGACTTGATAGATGAAGGTGGGTGTATGGACGCTCTTGGAAGGGATCCTGGGACCCAGCTCGAACAGACCAAACCCTGTCTGCAACCGTACCAATTGATCCAACTCGGTCATCTTCTCCATGGGGATCCCATCACGTTCGAAGTTGCGTTCCATGATTGTCTGTGGAGAGATGGGTTGGGGTCCCACCAGACAACGAACGTTGCCGTCCTTGAAGAACTGAGGGAATTTGTGCATGGCCCACAGGGTAGAGGTGCAACCCAGACAACGGCTGAAAAGTCCCACGGTCATGTTTTTGGTGTCCGGTCGACCGCGGGCGTAGATGATCGATCCGACCACGTCGCGAGCTTCGTACCTCCCGGCACTCGCCGCGCCGGAGTTTGCGGGTCCGCTGTGACCGAAATTGCGCAGGTCGTAGGCCAGCACGTTGTAACCGGCGTCGTGAAGAACCTTGTAGTCGGGAACAAAGTTCACTTCGACGTTGTTCCCCGTGGCGCCGAAGATGGACCTCCAGGGTTCAATGTGCGAAGGCATGCCGGCCCTGGAAAAAGTCATGGGGTGGTTGGCGATGATGAGTTTGTCCGAGGTTGGGCACGGGATGAACCACCCTTCGAGAGGGACCCCGTCGTAGGAAGGGAAAAAGACGTCTTCGTATTCGAGACCGACTTCGGACGGGTCGTGCATGATGGGAGAGCGCGGCATGTGTCGCATCGCTTTGGCATACCCCTCCAGGATCTCTTGGACCTGGGCTTCGCTTTTCGTCGTTGAACTCATCTTATAGTATGTCGGTCACTGCTGACTTTCGATAACATAGAAGAACCACTTGGTCTTGGAAGTTCGACAGGGCAAGCAAAATCCTGGGGATGCTGAATTGAAAGTTACCTGGTGGTGGAAGCAGTGGCAAGTACTTGTGGAATGGCCCCGCCATCTTTGTGAGCCGTGCCAACGAGACTTTATATATTTTCAGAGAGCTTGGTGGCCTTGAGACACTGACTCATGGTGATGATGCTGTTCAATCGATTTCCATGTCGATATCGTTGCCCGTTTCGAGACTCGGAGGTCTTGTTTCATGGTACACTCGGCTTGTAACTGGTTCCGATATTAGTCACGTGAATGGTCGTTTGAAGAGTGTATGCTCATTTGGCGTGAGGCGGGCCGTGGAAGCGAGTGAATTGGGGGAATGAAGAATTGTGAGCTACGGCAGAGTTGAATACATCCGATCCGGTTTTTGATGTGACTCACCCAAAAAACCCCTTTGGAATGGTCCCGACTGTGATCGTAAATTAAATAGATTCAGGCAGCCTTAGACATTAAAAGAGGGATGGTATTATAGCCGGCGTGAGGCGCACGCTGCGAAGATTCAAGTCTCAAAGTTGACGGCGAATCCTGCAGCGGTCTTTGCCAACACTTTCTTTCATTGCTCCATATTTCGACCGTCGAGCTCGGTGATTGTGCGACTGTTTGTATCCTTGAAAGAATGAAATGGCAGGCGATCTCTTGGGCCTCTGGAATGATCAGTAATCAGGCATATGTCCCGAGAGGAAGGCAATACGACAGACGGGCGTGGCTTCGAGCCTGCGATCACAGAAATATGTGTGAACAAGAGACGAGATCTGTCTTACAGTCTCAAATATTGTAGTTTGGCCCGTCTGTCATGAGCATCATTGCCATGGTCATATTCGTCACAACTGAGCTCCCGAAAAGCTCCTCTGGAAGTCTGGGAAGGATTGTATTGGGCCTGAAAGACGGTAGGTACTTGGAGTGCCTCATCTGATCAGCGATCCTCGAGTATTCCCTCACCGGAGACAGTATGTTGTTGGAGCGACCTACGATATGGCCATACATTTCACCAATAGGGCAGCCAAATCAAATGCATTCCGTTCGGTCAATCTGTAATTTACCGATCGAGCTCGGTGGCGCATTGAGGATTAGAAATGTCTTCCAGGTGAACCATACGAAGGCGCTTCGAAACCCAAGATCATTGAAGCCGTAAAGAGCAGCTATAGAGGCGAAGAGGCTCCTACCTGTGTGCTTTCATTGTAATTTGCTCAATTGTCGTCGTTGCGAGATTGTTGATAATAGCAAATGAAGGCTGAGTCTGATACTTAAATCCTTTACGACGGTGGTGCTATGATAGACGCCTACGGACCTTGGAGCGGGGGACATCACGGGGAGAACCGTAGATTGGCCTTTTGGAACATTTCGTGTGTTTTCTAACGATGTGTGATTGTACTCGTGGAGATTGGTCTCGATGGCAGCCTCGTGTGTACTAGACATTCGGATATGTCGGGAGTGCGAGAACACCGAAGGAAATCTGGGCGAGTTTCTCATCTTCCGTAGGTGGTGACGATTGGTGCCTAGCTGGGAGTTTATAGGGGCCAGTGGTGGCTATTCGCGGCTGTTTATGGGCGTCGCTGGCCAAATCAATGGGCAGCAATTCGAGACTGGTCCGGGCTTGGCCCAAGTCTCCCCGAACGAGATGCGGCGATTGTTTGAAGAGCTTCGCCATCCAAATCGATCCGCTCCGCATCATTTCTCAGATCATTTTACCTCCCTTCAACAAACATCTCTGGTGACTTATCCCGTTACCTTGCGACGCCTTTGTCGCATTATTCCCTTTCTTCCCTAGCAGTACCTTTTGTCGTCCTTGATCGTCCACCTCAACATGCTCAAGACTCTAGTGCCAAGGGCGAGTCGATCGCTGCTCTCATCAAAAGCTCCGCAGTTTGGCCCAGCAAACCTCCGAACAGCTCCCAGCTTCCAGATAGTGTCCCAGAATCAACAGCGGAGGAGAGGATACGCATCTGAAGCTTCGGACTACGATGTGGTGTTCATTGGCGGCGGCGTGGCTGGCTACGTCGGTGCGATAAAAGCTGGACAAGAGGGTCTGAAGGTCAGAGCATGAAAGGACTACAAACACCGGACATACAAGGCAGAGACTAACGTGTGTGTAGACTGCTTGCATCGAAAAGAGAGGTTCGCTAGGTGGCACATGTCTGAATGTCGGCTGCATTCCCTCCAAATCGCTCCTCAACAACTCACATCTGTACCACCAAATCCTACACGACACGAAAAAGCGTGGCATTGATGTTGGAGATGTCAAGCTCAACCTGACGCAAATGATGAAGGCCAAGGACGAGTCCGTCTCCGGTCTGACGAAGGGTGTGGAGTTTCTGTTCAAGAAAAACAAGGTCGACTACATCAAGGGCACCGGATCCTTCAAGGATGAGCACACGGTCAAGGTCAATCTTTTGGACGGCGGTGAAACCGAGATCCGGGGTAAGAACATCGTCATCGCTACTGGTAGCGAGACGACGCCGTTCCCCGGCCTCGAGATCGACGAGAAGAAGGTCATCACGAGCACCGGCGCAATTGCACTCCAAGAAGTGCCCAAGAGGATGGTCGTCATTGGTGGTGGCATCATTGGTCTTGAGATGGTGAGTCCCCCCCCCCTTCGGTACAATATCACCCGTTCCAGAAACACAGTGGCTGACACATCTCGTGGTGATAGGCATCGGTGTGGTCGCGCCTCGGTGCCCAGGTCACCGTCGTCGAATTCCTCGGCCAGATCGGCGGTCCCGGCATGGACGCGGAGATTGCGAAACAGGCCCAAAAGATCCTCGGAAAGCAAGGCATCAAGTTCAAGACAAACACCAAGGTCACCAAGGGCGACGCGAGCGGCGACGCGGTCAAGATCGAGGTCGAGGCGGCCAAGGGGGGCAAGAACGAGACCCTCGAGGCCGAGGTGGTGCTCGTCGCCATCGGTCGCCGCCCGTACACTGACGGGCTCGGGGTCGAGAACGTCGGCGTGGAGATGGACGAGCGCAAGCGCGTGGTCATCGACCAGGAGTACCGCACCAACGTCCCGCACATCCGGTGCATCGGCGACGTGACGTTCGGCCCCATGCTCGCGCACAAGGCCGAGGAGGAGGCGGTCGCGGCGGTCGAGTACATCAAAAAGGGCTTCGGGCACGTCAACTACGGCGCCATCCCGTCCGTCATGTACACGCACCCCGAGGTGGCGTGGGTGGGACAGAACGAGGCCGAGCTGAAGGCGGCGGGGGTCAAGTACCGCGTCGGCACCTTCCCCTTCACCGCCAACTCGCGGGCCAAGACCAACCTCGACACCGAGGGCCTGGTCAAGTTCCTCAGCGACGCCGAGACGGACCGCATCCTGGGCGTCCACATCATCGGCCCCAACGCCGGGGAGATGATCGCCGAGGCCACCCTGGCCCTCGAGTACGGCGCCTCGAGCGAGGACGTCGCCCGGACCTGCCACGCCCACCCGACCCTGGCCGAGGCCTTCAAGGAGGCCGCCATGAGCACCTACAGTCAAGCCATTCACTTTTGAGAGAGGTGTGTGTGTGTGTGTGTGTGTGTGTGTGTGTGTGTGAAGAAGGAAGATCCTAGAGCAGAGTGGTGGGAGTTGGGCGGTGGGACACAAGACATGAGTCCGGGCCGGCGGCGGCGATGATGAGTCATCATAAGCGTTTGTTGTTAATGCAGTGAGTGGGTGGTCCGTTGCTGTTTTGGACCTCTTCTCGGACGAGGGTATAAGATACAAGACAGGTCCAGAGAACAAAAAAAATGTATATTTTATGTGGTTCAAGCATTTCTTTACCTTGTGAGAAAAAGACACAAAAGTACAACGCCATGGTGAACAGAATGCGAGCACTAAAACGGGCATGATACCCTTCACGGAGTACAACATCTGCAACATTTTCGCAGTTAACCTGTTTCACAAGCAACCAACTACAATCTAGGTAGGTAGTTACAAGCTACAAGCTACACACGATGATGCTGCGGTGCGATTCGTTTTTCACACAACTCGTCAAACCTCGACCTCAAAGATAGCATACACATATTAGTACTAGTCGAGCCAATACATGGTCCCAACTCGTTGGGCCCAAAAACAATAACATATCCATCGTCTCATAAAGCACGCAATCTTGGATCTTTCCCTCTGTGTCTCTCTCTCTCGCACTTTCTTTTTTTGGTGTTTTGGGAGGGTTTTCAACGAAGAACAACAAATCAACGCCATTCGAAAACAAAACGCGGCCATGGCCGAGATGTGATGCAATGCAAAGAACAACTGTTGGGTTCGACGCCAGTGATTAGGCATGACCAGCATATGCCAGAACAGATTGAGCCGAAAAGCGCCGGTGGGGGTATTTGTCTTGAAGATTAAGCCAGCTGTGAGTGAAATCCAGTTTCAGCCTGTTTGTGCGGTGGATTGCAGGTTTGTCGTCGGGGGGGAGGGTCATCGTCAGAGGTGGGAATAAATCATACTGCCAAAGAAGTCAGCCTTTTTGGGGTGCTTTGGAAAAACGAGGATCGTCTAGGAGCATACGTGATGCAGATGGTCCGAGAAGAAAAATGGCGTAAAGTTACCCTTTTCCGTTCCAGCTTCTCTCTGCTTCACTGCTATTACACCTGAGACATGGCGGGCCCACCTCTTCCACGGATGCCTCTGAGATTGACACCACTGCCGCGAGAGCCCAAGACCGAGAAGAACAGAGAGGCTGACCAGGCGGCCCAGGTGAAGAAAAAGAAGGCGGTCGAGGCTTGGAGCTCACGGCATCGACCTTCGCGGTCATGCGCGCCGTTGGTGAGATGATTGTGGAGAGTATATGACTGTATGGGGGGGGAGGGAAAATTAGCATTGGCTCCAGGAAGTGAGTGGCGGAATCAACGTACGTTGTTGCTGCAAGAATGAGCACCCAGCTCGGCGGCCGTGGCGACGGCGGCGCAGAAGAGGAAGAGGACGTTCAAGGCGTCAAGGAGAAGTGGGAGAAGAGCGTGACCTTGGAAGGAGTCGCTCCAGGCGGCCGGGATCAAATAGAACAGAGACAGCATGGCGAAGGCTGTCACGAAGATGTCGTAGTTGATGAGGGACGGGTTACCGGCAAAGGCCATGGCAATGACGTTGCCAATGAGGGCCATGGTGATGAGGGTGAAGACGAACTGCAGGGGTGGGTGGCACAAGTCAGTAAGCTGATGGCATTGGTGTCAGTTGGGAAGGGGATGCTGGAGCATACCTCCGTCCCTCGGAGGATGAGGTTAAGTGGTCGCGACACCATTTTGGCGGTTGCGGTGGTTTGCGACGGTGAGGGTGAGTAGAAGAGTGGCGATGAGGGTTGAAGAGTAGGGCAAGTATAGCTAGAAGTAGCTATTGAGGATGCACAGGTAGGTAGTTTGTCGTAGTATTACGGAGGAGAAGGTAATGGGAAAGACGTGGCCAGCAGCTGAGTAGGTTGGTAGAAAGGTAGGTAGCAGCTATGGGTGGTTTTTGTTGGAAGAACGGAAGATTGTGGAATGATGACGATGGTGGTGGTGATAGCTCTACCTAGATACTTCCGCAGGGTAAAACCAAACTGTCAATGGGTGATTTTTTTTGGCACTGACGCAGCGAAAAGCAACGACGTCACTATTGAGAAATAGGTGGATGCTTTGTACGGAGTAGGGGAGACTCTGTAGGTGATGCAGGAACAGATTTCGGGAAGCTCGGGCTGCCAAACGAATAATGAACAGGCTACTCGTACTTCGATCCCTCGATAGTATTTGACAGGCAACTGATTCAGTTGATGCTCTCTCAGTAGATAGATGGATGTAATCCGTATAACAAATGTTGTTTGATGATACAATTACATGGATACAGTATGTCCTGGGTACAGAGTGTACTAACAATAATCTTTGCAGTCACTATGGCAATGACAACCGTCTACCAGTCCTCGACTTGTAGTTAGAACCGTATTGTTGTTGCCTTGTTGCATAATTTCATGGTCCTTGTCACACATTGCTCGCTTCTTTCTACCCCCTCGTCGTCGTGCCCAGCAACCCTCTCGTACGGGGCTCCCAAGAAATGCCTCTTTGCAGCTGAAGATCATGTCACGTGAAAACCATGGGCACCGGCTGCCGGGAGATCCGGGTTGTGTGGTTGTCCTAGAAACAACGCGAGGCTCACACCAACTCGTATTCGTACAACACACTCTCTCGCCCTGCTGAGTGAGACGCCCATTGATCTACGAAACATCACGCATTTCTGGCTGTCTTCTGACGCAGTCTTGTGTATTGTATGTATGGATATGAAAAGTTCCGAGAACTGTTTATTGATGTTACAGAGTCGTGTCATCACCATTCTCTGCCTGCTCAAAATAATGTGTCTCATTAACTGCTCGCACTGCTCTTTCCAAGGCCCGAGTTTAATTGCCAAATAGTGCGCGCCACAACTGGGTTATTGTCTGTTACGGAGTCTTATACTCCCGTACAAAAGCCAGACATAGCTGAGAGTCATCTGCATCAGGCACATGCTCGTCCTCTCTCACAGCTTCTCAAACGTCGGCGTCTTCTTGCGCAGTCCACTCATGATGGCTCTTTCGACGTCACTGCTCTGCACCATCGCCGCGTTCCACACTGCCGTGTAGTTGAGGTTATCTTCCACCGTTCTTCCCCACGCAGCGTCAAGAATGTTCTTCGTGCCTTGAACACCCACCGGACTCTTGGTCGCCATGTACTGCGCGAACTGCATGCCTTCTTGGATGAGCTCGGCCTTGCTGCCGCTGACCACCCTGCTGACGAAGCCGTTGTCTTTGGCTTCGTCTGCGCCGAACACTCGTGCACTCATACACACTTCCTTTACCCAGCTCGTCACCCCGCCCACCACCTTGGGCAATCTGCTCAACGTTCCTACGTCGGCGGCCAATCCAATGTCGACCTCCTTGACACTGAACTTGGTATCTGCCAGACAGAATCGCATGTCACATGCCGACGAGAGGTCAATCCCCAGTCCGTAGGCGTAACCGTGTAGCAACGCGATGACGGGTTTCTCGCAACGAGCCACCACCGAAATGGCTTCTTGTAGTTCGAGGATGTACCGCCGGAGTTGTGTCGCCCGGCGAGATGGGTCGACAAAGTCCTGGGCAACGATGGGTGTGGCGTCTTTTGCCGATGCTGCTTCCACGTCGAGGCCTGGGTAGTCCTTACAGTCAGACATACCGTCTTGTCTCTAGAGTTCGCGGGTACCTTACCTGTTGTGAATGCTCGGTCTCCGGCTCCAGAAAGGAGAATGCATCGAACGTCAGGGTCAGTCGACAACCGCTCGAAGATTCCCTTCAGCTCAACCCACATAGGTGGACTGAATGCGTTCAACTTCTTTGGTCGATTGATTTCCACATGCACGATATAAGGAGCTGGATTCGTGACATTGTAGTACTTGAACGTCGTCGAGGCGTAGGAAGCCATTTTCTTCAGAGGTTGTACTAGGCGAATCTCTCAAGCCGATCTAGAGATGAGTTGAGCTCTCAAGAAGGGCGGTGGATGTGTTCAGACAGTGAAAACCCTTTCAACATTGCAATAGATCGGTGAACGTGGGTGTCCAGCAAGCCGGTTACCACCTCTCGCAGCTCAGCACAGCAACTTACCTCGGCAAAATTTCATGACACGTGACCTTAGTCGAAGTACACGTGCAGACTCGATTGAGGCGAGCGAGATTGGCAAGTGCTTCTTCGTCCTCAGTACTACTACTACTACTACTACTACTACTACTACTACTACTACTACTACTACTACTACTACTACTACTACTACTACTACTACTACTACTACTACTA